TAGTAGGTCTAGATCAAGAAAGTCGTGTAAGAATGAATAAGTGGCTATTCTATATTGTTTGCTATGGTATGGCATAATACACAATAAAAGATAGTATTGTGCAAAGTGATAGTTGTAGTGGGTAGTGTAATTTAATAAGAGCTATTACTAGGATATCAGTAGAAGTAGATGTATTAATGCACATAGCACTTCAAAATATTAAATGTATGATAGAGAGAAGAGAATATAATGTGTAACTTAATAAATTATACAAATTACTAGAAATATAAGATATATTCATTATTTCTTTGGATTTTACCTTGTACCGTTTTCTTTATTAACTGATAATACCATCACAAATTACATCATCAAGTACTCTCTACCTATTAAACGTAAGGAAATAATATGAAAATTGTATATGTTGCAACAGTTCAAACACTTAAGCTTATTAACAGTAGCTGAGTTGCAAAGTAATGCAATAATCAAGTTATAATTCTTAAAATCACATTGTTATTTAGTTATAAATACATATATTCTAATATGAATGTGTAATAGATAAACTGTAACCTATATCAAATACACACTTAGCCATACCAAATAGCAAGAATGTAAATTTATTTAAAAAGTTGAACCAAATAAATTCTATGTTTAACTTAAGAATGGACTTACTTTTCTTTGTTTCTCACATCAATAATTATCAACTCCACTCTTCAATATTGTATACCCTTACTTTAGAATAGTTAAGTAGAATGATAATTTTCATGATTATAATAGCACATTTAAACAGTTAACTTATGTTTTTAAATCAGATTTATGTAATCGAACAAAATTATATTAATAATTCATCACATACTAAATCACCTATTAAGTTGCTGAATGAATGATCGTCTAAGTACCAATTTTAAATATAATATGCTATCAAACAAGTTAAGACTGAAATATCTTTAAGAAAATAAAATTAGCATCACTATTTTATATTAGGATAAGTAGATATACTGTCTATTTCAATTATTTTAACAACCACATTATATAATTCACCAATATTAACAGTTGTATACAAGTATGCTAATCGAAACACAATCATTTATCCTGTATATTTTCTGATTTTTACTCTTATTTGCTATGTTACTCTGTTAAAATGCACATTTAATATTCCACTATATTTATTATTTATTAATATGTAACTCCTATTGTTTTACTTCCTCGCTTGTCATAAAACATTAGCATTATCTATATTATTCTGTTACTTTTATCTTATTACTGAAATGTATTGTACTAGAATAAAACAAATAAAACAATGAATGTTTTCTCAAAAGTTTTCAAAAATAAATATATGAAAATATTCTATTTTACAAACACAAATATCACTATTTTTTTTTCTTCAAATCATTAAATATGAGTGAACCACAGCTTTTGACATAACGCAATCAGGAATAACAGAAATTTCTTTTTTATGTTAAATAAATTAACAAATCTAAACCTTCCTTTTTTTCTACATGGAATTTGCAGACATATAAACAGAATAAACAAATTTATAAAAACATTGTGAACATGATACATTGAAATAACCAGTATTGATTTATAATATCATGACATCTAAATAAAGTATCCAACAATAGATTAACCATATTTGGATGTGAATATAGTTGTATGGTATTACTATTCTAACTGTTTGAATGCAACTATCTTATAATTTAATATAGTTAGAAAATGGACGATATGATCATTATTTTTTCTTTATTAAAGGTCATTAGTAGTTTTTTAAGTAAAATACTTTAGAAAAAAAAACAAAAACTATTGAAGGAACAATTTGTATTTGTTCCTAAACATGATTTGTATAATTATGTCTGCTACTAGTATCGTTTTTAATAAATCTGATTTGTTTAATACTTAAATCATGACAAAACATATGTGAAATTCTCTTGGAAAGTAGTGATGTTTGTGTTTACCATTGTCATGACTCAAGTTGTTAGTAAAGTGGATCTCTGGCTTATTGATAGCCTATTCAAATGACATACATAATTATATTAGTATATTTATTCTTAAACACAAATTGATCCTTCTTCTTTTTAATTTTTCTTCTTGAAAGATATTTTTTTCTTTTTAATTATCATTCTTGATGAAGTAATAAAAAAAAAACAGTTTTCAATAAAGAAACTTTATATAGGCATATTCCATGTTCTAACAAAAATATCATATATATGTTTGACAACGATCAAATGGATATTAAAGCAAGTTATAATGTCGCATTTTATACCTATAACATCAATGGTTTCGCAGATATTGATGATACACTGAAAAGGAGAAGGCTAACCTTAGATAACACTGACAATACACCCTTCAAATGGCAAGAAATTCGTATGATTCTTATTGCTGGGGTTAGTTAATTTAACTGATGCTTACAATATTTGTTACAATTAATGTGGTTATCCTAATAAGGTCTTATATATTTTGACAAGGATCTATGTCAATTTCTACAGATACTCTCTTGAGGGTTTCCACTTCTATTTGGTCAAGTTGGATTTAGCTTGTCGAGAAATATCCTTGGCCGTAAGATGATTGGGGTCCCAGAATGAATTCTAATGATTATCCTGATGATTTTTTGTTCTATTTTGCAATATACAGTAGGTCCTTCTTCAGGAGTTAGTTTCATTGTGGTTTTAAGTTTTTGCAGAATAGTTATAGGTATTGGGATTGGTGGAAATTATCTTTTATCATCTACTATATTTTCAGAATTTTCAATAATAAAATGGAGAGATACTATCATGAGTGCATTGATTCCAATCAAGCTTTCAGTCAAAGTACCGGTAGTATTATTACTCTAATAATAATTACTATATGTAAGATTGAATTAATTGGAATAAACGGTGCTATGTATGATGCTATGGGTAGAATAGCTTGCAATAAAATGTAGAGAATTTTAATTGGCTTTGATGTTGTTCTAGGTTTATCATATCTATGTTATAAACTGACTATTCCAGAATCTCCAAAGTATTTCTTTGATATTAATGTGCAACTTACACCAACTTCAATGAGTACAGAAAATAATGTGATGTTATAAACTGACTATTCCAGAATCTCCAAAGTATTTCTTTGATATTAATGTGCAACTTACACCAACTTCAATGAGTACAGAAAATAATGTGAGTTCATTACTGGTAAACAGTGATTTGAATATGCGCTCATTTGATTCAAATACCTTAGAGGGTCCTTAAAGTCATCAAAAAGAAGAAAGCTTTTTTCAAGAACTTTTTGTAAACATATAGTCAATGGAATTATGAGAAAATCCTATTAGGTACTGCAAGTTCTTAGCTTTTTGTGGGTGTTACGTTCTGTGGACTTTCCTTAAATTCCACTGTAATTCTTCAAACTATAGTTCATCAAGTTTTAATAAGAAGTTGTACAACTCTGCTGCTAATAGTTTGATTTTGATATGAGCAGGAGCTCTGCCAGATTTTTGGTTTAACATTGTTACTATTAATAGTAGTAGTAGGAAGTCAATCCAAATAATGAGATTTGTTAGCTTGATTATTTTATTCGGTATTATTGATTTCGCTTATCATAAGATTGGTGATCATATTTTATTAGCTCTTTGTATTTTATGCCACTTTTTTTGTAGCTTTAGTCCAAATATTTCTGTTGGTATTGTTCAAAAGAATTTTTTTCTATTAGATATAGATTTGCTTCCCATAGTATATATGCAGTTTCAAGAAATACTAGTCCTATTGTTGCTCAAATAACTTTAGGTACTTTAATCAATCACAATTACGCAAACGAGGTTAAGGCAAAAGGGTGTTGGCTGCTATATGTTACGCAAATTTTTCTCTTTTTATGTTGCTAGGTTGTTTTACTAGTCTATTCATTCCGAGAACAAAGAGAAAGCCTTTTAAAGAAACCAGCAAAAAGTAGCACAATGAAACAAGCCAATTCAGATCCACTTCATACTCTATCATCGTAAATGTAGCTTTTTATGATAAGCAAGAAGAACTACACGTAGATAATATTTAAAGAAATTCGAATTCCATAAATGAGCAATAAGAAGGATGGTTAATAATGGTGCACAGTTTTGCTTATTTCATTGAAAGGCAATATTGTTTATTTGTTTTTTTTTCTAACTAAGTGTCAGTACCACCTCAACTTCTTATTAATTTCAACGAATATTAGAGTTTTCTTGCTTTTTTATATATACAGCTGCAAAAAATATCAAATTTTGTAGTATATTCAATTATTTGTAAATCTTTTTATTTTACAACTTTTCAATATATTATTTTATCCTTATCCATTTTCTTTCCTCAAAAAAATTATTTTTATTACGGTATATGCGTCCATCTGATAAAACGAATTTTCATTACCATATATGACTAAATATTTTGAATAAATATAATGGTGAATCCAACTCTTCAGTAAATAAGGTGCTTTTTTTTGTGTGTGTGTGTCGGAAAGAAAGAAAGTGATAACTCTGGGTTATTGTTATATTCTGATTTTGTAATTGACTATCGATACTAATAAAAAAAAATATTACAAAGAAAGGAAAATTCATAATATTTATTGTAGTAAAGAAACACAAAGATATTACAGTATATAAAGATCTTTAAGCTTGATGTTTGATCTTGATTTAGCTTCGTTTATTTGAATACCATTTACACTATAAAATGAGGCAGCACTGTGAGTTACGAAAATAATATTCTATACTTACTAATTAAAACCCCTTTTAAATTATTGATGGCGTATATCGATCAAATATCTTATACTTGTTATATGTAAGTAACTAAAAGCTCTCTACTGGGCAGGTCCTATCTTAAACTAGGACATCTAAATATACCAATTATTAGATTTTAATCTTATATAGGCAATTGTAGTACCCTATGCAGAGTGTTTAATAGAAAATATATCTATAAAAATATTGTGCATAACTTTCTACAAAATTAAATAGACATATTATTTAAGTTTAAAGTTGTATTCTCGATAGGATACCCAATTTTAGGGATTGAAAATGAAAACAAAACAAGAAAGCATTAAAATCATTCATGAATATGATCATAGTTTGCAATTTTATAAGCTGGAATTTCTGTCGTTTGTTCTTTCAATTTGTCTAAAGCTTCTTCTAGCTCTTGGATAGTGCTAGATGAACCACCACAAGCAATTATTATAATAACATCATCTGGGGTCAACTTATGTCCTAATGTTTGTTCTAATAAGTCCTTGTTATACGCCATATGTAAAGAGGCACCCATAGCAGGTTCAGCAATCATATTGAAATCTTTGGCATATCTTAAGCATGTTTCAACAACTGAAACATCATTAATCGCAACAGACTTAGTACTGTATTTTTGAGCATATTCAAAAGTCTTTCTAGATATAGTAGTGCTGCCTAGAGATGTGGCAATACTGGTGATTTTATCAAATACGACCTCTTTGTTCTCTTTGAGGGATACATTAAGAACATTGCACCCTATAGTTTCAACAGCAATAACAGGAATTCTATTAGTTAGTTGATGTTTTTCTAATCCTCTAATGATACCATTATAAAGACCACCACCTCCGACACTACAAACAATACCCTTTACATTATCAACAGCTACTTGTTGCTCTTTTAAAGTGTATAGAATTTCATCAACCATCGTAGAATGGCCCTCCCAAATAACTGGATCATCAAAAGGATGTACATAGATTGGTTCAAAAGATGATTCATTTATATTTTTCATTACTTCGCTCTTTAGATAAGTATCGGCCTCCTTCCAATGATTGCCTTTAACTATGACGTTTGCACCAGTACTCTTAATTTTCTCGATCAATCTTTGTTTTGTTGTCTTTGGAACAACTACAGTACATGGCAGAGACAACCTTTGAGAAGCTGTGGCAGCAGCAAACCCAGCGTTACCGCCTGAACTGGAAAACACCTGTGGTGACTTTTTCTTTTCGTTTTGAATTCTTAAAGTACTTTGCAGGATAAGATTTCCAATCCCTCTGATCTTAAAACTACAACTAGGTTGTAAATTTTCGTATTTTAGAAATATTTATGGTAGATTTTTTCCAGGAAAGAATTGCCTTAAAAGTGGAGTTTTACTGTATACACCAGTCATTTTTTATTGAAATCTAAGGTGGTATCTTTCAATCTTTGTAGGATTACAAGAGGGAAGGGTAAACTAATTCAGAGAGTAATTGTAGAAATCAGTGGGTAGAAATATGCTCTTAATATGAGTTTGGTTATTTCCAAATATGATGAGAGGAAAAGTATTTGCTTTGTTGTTACATCTAAAATGTTAATTATCTAAGCCACTTTTGAAATTATTTTATTTTCCATCTAAAATTACCAGCAATTGGGTTTGTGAGTTAATTCTTATCATGGTAGACTTACAAAAGAGAGCAGAGATGCCATGTTTATTCAAAAAAAAAAGTATTTTCATCTTGAAACTGTCAAATTGTTCGAACATTCTAGCAAACAAAGAAAATATATTGAATGAAAAAAATAAAATAGGCATCGGAAAGAAAAATATTTATCAGCCGAAATATGTACTAATCAAGTAAACAGAGCCGAAAATAAAATGTTAGTTTGACCGAAACATTATATAATTTTTTCTCCCTGGATTTTCCTTTTTTCCATCTATTATTTGTTAAACACTTAGTACTATAATATGAAATGGGATATGCAATTGTAAAGAAAAAATCATACGATTATAACAAATTTCCTAAGAACTTCTTAAAAGAAAATAATTGAATTGTATTAATTCCTTGCATTCTATTTACTAAAGATCTAGAAAAGTGTAATATATATACATGTATATTTACTATCCTTTATCAAGTAGTCTTGAGGTACTATTTATTTATTTTCGAATTTAAATTGTCCACTATCTGCAGAATCAAAATCAAAGGCTATTTCATTAAAAGAAATCACTCAATAAAAGCAAACTAACTAATTAACTAAGTTATAATCATGAGCTTTATTAAGCAAGTTCCTTTTGGTCGTACAGGTATCAAAGTTTCACCAATTATTGTTGGATGTATGTCCTATGGTTCAAAAAAATATCTTCCATGGTGTCTTGAAGATGAAGATAAGATTTTTGAAATTTTAAAATATTGTTATGATCATGGTATTAGGACATTTGATACAGCCAATTGTTATTCTAACGGTAAAAGTGAAAGAATTTTAGGTAAATTTTTAAGGAAATATAATATTAAAAGGGAAACTGTGGTAATAATGACAAAAGTGTTTTTCCCTGTAGATGAAAATCTCGAACCTTTTAACCTTATTGATGATATATCTGATACACTTGTCGGGGTACAAGTGGCAAATCAAAGAGGGTTATCAAGAAAACATATTTTTGACAGTGTCAAGGCTTCAATGGAAAGATTGGGTACATACATAGATGTCCTTCAAATCCATAGACTGGACCACGACACACCATACAGAGATATTATGAAAGCTCTGAATGATGTTGTTGAGGCAGGATATACACGTTACATTGGTGCATCGACCATGAGAGCTACTGAATTTGTTGAGTTACAAATGTTAGCCGATAAATATAACTGGTTCCAATTTGCTAATTTACAGACAGCTTATAATTTGTTATACAGAGAAGATGAAAGAGAATTTGTTCCTTTTGTCAAAAAGCATGGTATTGCAATGACACCATGGTCTCCTAATGCTAGAGGTTTATTAACTAGGCCTGTTAAAGAGATTATAACAGATAGATACAAGTTAGATAAAAAGATTTTTCCTGTTGATGAAGTCAATATAGAGATTATTAAAAGAGTCGAAGAAGTAGCTAAAAAACATGATGCTTCCATGGCAATGGTTTCACTATCCTGGCTTTTAGGAAAAGGATGCTATCCCATTGTAGGTTTAAATTCTATTGAAAGAGTAAGGGAAGCTATTAAAGCTACTAATTTACAATTAACAGAAGAAGAAGTTAAATATTTGGAAGAACCATATCGTCCAAGAAATATTTTCTTTTTCTAATGTTTAATGATTTTTTTTCTACTTTTTGAATTAACGTTTACAATGTTATTACTTTTTATCTTGTATTTTGTTTATATTTTTAAATAAATATTATAGCATACATATGTTTATGTAATTGAAGTAAATTTTTTTTCTCCACTGAAATATATACTGAATATGAAAATAAAGAGAAAAAGGCTAATTTTTAAGTAACTGATCAGCAAAAAAAACATTTTTACTAACAATATTATTTAAACAAGTTTAAAACATTATGTAAAAATTTTTGGAATGGATAAATTTATGATTGGATTAAACTATTTTGCTTAGCGTCTCTGAATTCATAGATACTTTATTAAAATTAGAAGCAAGAAAAAATTATTTTTAAGAAATTAACTTGATTCAATTTTTATTTATCTTTTATGGTTCTATTTGTAAAGGTAATCTCGTGTAATATACTAAAATAGTGGTATTAATTTTATATATAAATGTCGAGAATTAGTGGCCATATTAATTTGTTATGTTGTTTACATTCTTAATTATTATTAGTTCATCTTTATAGGGTACAAATTTATATTAAGGTTTTTTAATTTTTTTCTGTAGGTACATAACGGAGAGGATAATATATAAAATAATGGCAAAGAATAAAGACATAATATAAAAAAAATACGGACATTATATATCTTAATGTTTGAAATTTCTCTTCTACGGGTAATAAAAGTTTTTCAATTTGTTTTGTTTATATTTAATGATAAATAAACAACACATAGGTGGCACTTTGGTATATATTTGTACTTCATAAAATATAATTGGTTTTTCTGTTTTATATCTGATTTCTAAGACTATAAAAATTACATATATTATTTTATAATCTGGTCAATTCTTTAGAGAACTTCTTTGTCAATACAAGCAATAAAGAAAGTTGTAAATACTATTGCTTTTAAAGATATTTCTATTTGTAACTTTTAAAGAAAATTAACTTGCTTGTCGAAGAAAAATCTTCTTTATATTAAATATTTGGTTGGTTGGTATGGCTCTTCTAGGTATTTAATATCATTTTCGGTTAATTGGATTTTGGTTGCTTTAATAGCATCTTCAACCCTACTTACAGAATTCATCCCTACAATTGGACAGAATTTTTTACTTAAAACCCAAGCAGTTGAAATAGTAGCCATTGATACATTATATTTTTTAGAAAGTTCCTCCACTCTACTAATAATTGTTTTGTTTGCATCGCTCATAGGTAAGAAAGACATTCCAAAAGATCCCCTTTCAGTTTGTGTTTGTTGTGAAACTGGTCTTGTTAGTTGACCATGTGCATTGGGTGACCATGGAGTCATAGCTAAACTGTGTCTTTTTGCATATGGAATTAAGTCTCTTTCATCTTCTCTATATAATAAGTTATATTGCGTTTGTAAATTGACAAATTGAAACCAATTATATTTATCAGCAATCATTTGCAATTCCACAAATTCAGTTGCGCGCATAGTGGATGCACCAATATATCTTGCATAACCTTGTTCAACAACCCAATTCAAAGTTTTCATGATTTCTTTCATTGGTGTGTCGTGATCCAATCTATGAATTTGTAAGACATCTATGTAAGTGCCTAATCTTTCTATAGAGTTTTTCACACCAGCAATAATATGTTTACGAGATAAGCCTTGTTGATTTGCTAATTGAATTCCTTCTTTAGTATCTAGGCTTGGAAACCAATCACCTGGTATGATTTTCATATCTTCATCTACTGAAAAATGAATTTTTGTCATAATAACGACAGTCTCTCTTTTAATGTTATATTTTTTCAAGAACTTGCCTAATAATCTTTCACTTTTACCATTAGAGTAAACATCTGCTGTATCAAACGTTCTAAGACCATGATCATAGGCATATTTCAAAATTTCAAATACTTTTTCTTCATCCTCCAGTATCCAAGGCTGCCATTTAGGGTCACCAAAGGACATGCAACCTATAATTATTGGAGAAATTTTGATACCAGTTTTTCCAAAGCGAACTTGTTTAACTAAAGTCATTTTGAAATATGTATATGTTATTGTATGTGTTTTGTAATACTGTTTGATTTTATTTAGTGATAAGCAATAAAAAGGCTAAAAATTTTAAAAACGAATTTACAAAAATGAAGTTGATTTGAAAAATATTATTTGACTTATCTATTTTTGTATATAGTTCTGATATTTATATTTGTTGTAATAATCTATTGTACATGCTCGATTAAGATGCAAGATTAAAGAAACATTAGTTTTACTCCTTAGAAATTCGGCCGAATATTGCAGCTATTTCGCCCGAAACTTTATTATACAACTAATATATTTACATAGGGTAAATTTCGGCCGAATTTTTTTTGTATGTGATATGAAAAGATGTCAATGCGCATTCATTCGTGAGGTTAAGAAGCAAACATTTAGAGGCAAAACTGAGCTTATACAAATAATAATAATATAATTTTTCAATGTTCGCTTCTTGCAAAACTTTCTTTGGTCAAAAAAAGAAAAAAGCTGTTTCAATTACTTGAATTTTCACAGTTCAGACTTTCGATTTACATAGTAATACAGAGAAAAGTTAAACGATTTTCTATCATTGGTTACACATTGAAGACTATTAAAGGGAATATTTGAAAAATTGGAGAATTTCTGTATACTTAAAATTAATGTAATAAGTTTGCAGAAAGTTAGAATTTTTAGTAAACATTTAGTTTGATTTGAAATCATCCCTTCTTCATTATTAAAAGAAAATTAATATTAAATTATTGCAAAATTTAATTTTTATATAAAAGAAAAAACAAGCAAACAATAATTGTTGGTTATTTTATTCACTTTCATCTCTTTTATTGACTACTATGAAAATAGATGTTGTTCACTTAAATATTAGTTGATTTATGACTTGCTAAACAATTTTAAAAGGGACATTGTGCTGTGTGTATGTGAATAATAAAAAAGGTGTTTTCTCATATTTACTTTTTCTGCATATTATTATTTCTATATTGTGTATAAAAAAGAATAAGGAAAAACTTTACCTTAAAGAAGCTTTAATGAAAAAAAACTATCACCTTTTACAACGTTTCTCTGAAGAAAATGTTTTAACAAACATCACATATCTTCTTAATTCTTAAGAAGATAAAAAAAAAGGTACGATCACCGAGATATGAAAAACTTGACCATATTTTGAGTATTGTACACAGATTTATGGACTCATATCAAAATATGCCGTTACATTTAATATATTAAACACAATTTTACATACTCGAAGACACACATGGAAAATTACAGCAGAAGATAAGCAACAATACACTTGTTTATGACATTATGACTACTATTCCATTATTGATTTAAGAAAAAATTTGAATATTCAAATATTAAACCAATTGACAGCAAACCACTTTTGGTTATGTAATAATTAGTAACAAGTTTACCAAATAGTTCTAAAGAAACTGATACTTTTAGCGATGAACCTTGGACTATATTAAGAATAGCCAATATTGAAAAGTTGGATAATAGTAGTCATGAATCTAGTGAAGTTAGTATGAATAATGATCTATTAGATAAGACTTTAAAGAACTCAAATTATCTAGGTTCGATTTTACCGAAAAATGTATATATTTGCAACAAGTTTTTTCAATTATTCCAAAAAAATAAAAAAGAAAAAAAAAAAGAGTCATTTGTCAAATCTATTCAACCATATTGAAGAATTATTAACAGGGAGTAAAGATATGGAGGCATAAAACAATGGATACATGCAATACAAATATATCACATCCTAGATTAGAGACTAGCTATTTTAATTAGATTTGGAATCTGGAATAAAATGAGAGAAAAGCTAAAAACACGCAATTACGAGACTACATGAAAAGTAAATTGTATTAGTCCATATGTTCGGTAACTGTTGTTATGGAACCTATTATAGATATGTTTATATATCTGTTGCAGTGTAATAGGGAAAAGCTTTGCTTGTTTAATTATGCCGGATTTTGAAAAATTTCGGTAATTGTTGAATTATATATATCTTCTTACGAACTTACTGTTTTTGCTGCATGCAACAATAGGTTTCATAGTAAAAATTTTTCATTGCAAAAAAATACATGGAATCTTTCTTTATTATTATTATTAATATTATTTTTTTGATGAACCATGGTTAGATATTCCTATATTCAATCACGTAGTACTAGGTTTACGTTTAAATATAAGTTTCTAGTAGGAATATCGCATGCTTATCATACTTAAACTAAAGGAAAAAGAAAATAATTTCATAGTCGAAAAAGCCATCCGTATTTTATGATCATATGGTCAATTTTTTGGTAGGGACCAGGACTTATAGATAACAATAGCAAATACAGACACACACCTTCCAGTATTTAGATACGCCTAACATAAATTTGTTTTACCAAATGGTGGTTCGAAGAAAATTCTAGACTCTTCTCAAAATGAGAAAGAAAAAAATAAACACGGAGATTAATCCTTTGTTTTCGGAAACAATACAAGCTTATGCAAGAAATATCGGCAAACAAAATGTTAACAAAAAAAAATTCAAGATTATCCACCTTCCTAAAATTATTCTATCGGTATTATATTCTTGAGAAAACTATAGTGAGGAATTTCTTTTTTTATTTTTTCGAAGTCATTTGATGTGTACTAAATAGGAAACGGGACTTTTCCTAGAAAGTCGCACCAGGTCACAGGCTCTTTTTATTTTATTTTTTTTTCTTGGGGAAAATGCCTCTAGAGGATACTTTTAGGTTTCTTGAGGTTAAATCTTTAGGGTAGAAATCCCATATTAAGTATGTTAGCAATAACAGCATACTTTGTACTTTAGGTTGTGATAATATTATAGAGAGTATTCAAACCAAAAATATAAAAGAATAATTTTTTTTGTATGGTTAAAATTAGCATTTCAATTTGTTAAATGTTGTATTTAATTATGTATTTCCTATTCCTCACCGATATATTATATTGTAAGTCTTTAAATCTATTAAACCGTTATTTTTTTTTGTTTGTATTTTCTAATGAGGTTTAACTATTATTTAAGATTATTTAAATGAAAAATTTTGGAAGATCCTTATAGGTGAAGCAAGTGAAAGAAAAGAAAATAACAAAAAAAAAAGAATAGAATTTGGTCATCATCCACGTCTTACCCCTTTTTATTCTTTTTTTTTTGTTTGTTCATTTTTCTAAATATAACTCTTGTGAATTTAACGTTCGGGAAAAATTGGAAAAAGCTAACAATTTGTTTTCTGGGCCTCAACCCAAATAAAATAGCAATATTATAATAGTTTTTTCAAAACAATATATGCAAAGAAATAGACTATTGTTCATAGTTTTTGCGCTGAGAGTAGGGATGTTGTGAAAAAAATCCACCCTCTCTTATCTTATATTTGGTAAAAAAAATGCTTGCCCTTCTTAAAATATGTAAAAAGAAAAAAATTCAGTTTTAAAGACCAAGGCAGGCATGTAAATACAGAACTTCATTACATGCACACACATAATATATATATATATATATATTTATCTGTTTGTTTGCCTTTTTTTCATTAACATTTCTTCTTTCTTATGATTTTAAATTGATAAGTGATAGTTTTGTTCTCTGCTTTTCCTTTTATCGTGGTACTGGATGAAAGTTCCTTGAAAATATATTATTTTCTTCGTCATTCTTGTAATTAATTTTGTTATTGTTGGTTGTAATCATAGTGGTATAGTTGTTTTTTGCTGTTGTATATTCATCTTTTATTTTCAATCGATGTTCTTAATGGAATATCTACTTGTTACAAACTAACACTCATAAGTATTGGGCAAGTTGGATACATTTTCACTTATAATCTACCATCCTTATCTTAATATATTAGTATATATAATTAAAATAAAATTTCTTTTTTTGCTTCTTTATATAAATTGTAGAAATGATAATATACAGAAAAAAATTAAGTTAAAATAAAAAAAATTATATATATATATATATATATATATTCGGATATTAAGTCAGTTTTCACTAGATATGGTAGAAAATTAATCAAATAATTCTCCATAATCTAACTGTCTGGTATCGGTTTAGATCTCATTATTCTATCTTTATCTTATTGTTTAATACTCCATTTTAGCAATTTCGATAGAAAAAGAATTATTTCTTGTATACGAAAGACAACTAATTCAAGACATGTAATTAAATAGTTAAGTATATAAGTCTGCAGGTTTTATTTTTACTTTTTTAATTACTCTTAGACATAACATATAGATAAAAAAACAAACACATATTTAGTATTCTATCCATTATTATTAGCAATAGTAATCGTAACTCTTCAAGTGAGATACATTTCTCCTAACCTCACATTTTATTAGTTTCCACGTGACATAAATAAAAAAACATTAAATGCTTTGTATTTATAAGATAATCAAGAGAAAAAACAAAAGGAAAAACTCCTGATCTTTTTGTAGAACCCTATTTTAATTTTCTCCAAAAGGCGAGCGTTTACCAAAATTTCCCCCAAGGGATTCCGCAGACCTACAAAAAAAGAAAAACAATGCAATATGCAGATCTTTTACGTCACCCAAATATTTGGTTTAGAATGGACAAAACGTATATGCACAACTCATACTTGCATTTTTATTTCCCGAATCAGAACCTGCATCTAGCTGATTACTCAAAATTTATTTTGATCGTATTATTGATGATTGCTTGTCACATTTACTTATGGTATTTATATATATATATATGACTGTATGTCTCTCTCCCTATAGGTTTCATTTATAAAACTGGTGTTTATATCTTTGATTCTTTGATCCTCGATCTTTAATAAGTATTGTAAATAAATTTCTTAATTCCGTTTGTTCCTGTTTAGTATCTTTTTTCTCGAGAACTCAACGAAAAAATATTCGACAAAAAAAAAATAAGCACGCACATACACACCCAAAATTAAATACCATAAAAATAAAGTAAAATAAAGTAAAATTAGCTATTACTTATTTGCTACCATTAAAATGCAGACGTTAATTTTATGGTCGTTATTAGGACTACTTGTGACCAAAATAACTACTGCTACTACAACTATTTCAGCACCTACAACCTTGTCAGGTGATCAAACGTTTTCCGATGACATCGTAATTGAATCAGGTGCTACTCTTGCATTAGTGTCTGGTTCTTCATATTCTTTCAATGGCAATATTGACGAAAGGTTCTTTAGACATTATTGGTGATTCAACAAATGGGTTAACTAGTCTACAATTTAGTTCTACTACAACAATCACAAACAGTGGTAACATTAACATCGAAAATATTAAATCAGCAGGTTCTGCTAGTGATTTTGTTATTGCACCTGCAAATATTGACAACCCCGGTACATTCACTGTTTCACAATTAAATGCTGCTGCTACTATACCAGGCACCAATTTTACTTTAGCTCCAACTGGTTCCTTCATTAATACAGGCACTATTGACTATGATATAGCTGATAAAGGTGGTACCACAAATGGATTCCTTTATCTTGGTGCTATTACCAATAATGGTGTTATTAAGTCTGGTGGATTTTCTTCATTAACAGCTGATGGATTTTATGGCACTCCTAGTAGATACAATATAAGAGGTATCATTTTCAATAACGCTCTCGAAGGTCAAGGTAAAGTTATTGATAATACGGGAGCTATGATCCTCCTTAATATGAACACTCTTGGAAAACAGACTTTCAATATCAATCAAGCTTTATATTTGATTAATCCAAAAGTTGTGCCGGAATCACTTAAAATTGAGAATTATGTCGAGTCATCGTTTGTTTTCTTAGGTGTAGATTTTAACACGTGGAATGCAAACAATCTTGGCAGACTGGAAAATGAGCCACAACTTAATTTTGGGATAGATGGGCATCGTTACTGGTTGAACATGACTTGGCCAGGTGGTTGGGATACGCAACAGGGCGGTTTTTATGTTGTTCCAAATTTTCCTGAGTATCACATTGATGGTACCCTTGTATACATAGTTAGTCAAAACGAAGATTGGTGTCCATGGTTATTTACACCAATCACAAAGACAACAACAATTACTACTATGGATTCTATTACCGAAGCTACCACTATTTTAACTGTATACACATCTACAACTAATCAATATTCATATACTGTATCCGAAATCATCTATCAAGTTACTGTTCCTCCATTATCTACTACCTACAGTACTCTCACTACATCGATTTCTTCTCCTATAACATCGACGTATACCACAACTATTACTAATGCAGCTGGTTCTACCACTGAAGAAGTTGTAGTTATCGTTCAAACACCTCCATTATCTACAGCCTACACTACTACTATTAGCGATGTCACAACCCTAACAACTTCCACCTACACCACCACAGTCACTGATAGCAATGGATCTTCCCATGCTGAGGTTGTTGTGGTAGTGATTACCCCGTCCCCATCCACCTTGCTTACTACTACTACTGCTGATGTTACAGCCTTAACCACATCTACCTTCACAACTGTAGTTGCCAACAGCAACGGTTCATCTTCTACTGAAGTTGTTGTTGTTGTGATCACCCCAGCTCCATCTACCTTATCTACCACCACCACTGGTGCAGTCAGTGTCCCAACTACTTCTACTTTCACAACTGTAGTCACCAACAGCGACGGCTCTTCCTCTGCAGAGGTTGTTGTTATTGTGATCACTCCTGCCCCATCCACCATGTTTACTACTACCGCTGGTGATGTCTCTACCTTAACTACATCTACCTTCACCACCGCAGTCACCGATAGTAATGGTTCTTCCTCTACTGAAGTTGTTGTAGTTATCATTACTCCACACCCATCTGGTTCTATCATCTCAACTACCACTACTGGTGATGTCACAGCCCTAACCACATCTACCTACACGACTTTTGTCACTGACAGCGACGGCTCTTCCTCTACAGAAGTTGTTGTTGTTGTGATCACTCCACATCTATCTGTGTTATTCACTACTACTACTGGTGATGTCACAGCCCCAACCACATCTACCTACATGACTGTTGTCACTAATAGTAATGGTTTTTCTTCTACTGGGGTAGTTGTTGTTGTGATCACTCCATTACCAGTCAGCAGCTTTATCAGATCCTCAATTTCTATATCTTCTCCACTATATGAAAATTCCACTATTTCTGGTGAAAAGACTGAATCTACTGTGACTGGCACTCTAGTTGTTTTGACTACAGTTGTTAATGGAGTTACTATGACTACAACTTATTCTCCAGAACCATCCGCAACTTCCAAAATAAATATGATTACTATCATTGGACATAGTTCTATTGAATCAGTTTATTCGAAAAACCAACAAGAAGAGACCAACTCATCTTCTGTTGTTTCCAATGCAACTCCAGTTGTTTCTATTGTTTCCACCACCACTGGTTCAGCATTTACTAACAACGAAAATTACTAAATATCTAGAAACTTTAGAGGATCTAGCACCGCAGTAGGTAATGTCGAATCTAGAAATCCAGAAACTTCACTACCTACAATGGTGTCACAAGTTTCGCAATATGTTTCTGAACAACCATCCTCATTGCCAACTGCTATTGCAGTACCTTATGAAGGTGCACCTTCTGTAGTATCATATGAAGGTAAGGGTAGTACTATGTACATGGAATGGAGTGTTGTCCATTTCATTGGTTTATTATTATTTATGATTATTTAACTTGTATGCATATAAACAATTTTGAAATAAAGAATTCTAATTAATTAAATATCTAAATAATTCTATATAAGCGTATATAATATTCTAATTTTTTTCATAGTATGTATTTTCACTATTTATTTAATCGTTTTCTAAACAATTTATACATTGGAGGTGGGTATGATTATACCTGCTAAATTATCAATGCTATTTCTTACATTCAATTGTTTTACGCTATGAAATACAAATAAATACTTTAATAGATCACATATCTGTTTTGTTAGTAGACATGCAATTTTTACTACATTATTGACCAATTAGATCTTTTGTTTTCCTAAGTGTATTCTTATCCTACTCTGACATATCACTACTTTAGATGAAAGATGATAAGTATTCCAATTTAGTGTTGGAATCTTGAGTAGCCTTAAATTAATAGAATCATATTTAGAAAAGGAAAAATCCAACAGTAAGGGTCTCACAGAGGTACTTTAAACTTAATCAATTTATTTGATTTAATGTGTTTATTATTATAAGTCGTGTTGTTGTAAGGTGAAATTCTCAATAACCTTAATAAGTTATTCTGATTTAGGCTTAAATAAAAGGCTAAAAAAATATTTCTCAAACTTTAACTATAAATAAACAAATAATCTTACTTAAATAAGTCATTGTCGTGTATTTTTAAAGCTAATTGAACATGGTTCAAAATTTTGAAAAATATTAAACTTTTGTAATTAATGGAAAATATAACTGTAAAGATCTGATTTTAACCAAATTAAATAAGGATAATAAACCTTTTAACATATACACCAAAAACTATTACAATGCTTCCTTTACCTGTGGTTATATCCAAGAAGTTAATTGAATGAGTAAGATAGAAATGTAAGAACAGAGTATCATAACACTTTTTCTTTTCACATTCCTTAGTTGTTTCCTTTCTTTCCGTTACATGTACATATACATAGATATGAAAAAATAATATTAATATAGATACACATATAGAACTACACTTATTAGGTATGACTATAGTTTCCTTAGTTAAATAACTATATATGTGTATACATATATTTGTATTAATATGCTTACTTTAATAGCTTTTCCGTTAACTAACCCTTTCACATCTCCTTCTTTTTTTCACTGTAATATGTTCTTCAGTTCTAAATCTAATAATATATTCAGCAATTATTATATTTACTGCTGAAATCGAACGTCCTAGAATAAATAAATAGACCAATTAGATTTTAGTAAACATTAATTGGTAAGCAAAAAGTGGAGAATGTATTATTTGCTTATCAGTAGATGTAAACAAAACATATCAACAAATTAGTGACGTACGTAGATGAGCTAGACCAGATACGAAAATATATAAAGCCAACATTTTTTTTATATCATGTTTCTTCCTTTGCTCATCTTTTATACATCAACCTTGTATACTATATACAAATAAAAGAACCGAAGAACCTTATTATAACTTTATATACTATATCTCTCTAAATATTAATATTGAGATTGTTTACTATATATCAAATCACCTCAGACGCTCATTCTTATCAGTTTGATGTTGAGATGTTGTGTCAATGTCTTTCATCATAAGAATTGTTTGTTTCTGTTTTGAATATTTTTAAGATTTTTTCAAATATTTTATTTTGTGTCTGTTTCATTTCTATCATTCGTCTAAGACACAGTAATTTCAAGACGATTTTTCAATTGATAAAAGTTGTCGCAGATACAAGAATGAATTATTTCATTTAGCCAATACTGAGACAGGTTATTTCAATAATCAAATAACTGGATAGATAATCCAGTTTTTTTTAAACAGGTACCAATCAATAAAAGACAAGATAACCATTTTTTATAAATCAATGAACGAAAATGAAGCTAATTAATAAATTGTTACCATTCGTAGAAAAGAATTAATAAATTTTAAAATATAGAAAGCCAAATAGTTTTTTTTCAGATCATATTTTTTGTTAATGGTGAATTTGACACTGTTCGGCTTTGAAATGTTAGGAGAAAGGATATGGTACAATGATACTCTATTTTGAAAATTACTATTTTAATAACAGACATTCCTTGATACTTCTGAATATATACTGTATTCAAAAAACAAACTGTCAATGTCATTATCTGATATATATAACTGACTGATGGAGTATATAACTATCATATCCCACTTACTTGAAAATCAATTTAAAAAAGATGTTTCTCAAAAAGAGGCATACAATCAGTATAAAATTTTATAATAATGAAACTGCACTTCCTATTTACATTCACATAAAGGCATTAACATAAAAACTCACATAACATCAAGAAATAATATCGAAAAACATAAATTATCATAAAATTCTTATGCATATCTTGTACTAAAGCCAAATTATCACAATAACTATTACTAATCTACGTCACATCATTTTGTTTCAGTCTCGCCTCCTTTTCCTCCAAAACAAGCAATTTCAACTGATGAATTTTATGCTTATTTATATGCATATCAAATTTCTCTTGAGTCTTAAACGTTCTCTGACATCCCTGAAATGTGCATTTGAATTTCCTACCCACTGTATTCAATAGTAATTTGATCCCTGAATTGTTTTTCTGTTTCAAATAATTCTCTAAATTAATTTGATTTTGAATATTATTCGGTTCATAATCTAAATTAGGAATTGATTTATGTACAGGTCTCTTATTTTGTCCAATCTCATCAGTTTCTGGTTCCTTATTGGTGAAACTAAAGGGTATATCGGAATGTTCCGACCTATAATGTTCAATTAAATCGACTTTTTTAATGAAATTAATTTTACACAAAGGACATGACCAATTTTTCCTCATAATAATAGAATCATCATGAATTTTCATATGCATCTTCAAACCGTCCTCACCAACAAGATGTCTATTACATATAGGACATTCCAATTTAGGATGATCATTTTTAATATGACATTGCAAAGCGGTCCATGTTTTAAAAGATTGAGAACATGATGAGAAATTACAAGAATACGGATTTAAATTGTTTGGATTATGATGTTTTTCCATGTGATGTCTTAACCTGTACGGTCTTTGGAAGCTTTTTTCACAAATGTTACATTTCAATTGGTTCAGGTGGAACGATAGAATGTGTGATCTTAGTTGTGGATGTTTATAAAAGGCTTCTATACAACCTTCATAGGGACACTTGAAGGATTTAGTGTGAGTTACTTCGTGCCTCTTCAGCTGTTGTCTGGTAGCACACCCCTTTGAACAAACAGAGCAATGGAAGGGTTTATCTTTGTCATTCAAATGGGAGATAAGATGTCTCTCCAAATGGGATTTTCTTGTAAAATTTTTATCACATTGATTGCAGGGAAAGGGACGCAATCCCTGATGTGCAGTCTGTTGATGATGAGTTAACAACGAAGGTCTTGTAAAGCTTTTATCACAACCATCATAGTCACAAAAATATTTTTTCAATCTAGAAGAAGATGTCGAAGTAGTGCTTGTAACACTTTCAGTATCACTAAAAAGATCACGAGTCGATGTGCTATTTAAAGTCAGCGACAAAGGTGTGGTGGATTGTATATTGATATTTTCTGAATTAGAAACGTGCTTCAATGTTTCTAGTGTAGGAAAAGTAGTTGTATCTTCTACATCGTTAGAAATTGCTGTGTTTTCAGAACCCATTGAAATCTGATAAACTGGATGCTGAATATAACATGCATATATATACACATAAACCAAAGAGAAATGTTTTAAAATGAAAGGAGAGGTCAGGTTAAGTCTCTCTAGAATATCATCTTTGTCTAATAAGTAATACAAGCAGAACTAAAAAAGAAATGAGATACTGTCTGTCTGATCATTAGCTGCTTGTATAGCACCATCCATCTACTACCAACGAATTGCTCCATTGCTTACAAAGGCCTTCTCTTTCTCTTCTTCTCAAATTGCAAATTAGAAATTTTTTCAAAATTCAGATAAGAAAACCGAGCAGTAATTTTTTTTTTTATTTTCTTTTTATTTTATCTTTTTCTACTTTCTAAGTTTCTTCAATTTAGGGTTTGCCACAAAAATTAAAAACAGAAGCACTTTTTTTAAAAACTTATGGCTGTTTATCCAACTGTATAGTGGAAAAAAGCATAGAGGAGAAGTTAGGGTATCTGTGATATTTTTTAATATTACAAGCCACAATACTTAGGGTTAAGCAAAAAAGACTACATACATCTGAGTAAAGTTTCTGTTATTTGAATTTCTGTCACTTTAGAGAGGGAATTCTCCAGAGATTGTTACGTTGTCCAATGTTAATTGAGTGTTATATTGAATTTCCTTTGGTAATGACAACTTCTTTTGATTATCTTCCAAATCTGGTTACATTGGAATAAATCTTTCAAATCAAAATTGCACAACAAACGAACAAAGAAAAAAAAAATACACAGAAAGACAACACCAATATGAGTAATGTTTCAAGATTGAGACGCAGATAGAGATGACTTATACATATTTTATTTTTGTTCTATTTTATTTTATTTATTTTTTTCTGGAATAAATACACTTATTACTAGATTATAGAAACAAAAAAAACGAAAAATATATTAATATTTACCTGAATGGTTGATAACCTAAAGTCTGATAGATTCTAGTTAGAGGAAATAATAGACTGACTTACTGACTGACTTTTCCTTGGGATCTCATCAAAACTAATATATATGCTTGGATTGAGTTTGCGTCATGTGTCTTTGAAGCATCTCTCGTTTATAATGATAAACTACCCCAATAGACAAAACATCGAAAAAAGTAGAAAAATCTGAAATAAAAAAAAAAATTATTAATATGAAAAATTTTTGATATACCAAAAGGTTACAGTAAATACAATACATATAATGTGTTATTACCAAGATTGTAATAGTTGTGGAGTACATAGAGATACATCTGGATAATTTTCTCACCTTCTTTTCATTGACCAACACAATATTTTTTCTTTTCCTTTTCCTTTACCTTTTTCCTTTCCCTCTCCCCTCCTCTCCCAATAACAATTTATAAATAGCAATCATATCAATAATATTCTCATGATGTCTGATTACGAAGAAGCTTTCAATGACAATGGTATGGAACATTTCGAAGATTTCGATCAAGAACATTTCTCAGATGATGATGAACATATGATAGTGGATCAAAACAACGATTACAACAACAAAGAGAGTCAGAATGGTTTAAAGACAGAAGATGGGAAGACTGTGGTTATTGGTGGCGACGGATCCCAACCAGATGAACAAGAGACTTATAGAAGAAAAACTTTAAAGGAAAAAGCCATACCAAGAGACCAAAGAACTACCACTCCATATATGACCAAGTATGAAAGGGCCAGAATTCTTGGTACAAGAGCTTTGCAAATATCAATGAATGCCCCTGTGTTTGTGGATTTAGAAGGTGAGACTGATCCATTGAAGATTGCGATGAAGGAATTAGCTGAAAAGAAGATTCCTTTGGTTATTAGAAGATACTTACCCGATGGTTCCTTTGAAGATTGGACCGTTGAAGAATTAATTGTTGATTTATAAACTTAAATGTTCTTTTACCAACTACAGATACACATACAAATACACCCATATACAGCTTAGATTCAAATAATAACAATAATAATTATAATAATGCAATATATATACATATATACATATATATAAGAACCACCTAAATACCGATGTTGTAACATATCACCAAACATAATTTTTACAGTTTCATTTCTCTGAAATAGTATCTAGAAATTGTTTTCCATTGAAAACACCCTTTCTTATAAACGTTTGAAATATTTTATCGAATTCATGAATATCTTCTATTCCATTCTGTTCAATTAACTTAATCAAATCACCCTCCTGTATTTCATATTTTGCATTTGTTTTTTCATTGGATTCAATTGTTGAAGTAGAAGATAGTTGCAATAATGATTGTTCTAATTCTTTCTCATCGAATTCTCCACTCTGCTGACTCATCACATTCAAAAACTCTGCAAACGTTATTGCCTCTTTACCACTTAACATTTTGTTTAATACAGGGTCATTGCTCTCTATTATTTTGCCAACACTTTGTAAAGATTTTATTAAATCACTTTCATTTATCATCCCATCCCCATCGTCATCAAACATCTGAAATGCATCCCTTAAACGGGATATATATTCTTGATTCAACTGGTTAAAAGTTATTGATTGACTGTGTTCCATCCTTACTAAGAAATTCTCAATTTTATTGTGTCCTCTTTGCTTCTCACGCTGATTACTTCCTTATCCATTCTTTTGCGTAAGTTAACTTAAAACCTGTTTCTAGGATGTGTGGTGCCTTTATTTTTTTTTTGTCGATTAAAGATTTTATGTTTTTTTTTCTATTTTTTCTATTTTCTCTTTATTTCTGGTAAGATTTTCACTCCTTGGCCTATCTTTATTTTTTTTGTAAATATTTAACTTATGTCACTTTTAATATCCTGACATTTGACAACACATCTGTCTGTAAATGTTCATATATAGTTCAAAGAGAGAGAGAAAGAGAGAGAAACTTTTCCATAAATCAGTTTCTATCACATTTATTCACTCAATAAAGGACAACTATTTAGGTTAAATATAGGGTGTCAACTGGCAGTAATGTCCCAAAGTGAGCTTAAACAGTTATTAAAAGAGGCAAAACAAGAATTATCCAATGGTTACTATGAAGATGCTATCGAAATAGCTTCGAAAGTGCTCAATATAGATAATGAAAACTATTTTGCACTGATCTTCATTGGTAAGTCATATGATTCTTTAATAGATTCCAAACAAGTTAAAGATGTTGAAACCAATTATGAAAGGGCATTAAAATATTACATCAAGGCTACCACTGTTCAACCTGACAATCTTTTGGCATGGAAGGGCCTTTTCCAAATATTATTAAATCAAGATAAATTAAAACATGTGGTGCCCAATTTATTGAAATTTGACGAACTTTTTACTCTTTGTGATCAATACATGGATTGTTTAATGAATAATGAGCAACCTCAGATTGATGTAATAGATTTCTTACGGTTAATTAAAAGAACAAATCAGGAAGATATAAAATTTTTATTAAACTTTTACAATCATTACATTCCAGGCCAAAAACCATACGAAATCCTAGGTCATCACTTAATGTCACCATTAGATATAATGCTACAATTGGTTAAGTTGACTAAAATAAGTGAAGATAAAGTTGTATCTTCTAAAATTAGTAATGAAAGACTAAAACTAAAAAATAATGATCCTATGTACCAACAAAAGATAAACCAAGTTGCATGGAGTATTTATGCAAACTCAAAACTGTCGGATTATTATAATCAATTAATTAACCTGATTGATGATGATATAGAAAGGCAGAAGTGGGAACAAGAATGGTTAGAATATAGAATCAAAATCTTAAAATCTATAACAAACAATGATGATAAACAAAACTTTTTCCAAGAATTGAAAAACACTGTAGATGATATGATTCTTGTTGGTACAGACTCTTTGCTATGTTGGAAATATTTCTTTGATTGGAGTGATTTTGATACCATTAATTCTATTGAACCAGGTACAATCTTAAAATTCTTTACTAAGTTCCCAAAAGAACCCTTGGCAAGTATACTTTACGTTTGGTTAAATTCCACTTTCTCAGACTATGACTCTAAAAAATTGATTAATGATTTTAATGAAAAGTTATCAAAGGAATCCAAAAATGTATGTTTTGCCACAACATATGTTGCAAATGAAAATAATCAGGATAATGATGAATTGAATGATATGTTAGAATCTGATGAAACTCAAAACAGTAATGACCAAACATTATCAGAAGAAGAAATCTCTATAACTTTGATGGATAACATTACTAAAATTAAAAATAGTACTTTAGCATACCGTATTGTGTCCCAGTATTTTATTTTAAACAAAGAATATGAGGTGGCCTTACCATTCATTAAATCAGGTATTTCTGTGGTATCATTAGCTATGAAAAACTATGGTGCAAACCTAATAAATACCAAAAATGATTTAACATTGGCTCTAGCCACAGGTTATACATATGTTGATGCGCCAAAAAATCATAAATATGCTATATCGTTATATGATAAAGTATTGTCTGAAAATAGTCAAAATATTCATGCTAAATTAGGTAAAGCTATTATTTCTATTGAAAGGAAAAGCTGGCAGGATGCACATTTATTGTTGCTAGATGTTATTAAAGAAGCTCCAGATAATTTAGAAGTTGTGTCACAATTGGCTTGGTGTGAGGCACATTTAAATTATTTTGATAATTCAATAAAATTGCTTAATGAAGTGATTACTAAATGTGAAGGATTTGATACCAGAATGATACAATTTAAGTCAGAGAACTTATGGAGACAAGCTAAAGTTTATTTAATGAAGTTTGATAATAGTGAAGATAAAAAGAATATGGATCTTGTTAAGACTTCTTTCAAGATCTTAGTCGATATTATCAAATATAACCCAGATGGATTTGCTAAAAGTTATTCAACTTTAGGTGATGTTTATGCTAATTATTACAAAGATAGAATAAGAGCTTATAAATGTTATTATAAGGCTTTTGAATTGGATTTCACAGATATTGTAGCTGCTCATTATATTACAGAGATATATACTGAAAATGGAAATTGGAATGTTGCATCCCAAATTGCTGAAAGATTAGTCAAAGCTGAGGCTGTTAAAACCCAATTAAGGACTATTAATTGGCCCTACAGAGTCATTGGTATTGCACATTTAGAGAAACAAGAGGAAAGTGAATCTATTGAGTGGTTCCAATCTGCAATTCGTGTAGATTCTTCTGATGTTGAATCATGGGTTGGATTAGGACAAGCTTACTATGCGAGTGGTAGAATTGATGCTTCTATTAAAGTCTTTGAAAAGGCTATTGAATTAGATCCATTTCATCGGTATGCCAAATATTTCAATGCTGTTTCGCACTCAGCAATGGGTGAGTTTTCAATAGCTATTGAAATCTTACAGGAAATTGTTGAAGCAGAACCAAGCAATGTTGTATTTAAATCTACATTAGCAACCACTTTAGTTCATTATGCTTATGACTTGTATTCCCAAAATTTTTTACAAAAATCTATTTCGGTTTCTACAGAAAGTATCAATTTATTCTATGAACTTATTTCAAAACAAAAATATTCTAGTCAAAATATGTGTATATCTTTATCAAAAGCACTTTTCCTATTTATCTTAGTTGAATCGCAAGCAGACTTACTTCCTTTGGAAAACCTAGTAGAAATATTTCAATCAATCAAATATAACTCAGACAAAGCGTTAGACGCAATTGATAATGTCAGTTTGGACAACTTACTTAATAATGAAACTCCAGATAATGTTCATATCACTTGTATATTTTTGGTATTAATTTCTAAACTGGCGTTAAATATCGACAATTTTGAGCAATTGTCGGGAACTATGAGATCTTCTATTTGGTGCAATATTGGTATATCAGAATTGACTGTCTACACGACATTAAAGGAAGATAAATATAGAGATGCGGCTATTTACGCCTTTAAGAGATCTATTAAATATCAATCAAACACTGTGGAAGCTTGGATAGGTTTAGGTATGTCAACAATGGATATTAACTATCGTGTTGCACAACATTCATTTATCAAAGCTTTGTCCTATGCTCCAAAAGACGTTAGTATTTGGTTTAATCTTGCTATCTTAGGTTTGAAAAATTACGATCTTGATTTTGCTAGTGATGTGATAAGGAAGATACAAAGTTTAGAGCCACAGAATTCTTCTCCATGGTTAGGTATGGCTTTAGTGCTTGAAAAAAGGGGAAATATTAATGAGAGTTCTCAAATGTACGCACATTCGTATAGTTTGTCTAATGGTAGATCAAGACTCACACAATTGCTTTATGCTAAAAGTATTCTTAACAAAAGAATCGGTCAATGTGACGATGAAAAAGATATTGATGCGTTGGAAGAACTTAATACTGTTGCAGCAGGCTTGGAACAATACTTCAAGAAACGTCCAAACGATGCATTTGCATTAGAATGTGCACTAACTGTACTAGAAAGATTATACAATTACAGGTTGGCTAATTCGCTTGCAAACAAATTGACGGAAATATTTGAAAGGAGATTTGATCAAACACAAAATGAAAACGAACTGTTCAATTATGGTATTATTAAGGCCCAATTAGCAAGAATACAATTAGGTTTTGGCGAATATTCTGAAGCAATTGACAATTCTGAATTATCTAATGGTATTTTAGCCGATTTTAAATCAGACAAGAGTCAAATTGCACAACTATCAAATCATATATGTTTAGGTCTTGCCAACTTTTTCCTAGGCAATTTCGATCAAACAGTTGACCATTTTCAGGAGTTATTGAACAATGGTAAGAATATTGCAAGTTTCGTTCTTTTAATTGCTAAAGTTTTATTCGAAGTAGGCATGGAAGACACTCAAACCATTGCAATTCAAGAGCTTGTCCAGTATATTGATGAGAATGGATTTGATTTGCTAGTTACGTTAACCATCACAGTTATTGCAATTTTAGAGAATGACATGAGTAGTATGAATACTATGTTAAAAAAATTAAATACATTGTCTTTAAGAGAATTAGAAACAGATAAGTATAAAGCAGTATCCAAACTGATCAAAGTAATAGCGGATAGATTGGATCCAACAAAGACTCATACTACTCATGTAAATAGAACGGCATTCTTTTTCCCTAATAGCCATGAATCCTGGAGTTGCATAAATAAGAAGATTGAACAAAGATTAATGACCAATGGGCAAAATAAAGTGAATATGGGAGATTTAAGCAATGCTTATTACAAATTAGGTAATTTAAGAAGCATTCAAAGGAGTATATTTTTATGTCCAGGGAATAAAAATGCAGTTTATGCATTAAAGGAATGTTTCTAATAAAATGCAAGCAAAGGATAGATGAGTTATATGATACATAAGAAGTAATATATATATATAAATATTCCTACTGCTGCTACTACTACTACTACTACTACTACTACTACTACTACTACTACTACTACTACTACTACTACTACTAGAATTACGTCTTAAATGTCAATGTATTTATGTATATATATATATTACAACTAATATAATCTATTATATAAAATTGAATACTTCCCATAATGAAAGAATTCTAGATATACGAACATACGCATTCAATTCTCTCTCTTTAATCATTTTCAGTTGGTTTAATTCACTTGGAAGTAAAAGTTCTGCTTCCCTACCTCTAACATCCTCTCTGTTGGCTTTTAACAATAAAGTAGCATTATTTTCCTTTAGTACTTCTTTTTTATGTAGTAGATTGGCTATATTCCATTCTAAATTTTGTCTCATAAAAGCGTATGAATGTTTTTCTTTAAATCTAAACAAAAACACGGCTCTAGCAGCAGATCTATCTACTGTTCTAGGAACTTCTTGGATCTCCAATACATTATATTTTATTAAAGATGAAATTGTAGATCTAATATCTTTTTCTTTCATTAGTGCAGTAGAGGTAATAACTTTTTCTGATACTAATTTGTTGGCTATAATACAACGGCATAATCGCATTGCAGATTGGCCTAAAGTGGAGGCGATCAAATAGTTATAAGTATGTGACCTTAAACATTCCATTAATTTAGTGTATGGGATATGGTAAACCCCTGGCTTTGTTTCTTGTAAGAAAGGGATAGATGACTGTGTTAATAGTCTTAAATGACCATTTACATAGGTAATAGATCTTGGATCATCATCATCATCAATGTCCATGTCCACTGTAGTTGTACTCTCATCTTCATTTTTATTGTCTTGTGCATCTTGATCTTGAATCTTGTCTGCAACGTGTTTTGGTAACGCAGGAATGACAAATCCATCCTCAGTCTTTATTTTTTTTCTAATGTTATCACTATCACTGTTAGGATTCTCACGTTTATTAATTGCTTTATCTCTGTTATGTGTGGAAACTAAACTACCACGCAAGTCTATGTCCTTTGGTAAATGTTTTGAGATGTCCAAAGCACTAAAGGTAAGACCTGGTGTGTTTTCTTCTTGTAAGATCGCTTCTTCACGGAAACTTTCTGCTTCGTCGAGATCTTGTAAAAGCCCTGTCTTGAACATTGGATTCCTTAAGCTTGGAGATTTTTGCTCAATGAGATTCAATGCAGTCTTGTAGATTAAAGCGGTCATGACACCTAATCTAGATTTAGCAAATTTAATTAATTGATTTGATCTTCTTGATTTTAAAAATCTTTCTAAATTAAAAGTCAATGGGATATTCAATTTGACAGTCTTCAAAGAAGTCTTTGGATCAATAATGATGGTTTTTGATAGATCATTGACATTGTTGAGTAATTCAAAAAATTGTAATTTAGCTTTCCCCTTTGCCTCATTCCTCTTTTTCAAATCCGATAATGATGCATTTTTAGAGATTAGTTTGTATTCCTTTTCATAGATCAGATTCCATAGATCATTTAATGGTGTATAATTCAATTTATTGATTGGAATCAAGTAACCATTTTCTATTAATTTAACAAAGGTGTCGATAATTTCATGTTTTGGTGCGTCTGGACTACAACTTGATAAATAATCGCCTAGAGATAGGGAACCAACTGAGATAATATTTTGTACGATAGTGGCAGCAGAGGCCTGTTCATTATTTGAATTTGTTGAATCCTCCTTTGTGTCATCATCAGTAGCTAAAGGTGGGAATTTTTCATTAATTTCATTTAATATTAAACCAGAATATAGTAAGATATGTAGGCCATCCTCGTCATAGGAATAATAAGTCATTTTTTTGCCACCAGGTAGTATATCATCAAAACATTTAATTAAACGCAATTGGATCAAAGACACCAGAATTAATTTAATTTCCTTTATTGTGAAAGAAGGATTTCTATCACGTATTTCTCTGATGGATAATCTACCCAATGCGATCAAGGTGTCCATGATAGTTAAACATTTTGTACCCAAATGCGATCTAATCAATTCAGACCATAGAAATCTTTGTGGATTTCTTGATCTTTGCTCTAGAGTAGAAATATCAATGGAATCATTATTTAAACCGTTTGATATAGTGCTATTAACATTTGAAGTTTGAATTGAAGCAGGTATATTACTTTGCAAATTTACTGGTTGATCAGTCTTTTGATCTACACTATTTTTAATTGCATTTAAGGTACTTTCCATGATTTATTTAGATTAAACAGCTAAAATAAATCAAAAAATTAAAAAAACAAAAGAAGGAAGAAGAAGAGGAGGAGGTTTGATGGAATTTTACACTTATTCTTTTTTTTTCTTGCGTGTATAGGTAAGTGAATTTGTATATTTGATTTCACCTATCTTTAATATATATATATATAATTAAAGAATATTTATGTTCGAACAAGGGTAGTGCTGAATCAAATAACTTTCAATCTTCTTCTTTTTTTTTTTTTATTTTGATCTTTGATTCAATTCCTGCAACTTTTATTTTGCGATGCCCTCTTTCTCCGCAGTGCGACAAAAAGAAGAAAACGAAAAAAAAAAAATTGGAAAATTATGAAAATGGGATATTACCCGGAAAACATGAGAAACTTTACGTGCGGGTAACGTCATTAGCATGGAAAGCAGGTCTTTCCAAGAAATTTTGTAAAAACATGGCAGAACAAGTTAGGGTTTGTGTACGTCACACGCGCTTTTTCAAAAACATTTTTCACTAGAAACAAGTAACCCTACCCGGCATCTTCCGGGTATTTCGGACCAATCAAACGAAGAGAAAAGCAACAAAAACTAAACAAAAACAAAAACAAAACGTTTTCTCTGCGATTCTTTTTTAACCAAAACAAATGAATTAATTCCACTTACAGGGAAACAAATACATCATTTTGCACTGTTTGTTGATTTTGTCAGTATTATTCTTTTCCTTCTGCAAAAGCATCTCCCTATGATTTGTATGTATGCATATATATATATGTATGTGTGTGTGTATATATAGGTGTGTAGATACAGGTATAATAGGAAAGATTGGAATAGATACTAGAAGAGTACTTTAGAGTAGTAATGGCCGTTGGTTATAGTACTGTTGTTTGTTATCTTGCTTTGCTATTTTTTATTTTTTTCTTTTTAACTTCTGAAAGTTTGTATTTGGAAGAACTCCATTGGTTGTCTTGGCTCTTTTTCTCTTTCTCTCTCTCTGTCTCTTTTTTTTTTTTTTAAATTGTTTCTTGTTCTTTTTAAAACATTATATTCCTATTAATCATCCTTCGTCCTTCCCTCTCCCTCTCTCCCTGCTCTCGTCCCTTTAAGATTCTCCTCACTTAAAACCGTTTAACCCTTGCTTTGGTAGTTTTTTTTCTCTTTTTTCTGTCTGGATGGAAAGAAGGAAATGAACTTTAGATACATTTATTTAATATTACTTGAAGAAAAGTAGTTTTATTCGGCTCTTTATATTAGTTTTTGCTCCTTTCCTTCCTCCTATTTATTCATTGAGGGAAGATAAAAGCTATAAGAAATAGTACTCTCTTTAAAAATAGACTAGTCCTCTATATTCATATTCCTTTGTCACCACTATAAGTATAAAACTTCTTCAATAAAATCAATTATTTTATTTTATTTTATTTTATTTTATTTTTTCCCCCTTCCATAAGTCTTTATAAGGTACTTGTAATATTTACTTTTATATATAATTCAACTCCATTAGATAAAAATAATAATCATAGGAAGAAGAAGAGGATATTACAGAATATAATAGTCTCCCACTATAATGTTATCCAAGTTACAATTAGTCAGAAACTACACTATTAGTGCCATCGATAAGCCAGGCAAGTTATCTACTTTGATTATTAAAGTCCATGCCGGTTCCCGTTACAGTCCAAAGGATGGTGTATCCCATCTTCTAAGTCGTTTTAACTTTCAAAATACTAACGCCAAATCATCCCTAAGATTAGTCAGAGAATCAGAATTGTTGGGGGGCCAAGTCGAATCTAAGGTCTGCAGGGAATATATCACTTTGAAGGCAAATTTCTTAAAGGAACAATTGCCTTATTTCGTCGAAACTCTGGGGAACGTCCTATATAAAACCTCTTTTAGACCACACGAATTGATTGAATCCGTTATCCCTGCTGCAAAACACGATTTGCATGAAGCCAATAAAGATCCAATTTGGAAAGCTAACAACCTATTATACCAAGTAACTTATAGAAATGATGGTCTTGGTAAGCCTGTCTTCTACGATGGGGTGGAAAATGTTACTTTAGAAGATATCAAAGATTTTGCCAACAAAGTTTACACCAGAGAGAATATTGAGATTCATGGTGTGGGTATCAATGCTAACGACTTAAACAGATTCGTCACTGACTCCCTAATTAACAGTTTACCTGTTGGTAAGTCTTTGAAATCTTCTGTTGAACCAAAATGCTTCATTGGTGAAACAAGATTAAGATCAGCTGGTGAGTCCGTCGCTGCCATCTCAGTCCCATTAAATAAGGCAAACATCGCCACTTACCAAGTGTTGTCTACTTATCTGAACTCCTCCTTGTTCCCACATATTGTTAAGGCAGAGTTTGCCACCTTTGACAACAATACCTATGGTTTGTTTAAACTGTTTGTTAAGAATGAAGATCCAGATGTCGTTACCAAAGAAATCAAAGAAGTTGTCTCAACATTAAAGAAGGGTTTAGATATCTCTGGGGCTGTTACCTTGACTAAATCACAATTCCCTACTGAATCTCTTGCTAAGGATCTAGAAAAAGTGAAATTATTCAAGTTAGGTGATTTCAGTTTTGTAGCACTTGGTAATGTCTCCAAATTACCATTCAAAGATGATTTATAGTTTGGATAATAACGGTGGGTTCATTCTATATACATGTATGTTTGAAGGTTATTCGATGTGAAACAAAATGAAATATTTCACACTACTATATTCATCCTTTGCTTCAATTACACTTTGTTAACATTTATTTATTCGATTATAATTTATTCTTTAATTATTATTTTTTTTTCTATTCTTAATTTTAGTTATTCCTTTATTTATGTAGTTTATTCACTGAACAATTTCTTTTTTTGACTTATATTTATACATATCTTAACGTGTCTATTCTTTTTTTTTCTTTCTTCTTTCTCTATATTTTCCTTTGTGTGTATTAAGGTTTTATCATTGTTTACTTTGGTTATAACGTTATCATACAATATTCGACTGATTGAAATGAATATTGCTAATATTGTCTTTACATATTGGTTTCTATATAAATAATTAATAAGCAGTATACCTAAACAGTCGTATTATAAATAGTTTATAAATGAGTAATACACCTGGACTCTTTCTTATTCTATCTTCGCATCATTTTCAAATGGTTCCATGACAGTCAATCCCCATTTAGCCAGCATAGCTTTATCTTCTTCCCAACTATTACACAAGGTGGTTAACATTTTTTTCCCAGAGAAGATACTGTTACAGCCAGCCATAAAACACATTATTTGTTCATATTCCTTCATTGTATATCTACCAGCAGCCAACCTAATGATGGATTTTGGCATAGTGATTCTTGCAGTTGCTATAGTTCTCAACATATCCTCAAGTGTCAATTTTTTAAAACCTGGTTTATTTAATTCTTCAACAATTGGGGTTCCTTCAATTGGAACCAACCTATTGATTGGTATAGATTCTGGATATGGATTCATATTAGACAAAGTTTCTAAAAACCCGATTCTATCTTCTTCACTTTCACCAAGACCTAAGATACCACCAGTACATACTTTAACACCACTCTTTTGCACATTTTGGATAGTTTTCAACCTATCGTCATAAGTTCTAGTAGAGATGATATTCTTATAATGTTCTCTTGAAGTGTCCACATTATGATTATAGGCAGTTAAGCCAGCTTCACCTAACTGTTTGGATTGTTTTTCAGTCACCATACCCAAAGTAACACAAGTCTCTAACCCTAATTCATTAACCTTTGAGACCATTTCAGAGATTTTTTTAAGTGCGGATTTTCTGCCATTCATATCCCTCCATGCAGCACCTAGACAGAATCTGGTAGAACCATGTTTCTTGGCTTCCTTAGCCTGGTTGATGACGGATTTTACATCAACCAAACTTTCCGCTTCCAAACCAGTATCATTTTTGGAAGATTGAGCACAATATTTACAATCTTCTGTACAACCACCAGTCTTGATATTCATTAATGTACACATTTGAACCTTGTTTGGTTGATGGAATCTGCGATGTTGCAATTGTGCTTGGTGTACTAGTTCCAATAACGGGGTTTTATAGATAGATCTAAGTTCTTCTCTAGTCCAATCATTTTTAGGTTCCTTTAGTGAAAGTGCATATGAAATGATTGGGTTTGTGGTATTTGTATGAATGAATCTGAAAACGAAACGTTTAGAGGCAATTGGCAGGCTTGAAGAGATCATCATGTCTTGGGTGAAGAGGAGGGGAAAAAGAAGTATGGTAAATGAATAGAAAAGAAACAAAATGGTTGTAATTAAAACAGGATTGAGGTTAGAGGTCTATTCAGGAGCGAAACTGTTCATCAAACAATGAAGTAGATATGAAACACGATTGAATGTCAAATATCCTTTTTATATATATGCTTGTGTATGTGTTTATGATATTGTGGGACCCAATATTAATGAATTTTGTTTGTAACGACATTTCCATCGTATAGAACTGAACTCAACAAATTCCATGTACTTTTATCATATAATGCAACATAGTCTAAAAATTAGATAATAACAATGAATGAATGAATTGATTTAATCATCATTTACCATTGTTGTTGACTGATCATTACCAACAATCAATCGCTTTTCATCACGATAGCCTAATCCCATAAATGTATATCCTCTCCATGTCCTATACCTACTATTGTCATTGTTTGTTCCTATATGCATTGTCTTCCCTGGGAAAGAAGAATTTTGACTTTGGTTGAAGTGCTCGAGGCTTCACTAGAAAGATTGACAAGACTCATTTCCTAATTTGGAAAGTACCTTTCATGTGACAGATCCATTTTACTGAAACTTTTTTTTTTACTTCTTTATTTGGTTGTTCGGCAGAGTTTATCTCTATTATCTGTTAAAGGAATCGATCATGGTCTCATTTACATTAAATATATTCATTCAGTGGTTTTATGTGGCAATTAAAGGACTAATTCAGTTGTTGTATGGTTAGTCTTAAAATCAACAAGAATAGACGACTAAATATTTGAAATGAAATGATAGAATCTTGGAAAAGGACTTATAAATAAGACCTCATATTGAACTCTCGAGCTATTAAGTAGAAGTTGGAACACTCACTTGCTTGCAAAGATAGAAGATAAAGAAGAAATGAAAGGTGGGAACTAGTCTGTTGTAACTTATTTTAAGTTTGAGAGAAGAAATGAAGATTGAGTGTAACATCTTTTGTTATTGAGTAACAAGAAAAAATTTCAAACATGGAATCTTTACCATTTCCATACCATCTATTGGCCGGTGCCTGTGCAGGGATCTCCGAGATATGTATCATGTACCCTTTAGATTTTGTAAAGACGCAAATGCAGATTAAGACAGCTATGAAAAGTGTAAATTTGAAAGGATGTAGGTTAGATGAAACTATGATTCAAACGTTTACCAGGATTGTTCAACAGGAAGGAGTATCGAGATTGTATAAGGGGATCATATCTCCCATCTTATTGGAAACACCGAAAAGAGCTATAAAATTTGCTTCGAACGATTTCTTTCAACAATTTTATAAAAAAAATTTCAATGTCAACAATGTAAACCAATCAATATCTATCCTTGCAGGTGCATCAGCTGGTGCAATGGAATCATTTTTGGTGACACCCTTTGATTTAGTCAAAATCAGATTACAAAATTCTAAAGAACTTCAAACTTCGTTTCTTAAATGTTTTAAGAGTATTATAAAAGAATATGGGATCAGGGGAGTTATGCTTGGTTGGGAACCAACAGTATGGAGACATCTGGTTTGGAATGCAGGCTATTTTGGTATAATTTTTCATATTAAAACATTCCTCGATAATCATTTCCCGGATTCTTCAAAAGTAGGGAAAAATTTAGTGGCAGGATCTTTAGGTGGGTGTTTGAGTTGTTTCTTAAGTGTTCCATTTGATGTAGTCAAATCAAGGGTTCAAAATGGAGATACTGATGCATTGAAGAAATATCGCGGGGCATGGAAAGCAGTCAATGTGATTAGAATCGAGGAAGGGCTTCCCTCCTTATATAAAGGGATAGTACCTATTATCTGTAGGATGGGGCCTAGTGGTGCCTACTTGTATGTGACATTTACAACTTTAATAGAGTTTTTCCAAAATAATATTATCCTTAGGTGATGAATACTAGTGTTTACAAAAATTAATTAGTATTAGTTGTTGCTTATATGTATGTTAATATACGGATAGACAGATAGATAAATGTTGAAATATTTTGTTAATTAGTTGAAAAAAGAGTTGATATTATTTCATTTGAAAGTGCATAAAATATTTTGTGTGTAATAATATTCTTGAAACTTTACTGGTCGGAAGATTGTGTAAAAGGTTTTGTCGTTTAATAGATAAGTTATATTATTTCGTGAAAATATGAATGTTCTTACTTCAGCAACATATTAAATTTAATAATAACCTTGTTTTATTATTACTGTTGATATTTTCTTGTTATTGTATTAATTTTGTATGGTGGTAATAGATAAGTACTAATAACAATACTAAGTTTTCTTAGAGAAAAAGAGAGCTTACACTTGACTTGTTTCTTTAATTGTCATTCAATCAAATGCTAATTGCAAGATGGTATGACTATAAGTGTTTATGTACATCCACTAATTATTTTTATGGAAAATTCTTCTTTGCTGTTAGCAAATATTTCCAAAACGATAAATTCCTTCATTTAAAGAAAGAACACACGAATATAATAAATACATAAGTACCCATCGAAACACAAAATCTTATCTAAATAACATCCAATGTATTCCACAAACCTAGTAATTTATTACCCTTGTTATTTCGAAAAGAAAAACTAAATGACCGATTTTTGGTCACTTAAAACTAAGATCCATTCCATAGATACGTAATTGTGATTATGATGAAATATGCTTACATAAATGGTTATGAATGAATTCTTATAGTGAAGAAAATATGTTTTATATACTATTTCACTTTTTTCTTTATAAAAAAGATCTATTTTTTATTCTTCAATGTAGCTTATTTTCAAACTATGATACATAGAAAAAAGTAAATCTATATAGCTGACAAATCAAAGTATAGAAAGAAACAAATAAAATAGATTTTACTGAGATCATTTTACAATATTCAGAATTTGTAAACCAAGAAAGTTACACTAACAAATATAAAATTTATTTTGGCTCTTTTATTTAGCATTTAGAGACTCTCCTTCACATCGTTTTAAAATTAAATTTCTATCAATATACTTTTGTCTGCTCTTTCAACATTGTATTTCGATTACCTATGGTAAATAAATAAAATCAAAACTGCTAACTTGACAATTTTTCTATAGCAGAGTTTTACCCTTTGCTAAACTCTCTATGATATCAAAATATTTGATTTTATGCAGTTTCATATAATATATAAACTTTTCAAATAGAATTTTCTTAACTATTGTAATATATTCAGTCTCTAAAATTTTGATGTTATAAGAATATTCTAATAGCATTGTAAATAAATTATGGATAAACTCTAGAAAAGCATCTTTCCTAACTTTTTTCTTATCAAATGCTTTTATAAAGATGCTACTTATATTATCCATAAATATATCAATCTGGTTTTGTATAGTTTCCAATGAATTAAGTGCACCATTTAACGTACGGTATTCCAGCCTTAATCTAAATAAATCTAAGATACGCTTATATGTTTTTATGGTAGATGGATTATTAATTATTGGAATATTCAAAGATTCTTTACTCTTCCAAATCTCTAAACTACTAACATCAATGTTAAGTCCGCAAAATGAAAGGATACGGTGATTAGAAAGAGTACACCTAGAGTCCACAACAACAATTTTCTCCTTTTTAGCCACTGCATTATAATCACCAAAACCTAAAACTGCCAGGTCTCTTATCTCCATGATCTGGTCTTTATCTGTGGATACTATTAAGAAATCATCAGCAATTCTAATAATCAAAAGTTGATGTCCCTCACGGCATCTAAACTGTTTAAAACTCTGGATCATATCATCATACAAAATATCAACTAATAATGGAGAATAACTTGAACCTTGAAATATACCGTCTTTTCTAAGATAACATTTATCATCAATCCATAATGCTGTTTTGAAAAGTTCGAATTTTATAGCATCAAGTATACTCTCAACAGTGAAAAAAAATTCTTGATTATTATTAATGTACAATTTCTCTGAGACTTTTCCTTTATCATCGTTAACTATATGTTTTATTTTCAATCTTCCGTCAGTTGGATTATAAACCGTATAGCTTTTAACATAAAAATTTGTTTCAGATTGTAGCAATGCCTTAATCACGGAGAAGAGTTTTTTTCTTGGAATTGAATCATAACAAGATGCAACATCGAACTTCATAAAATACAACTCAGGTAGAGTGTTATGCTGCTTTATTAAATCATTCTTAAAATTCAACAATTTATTAGCAACTTGAAAAGGTGAACTAACCTTTTCGAAATCAGTAGCCCTTTTATAACGAAGGTAATTTAGTATTGCTTGCATAGGTATAACCACCTTCAATCTATTTATTTTATAAGATAAATGTTCTTCCTCATCTGCTCCTCTGGATGGGATGGCAATAACTCTAAATTCTCCATTAGCCTTTTTAGGTATAACCCTTATTCTATTATGATTGAATTCAGAAAGAAGATAACTATTATGATTCCTACAAACAGTATTCTCAAATAGATACTTGTTAAAATATTCAGAGATAAAAGGCGTAGTCAATCTTTGCCAAATATCATGTCTGAAATAGACTATATCAGTCAATGAAGATATTTCAGTACAATAGAAAAAGGATTTGATTATTCTAGGGACCATACTCGTCAGTAACCACAAAACAAAATTTTTAAATAATATCTGACTTCTTTTATGATTATCTCGATCAGTACCGGTATACAAATAGATAATTTCCTTCATCCGTACTTTTGAAATTAAATCATTGATATATAATACACCATTGAGAGGAAGATTAATCAAAGCAGATATTCCCTTAAAGATTTTTGATTTATTATGCTTTGATCCGAACATAGATAATGGAATAAGCTTTTCTAAAACCAGAATAACTAATCTAACAACGTTTTTCTTTGGAGTCTGAAGATCTAAATGTGATGTATAGTTTCCTGTTGATTTAACAGGACACAAATAATTCAACATAGAAAAATAATTGTTTTTTCTATTACTGCAGTTTCTAATCAATAAATTTAATTGAGTATTTATCTCAATTTTCTGACGTTTAGTTAAGTTAATTGACCATGTACAGAATATAGATCGTCTTAAGTCATCTAATTTACACCTATTTATTAATGGATCAAATGTTCCAAACTTCGTATAATTTCTGTGCAAAAAATGTTTCAAAGATATCATATCTATTTGTTTTGATGTTGAATCTTCAATCAACCATGACGGTGGGACTGTTGGTTTATTTGCCTGATTACCCAGTATTTGCTTCCACTTTTTACCGTCTAATTGAAACACAGAAAAATTAATCATCAAATCCATAAATTTAGAAATTCCAACAATATCAAATAACATTCTCCAATGAATAGTTTTCAATTCTTGGATCTGCCTATTTGGGGTATATGAGAAGAATGATTTATTGACATCATTTTGATGATTTCGTTTAAACCCAAAGACCAAAACGTTATTAAAAAAATTATTTTGTAATAAAAATCCTATCACAAAGTCAATTACCTCTTCATAAGTGGTCTGTATTGGGATGGTAGACAATTCAATCTTGTTAGCATTTCTTAACACAAAAGTACTCTTTAAAAATGTTTCAAATTGAAGTATATTTTTATTAACATATTTCAAGTCACCGAAATTGGTAAAGCCCTCCTTTTCAATTTCTTGCACCTTAAAAAACTCCTGAAGAGATAACATCGTTCATCTCTATTAATATCATCAATCTTGAAATAATTGTTATCAACCAGTCATAATAAATGATCAACAAAATCAGGTTTTCTTCGTAATACTTCAGATATTATTATTGCCAACTATATCGAATAATTTTCACAAAGCATTGAAAATAATGAAAAAGAAAATATTAAAGAATGAACATCAGCTAGCATATAAGAACACTACATTATAACTTCATTACTTACCTAAAGTATGATGAATTAAAAACAATAGGTCACTGATTAGCCTTGCTACATCTGCCTTGTATAGATTTGTTGAAGGTAGTAAAAAACATACACTTATTTCATGTGAGATATGTATATAACACCATTGAGCAAAAGTAATCTAAATATTGTGTGTAAAGAAATAGAATATGTTATAACCAAACCCAAGAAAATATTGTTTTTTCACGCTGACTTTTATCAATGATCTATTAGTAAATTTTTATAATCAATTTACTGAATTATATCCTATATATCCTTATTCAAGATATACTATCGTATTTTTCAAAAACCTAATTAATGTTATTCAGTAAAGATGCTTGATATAACAACATCAACTGCTCTATTTATCTTTTATTGAAATCAATGATTAATAAATTATATATATATCAGTATATAAGACATTATTAAATTATTAACAGTCTGATTCATTATTCATATCACTCATAAAAAACATCAATTCTTCATCATCTACCTCATTATCAATTTCCATATCTGGACTTGTTGCATTTTCTAGATAATTTCTTTTTTCTTTTAACTTGTGTGTATCTCTGGTTATTTTAGATGAATTCATATCATGTATCTTTCTCTCCTCATCTTCCAAAATATCAGTCGATTGAATACTTGGTTTGTGTAATTTAGCATGCGCTGGTGTTGACATTAATATTGGCTGTGAGATATAATAGTTCTGATTATATACCAATCTATCCCTATTGTGCGAATCACTGAGTTGAATTGACTTCTCCAAACTTCCTAAAGATTTAGGTGATTGGTTCAGCCGCAGCCTAGGATCAACCTTCTTATATATAACACCACTTTGACTTCTACCACGTTCATATTCTTGTGTTTGAAGCTGTGTAGTCGCGTTAGACACTTGCATTTCATGAGGTTCCATTGTTTTTTCTACTTCATGATAGGATATACTTTCTCCACCATATATTGGTGGTAAAATAGACTGTTGACTTTTATTTAAGGAGTTCTTGCGACTGCTTACGGCGCTTGCACTAAACTCATTTTGATGAACATTGAAATATTTGGTGTTATCCTGATGATATGGAGACATAGAGTAAGAGAATGTTTTGGTGATTGGCGACACAGATTGTAATTGCCCCTCATGTCTTTCTTGTCCTTCAGCAATCAAACTAGAAGCATTATCGACTTTATTAGCATCTCTATTGTGCGACAAGATGTAACTCATAGATAAGTCTTCACTTAATAAATTATTACTGACCTTTAAATTTTGGTATCGAAATAGAGATTGTGATATGTTATCATCCTCAGCATGATTTGAGAACTTATTTTTTATTTTTATTTCTGGCTTAGAGTCAAGCAACTTAACAAAAGCTAATAGGTCATCATGACTAGTATTTTGAAAAAACGTATTATCAAGCAAATTTGGTTTTTTAGTGTTTCCTTTATCTTTTAAAATTGTACCCTCATCTAACCGAAGTGCTCTATCGATACTATTGAGATTTTCAATATTTCTATTTATTGAAGAATGACGCCGAATGTTACTAAAAGATGAAAGAAATTTAGAATTGCTTTCAATGCTGCCGGTATCTGCTCTTGGTACGAAATTGCTTGAAACAATACTATCTGAATGATTCCCCAACAAATTATTATTATTGTTATTATTAATAGCATTTGTACTGATTATATTATTGTTGGCAAAATTAGATCCAATACTTGAGCGTCTTGCAGATGCATTAGCATATACGGATGAGACAGACGGGTTTCTGCTTGGAATTTGACTAGTACTTTTCTCGTATACTAAACTATTCAAAGAGCCAACCTTAAATGGTTGAACCTGTCTTGTAATTCCTCCATGTTTTTTTGAAGTAGATAATTGTTGTTGTTCCAAAGATGTTCCTGGAACTCCAAATATCGGTCTTATACTGGGTGATATGGATGTTGATTGTTGTAGTTCTTGATTACTGATTGTATGTAATGTAGGACTAACACCTGTAGGAAATTTGCCCTTCTGCGATTGATTTTGTTTCAACTCATTGTCCTCAGAAACAAACAAGTTTTGTAATTGAAATTTGCATTCTTTTCTATAAGACACAGACACTCTTAATAGTCCATATTTAGTCCAAATAGGAGTAATCTTTTTCTGTTCCAAATGCGCTGGGATATTTGTTTCATTGATCTTGTTGGAATATGTTGTTAGTATTGGCTTACTCAATCCTATTCTTCCCCTTGATAATATTGGTTTGGAACCATCGATAATTCTAGAACCTATGGATAAATATTGATTATTAATTGACTTTATCAAAGAATTAATAGGTAGTAACTGAATCAGTGTATGCAAATACCGAAGTAATAAAGTGATTTGATTATTTAGCAGATTATCACCATCTTCTGTAATATTTTCATTGTCGACTGTGGTATTATCTAATTCCAACAACCACCGTTCAAGGACCACCTCAGTCTTTTTTGTACCTTTACACACACTCCACAGATTTCCATCTCTATCCATCAATCTAAGAAGAAAGCTTTCAGGCAAATTTCTTAAATCGAGGTATATTTCAATAACTAAAGGGGGTAAAACAGATTTTCCATCGAAATGCAACCAAGTTTGAATATTATTGGGAAGATCATATATTTGATAATTATTCATAATTTCAAACCAACTTTCAGACAAATTCCAGTATTCTCTTAGAGTATTGGATGAGGATAGTTCCTTGGAACATATCAGAAGACATGACTTAAGGAAAAAGCTATCAATTAATTTCAAAATTTCTTTATCTTGCTCAGAGATGACATGTTCTTTAGAGTTACTGCAATTTTGATGCAATGGAATAGTAGACATTTTATTAAAATACAATATGTAATCATCAATTCCTTTCTCTTTTTCTTATTTTACTTTATTTGTATTATGATTTCTTGAATATTATTTCTGTTTGGAATATTGTTTGATATTAAATAAAATACCTTTATAAAATTTGATAACTTTTATCGTCTAGTAACATATATATCTTGATGTTAAATACAATAATTTTAATCAGTTAAAAAGAAAAAATGCAAAAGGAATATATAGTAATCTTAGTGTAGCACTAATATTTTATCCACACACAAATATGATCGGTGCTTAACTACCAGCTAAAGAGTGTTTATTTCTCGGTGGTGATTTATCTACAAAAATAGAACTTTTTATACTTATGATTAGTTATTGGATATTAAATTACCCACTTATTGGACTCAAATACTGAAATACGCTATGTTGTTACCTTTGTTTCTTATTTTTCTTTTTCCTGCTTTTCTGACTGTCTTTTAAAGTGAATCAAACAGTTTGACACATTCCCACAGAAACAACAAAGCGGTTCCTTTTCTTTCTCTCTTTTTTTAAATATACACCACCCCAGGCAAAAAAAGTTCTACCACTAATAATACGAGCTGTGGGTAAGTGAAACATGCATTATTCAATAGAAGAGATACACAAGGTGTATTTACTAGGTGTATTCCCTTGCCAGAATGCTGCAAACAGAGTCAAAGTCAATGTAGTGCCTAGTTTCAAGGATAGAGACACAGAAAACAAGTACTATATCATATTAAAAAAAAAAAATTCAAATTGACCATAAAAGATAAACAATAAATACCACTTCTAATATACAATATATTTATGTATTTTATATCCAAGTTAATAAATTATTCTCTCTTATTCGCATGCATCATCTCCTTCAAAAGATTGCCAGATATCGTAGAATAGATCCAATAGACATCCACTACTCCATGCTTGGGTTGGACTTGAATCATTACAAAGAGCTCCGTCCTTGTTGGTTAGCTCTGTAAGACCGGCCCATGGACTCTTCATTATCCATTCTCTATGTTTGATTAATCTGTAATATAATTGTTGGTACATGTAAGAGGATGGTTTGGACTTTGGTTTATTACTTGCCCTTGGATTAGTCAAGAAATTGAAATAAAGAAAAGCTCTTAGGAAATAACCTGTACACCAAACCCATTCCGGACCTTGATGATAATTCCTACCCTTCGAAGTAGCAAAGTCAGTAGAGTCCTCACCATTATTATAATATGGACGATAATTGTAGTCGCTTGGATCCAAAGTACGCATACCAATAGGCCCTCTAATAATCTTATCTGCAATACCTATGGCTTTAGTGGCATATTCAGGGGTAAACAATTCAGGTGCCACCACCATAGCAATAGCAAAGTTTGGTCTCAGTTGGTAATCTTCATATGGTTTACCCGATCTATAAAGGTCTTTGTAAATACCTCTTCTATTAACAATAGATGAATCAATATCAAATTTATCATCATCTTTTGAATCTAATGGGATATAGAATTTCTTCTCGAAATTATCTTGTAACAACTTCTCCCACTCCTTCAAAGAGATAATAAAACCCTCTTGCGTCTCCACTTCTGAAAACTTAAATAAACCCTTGGATTGTAACTCATTAACAAATCTTAATGCACTCTTCAATAACCCATTAATTTCAATAGCTGCACCATCTCTTGGTGTACCTGGAATACCAGTAGATCCAGCTCTATTACTTTCACCCATCTTATCCATCCATGTACCACAATTATTTTGAGAGCCACCATGAATCAACCCTGTATCCCAGTCAACATACACTTTAACGTTAAAACCTTCGTCAGTCATGACACGATCTAAATTTGGCCCGGCATTAGCTTCTCTGTATTTGATACCTTTAGCATGTCTACTTAAAATTTCATAGATTATTTCTTCAATTGTATTGATATGAGTAAATGCTCTTGGATCATTCCAAGTAATATATTCATCGTTTTGGGGAAATCTTCTAGTAACTTGCTCCTTCAAGATATCTTCACCATTTGGAACAATATTAACATACTCCTGAATTGCTTGCAAGAAAAACCAAGCCGCATCACGTGCATTATATCTTGGGTTTCTGCCTGCATCAAGAAGATTTGGAATTAAACCATGCTTCAAAGTCTTAGCAAAGGCCAAGATATGATCTTGAGCAATATCATATCTACCGGTAGTTAATAATAAACCTCTCAATGAAATAAACACATCTCTACCCCAACATCTCATATAATCTGTACTAAAATGAGGTAAACCAGCAGCCATGCATGCGACTTGTTTATCTGGATATATTGACGTAGAGTTCAATTTAGAAATCATTTGGATACTAGTCATTGCCAAACTTTGGACAAAAGCAGTAGATTTACCTACATTGATAGACATTAATTGCATAGCACGTAAACGACAACAACCATAAAGGATACCAATAATTAGTGCAAAATAACTTGGTCTCAAGAAACTTGGCAATTGTTTGACTTTACCTAATCTGCTACGTAACCATTCCTGTACCTGCTTCACACCAGGTGCATCTTCATAATAAGCTAAACGATCAATTACATAATCAAGTGCCCAACAACCATCACGTAGATTAGCACTTAACGGGTGAGCCAAGTCATTTGTGAAAACGATATTACGCAAGACTGAAATCCAACCTTGTAAACCTGCATAAACTAAAGTACCATAACCAGGAATATTATAACACCCGCCTTGACCATAACTAGAATCTCTTTCCTCATTTTCACAGCGGTATAAGACATAGTTTAGGGATTCCAATGTCAAATTACAAGTAGCTTTAATAGCACCAGATCTAATAAAATGATCCAAAGTATCATCAACACCATTTTGTTGAGTACGGAAAATAGCAATGGATCCAGGTGGGAAATCACCTGGTGTAGTAATTGTGGAAGTTTGTGAATTTTCGTCATAGTCAATTCCAAAACCGGTCAATTCTCTTAATTTTGTTGGTATACCCTTGATAACTTTATTGGATTCTGTATCCTTAATATCACCAACCTTCTCTAAAGTATAAGCAAATTTCAAAATACATTTAGATTGTGGCAATACAACGGGTGGCAAAACTTGATAACCCACATTATTGTTAAATTTCATTCGAGCAATCAAATACCAACCCGAGCCAGTCTTTGCGTCACACCTATGAAATGTAATATATTGACCATCGTGATGTACATGCATCTCTGAATCTTCAATATCAAAAGATTTTCTAGAAATATCATCTCTAATTTCAAACAATTTAGTCTTAATATCACTGATACCATCACCATCTTTAACATCGTAAGTTCTTGTTTCAGTGACCAAATTCAACAACTTAGGGAAAATTTCATCATAACCATAAACAGATCCAATAGCGGAAGAACAAAGAGCCACTAAAGCAGCGTTAGGCAAAGTATCTTCTACTGTTCTCTTCTGGTATGGCATTTCATTATCATGTGTACAGTCCATAAATAGAGCATGTGGTGGTGTGGCAGTTAATATCTTAGGAATCATAATTTCAGAAACACATTTAATAGCATGGTCATCTTTGTTATATCTACAATATTCATGATCAATTTTAATATCTGCTGGATATGGAAAATTATCCATTGGTACAAATTTAAAGGAACCAATAGGTCTACCTCCATGTCTATGAACCAAACGAGACAGCTCCTCCTCTGACCATGATTGCATTGCCTCCCTTATTAAAGAGGAAATACCCAGTCTTTCCACAAATAAACAATCCATCATCTCAGAACCGGTGAATAATTCTGCCACAACATATAAGTTTGGATTAACTTTTCTTGCCAAATCTAGGAAATACTCACCTACATGTAAGGGAGTAGAATGACAATTATCAATTCTAAACCCATTAAAAATCCTAGCATTCATTTCAACGTATTTGGACATTCTATCCCAGAGGTATGGGGAATCTTGAGGACCAGAACCGTATCTCAATTTGACACAATCACCCCAAACGATAACTTCACGACGAACATAGGCCTTTGATTTATTTGAGGCAAAATCAATCAATGGATTACCATCCCAAATCCAACCATTGTTAGCCAAAGCATATGATTTACCGTCTTCACCAATGAAACGTGTAAAATAAGGCTCTGTCAACGGGAATTTATTATTAATTTCGCCTTGTTTAGGGCCATGTTCTTCTATTCTCAAATATTTTATACGATTAAACAGTTGCTCCAAAATCTCGTTAACATCATCATCGTATTCCTTGTATAAGGGTAGATTGATTTCATCTAATATACGTTGTACAAGACTTTCTGTTTGATCATTCCATACACTAACATCGTTGGTCCCATTACTCGATAAACTTTCTTTCAATATCGGGATTGTGTTCTCCAGTATCAATTTTTTAGCAAATCTTTCACCCAAGATATGGAAATTGTTACTAGTAGCGTTTGTGACCAAAAACTGTGCCATATCAGTAACGAATGTCTCAGATCCAGTAAATTTCGGAACATTTGCCAAAAGATCCTCGTTCAAGGAATCGAAACTCTGGGTCCATTGGGTTTTGAATTCTTTAATCAATGTTTTAACATCCATTACATAGAATTCCCAAAGTTTCAATGAGCCCAATACATGAATCTTAATCCCTTCCATAATTTTAATCAGGTCATCTTCATTGTTTAGCACGGTAGGATATCCATAATTCTTCAAATCTTTTGAGAAATTCAATAGACTCTGATCGAGTTCAATGGCAGCAATTAGATGAGGTGCGGTGTATTGGTTGTATCCTGCATCTGGATGTTCACGAAGCCATAGTGAGTTGTTTGCAGTGTGGTTAAAAACAATATCAGTCATAGAGAGAATATTTAGATCTTTGTATAGATGATCAACCATTGTTTTGACGTCCTTCTCTGACTTAAAGTACTGAGGGTCGAAAGTCAATTGGTCAAATATAGAATATGGAGAATTGGATTCACCTCTCTCTTGCAATGGTGTGAAATGGATCATATTGTATTTTTTTTTAGATATTTTGGCGAAAACACGGTCCCAGTCCCTTAAAGTTGGACCTAGCCATTTTGAGACCACAGATTGCAATGAGATAGAATTCAAAGGTAAAAGCTCTCCATTGTTGTTGAATAAAGTGGGCAACACGACAAAATAGAATTTACGAGTAGTCTCCAATTCTTCTTTATCATTTCTAAAAGACAGATAAAAACAAAAAGTACCAGGTTTAAAAATGGGTATAGAGATTTCGTCATCTCTGTGGAAGCTTGTCTTTATAACAATTTTATGGAATTTGTTTCTGTCAAAATCGGTCGAGCAATCCTCAGGAACATTAGTCCATACCAGCCCGTCTCTAGCAACGGGACTGCCAGCAGCAATTAGCAATTTCAAAGTGTAAAGTGGTACACCCCGGGGAGTGCCTTTAGGTAAAGGTAAGGAGGGTAAAGTCAGCACACCTTGACCATATGAAGAAGAAGCAGTCACAGGCTCTCCTTGATCGTTTAATCTTAATAACAAAGTTCTAGAAGTAATATCCATTTTATTATGTTCCAAAGTAAATAAAATAAGAAAAGAAAAATAACAAAAAAAAAGGAAAAAAAAATAAATGGTGGATGGAAGAAAAGGTAGAATGAATATCTATCTCTCTATCTGTCTGTCTATATATATATTTGTGTGTTTAAACAAATGAACAGAGAGAGAGAAAAAAAAATAAAAAGATAGCTTAGTTGATGATGTTATTTCTATTTTGAAATATATAATGTAGAAGACAACTGTTTTATACTCCAATTACAACATAATAATATAAGCATATACAGACATACATTCATGAATACGTATGTGTAAGCATGCATCTATATATATATGTATGTATGTATGTATGTATGTATTTATGTATACAATTTCCTTTAACCTGCTTTGTTCGAGGGTTTTGTTTTTTGTTTAAGTCCGTCCCCCCCCCTTAAAAAAAAATTCCTCGGTGTTTTTTATTTTCTTTTTTTTTTTTTTTTTCATTTACCCTCCTGTTGACTTGCCTCCCTTTTCCCTTTTGGTGTGATCAGCAAGAAGAAGAAGGAAAAAACAAAAAAGAAACGACAACAGAAATGAAACTCCTTGAATGGTGAAAGGGAGGGTAATGAAAAAAGGAAATAGAGAGAGGTTTGCGACAGGGTAAGTTTGTATTCGAATTCTAAACCCTAATATACCCTAAAACACAAATAGCTGTCCCATTGTGGTTGGTTAACCCACAGGAAACAAAGTGGTGAATGGAAGGGAGAGGGTCTGATTTTGGGTGACGATGCCACTGAAGTGCTTATAGAATATGCAGTACAATCATTACACAAATCAATCGAACTTGTAGATCAAACCTAAACATGTACCGAGTGTTTTTTGTTTTTTTTGAACAAATCAAAAGTTACATAGATCTTAGATGTGTACATATATACATATATACATATATCTATATATATATAGGTGAGGTCTTTTTCCTTGTCGTAAACAATCTCAGAAACATAACGAATAGAATTGATATAAACAGTACAAAGCCAATATAACGCCGAACAGAATGAACAAGATCAAGTTTTCCAAACCGAATTTATAAATATACAATTCTTTCAATTGCTGGATGTATTGGACAATAACTTTCCCGGACAACTTAGACTCCCCCTCCATTCTGACACCGAAGGAGAATGGAACTTCACCAAGTTTCTTCTCGTCATCTTCTGGCAAAGGCAACTTAGCCAACAGTTCCAAAGCAATCTTGAACCCCTGTGGGTTGATCTCGATTTTCTCCTCCATGGCTTTATCCAAATATTGTTTTTGTAGACCGAAGAAACCAGACATTGGGTCTGAGGCAATGGTCAATGGTCTTGCCATCAATCTTGCAGTGGAAGAGATTACACGACGGTACATGGGCCAATCCTTGTCGATGCCCACTCCTGGTGCATAACGGGTACCGATGACAAAAGCATGGTCTGCACGTAAGGAATTGAACAAGGATGGGACAGACTCAGGTGGGTGTTGAAGATCTGCATCCATACAGATCAAATAACGACCCTTGGCTTCCTTGAACCCACGTAGCACTGCAGAGGATAGACCACGTTCAGTGGTTCTTACAATGATACGGACGTTGTAGCCTTGTTTTTGTAATTGCTCTACTTCTTCAACGGAACCGTCTTGAGAGTTGTCATCGACGAAAATCAATTCTGTCTGTTCAGTGGCTTCGTTGCCCAAGGCAGCAAATAAACGTTGTGTCAAAGGTTTAATATTTAATTTTTCCTTGTATGCAGGAACAATGACAGATTGAGTGATAGCCATTTCGTGTATTATGTTTCTTTTGTTTTTTTTTAATACCACTGTTACTAATTAATCAAACGAAACAAAACAAAACAAAGCACACAATAAGAACAAATAAGGATCCTTATGGATAATGTACTGTATAACAGTCCTTTATTGTTTTTTTTTTTTTTTTTATCTTCATTTTTTTTTGTGTTGTTACCTTAACGCAATCATATCATCACCTCTGTGCACTTATGATGTTCCAAACCAACCAGATACTTCTGCAAAAGGTAGAAAAAAAGAAAAAAAGAAGAGGGAAAAATTTTTTTTCTTTATTTTTCTGTGTTTCTCGGCGCATCATATGTTTCCAGCCAGGGTTCGAACGGCAGCCCTATCAATAAATTCTCTGCAAAAAGACCAGAGAAAAAAAGAAAGAAAGAGAGAAAAAAAATACATGTGTATGTATGACACAAAGAAAGAAAAGATATGGACTTGTAACATAAATACTTCCATATGTATTGTGTGTATAACTCTTCCATTCTGTCCCGCCTCATCTCTGACCTGAATCAAGTGTATCATAGATAATCAACAACCTTTCTTTCTCTCTCTTTTTTTTTTTTTTTTATTTAATTTGTTCACATGTATATATCAATAGACAATTGCACAACTATATTGTTAAAAATAGTCTATTAATATGAATCTGATATTTATATATATATCTACATATAGATATTTACTCTTGTTCCAGTTTAGTATCCTTAGAAATCCATAAAACATTGTTACATCGAATAAATATCTCTCCAACTACACCTTTAGACTCGCCTTGGATCCATTCTTCTGCATCTTTCAATTGTATATTGAAATAATTATCGCTTGATATTAATGTACCTCGATATTGTGTATTGTTAAATTTCAACGTTACAATGATTCTATGATTCACTAAGTCTCGAAGAAATGGTTTTGGATTTATTGGAACGAACTAATTCAAAATACATAAATAACAACAACAACATCATCATCATCATCATCATCATCATCAATAACAATAAATAATAATTAGTCAATCACATAGACATGATAATATCATTTTTTGTATTTTGTTTTTTTTCTTTCTGTTAGTAATATGTATATAACCTAGTTTTTTCTTAAAAGAGTTCCAATTAAATACTTTTTGAAAACATACTTCTGACATTTGTATATATATATATATATATATGTATATGTATATCTATGTGTGTGTGTATTAATGGTTTAGTATGTATGTATATGTGTATATATTCACATTATTCATAATTCAATCAGATAAATAAGACTGATTTTTGTTCTCTTCATAGTTTACCTTTATGTATAGCTATAGAAATTTTTCTTTTTTTCTTTTTGTCTACTTTTCAAAACACTTTTATACAGAAATGCAGATATACTATATATATATATATAGATAGATAGATAGATGGGCAAAAAAATAAATAAATAAAAGAAAGACAAAGAAACAGAAAGAAACCATTTATATGTATGTGAAGCTCCATAGATATTAATATTGAATAATATATATATATACATATACATATATATACAGGACTTAAAAACAAGTTCAGACTTGTGTCAATTTCCTTGCGTAATTTGGTCTCCCACCATCGTATTCTAATCTTAGTACCCCCCATGTGATATCAGATATCAATAGACCCAGGGCAAGGTTGTACACCAAAGATATAGCATAGAAGAAATTGGAGTTCCCTGACCCTAGATCTATCCACAGATGATAAAAGATCGGCGACAATAGGATCGAATGCAAAAACAGTAATATTATTAACATCGGATATCTCATGTATCTTAGTATCGATGTCTGATTTATATCCAACAAAGGCAACAACGACAAGAACATCCCTGTTTCACCCAACGTTGGATATGGCTTGGTCAGAATCACCCAGCCAAGAGATATGATCCAACAATACAATGGAAACGGTTTGTTCCTCCCGTTCCCTTCTGTACAGTTATTGAATCTTACAGTCAAAGGAATTACCATACATATTGAAAACAGATTGAACACCGATTTGAAGAATGGAATGAACTCCTGAAACATTTCAATAAAGAAATACCACCATAGCCCCATATTAGGTACCACGTTGCTGAAATTCAATCGTGTACCATAGACTATAGACAAGGGGAACGGAGAGGTCCAGTATAATAAAAGAAGACAGATAACGAAATTCACCAGGTAAAAAAGGGATCTATTAATAGATCGCATAAATTTGTTAATAATGAAATTCAATGTTGGAACCAATAAAATCCCCATTATTGGATCTAGATATGTGGCAACTGACATCATCAACGAACTTAATACTAGGTTGGCCCCCTCCTGTGTTGAGATGAAATATAAAGTTGATATTAAAGGCAAATAAGTGAACACGATAGTGGACTTACTGATACAGGATAATATAGTGAGTGGGTTCAAGGCAAAGATCCATGCACAATTCGAAGTTTGGTTCAAGTGCATTTCCAAAGAATAAAGCTGCCATACAAGCAAACAGTCTAGAAATATGAATAATAAAGACGCCACAAGCTGAGATCCACCTCCGATTTGAAACAAATTCACAAATTGCAATAATAATGGGGGTAAATAGACTACACCACCTTCATATAGACCCATGGAATGGTTCAGCAGGAATAAACCTTCTTTTAACGACTTAAAAGAGGTCACTGGAGTAGAGAACTGTACAGTTTGATCTAATATCGATCCTAACTGAGGAAATAGTAAAATAAGGATCAATCTGACCGAAATACAGAGGCACAAACACAAGCACAAAACCGCACCGTTTTTCATCATGTTATATATTATTGTTGACTCTTGTCCAAAGCCTTACCTATATGTGTGCAAACAGATAAAGTGTCAAAGATTGGCCATGCACACAGTAGCCACATAAACCAGCAACAACAACGCTATTTATTTTCCAACCACTGACTACCAAACCTTTCTTCTATCCTTGCAGTTCAACTCTGCGGGTGACCTGGCTTTCTTGTTTGGCATCTTGTTTTATTTAATGAACATCATCGAGTTCTCGTTACCCTGTGCATTCAGCAGCGGAATTTTGTCGCATTAACAATTCCGCATACCAGTTCCACCGTCTGCTAAACTGAAAGCCTTCCATTCCTGGAACAAAGAAATTGGAGCGATCAAACTACGTTAACTATGACGAACAGTAACAACCGGGTTTTTCGGCATTGACCACCAAATAAAAACCTCCCTATTGCCGTCATTTCCCGCATGTTTTTGACTTTTCGGCTTCGGGTTTGTTTACTTTTTATTTTTGTTTTGTTTTGTCTTACGGTTATAAACTGAAAAAAAAAAAAAAAAAAAAGAAAAATACAAAAAATAAAAAAATCGCAAATGTGAAGTCGAGAAAACAAAATCGAAACTTTTTGTTGAACACCTCGACAGTAGTTGATTTATTTCTTGGCTCCGGTCTCCTCCTTCCATATTAAATATTCATCGAAACGTCTCTATCTCTATATTTGATTACAGTCCTTTGCATCTGTCACTTACAATTTTATAGTCTTACTGTTTTGTTATTTCATAGATTTTTTTTCTCTACGAGTTATACTGAAACAAAATAGATAAAAATAATAAGAATCTAAGAAACAAAGAAAAAAGGAAGAAATAATAACAACCTTGACAATTCTAAACTAAATGGATTTTGAAACAAACGAAGACATCAATGGGATTCGTTTCTCTTGGAACGTTTTTCCATCCACAAAGACTGATGCCAACAAAAATGTGGTTCCAGTAGGTTGTTTATACACTCCCTTGAAAGAATTTATCAACGAAGAAGATGGTTCCAACACTTTAGCTTTAGCACAATACAATCCAGTAGTTTGTGCAGGCCCCCAATGTAAAGCCATTCTAAACCCATATTGTTCCATTGACCCACGCAGCAACTCATGGACTTGTCCAATTTGTAATTCAAGAAACCATTTACCTGCCCAATACGCCAACATGACCCAAGAAAATATGCCAATTGAATTACAACACACAACTATGGAGTATATCACCAATAAACCTGTTCAGGTACCACCTATTTTCTTCTTTGTTGTCGATATCACTGCAGAGAAGGAAAATTTGGATGCTTTAAAGGACTCTATCATTACCTCGTTGTCTCTTTTACCTCCAAATGCTCTTGTTGGGTTAATAACATATGGTAATGTTATCCAACTTCATGATTTGTCCAGTGAAACTATCGACAGATGTAACGTGTTTAGAGGTGACAAGGAATACCATTTAGACCAACTGTTGGAAATGTTAACTGGTCAAAAACCATCTGGCAATAATTTAAATAACTCAAATATGGTTCCACAATTCAATGGAAAAGTTACTCCAATGTCAATTAACAGATTTTTCTTACCATTGGAACAAGTAGAATTCAAATTGAACCAGTTGTTAGAAAATTTGTCTCCTGATCAATGGTCTATCCCAGCTGGCCACAGACCTTTGAGAGCTACCGGTTCAGCTCTTAATATTGCCTCTTTGTTATTGCAAAGCTGCTTCAAGGGTGTAGCCGCCAGAATCATCCTATTTGCTAGTGGGCCAGGTACTTTACAACCTGGTTTAATTGTTAACTCTGAATTAAAGGACCCATTAAGATCACATCATGATATTGATTCAGATAAAGCTCAACATTATAAGAAAGCTTGCAAGTTTTATAATGGGATTGCCAGTAGAGTGGCTACCAACGGTCACGCTGTTGACATATTTGCAGGTTGTTACGATCAAGTAGGTATGTCAGAAATGAAGCAATTGGCCGATTCTACAGGTGGTATTCTTTTGTTGACAGATGCTTTTTCCACTGCAATTTTTAAACAGTCATATATTAGATTATTCGCTAAGGATGATGAAGGTTACCTAAAGATGGCTTTCAACGGTACTCTATCTGTTAAAACATCTAAATCTTTGAAATTACAAGGGTTGATTGGTCATGCTTCTCCAGTACCTAAGACAGATGCACGCAACATTAGTGACTCTGAGATTGGTATTGGTGGTACCTCCACATGGAAGATGGCTACTTTATCACCACATCACACTTATGCACTTTATTTTGAAATTGCTAATATTGTCAATAGTCCAACTAATAATGCAATGATGGCTGGCCAACAACAGCCAAATTTGGCATACACCCAATTTATTACCTCTTATCAACATTCTTCAGGTACTAATCGTATTAGAGTCACTACTGTGGCTAACCAGTTATTACCATTCGGTAGTCCTGCCATTGCACAGTCATTTGATCAAGAAGCAGCTGCAGTATTAATGGCTAGGTTTGCTGTATCAAAAGCAGAAGAAGATGATGGTGCGGATGTAATTAGATGGATCGATAGAAACCTGATCAAATTATGTCAAAAGTACGCTGATTACAATAAAGATGATCCAAATTCCTTTAGATTGGCACCAAACTTCTCTTATTATCCACAATTTACGTATTATTTAAGAAGATCTCAATTCTTGAGTGTTTTCAACAATTCACCAGATGAAACTGCTTTTTACAGACACATTTTCACTCGTGAAGATACTACAAATTCCCTAATTATGATTCAACCAACGTTAACTTCATATTCAATGGAAGAGGAACCACATCCAGTCTTATTGGATTCTATTTCCGTAAAACCAAACACTATCTTATTATTAGATACATTCTTTTATATTTTAATTTATCATGGTGAACAAATTGCTCAGTGGAGAAAGGCAGGCTATCAAGACGATCCAAATTACGTTGATTTCAAGACTTTATTAGAAGAGCCAAAATTGGAAGCTGCAGACTTATTAATTGATAGATTTCCATTGCCAAGATTCATTGATACTGAAGCTGGTGGTTCGCAAGCCCGTTTCTTGTTGTCTAAATTGAATCCCTCTGATAATTACCAAGATATGTCACGTACTGGTAGTACTATTGTTTTGACTGATGATGTTTCGTTGGAAAATTTTATGACCCATTTGCAACAAGTCGCCGTCAGCGGTCAAACTTAAATTCCGCTTGATACTGATTGTGAGAGAATAGATTTAGTGACGAAGAATTATACACATACAAATCCAAGAGGGTTAAAATACGCATTTATATGCTTTCAAAAAAGACATCAAACCAATTTGAGGAAGGAACAAGACAATTTATTTTATAATATCGATCTTAATTATAGTTTGGAGGAGAATCAGAAGTTGAATAGAAAGAATACAAGTATTTGGGACTTAATATTTAATTTTATATTGAACTTATTTAATTTTAAGTAAATGAGAACAGATATCTTTTTTAATTTATCATCTAACATGCTGAGAGTAAAACAAATAAATAAATAAAGGGGAAGAAATAATCACCAACTAGATACATTCATATGCATTTTATATGATATAATAAGAATACGTTATATAGTTCTAGAATTCAAAGATTGGCATATCTAATGTTACTCCATCAAAGATTATAAAATTGTTCAACGGTTGCTGTTTTTTACCCAGAATATTAATAACATCTTGTGAAACAGCACCACCAAGAACCGCAGCTACTGGGGAAAACTCAACTCCATTTTGTTTAATAAATTGTTCAACATATTCTGGTTTTAGAATTAAATTTGGATCTATTCGTAATTGTTCACATGTGTTTTCAAGTTCTTCCCTGAATAAAGAAACGTTACTGGAAACCATATTAGTGTCTTTAAGATAGGTTAAAGTTAATGGAAGTATAGGAGATACACGTTTTAGTTGTCTTTTTGTCAATTTTCCCTCTAAAGTCGCGGTACATAACAGTTTCTCAAAAGGAACATATTTATTCTTTGTCACCAAGTTTTCATAAATTTTCTTTGGCTCCTCTGGGTCGATGGTAACTTCCAAAGAAACAATCTCCTTATTAGGAGAGATTGAACCAAGTGCAGATTGTTTGATACTTTGTAATTTCTTATCTCTGGAATCGAATTGGATTAAATCTACAAAGATATAACCAAATAATCCATTGGATCCTGCCACATATAATGGTGTATTGTTAGAACGGGTCCACCAGTTCAATTGAATGATCTGATCCTTGGTTAACTCCGTACCAATAACAATATCGTAGTTACTATTGTTCTTTGAAATTAAATTTTCAAAAGTATCTGTTTCAATAGAAAAGTTTACCCTGGGATTCAAATCCACAATCTTGTCCTTTATAGTATCGATTCTAGGTTTCCCTACATCAGCAGATGTCAGAAAAAATTGAGAGCCCAAGTCTTCTTCTGTTACCACATGGTTATTATCCAAAATAGAAAAATGACCTACACCACTTAACACAATATTCTTTGTAATTTCTGTACCTATGGCTCCAACATTGATTAATAGAACTCTTGCAGAACGAATATTTGTCTGTGCTTCCAACCCCCACAGACGGATTTGTCTATCATAAAGAGCAATTTCATCTTCACCTAAGGTTTGTTTGGCAGGATTATTTTTTGTAGCATTCATCTCCAATCGTTCAAAGACTTGATATCGCTATGATGATATATTATTCTCTTTTTTTGGTTCTATCAAATTTCTTGTCGCAGATTTTAATTCACTAAATTAATTTTCTATTGTCAGAAAAGCTGTGTTTTTAGTCGAGTTCTAATTCCAATTTTTGGAGGTAATTTCTTAACACCTTCTTGAAGTTATTTTGTCAATTAAAAGTTTCTATTCTTCCTTTACAATGATTGTCTTGGATGACTTGTTCTTGAACGTTGATGTCCTTTATACTGGGAATGTAATTTCCAAAAGGAAATTTCTCGAAGAATCCCTGTAGAACATAAAAAAAAAGATTGAAAAAATAGAAATAAAGAGTGAAATTACAATGAGATGTCTAAGAAACTTTAAAATACAAAGTGACACAGAATAGGGACAAATCTAGAGACGACTAAACTGTTTAAAAATTTATTAATTGTGGCTGTGTATCAAAATCAGGGAATAGTAACATATATAAAAAAAGTGAGGGAGAAGAATAATACAATTTTGTAAACTCTTTTTTTTTATTTGATTGAGCTTTTAATATTATTCGCAAGTAGTAATGAATTTACTGAGAATATTGGATGATAAGCCTGCCCCATCTATTGCAGATGCCAAAACTTTGGGTGCATCAGGAAACACTTCTGGGGACTATTGGTTGCCTACAACCATGTGTCTATACCAGAAGGAATTAACTGATCAAATTGTCTCTTTGCATTATTCTGATATTTTAAGATATTTCGAGACCTCTGATTTCAAAGAAGACGTTGTATTAGAATCAATGAAAACAATGTGTCAGAACAGTGCCTTAGTAGCCACACATCCATTTCTTTTGATTGACCATTTCTTACCGAAATCGTTGATTGCTAGAGATATTCCATCACATTTATGTGAAACAAGTGGGAAATTTACTGTGTTGAAAGATCTGATCACTTTAGTTCAAGATTATGAAACGGATACTGCTTTAGTGTGTCGTCCTGGTCGGACAATGGATCTTGTAGAGGCTTTGTTATTGGGTAGCAAAATTGATATAAAAAGATATGATTCCAATTCCATAAAATCAAGACAAAAGAAACAGAAAAAAGTGTCATATCCTTGTACTGTACATCTTTTCCCATCAGAGCATTGGGATATTAAAAACTCTCCAATAGATAAGAATGTTGAAAGATTTGATATGCTTATTGCATTAGATCATAGCGTGAATACAAATAATAAAGATATGATCAACATATTGACCCATGGTAGAAGAACAAAACACAAAGGAGATCGTAGTACGGCAACAGAATCACGAGCCCCTATAGTTCGATTAATAGTAATTAATTCATTTGAACATTGCGATTTGTTTTTTAGGGAAAAATATAGTGAAGATACAAGAGAATACTTGGAAGCAGTGACAGCTGCAGTTGTGGTTTTAAGAGATAGAGTTGGAGTGTTACCACCTGATTTACGACCTATCTATAATCAACATCTAGGATACCTCGTTGAATGGTTGGAGGATCCATCATTACCATGGCCATTGCCTGATATTTACACGATTAAACATTATACTTCAATGGATGTGGAAAGATCGTTACTAAGTGAAGTGAATTATACACAGAATGACGATTTAGATAGTGCATTTTCAAATACTAATAAGAAACGGTCTCGTATGAGTAGACCGCAATTGAACAATCATAAAGAATCATCAGTAGATTCAAACGACATAGCTAATTCCACAGTTCCTAGTTTTTATGAAAGCAAACGATTAAAAAATGATTATTCAAAAAACCCAACAAAACAAAGAAAGGGTATTCTTACAGGAATTATAGATAATCATGATATTTCAAGTGGCAATTATCATTTATCTAGTGATATATTGACTCATAGATTAATGCAATCTATGGCTCAAGTCTATTACGATTTAGAATTACAAAAGAAAGAAATACAAATGTATGATGACGTTAATCCTATTGAGGAATTTCATACAAAGTTCTATTCAAAAGAAGATATAGAGATGAAGGAGAAACTAAAGAAATGTGATGGCAGTATTGAATCAAACAAAGATTGTTGCCAAGATCTAAACAAAGAAAATAAATCATTTTATCAAGATACAGAGACATTGCAAAAACAATTTGATGATATACTGGAAGTTTTTGCAAAAAAGGGAGAATTGGCGTCAAAGTTAAAAGATTTGATATTAAAGAAGTACGATTTAGAAGAGATTATAAAGAAGGAAACTAGAAAGAGTGAATCAAAGGATATAGAGAGCGAATATATGAAGAAAGAAATAACGAGAGCTCATGACTCAACTGAAGATTCACTAAAAAATATTAACGTGTTATCGATGACATGTCAAAAGATAGAAGATGATCTGAAAAGTGTATCCAACAATTTTTGTGTCAAGAGTAATCAAGTTAGTGAAGAAATAAAACACCTGAAACAGTTGCATTCAAAAGAAAAACAATTAAACAAGGATTTGGAAGAACAGCTCGAAACTTTGGTTAAGCGTTTACAACAGATACCTGCTCAAAGAGTACGAACATCCCAACAAGCAGGTTATTCTTCGAGAAAAAGGTGACTTGATTTTTTTTTGGTATTAATCATTAACGAACTCTTTACCTATTCTTTGATACACAGTACATATCCTACAAATATAGCTTTTATACGTATATATCATCTATATGAGTTAATGCATTTTTGAACACATAGGAGAAGAGTCAACATTTCATTTCCCACAGTTTTACTGATCGATCCCATCCACTACTGATGATATATTGTGAATTGTTTGTAAAACTAACGTCTAAGATTTTATCAGTGTGTCCTTTTAATGAAGTTAATTTGTTCCAGTTCCCACTACTAAAAATATTTATTGTTTTATCATAACTTGATGAAATCAAACATTCCCCATTTACCGGTTCAAATTGAACTGAGGTAACAATATTATTATGAGCTAATATTTTGCCACAGATACCTGGTTTTCTAAGATCCCAAATATGAATAGAGCCATCACCACTCCCTGTTGCTAGATTATATCCGTTTGGTGACCAATCCATCGTATAGATTGGTTTTACATGACCGGACAAAGTCATCAATAGGGAACCAGACCTTAGATCCCATAACATTGCCAAATTATCTAACCCGCCTGTACAGACAAGAGCACCATCTCGCTGGAATGCAAGACTGTAAACTTCCTTAGCATGTCCCTCTTGTAATAACAACTCTTTTGAGGTCTCTAAATCCCATAATTTCCATGTAGTGTCAAAGGACGCACTTGCGATATATTTGTCAGAAGGGTGAAATTTAGTGGTTACTACTCTTTGATCATGAGCTTTAAAAGAACTTATGGCTTTAAATACATTTAGATCATTTTGATAGTGGTATATGCTAATATAAGTGTTTTCTGATCCACTGACTAAGTGGGAACCTGTGTGGTTCCAATCCAAACCACCAATTTTCCCTCCAGTTGCCACTGTTACTGGCCCAGAAGATGAATTATGAATTATATCTAAAGAGTTGACATCTAATATCTTCACATCACCAGCCCAACTGCCTGTTGCAAAATAGTTACCCTTTGGTGATATACTAATTTTAGAAACTGGTCTTGTAGACGCTATCTGTGACCCAACTAAACTAAAACTTTGCAATTGTTTGTTGTAAGCTCTTCTTCTTTTAATCTCAGTTGGAATGTCTATTTTACTGGCCATATTTTTTTGTTTCTTTAATCTTTGTTCTGATTCAATCAATGAGTATTTTATAATGTATTTTCTTGCTTGAATCAATTCATCCGTGGCTGGCGTATAAAAATCTTCTTCTTCCTCTTCCGCTTCATTATTATCGGATTCTTCCTCTTTAGGATTGATATAATCTTGATTATTTTCAGTTCTGTCACTAGTATTTAATGGGTTAAATTCCTTCAAGCGGTAAAGAAGATTTTTATTAGCATATAAAAATTTAGCTAATCTGTCTCTACGACTCTCTACACTTTCATCAATCAACTGTTCTGGCTCATTAAAATATTTTAATAACCACCTCACATCCTCATCATTTTCGTATTCTTTAGGAATAATACTCAATCTTTCTTTTTTGGTTCGTTCTAAAGCAATAACGGCACTATTAGAATTATTTGAATCAGAGTTTCCATGTTCCGAATAATCAACAACAACTTTTAAATTTTCCAAACTTTGCATAATCTTAGTACAAAACCTAAACGTATTTATCTTTCTCTGTTAATCACTCTAAACACCTTACTCCTCCCCATGTATACGCCTATAGATCTTTTTACTCTTGTATCTTTAACTTGAAGTAAATTCATAAACAAAAAGTTTTCAAATATTTCATAAAGACCACCTGAAATATCAAAAACTTATAAAATAAATGAAAAAAGTGTCAAATTCTAAAGATAACACACTAAAAGTGAGATATTCCTCTGACAAGCCTACTTTATGAGAAAGATTGACCTCGTTGACTGACAGTTATATTTAACCTTGTATAATAAAGCAAGAGGAAAGAAAAAAAGGAATCACCCAAAAATAGATCACATTAAAAAATAGGAATATTTATTCAGAAGATTATGGTGAATGCATTACTTAAGGAAAAACATATCAAATATTTGAAATCATTGGATTCCCAAAAAGAGACATTGGAGTATTGGCTATCTGAACATTTAAGGCTTAATGGTATATATTGGGGGCTTACTGCTCTTTGTATTCTAGACTCAAAGGAGACATTCCAGCGTGAAGAAGTGATCCAGTTTGTAATGTCCTGTTGGAACAATCGTACCGGCGGATTTGGTCCATTTCCCAAACATGATGCCCACATGTTGTCTACTTTATCTGGATTACAAATATTATTGACATACGATGCAATTAATCTTATAACAGAGGACTCAGAGAAATTGGACAGTGTAGTTCAGTTTATTAAAGGGAATCAATTACCTGATGGATCCTTTCAAGGCGATCGTTTTGGAGAAGTTGATGCTAGGTTCAGTTATAACGCTCTAAGTGCACTATCTATACTTGGAATGCTATCACCGGAAGTCGTAGACCCAGCTGTAGAACACATTCTAAAATGTCTGAATTTTGATGGTGGATTCGGTCTTTGTCCAGGGGCAGAAAGTCATGCATCGATGGCATTTACCTGTCTTGGTGCATTGAGCATAGTCAATAAGTTAAATTTACTTACTCCAGAACAGATTGATACAATTGCATGGTGGCTTTGTGAAAGACAAGTACCAGAAGGTGGACTGAATGGTCGTCCCAGTAAGTTACCAGATGTTTGTTACAGTTTTTGGGTTGTGTCGTCATTGGCTATAATAGATAGATTAGATTGGATAGATTCAGATAAATTAGCCAATTTCATCTTGGAGAGTCAAGACGAAATAAAGGGTGGGATTGCTGATAGACCTGGAAATGAAGTGGATGTGTTCCACACCGTGTTTGGTCTAGCTGGGTTAAGTCTTATTGGTTATGATAATTTAGTTGAAATAGATCCAACTTATTGCATGACTTATGAAGTGACCTCCAAGATTCATAAGTATCCTTATTGAATGCGAGAGTGTGTATTATTTTAATTCAAATGCTAATAATTATATATATATATATATACGCTGTAATTATTAAGAGTTGTTCTATGACCGTTTTCAACCAAATAAACGATTACGTTCATTCATTTATTTTCTTTTTTTTATTTGCCTTGTAATAAATCAAAATGAAATTGCTTCTTCATGAACAGTTCTTGTGGTCGCATTAAAGACTAAATATCTTGCAGTTTTATTAAGAATGAATTTACCTGGATTAATCGTCTTACAACCATTATATGTCAAATCAAACCGTGGTACCGTTGGATCACACACAATAAGCACTGATGGTAATGGAGACAGTATTAATGTGTGGTCACGGTTATAATTGATAGATGATGAGGCAAACGGTTTCAAATGTCCTTGATCTAATAACGTCTTAACATACTTCCTGGTTTCTATAATATTGAATTGCACTTCTGGAATTTCGGGTAAGGTTTCATGTCTTGCCATGGGCCCATCTTCATTATCACTTGGGTCTTCAATATATTCGTTATCTGAAATTTCCACATCCTGATTTAAATCAGTATCAATTTTAGCTTCCTCAATTAATGGGAATTCGATAGAATATTTTTTGAATTTTCTATTTATGTCGTCTCTCATCAAAATTATTTCTTGTGATAAAAATGCTATTCTACTTGGATTTGAGACCCATTTGACTTTAGTTCCTAATCTTTTCAGTTTTTTAACGAATTCAGAAGGAATCGGTTCTTGAGGCGAAGCAGGGCCATCTCCAAGAAGAAGAGATCCACCCCATGGATCATTAGGGCCTGGTACAAAGATTAATTGACAATATTCTATGATATTTTCATATTGATTAAGTAACTGATACAATCTCTCAAAACTCATTTCATAAGATTTACCTGTAGTTACCTGAGTTTCAGAATATGATGGAAAAACTGGGGCTGATGAGAAGGACCCAAAGAAAATAATACCTATTGGAGCCACGCCATTCTCTATAATGTTATTTTCAATCCTTTGAAAAACTTTCTGCAATGCATTAAATGTAATTTCTTGACCTAAAAAAATATCTCCACCTAATATAATAAATTTACTCAAATTTTGAGCATTCAATTCTTGTTCTAATGACAACAATCTGATTTTCAAATCATTACTTATCCTTGTGATGGGGGAGTCTAAATTATCGTTATTGTTACATATATTTAAAAAATCTATGTTTCCAATGGCATCTTGTGTCTCTTCTCTTCTTTCTGCAGGTGGATGTGTCACAGATGTTATATGAAATTTATGACCTACAGTGAAATATATACCTTCAGCAAGAACGATACACCCTGGATAATAATATAATCCCTCTGTGGGGTTTGCCTGGGAGATATCTACTTCGATCTTACCAGATAAATCCTCCATTTGTAAGTTTCCCTTAGCATTGTAGGTTAAAAGACCCAAAATTAGGAAATTTTGACCATCTCTACCCAGTAAATTTTTAATCTGGGTAATTGCCATATACGTGGAAGGTGTAGAAGTATCTAAATTATTTTGTAATAGGTCATTTTGTAATGCTACCATTGAGGATAATGGATTAAAATTGTCGTTTGAATTTTGGAAATTTTCATTTCTTAAGGTTCTATCTCTTATAATAGAATAGCGAGTCATGAAACTAGTTATTTTACGATCTATATTGGTGATTAAAGAAGTTGGCGGTTGAGGAGACATATATTGCTTTTTGAATCCATCATATGGGAAATAATGTTGCTCGGATGCATTAATTATCCTATAGTAATCTGTCCAAATGAGGCTGTTTCTCATATCGTGATCCAATTTTGTCTGTGATCCCACATTAATCAGAGGATCAGAATAATTTGATTCATGGATATGAATATGTGTATGGCTATTATTCCGGCTATTGTCAAAACAATTTCTTTGTTCAATTTCATTTAAAACATTTTGACAGCCAAGCTGGTCGATGAATAAACCTCTATCCTGCTGTTTCCAAACTTGTGCAAATTGTTCCAAGAATCTTAAAGTATCTGGATTCTTCTTCCAATTAATACCGAACCTGGACCCAATGATAGTGGCTAATGCATTCAGCCCATCTGATTTAATACTTAAACCATACTTTTTGGACAAGATCCTATATGCCAATGGTCTAAGATGAGCAGGTTGGATTTTGGCAGGTAACACAGTCCCATCACTTGGTAAGATCATCGTATATTGGTAAAAAAAAGAAAAAAAAGTTTTTAGATTTCTTTTTTGATGAACAATCTGCTTGTTCAATAGACTTAATTTCTCTCCAATATACCAAGAAACAGAAGTATGTTGAAGAATATCTTCACTGTCAGAAAATAAAATTCTGTTTACTCTCTCTTCTTGTTGGCAAAGAAAACCTGTTATATCAAAACAATTGGTGGGCTCATCAAGTCTTCTCTTCTTCCAAGTTGTGTTATCTTATGTATTCTTCTCCTCTTTCAATTACGATCAAATCAGAATCTGAAACTGCTTCATTTAGGGTTGATTGAAAACCAGAAGGAATTTCTGGAGCTACCCTGTGTATTTTTTGTAAATAACAGAAAAATTTCTAACAAATGGTTCAAAACCCTAACTCTATTTTTTTTTGGAAAAATTTATCTTATTTTTTTTTTATTTATTTATTTTTTTTTTTTTTTGATTCTTGTATATTTCCAACAGAACAAGCCAGATCTTTGAACTATAAATCTTTATTCCATCACAAACCAAAGAGGAATTGGCATTGTTTGAACACAACTGAAGGGAGTTTAAACTATATACGAGGAATCTATATCAGAATATCGTTGCAAGGTTGTAGTATTTGTTGTATCATAAAGGACTTCCTAGTTTTTTTTTATTATCTTTGTTTTTGTTTTCCATCACGACTGTAGAAATAATTAAAGATACACAGTTAAACATTGGATATTCTTATTCTTTTTTTTTTTTTTGGTTCAATATTTGCATTGTTTAGGATGGTTGACAAATCATCATGCCAGATGACACGTCAAAAACAATTGAAGGAAGAAAAATGGAACCGTCAGATTGGAAATAATCCTAGATTAGGTTTGGCTTCGAATAATAGACACCTGAGATATCAATTGGCTAGGCGGTTGCGTCACTCAAAGAATTTCAAAAATGTTAATCCAAGAAGATATAAAAACTCAGCACAGATTAAACATGTTTTAACCACAAGGGATAAATTAAAGAATATATGGCATAGTATAAAGTTATTGTTTACTTCTGATGATGATGTGTACTATCACGGGTTGGAATCAAGCACATCTAATAACGAGAATCAGTATTATTATAACCCTATTACGAAAAGCAGAACTACACCCAATCTAAGTATACCTTCTTCTTATACAAGAGAGGATTCATCTCGTTCCACAATTGACACTACGTTAGAGTATATGCCAGTTCAACAAGAAAATGTCTCCATATTTGAAGATAATTTAGTGGGTCATGAACCAAAAACTAAAAGTATTAACAGTCATAACGATAACAATGGTGATGATGATGATAATACCAATAATGCTGAACAATACAATGGTACAAAGGAAGATCCACGTGATGAGACTATTGTCAAATTAAAAGAGCAAGTGGTTTTATTGAAGAAAAAGTTGAAGTACGCAAGAGAGAAAAACACTCTATACAAATCTTTACTAGATGAAGCAAACATTGGAACTACCTACTTAGAATCACGCAGACATATTAAAAACCTTGTCAGAGATAACATGAAACCTGAATCTGAATTACCGCCTTCACCTGAAAGAAAAGTATACCCCTTGGTAACGTCAAGTCCGATTAGACAGAATATAGGTGCTACCAACATCACAAGTGCAAACAAGCCGACTTCCTCATCTTCTACCACTTCCTACCATAATGATGCAGTGCAAGCTCCACCTCAGATGAAAAGTTATTATAATAAATATCCGAAATTGCCACACACAGAGTCTCTTATAAAAAGAGAACCAGCAAATAACGATGAGGAGAATAAGGAACAACGTCTATAGAGCTCGACCAAGTCCCATAGACACCTCTATTTTTTTTTCTATATTCTCTCTGTTGAAATTGTTAGAGAGATTGGATGCACATGGCATTTTGTTTCTTGTTTATATTAGAGATCACGTGATAATTTGGTGTCGGCTTTCTTTCTTTTTTTCAAAAATTTTCAGTTTTTTTTTTTTTTTACTTTTTCTTTTATAAAAAATTTATTGGTCTTCTTTTCATTTCTGCCTCTGTCAATTATTACTCAAGCAGTCAAGCGTATCTGTCTGCTAAATAGAGTGGCTCTCCCTTTTTCATTTATGTTCCCCTCGAGATTGAAGGTTATGCTAGACTGTAAGTTAATTAATCATCACATCAATCAGCATTTTTAGATTGGAGATCAAGGAGTATTGTTACCATCACTGATTGCTTTCCAAGAAACTAAGACGTCTAAACAAACGTTTTTTTTTAAAAAAAAAAATCCAGTTCTGGAGTTCTTTTTATTTTTTTTTTTAATTACTGTATTTATTTTTTTCCAATTACTTTGCTTTCATCTCTTTCTGGTCATTCATGAGTACAGGTGATTTCTTAGCCAAGGGGATTGATTTAATCCAGCATGCCATTGATTTAGATACGGCTACCCAATATGGAGAAGCATATACTGCATACTATAATGGTTTGGATTATTTAATGTTGGCATTAAAATATGAAAAGAATCCTAAATCAAAAGACCTAATAAGGACAAAGTTTAGTGAGTATCTGAATCGTGCAGAGCAATTGAAAGAGCATTTGGAAGCAGTTTCTAATGACAACAAGGACAATTTAGCAAATGGTAATAAAAAATCAAATAGTAAAGGGAGAGTGGCTACTGGTAGCAACGATAGTCACAAAGCTAATGGTAATGGCAGCGGAGATGATGATGATGCTGATGACGATGATGGAGAAGATAAAAAAAAATTGAGAGGGGCCCTATCTGGAGCTATTTTAAGTGAGAAACCAAACGTAAGATGGGAGGATGTGGCAGGTTTGGAAGGTGCTAAAGAGGCTTTGAAAGAAGCTGTGATCCTACCTGTGAAATTTCCTCATTTGTTTAAGGGCAATCGTAAGCCAACAACAGGGATTTTATTGTATGGACCCCCAGGGACAGGTAAATCATATTTGGCTAAGGCTGTTGCCACAGAAGCCAATTCGACGTTTTTCAGTGTTTCTTCAAGTGATTTGGTATCTAAGTGGATGGGTGAATCAGAAAAATTGGTGAAGCAACTATTTGCAATGGCTAGAGAGAATAAACCTTCAATTATATTTATAGACGAAGTCGATGCATTAACTGGACAAAGAGGTGAAGGAGAAAGTGAGGCAAGTAGACGTATAAAGACTGAATTATTAGTACAGATGAATGGTGTGGGGAATGATTCGCAAGGTGTACTTGTTCTTGGTGCTACTAATATCCCATGGCAACTGGATAGTGCAATAAGAAGAAGATTTGAAAAGAGAATATATATCCCGTTACCGGATCTTGCATCAAGAACCAAGATGTTCGAGATTAATGTTGGAGATACTCCATGTACCTTAAGTAAAGAAGATTATAGATCATTGGGACAGATGACGGAAGGTTATTCAGGTTCAGACATAGCGGTGGCAGTTAAAGATGCTTTGATGGAACCAATTAGAAAAATTCAAATGGCCACACATTTTAAAAACGTATCAGAAGATCCAGGCAAAAAAAGATATACACCATGTTCTCCTGGGGATCATGCTGCTATTGAAATGTCTTGGGTAGATATTGAAGCAGATGAATTACAGGAGCCCGATCTTACAATAAAGGATTTTTTGAAAGCTATTAAGACAACAAGACCTACAGTTAATGAGGAAGATTTGCGTAAACAAGAAGAATTTACGAGAGATTTTGGTCAAGAAGGTAATTAGTTAGTTGTGTAATGACATCATTAATCTACTGGGACGGTTACTAATGTTGCCATATTGATGGTATATAAGAAAAAACATGAGTATGTGCGTGTGTGATCTAATGTTATAAAAAAAATAGAAAAAGAAAAAGAAAAGGAAAAGAGTGATTGAAGTTTATTAATAGATAATGTGATATAATGAATTATGATCCTTGAACATGACGTATATGTATATATATATATATATATATATATATATATATATGTGTGTGTGTGTGTGTGTGTGTGTGTGTGTTTATTTGTGCAGTAATTTCACATTTATTTATAGATACTGGTGTTATTTTCACTGTCAGTGACTTTCGCACTTTCAATTTTAACTTTCACGATAACAGTATTCTCCCCTAAGATAAACACTTCAGCATCAGGATTTGTTTTCAATAACAAGTTTTTATAGTAGTTAGATTCTTCAGAAGATCTCTCAATAGGAATAGCATGGCCTTTAATAGTGGCACTCATTTCGTTTAATTCATCTTGGTTTAATTGTTGTAGAAGGTTTAGCAGTTTGCTTGGATGTGCTGGAGTAGAATCTGTCAATGATGTGGGTTTATCAGAGCCTTGTACATCTTTTGGTGTCCCTACCTGCGACAAGGTTCTTTTCTTTGCAGAGAGGCTGTTTGCTGTGATCCAATCATGAAATAATAGTGAGACTACTGGGTTTGCTAGGATATTGACATATTTCTCTGTGTTGTCAAAAGTGGCAAAAATAATATAATCACTGTTATCATCTTTCTGGAAGGTTTTGTCCGCTGGAATATAAGTGTAATTCATCAAGGAGACAGATGGTATACAATCCTTAGATGCAGTAGCTAAATGGACATATTTGGAAGTCTTGATCAAATTAATCAAATGATCTGGAAATTTCTTGGTGCAAGACATTGTAAGGAACTTGAATTGAAATAATAACGACGCTTCAGCTAAACAGTTCTAGATGGTTTTGTGTATTTCAAGTGATCGGTATATTTAAAGATGTGAATATCGAAAGATTTGAACAGTGGTTCTATAACTTACCTGCATCTAAGAATTTGACATTAGAAAATTGCTCTTCTTTATATAAAAAAGGGATGTGAGACGTTACAGAAGATAAAAAAGAGAAAGAAAGAGAAGAGAAAAAAGAAAAAAGTAATTTTGTTGTGGAATAATGACAAATCGTGGAGGTGTGGGTGTTTATAATGATTACGTAATACACCAACAAGTAATTTGTGACACACACACAAGCACGTATATGTATATAATATTATTGGAGATGTTTTTTTTTCTTTATTTAATCAATACTATGTGAAATCCTCACTTCTATATCTTTGTTGGTAATTTTCTCTTCGGACCCTTTGCACGTTTTTTGGTTGGGTGATTCAATGAAGGTGTACTATTTTCAGAAGAAATAGATAGGGAGATATTCGATGTTGATGGAGATGGGATGCTGTTGGAGGAAGTAGGAGTATATGTAAAAAAGTGACTAGGGTTTTCTTCGTTGACTGTATGTCTTTTTTGTAAGAGAAGTATTTTAGAGAGTTTATCCTCAATTGACAAGGACTTATCAGAGTCCGAATTAATGTTAAGAATATCACTAGTGGGCGTGATAGTAGTATTTGTTTCTGTTGGTATATCGTTATTTACAGCTTTCTTGTTTCTATTTTCTCTTAATTCTTTGGCTCTTTTCAATGCTTCAGGCATAGATATTTTTCTTGACGGGATTGCAGGGGCAGTTTTGGATTTAATTATATGCCTGTTTGGGAAATTATCATTAGTCTTTAAATTAGCATGTTTTATCAACGCCTCAGGTAAATTCGGTTTAGTATTTTTATTCACAGGAGGTGGTAGGGTTTTGTCCTTCTTAAGTGATTTTAATTTTGGTAATTCAATATACATAGGTTTGGTATCTTTATTCACAGGGGGTGGTAGAGTCTTATTTTTTTTAACTGATTTTAATTCAGGTATACCTATATATTCTTGAATTTGATTTTTCTTTTCTAAAGAATTGCCTATTTGTGGTTTTTCAATTTTACGTAATTGAGGTAGTTTAATATAATGATCGTTATTTGAGGTTTCTTCCTTTTTATTATTTGTTATTATTTTCTTTGGTGATGAATTGATTTGGAAATTTATTAAAGTATTAGGTTTGTTTGGCAACAAAGGTTTCTTTTTCAACGAAAGTGAATGGTTTGATTCAGATTTCTTTAGTGCAGATTCAATAAATCTTTCAGTGTTGGATTCAATTGTTGATTTTTGATTAGATTTTGAACTATTAAATTTTTTGTAATTAGAAGGAAAACTAGATTGTTGTGGATGTTTTGTTATTATTGTGGATCGATTCTCTTGCATAGAATCTAAATAATCCACATGATTTGGACTAGATATAAGTGGTTTAGAGACTGTTTCTTTTTTTGTTGTAATAGTAGTGTTAGGATTTTGTTGTAAGGATTCCAAGTAATCCAGCATCCTATGTGTCGAAGCTTTTGAAGTAGTTTTCACCAAATCTTCCTGGTTTTGGCTCATTGCTAAATTTCTATTTTGTAATGAATCAAGAAAGTTTACTGGTTTTGAAGCTCTATTGACAATTGGATTCATAGTTGATTTTGGTTTATTGTTTTCTTCTATTCGAGAGTTCATATCGTTGTCATCATCGGAAATATCAATCAAATCTATTTCTTTTTCATGTTTAATGTTAACTATCCCAAATACTATTCCTTCTGGTTTTCTGCTTTTCGTAGACTGCTTTGTATTGGATTGAAACCTTTCCAAGATGTCAGTTTTTCGTCTTGGTAATTCTGGTCTTCTTTCATTGCCAAAATTATCGTTTCGCTCTTCCTTTTCATCACCTTCTATATTCTTTACGGTATATTTTGATTTAGTGTACCTTTGAAATCTTTCCTCATACGGATTAATGTTACTGAGTTCTTTTGGTTTTCTTGGAGGTAGTGTAGGGACCATATCTACAATATTACCACGGTCATCTACGTTATTATAAGTATGATCCCTTGCTAAGAGTTCTTGTGCCAATTGCCTACTAGACGATATATCTTCATTGTTTTTGTTAAGCTGCAAATTTTCTTTATTTAATCTTTGTTGGGCTTTAATCCTTTGTAAAAGTAGAAAATCTTCTCTTGAAACAACGTACTCTCTTGATGTTGTATTAGAGTTATGACTAGAATTAGAATTAAATGTTTTATTATAATTATATGCCGACTTATATGCTAGGTCTGCAATATCAGTAGTAGTATCATTATCATCAATAATATCGATTTGTGTGTTATATGAATATTGAATCATATCAGGATGTATTCAAAACTATTTTACAGTTGTTGTTGTTGTTGTTGTTGTTGTTGTTTTTTAAGTTAGAACACTCACTCAATAACCATGGAATTTCTTAGACAGTATATATGTTGGATAAGGAGAACAAACTTATGTTATAATGATGAAAAGATGAATCCTTCCTTTCTTAATAACAGTTGACTCTTTCTCGAGGTTCTTTTTTTTTTTGCATACGTTTGTTATACCAAAGGCAAGCAAAGAAAACAAGAGGAGAGAAGAGAAGAGAAATTCCTCGATGCTGTTTCAACTAAATGGAAACAAGAGTGGATCAGTACATTAGAATGATAAGATACTAAGGGTATAGTTGAGTGGATATGATACATTAATAGTTTGTTACTTGAATAAATACGTATGTACGCGTGTATGGATATGTATATGTATTTGCATATATATATATATATATATATATATTGAAATGATTGGAGTAGATGAAAGTTATTAACGCAGTTCGATAGATGACTTCTTTGTTGTTAAATAGGCTTGGAACCCACAAAAGATAAAGAATATTAAATAGACTAATGCTGCAAGGTAGATAGTATGTGCCACACTGTAGAAAAAAAATGATATTAAAAGTATATGGGAGTTGTAAACATCGAAAAAAGAACAGCAGACATTAAGGTATGAGGAGACAAGACACATTTCTATTGCACTGGCAGGGGTTAGAAATCTATTATGAATGTCTATGTCCAACCTTTTACCAGGTATCCACTAATCTTCAGAATGAAACAAAATGACATAAACGTTGGTTAGTATAAAAGAAAAAAAGAAGACAAGGATATGAATTAAATTCAATTAACGGTTCATATCTCTCTTTGATACTTTTCTTTTTGTTTAATACATACGCTGGTCCATCTTCTGGTTGGTTAATTGACCCTACAAAACCTTCGTGGTTGATATTGAATAAATGAGCAATGACACTAAGTATCACTACCCCAAATGCAGACAATATGGTACAGAACCATGCTTTACCGGACTAAAAATAAAAATAAAAGTTAAAAATGGGGGAGAAGATATGAAGATATATATATAAATGTATTTGGTTGTTAGTATATTAGAGAATGGACATAATGCAAAATGTGAGTATGCTTAATAATACGAACAAGCTAGACGACAGCTGGAATCAATTACATACCGATACTACAGGTTTCATTTTATTTGTTTTTTTTTTCTTTTATTTGTATATATGTGAGGTGATTGTGTCTATATGTTATATGTAAAAGTCCTGAGGAAGGGGACAGCAGGGGAAAAGGGATATATCTTTAACTATGTAGCAGATTTGAGACTTGTAGAAAAGTATAATACACTTAAAGCTAACCACAACCAAAATTAGAAATATCAGATGGTTTTGGTGTTGGTGTGGATGTGTGATGACTTGATATTATTATGCACAAATCCTGCCTTTCCTCACTGTCATTAGAAAGAAATGTGTTTTCTGTGATTTCTTTTCCTTTTTTTTTTCCTTCTTATTTTAATTTTTTTTATTTGTTTTATTTTCGATGGATGGGTTCTTGACGTCGTGGATTTTCAATATTTTCTAATTCTTCTTTGTTATGACAATTCAAACGTTTTGAATAATACACAAAATGATAAGTATGATGATAATTTATATTAGATATTACACATGTTATTTCTATATAGTATTCCTATTCTTGATATATTTTATGAGTATGATATGGTTATTATAAGTAGGATGAAAAAACAGTTATAACTGACATGGTTATGTCACTATTCTGGATAGCACGTTACAATCCCTCGAACTTAAGAATGCCATGATTGTTGTTACCTTGATTATTCTTTTTGGGATATTGTGATTTCTTTTGTCTTTTGTTCTTCGTTTCCTTCGTTTTGTCCTTGCGTCTACGTTTACTTGATATATTATCGTTATTCAAGTTTATATCTTCGTTCTTCTCTAATTCCTCACTGTCACTAACATTTTTTAAATCTTTATCTAATTCTGCTAATAATTCCTCCTTGGACAAACCAACCAAAGTTTCTTCTTCATTCGAAGAACCGTTATCGGTATCACTGTCATCTATATCACTATTATCATCAATGCTACTATCACTACTATCTGAGAATGAGTCGATGTCACTACCTGATTCTTCTTCTCCTTCTTCCTCTTCTTTTTCTGTGTCAGTTACTTCCGGCCATAACTTTATGGAATCCATGCCACCACTAATTACTCTATATTCATGATCTAAGTCTATCATGCTTACTTCGTCCATACAATCTGAATCATGATTTCTAATCTCTATAATTCTATTGCTTTTAATGTTGACTTTATATAATTTCCCATTAGAACAACCACACCAAACACAATTGTCGTCTTGTAGAGTGGAAATAATGCAGTCGATACTTTCCTTCGGGCATACTTTGATCCGTGACATTTGGTCTTCCAAGTCGTTTATTTTGGGTTTCCAAACAGTTAGAATACCTTCACCCATCCCACATACCAGAGTCTCGCCTTTCAGGTTACTCTCTTCGTTATCCACAAAACAACCACAAAGGATCTCATCTTCCTGATCGTCACTCAGCATTATCTTTTCTTTGTCCTTGTTGTGTGTATCCCAATATGCTAACGTGGTTTGACCCAGAGAGATGAATTTATATTTGGATCTATTGACAAACTGGAAAATATCGTTGATTGGGTCGCCGAAATGGATCTTATTAATCCTATTCTTAAGATGTAAACTGGTTGGATCTAGGACAAGAACATCACCTATTTCGTTGCCAAGGATCAAGACATCATCCGTGACTGTTATCTTAGTGGATGGTTGCCAATCCTCAGGCAGTTTTCCTTTCTTGATCACCTGGCCAGTCAGGGAATCTGCTTTCTTAATGATGTTGTCGTTACCTACAGAGAACAAATACCGGCCATTGGAATTTATAGTTAGTCCATGTAAACTAGATTTGTGTCTCTTTGTCTTCCACAAGATTTGCAAACCGGGGATTGTTTCGCCTATATTTACCTCCGGGTAGCCGTGAGGTGAGCTAGATGGGTTTTTGGAGGCGGGAGATAGATGGTTTAAATCGTATTTGTAAGAGAAGATGTGTCCGCTAGATAGACCAAAATACAGGATAGGTTTAGTCGGATGTGCTACGAATTGGAAAAAGGAGGAATCTGGCGTTGAATTCCATTGTAAAAGTGGAGTTATTTTTGATTCTTCTAAAGTTTTTGTCTTTGAATTTTTTTTACCCATCTCACCTTGATCTAATAAATTGAAAAATGCAAAAAGATAAGAATTTTGAATTGAATTGAATTGAATTGGCTACTTTTGGTTAAAAAAACTTAAAGGACTTTTCTATACACTCATTTTCTAAATTCACATTTTAGTATTCTTAAAAGTTTATCGATTCTTTAATAGTAATAATAATTCTATTTTTTTTTTTTTATGCGATGAGCCGTTTTCTCTCTCTTTTTTCTTTAAAAAAATAAATGAAAAAAAAAAAAAAAAAAAAATAAAAGAGAAAAAAGAGGGCAAAATATCTTATCATGAAATTAAACCCTAGAAAAGAAAAAGAAAAATCAAAATTCGCAGATCCTCAACCCTAAAACTGACAACCTGCAGGATACAAAAAATACATCCAGATACCCACAACTTCAGCATCTTTTGTTTATTTTTTTTCTTTTCTCTCCTCCAGGTCATGTGACCCACAGTTTTACTTCTTTTCACAGTCACAATTACAGAAGAAAGAGAAGTAGATAAAAGAGTAAAGAAATTATTACGTGGAAACATATAACAATCTGCAATGTGTCTATGTGTCTTGTGGATGATTCATACACAATTGTAGAAGGTTTATTCCTGTAACAGCAAAGCTGGGTGAGTGTGTGTGACAAAGTGTAAAAATTAGATATAAAAATATTAACTAATTCACTTTATAATTCTGTGTCTTTGTAGTTATTTCTATTTGTCTCTTATCTTATCAAGATACTTTATATATATATATATATATATATTGTGATGGCTTAAGTACACAATCACAGAAACGAAAAAGAAGGAAAACTGATACATAGAAAAAAACATGTCTGACTCTAACAGGATATACCAATTAAATAATAACATCACAGTGACACAGGAACAATTGGATCATTGGAACAAATGCCTTTCTAATTTGGACACACCACAGGAGATCTTGAAATGGTCTATTCTTACCTTCCCACATCTATTTCAAACCACAGCATTTGGTTTGACTGGATTGGCCACAATAGACATGTTATCTAGATTACACAAAGAGAACAGTGACTTGTATCCTATTGTACCGCTAATTTTTATTGACACATTGCACCACTTCCCACAAACCTTGGATCTTTTGAAAATTGTTCAAGAGAAGTATTATACCCCTTACAATTCCCAAATCAACGTGTTTAAGCCAAAGGGTTTGAATTCAGAAGTAGAATTCGCTGACAAGTATGGTGATATGCTATGGGAGAAAGATGATCTGAAATACGATTTCTTAGCTAAAGTGGAACCTGCATCGCGTGCTTATAAAGAATTGAATGTGACTGTGGTGTTCACTGGTAGAAGAAGATCGCAGGGGGCAGCTAGATCAGACTTGAAATACGTGGAAGTTGATGAGATAAATGGGATTCTAAAGATTAATCCATTGATGTTGTGGACTTTTGACGAAGTGAGCGCATATATTGAAAGGAATAATGTCCCACAGAATGAACTGTTACAATATGGGTATAGATCCATCGGGGACTATCATTCAACACAACCTGTTACCGAAGACGAGGACGAAAGAGCTGGCAGATGGAAGGGAAAGGCAAAGACAGAATGCGGTATCCATGAAATTTCCAAATTTGCTCAATTCTTAAAGGAGAAGAATAGTGATTGACAGATAACACAACAGATCTTACAGATCACACACATACTCTGTGTACCCTTTATATACAGATTTATATGTACATTTAAATACAGTTCCAACAATATTTGTTAATCACAATACACACATGGGAGGTGTAGACTTCTTATGGATTCATTTGTTATGAGCATGTGCAACACATCAAAGTCAGCACGTTGTTTTTGTGTGTGTGTGTAGGGGAAAAGGGACTGGTACAGTTTAAGAACAGGTCTTTTGGAAATTAAAGATATATATATATGTATATTCATCCTATACATCCAAAAAAAAAAAAAAAAAAAAAATGGAGTAAAATAAATTAAATTTAATTGAATTTAATTTATTCTGCGATAAAGGATGAATATTGTATAAAGAAAGCGGTTTGAAGAAACAATTTAAAAGCCTGTTGTTGGGTGTGTCTTGAGTTTTAAGGAGAAACAAAACTTTGTATAATCAGTACAAGTAACGTATTTCCTAATAAATTTTGTCAACAAGATCCAAACGATACAAGATGAGATTTCCTGTTAAAACTAAATTACCTCCTTTATTTAATACCGTTCATATTATTAGAGACAATTTCAAAAGACAACAATTTAAAGAATATGAATTATTGACAAAAGCTCTGAAATATATGGCAAGGAATACGATGTTACCATCAAAGACAAGACTACAAGCACAGTTGAAGTTGAATGCATTACCCAACTACACCCATTTCACTCAAGTTAAGAATCGTTGTATTGCATCTGGTTCATCTCGTCATGTTATCTCTGACTTTAGATTATGTAGACAACAATTTAGAAGTAAAGCTTTAAACGGTGAATTGCCAGGGGTAAAGAAAGGTGTTTGGTGATTTTGGATTTGTATATTTTTTTAAGCCCTCTCTCTTTCTCCTCTTTACTTCCGCTACAATACGTTCTGTCCATCTGTATATATTATTTATCATAAACCATGTACTTATAATATATATATATATATATTCCCAATATTCGAATATAGCATATGATATAGTTAATCCTCGAAAGGTTGATAATTTGATAATGTTTATGGTTCATGTCTTAGTATTAGTCTTCCCCATGGATCAATACTTGAAAAATCCATGTTAGAATAAAGAATCTCTATATTATTTACATCTAAATCGCTATCAGGACTTACATAACCATAGTTTTTAGTAAATGGTGATTCATCTTTGTTATTTTGCTCGATAGTAAGAACACCACGCTTAGAATCAAATAAATCTTCATTAGGACCAAATTGCAAAACAGTCTGATCATGGCAAAGGACAAATAATCGGTTATTCACATATTTCGCATCTAAAACTTTCTTATCAAGTGATATAGATGTTCTTTTGAAGTGAGGTCCATATCCAAACAATGGTAATTGAATATGATCTGTATAGAGATATGACCTTTTGGCACTATCCTCACCACAGAAGCTTGTAATATACAGGTACCACGAATTGACCATGTAACTCCAGAAACAGACTACATCAGGATCATCATAACTTTTTAATACATCTGAATAAAACAATTTTCGTTGTTCTTTCTTTGATCTGTGCATTATATTGTCTGTCAATTTGATGATGTCTAATTTTGATCTAACATCGTTGTCTTCATCATCTTCATAGATTACCAATAGCATGTCATTAGCAATTTTTAGTAGTTTGTAGATTGAAGGGTATTTTAAATTTTCAATTAAGGTATTATCAAGTAAAAACTTCTCTGTTAAAGCTCCAGACACGTTATATATGTGATATATTATAACGAATAAGGGTCTATTTTCAGATTCACCTGAAAGTACTATATAATTTAAACCAGTAATAAAATGTTTCGTGGGAGATTTCATTTTCAAAGAAAACTGATGAAGAAATTCAATGGATCCATCATTTGCATTAACTCTTATTTTATGAAATATTTCTTTGTCAATTTCTCTTTCTAATAAAGTTACTGTATTTGCATAAATACTATATTCACGGTGTAAGAAACCGTTGAATGAATGTTTACACATCTCAATTACTTTGGTATCATTTTTAATGACATTTAGTTTAATATGTTTAATCATTGTATCAAACATAACTAATAATGAGCAATACTTTGTTTTATTAATATTATTACTATCATCACTAATAGGATATTGTAATACGTTCCGTATTTTTCCGTCTGAAACGTTTAGTACTTCGTTGTTTAATATTTTAATCTTACCAGTTCGAATATTTAATAAATACCACTCATTAGTATCACAGTTAGTGACTAATATTCTATTTAAATTTTCAAGGTTTGTAAATAATTTATTCTTACTTCTTGTGTTTTGTAAAAGATAAGTGTATTTATTCCATGTAAGGTATAATGTCTCGATACATTGTAGTCCTGTGTCATACAATAGACACATTATCTTTTTCTTACCACTTTCATATATTTCCACATCTAAAAGATAGGATTTTTTATATGAGTCTATGGTAGGTAACTTGACTTCTTCTAAACTAATGATATGATGATTCCAGTAATCATATGAATAAGTGTCTTGTATAGGTTTATCAGTAAAAGATATTCTCTCATTACAAGTAATAAGATACAGATTATCTGGACAAATTATAGCAATACCATAATTAGCATGTAGGGGTTTAATGATTAAATCTATATCAAACTCATTACAATTTAATAACTCGTGATCAATCATAGTTGCTTTCCCGGATCTTAAATCATTCCCATATAAAAGACATGAAAACATTTCTTTATAGGTTTTAACACAAAATAAACCATTTTGTAAAACTGTAAAAGAGTTAAATTTTCCTGTGTAAATAATTCTTTGGTTGTTATTAACTTTATCTATCCAATTTTGAATTGGATCATTTTGCCAATATTGTACTATTAGATATTTCGGTGTAAATACAACAATGTTTATCAATTTAGGAGTAAAACGATTGTAGTACAAAAAGAAAGAGAACTCTGTTTCATGTTTTATGATATCATGAAATTCTTCATTTGCTTTCCATTTTATCTGATTGATGCTATCTGTATTATAAAAGAACCATATCTTTTTATGGGAAAGGTTCCATAATATCATTTTATCATAGAGAGAACACATGCCATCTATAGGAAAATCAGAAGAGAATAGTGTGGTTCTAGACTTATCTTGAATGCATATTACTTCATGTTTTGTAACTTTTAAAATATGTGTATCATAATTCTTTGTAAATAGACAATCAGCTTCATGTTCAATATCACTTTGAGCCTCAAAAATTTGCTCAACGTTATTAAATTTAAAATAATTACTAACTTCTTTGTTTCTTGTTGCATTTAAGTATAAGTTTTTTTCTTTATTTTTATCAATCTTATTAACAATCTTTATGCAATTATAATTTCTGAAACTTTTTTTAAATCGACCAATAGTTTTTGATTCTCTAATTGGAATAACCGAACTTCCTGACAACTGGGTTATTGATGAACTACCTGATAAAATTACTTCGTTTTTAGAAGTCACATGAGTGATTGTGTTATTGTTTTCGTCGCTGTTAGAACTAATAGTTGTTCTATCTTCTGTGAGTTTTCTATTTGTAAATCTCTTGGATGATACTGGGACAAGTTCAATATTGTGGAGATCTAACTCTAACCGAACTGTTCTATTGAATATTAATGCAATTATCATATGTGAATCATTCTTAGCATCATTTTGTTGTTTATCAGAGTAAATAGATCTAAGTTGTTTAAAACGACCCAAAGAAAAATTGTAAAGTTTTTTATCAATACCAGAAACAAAAATTGCATAAAGAACAGAAGTACCTGTAAGCACAATAGTACACTGATCGTCATTATTCAACGGTGTTGGTAATACGTTTTTCTTGTTTATAATATTTATCAATTTCTTTGTTATGATTGGGTCATCAAACCACGATCTAATACCCTGGATTATATTATTGTCATATTCTACGTAATTTGTATCACCACATATAATTTGTTTTGTAGTTATTAATAAACTTTTATTATCTGAACATAATAGAATATTGTCCAGGCCTATAGGGATAGAATTTCTAACGTTGTATGTAGCTAAATGTTTCAACTTATAAACTTGTTTTGGGGAATTCCTTTCCCATTCAACAAAATAATGAACCATTCTACTTGCAACGACGGTGGAAATGAATAATTTATTGCCTGAAGTAGGTAAAAAATAGCATGACCTAATTTGATTGTTATGAAATGAGATTGTTTCAATTAATTCAAACTGATAGAAAACATCTTTAAAGTTAAAAAAATTAAGAACACCTAATTTTAAATCAGCTAATATGAAATGTTTATTATTCTTTGGATTTTTAATTATCTTCCAGTTGTTACTTGGATACATATTTGTGAAATATTTAATATCTGGATGCTGTCTTATGTTACGCAACATAGCTTTAGATTCGGCTTTTTTTGTACATTTTTGTGAATTTAGAAGATCTGTATAGTTATCGCTATTCAAAGGATGCTTGTAATCAGCATTATCTTCACTCTCGTTATTTTCATCTTCATCAGCGGAGTTATTGTCATTATCATAATGACTATAATAATTATCTCCTTGATAACAAACATTATCACTGTTTATATTATCACCACTGTCTTGAAGATCTTCTCTATTATCATAGCAATTTAAATGCCAAGAAAAAGATGAACTATTATTATTAAAATTATGGATAACACGGTCTCTAATAACATAAATATCATTAGTATTATCACTTTCTTGAATAATGTTATTATCGTTTAGGTTCGCATCTTCAAAGTTATCATTATTAGCAGTAGCTATATTATTTGTGGTATCATTGGTTATTTTATTGTTATTGTTAGTGGCATATTCTGTATCATTAAAGCTTACGTTACCAGTAACGTCATGTGTAAGGATATCATTATAATTAACATTATTATTATTGAGCAAATTTGTAATATCTATCTGATCTGTAATATAATCATGTGCATTGTTACGACTGTTACTGTTAGTGCTGATAGTGTGAGAGGTGTCACTGGAACCTGTATTGTGAGCCTTCTTAGCATGTTTTGTCTTAATATTAACCTTTTTTAAATCAGTTTCTTTTAATGGATATGCATAAAGTTGTGGCATGACGGAAAACAAAGTACCATCTCTTTGTATTACTAAAAGTAAATTTTGGTAATGGTATTGAGGAGTCGGATCATCAAAAAAATCGAACAGTTCACAGTCGACGATCCCACCATGTATTCGATTAACAATATTAGAATTTGCAAGTTGCATGAAATTGTCACCAACTAATAAACTTGAACTGTATAACAGTTCCGGTTCAAAATTCTCTGGATTTGGATCATGAGTTTTGTTGAACATTTCTATTTTAGTGTTGGTCCATGATATAGTATCTGATACTTTACTTAAGTCTAAAAATGATCGTTTTTTATCTATTACTCTGAAGGGGAAACACCATTTAACTACTGTACCTTTGTGATAGTGTTGTAAATTCAAGACTTCAGCTTTAATTTCATGTTTACCTTGTTCTCGCTCTCCAGGCATATCCTTGAAATTTAAAGTGTTCCAAAATTTGGAATAATTTACACAATCTTCAATTGTCAAATAGTCTGGTTCAAGCACTTTTTCAAAATTGAAAGAATCTGTTGAATATAAGCTTTGCATTGTATTACTTCATTTACTTGGCTGAACCTCTGAGGGAAACGGACTAAAATAAAAATTAAACTATGAAAATTAGAACGTTGAAGCTATCGGTTAGCTGAAAGTATAAGGCGATTGAAACTGTAATTAAAACATGTGCTAATCTTGTTATGTTATCTTGCTTTATTTATATGATTTTATTGTTATTGAATTGTTAATATTAAAAGATTCTTTTATTCCTTTATAACTTTTCTTTTTCGGTTACCTTTATTCTTTCTACTTTCTTTCTTTCTTGCATTTACTATATTAAAATGTAATCATTAAATGCACAGAAAAAAAAGAAAATAAAGACTCAAAAAATGTGCGGAAAGTGATAATTAAAAATCAGAGAAAGTGGTCATTGAAGGGAGAATTAAATGAGAGTGTTAAACATAGCAGATGGAAAGAAGGGCAACAAAAATCTATGATATCTTATAAGTAAAGTTGTAGAGGAATAAAGTTGATTCAATCTTCAAATCACCATAATTTTTTGATGCTTCAAAAAAAGAAACTTTCATGTGATGTAAAAAAAACAAATGAAAATGAAAATCTGTGTACTTTTTTTAAAAAAAAAATTAAAGTACTTATATTCAAACCAGCATGGACAAGGAAATATTTTCACATTTTCCCTAAAACATGTATCAATTTTAAATTTCAATTTTTAATAAGTAAAACAGCAGGTCAACATTTCGAAGTAAGATCTAAATATTGAAAAAAGGAAAATGAATACGATGGAAAATCACATTAGTTTGAATAATGTGTGAACTTAGCACCAAAACATTTTTAGACGATGGTTTTATAGAAGGTCTTATTTTAAAAAGATCCTTTATTGTTGAAAACCAAGGCCAGGTAATTGACATCATTTTATTCATTCCATTAATAACAATAATAAAATTAATACCCAGTCCATTTTGTCTTCAGGAAAGAAAGATACTATGTTTTACATTGGTTTGAACCACCTTATCCTTATATTTTTTTTTGTGGTTTGTATAACCTCTTAGTGAAATGAAATAATTAATAATAGAAATCTTCCTAAATAATTATTTATTGTTTATTAAAGGTGCACAGAACTTTTTTTTGTTGTAGGGCCCCATATTATCCTCTCCCTACCAAAATAAATCTATGTTTAACATTTTCTTACCATACCCTATTACCAATAAAAGAAAAAAAAATTTCTGGAGGTTTAGTAGCCATAGTTTTTTCATCCTAAATGGAATAAAGAAACACACAAACTCCTCTCTCAAAATTTTTTTTAACTCAGTATTTATGTATTTCATAGAAAACAAACCATTACCAGGCATATCTACTTGTTTAAAGGGTCTGGGATGTCACTTCTCCTGTCTTTTTATACATAAGAATAATATTTGAATTTAGCCGCCAATCTTTCTTTTATTATTATTATTATCATTATTTTTTTTTGACTATCATCAATGATAAATTTCTTTGTCGTACAAAATGACACATAACTCACCTTCATTTAACTTCTTAGATTTTGAAAGATAAAAAGGCAGGAATTTATAAAAGAATTATATGACGACGAGTATTTCGAATCGAAATCGTTCTTCTCCTATTGGAAAGATAAAAAAGGATCAGAATAGATTACGTATCTAATTTGTAAATAATTCACACATACACACACACACTTAAACTTTACCACTTAGTTAGTTAGTTAGTTTTGATATTTTCATTCTATCTATTTTTTCCCTTTTTCTTTTTTTTTTTTTTTTATTTAATGCCTGATTATAGTCACTACTAGTATGACAAAAGAACAACCACCACAGCAACAGCAACAGAGGGCAACTAATATCTCCGGAAGTCTTGACCAACCGAATAAAAGATCCATGTCTCACAGAAACAATAACTCCACTGAAATAGACGAAACATCTACTAGACTTGTAGGATTTAATCCTTTACCTATTTTAAAAAGACAAAAGAGAGAGAATAACAAGACTATTTATTCAAAGGATTATGTTCAAAAGTTATTGAGTGGTGAAAATGAAACTTTTACAACTGGTGTTGAATCCTCTCTTAAAGATCAAGATGATTTTAAAGATTTTGTGAAATTTAAAGAATATATATTAAGGCATTTAAATCTTACCTTGCCATCAAAACATATTAGATTGTATTCCTATTTGAAGGACACTTATAATGAAATATCTAGAATCTTGGAACAATCAATTATACAAAAGGAGAGTCATTCTGTTATTACTGTGGGCCCCAGGAATAGCTTCAAATCCTTTTTGATCAATTATAAATTAGATTTACTGTCTGAAGATTATCGTGACCAATTTATCACTATCAAACTTAATGGATTTATTCACTCAGAAAATGCTGCAATTAATGGTATTGCCACACAATTAGAGAATCAATTGAAAAAAATAAATTCTCAGAGGAATAATAGTACGCATATCAATATAAATAGTTCTAGGTTGGAAGACAATAAGAGAAAAGAGAGGGAAGAAGAAACAAAAGAAAAAAGCACGAAGAAAAATACAGATAACAGTGATGTTAGCGTGAACCAAGATGATAATTCAAACAATATTAGCAGTGGTTCATTAACAGAAGTTTTCGAAAAAATTTTAAGATTATTAGATTCTGCTTCAAAGGAAAAGATTTCCTCTTCAACTAGCAAAACTTCAGAGACCACCAAAATCACTGTTGTGTTTATTTTTGATGAAATTGATACATTTGCCGGCCCCGTGAGACAAACTTTATTGTATAATTTATTTGATATGGTTGAACATGCTAGAGTACCAGTATGTATCTTTGGAAACACTACAAAATTAAACATTTTGGAATTATTGGAAAAAAGAGTTAAAAGTAGATTTTCACAAAGGATTATTTATATACCCAAAATCAATTCACTAGATAATTTTAAGTTGGCTATAGAGGAACAATTAGTTCCAATGGAAGGAATTGACAACTACAAAAATATTAAATATGTAAAGGAATGGAAAACTTTTATTCAAATATTATTACAAGATGAGGATTCAAAATTGTTTCAAAATATTAAAATAAACTATGAAACCTTTAAATCGTTAATTACTTTCAGAAATGGTATTACTCCATTAATAGTTGAAGCTACAAGTTTCAAAGACTTGAAAGATATGTTCCAGAGCATGGAGTTGTTTACCAAGTATAATGTAAATCAATTACAATCTAGTCTTTCAGCAAGAGTCAAATCGCTATCTAATCTAGAATTAGCTATATTGATCTGTTCTTGCCGTGTAGCATTAAAAACTAAAGATGATACTACAAACTTCAATTTAACTTATTCAGAATACAAATCTATGGTAAAACTAATGAATAGTATGATACCGTCCTCCTCAACCACAACTTTATTTAATAATAGTAATATCTTTGAACATTCGATGAAATTGTGGTCTAAGAAGGATATCAAGAATATTTGGGAAACTTTACAAGCACTGGACTTCCTCACCGATAGGGGTGCAGTTGGGCTGAGAGAATCTGCAATTGCTGTATTCTATGCAAGTAATTATACACTACAAGGTACTAACATGCCGTTTGATTTAAGAGTTTACCAAAACCAGGTAACTTTACAAGAATTAAGAAGGATTGTCCCCTCTTCATCTATATATTATTCCTGGACTCAATTATGAATAATCCGTATTATTTGTTCATTTTAATATTTCCATCCTTTTTTGTTCTTTCTTTTTTATTGGAATGGAATATTGATAACATTGGTAATTCCTTAATACCAGAACTATTGATAATTAACAAATATTTGCTGATCATTAGCTTCACTGTTTAATATATTGTTGTGTATCAAAATATTCTTGTTCTCCGATACTAACAATAAGATCATTTTTCACGACACTATTATTTGTTTTTTCATTAATTTATACTTTCATGTTTTACTTTCATGTACAATTGCAAGAAATACAAAAAGAAAAATAATAGTAAATGCATTAATTCTACCACATTTATCAGTTACCTAATTCTGCATTGAGAAAGGCACAATAGTGCTAAAATTATTCCCCACTAATAAGATTAGAGTAAAATTTTGGTTGACCATAACTATATATTGAGGACCATAAGTGACCAGCTCAATTAAAATTGATATATATTTACTTTTCATTGACTATTGATAAACCTGATTCTATCTTATTTTTTATTTTGCATTGCTCCATAATAGTTGAATATGTCACAAGAATCTACACATCCCTTAAATGGGTCTACTATAAGTGCTAATGGAATAAGAAAGTATAAAATAGGTAAAGTCAAACAGACACCTACAGTTCAAATAGATGATAAAACAGGTATTTCTTTTATACAACTGAAAGCTAGAGAAGATGAGAAGATTTATGGTTGCACCAAATTCTTAAATCATTATAAAGAGGAGGAAAAATTGGGGCAAGGTACATTTGGTGAAGTGTATAAAGGTATTCATTTAGAAACACAACGACAGGTGGCTATGAAAAAAATCATTATTAATATGGAGAAAGATCTTTTCCCTATAACTGCACAAAGAGAAATTACCATTCTTAAGAAGTTGAACCACCGTAATGTAATTAAACTTCTTGAAATGGTTTACGATTTCCCTCCTTTATCCAATACACAGACTCATATTTTATCACAAAATGATCCTAGTAGCCCTAAACTAAGTAAAAATTTCTATATGATTCTTCCATATATGGTAGCTGATCTTTCAGGTGTTCTACATAATCCAAGAATGAATTTGCAAATGTCAGATATCAAAAACATGATGTTACAGATTTTAGAAGGTTTAAATTACATTCATTGTTCCAAATTTATGCATAGAGATATCAAAACAGCAAATATTTTAATTGATCATAACGGGATACTAAAAATAGCAGATTTTGGTCTTGCAAGATTATATTATGGGCCACCCCCAAACTTAAAATACCCGGGTGGCGCTGGAAGCGGAGCAAAATATACATCTGTTGTTGTTACTCGTTGGTACAGAGCTCCTGAACTGGTACTGGGTGATAAATATTATACCACTGCGGTAGATATATGGGGGGTAGGCTGTGTATTTGCTGAATTTTTTGAAAAGAAACCAATACTTCAAGGTACTTCTGATATCGATCAAGGTCATGTTATTTTCAAATTGATGGGGACTCCAACAGAGGAGGACTGGAGGATGGCTAAGTATTTACCAGGAAAGGAATTATTAGTAACGAATTATAAAAGCACTTTAAGAGAAAGATTTGGTAAATATTTAGATAATACAGGCCTGAATTTTTTAGAAAAATTACTTGCGTTGGATCCTATGAAAAGATATACTACCATGGCAGCCAAATTAGACCCTTTCTTTAAGGAAGAACCTTTGCCATCTGAAAGATTAATCTTACCCTGCGAAGAAAGTCATGAAGCTGATATTAAAAGATATAAAGAAGAAATGCATCAAACAATGTCACAGAAAGCTCCTACTGCTCCACAGGGGCATATATTTGAACCAATACCCAACCAAGAAACAAGTATTAAGAACTCTGCTCAACGTGCTTTGCTTGCGACACCTGCTAAAGCACCAAAAAAAGGACAACCTCTGGATTCATCTTCTGTGAAATCTCAAACTCCACTTACAGTACCCAGTGCACCATCCGCTGAAAGTTATAAACGATATAATAGTGCTAAACAGATAAATCAACAGCCCACAAATGGCAATTACAATAGAAATCTAAAGAAAAAAAGTGATTTTACATTTAAATCTGCATCAAGATATAACGTTTTTAATAATGATACATCTGTCTCTTCGAATCCAGCTAGTCGATATCAATATAAAAATGAAGAGCAAACTGTAGGCTATTCTAATACTCAAAATAATCAAAATAGGTATCACCAAAATCAAAATTACAGTCGTCCAACTACCAATTTTAACCAATATCATAACAACTATAATAATAACAGTAACACACCTATACAAATAGAAAAAAATAGTAGGTACCCACAACAGGATTACCGCAGATATAATAAAAACATTATTAATCGTCAACTACCTAAAGCAGATAATTCAGTATCCTTACCTAGAAATACCACATCTAGACAACAAAGCAGTCAATCGTCTATAGGCATTCAACCACCTGTAACATCTAGATATCAACCCACCAAATCAATTTCCAACCAAGTACGTAGTAAAGAAAATGCATCTCTATTCAATCGAGTAGTAGCCAATCCAATACAAGAATTAGAAAATGTAAGAAAGAAATCCTACCAACCAAGATCATACAGTTTTAAATATACAAAGAGAGGTCAAAATTCTAATGAACAAAATGTTTCTGAAGAAGCACATGAGGAGCACAATGATTCTGACGCCAATTTGGCCGATTTTTATTAGTCTTAATAATGTATAGAAATTTTAATTGTTTACAGTTTTTTCTGATATAATAAAATATACGAAACTTGGATGCAGGTGTGAATTATTATGGGGTACTATATATCGGTTTCTTAGTTATATATTTACATAGATATTTTAATCCAATTTTATTGTAATGCTGGATTAAATGCAAATTCATTTAACAACAAATCTAAATCATTCATATTTAAATCTGTTCTCCAATAACTCTGTGTATCAGTTACTGACTCACTAGACCCAATATTGGAGGAGACAGTGACATTAGAATTAACAGCTGTTTCCATAGAGTGTGACATTTTAAGACTTTTATTCGGTGCAATATGTGTCATTTCATAGTAATTATTTGATGATATATTGGACATATCAGTTACATTGCATATATCTACAGTTGAAACTCCATTTAGTATTTTTGACAGAGGTATAATATTACCACTAGGAGTAGATATATTTATATTATTATTAGGGCTTGTTGCACTAACCAATCTACTTGATGATGCAGAAGCATTGACAGGAGGCGGATCCAGCGGAGTTGTTTTAATAATATTTCGAACATCTTCATCCATTTCTTCCTTGTTACTTACAAAACTTTTATCATTTTTATGAGTAACCTCATTTAGCTGAGCTTTAACAATGCCACAATTCTGTTTTAAATGATATAAACAGTCAAAAAATGTACTGACAGCCATTCTACTTTTAATTGTTAGCGATAAGTTAAAATTAGAAGAAAATAAGTCCTGATTCACATTGCTTTGCCTTATTTTAAAAGAATTATCAAACATACTCCATATGTTCTTCAAGATATTGGAGAATCTGTGTGCCGTATCATATTCAATAATTGATGCATTTGCGGTAAGATGTATGACCCCTCGGTAAACTTTTGTTCCCCTTTCTACATTTAGAACTGAATTCAAACTTGAATGGACCAATTTATTTACAATACATGCACACTGCCATATATTTAAAACAAAAACACCTGGGAAATATTTGATGACATTTAAATCCCTACTATTCATATACTCTGTATATTCCAATAAAGCAACAGTAGAATTATAAAGTTTTATTAAACCTATTTGGGATTCAAATAAGAATTCATGGCTAGATTCATCAATAAAATAATAAGAGAGTAAATGAACTCTTGCTAATAAAAGTTGAAATTGTCGTATGTTGTCAATTGAAATACCCGTTTCTTGTGAACAAACAGTATGGTTCAGCCTTGTCTCTAATTGATCTAGTTGTTGATTTAGAAGTAAGATCAGTGGAATTCTTTCTTTTATATTCATTAAACCAAGATAATTACCTGGGTCAGCATGTAATGTAGATTGCACTTGATTCTCAAAAAATACGATCTGCGCCATTTGTTTTAATATATTCATAAACTTTATGGTTTGGTTACTAGCATCATATTTATATAATGAATTATCTGACAGATTAATCATACTTGAATCAAATGAAACATATGCAGGAAATCCGAAAGAGGTTGCCACTATTTGAGAAACAATATTACATGCCATCCACGTATTTATTTGCTCTTGTTTTAATTCTGAATTTACTGTGTCACTTTCCTTTGAAAACTCTGCAGAATTTAATCCTACTCTAATAGCTTGAAACATTGCTGTACCAATAGTATTCCAAGAAGTATCAGCACTCAATGAAGATGTTAAAGGGGGCCAAAATGTGTAAATAAGAAAAGCTTGTACAGAATAAACTGATGCAACATTTAACAAAGGTTCGTCTGTCTCAGTTGGTGTATAACAAGTTATAGGAGATATAGTAATTTCAGCTAAAATAGATTTGACTAAGGGAGTCAATTTTTTCATCATATCTCTATATTCACGTTTATGCCGTAACCCAGTTAAAATAATAACCCAAAACAAACATGGTGATAAATTATAAATTCTTTCAGGCCCTCTAAATAAATTCACCACTGGAAGAAAAGGATGATATCTGCAGTAATACTCCTGAAATAAATCTGAAATTTGTGTAGGTGTTATATAGATATCACCTAATTTCTTTGAAGAACAGTTTAATGAATCTGAAGGGAATGGTACTGTAGTTAGTAAATTAGTATGTACACCACATTTTTTTGTGGTTTTAATTGGTGTATTTGGATAATTATTAGCCTCAAATTTCAACCTCTGTAATTGATTTTGATTAATAGCTATACTATTTATATTATGATTATTATGACCTATTAAAATAGTATTATTATTACAACTATTTTCAAATGTCCTTTTTATAGTACTGTTATTACTTAATTTCTTACTATATAAATACGGCACTTGTTTCTGAACAATATTTATTTTAGATCTTTTTTGCAATCGTCTAAAATCTTTTTTAATAATACATTGAATTCCCTTCTTTAAACATCTAGAACATGGATTTTTTCCAAACTCGTCGTAATCACATTTAGATTTTTGTTGTCTACACTCAACACATGCATATTTTCTTTTCTTTATACTCTTTGAAACTATTTCATTACTAACGTCGTTACCATGGATCATTGCTTGTATTTGCAAATTTTCAACTTCACTTGTCCCTTGAGTATATTTAATACACTATCTATAATAAAACATGCAATGGAAAGGGAAAATGACTATAATTTAGCAAAGTTATTCATCTATTAATATAATAATACTAAAAAAAATTAAGAAAAACTATTTTACTATTATTTGGTTTAAGTACTCATAATAAGTACTAACAGAATTAATAAGATCTTATAAATATTTGTGTGAGGATTGATGAAATGGAATGACATTAAAAATAAAGTGAAGTTATCACATTATACTAATGAAATTTTAGTAAAGTTCTGAAAAATTTCCAATAAAAAAACTTCATGTTAGATATCCTGCTATAGTGGCTCTATTGAAACAAAAGATACACTGATACCACAGTTGTTATCATCATTATCACAATAGTATACTTCCTTTTCAATAATTCAGCATTTTGAATTTGAGTCACTTTAAAAAGGCAAAAAAATAAAAATAAAAATAAAAAAACAGAGATAAAAAGGCCGGTTCCGGAATCAAATAACTGTTGTGGAAAAAAAAAAACAGCCAGAAGAAGGCAGCAAAAGTTATAGAAACAGATGAATGTAAAAAGAGAAGTCATAAATCACTGTAGTCTGATTAAACGTTAGCAAGGTGAATTTTCGACGTAGATATAATGTATGGTGAAAAGGTTACAAATAAATAACAAATCAAACAAGTTTGGGCTATATTTACATTAGCATACCTACATATTAATATGTGCATGTGTATATATTTTCATGATACTAGGTTGCGTATTATTACGGAGGTAATTAGTTCTAAATATGCATTTTTGTTGATCTTGAGATAGGTTATTCAAATGCAATGACTTTTCTACCAACATTAGAACGATCAAAATCAATCTTGAACTTAGAGTTAATGACATTGGTACTGCGTCTTCTTCTTGACGTTTCTGATCTTGAATATGATGATTGTGAAGACGGGGTACTTGTTTCAGAATCACTATCAATTGGTGTTTCTGTCAAACTGGTAGGTTGTACTTTCACAATCTTATGTCCTGTGTGTAATTTTTCAGTCTCGGTTGGAACGGATAATGCAGAACTTGAATGATGTGGGATATTACTATGATATTTATTTTGATGATTCAGATTGTTATTATTAGACATTGCCAATTCTGCAAGTCTGGATGATAACTTATAACTACTATTCTCCATAGTCTCTTTTCTTGGTGGTGTAACAGATATGCTCCTTGAATGACCACCCATGTCAAAGAAGCCATAATTAAATAAATGTGAATTATTAGATCTTGGTGGAGCAGCTGTTGTAGTTTTATCTCTTTCAGAATCTGGAGATGATGATATAGCTTCTTCAGATCCATCCATATTGTCAGCATTAACTTTACTGTTGTGTGCAGAATCACTATGAAGTACTTTTTTGTTTGCAGCGTTATCCAGCTCGTATAATTTATCAACCAATGGACTAATCTTAACACCGGTTTTATTATGGGAAGTATGGCGAACACCCTTCCAGAATGATTTAATTTCTTGCAAGACCCAATTCAACATAAACATCAATCTTTTGCCTTGTCTAAATTGAGAAGTAACAGTCAAATCAATCTGATCTTCTTTTATTATATAACCGATACCAAACCCTTGTGGAATAGCTGGTGTAATGCCAAAAGTTGTCGTAGCAACATTCCCACAGTTAGCAGCAATCAATTCAGGTTGTGAAAATGGTGCAATCAGTGTTGAATTAAATAAATTATTGGCAACTTCAATATCTGTATTAGATAAATTTAAATTGAAATGGTTACGAAATTTGTACAAGTATTTCAATGCATTGAAATGTTTCTCATAACAATTACCATTCTTAGCTGATTTAATCAATTCATAATGTTTTTCACAAGTTTGAAGAAATTTGTCTAATTTGCCTGGACCATCAATAGTGTTAGATATGAATGCTTGACATAATTCCAAGACATCCTGGTTTTGTATGTTAATAAATGATGACCTGGAATTCTTATAATTACGTGTGGAGATTGGTTCTAAAGTGAAAATCATTTGACCGTACAAAGCATAATGAGCAATTTGCAATGCAATCTGCACCATTGAATCTGGTTTAATACCTAGTCTTTGTGCAGACTTACGTCCCATAGGAATAGAAACACGCACAATATCATATTTAGATATTAAATCTGCTAACTTTGTCTCAGATAAATGAACATGAGTATTTAAAATATTGCTAAAAGACCAATCTATCTTAGATACGACTTCTGAAGGGTCTTTCTTCGAATAATCCTTATACAAATCTAATTTACTTTGAGATACTTTTGGCCATAAAGAAAACTTTGGATCATTAGCGTTAACTTCTCTAGCTAACCTAAGAACTGATTCGGTATACATCTCAGAAGCAAACCTTAAAATAACAGAACCGTCACAAGTGAATGAATCCCAAATGACAGCGGCTTTAGAATCCTTGGTAACAACAAGTTGTAATTTATCAAACCATCTAGAGACACATGTACCGACTTGATAACCTCTTTGGTCAATGATAGAAGTGCCATAAAGTAATCTTTTACAATTAGTGGAGCGTTCTTGATCGAATTCAGGGAAATAGTTATCATTTTGAGTATAAACATTGTTGTAATGTTCTTCAATTTGTTGTTCCGACTCATCTAAGATTAAAACAAACAATGCAGAGTCAATTAAGTGTAGTTCCTGTGGATACCTTTTTTGCAGTCTTTTTCTTGCATATTTCCAATTTTTATAAGAATGGGATGTTAAGGAACCCAAAGCTGTAGATTCTTTTTGTAAATTTGCATTCATTTGAGAATCCTTGACAATATATTCAAAAAATTTGGATAAATCTGCGATTGAACAAATTATGTCATTATTTTCATCTAAGGCATCTAAAATGTAGTATTGACCTCTAGAGATGATTAAAATATGTTTTGATTCATTATATCTATTAATAGTGATACCATGGCTAATAAATTCCTCATTTTCATTTTCATCTTCATTCTCATGCTTACTTTCATTCTCATTTCCAAAATTGTTCATTTTTTCATCAGTATTATTACCAGACATAAGTTCATCTAAGTCGGAAACAGTGAAAGGTTTATTTAAATCAAAATTTTCAATTTCTCCACTTTGAAACACAGGATACCTTGTCGTACCAAATAAATTTAAATAGGGGAACATGGACAAATATTGACCTGTTTTTGAATTGACATCATTTGGTAAATAGTGTTTTTTCAAAGCAGAGATAAACCTTAATGCAGAATGAACCAGGACAGCAGATCTATCCACTTGATTAATATCAGGAATAGCATCATCAGCCAAGATTAAAAATGGGTTACGTGGTAAAATGTCGTCCTGTATAGTCTTTGTACAGATATGATTATTTACATCTAAATGTAAATCATCTAGATATGAATCATTCTCCACATAAAACTCTTTCAGTTTGTTTTGTAAAATTGAAGAAACGTTAGATTTTTTAAAAGTGTTTAAAATTTCGTCTAAATTAATAATCTGTTGCGGATCCAAGGGATGTTTATAATAACCGTCTGCGTAGTATAAAGGTTCTAATGATTTTTTCAAATGATCTAAGGTGTCACTTAAATCAGGTAGAGGTAATTTTGGTAGATTTTCTTCATGTATAAAAGTAGCTTCAAAGTCGCTCATTTCATGGATCGGGATATTATGTTTATGTATTCAATAGACTATTTTTCCTATATCGTTGTTGAAAAGTTGACAAAAAAAAATACATATGTTTATTTGCCTCTAATCGACTAGATTACCCTAACAATAGAACTTTTAAAAAAAAAGAGACACCAAAAGGAAATAGACAATTTCATGGAAACTACATTATTTTTTTTTCCTAACTTCTACAAAATGTGTGTTCCTTATATATAAATATATGTCATATTAAGATATGAATTATCATGAGGGAATTCTACCTCTATTTCTTTGTAGATTGCATTATTGATTCAATCGTTTGATTTGAAATCTCAAACGTTTCTTTTCTTTTTTTGTGTTTTGTTTTGTTTTGTTTTGTTGTCGTTTGCCGCCCAAAAATGAGAGTCATCGAATTTGACTCAAAACGAAATATAAAAAAAATTGAAGAACAACAAAAAAAATAGATGACCCTCCCCTATTTTTTGTTGTTGTGCGGTGTCTGGATGTCCGCCGGAAAAACGGAAGTGTGTGATGGAGAACAACACAAGTTAGGGTTACAGTAAGGAGACTGTTGGTTTTACCAATTTTATTAGATACTACTGTTAGGGTAAAGGTAATATTTATTAGGAAATCTATACATTCTTATATATATATCTAAATATATATATATGTGTATGTGTGTATGTATGTATTGTATGACTTATTTTATTTCTTTTTACCTAGTTTGGCAGCTACAATGGCACCCTCTTCAACACCTTTAATTATACCGTTCTTAACACCATACTCTTCCATTTTACAAAGACCAGCAATGGTGGTACCACCTGGTGTACACACTTGGTGCTTTAGAACACTTGGATGGGCTCCACTCTTCTCCACCATCTTGGCTGTGCCTTCAAGGACTTGTAATGTGCATTTCAATGATTCTTGTAGTGGGATCCCCATTTTAATACCACTCTCCATCATGGATTCAATCATTAGTAAGACGTATGCTGGTCCTGAGCCAACTAAAGAGGTTGCTGCATCCATATGTTTCTCTGGCAACTCCACACAAACACCAACGTGCCTTATTAATTCGTTGACTAGCGTCTTTTGCTCATCTTTCACTTCTAAAGAGTGGGCAATCACAGCACAACCGTACCCGTATTTGGCTGGTGTATTAGTCATAATACGTGATACTGATTTAGAGTAGAATTGCAATTGTTCTATGGTCCATCCTGCAGCAATAGACACAATCAATTTCCCATCAATTACTGATTCAACCTCATTTAATACAGGTTCTACTAAAAATGGTTTTGTCCCTAAAATAACAACGTCAGATTGTTCCACTGCAGATAAATTATCACTAAACGTAGACTCTACAATGATTCCATTTGGCGATGGATCAAACCCAGAGATTAACTTGCTAACTTGTTCAGCCGCCTGTTCATCACCGTTACATGCAATGATTTTACTTGGATATAAGCTTTGAATTTTCTTGTCTTCTGGTTTAGGAGCATTATATATAGCTGAAAGGATCGCTTGGCCCATAACACCACAACCCAACATAGTTAATGTATATCCTGCCATCTTTACTTTACTTATCTTTTCTTTTGTTTTCTTTTATACACGTTTATTCACAACTGGTAGTTCACTTCAGTCTCCCGTAAATGTTATGAACACACCAGTAGAATAGTGACTACAATTGGTCGCAAACCTCCTTGTTCTTGTGCTCTTTATATTAAATCCTTTTATTCGTTTTGCTGGACTTTGCTTTATTTATTTATTTATTTATTTTATTTTGCAACCATTCTAGGACTGTTTGTCTCGAATCATCTTTTCTAGAGTTTCAAGAACCTCCGTACACCCATGCAATATTCTTATCAACTGGTTCTCTTTGGTAAAAGTATATATAAACACATGAACATAACTATAAATGTGTATATATCTGTTTATATATATATGTATGTATGGGATTAAACTTTTATAGATTCTTTTCTTTCTATCATATATTCTGTGACAATAAAATGCAAAAATTCTTCAACTTCTTTAAACTCGGAAAACTCAGAATGAAATAATACTTGTTGATTAAGAGAGGAGCCACTATTATTTTTGATGTTATTGATCATGGGTAATAAAGCATCTCTTTCATTAAGTTTTACTGTGTTTGTTGCATTTTGAGCACTATTTTCATATTGTATAATGATATTTGCTGTACAATAATTCGGTAATGATAAAGTAATCTTGAGAATGTCATTCCTTGGATTCTTAATTATATATTCAAATGATGGTGGATTTAATAATCCATCAAAGACTGTAATCTCTTTGTTCAATCTTTCTATATGACGATCAGCCAGCGTATTTCTGTATTGATTATCCTCATGAGTCTCTGCAGGTACATTTTTGTTGGTTTTTGTGGTATCTATTTCTTCTATTGTAGCCTCAGGTAAGAAATCTAACACATTATCCTTAATTATTTTCTTTAATAGTTTTTTATAATTTTGATGTCTTAATTTACTTAATATTGGTCTGATCAACAAAATATCATTAACTCTACTTCTCTTACCACTCTCAATGATCCTGTATTTGTTTCTTAGATTCTTTTTAAAATGAACAGTTAATAACATCCTTAGGAGAACTAACATCAGATTGGCTCTTTTATCATTAATCTTTGGTGCATCTTGTTCATGGTTCGATATTGTTATATCATCTCTATGAATCAATTCAATTTCAAATTTTTCATTAGGTAGTTCTATTAAAATTTTGTTTTCATTTTCAATAGTAACACCATATGATATTAATAATGAGCATTCTTTCTTCAATTGGTAAATTAATTCCTTCTCAAAAACCATGTCTTTCAAATTTTGTATCTGTCCTCTTATATTTTCTTGTTTGGTAATTATAGAATCATCCATCTCATCGAACTCATACTTAATTTCTTTGATTTCATTTAATGATATAGAAGAGCTTTCACCACTCAAAATGTAATCATCTTCTGATTCGATCTTGGTAAATATTCTAACTTTAAGCAACGTTTCCATAGTTGTATTATCTACAGATGACATTTTTGTGTTGGATCCATTACCACTCCAATTATGACTGCCATTTACAATTCTACTATACTTATCATTGTAATTTAAGGGAATTAACTCTAGCCTATTATTTGTCATATTGTTTCTTAAAATGGCAATACCTCTGTCACGATCATAATCAGACCCTGAATCTTCAAATCCATATTTTACAGCCAAAGTCCTCAATCCAGTGGTTTTATCTCTCATTTTAAATAAAATATCATTGTTACTAATATATTTCCCAATTTTCCTCCAATATGTATGTTCTTTCATTAAATCAATTTTCAATTTATCCACGGAATCCCGCAAAATTTGTTTTGAATCATTAAGACATTTCAATTTCCAACCAACATTAAACAATAAATCATCATTAATATTTTGTGGATCTTGTGGTACAATATCACCATTTAAGGAACCTAAGGGAACAGTACTCTTTAAAAACGGCGATATTGTAGACTTAGCATTGTTTTCTCTTGTAGCAGATAATAACAATGATACAGTCTCTAATGCTAATGAGGATTCATTTAATGCAATAGTGGTTTGTTCCAGCATTTCTGATCTAATCTTATTAAAATCAGTTATTGTCATCATATTGCTTGGAAGCTCATCTAGAACTGCCTGTTGACCAATAGTGACGTCATGTGAAGAGTTATTAATATTATCGTTGTTTATAGTGTTTGGTACAACGGCATTTATATCTTCCATTTCAATATTTTCATTTTGTAGGTCAGAGAGATTTATTTGGTTGGATGTAATTACACCTGCGTCATGTTCTTGATTTTCTTTAGCATCCTCCTCCTTTCCAGCCGTGAATTGGTTTCTAACTCCACTATTTAATGAATTAATTATATCTTCTTCGGATAATTGACTGAATGGAATATTCCTCTGTTGCAATATTAAGGGCAATAAATGAGTTAGTGGCATTTGTCCATAAATTTCATATGGATTATTAATCAATGATCTAGACGGTTTAACAATGGAATTTTCACTTGCAGATATATCTTGATTGGCTTTTTCCTTTGCGTTACTTGAATAATTCTGTGGATTAATCGATCCATTTATTGGCAATGTAATTAAATTGGGATCTAAAGCCAAATTTATACCTTTATCCGTATCTAATCCTTTATTATTAGCATCCATAGTTGATCGGTACTATCTTGTTTTTTTTTTTTGTAACTATTAATTCTTTACAGAATCTATGCTACATATATATAAGTTAGTATAGATTTAGCTAATAAGGTGGGAATAATAAAGTTTTAAATATATTTTATTTAATAGTTTAACAGTAATAGAACAGATCTTCTATTTTATACCGTTGAAAATTGTTTTGGATTTTCCAGTATATTTTTCAATAATTTTTTTTATTTTTTTATTGGTATAAGTAAATATAGAAACACATACACATATACATAGATATGTACACGACAGGAAGTATATATCGTTATTTTTGGATATGGAATGTATATACATGGTCAAGATCAATGTATCGTAATCATTATAAAAATTGTTTTTTATACATAAAAATCTATATAAGTTATATCATATGAAAGTAAAATAACAAGCAAATAATAAATAGAGTAATAGGAGTGCATTCTTTTTATTTTATCTTTTCTTTATTGTAACATCCCAGTATCCTTTAAACTATTTTCCAGTATGGTTTCTTTAATAGCAGCAAACACCAATTTAATATTTGTGGTATCTGTAGCTTGGGTAACGTGTGGATATATATTTAGATTAGCTCTATTCAATTGAACAAATCTCCAAAGAATATATTTTGTAGCCTTGTTGATATCATCACCCCCATTATAGTCTGGGAAATAGTTCTCCAACGGTTTTCTTTTAAGTTTTTCAGCGAACAGATCTATTTTATTTAAGAATAGTACTATTGAAGTTCTTGAAAACCATCTTGAGTTTACAATATTGTCGAACAGCACCAGGGATTCCTGGAACCTATTCTGTTCTGAATCCTCGACCAGGAATTGATCATATTCAGATAGTGATACACAAAATATTACAAGTGTCACGTTATCGAAACAGTGGATCCATTTCTTACGTTCAGATCTTTGCCCACCAACATCAAAAAAGTGCAGTTTCAGGTTAGAGCCCATGTTAACATGAGTATCAAAGATACCGGAGGTTTTCTGTCTTGAACGTAAGATGTCTTGTAGAGAAGGTATATATTTGTCTGAAGTGATTCTTAAGAGATTAGATTTTTCCATGAAATAAGGAGCTGAGTCCATTAAATAGAATTGCGAGGAGTCTGGCCCATTGATCAATTCCTGTGTTCTTGGAGATTCCCATAATTTAGTTAAGATGGGCACAAACTCAGACGGGAATTGGAAACATTGTAAATTGGAGATTATATTGTCATTGTCGTGATTTTTTTCATCTTCTTGGGTTCCCTGCCTTTCTTTAGTGTTGTTGTTTTTGTTTTTGTTATTATTATTATTATTCTGTAAGTTAGAATTCAAACTGAAGTCGTAGTTAATAAAGGATTCGATCTCTTCAGCAGACAAATTATCTAACTGGTTATCTATTCCTGATTTGGTTCTTGCATTGATAAGATCTCTACCAATCTCAAAAAGGTTATTGTAGATGATTGGGATATAACCTATCAGTTCCTTTTCAGTGTACCCATTTTGACGCAGGATTTTCAGCTGTTGTAAAATGGTAGATTTACCAGATTCACCAGCACCAAGCAACAAAACTTTAATTTCTTCATTCTTTGTGTTGGTCAGAGAGTTGTTTGCATCGATTTTTGCAGTTATACCGTTGTTGTTTGAGTTTTCATTCTTGGGTGATTCTTTTGAAGAATTGTCCTTCTTGTTCGAGGGATCAGAAGCTGGCGTTGTAGACTTCTCCTTCTTCTTTGTCGCGGTGTTATTGTTATTGGTATTGGTAGCATTTGCTGCAGAGCCAGCCTGTTCTTTTGAGCCACACAACCCCATTGCATACACACCACGCAATATTAATTTGTATGGTATATGTATGTATGTATGTATGTATGTATATATAATATTTGGTAAACTTTTGTATTCATAACCCAAGACAACGTAACATAAGAGTCCAAGCAACAGGCTCTTCTTCTTCTTCTTCTTATTCTTCTTTGTCATCAATCGCTGCTGCTGCTGCTGCTGCTGAACAACGACGTCAAACGAATGGAGAATTTTGAAGGGAAACAAAAAGCCGAAAGAAGAAAACAGCGGCGGAATCATTGCGGAATTTACGGAAGGGAGAATTCCCCGAGGCTAGGAAAGATTTTGCGCAGAAATCAAAGAAACAAAGAGGAGAAAAGAGAGAGAGAGAGAGAGGAATGAAGCCACTGGTTACCTACTGCTGTAAAACTAGTGTATTGAAAGTATTAGCAAGATAAAAAAAACGAGCTTAAGAACACACACACACACTCAATATATATATATATAGAGAGAGAGAGAGAGAAAGAGAGAAAGAGAGAGTATATATCAATGTCGACACCTGAAGAATTATTGAGCCGTGCAGAGAAAAAAGGACAACCAACCACTGGGTTTTTGAAGTGGTTTTCTGGTGACCAATCATACAAGTATGAAGAAGCCTCAGACCTTTGCATCCAGGCAGCCAACATATACAAATTGCAGAAAAACTTGAAACTAGCAGGCGACAGTTTTGTCAAAGCAGCTGTGTTCCAGTTGAAGGCAGGGAATGAAGACGATGCAGGGAACATCTATATAGACTCGTACAAGAGTTACAAGTCCAGTGGGGACTCTTTGTTGGCCATTGAATCTCTAAAAGAAGCTGTGGATCTTTTCACGAAAAGAGGCCAATTTAGAAGATCTGCGAACTTTAAGTTTGAATTGGGGGAAATGTATGAAACTGATTTGAACGACTACCCAAATGCGATTGGTGAGTACGAACTGGCTGGGGAATGGTACGAACAAGACCAGGCAGTGGCATTGGCCAACAAGTCGTGGTTGAAATGCGCGGACCTTATGGCGTTGAGTGGGGATTACATTAAGGCGAGTGATAAATACTCCAAACTGATAAGCAACTCCATTGGCAACAAGATGTCGCAATGGTCATTGAAGGATTACTATTTGAAGAAAGCGATATGCCAACTAGCAGCCACAGATTCGGTGGCTGCTGCAAGGACGTTGAATGAGGCCATGAACGAGGATCCAAACTTCAATGGGTCTCGTGAATGCCAGTTATTGGGCGATATCATCGAAGCATACAACGAAAGAGATTCAGAAAAGTTAAGTTCTGTGGCATTTGAGTATGACAAATTCTCTAAATTGGATAAATGGAAAACTACGATGCTGTTAAAGGTTAAGGAAAATATATCAGAAGATGAGGATGATCTATTGTGAAAAAAAAAAAAAAAAATAAAGAAAGAAATGGGATAAAAATTAGGATATTTTGACTGTGTTATATTAACATCTGTTTTGTTTCATTGATATAAAGTATACATATTTAATGATATATATATATATTTTCTGTTTTTAATTTCCTAAAAAGGAAACATAATGATTTAAAAGAAAGAACAAAAAATGAAAAAAAAAAAAACTTTTCCATTCCATTATTCTATTGTTCTATTGTATTCCTTCTATTATATGTTTTCGTGTCAAAAATTGTCTCAAATAGAAATGTTTCTTTTTCTTTCAATTTCAATTTTATTTCCCCACCCCCTTTTTATTTAAATAATAAAGAGAAATGGAAAGTCAGAGATTTAAGAGACGAAGCACAATGAAGAAATACGGAGAAATATGAAGAAAGACTGATGATGGGGAGAGGGGTTGTGGCATTCAAAGTCTTCTTTTATTCCTGTTTTTGTTTTTGTTGTTGACTTTATCTTTATCTTTATCTTTGTGATTGTTATCTTCTGTCTTTGTCTCTTGGTTTGTTTCAATTAATCAACTACAGGTGGTGGCAGATAGGATCAACAAACACAGGACTGGATGTTGATCCTATCCGTTTCTGTTTTTGTTCCTGTAGTGTAGTGTAGTGTTGTATATGTCCTTTCTCTTGTTTCTTTTTTCTATTCCTATTAATAAGTGTATATATCGTTTTTCTGATTCTACTAGTTACATGGCTCTTGTTATCTCTACCCTTGCCGATTGCTCTCTCCCTTCACATAGATTAATAGTATAGCTCAATATTCAACTCGATCCATCCATTTCATTGAAGGATAACAAATTTTGCGGTAAGTAGTATAGACTTCACAATAATTGATCCTTCTCTCTTTCTCGTTTCGTATATTTAATACATAGACATATACATACATACACACACACATATATATATATATACATATATATGTATATATAATACGTGTATATATTTATATATATGTAGGTGTATCTGAATGATATTCTAAAACATTATACACTATATATATATATATTATTTATCTACTTCACTAGCCATAATCTCATCCCTCTTATCAATACATATATATTCACAGATTTTTATCATTATCCTATATATATTCAGTTCAGAAACTTATGGGTATCCATCTAATTACATACATTGAACCACCTGGCAGATCAAGCCATATGCATAATCTGAATCACTGTGTCTATTTGGCTAAGAAAAAACCACGTATAATCTCTGCCACAGCAGCAGACACAAGCCTGCTCTCTATCATCACAAGTCATGTCAGTAATATAACCAGGGACCTAGATGTAGATATCCACATGGATCACACTGATACAGATACTAACGATGATAATAATGATAGTAGTGATCAGGAAGAAGAAGAAGAAGAAGAAGAAGAAGAAGATAATAATGATGACGACAACGACGATGATGATGAAGCCTATAGACGGAGAAGTTTGCTAAGAAGACCAAGAAATATCCCATTAAGAAGATCTCTAGTCTCTTCACTGGTTCGCAAACCTTCTGCAACAACCGTGCCTAGTACTTACAAGAGGTTTGTTACATACGGCTGTCGACATTGCAGAAATCATCTGTCTTCTTCCCTGCAAATCATTTCTAAGGATTATAGAGGGAAGACTGGGGACGCATACCTGATCTCTTCCGTCTGTAACGTTTTAGAAGATAAAGTAGAAACTAGGTCAATGTTGACCGGTGAATATCTCGTATGCGATATCGTTTGTAATCTTTGCAAAAGAGTGCTGGGTTGGAAGTATCTTAAGAGTGAAAGAAAAGAACAACGCTATAAAGAGGGGAAATATATCCTTGAAGTCAAAACTATTTGTAGATGTAATTAAATAATAATATATACATACATATATACTTTCTAAGTTTGGTTTGGTTTGGTTTAATGGGGTTTTTTCTTTTTTTTTTTTTTTTATCTTTTATTGTCTGTTTCTACATTAAAGTTTTGTCACTTCAGATTTCCATTTGATACCATGCCATTGTGCAATAAGAATCGCAAAGGATTTAACTTCATTTATTGTCTCCATATCCCATCCAAAGTTTAATGCACCGCGTAAATGTCCTCTTAACTGTGGATTGACATCCATCGGGACCAAACAACTGATCATCAACAGGCTGGTCACAGGCCCACTTACAATATCATTGTATGACAATATATCCCCGTACACATCCTTAATTATAAACTGCCATAGATCAGGGTAAAACTGATTCAAATCCTCAATCACTCTATTCGATACCTTCCCATACGTAGTATTCCAATGTCTCATTCCTCTCTGCAAAACATCCTGGACAGTACTCTCCACATCCTCATCTTTCCTCACTGTGTGTGTTCGATCTATATAATGTGTGTTTGCATCTATCTGCAATGGGGAATCACTTAATAAAGAAGCTGGAGTATAGAGCCTAACATATCTTAGTCCATTGATGGCCCTTGGGATTCCCACAATAGCACTGATCTTCAATATGCACTCCTTAACTTTGCTCAAAATGGTACATTGCACCGAGCTCACTTCATGGAATGTGGTATTAAGCAAAACTGGATCTTCAATCATCTTAATGACTGCTTCAATTAACCAGTCGGTCGATTTACTTTTATTCTCCGGTAACGAACTTACTAGCTCCAATAAAAAAATTTGAGCGATATCTTCTGGTGCGTTTGAAGCTGTCAGCACCGCAATTGCTAACAGATACCATTCCTTCTTGGCGTTTTGTTTAAAACTATACTCAAATAACTGTTTTAGTTGGGTTTCGTTCATTATTAAAATGGTAAAACAAATCTTTGGATCTTCTTATATTTCTGTTTATATAAAGCTACGGACTAAGACAGAATGTTAAGACTGCAGCTTGGGGAGGAAAAAAAAAAATAGGAACCGCTTTGAGTAGTTATATGTATGTGCATCCATACTGGCATGCGTACGCATATATATAAATGTAGAAGAGGATCTTTGAATATAAAAATATTTCATGAATTCATTATAAGAGAAATTTAATATATAAAAAATATAAAAAAAATAATGTATATAACAATGTTACATTAAAAGCATTCTTTAACAATACAAAAAAAAATAAGGCATAGAAACAAAGGATATTTGGTTGTAATCTGATACAGATAGAAGAATTTTGTTGTTATTTTTCTTTTTATTTGTTGGAATATAATAATATTTCTTCTTAAGGAGTCCATCTGTAATGTGTTCCAAAAGATAAAGTAAAAAAAAAAAGACAAACTAAAATATTGATAATAACCTACGCCACGATACAACCTTTTTGTACGAAAATGACATAGTTTTAATAAATATAGTACAGTAATAACAATACAGGTTTATATACCTTTTGTTCATTTCAATCATTGTCTCTCTACCTTAAGCACTATCAAGTAGGTAGTTGGTGGCATCTTCCAAAACCCAATTACATTTTTCTAAAGCATGAACAGCTTCTTCTTCTGTGAAACCCATTCCACATAGTTCTTCAATAGCTAAGGATTTTGGTGTAGTAGCAATGTTACGATTAATTGGTGGCTTGGATAATGGTTGAGGGTGTTGTGGTATTGGTTGAACCACATCAGTTCCTTTTGGAGCTTGTGGTGGGACTTGTTGTGGGCTAGTTGATTCTTGAGTGTTGTCAAGTTGAGCTGTCTTACCATTACCAAACCCAGCGAATATTTCATCCCATTCGTCATTAGTGACTTCGTTTGTAGCATGAGACAATACTGGTTCAGTATTAGTTGGGGTTTCTTGAGTCTGTGGCTGTGGTGGTTGGATAGATGGTGCTACTGTAATTGGTATTGTGGTTATTCCAGTAAATGTATTACCATTTAATTTTTCATCCAAATCGGTATTGGTAATATTTTCAAATCGTTCATTGAAATTGTGTAGTTCACTTGCAGAAGCATTAATATGGTTACTTGTATTTTCACCAACGTCCTCTTCAATAGCTGCTTCTTGTAAGCCAGCAAATTCGTCATCGAAATCATTATGAGCTGATGAACTTGTAGAGGGAATAACGTCAGCTGCTGACTCGTTGATAGTCTTTAAAGCAGCTGTATCAGGTTGTACAGGTGAAGAACCATTTTGTGGTGTAATAGCTTCTTTAGTATCCTGGAAGTCATCATCATCTGATGATGATGGAATCGAATCACTTTCATGGATTTCTAATTCTTGAATTGGTGGGAATTCTTGGTCAATTGGATGAATATTCTTTTTGTCATTAACATTAGTATCTGGGATGTCTATGGCATCGATAGCATTTTCTAACTGACTATTTTCTTGTTCTTCTAAATTTTCATAGCTTTCCATCTGTGATGATTCTATGATAGATGACTTAGATTCATCATTATCGTTAGCTGTGGTTGTTTCAATGTTGGTTAGATCAATTTGTTTGGCGACATGAGCAGGGTGTTCGTTGGTAGGAACAGTGACATTTTCAGTTTCATTAGACCATTGGCCAGGTATTGGTTCCAAATCAGTCTTATCGGAAACATCTGTAGTATTTTCGCGATTATCAGTAGCAGTTTGTTCTGGTGTTAATGATGTAGAAATATTTGGAGTGTCAGTAACTGTTTCTACAACTTGACCAGAAGATGGTGGTAATTCCACATCATCTCTAACGGATTGTGGAGCATTATTGGCTACTGATGAAGTAAAGGACTGAGTTCTTGGGATGCCGTATTCATCTAGATTACCTTCAAATCTATCAGAAAGTTGTTCCTCATTAATGTTGGTTTCCGTATTGATATCTCCAAGTTCACTTTGAGAAGCAACAGTTGGAATATCTTTATCGAAGACATCACTTTCTGTTTTTTCAGTTCTGATATCCTCTTCATCATTCACAGAACTATTAGTGGATTCTTTATCGACTTCTTTTAATGACAAATCTTTCTCATTTATGTTTTTAGAGTTATATGTGTTACTTGTATTTACATCCATGCCATTTCCAGATGTAGCAAATTTTTTTATAACTTCATTAGCATCTTTAGGAATTTCACCCACGGCTAGTTGCATTTGTCTTTCAGTTAATTGTTGAATTTGGTTCGCATATTCAATGTTTTGTCTTTTCAACTTTTCATTAGCTTTATCAAAAGTCTCTTTTCTTTGAGCTAATTCTTCAAACATGGATTGTAATTGGGCAACATGCTCATGATATAGTTTTTCTTGTTCTTCAATTTGTTTAGTTCTTTCATCTAGTTGTAATTGACGGTTATTTAAATCTGTTTCGGTGCTAGATAATTCTTCATATCTCCTTTGTAATTCACCATGTTGTTTCTCTACAGTATCTTTATATTCATTCAATTCTTTCTGCTTAGATAAGTAAATGGCCAAATTTTCTTCCAATCCAGCAATTTCTTTTTGTAAATTGGTCACACTAATTTCACTTAATTCTAATTGTTTAGCATTGACATCAGCTACAGATCTTTCTTGTTTGACATGTTGTTGTTTTTCTTGTAACTGCTGATTCAAAATAGTATTTTGATTGTTCATATCAGCAAGTTTTTCTTTTAATTGGGTATTTTCCTGTTGTATATTTTGTAAAGATTGTGTCAACTCTGTTAACTTGGTTTGTACAGCATGGAAATTTGCTTCTACGACGTTTAATTCATTCTGTAGAGTGTCCTTTTCCTTGTTAGCAGCCAATAACTGAGATTCTAACAATTCAGTTTGTTTAGTATTTTGTTCATGAGTAGAACGTAAATTAGCCAATTTGACCTCAATATTCTTCTTCATTTCAGTGACATGTTGTAATTCCTTATTAGCTCTAGCCTTTCTCTCATTGGTTAAAGAAGCTTGAGTAGTTAATGAAGTTACTTGGTTAGATAAATTGGCTAAGTCTGTGGTGGCAGCAGATAATTGAGCAGATGCATCCGCATCGGCATATAGATCGTCATTCTGGAACGCATTGGAGGTATTAGTCATTGAAGCTCCTGTAGTATTATTTATAGCAGGGTTAGCAGTGGTAGAACTACCAGTACTATGCATATTCAGAGTAGAGGCAAAATTTGGTACTTGTGGCAGTGATACAGATGCAGTTCTTTGAACCGGTGGAACAGGAGGAGTCTGTTTGGATAATTGATGTGGTTGGAATTGAGGTAAAGGTGTAACTTTATCTGTTTCCTCCTTTATTATACTTTGACCAAAATTGGAGGTTGGTGTAAATTTCTTTAGATGCAATGGTTGGGACGAAATAGTGGTATTGCTACGTGAAGGTTGGTTACCTGTTATTGTAGTTGTAGCGTGTGATGGTGGTGCAGGTGGTGAAGAGTTAAATGAATTATTTAATGCCATTAAGTCATTCAATGATCCATTGTTAGAATTTTGAACTGGAATTTGTGCAGTTGTGGGAAACTGTGGTGTGGGTTCATCAAAAGTAGGTTTAGTGGCTCTTGATGGGATTTGATGGGTTTGATACAAGCCTAATGCTGGAGAATGTAGCAGTTCATTGGGGATTACATCTGGTAATTCAAACCCATTATTTTTCTTTTGAATTAAAAACATGGCTATAGCAAATTCAATTTTAGTGAAAGATGCACTGTTATGAATATCTGCTAGATCCCAAATGGTAGCCAAAGTCTCTTGATTCAATTTGGATGAAAGGAAAAAGGGCACTAAAACGTCTGAAGCTAAAGAACCAGTCTTTTGTTTATCTAAGGAATCAAAAATTGCATCGAATTGCTGTTTCTTTTCTGAAGAAAGAATCCAATCATTTGAGGCGCTGTTGAAGACCCCACTGGACAAACGGGATATAGTTGGAGTTCTGCCAATGGGAGATTGATTGGAATTGTTTGTAATAGATGAGAGACCAGTGGAGTTGGTACTTAATGGGTGAGACATTGGGGAAGAGACAGTGATAGTATTATTTAATGACTGAGATATGGAAGACCACATAGTAGATGGTAAAGGTTGACGGTTACTTAACAATTGAATCATATTGGTGTTATTATTTTTCACCAACTGAATTAAATGCATGGCCATGATAAATTCACTCTTATCTAAAGAACCAGATGCATTTCTGTCACATAGAGCCCAAATTTCACCTAAGGTTTGGTTTGGTAGTTTGGCTTTCAAAAATATATCTTTTGCCTTATCACCAGATAAAATAGATTGAGAATTGGATGATCTATCAAACAATTGACCAAATTGTGCTACATCATTATGGGATGGAGCGGGTAAATCAACAGGGTTGATAGTTGTTGTGCCAGTGGTAACAGGAGTAATGGTAGAAGCAGTAGGAACAATATTTAATTGAGGTAGACGACTTGGAGTGATCTGATATAGTTCATTATTGATTGGAGTAGTTGGAGAAGATTGTAAGATTGCAATAGATCTTAAAGCAGCGAAAAATTCAGATTCATTCAAAAACCCTTTATTGTTTATGTCGACTAAAGCCCAGATTTGACCCAAAACATTTTGTGACAAACCAGACCCAGCAAATAAAGGTCTGACAGATTCACCTGTCACTATACCTAAATTTTCCTTATCTAAGCTCTTGAATTGGTTTGAATAGAAAGTGGACTCCTCTTGTGTAAGTGGAGCCCTAAATACAATCGAGCTCATTTTAGTTGGTTATATAAATAGAGGTATAAATATAGATATCGATGTAGTTGTTATCAATTGACGTTGATTTTATGGTTTACATGGACAGCTAATACCCATGCAATTTAAAGATGCACAATAGTACTTATTAAGACAGAGTAACCTCTTTTTGATGGTTCTTTATAACAAAGTGATTCAGTCCTTTCATTTTCTGTCCATTAATCTTAAAAAGTAATCAACCAAATAAAAAAAAAAAAAAAAAAGAAACTTTGGCAAAAAATAGGAAAAATACTCCGTGAATAATGACAGGAAAAGTTTTCCCCGTTTAAAACGACATTTTAATAATTTGTCGTTGAAGATGATTTTTTTAATAATCTATCCACAGAAGTTGCACCATTTATTTGTTTTGTTAAAAATAATAGTAGTATATAGCTAGGTGAATGGATGGATCGTATTATAACCTCTTCTTTATTGACAGGTGTGTAGACAGAGAGGTTATTAATTTGAAAATTGTGTTAACTTTAATTTATTAGTTGGTTGATTGTTTAATCGACTTTTACAATTATCTTGGATGAATAATAGAAGTAGGAAGAGAGGGTTTGGGAGAGAGAGACAAGCTTAAACAATTGCGGAGGGTTTAAGATAGTATTTAAAAATAAAAAAGAAAAAAGAAAAGAAAAAAAAAGAGAGATTATAATAATGATACCGATTAGAAAAAGATATACGATATTATTTGTTTTAAATAGTCTCCTATGTTTTTATCTTAGGCCTAATTAAAACAGTGCCATCAAATTTACGTTTTATCTCAAGTCACGATAAACTGACGCATTTCACCATGTTTTGCAGTGAAACAATTCTGTTCTTAGCCATTTTTCCATTTAAGAACCAAAATATTATTTCACAAGTGAATAACTTCGAAACATTTAATGCGGATTTGCATTCCTACGTGCCGGATTATAATACGGATAATTTGATTTCCAATATTAGATATACCGTCTGGAATTTCATACAGTCATCGATTTTGTTAAATAATAAATATGCATTGGCAGTTATTCTATGTGTAATGATTGGATCCATTGGAAGCGAGTTTTTACAGTATTGGCTAACTAATGGGATCAGAATCTTCGATCTTTATGACATGATGGTCAATGGATTAGGCAGTGTATTGGGTATAGTAATATTCTATCTGCTAGAACAGAGAGCCCAACTGCAGTGATACAATACACCTGACAACAGTACGTGTGTACGAATAGATATATGTATATAAATAGATAATAGAGATATGGTGTCTGTGATTTTATGTGTTTTTGGGTATGTGGTGTACGGCTTGTGTAGGTAGAAAAAAGTAATTTTACAAAAATTGCCACGGATTGTGATTTATAGTGACATTTGTGCATTTGTTAGAAATATTTCATCAGGAAGGCCATGTGATACAGTGAAATGAGATGAGTTGACATAAAATGAGGATCGTATATGTTCGTTGAACTAAATAAGTTAAGTGGCTGTGTTCTTCAATTGAGAAGAAGACCATTTTCTTCTGAGGTTTTGGTGAAGTGTCCTATGTACATGCGTTTATAGTTAGGTACCAAATAAAAAAAAAGAAGATAACAAAAAAAAAAAAGATTAATAATAATGGATCCAAAGGAGAAGGATATATTGTTTGATTGGTTACGTACTATAGTGGAAGATAAATATCCAAACACTTTTGAAACAGTAGAGCAATCAATATTTGACTCGTTATTACTATATATGAAAGATTCTATCCCAAACGATGTTTTTCTTATAACAACAGATAAAATACAAAATAGTTTGATCGAGTACAACAACGATATCAATATATTGAATGAAAAATTTTTTAAAAGAGGGAAAGTACCGTTTACTATAAGAAGGGTATGTGAACTGGTCTACGATCCATTGAAATATGTTCAGCAAGATCAATTTACAAAATTTGTTAATGCTTTGAAGAAATGTATATATGTGGAATCTGATTATGATTTCGAATTGAAACAAAATTTCAATCATCTGGTTGATCAAAATCAATTATCTTTGTACCCTTCATCCTTATCCCCTAATATCTCCCTGGCTAATAAAGAGATTTCTATGTCACAGATACCCTTTATGCCGAAAGAGAATGGAGACAGTATATCTGAATTAAAGATAAAAAGAGAGTACAACGAATTTTTAAAAGAAATTGATTCAGTGATGAGTGTGAATTACGAATATGATGAAGAGGAAGATATCAATGAAGATATGGAAATAACAGTTGGAGATCTAAATGAAGATGGTTTAGAATTTGATGACGAGGAGGATGAAGATTATGTAGAAGAGGGGTCTGATGAGGAAGAAAGGTCTGATGAAGAGGTGGAAGAAGAAAATGAGGACAATAACGAAGGTGGGGTTGAGGATAAGAAAGAAACTGATAAACAGATTAGTGAATAAATCATAAGTATACTGATGATATATATCTATATCTATATAGAGTATTTAATAGAGATAATAAAAAGAGAATAAGAATAAGAATAAGAATAAGAATAAGAATTAAATTTAATAAATAGATAATAAATTAAAAAGAGAATAGTAAAAAATAACAATGCTTTTTAAACAATTATTACTTTCGATATGAATATTCACATATTATTATTGTTATACACACAGGAAGAATTATTTTTTTTTTCTTTTTTTGTGGGAAGACGATAAAAAGAATAATGTTGTCTGGGACCAAAGAAAATAAAGTTAATCAAAGATTTGATGATGGGCTATTTCAAAAAAAAAAAAAAAAAAACAATAAAAGAAATAAAAAAAGAATGTATATAGAAAATCACCATCTCATCATAGACATGTCATTCCTCATTCTCATGTAATCTAATAAATCTTCGATTTGACCCATACCAGCAATAGCAATATCTTGATCCCATAGTCTCTTATTAGCCCAATGTTTCAAATCTTTGACAGTAACCTTATCGATCTCAACGAAGATTTCGTCAAGAGACTTATATTGTGGGTAACTGACAAGGAAATCGGCCCAGTTGGCAGCACCAGCATATTTTTCAGCTAAAGACAGTTTCAACATGGCTTTGCCTCTTTCCAACTCAGTCTCTGTGATAGAGATGGATAATCTGTTCCATTGTTTCAAAATGAAATGGATCAAATCATCGATACCGGAAACGTTAGAAGTACAAGTGACCATCCCCCACAAACCAGAGTCTCTATGAGACAATTGGAAATGTTTGAAGCTATCACACAAACCATATTCTTGCAAAGTATCCAGGACTTTAATGCCTTGTAATCTGGATCTTGGTTCGAAGGCGTTGTATTGACCAAAGATGGCAGCAGCCACTTCGGAGGTCAACTGGTCTGGGCTACCAACAGCTTCACTTTCCACAGCTATAGAGATCCATGCATGTGGTAAAGTATCATCTCTCAATCTGACTTCACTACCAATGAAGCTAGATTTTGCCAAAGAGGAGCCATCGGTGGTCTTACCCTTTGTAGAGACAGAGGATAGTACTTGGTCGACAGCTTCCACTATAGCTTCGTGAGACTGATTAGCGACTTGTGTACCAGAAACTAGGATGGATAAGTTGTCAGTGTTGTCATATCTTTCCTTGGCAAATTTGACTAAATCGTCTTTGGTTAAGTCTGAGACGGTATCTAAGGTACCTAGAAGTGGTAAACTCAAGGGAGTATTTTGGAAAGCAGTGGAATAAAGATGTTCGATAACAGCTTTATCCTGTTGTTTGTTTTCTTGATAAGAGATCTTGTCCATGACTTGTTGTTTTACCTTAGATAAATTGTGTGACTCTAATTTATTAGTTTGTAAATTTAAAAGATTTGAATTTAGGAATTGTAAGGATTCTTTTAGAGGGATTTGACCATTCAAGGAGAAGGTCTGATAGTCACGGTTTATATTGGAAGATAAGATGGCACCATTTGAGTTAGCCCATTTATTTAAAGTTGGATCATTTTGATAGTAATGGGACCAGACATGGGAGACACCGTTGTTGTAAGGATTTTCAGAAGTGACTCCTGAGTTTCTGACTAACAAAGTAACGGTGCTGTTATTACTATAGTTATTATTTTCAGTTGGTTGAGAATTTGTATAGACAGATATACCATTATTTAATTTAGTATGTTTAGCAAAAGTAGCATTGGATACCTGGGTGGCTAATCCACGAGATAGATTAATAGGTTTAGATAAACAATGAGTTCTTAGCATGTTGTATTAGAGTAATATAGGTGTGGTATGCGTTTTACCTTGTTTCCTTTTAAATCCTGATATTTTTTTTTTCTTTTTGGAGGATGTTCAATTAAGAAATAACTTGATATGATTGATTTTAAAAGATAGTAGTATTCAACAGATATTCTTCTATTCTCCTCCTTTGTTTTTTTATAATAGAGATATTAAATTATTCGCCTTCTATTATAATATATACTAACTTTTTCTTTAATATCTATGCGTTGGAACGAATAGAGGGGAAAAGGCAGGTAACCAATTAACGATAAATGATAGCAGTAATGACAATACTAGTAATGAACAAGGACAATAAATAGCAAACAAGTGTTTAAAGGTCTTCTATAGAATGCACAAGGCAAGTCAAATAATTTGAGACATATAGAATATAGAAGTTTGTAAAGCTCTTATTTATTTAAACTTTCACGGCTTGTGTTAACCTGTTCAAGATAGACAGGCAGTTAAAGCAGCTGAGTAGCTTGAGCAGGGGGGGAGGAGAGAAGATAGAAGATGAAGAGGAAAAGGATTTGGATATGATCGAATTGATTGAAATGTTTTTATTCCTTAGTCAATCTAAATCTCCGTTAAAGTCGTTTGTCGTCGTTGTTTTTTTTGTTTCTTTTCTTTTTTTTTTTTTATTTTTTTTTTTTCGTAATTGGAAGTTGTCTGGGTGTTTGGACAACGTGTAAGTTTTCATTGGTTGAAATCGCTGTGTTAGGGTTTGTTGCGTGTGTTGGCTCTTTTTCCCCAGAGCACAGAGGTGTATATGTAGGGTATTGACTATTCCAACGGGTAAAATAGACAGGTGTTGTATTAACCCTATTTTGTGATTTTTTTTCTAACTATTTTCCTTTTTATATATGTTTTGTTGCTGTTGTCGTCGTTGTTGTGTTTCGCTTTCTTTTTCTTTTTTTTTCCGTTTATAGTTAAAGGATAAGAAAAGGATTTGGGTGAAGTGATTGATTAGTTAAGAAAGATGTGGCAAAAAAAAAAAGTGGATAAATATAATAAAGAGTGTTTGATAGTGTGTGGTTCGTGGAAGTACACTTAAAGTTCTAACATAGTCATCTCAACTAAAAGCATACCATAATATTATTAAATACATCTAAAAGAAATAAAAAGATTGTGAAGCTTCAGGATAATAATAATAAAATAAAATAAAATAAAATAAAATAAAATAAAATAAAATAAAATAACAATGTCTACAGAATACGATAATTCAGTGGCACACACCCCAATAGAACATAGATTCAATCCATACAGTGACAACGGTGGTACTATCCTTGGTATCGCAGGTAAAGACTTCGTTGTATTGGCAGGTGATACAAGACACACAACAGACTATTCTATTAACTCACGATACGAACCCAAAGTATTCCATATCGGTGACAATCTACTAATATCTGCAAACGGTTTCTCTGCTGACGGGACTGCCCTAGTTAAAAGAGTCCAGAACTCTTTGAAATGGTATCATTTCGATAATAACGACAAGACAATGACCGTGAAGACAATGGCAAGAAATGTACAACATCTACTCTATGGGAAAAGATTCTTCCCATACTACGTTCACACCATCCTGGGAGGTTTAGATTCGGAAGGTCGTGGTGCAATCTATTCGTTTGACCCGGTGGGGTCCTATGAAAGAGAACAATGTAGGGCAGGTGGTGCCGCAGCTTCTTTGATTATGCCCTTCCTGGATAATCAAGTTAATTTTAAGAACCAATATCAACCGGATTCAAATGGTAAAGTGAAACGTCCAATTGAGTCGCTTTCATTAGAAGAAACTATTAAATTGGTGCGTGATGCTTTCACATCTGCTACTGAAAGACATATCCACGTTGGTGATGGGTTAGAGATTCTTATTGCCACAAAGGACGGTGTTAAGACGGAATTTTATGAATTGAAAAGAGATTAATTCCTTTACAAACTTATACATATATGTGTACCTCATGTACTTACACAATACATATATGCATATATGTATGTATGTATGTATGTATGTATATATATATATATATATATATATATATGTACATATGTATATGTGCTTAGATGATATAAACTTCTGATATCTATACACCCTTGTCTATTAATGTTGATTGTTATCTTGTGTGTTTTGTGAGAATTAATGAGGTAATTCGAATTTACCTGATTTAATAACTTTCTTATAGTAGATATAGAAGAAATCGCTGTATAATAGAGTCTGCAAGACGCCTGCCATGATGGCTATATAGTCCCATTTCTCTTCACTGTAATATCTCCAGATCCAGTTGAAAATGTAAAGGAATCTATATATCCCTAGGGAGAAAATGTAATGTACAGTTAATGATGGAGCCTTGCCGATCTTACTTAACATGAACAACTGTGGTAAGATTGCCACACTCTCCAACCAAACTGAAAAACTCCATAATAATTCCAGTAAAGTGAATTTGTGATGGAATATTAGTGACATAATCAAGGCTCCGATCAAAAGGAATTGTATTTTGAAAGTGTCATTCATGATCATTTCTTTATAGGCGATAGGGTTCTTCTTTTGGAAACTTTGAATCAACACGACAATATAGATGGATGACCCAATGAAAAATAGTTTCATTAAAGTGTTGTATAACGAGACCCAATGGAAGCTCAATAGATCCATATAACGTGTTAAAAATACCAGAGCATAAAGTACCTGGGTTTTCAATGAGATACCATCAATGGCAATTGTGGTGGTCACTGTGTGGATAAGGATCCCAATACTGGCCAAATGAGAGAAATCACCCAATATTCTAAATATATTTATCATTTTGTTATCCTCAATTCTCCTTTGAGGCTGTCTATTGACAAAATAATACACTATAACTAAACTCACAAACACTTAATTTTTTTTCAAGATGTTCTCCCAGTGTAAGATGTATATGATTCTACTTTAAACATGCAATAATTATATGAACTGTGACCGTCACATCTTTTAGTGAAGTTTCAAGAGCACCCAGTGGCCTCTCTTGCAATATTATTGTTATCCCTATCATTACCACAAAGACAACAAAAAAGACAAGTAGACATTTCTCCTCTAATCGTTGCAAAGAAAAAAAAAAAAAAAAAAAAAACAGAAAAAACAAAGTGTAACTTCACACGAATATTGTAACTTGAGACGGAATACTTCTCTTTTCGTGTAAATTGATTTTTGGAGGTATAGCAAACTGATAGCGCAGGATGATGTAGCCTTCTGTTTTATTCAAATGTGAAATATTTAGCGAGTCCATTATTCTCCATGTGTCAATAGAAGCAGCAGTAGATGCAGTCTTCATGTGAGTAGATGCGGAAAACATTAACTAATGGTCTGGTTGCATACTTCTGTAATTTTTACAGATTTCTTGATTAAAATTCCTATCAATTTCAGCAACCTATCTGGGGACATTTGTCGCCAATAGTGATATATGGCAACATCTTCTATGTTATGTTCTGTTGTATAATATCACTTTGATGAAATTTAATCTTCTGATTGCTGCCTTCAAAGCTTCACTCTCAACTGATCGTAAATAAAAGATTCATGATCACATTAAATCGATTACAAGTTTTAATGAGAAATTTTTAGGATGTACTTTTTTTTTATTGATAGCTCCCTGGTTTTTGGTCCAAAGACTAAAATAGAGGGAAGAGAGCGTTGGTCTCTGCACCATATTTTAATGATATAATATATGGTCTCTAAGACTAGTATGGATAAATACAAAATAGGTGATTTTAACTCTAGTTTGCAAAGCAAACTAAAATATTCTTCAGTTACTCTGTATACCGGAATATTTCTTGATTTTTAATTAATAGTTTTAACCTAATGAGCAATAGTCTATGCTAAATGTCAAACTATTTTGTTTGTATATTATATCGTGATAAAAAATGCTGGACTGTGTAATATAATCTAGTTGTACAACTGTATTGTGATTATTAATTGCAACTTTCTTCTATACTACGAAGTTAATATATTGAGGCTTTTTAAAGGCCAATAATTTCGGGTTGAAAATAATCCTTTAAAGGTAAAGCGACCATACATATTTATTGAGTTTCATAACACCATTCACGGTCAAACTTTCTCGTCAACTTAAAAATTTGTGGTCTTCTGTTGCATCTGTTTTATATTATCCTTTTGCATGTCCCCTTATTTTTTTTTTGTTTTTATATGTTTATACTATAAGAATTATTTATATAAAATTAGGTTGGAGTCTCACTTATCTTATACAAGGTACGAATTTATATTTTATTGATTATATAGATTTATAAATCCTGAAAAAGAGTAAACACATATATACACATGTGTACTAGATAATGTAATTCGATAGCTTCTGTTTTGTCGTTTCCTTTCTTTTTTGTTTGTTTATATTTGCCTACTATCGTATTTTTAACTTTATTAAAATTCACTTTGACTATGAATTTGATATTTCCCCTCTAAGACGTCTTGTAAAATACCAGAAGAAGCAGCAACAAGACCTAAGAAAGGTTTTGATGGATCTAAGACCTTAGATGTATATTCTGGGTGGTACTGTGTAGCAACATAATATGGATGGTTTTTTAATTCTAAGATTTCACAACGCTTGTGGGTTTCATCTTTACCGACAAACACAAGACCGTTAGCTTCCAATTCTTCTACAATAGCCGGGTTGATTTCATAACGATGTCTATGTCTTTCTTCTACACTTTCTTGGTTACCGTAAAGTTTTTTAATTGTGGACCATTCAGTGTCTTCTTGGAAATATGTTGGTCTCAAACCTAGTCTCATGGTACCACCCATATTTTCTCTGTCGATTTCAGGCATGTAAACAACGATTTGATCCTCTTCTGGTAGATCGTTGACGAATTCAGTAGAATTACCGTTTTTCTTGTCTAATACATCACGAGCAAATTCAATAGTAGCGATCTGTAAACCAAGACATATACCCAAGTAAGGAATTTTATTTTCACGGGCCCAACGAGCAGCTAGAATCATACCTTCAGTACCCCGGACACCAAACCCACCTGGCACTAAGATACCATCAGCAGTACTGACTTTGTTCCAGGCTTCATGAAACTTCTCTTTATTTAATTCTTGCATCTCAGGTTCTAAATCCGTAGCTTCTACCCATTGAATCTCTAAGATACGACGACATTGCATAGAAGAGTGTTCCAAGGCTTTGATGACAGATAAGTATGAATCTTTTAGATGGGTATATTTACCAACAAGAGCGATCTTAACAATTTCCATGGATTCATCAAAGTTACTTGTGGTAGCCTTCCATTTGGCTAATAAGTTTTCACCTCTTGAAATATCTTCAGAAGATAAGGTAACATCATTTAAGTGTAGTCTAGTACGTAAATAATCCATCATTTTTTGTTCTAACAATAGCAATGGAACATGATAAGTTGAATTAACGTCGTGGACATTGACTACTTGTTCCGGACCCACATGACAGAACATGGCAATCTTCTCAATGGTTGCTTTATCCAAAGTCTCAGAACATCTACAAGCAATCATATCTGGTACCAAACCAAGAGATCTTAAATCTCTGATGGCAGCCTGAGTTGGTTTTGTCTTTTGTTCACCATGGATCATTGGGACCAAAGAGACATGAATTAAAGCAAAGTTTTCCCTACCAACTCTAAATTGGAATTGTCTCAAGGCTTCCACAAATGGAGCACTTTCAATGTCACCAACAGTACCACCTAATTCAATAATACAGACATCTGGTTCCAACCCGGTGTCATCAACAGGAATCTTAGATACACGTTCGATCCATTCTTGGATAGCATTAGTCAAATGTGGGACGATTTGGACGGTCTTACCCAAATAATCACCTTTTCTTTCTTTAGCAATAACATGAGAGTAGATCTTACCAGTTGTGATGTTGTGGTCCCTAGTCAAAGTGACATTTAAATATCTTTCATAGTTACCTAGATCCAAATCTGTTTCACCACCGTCATTTAAGACAAAACATTCACCGTGTTCCAATGGAGACATGGTACCTGCATCAATATTCATGTATGGGTCTATTTTAATAGAGGTGACTTTTAAACCCAAAGTCTTGAAAAGCATACCAGTTGAAGATGCAAGAACACCTTTACCAATACCGGAGATGACACCACCAGAAACGACAACGTACTTCATTTTTTTAGTTTGTTCAATGAACTCTTTTTTTTCGTATATAATATTGATATGACTACCTGGAAACGTATAGTAGGTATAAGATTAACAAAAGTAAATCTTTCTTAGAGGTTTGGGCACGGGGAGGACAGAAAAGAGAATAAGTGAAGAGGAATGAAAAAAGTTGTGGAATAAAAGCAAAATGCAACAGGCCCTTGTAGATGTAATTAACAGCGGGAAGAACTGCAACTTAAAAAGTTTACAAAACTAAAAAGAGATAAAGATCAGGAAGGTAAATAGTGAGTAAGCAAAAAGTCGAGCATAATAAAATATATATTAAGAAGGATAAATAAGTAGTTTTACTAAGAAAGGCGTGATAACAGTAATAGGGGATGTGCTTCTTTAACCTTTAATCGTTAAAACATTTCAAACTTTGAGAACTGTATCTCATCACCTCATCACATGTTTCTTTAAATATTTGAAGAAGTGAAAAAATGAAAATAAAAAAAAATTTTCTTTTCCTTTCTTTTTTTTTTTCTTTTGTGTGTCTCATCGCCAAAACAAAAAGAAACAATGAGGTGGTTCCGCCGTTTGTGTCGTTTTTAACGGCTACCGTGTAGGGTGATATTCTTGAATGTATCTCCCCAGATATTATATGATTGCTATGTATTGTATGTGTATATTGCATTGCATGTATAGGAAGGAAGGATACATAGACAGATGGGAACTCCTAGGCGACTTATCTTCTTGAAAGATGTGTCAGGGCTGTGATAAGTTCAATTAAAGAAGTATTTTCTCTTTCTAATTGGAGATCCACGTCTGCTGAAGATGGAGATGCGGGTATCAGAGAGTCTGCTGTGTTATTATTCGTCTCTGTGACAGCTTCATTCTTTGTTCCTTCCAAAGGAAGATTTGAAACCAATTGGTTTAGCTCGGATTTTAGACGTTCAAATTCTTGGCGTCGTTCATTATATTCTTGAGATAATTGATGTAATGGTTCTAACATCTCAACAAGTTTGGAATCTAATGAAAAATTGTTCATGCTTAACCTGATTAATTCAGACGCTAATTTGTCCTCACTTGTGGTGGATATAATAATATTGTTATTATCAGTAGCACCAATATCAACATCATGAACATCATCATTACGAGTGGTGATAGTAGTATCGGCGCTGATATCGTTTTGATTACTCTTCGACCGTGACTGCTGTAGATGTCTTTTAATAGCTTTGGAAATGGCAACACTCTTTTCCAAGGACATTTGTAACATATGTCTATCTTCTAGCTGAGCTTCCTGCTCCCTTGCCAACATGAAGTTTTGGCGGTCTTCTTTAGTCAAATACAATTCATCCAATGCCTTCAGTAGCTGTAAATGCACCTCTACATGTCTTCGTTCTAATTTTCGTACTTTTTCTAAAGGGTCATAGATATTTCTATCACTCATGTCTAAGAAGGATAATCTCATTGCGCTACAGTCATTTCTCTCATTAGTATAGTATACTTTCTCCACTTTTGTATTTGTATTTGTGTTTCTATTTGTGCTTCTATTTGTATTTATATTTTGTATTTGGATCTGTTATCTTTGAGATAAATGTTTAGAGTTAGGGTTAGGGTTAGAATTGAAAATGTTGTGTTTCTCATGTCAATTCTTTCCTATGTCACGTGAATGTTATAAATGGGTGAGTGAGTGATAATAATTACCATGATTAATCATGGTAAATATATCTGTGACACTGTTAGATGGATTCAATCATCTTTAAATAATCATCAAAGATCTTATTCTTATCGAGCCAGTACTTTAAAAGAGGAAGTAAAAAAAAATAGGGTGTGTGTTGTTTGTATTTAAAAAGCACAAGACAAAGAAAAGTACAGTAATATAGTTCAAAAGTCAATTTATTGTCTATACCATTGATGTCTGCTCTTTATAACCAAGTGACACCTTTAGCTTTGGGAAAACTGAAGAGTAAATCTCCTAACAGTGAAAACAATAAGAAGAAGAATAAGAATAGTAAAGAAATAAGTTCACAGCTTACAGCACAAGAAGATCCATATGACCCTTTACAAACTATGATTGGAGACTCTCTTATAGAAGCAGAAAAGAGGAAAAGAAGGGCAGAAAGATTTCAAGTAAAATCTCGACGGGAAACTAAAAGAATTAAAAATACATTTGATCCATTACAAGAACAGGAAGATTTCTCCAATTTGAATGCGATTGGCACTAAATCGCATGCCTATGACCAATCCAAAACAATCATAGGGAAATGTACTACTTTGGAGAAACGGTATTTGAGACTGACGTCTGAACCAAACCCGGAGTTTGTACGTCCTTTGCCTATTTTAAATAAAGCTTTCAAATTCATTATGGGTAGGTATGCTCGTCATGAGGTCAATTACACGTATATATGTGATCAACTGAAATCAATAAGACAAGATATGAGAGTACAGATGATAGAAAATAAATTCACAATGAAAGTGTACCAGACTCATGCAAGGTTAGCTCTTGAGAATGGCGATCTAGGGGAATTCAATCAGTGCCAGAGTAGGTTGTTTATCTTATATTCTAAGCCAGATTTGAAAAAGACAAGCTATTCAGAATTTGTCAGCTACCTAATATTATATTTTATATTGACAGAAAACTTTGAGTCGATAACATCTTGGAGATTGAAATTGATCCAAGAAGATATCCAAACCTTTCAAGAACAAAGAGTACAGAAAAGTTTCCAATTATCACAAAACGTTTTATTAGGTGACTATTCAAACTCCTTATCTATAGCTAAAAGTATAAATGGAGTGGCCACAAATTTAGTTAGTCCCGTCATAGAGAGAGAAAGACTGAAAGCTTTAATGATAATATGTCAAAGTTATAACCAATTAAACATTAAATATATGGTTCAGTTATTTAGGTTTCATGATCAATTGGAGTTAATAACGTATCTAAAGGAGAAACAATTGGATTCATATATTGCAGTGAAAAATCCAAATACTGATACTGAGTTTAGGTATTTGGATACAAAAAATTGCAAACAGAAAATGAAACAGATTTATGATAATTCTAGAAAAGTTGATATTAAAGGTCAAATATAAAGATACAAAAATGCGTATATTAAATATACTATTATTGACTATAATAAAGAGTAAATGGGAAAGGATGAACTATATCTGTCAGTATAATGGAGTGCCATAATTTTCTTTTTTCATTTATTATTTTTTTTGTTCTTTGCTCTCCTTCATTTATACACATACTCTATTATATTAATGCAAAATAGGATCACATATCTCCAATATGGGTCTTTGTGATTCCCACATCCTAACTTGTATCTCTTTATAAATATCTTCAATGCTTAAGTTTATTTTATACCAATCATTAATCACTGTAGTGTAGACAGAGGTGCTGAAATTATTTTTATAATTGATTTTGAATAACAGTATGTTTGGCAACTTCTTTTAGTAGGTTGATAATAGATTATTGGCATTTAGACTGATGATGATTACTATCATATAAAACTTTGATTTTAACAATGATATGGTTGTTTGTAGAGATTTTCTTTGTTATTAATATTTTCCCAACCCGCATTTATTTCAATATTGAAGGATTATATTCTATAGAAAATGCTTTAAACATAGAATAAGAAGTACTACTGCTCAGTTTTATTCTACTGAATTTTGTATAACTCAAATCATCTATATTATTAGTCTCATTGTCAGTCTTTCTGTTAATAATGTATGATGTCAAAAAGTGATGGTAATTTCGGAAGATATAATTTATTATCATTATAATTAAGATGTGAGATTAATTCCAAAAGCAAACTATATAAATCTTGATAGTTCGATTCTCTCCAACTTTCCTGATTTAAGTAATATGTTGTTTTTAAGATATACATAATTCCTTTAGCTTTATTGTGCACTAAGTTAATGTAAATAAGTATTATTTGAGAATCCATACCAAATAATTTTTTTAATTGGAATAGAAGGTTATTTTAGTACAATATTTCTGCGTTTCTCAATAAAAACCCTATTGAATATTTATTTGAAGTAATAGTTAAAGGAAATATTAGTAGGGTTGATTTTATTATATACTGATGAGATATAATGTTACTCTTAGAGGTATTATTTAGAGCTGAAATATTGTAGTTAGAATTTTTAATAAAGATTACATTATTATTATCTGGCTTAAAGCGCAAATGATCATGTTTTTGAAAAAAAATTATTCGAACTGAATGTTCCCTGACATTAGTTATTTTCTTAATATATATGTATATAATAGATCCTTATCCCTGAATAGTACTTGTCCTTACCCTCCCATCTGGACATATAAAAATTTTTCTAGTAATAAATTTATTTTATTTCTCCTAGTTAAATATTCGGCGCTTGTATATGATGTAATACCTTTAGCATTTGGGATGATAGGTTTCCTTGTTATAATATTGAATATATCTTTTTAACTTATCTGTTATACTAGTGTAAATGTTTTTTTTCGATTTTAGTATATTAAAGGACTCGACACTTTGAAAGATTTATAATTAATCAGTAATAAAGCAAAAAATGATATATTTAGTATTCTTTTTGTTTGTATATCTACAGGTTCAATTATATATGTGTAATTGAAATTGGAGGGTTCGAGTAGCATTGTTTGATATCAATAAAAAAGTAAATTAAGATTATAATAAAAGAACTTTTTTTATGTAAGATTAGTTTCATAAACAAAGAGATGTACACGGACTCCGAAGAAAATATTGTTGTCAAAATAACACAAAAAAAATGCTTTACAAGAATTGCCAACATGTATTGTTTTACTTTGTTTTCCCACATATTGTATAAAAAATAACAATAAAAATAAGTTTTCTAAAACATTCTCTGGTTTATTTTTTTGTTAGGTTTTATTAATATTCTACAAAAAAAAAAAGCGTTCTCCCTTAATAGATTTGAGGGTTCACAAAAAAGAAGGAAATAAAGTGTCAATGTGTTTTAGGGTTTAACACTTAATTCTGCTGGCTTATCTAATGGTGATCATTGATCATAACATATGTATGCAAATGAATAGATTTTTTCCATAGAATTGGGTGATACCTTTGGATTTTTTTTAATGTGTTATTATGGTGTATTTTATCATAATGAGCTTTTAAGAAACTCTATAAAATTATAAACAATAAGTAGATGCTTGTTGTTTAAACAAGGAACAGAAACTTCCTTAATGTAATTTATATATTAAAATATTTTTCATCTCATATTATTTTAGCTTATTGGATATAGATCCTTCTCTTTCATAAAAGCAAAAAAAAAAAAAATTAAGTATATTTTAATTTTTTTATACTGACAATTTATTTTCAGTTGTGTATTGAGTTGTGGGAGACGTGCCTGTAAAAACAATTTTAATCTGTAGCACTTATTATAAATTTTATGAAGTGGACATGTAAGTCTATTAGAATGTTTTGAAATTATAGAGAATACATATTTGATAAAATTTTATGCGTATTTATATGTTGGTGTATGTTGTATATAAAAAATTATATAAAGCATCTGTAACTTGTGCTAGAGTAGAAATTAGAAGATAATTTTCTTATCTTGAATTTTCTCATAATCACATAAAAATTGTTTTGTAGAATATTTTTAAGATATTTTTATTAAATTTGAGATCGTATTGCGGTAAGAAAAAGTTAACGATAGGGTATCTTTACAGTTTTAAAGGTGGGAGTTGTATTCAGTAAATGTGAGAAAAATCCTTATAAATCAATCAAGAAAAAGATTAAAAAATAGAGAACATATGAATTTTCATTCAAGTTTGAGTGCAATATACATGAATATATCGTTTTCACATAGAAAAGGCATATATTGTTGAAATAGAATATTCTATAATGAAATAGATAGAACAATAAGATTTTAGCAGACACTAAACGATAAATTGTTGAGTAATAATCGTTGAGGGGTCACAAAAAGTTGTTGAGTTTGTTTATTAAATATCTTACCGTTCGCAGGGTAAAATGGTTTAATGGTAACATATATAAAGCCAAGGATTTCATCATACATTATTTTTATTTTATTTACAATCTTTGTATATTATTATTTTTATGTTGTATATAGAGAAGGAAAGGGAAAAACTTTATTATAATCTTGTATACTAAATTTGTTTAATATAATATTGAGAATGTTTACTATATGTCCAATGCCTACAGGCATTCATTCTCAACATATATATAATAATGTGTTAGTAATTTTAAAGACAAATTGATATGCTAGTTAGCATAAGATGATAAAATGAGTAAAAAATGTATTTATTGGAATTAACTTTTTAGGTTACATTTATATGATAAAAACATTCATTTAAAAAGAGAAAATATACTTTGTAAAATAACAATTTTAAGCTTATTTATGGTTTCTGTGTTTGGTAGTTGTTTCACAGTATATTTGTAAGAAGTTCTAATTGGAAATCTTGAAATACATAGTCCACTAGTAACGCCTAATGTCGAGGCGAAGGACTTGGAACAACTGAGACTCTGGGCCCAAGATTGTGAGTGTATTCGAACGAACATATGATCGTCAAATGGATATTGGTGGCAAATTACTACGAAGCTTACTTAAGAGATTCTTGTTTATTGAGAGATAGTACCAGAGGTAATTATCAGCATTACTATTTGTATTCTACCTAATAGGTTTAATAAAAAAGAATAACAAGACGAATAACTAAGACTAATCTATTTAACAGTTAGAATTAACCAATTATATAATTTGTAAGTGTTTATATATATAATTAATATCCATATTTTAGTATATTATTCGAGATAACCCTTACATAATCCTTACAGTATCATGCTAATTATTATTAGAAAAATTGTTTATTCAAATTTCATGAACTTTGAAAAACTACCAGAAAAAAAACTTTTTGTAAACAAAATATTAAAATAACAAAAACAAAAAGACATGAATTAGTTCCAACTAGTTTAATCAATAACAAGCTTAGTATATACATAGAATATCATAGTAATGACATTACTAATTACTAAAGAAGAAACAAAAAGAAACTTCTCTTTTGACTACATTTATCCCTTATCTTTCTCATATCTTTCAACTTTTTGTTCATATTTTCCTTTACTTAACAAACTTCCTCTTTTCACTTTATTTTGTTTTTTACCTATATTATCAGCAAACACTCTTATAAGGTGGTTTACATAATTAAGATAATATCTAATAAAACTCTTTTCAATGTTTAAACTTTTACTATTTTTATACATTGTCAAATTATCATAATTTGAAATTTGATACAAGTTTCTTGAAATATAACCATTTTTATTTATGTAAATAATGGAAAAAACCAAACAGCTTGTTTTAAAAAATTTTCTAATAGTCTCAATCAATCAATTCATATTGTTTCTGTACTGTAAACTTTTTAAGTCGAATTCACCTTGCTGTATTATTTATTTTTTAAGAAATAATACAAAAGAGACCCACAATTAAAAAACAAAACTCTTCCTTTCTTTTAATAATTTTTATTTTATTTCACTCAATAATAGCATTCTTCTAAGAAATATAAAAACCTGCTTGGCATTATTGAGAATTTTACATAGATCCCTTTAAAGTTTTATATATCCCCAAACCAGTCAACATAACAGTCCTTAACAACATCTCCCCAAGGATTACTGCCATAAAGCAAAGGATGATATAAAATACATTACATAGTTAAAAACAAACAAATATCCAATATACGTGTGCAAATTATTTCAAAGTTTTTCAGAAAATATAGAAAATATGATTTTATACACTTAAATACAAAACTAAATGATTACTACTAATATACTAGAATAGTTAAAAAATGTTCATTAAATTTGTGAGTTGTTTAAGCTTCAACCATTTCTCTTAATCTTCTGATGGTAGATCTAACAGTGGCAGCGGCAGCAGTGGAGATAGTGTAAGCACCACCGGCGACGGTCTTCTTACAAGAACCACAAGTCCAGATACCAGCAGCACCTCTCTTGACATTCTTCTTACCACAGAAAGAACATTCGTATCTAGCGTGTTGTTGAACTTCTAACTTCTTAACTTGTCTTCTTAACGAGGAACCGTAACGAACACCGTACTTACCTGTGATACCAACTTTCTTAGTTCTCTTAGCCCTATACAAAATATTATTATTATTATTGAATAATAGAAAAAAGCTCTTCCATCATAAAACATATGTTAGTAAACAACTTTCCTCAAACTACATTTATCATGTACTTAAATCATTAGGTCAATGTCCAAAAACAGATCAAATACACTTCAAATATCTAATTCATAAAAATTATCTCCTTTTGCATGTCCAATTAAACGCCACCACCATATCTTCAATATGCTGAATACTGGCTTGATTAACTGTACTTAAAATATCCCATTAACAATATTAGAAAACATTCCACCCCTGGCCTGTTGCTCATCACGCTTACATCAACATGTATACTGTTTTAATAATCTGTATCTACTGTTTTGCCTTTCCCTAATTTTTGGTGTTTCATCAAAAATTCACATACATCTTTGCGTCACTTATATATCTCTGGGGCTCTTAAGTTGAGTGGTCAAAGGTTGCAAATCCTCAAATGCCAATATCCTTATATGGCTTCTTTCTCTTTTATTGATATTATTCAAAATTTGAAATCTGCAGTATTTTCGGTTTCTTCCCAGAATTAGTTTCTTAGGTTGGAGATGGTTAGAATTCCAATTTTCAAAATTTTGCGTCGTTGCCTGCTTGCAGAAAAAACAAAAAGTTTCCTTTTTTGGTGATTATTTTATATTTTTCTAAAAAAAATGAAAAAAATGTTTCTTGTAAATTACTCAAATTATCAGGACTGTTTTTTTGGGTGTCCAGATGTTTTGATATCATATCTCAAAAAGAAAAAATAAAAAGAATATTGCAAGTGATTATATATATATAGAGTTACAAAACCAATTATTGTCTACACATCAACTTAACCCATGGCTGATGACTTGCGTTTAAAGCAATCACTTCTTGTAATGTTCTATACCACTCTCGAATACTTCCATCATTCGTATCTGGAGTGAAAGTAACAATTTCGCCATCAAAGAAGTGTAAACTAATATGTTCACCAAACAATATTATATCTGTCAAATTGGTGAATTTTCTCTCGCTTTGCCCTTGTCCTTTATCTTCATCATATGAACTAGTTATCTTCTCCACATTTAAAAGATTAATAGTAATTATAGGATTTTTTGTTAATTCATGAGATGCCACAAGGGTAGAACCGTTTAATTCAAAATATCTTTTCTGTATAGATCCAGATAAAACATCAGCACCTTCCTGTAATAAATAACCTTCAAGATGGAGTTTCTTTTGATAATTATATTTTCCTACAATCTTATCCACTTTATTCAGTTGCTCAGGAATTGTTTCATCATTCGAAGAACGAGCCACATATAGAAGTTCTATATGTAGCTGTGTCAGAGTAGAAGGTGTAATAGAAATATTCGAAAATCTGTGATTCAACTTTAATTCCCTTTCTATTTTATTAAATCTACTCTCCTTTAGTAACATTTCATCCAGCGTTATATCACATGCGGCGAATCGTCCTTGTGTATCAGTAACACTAGACCAGGGATCCCTATCAACAGGTCTATCAACAAACATTGTTTCATAAACATATTTAGTTTTACCAAATGGGAATTTTTTACCCTGAGGTATTTTCTTAACAACCTCAATTGTTTCTTTTGTTATCCGGTCATATTTTAATTTGACTATGAATTGTAATTTGTTGTTCTCAAATGATTGAAACTCTTCATCTAATCTAAAACTAAAATCTTGCATAATAGGAACAGTTGCTTCATTCTTCACAGGGGTCCATTTAGTAGTAAAAAGTAATTTATTGCCTTGCTTAACATCAAGTGAAAATTGGGCATTCCTTTGCTTGGCTCCATCAATCTTAAAATTTTTTAAATTATTAATTTTTAAAAATATGATACCATCATCCTTTAAGGGTACTATACGTAGTTCTTCGACATGTTCAGTCTTGATATTTTCATCTGATACAATAGGATCTTCCTGTTTTGTTGAAACCATTGAGGCTTCCTCAATAAATTTTTTATTTATTTGATTTTTCACTTTAAAAGGACTAGGGATATGTTTTCTTTCTACTAAAATACTAGATTCTGGAGTAACTTCTTTTACCAAAGCAGCTGTCTGATCAATAGGATGTTGGACTACTTCTGGATCATCTTCTTGATCAGACACCATCATTAGATCCTTAATCAAAGAATCTTCACCTAAATGATCAAGTTTGCTCAATATGTCATTAAAATCTAAATCTATGCCTAAATCTATTTCAATATTCAAATTAAGATTACTGGAAGTACTGCCACCTTCTGAAGGGGTAGAAAAAGAAGATGATAGTCCTTGTTTTTCTGTTGAATATTCGTTCCCTATAGGTGAATTTATAAGGTTATTAACTTGATTGTCTCTTTGACCAACAGAATTAGAAGACATCATTGAATAACACCCTGAAGAAATACGACTATTGGTCTTACTTCTTGGATAATAAATTTTACTCTGACTGACTATACGTGGTTTGAATTTAAAAGTTGCAGTATTTTGAGGGGATACAGTCATTGGAGGTGTACTGACCATCGTTGAACTGGTATATCTAGTGAATTGGGAATTGCTACTTAAAGCCGGTGATATAATAGATGTTCCAATGTTTTCTTCTTCTTGTAAGTGCCATACAGAAAGAAAATTTGTGGGTCTTATATCTATATCCTGCGATACTTCTTGTGTATTAGAATCTATAGAATTGTCTAGTATTTTTGCCAAGGAACTGTTTCGGAACATTGGCTTGACTTCAGGTAAGGGTGGTAAATTTAAGATCCCAATGCCACAAAACTGTCCACTCTTAGAAAGTTCTAAATTATTTTTGACCTTTGGTATTGTTTTATCATCTTGTTCTACTTCATTAATTTGTTGCTGTAACGAGGATGCTTGTGGGTCTTTTGGTGAAATGAAATCATTTCTTTTTAATGGTGAAAATTCTACTCCACTAATATCCATATCTGAATCAATATAACTTGAATTCTGCATTTCAGGTAAATAACTATTCTTTGTAACACTTTGTGAATTAACTTTATATTGTTTATCCTCATTTTCAATGGCATCATTATAGTTTTCCTTTATGTCTGGATCTTCATCTAAAGAACTAAAAGAACTCTTACTCAAACCACTGTTAACCCTAGTGTTGTACGTAACAATCATGTCCATAGTTTCCTCACCGATATCTTGCAAAGGTATTTGGTATACTTTTTTTGCATCCTTATCTGATTTAGTTGCATCTTCTAATGTATGTATCAACTCATTGTCAATCTCCTTTACTAAGGAATCGACAATCTCATCGACTGTGCTACCATTTTCTAAGCTAGTCTCAGTCATATTTGTCTAATTTCGTGTATTTATTAACTGTTATTAATTTAGATGAGTTTATTGATAGGAAATAAAATAAAGGTTTACAGCAATTAATGAGGTTTTCTTTTTAATATTCTGGTGTTTCTTCTGAAGCTTGCATGAAATTCTGTCGAGAAGAGATCTTGCTGTTTGTTGACAGTTTCCTAAAGAAGTAATTGAAGACCGATCCCTTCTTCGAGGACTTCGAGCAGTTTTGTTTTCCTAAAATGAAAAAAAAAGAAAAGAAAAAAAAAAAAGAACACAAAACAGGTTTTTAAGTAAAGGTGAAATTGAAAAGGATGGTTTGGAAAAGCAGTAACAAAAAATTGATACTTTTAGCTGAAATCGCGAGATCTTGTTCCAATGAAGGCATTCTGCACATAAACAAATAAGCTCTGCAATTAAGTAATTTGTTATAAAGTGCTTTAATTGCTAACAACACATAAAAAAATAACAAGAAGTGGATCAACAGAATCAATTTCGCTATATTTGATAATCCACTGATTTTTTTTTGCCATTTCATGACTTAAGTGATTTAATATACATTCAGTATGTTGAAGGAAGGAAGAGACCATTCACGTAAATTAGGTTCATATAGAAGGGATACTTCTAGATCTAGTGCCAATAGTTCAAAATTAGCTGATAGATTTAGCGGATTTCTTCCGAGTTTCAGTTCTAAATTTCTCCATTCAAAACCACAACAACCACCTGAAATCAAAGTGACTTTGGAAGATAAACTAGCCCCATCTGTGATGCAATCAAGCAACATTCCTGTGAATCCACCTGGTAATATTCTATCCACCCCAGAACCAGAGCCACCAATTCAATTTCCAACTTCATCAAATACAATAATACTAGACTCTCCTATTAAAAATAGACAAAGAACAAATACAGCTCCAATTAATTGGGATTCTATTCCAACTACACATTTAACCAGAACCACTACTAATTATAGTGAAAAATCTATATGGACGTCTAATGAAATAAACAATTCCTCGGCAAACATTCCAATATTGAGTAATAAACCCTTGAATAACAAAACAACTAACACTACATACTTAAACCCTAATCATTCTCAATTTAATACAGGCAGAAAAAGATCCCAAACCATGGCATCATACGGTATACCCCAGAGTATTATATCTAATTCCCAACATGTTCCGGATTCTATAAATATGTCATTAATGGGTAACAACAACAATATAAGCAACACTGTTAATATACCTCTTATGCAAGACGATATAGATCCATTTAGTTTAGTATGGATCACTACAAATCAGAAAAATATTCCTCATATCAACTTGGTTTCGGCAGTTCCTTCTAGTTCCACAATAGCAATATCTAATATCTTCCCTATGCAGTGGAATAATGGCTGGAATACCATTCCTAACTTGACTAGTGTCACTTTAGCCACTATTTTTTCCCAATTTGGTCGTATTTTATCTGTTAGAACATTGAAAGATTTATACGTAAGTTTAATTGAGTTTGAAAATATTGAACATGCATTATTAGCCATGGATGCGATGCAAGATAAGGAAATTTCAATGGTTGGTGTACCTTGTAAGATTACCTTTGCAAAAATCTTATCTTACGCAAATCTAGTAATCGATCCAAATCTGCAGCAGAAACCACATTCTATCATGGAAGAATGTATCTTAAATGGAACTGTACAATTTCAAGTACAACCGAATGGATTACAAATTCCACTATATAATGATCAGTATAATCCCGCACTTCCGTTAATGTTATCATCTAATACAATTACTAAAACTATTCCATCTGAACAAGAAACCAGTCCCTTCCCCTTACCTCCATCATCGATAGAGACCCATAGAGATGAAGTTTTAAAGATTATTAGAGAACTTTGTTCAAACGATGTACATATGGATGAAAATCGTGCAAATGCAATGTTAGAAAGCGGTCTAAAACTTTTACCATGCGCAGATATGAGTAATTTCGGATCTATGCCTGAACCTGTTAAACAGAGACAATTTGAGACACCAAAATTACGTGAAATTAGAAAATCATTGGATAACAATCAGTTAACCGTGTTGGAAATCGAGCAGTTAGCTCTATGTATGCTAGATGAATTACCTGAACTGAGTCTTGATTATTTAGGAAATACAATTGTACAAAGATTATACGACAAATGTGATGATTTAATCAGAGATATAATCTTACGAAAATTGAAATCTTATATGAGTATATTTGGTATACATAAGTCTGGGACTTGGGTTTGTCAAAAATTGATCAAAACAGCTAGAATAGCAAGACATATAATGTTCATTATAGATGGTGTTGAACCCTACTGTGCTGCTTTATTCAATGATCAGTTTGGTAATTATGTGATTCAAGAAGTAGTGAAATTTGGACCACAATGGAACCAGTTTATCTTTAGTAATATAATAGCCAATTTTTGGACGATTTGTGTGAATCGATATGGGGTTCGTGCAATCCGTGCATGTCTAGAAACGACTAATGGGAAAGTAACGGATGAACAGTTAGTTATAATAGGTAGTATCGTTGTGGTATATGGAGAATACTTAATAACAGACCACAATGGAACTTTATTAATTACATGGCTTCTAGACACATTAAATTTTAATAACAAATATTTGTTATTAACCAAACATATCCTTCCATATCTTTCAGACCTGTGTTGTCATAAACTGGGATCATTGACTGTATTAAAGATATTAAATTCAAGGGGCAATGAGTTGTCTAAGAAATTAATCATTGAGAAAATATTCAATTTTCATGATACTAAAGACATCACTAAGACATTACGTTATATACTAAGAGACACTACATCACAAGGTCCTTCTTTCTTGTACAAAATGATATCATCCAGGTTAGTACTAGATTATGAACACAAGGAAGTTGCAATTCAACAGATAAGGACTGTACTATTGGAAAATCCCCCTAGGCATCCACATCACCGTCTAATGGAAGAGATTGGCTTGATAACTACGTCTGCAACAGCCTCTAGATGGTAAGAGATAAATCAAACAGGAATAAGGAAGTCTATCAAGAAGATTACAACCCTTAATCCTATAACACCACACTTTTCCCGAATTATAATTGCAGTTAATATAATAGAAACCAACTTAGTCAGAATCACACAGATTAATGTGTGAAATCTTCCTTACTAATCAGAAAGACCTTGTTTTTTATTTTTTCATTTTTCTTTTCTTTTTTTTTTAAGTACTCCATGGAAAAACCTCTATCCTGATATCCGTCTTACGCCCGTCCATTCTTAGTCATCCGTCCAAAAACACAATAACACTCAAAAGAAAAAGAAAAGAAAAAAGACACTAAAGTACATTTCCGTCTTATTTCCGTGGGTTCTCCCGTGTTCCGTGGATAGAATTACTTTTTTCGAGCGGTTCTAAGACGGAGATTGAAACCAAGATAAAAATTTTTTTGTAGAAACAATAGAAGGAAAACTTACAAGATTGAATAAATTATTAGATCCCTTCCATGTATACTATTGAGAGATTAACAAAGAATGTCATGGAAATATTTTGATCTAATCTAATCTAATTTGATAGTATATGGCATCATTACTGAGGAACATCTAATCATCCATTCAAATATTCATATATAAAGACATGCTTTTGATATCATAGGCCAGTCTCAAATTTTTCTTGATTCCGTCTTAATGTTCTAGTTTGAAGACAATTTAATAAAAGAAAAATAACAGCAAACCAAAACGACAGATCAATAGATCTCATATACATTTAATAATATATTCTGATTAGTCATACAGATTTAATTGAAAATGTCATTTGTTAAAACTTATAAAAACACGTTTTTTGTGGATGTGTTAGAATATTTCAATATTGTTACAATCGAAGAAAATCTACCTCAATTATACCATGCTGATGAAGTTACTTCAGAAGATGTAGAGACTCAAGAAGTAAATAAAATTAATAAAAACGACTCCGATATTGATTCAGAGAAACAAACTAATTCTATGTCTGACGAAAACAGTGAGAGTCAGAAATTTGACCCATTTCTAGTAAATTGGAATGGACCTGATGATCCAGATTTGCCACTAAATTGGTCTATTCCTAAGAAGGCCTTTATAATCTTTGAAATTATGCTTTTGACTTGTATAACTTACATGGGTTCGTCAATATATACACCCGGTCAAGAAGAGATTCAAGAAGAGTTCAAAGTAGGTCATGTCACTGCTACTTTGAATTTGTCTTTATACGTGTTGGGCTATGGGTTGGGTCCAGTTATCTTTTCTCCATTAAGTGAAATTGCCAAAATTGGTAGACAACAAATATATATTATTACTCTTTTTTTCTTTACTATTTTCCAAATTGGCTGTGCTACTGTCCATAATATTGGCGGTCTTATTGTGATGAGATTCATTACTGGTATTTTATGTTCTCCATCTTTAGCTACTGGTGGTGCTTCCATTTCTGATTTAGTGTCTCAAGAAATATTACCTGCTTTGTTAGGACTTTGGGCCATTGGTGCTGTTGCTGCTCCTGTTATTGCACCTTTACTTGGTGCAGCTATGACTGTGGCTAAAGGTTGGAGATGGATTTTTTGGTTATTATTATGGATTTGTGCTGCTTCTTTGATCTTATTCCTATTTTTCTTCCCTGAGACATCCCATGCTAACATCTTAGCCCGTCGTGCTGCTAGATTAAGAAAGCAAACTGGTGACAACAGATTTTACACTGCTCAAGAAAAGATAGATGCTGAAATCAAGCCAAAGGAATTTATTATTAAGACTTTATATAGACCAGTTAAAATGATTATTCAAGAACCAATTGTTCTTGCCTTTGACATCTACATTTCTCTATGTTACGGTGCCTTTTACTTATTCTTTGAGGCTTTCCCAATTGTTTTTATTGGTATTTACCATTTCACTTTAGTGGAACTGGGTTTAGCTTATATGGGTTTCGCAGTTGGGTGTGTGTTTGCCTATAGTGGTTTACTATTTTTCTTAATGAAAGTGATTGTTCCAAAATTTAAGAATAATACATTCACCCCAGAAGCATTTTTGATTTTGGCTATGTGTGCAAGTTGGTGCTTACCATTAGCACTTTTCTTATTTGGTTGGGCTGCTGGTACTCATTGGATTGTTCCAATTATTGCTGAGCTTTTTTTCGTTCTTGCTGTTTTCAACTTATTCCAAGCTACTTTTGCCTACTTATCGATTTCATATCCAAAATATGTGGCTTCGGTGTTTGCTGGTAATGGTTTATGTCGTTCCGCTTTCGCTTGTGCATTTCCATTGTTTGGAACTGCCATGTACAACAATTTAGCTATTGATGGGTACCCAGTTGGTTGGGGGTCCTCTTTAGTTGGATTTTTCACTATTGCATTGGCATTAATTCCATTTGTTTTATATAAGTATGGTGCCACATTACGTGCCAGATCCAAGTTCACAGATTAATAATAATAATATAATAGAAATAATAAAAAATTTAATATCTTGCATATTTACATACATATATATCTACTTAATTATTTTATTTATTCATTTGATTTTCATATAGATCTTATTTTTTAAAATAATATATTTAAAAACAAAAAAAACCACAACTGAGAGTAGTACAATAATACTTTAGAATTTTCCTGGATATTCATTTCTAATTTTAATTCATGTCTTTACACAAATACTGTTCTTGCATAAAAAAGCAAACGAGGGCCTCGATGTGCAAAAGTATTATGATACATACATATACAGATATACAGAAAATACATTACAAGCATTCTTTCTTCTATTCTTCTTCATCTTCAGATTCTGCATTTTCTAGCCATGTAATAAATGGTTTAGCAGCTCTACGGACTTTCTTTGATATGTCCCTTGGGACAAATTTTTTTGATGATTTAGTACCAAATCTCATGATTTCTTCTTCGGATATAATGTCATGGTTGTATAATTGAACTAAGATCTTTGGTAAAGATGGAATCAAATCCTTATGTTGTAAACCTAAGAATCTTTCAATACCACCAAGGAAATTCTTTTCATATTCAGAAGAGATAAAGATTTTGTTAAAGAAGGCACTGTGGTCACCTATTTCATCGACGATATCTTCATCAAAAAGAGTTTGAGCTAAAACAGCAGCAATTTTTGGCTCTTGCAAAATATCTAATTCAGTTGCTTTCTTATATAATTCCACGTCGGTTGGTAATTCTTCTTGTGCTAAAATCCATTCACCATAATCGTCTAATTTGGATATTTCTTTACTCATACCACCTGGACCAACTTGAAGTTCTTTAGCACGTTGTCTAATAGCTTCTTCAGACATATCCACGGCCCAATCATCATCTTTGACTTCAATTTTTTCTAATTCAGATGCGGCAGCATTAATTTGACGAGCCAATTCATCATCGTCGTCATCACCAGCACCAGCTTTATCAGTAGCAGTATCATCACCTTGGCCCTCTAATTGGTTTATATCGTTAGCTGTCTTACCCTGAGCAATATCAGAAATAGAAACACCACCACCACGGACGTTAGCAGAGGCGGTAGCAGCCTTCTTCTTTTTTTTACCACCTGCAGCACCACCTTCGAAGGATTCTGGTGGGTTTTTCAATATGAAGGACGATAACTTATGTCTTAGATCCATAGGTGTTCTCTTACCACAAGCTTTACAGTCTCTGACTAAATCTTGGTCTTTAGTAATAATGATTTCAGTTTCTGGGTTCTTACAACTGCCACAAAGAACAAATTTGTTAATGAAACCGTCAAGGACATCTTGCAATTTAGATGGCTCATGGACACCATTAACCAAATATCTGTCCTTTTCCATGGAGATAGAAGTTTGAGCACCTAATTCGAAACCAAAATACTTAATAATGTAAGGTGTAGATCTGTTTAATGCACGTGCCACATCGGAGGCATTAACGACAGCAGTCTTAATACCATTACCCCTACCTTCCACTTTAGCTTGGATTGGAGGCATCTTATAACGGTAGAAAGGATCGTGGTTGTCTCTGCAAATATTTATAGACATCTTTACTTTTTATTCTTTTTTTTTTTTTGTTTTGTTTCTTGGTTGATTTTGTTGATAGTCTTTCTTAGTTTGATTGGCAAAATCTTTTAATTGTTTTAAAAGATTGGCCTATTTAATTTAAATATCCAACTCTGATTAAACGATTCAAGAGAGACGGTAGGATATAAACCTAATGACAAGTTCCTATATTTTGTATTTCGCGGTGACACCTTAGTGTGTTATTCATCACACATTGGCATAAGGTTTTCTAATAGAATTTCCGCTTTATTTCTTTTTTCTTCTTCTTCTCTTGAAAAAAAAAAAAACTACTAAAACTTTGAAAAATTTCACAGTTTCGTTGATAGTGACCTGTATAGATCTTAATAAGGGAGCAAAATATTAACTTCAGTCACGTGATATAGTAATCCTTTCACACAAGATTAGGTTTAATATATCAATATAATTAGATTCCAAAGAATTTGGCAATTTTACATTAGGGCTAAGAGTAAAAATTTTTTTTCGGATTATTTTGTAGCTTGCTCTATGGCGTCACTCGAAAAAAGAAAAAAAAATAATTAATAAATAAATAAAAACTTTTAATAGTGGCATATTTGCTATATATTTGCATTATTACACAAAACCATTGAAAAGTGGCAATATGTTCATCACCAATATTTACAAGAAGATATATTATCATTGACATTTTCTGGTTAGTGTCGTGGCTTGTATCCCAATTTTGTTTTTTTTGAAATATTGATCTTTAGTATGAATAAATAAATATATAAGATGAGCTAAAAAAAAGAATAGGGGTTGATTATGATATTTGAACTTGACAAATTATAAGAATTGAAGCCATCTAAACATCTACGTAGAGTAAAAGGGAAAAAAACAATAACCATGTAACATTCACAGTAATATCATTGCCTAATCTTGGAGTAAGAAAGATAGAAACAACAAATTTTCTAACTAGTATGGACTAATCAATACAATGCAAATACATACTTTATAATTTATCGAAAACTAATGCTTGTAAGTGACAGTTATACTCTGTGGAACATGTTCATATGAAATATTCAAACATTTAATAGGTTTGGAATATTATTTATATATGCTTTTTATCATAAAGTTCATACGTTCGTCTAAAAATTAAAATATGTGTATATATATATGTGTAGACAATGAAAAAAGGAAAAGAATAGCCAAAACTTAAACCTGACAAAAAGACTCCTTTTGTTAACACTGTATATTAATTGCTAATGTGTCATATTATATGATTAAGAAGTAATTTTTAATGGTAGTCATTCCGACCAACTGACATAATTAATTGGAAAGAATGAAAAGCAGTTTGCTTTTTTAGCTGCCGCAATCATGAAGATAAAGTTTAACAATAAATCGTAAGAAAAGTAGAAGGATTTGTTTGAAAAATGAAAAAAAAAAAAGTGGGCTCTTTGTCTTTAAATTTAGGTTAGCTTACACACAGGACGTATACTACATCCGTGCATCTCCAAAGCTTTTATTTCAGAAATTTTGATTTGTTTCCAGAAGCAGTAAGTATCTTTTGTTTTTCTTCAAATATAAAAAAAAAAAGGAGAAAATGTAAGTGACCACTTTCTCTTCCTGTTCCTGCTCTTTTCCCCTCACCACTTTTCTTGTACCCAGCTGAAGGACTAAGAACTTACGTACACAACAAGAAAATTGGGCTGGGAAAAACAGAAAACTTGGTTTCCTGCAAAAACTAGTCAGAAGGCTGTGGTGAGTCTGAGGATTCAAGACAAGGGAAAGAGCAGCCCAGCCCAGCCAGGCATGTAAACCACACACAATATAGGTATATGCGCACAGGGAGGGGGCGAGGCAAGGGAAAATGTGAGCTTATACAGAAGGAGACAATAGGGGGAAGCTAGGCGGACGGCCCCAGGCAAGCAGTCCCAGGTAGGCTGACACATTTTTGTTTGCATACGCCATTGCTCCTTCTCTAGTGGTGCTTACCCCTCCCCCCCCCCCTCCTTCTCCACTAATTCCTTCATGATGCTACAGCATATCCAAAGTATGATTATGGAACAGAATACGCCAGTATCATTATTCTGATTGGGAGTAAAGGTCAATGTTAGGATTCACCTTTAGCGTGATATTTGAATAAATACGTGTTCATCGGTAGTGATAGGTTTTTTATTTGTTGCTGCTATATCTGGCTGACATTTGCCATTATCTGAACTTTGTGTTTTCTTGTCCCTCGGTAAGAAAAGAGACCAAGTAACGTTAGTTTTAGTGTATGTACCGCTACGTTAGAAGAATATATGTTGAACCGCAAACAAATAATATCGATCAAAACCTGGAAAGTGAAGTGTAGAAGATTGAACAGACAACAGAATATAATTTGAATTTCATGTTGATAATGATATAAGAACGAAAAAGAGGGAAGATTAAGATATCGAGGGGTATTAAAATTCATTATTAAACCTACTTTGAGTGATTTTGCCATTCAAATATTTATGTCAAGTAAGATTCTGAAGAGAAATATATATTGATTCGGTATTTCCATTTTGTTGTGATGACAATTGCATCAATAATCAAAATGAAAGAATAAGAAATAATGATATTTTTTTGTTATTGATGTTTTCTTGTTGTGTTCGAGTCGATTTATATAAATGTATTTTGCTATTTGGTGTGTCGTTGTATTCTTTTTCTATTTGTTTGCATGTTTATTTTGATAAAGGAGGAAACATAAATACTAACAATAGCGTATTTAAACGAGTGTTATAATAATCGTATCATTATTGTAATCTTTTGTTACTTTATTTTATTTTTGTTTTATATTTTTTTTCGTTAATAGAATTCAGGATGCCTCCAAAAGTTCAATTATCTAAGGCTGCCAAGGCTGCTGCCGCTTTAGCTGGTGGTAAGAAATCCAAGAAGAAGTGGTCTAAGAAGGCCCACAAGGACAAGGCTCAACACGCTGTTATCTTGGACCAAGAAAAATACGACAGAATCTTAAAGGAAGTTCCAACCTACAGATACATCTCCGTCTCTGTCTTAGTCGACAGATTAAAGCTTGGTGGTTCTTTGGCCAGAGTTGCTTTAAAACACTTAGAAGCTGAAGGTATCATTAAACCAGTTTCTAAGCACGCTACTCAAGTTATCTACACTAGAGCTACTGCTGAATAAATATAATATAATATAATTCAATTTACTTATGTTAATAAATATTATATATATTATGTATTCAATATTAGATATATAAAAAAAATAAAAGCATCATAGTAGTAACCGTTAATAATTGAGCACTGTTCTCATGCAGATGAGGTCTAGCCGGCAATGCTATTATTGGACATGTAGATCCAGATCACAAATACACACATGTATACATGAAATAACCAACTTTTTAATCTGATGGTTATATGAGGGGTGTTCTATTAAAGAGATGGAAGCGAATTTAAAACCCTAACGTCTTTGTCTATTCGTATAACATGATGCCACAAATCTCCTCTTGCAAAAAAAAATTTTTTTTTTCTTTTATTCTGTTCTTACTTGTGAAACAATTAAGACTATATAAAGTGAATGGATGATAAAACGTGAAGTTACCTTAGACTTGGGCCACCCTGTCCGTGCACATTCACTATTCATCATGTTTTTACTGTTCGATGCTTGCATCGCATAGTTAAAATTTTGGGTTAATCATTTATTGGGTCACCTCCATAAGGATAGCGTGTGCTCTTGATGATAGTCGGAGTATACTGCTTTAGAGAATGATAACGTTTATTAACTAATTAGGTGGGAGTCTATTTTGTTAATAGGTAGTTATTATTTTCGATAGGTTGATCCATCTTTTAACTTTATCTTTTTTTTCTTTTTCTTTTCATTTCGTTTCATACCTATGGGATTTAATATTTCAGGTGATTATAAAGCATGGTAATGTTTAGATTACCGACTCTGAGGATGTATATGCAGGAACAAATTGTTAAGGAATTCTTCGTTTATGATTAAATATTATTTCCTGGATTTGAAAAGAAAATGTGTAAATGTGTGCTTTGTGTGTGGACACGTTTATCTAGTTTCATATCTTTCCTGTTATAGGATTGAGTGATAAATGGTTTTGAGAGTACACATAGGGTATTGAAAAAAAAATTATGTTAGGATAGGAATTATCATTTTTTATACAATTAACCTGATGAATAGACACCACTTCGTGTTTTTAATTATCCGGCGATTATTCATCGAATATGTGCCATGGATACCTTACATGCATCACCATCTGAGTATTTTTCCTATTCTGCATATTATTTTCCCTTCTATATTATTTCCTTTTTTTTTCCTGTCTCTCTCTCTCTCTCTCCCAAAGAATAAAGAGGAAATTAGTAATGATTTTGTGACATTATTTGAATGATGCAAACATTTTTTTATTCAGTTCTGCTTCTGAACCAAATTTTTACAGGAAGACAACAAATATTACCAAAAGCTCGAATATCTGATATACTTTATAATGTCACAGAATATTATTAATTTGCTTTGTATTTTTCTCTTTCTTCTTCATCTTTTTTTTTTCTTTTAATATAAAGATTACTTGTAATATGATAGTGTATAAATAAAGTAATGGTTTCTCATGCTATCCCTTAAAGATTATGGGTTTCTTCAATGTAATATAACTTTCTTTTTGCTGTGGGCAGTCTTGTTAAAAGAGGATATCTGAACAATTCTAGTTGTTTTTCATTTCTCTTAACGTCGTATTACTTTTACTATAGAAATGAGAAGGGGCTTATTTAAAAGGATTAAAATTCTAGAGTACTTATGTAAAAATAATTAATTACTATTGATAACACTAATCTATGAAGAAAAAAAATTAAAAAAAGAAGAAGAATATGATAAATTGTAATAATATTAAATCCATATTTAGCAGTTGCTGCGATAAACGTTATAAGTAAAGGATATTCAATGAAGCTTTTTTTTTGCAGATATGACAGAAATAAAATAGAACAAGAAGAGAAATAAGATAAAAGATATTTGCCTTGAAAAAGAACATATTTTATCCGTCCTTTTCATGCTGTGTAGATACTCTTCTCATGGTAGTTAAGAAGTCTTCAATACTTCTTGGTGACTTCTTTTCCTTTACAGGCAGCCCGTTCATTAATCTGTCAAAGGCTACTGATTCGGATAATAAATAATATGCTCCTCCCAGTACACAAAACACACCTATTGACCAAATCCAAACACGAACTACAGTAACAATATCATTCCAATTTTGTGAAAACCAACCAAATAATGTAAACATTGTAGCAATGATATCAACTATAAACACTGCACCTGTTAGTTGCCATGAAGGCAATGAGGACCAAAAAGGGCCAACTGCTCTTGTGATGAAAATTAACCAATTTTCGGTTAATGATATCTCTAAGAACATTACGCCATCAATGGAACCAAAATTTTGAATAATACCACCTTTTGGTAAAAACATTGTAGTTAAAGCAATCCAAGAACCAACGGCCAAAAAGAATCCTAACACAATAGAAATCCCCCATAATCTTGGTAGGTTCCATTTAACAGGCTTTTGTGAATATGGCGCATTATCATATGCTATGGCTAATGTAGCAATATCAGCAAAAATTGCAATAAAAACGATCAAATTAATATCTAGTGTTCTGTTCAAAATTGCAATCCAAAATCCGAAAAAGATCTCTAAATGTAATGATAATGCAATACGATAAACCACATATGAATACATTCTATGAAAGATTTGTCTTGAAGTTTTTAAAGCATCAATTATAGCGGATAAGCCTGGGGCTAAAAAAACGATATCTGCTGCAGATCTAGCTGCATCGGTGGCTCCTTCAACAGCTATACCTGTGTCAGCTTTTTTTAGAGAAGGTGCGTCATTCACCCCATCACCAGTCATGGCCACTAAATAACCTCGACTTTGAAGGATTTCTACCACTCGAAATTTGTGTTGTGGGAACACTTCGGCAAAACCATCTGCATTTTCTACAAAATCTGCTAATTCAGAACCTAACATATCACCTCCACCGCCGAGTCCTAATCGTTCAGCATTATAAATATTGACACCTAAACCTAATTGTCTAGAAGTTTCTTTGGCGATACCTACTGCATCACCAGTTAGCATTTTGACCCTTAATCCCAAATTTCTTGCTTCTTGAACGGTTTCAGCAGTGTCATCTCTAGGTGGATCCATGCATGGCATCACACCCAAGATCTCCCAATGTTGATCTTCTCTTTTTCTAGCAATTCCTAATGCTCTAAATCCTCTCGAAGCCAATTCAGCTACCTTGTTTTCATAGTTTTCGTGAATATCTTCAGGAATTGGATGATCTTCTTCTACGGTTTTTAGAACAAACAATGGAGCACCTTTTACGCATGTGATTTTTTCACCTTCAGGCGATTCAACTACAGCGGTAACTTTCTTGGATACAGGATCAAATGGATGGAACTCCAAGATTTTGTATTTTGTTAATACTTCTTTAGCTTTGGGATAATTAGCTAGTGCTTTTAAAAATGCTTTATCAATAGCATCCAACCCTTTCTTCTTTCTTGAAGCAGCCAAGCACGCTGTTAACATTAAATCATCGGCAGAAACACCTTCAACAGTGTATGGTTCGTGTAAAGATAATTTATTCTTGGTCAAAGTGCCTGTTTTGTCAGAACATAGGATTTCCACACCTGCTAAAGACTCAATAGCTGACAATTTCTGAACAATTGCTTGCTTTTTGGCTAAATATGCAGCACCGACAGCCATAGTAGTGGTAACCACAGCTGGCAACCCAACAGGAACACCAATAATAGTTATCCCAAGGGTAAATCTCAAAATGGTAACAATAGAGTCTGTTCTATAGAATGATGCCGACCATACCAACAGTAAAGTCAGAATAACTAATATTAATAGAATAATACCAATCCCATTTAACACCTCAGTGAAATGGCCTTGGCCACTTGAAGCTTGTCCGACCAATGCAGCTGCGCGACCGACAAATGTATTATCACCAATGGCAGTGACAACCATAAAAGCCTGACCTGTCTTCACTGTTGAAGAAGAAAATGTTTGATCACCATATCTTTTATCAACAGCTAAGGATTCGCCAGTAATTGCAGATTGATCAACTTGTAAGAAACAATCTTCTGTGACGATAATACCATCAGCAGAGATAATTGTGCCTTCTTCTAATTGTAAGATATCACCAGGGACTACCTCATTAGCAGGGATTTCTACTAACTCCTCATCTCTAATAACGATAGCTGTATTAGCTAAAGTTTTTTTTAATTCATCAACAATTGAACCAGCTTGATATTCTTGGATAAAACCTACACAAGCATTTAACATCAAAAGTCCACAAATGACACCGAAATCGACCCAATCACCAAGACCGGCAGCCAGAATGGCAGCAGCTTCCATTACAAATTGAATGGGTCCAATAAAATAGCTTAAAAACTTGATAATCATATTCTCATGTTCTTCACTCATTTGATTCAAACCAAATTTTTTCCTTCTTCTTTCAACTTCATCAAAGGTTAAACCTTTATTTGGGTCAGTTTGCAACAACTCATCAGGTACCACTCTTTGTCCACGTACTGCGTGGTCAGAGACCATTGAGGATTCTTCCCCCTCGTCGTAGTCCTTATCTGATTGTAAATCTTCGATCAATTGATCAATATCTTCTTCAGACTCGTTTTCATAGTTATTACTGTTATTAGTGAGAGTAGTATTCGGATTATGTGACTGATTTTTTTCATCTATGGAGGGGACTCGATTAGATTCATGGTTATTACTCATTTTGTGATAAACACCTTTTACTTAATATAATAATCTTTCCTGGATAGAATAAGGCTGGAACTAAAATAAATAAATAAAGTGAAATAAGAAAAGGTGCAAAAGTATCTAATGAATATAAATAAAAGAGGAAAAAATGTGTTTAGCAAGTGTCTTGACCCATTTATACTAGTTAGATCGCAGCCCACTTAGTCTTGAAGGAAGTAATTATCACCAACACACTTATATATATGTGTATGTATGTACATATGTTTGTGCATACCTATGTCTGTGCATAAAAGTATGCGTATATGAAATTAAGATAGGAATATAAATCCCCTTGTAAAAAGATTTATTGACTTGTGGACATGTATATAATATAAAAATTAATGTTGGTGTGTCTGTGTGTGTAAGATGGAAGGACAAAAGAATGTTTGGTTGGTTAGAGGGAGAATTATTGTCTTGTATAGAGTGTAAATATTAATGATGTAATCACTGATCCCTTCACTCCCTTACCTACCTTTAAATTTTTATTATTAATAATATTTTTTTTTCATTTTTTAACTGTGCGATTTAATCAATGACGATGTGCATTTACATGTTTATACGATGTAAAAGTATGTTTTTGTATATGTTGAAGGGAGATGGTAGAAGGGACAGGGAAAGGGAAGGTGAGGGTTGATTTCGAAAGGCAAGATAATGGTATTTGCCATGTAAATGGCCAATATGTAACATAACAAGTTATCCAAAATGATACAGTGTAATGTGGTGTGTGTAAGGGGAAATATATAAAATGAAGAAGAAAAAAAGGCAAAATAGGCAACAGATCTATCTTCAAGCACCTGGATGGGTTGAGGAGGAGGTTGTGATGAAGGGATCCATTCAATGTGATTACAACAAAAGGGATGGTGATTTCAATACTTATTAGCCAAATCCAGCCCATTCAATAGAGAAGAATGACGTAGTAATAGTACCCAATTTTAGTGAATGTAGGCCACTATCTTCAACATTTATTGTCTCATTCATAGTATGATTTTTATTCTCTTTAACACCCCCGATAACCCACAGTTTCTTGACAGCAGTACCCAATCTTGCACCACTTGTCAATGAAATGAAATCGATTGGATCATTGTAATAGTCTAGCGCCGAATCTATAGTTAAATGAGAGTGATACCTTAGTGGATCACCAGGGTATGCAATGTACAGTCCACCAAATCTACCACCAGGTAGCATTACATAACTTTGTTCTTTTAGTGATTGGTATAATAAATAATTATTCCAAGTACTATAATTCGTTATGAGATAATGCAATAAGTCCGTGCTTGTAGAAGATTTTGTAATTTCACGCTTTTCATCGACAGAGTAATCTAGTATCGAAGAAACATTCGATGTTTCCACAAATAACGAAGATTCTATAAATTTATTATTATCATTACTACTTGACGTGGCAGAAACGTCATTTTTAGATTGTTCAAGCCCCAGTTGTTTCAACTTCAATTCATGTTGTTCTTTTTTATATTCCCTTTGTAATTCAAAAGATTGTAACAGTTTCTTCCTAGATATTTCCCACAACTGGTCACTTTTCGATTCCAATATAGAATTAAAATGTCTTGACATAGGACCCTTGATCAAGTCCAACTTGGCATACCCATGCAATACAAGCCATATAGTCTCTTCAACCATAAGTTTCAGAGGGATTGAAAGAAAAATATTTTGTTGTGTGGCTGTAGGCAAAGTACCAGACAATATACCACATATCCCAAGTTTTCTCAACTTCAACACATCATCAACACTAAATACCATAGGACAAACTGTCGATTCGTCATCGTTCAAATCATTGACAATTAATCTTATACAGATTAATGAAGAGTTGCCCATAACTTCTTACAATTTTCCTTTTTTCTTGTTATTTTTTTTTTGTTTCTGTTTTTTTATTTATCGTCCTATCATTAGATCTTGATGATTCATAGAACTTGGCAATCAATACCAAATGCTTCCTCTCCATTATCATTCTCTTCAACCACAATGTTGGTTGATGACCAAAAAATTTGTCTAAAATAAGTTCTTTGAAACTTTTTGAGTGCAACGCGTAAAGTTGACGTCGGCTTTTATTTTTTGTCTCCTTTTCTATTTTTTTTTTTTTATTCCATCATTAACAAAAAGAAAAGTGACGCGTTAAGCTACGTGGAAATATCTTGAAGACATACAAATATTATCAAAACTTCATGAAGAGAAAGAAGGTTAATGTATTACTACAAGAAGTTTGCTTATAGGTGTATCCTTGACAAGTGTTATTCTATAAACACTGGTCTTTTTTTTAGCCAACTGTTGAAACTGCAACTAGCTATAATTGTATATACATATATATATATATATACAATCTGTTATTAAGGTATTCACACACACATCTCTGAATACTTTTGTAAAGTTTTTTTTATTCATTTGTTTATTTATTTATCTATTTATTTCATTGGATAGTTAAAAGAATAAGAAGAGCACTGTGAAAATTGTCATTATAATTTTTTGATTTCTTTAAGAATGAGTGCTTCTGATGTTAATCCTGGAGATATTTTAAGACTTTTCACTGATCAAGAAAAATATATGCAGGCTGCTAAAGGTGTTTACCAAGTCCTTAACACTAGAAAGTTTGATCCAAATACAAAAAGTAGGAAAAATATCATTATCTTAACTGACGGAAAATATCATGTTAAAGCGTTGTTAAGAAACACTGCTGCTGACAAGTTCCAGACTAGTGATTTACAGAAAGGTGACATTATACAGGTACTTGATGGTGAACCCCATGTTATTTTGGAGAAAAAAAAATTTGTCTTTTTAGTTGATGATTTTACGGTGTTACAACGTAATGCTAAATTTAGTGAGGAAGAGAGTATCTTTTTAGATAAGTATTTATATGATCAGATGGACAGATTGATACCTGAATTGAAAGGTGGTAACACAACCTCGAGTACTACTGTTCAACCTCCAGCAACCACAACCAGCGCCACCACAACACCTGCTACTTCTGGCATTTCTAATCAAGATTTTCAAAGCAATTTAGCTTCTTCTACAATGATGTCGAATTCTAATATTGATTCTACAAATAGATATCATGGTGGCACCAGCAATACCAGTGGTTCTCAAAAGTCTAGACCTATCTTTGCTATTGAACAATTATCTCCATATCAAAATGTTTGGACCATTAAAGCAAGAGTCTCTTATAAAGGGGATATTAAGACTTGGCATAACCAAAGAGGAGAAGGGAAACTGTTTAATGTTAATTTCCTAGATACTTCGGGTGAAATTAGAGCTACTGCCTTTAATGATAATGCTGTCAAGTTTAATGAAATATTGCAAGAGGGTAAAGTCTATTATGTGTCAAAGGCGAGATTACAACCTGCTAAACCACAGTTTACCAATTTGTCGCACCCTTATGAATTGGCTATGGACAAAGATACAATTATTGAAGAATGTTCAGATGAAACAAATGTTCCAAGGACTCATTTCGACTTTATTAAATTAAATACTATTGAAAATCAAGAAGCTAATTCTACTGTAGATGTATTGGGTATCATTCAAACAGTTAACCCACATTTTGAATTGACTTCTAAGACAGGTAAAAAATTCGATCGTCGTGATATTACTATTGTTGATGATTCAAATTATTCAGTCTCTGTAGGTCTTTGGAATCAATTGGCACTTGATTTTAATTTGCCTGAAGGGTCAGTGGTCGCTATTAAAGGGGTGCGTATATCTGATTTTGGTGGCAAATCCTTGACTATGGGTTTCAATAGTACTCTGATTCCAAATCCGGAGATTCCAGAAGCTTATGAATTGAAGGGTTGGTATGATTCTAAAGGTCATAGTTCTAATTTCACATCTTTAAAACAAGAAATTGGTACTGCAAATAGTGGTAATGCAGCCAAGTTTATCTCACAGAGAATTACAATAGCCAAAGCTTTTGCAGATAATTTAGGTAGAAGTGAAAAGGGTGATTATTTCAGTATCAAAGCAGTGGTCAGTTTCTTAAAAGCTGATAATTTTGCTTATCCTGCATGTTCAAATGAGAATTGTAATAAAAAAGTCGTTCAACAAACAGACGGTACATGGAGATGCGAAAGATGTGAAGTTAATCATCCTGAACCTCAATGGAGATATATGTTAACCATCTCTGTGATGGATGAAACAGGTCAAATATGGCTTTCCTTATTCAACGATCAAGCAGAACAATTGCTGGGTATTGATGCAGGAAAATTGACAGACTTGAAGGAAAACGATCCAGACTCGTTTACTAGTATTACGCAAAATGTTCAAATGGCAGAATACGATTTTAGAATAAGAGCGAGAGAAGATAACTATAACGATCAAAGTAGAATTAGATACACTGTGGCTAATTTACATAAATTAAACTTTAAGGCTGAAGCTGATTATTTGGCTTCTGAATTATCCAAAACATTATTAAATTGACCCAGGGGATAAGAAAGAAATAATATATATACATATATATATGTGTATGTGTGCGCTGTGTAATGTTTTTTAATCTTTTAATTGTATATTCTCAATTATTTAATTCATGATGATCTCCTGTTTGTATGCAAAAAAAGTAAATATTAATTATAAAGTAGTTGTAGAGGAATACAACTGAACATATTGTCATATATTGTAAACAGGGTATACAACCGTCCTATATCACATACATATAATATTTTAATGTAATAAATGAAAATTGGAATCCAACAAAAAAGTTTCTTCCATTTTTCTTTTTTTTATTTTTTCTCCCTTCCTCGTATTTTAGTCATCTAATCTGATTTAGTGAACTAAAGATTGGAGAGTCTATCTGTGGTTGAAACTTTAATTTATCAAATAATTTCCAGTAACGTAATGTTTCATCTCCAGCGCCAGAAACCACAGTTGTACCATCCGCCGATAAGGTTAAGTGTAAGACTCTAAATGAGTGGCCTTTTAAAATGGCTATTGGATCTAATGTTGGACAATCCCAGACAGTAAGATTGAATTTAGAATAGCCATGTGATGTAATAATTTCATCAGTATTCTTAGACCATAGCATGTTACAAATCTGGGAATTCGTATCAACATCATTGATTTTTGTCTGATTAGTCACGTTCCAAATCTTTAAATGACGATCAGCAGTACCACCACCTGTAGCTAATATACTCCTTTTATGTGGTGACCAAGCCATGGCTTTTACAGCGGCTTTATGTTCTGTTAATGTCAAAAAAGGAGTTTTTGATACACCGTCAAACACATTAACAATATTATCATTACCACCCGATGCCAATTTATTTTCATTGATATTCCATTTAAGACCACATACTTCTTGTTGGTGTGTTTCAATACGTTGAAAATATGGTTCAGCCGTACGAACATCTCTATGTAAGATTTTCCGATCACGACTACCTGATGTCAATACATAATTATTCCATGATAGACAAGCAACTCTGTCTACATGGCCAGATAAAGTTCTAATACATTTTTTCTTTGTTACATCATATATCTCAATAAGTCCATTATTCTGTCCTACTGCTAAATGAGAGCCAGCTCCCACCCAACTTAAGCTTGTATATTCATCCTCTGTGTCGCATAAATGTATAACTTCGCCTGTGCTATTGTTAGTTAAAAAAATTGATTTATTCAAAGCTACCGCTAAAAGATCCGTAGAAGACCAATCAATTAAATCATAATAAAAATCATCAGCTAATGATGGTGCATCCAATACTCTGTATGGTATTTTAGCAATTTTTCTTACACTTTTACTTGGTGATAATAATAATTGTTTAGAGTCAGGCCTTACTGGAGATCTGTGATCCATAAATTGTGAAGATTTAATATAGTTGGATGCAAAAGAAGACTTCTTAGTAGGCGAACGTTCTTGATAGGTAAAAATACTAGCACCTCGATTTGTATTGCTAAATGGTTTACATATATTATCTGTAGAGAACAACTTTTTCGGTGTGATTGGTACAGAATTTAATCTCTCTGAGTTTGAACCACTATTATAACCATAAAAATTGCCAGAATTATTAGTAGTATTACCATCATCATCACTGTCACTGTTGTTATCATTGTCATTATCTATGAGGACTCCGTTAGAAACACTTATAGGTGTATCACTTAAATTAATATAAGAGCTGTGTCTCTCTGGAGATGGAGTAGAAGGTTCCTTTCTTTTGATACTGTTACCATTAGTGCCATGATTATATATCATTTTGGTTTTGGTATTTTCGATTTTGTTAATTCCACTTTCTGTACTATCTTTTGATAAGAGATCACCAAAAATTTCATTTTTCAAAATAGTATCGAAGGTTTCGTGTGCTTGTCTTTCTTTTTGAAATACTACTTGATCGTCATGGTCAATTGAAGAATTACTGAATTTTGTTAAAGATACAGTACTGGCTATAGACTTTATAGAATTTAGCCCAATATCAGTTCTTGTTGGGATAAATCTATCGGAATATGTGATGGTACTAGATGAAGTTTTAGGTCTTCTAGTTGGTGAAGACAACAGTGAATTTGATAGGTTTGTGGTACCAAATGTTTGTGATGAAGGTCTTTTATATATTCTTTTTCTTGGACTACTATGAGAACTTGTGCTGTTGCTGTTGCTTCTACTACTATTGGTATTGATAGAGGTGATTTTATCTTCTAAAGATGATGAGTTATCTGTGATAAGTGGAGTAACAATACTCCCTGGTGTTGATATTGTTTTCTTGCCTCCTTTGATCGGCGATGATTTTGGTGTATTTGTGAGGAATGGATTGTGCGAATATTGAGACATTATTAATAATACAGTGGTCTTTTTATCTTATTTTGTCTTTTTTATTCGTTTTATTTTTTAGTTTATATTTTTTACAAGCCTGTGAGTTCTTTCTTACTCAAGGATATGTATATGTATGTGAATGCTTGGAAATGATATAAAACAGATTTTCAGTTGGGGTACAACTATAACGGGAAGAAATATAAAAGTAACGGCAAAATAATTTCTTGCTTATGTTTTGTTTAGTATAACTGTCCAATTGTCTATCTTAATTTAATTTTGTCTTTATCTTTATTTTATCTCTTTGTTTCTATTTCCATGTGTTTTTTTTTTCATTACTTTCTTTTTTTTTTTGTTTTAAATGGCCACTTTACCTAATTAGGCAAAAAATTCAAAAGAAGTCCTTTTATTATTGTTTTGTTACTAACCAGGATTAGTAATATCAATGTTGCCATTTATTATCAACGATAATAGCAACTGATAGTGGATTTTACAATAGTTCTTGTTCGAAATCAAAATGGAAATATGTACATTTATGATAAAAATTAAAGTTAAGTATTTTAAAGTTAGTTACTTTTAAAATAGTATTTATTCTTTTTTAATTTTTTTTTCTTTGCTTTATTTTAATGAATTTTGATAATTCATAGTTATAATTCTTTCATAATCGATTGGAATAGGACATTGATCATAAGTTATATTGTTTCCCCTAACGTCATATTTTTCTTTGGTCCTTAAATCAATTGGAATCGATTCACTGGTGTTATTAATCATATTATATTGGGATTGATGATTTTGGTCCTCATCGAATTCATCAAATTCATCTTCTTTCTCTTGATAATCAATATTTTCCTCAATTTCTTCAAAATCTGGTGCTAAAGCACTCCATTTAGGTGGAATAACAAGTGACCATATATATACATCTCCAGTTTCAAATCCATTACTTGCAATAGACATTGTATAATAGTTCCAATCGATATCCATTAATTCTTCTTCTGCGCCTTCTAATACTCTAACCAAAGAGCCAAAATTTGTTTCCCAGAGGTATAATTCATGTGTCGAAGATCCATGAGTCGAAGCTACAATATAATCGCCAGATTTATTACTGAACATTATGCCATTCCATTGTAATTTATTGATCACATCTTGATACCTATGTTCCAAATTAAGTATAAAACTTTCATTTTTCGAATCGAAGGTTAGAGAATATTGTCTGATTGTTCTATCTGAACAATTAATAGCCATTCTATCGCCATTTTGTGATATTATAATATCTTTAATATTAGAATTAGATATTTTAATTGAGTTTAAGATTTTAAAAACTAGTGTACTTGACGCAGAAGATGTTGTTTCAAAATCTTGTTTATTATTTGACTCAATGTTATAAAATTTAATCCAACCTTTAGAACTACCTGTGATTATAACATTTTTCAATTTTGGATGTATATAGGTAGTTAATACAAAACCATGATCTTCATTTTTTGTGTCTTTATTCTGTTGTACCTCATCTTCGTAATGATTATCATCTGAAGCATTTGCTGCATCATTTTCCTTTAAAGGAATATTGATATTATTTATTGGATCAATATAAAAAGCATGAGATTCCTCATATGCAGTAGCCACTAAACATTGGTTAATCCGATCTAATTTTGGATGTCCAATAATACTCTCTTCATTAATAGGAATCCAATGACAATTCCAGACGGGACCATCAAATAAAGTTTCAAAAATTGGTGTTTCTGGTTTTAAAATATCCCAGACACGACAATACCAATCCCTACCACATGTAACAATGTATCTTCCTATCTTATATTCATCTATATTGGAACAGTAACTAACATCTGACCATTGAATAGATTGCACAGCTCTTGAATGTGCACCACCGTATTGCGATCCTAAGATATGAATTGGTCTATATGTTTCAGTATCATAAATCATTACTGAACCGTTGACTGAACCAAGAGCTAAATAATGACCTTGTGGACTATATTTGAGGCATGTCGTAATCAAGGGGTTTTGAATTGTATGAGTCAATTTTTCAGGATATTCTTTTAATACAGTAAATGGATCTTGTAATAATAAATTCATTTTCCTTTAATAATATAAGTCAAATGGAAGAAAGGAAAAAAATAATTTGGATATTGTTTTTTTATCTTAATAAATTAGTCTGATATATTAATCTTTGTTTAATAATAGTACAAGGTGTTTACATTCATATATAAGTTTTAATGCAAGATCCATTACAAGCTCAATGCAGTAATATACACTACCTGATTGCTCAAGTATAGAATATTATATCATATTATGCTATGTTTTATTTTTCACTTTGACATTTTTATCCCATATATATTATTTATTATTTATTTTTACGCGTTCTTCTTCATCTCATCTCATCTCACCTGCTCGTCCATTCCATTACCCTCTAAATAATTTTTCCACTAAATAAATTTTTCTTATCACGTCGTCCACCTCTCCTGAAGGCTTCCTATGGTGGCGGAATTTGAAGCGGAAAATCGAGTTCCGCCTCCAAGCATTTTCCTTGCCATATTCTTATTTCCGTTTTCTAGGGTTTGTCTTCTTTTTTTTCTCTAACTTTCCTTCCTTTGATAAAAACCCTAAATCTACTCAATGTTGTTTGTTTCTTTGAACTTTTTTTTTCTTTGCTTTTTGTAGTTTGTTTCGTTTTTTGTTTTTTGTTTTTTTTTTTTTTCTTTTTTACGTGATATTATTGTTATTTAGAAAAAAGAGAACATGAAAATGTTAAAAAAAAAACTGGTAACAGCAAATTATCATTTGTAGGCAGCTTTACATATGAAGAGTATAGATTTATACATGGTAACTACCATAGTTGAACAATTGCTAGGATCAACAACATAACTTCCCCCATACTCATCGCCACTACAACTATTTCCCGCTGATTTATTTAGTTGATTCAAAAAAATGTTTGGCACTTCGAACTGTTTATCTATTCTTTGTTTGACTTCATTTTTTATACAAAATGTCTTTGGTTTTTATTATTTAAATAATGCTGGTGAAAGAAAATGTTTTCAGAAAGAATTAACTAAAGATACTTACATTCAAGGACGTTATTCTGTATCAGTTTTGAATCCAAACACCAAGCAATACACGGATGCTTCCCCAAATGAAATGAGTATTATTGTTGACATTGAAGAAATATTTGATGATAACCAACGTGTCGTACATCAAAAGGGTTCTCCAATTGGTGATTTTACTTTTGTTGCTTTGGAATCAGGTGAACATAGAATTTGTTTACAGACTCAATCTAATGATTGGTTATCTAAATCTAAAGTTCGTGTTGATTTGGAATTTGAAGTAGGTTCTGACATGAAATTGGATTCAAAGAAGAAAAAGACAATGGAAACTTTACAAGGTAGAATCAACCTTTTAGCATCAAAAGTCGTGCAAATTAGATTGGAACAAAATTTAATGAGAGAACGTGAAGCTCAGTTCAGAGATTTGTCTGAAAGTGTCAATTCTCGTTCAATGTGGTGGACCATTATTCAATTGATTGTTCTTGGTGTTGTAGGCTTTTGGCAAATGAAACATTTAGCTACATTCTTTGTCAAACAAAAAGTTTTATAAAAATACTGATAGGAAGGCTAGTATTTGCAGACGTTGCACTGTATTTTTTTTATAGTTATTTAGTTTCGCCCCTTTCACGTATTTTTCTATTTTTTGTTTTGAATATGTAGATACAAATTTTAAATATATAATACTTATGCATGTGCATAAAGTAATAAAAATTTATCCTAATATTAGTTTTCTTTATATATAGATATATAGACAAGAGCATCTCTGGTATATGTAGGTAAATTCTAATCGATCGATTTCTTGCTTCTAAAAATACTTATTAAGGTTTTAAATTTTATTATAATTAGCTTTTTATTCCATAAGGCATAATTTCTTAATAAGAAACAAATTATTTATAGATATTATATGTATATATGTATGTAATAAACTAAAAAAAGAAAATGAAAGAAAGATAAAAAAGTATAAATACTTAATAAAATGCATTAGATTCAGGATAGGAGTAGAGAACAATTAGTAGAATAAGTGAACTAGTCAGATGCTTTGAATAATTACAATTTAAAATACAAACATTGATTTGAAATGATCTACTTTGGATTCATCAATAGTAGCAACATCAATATTAGATTTTGCCGGTGTTGAGAATTCATATTGATATTTATTTGTGTTTTCCTCTACCTTAACATTAGCCTGTCCTGTTTCTTCTTCTTCTGTTTTACTTGGGTGCGATATTGTGAATTTTGCTGTGGTTGAATTTGAAGAATTTTTATCGGTAGAAAAGATAGGTGTAATTGGTGTACTAGATGATGAGGATAGTATCTTATTACTGGTGAATGCCTTTTTGTCCTCATTTTTATCATTTGCATTGGAGAAAGTGAATGTGAATGAAGAAGTTTGTGGGACAATTGTACGCTCTGTGCCTTTTATTTTTTCTTCTGGTTCTTTTGTACCTTCATTGTTTACTTTGTCTGCAATAACGACATTAGTGCTTAATGAAGATGATTTAGTAGGTTTGTATGTATTAATAACATTGACTGTGGAGCTGTTGGTGTTGTTATTGTGGTTGGCAATGGAAGTGGTCGTAGTAGTAGGCGTATTATTCTCTACGGTTGTAAAAAGTTTTTTAAAGTTAGTTTGTTTCGTTTCAGAATCTAAATCCTCTTTCTTTTTTGAATTAATGAATTGTTTCTGTTGTGTGTGTTTATGAACCATTGATGAATATGGGTTTGCCAAACTTTTAGATTCTTGAGAAATAATCAAAGTATCATTTTTTTCTTCATCTCTTGTTTGATTAATATTTTTACCATCACTATTGCTGGTATTTTCTAATAAGGTCACTAATGCAGAAGCAACATTAGTTAATTTTGGTCCTTTGGTTTTTTTTGTTTGTGAAGGTTTAGTTATAGATTTAATTTGTTGTGATTGTGGATTTACATTGGAAGTGGAAAGGGATCTATGATTGGATGGATATTTGAAAATTACAGTGTTTCTGTATGGAGATCTTGCACCTGAATAGTTAAAGATTCTCCTTACAGAACTTCTATTAGATGAAATTGAAGAGATACGAGAATTAGGGTTATTAGCTGTTGATATCGTGGTATTTGGTTTGGGTGTATCAAAGTCAGGCACATATTGAGGCACTTTTAATTCTTTAATTGTGGTATTTCCAACATCATTATCATTGTCATTTACCGAGTTATTACCAGTAAAATTAGAAGATGTGGAAAGGATTCTTGATCTATTAAATATCTGGTTAGTGTTATTACAGAAATAATTATTATTACCGTTATTATTCTTATCTTGGGATGAGGAATTAAAAGTTGAATTAAACATATTATTTCTGTTATTATTAGATAGATGTGACATTGAAGATTTTCTTAGAAGTGACATTACACCTTCAACTTCAATCTCAGTGAGTGGCTCATCACCTTTTTGTGCAAAAAAGTCAGCCAATTTGGCATTTGAAATATTTACTATTGAAATATCATTATTTTCACATTCACTGTCATGTTCATTTTTTTCTTTGTTTGAAATATTGTCATCATTGTTATTGCTTCGAGGACTTGGTATTAAAATAGATTTTGTATTACTCTCTTTGAAAAAGCCTCCAGGTACAAATATTGGGCTAGTAACATTAATAAGTTCATTTCTATCGCTATTGTTATTGTTTGCGTCGTTCTTTTTTGATTCTTCTACACCGGTGGATCTTATAGAATGTATACTTCTATCAATAAAACTTTTGAATTTATTAAATATAGAGACTCGTCTTTTATTATTGTTTTTGCTTGTTATTTTAGTCTTTGCTTTGCCATATGGTGCAACACTTTTAACATCCCGGAAAGATTTGGAATTCAGCATCTTGTTAAATGGTGGAAGAATACACTATGTTGTTATGTTGTGGATATTAGAGGTATCTGTAGATGCAAAAGAGGTCAATGAGAAGAAAATATTTAATCGTGACTGCCAAGTAAGTATATTGTTGTTTTGAAGATATGTTTTATAAAAAAAAAATTATTTCCACTTTTTTTTTTATTAATTCTTTCTTTGCTCGTCAAATTTTTCAGTAATTTTTCTTTTTTTTTTTTATATATATGTATATGCTTTTTTGCTTGAAATATTTTTTCTTTTGTACTATATTTGATAGTAGTAAGTAAATAATAATAATATTGCAAACAAGTTAAACGGAAGGAAACAAAAAAATGTTTATGACTATACTAGTATAGATATTATATTATATTATGTTATGTTATATCATGTTATGTTATATATAAGTGGATGTGTGTGTGAATGGGTGAGTGAATGAATCTGTCGATAAAGTGAGAAATTTTTCTTTTTTTACTTTGTTACAATTTCATCGTCAACTCTAACTCATCCAATCTTCTTCTACCACGTCTACTTAATCTATCATTTTCTCTTTTCAATCTTCTCAATTTTCTTTCTTTCTCAATTTCCTTCCTTTGAATTTCTTCTGGTGTCAATAATTCAATCTTTGGAGCCCAGTTTTCTCCTAAATCATCGAGGTTCAATCGAACACCAGCAAGATATCCAAACGCAGCTTCATTATTTAAGTTAGTGATATTAGTACTAGTATTATTACTATTGCCTTCTAGGTATTCTTTTTTAACTTTCAATATAGTTTCGTATAGGGAATATGTGACGACTGGTAAAAACTCTCTTTTCAATCCTAGATCAGTGACCAGGATCTCAGCGAAGAGTTCTGGAGTGAGGCTTGAATCATTTAGATTCCACTGGAAGTTATCTTCTAGGAAATAGTCCTGTAAATGGCAAGTCAAATTGATCAGAATTTGCAAGTCTTGATCGAACTTAATAGAGGCTACAGTTTCATATTCTTTGATTAAGTCATTTATGGTATTGACTATCTGTTGATTCAAGGTGGAGTTATTTTGCAAATCTAGATCCTGGCAATAGATGTTGGCAAATTCCTCAGGTGTCATTGATGAATCATTGATGTTCCACGTGAAGTGGTCTATTATTTTAACACCATTACTCTCAATATTTAATGCGATTGGTACGATGATAGGTTCTAACTTTGAATTGTTATCTATTTCAATGTTATTATCGGTAGTAGTAGTAGTAGTAGTAGTAGTAGAAGTAATAGCAGTAGTATCAAGGATCGAGGATATAGCAGATGATATTGGAGGATTCATACTAATATTTTTAAATAGATCCAATCTATAGGGAGTCACAATTTTACTCTGTTGGAAAGTTTCTCTAATCTTTGGATATCTAAGTACATTAAATACGTCATCTTGTTCGTCCAAGTCAGGTAGTCTGTCTTTAAGATCAATTTTCTTAGAAAAGTTGGTATTACCAGTAGTATTATTGTTGTTGTAATTATCATCTTCATGATCCAGGTTATTGCTGTAGTTGTTATTATTATCGAATGAATCAGAATGTGTACCAGATAACATTGGATAATTCAGATTATCTCCATATTCATTATTATTACTTTTACTATTATGGAAGTTGTTACGGTCAAACAGAGCAGAGTTTATAAAGTTGTTGTTGTTGTTGTTGTTATTGTTGTTACTACCATTATAATCGTTAGCAGAATTACCAGCATTACTAGTGGCCTGATTATAATTTGAATATTCATTGTCACTGTTCTCTTCACCGATCAAATCGTCGAATAGATCGTTATCGAACTCAGCATAGTTGACAACTTTTGCTCTTTTATGGCCCCGTACCTGAGTTTTTGCCAAGGAAGTGTCGAGTAATGAGATAGTTGGTTCATTTCTTATTCTATTGTGAAAATTAGTCAAATAGGCTTGCGGCAGTAAAATGCTTTGGTGTTCTTGTAAATTTGGCATCTTAAGAAAAAAACAAAAAAAAAAAACAAAGAAAGATGTATATATATATATATATATATATGGAGATATATGTTTGTGTGGACGTGTGGATAAATGTATATAGTTGTGGGTATAGGTATGTATTATGGATATTAGATTTCAGAGTGTACTTTTTTAATCATGGCAAGAACCGCTTGTAAATGCATATAAATAGAGAAATCGATATATAACCCCACACAACAACAGTCCAACTACTCAATTATTCAATTACTCAATCAATCTATTCAGATTGTCCTCTTGTCGCAGTCTTTCATTTCCCCCCCCTTCCAAAGAGAAAGAAAAAAACAAAAAAAAAGAAAAAAAGAAAGAAAATCCAGACACACAGAAAACTGTCCACCCACACACCCAGTTAAGTCACGTGTTTTCGTTCAAAGTGATGTTTCCTCTTTCGGAAACACCTTAAACAAAACAAAAAATAATAAATAAAAAAGAAGAAAACCTAAAAAGAAAAGAAAAGTGGGGATAAAAAAAATTTTTTTATCTACTTAATTTTTTTTTTTATTTTTTCCTTTTTTTTTTCACTTTTCTTCCTCATCCACAAAAACAGAACAGAAGAGAAGATTTTCCTTTTGTTTTTGGTTTGAAGGTTTGTTCCCATCAAACGTCTTTTGCACAACTTTCTCAAGTTCATGTTTTCTTTATGTCCTTTTCTTATATTACAGTCTGTAGACTTTGTTTATTTTTAAAGTCATCTCCTCTCTTTTACCATTTATTAACTAAACTTATCTTGTGTCCAAGTTCTCTTTCTTCCTTCTTTTTTTTTTCTTCTTTTTTATTGTCCTTTTCATAATTTTATTAATGTTTACCTGCGCTATTTGTTATTGATCTATCTTCCAGGAAACAAAACCAAACGAACAAACAAAAGAAATATTTGTAAAGATGGCCGCTACTGACTTCTCCAAAATCGAAACTATCGCTAACTTAGATAAGCAATTAGCTGAAAACTCTTACGTCGAAGGTACCTCCGCTACTCAAGCTGATGTTGCTGCTTTCAACGCTTTCAAGGCTGCTTACCCAAATTTCACCAGATGGATTAACCACTTAGCTGCTAAGGCTGATGAATTCGACTCTTTCCCAGCTGCCTCTGCTTCCGCTGCTGAAGAAGCTAACGAAGATGACGACGATGATGTCGATTTATTCGGTTCCGATGATGAAGAAGATGAAGAAGCTGAAAAGTTAAAGGCCCAAAGAGTCGCTGAATACAACGCCAGAAAGGCCGCCAAGCCACCAAAGCCAGCTGCTAAGTCTATCGTCACCATCGATGTCAAGGCTTGGGACGATGAAACTAACTTGGATGAAATGTTAGCTAACGTCAAGGCCATCCAAATGGACGGTTTGGTCTGGGGTGCCCACACCTTCGTTCCAATCGGTTTCGGTATCAAGAAATTACAAATCAACTGTGTTGTTGAAGATGACAAGGTCTCTTTAGATGATTTACAAGGCCAAATTGAAGAAGATGAAGACCACGTTCAATCCACCGATATTGCTGCTATGCAAAAATTATAAGCTGTTGACTTAACTACATTTAGAAGTCTCTCTTTTTTTTTATGTATGTTTATGCATGCCTTATCCATCTGTTTGTCCATATCTTCATTTCTCTTCAGCAACATAATATAATATATAAATAGTTACATATATAATTATATATATATTTAAAAATTATGTTTGTTTGTTTAAACATCTTTTATATCTTCGTTTTTTGTTCTTGCTTATGGATATTTGCACTATTTATTTTCATTGCATCTTCTGATATTTAACCACATTCAAATGGTCATTGACATATATTGGTAGAGTAAGATATAGTCAATACACAATAAAGCAGAACCAGATAGTATTTTGTATGGTAGGATATATACCCCTCAGTCTTTGACTAATTACTGTTTAGTATCAAATTTTTTAGCCTTATTACTCCTCACTTTATATAACAACAACTTTTGTAAGTTTTGAAAATAAATAAAAGGGAAAAAAAAAAAGAGGGAGGGGGAAAGAAATTATAAATAAAAAATCTATCGATCTATCAAGGGTTTCAGCTACAATAAAATACATCGAATAATCTTTAATTAAGTACATAAAAAATAGTTACAATTAATGCTAATAAACAAATGGAGAGATTACATTTTGATTAGTGTGTTTTAGTATGGATATGGTAATTTTTTTGTTCACAATTTGGATTCTCCAATTCCTCTGGATGAATAATATTAGTATACATGTTCTTAGCGTCGGTGATCATACTATATGTTATTATTGTGTATTATTATTATGTTGATATGTAGTGTAATTTTCCCTCAATCTTTTGATTCGGAATTAATAATTATATAAATACAAAAGAAACATATGATAAAGTGTATATAACTTATTTATCCAGATTGGAAAATTAATAAGTAAAGTCGTCTACTTATATATGTTTACCTTTTGGCAATTTTTCATAATATATTAATTTATTTTTATTCTGTTTGATTTTATCTTCATAATATTGAATGTGCAAAACAAACATTTTTCCTCTTTGATATATTTACATGTTACTCAAACCGGTAATATATCATTCCAGCACCAATATATTCTGATAACAACCACTATTGTTGCGTGTTCAGTATTTTTGGGACTTAATCAGATTCGGATATTCTAAATATTTAGAATAATGATAGTGATAATTAGGTTTTGCGATACTATAGACTTTTTCCCTTATGTGATCATAATTTGAATTTTGACAAGTTTCAACTAAATGTAAAAATTTTAGGCACAACAAAATAAAAGAAATAGTAAATAGAACCACTTTAGACGATAAAAAAAAACAAATGTCATAATGAAATTATCTACAGTTGATACGACAAATATTTTACAGGAATATAGTGGTGTATGATGTTTATATGATAACTTCAATGAGGGGTTTGAGATTAAAAAAAATCTTACAGAAAAATTGTTTATTTTTATTTTATTTTACTTTTTCCCCATTTGAAAGAGAAGAGATATTTTAGTATGAAAGTAAGCAAAGTAGGTAAGGTTGAGTTATTTATACACCAGTGCACAATTGTGATTTAGTATGGAACATATATGTAAATAGTGAGGTTTAGATGAAGAGAGATATATAATAGAAACGATATTTTATTAGCAAATTGGCAATTGGGGATTTCGGAGGGCAACATTTCCCCCCTTCCCCTTTCACCGGATCATTCAGCTACTAGGCAGTTAGGAAGCAGTGATAACTAAGATACCATAGTCCTATGACTTTTGTCCATCCTAGCAACAGACATGTTGTTCCTTTAGATAATATACACATAAACTATATAGAAGGATAGCTATAAAGAATATTACAGCACCCAGAAAGAAAAAACCTGGATATCGGGTACTAAAGGTACAGATGATAATTGCAATTAATCATGATGAAATCAAGATGCACGCCCGGAGTTGAGTGAGTCGAATAGTACCCGCAACAAGCAATCAAAAAATAAATATGACCAACGTTTATAGAACGCAAAGATGGAACAAACTAAATAAAAGAAAGTACAAAAAACATAAAACATTACAGGGAAGTCACAGGAATAGGATATCGAGAACGTCGTAACCCAGTAGAATTTGTTGATAATTTACACAATTTTGATGACAATGCATAAAAGAAGAGCAGAGTTGTGTGAAAACAGCCCCAATACGAAAAAAGATTTACGTTCCTACGACTGTTTGCCTAAGATGATCATTACCCTCACCACCATTGGTAGAATCAGGAGCCTTGAACAGAGCCCTGTAGAGAACAAGTCCACTTCCCAGAAGTATCGAGTCCTTAAACAGTTGAGATGGATCAACATGAGATACTCGGGCCAGCCATCAAAACACTACATCTATTTACAAAAAAAATAAGTTAGAAAAGAACGGTATTAAGATAGAGCATTCCTTTGATTTAGGAGCTCTTGTATATACAATGGGTATCACACAAAGTAAAAAGATCATGAGGCGAGGAGGAAACATACATTAGGTAAACGAACTGGACAAAAGTTGGAGGGTAGGAAAAAAAAAGAGCGCTCTTTATTTTTTTTCTTTGTATGTTTCTTAGTTAAGATGAGAAAAAGACACTAAAGCAATCACACGATAGCGAATTAAGGTTCTAGGTTAATATACAATGGACAATGGACAACACATTAGAAAATGGATGTATTGTTAGTGGGATTAGGAAAGAGGAATAAGAGACATAAAAAAGTAGCGAAAAGAAAATTGCTAGATGATAATAATACAGAAAAAGTGAGGTTAATAATGAGATTGAAAAAGTAAAATAGCGTTAATAATGTGGAGTAGCCATAATGGATGGAAGTAGAAAATTTGGATTGAATTACTGAGGTGTGAGAGATACTTTTTTTTAGCGGGCTATATTTTTTTTTCTTTTTTTTTATTTTCATTTTTGTTATAACTGTTTTTTATTATAACATTTTTTTTTTTTTATTTTATTTTAGCAGTGCACTATTTAGATAAACTGGGACTAGAGAATTAATAATATGAGAGATATAGAAGAAAAAAATAGAGATGAAAAAAAAATCAAAATAAAAAGTAGAGATGGAGGAGGGGATGGTAAATGAAAAGAGAGAGAATTGGAAACGATTTAGGATGTTGTTCATTGACTAACCAACCAATCATTCAGATATACATTATAGCATAAGTATGCCTCTTAGATCATGAAGCATAAAAAAAAAATACTACGAGATATAATTGACTTTTGTTATGCCACCCAGAGGAACAGAACCACCAGTTCCATTAAGATGTGCAAATTATAAGCCCTAGGAGTATCTTCAACTTGTTCAATATTTTATTACGAATAATAAAATAAATTTTGATCAGGTAGGAATAGAACCACCAGTTCCATCTGACAAAGAGAGCCGCGAGTCAAACAAGAATCCAATATTCCTATGTCAATTATTATCTCTGAAAAATTGTCCATTAAAAATCTCAAACACCATTTTCCTATTTCTTGGCTTGTAAATTCAACTACAACTGTAAAATCTGAAATCATGTAAAAAAAAAGCGCCTCTGTAAAACTATCACCTTATGAGTAATAGTGGAATCAAGAACTAAATTCAACTAATAAAAAATATCTTCCTCAAATCCTAAATTTGGGTTAACAATAGTCTTGAACTTGCATAATGGCAATCCACAGATCCTATTGTATTCACTCTCTTGGAATAGTAATGGAATTGAATAAAATTAAACAATAAAAGGGTAAAAAAATCTCCGAAAATTCTCTAGTAATAAAATATATAAAAAGTCTGCACTTGCTAGTATCATTCTCACTTGTTGGTTGCATATATGTCACAGCATATATATATATATATATATGACCTATATTGTCAGTATTCATTATATCAGGATAATAAGGGCTTGTATCCACCCATCTACAAAACATTTTTGCCATGACTGCTATTGAGTATTAGTATTAATATTATTATCGTATGTCTGTTAGTATTGTAAAGTAATGTGTCCTAATCCCTTGGGAGATATTCACTCATCTTAACGGATCTTTTTACCACATGTGGTAACACCACTGGATATACAAGAACTACTATGCCATTAGAATACGCTATCCTAACACAGTCCCTCCAACTTAGTTTTTCTGTAAATAGACGGGTCCCTTTGGTTGAATTCCTAGCACTCACATGAACCACCCACTCTCGTTGATTCTTTCATGTAAGAAATGGAATCCTCTATAAGGTCACTGTCAACGTTTCTAATTCTCCTAGACTGGATTTTTGGGTATGTCTCTTAGCTACAGGTCGTAGCCCACCACTTTTTTTAGTATAAAGGAGAACAATTGTTCTTTTAACATTTCCACTATCAGCTTCACAGATCAAGCTATGTATTATTATCTCCATTATTTCATTATTTTAGAATCAAACTGAGAAATTCTTTTTTTTCAATCTTTTTCTTTGTGATCATTCTGACATGTTATATATTTTCAAAATTAATTTACTTTTTCCCTTCCACTTTTGTTTTCTAATAGATGTTGGACATGTTCACTTATTGGTTGGGTGTGACAGGAGCTATTGGACTGGTTTCTTTGTACCTTTTGGAAGAAAATGTGTATAGAGTAAACACCTATTCCTTTAAATATTATTTTGTGTCTCTTTCTTTTTTTTAAAAATAAAAAAAATTAATGTCAGTGTTTTCCCGTAATATTGAAGAAGTGACACAAAATGGAGTGCTCAACGACAAAATAATGATTTTTGCTTTTATTGCATTTTAAAAAGAAAAGACACAGAATCAGGGAGGGTAAAAAAGAAGAATGGGAAATGTGGTTTGTAACCGTATTACTTTTAAAAAACACATATTGTTTTTTATTATGCCAGAGAAAACAGTAATGATAGCAGCAATTTTGCGACAAAGATAAGAGAAATTTGGGATTGAAGAGTTTGTTTTTGTCTACAGATATAAGAGTTTACACCATTAAGAAAAGCTTGCTATGATTAGCATATGCTTTTGTTGGATAGATTGAATCTAGCTTCTAATTATATTCTATAATTCATATATGGTTAGTGGTATACAAAATCAAAGTAAAGTTCATTGATTTTTATATATGTATAATATTAAAAATGATAATATACAGAAAAATTTACGACAAAAATAAAAATTTGCTATGAAAAAATATTGGACTTTATATATATGTATATTAAACTTTTTTTTTTGCATACAATACAAAAAAATCAACTAAATAATTTTCTCAATATTGAGCGATGTCTGAATGACCCACACACAGTATTCCATTATTTAATATCTGTTAAAATTGGATCGGTATATTTATTTTATTCTGGAACATCTTTTCCCAACTATACAATATATACTCCCAATTATAATGAATGATGGTATATCATATCTGAATATTTTCTATCATAGTCTATTAAATTATTTCCGCTATAATTCTTAGTTATTGTAGCTCAAGATACTAAAAGAATATCCAAGGACACTGTATATCCATATACAACATAATATGTAGATATATCTTATTGATTTTTGTACTCGACTACTAACTTCTTTATAATTTACTTGCAATTTTATTTAATAGATATTAGATAAATTTCGATGTTTGTTATAAATTTTTAGTCTCCGTATTATATTTTCATAAACTCAGTAGAGATTAACTAAAAAAGTGATTAAACACTACCGGAAATGTCGAATATTGATAATTTTGTTGTAGCATGATTCCCACATTTTATTTTTTCTCACAGCACAGAATTTATAAGTTTTGTTATCTAAAATTCGTTAACAAAATTTATGAGTATGTTTGCCCTTGTATTGTTTTTAAAAAACATACTTAAATAAATCATGAAGAATATTTATATATTTCTTGAACCTTTTTCATCTATAAATTTTGATTATTATTTTATTTGATATATATATACAATAATTTATATTATCTATAGGTCACAAAGTTCTATCTCCTCTGGATGAATAATATTAGTATACATGTCTTTAGCGTCGGTGATCATACTATATGTTATTATTGTGTATTATTATTATGTTGATATGTAGTGTAATTTTCCCTCAATCTTTTGATTCGGAATTAATAATTATATAAATACAAAAGAAACATATGATAAAGTGTATATAACTTATTTATCCAGATTGGAAAATTAATAAGTAAAGTCGTCTACTTATATATGTTTACCTTTTGGCAATTTTTCATAATATATTAATTTATTTTTATTCTATTCAATCTTATCTCCGTAATATTGAATGTGCAAAACAAATATTTTTCCTCTTTGATATATTTACATGTTTCTCAAACCGGTAATATATCATTGCAGCATTATCATATTTCATAAAATATTTTTTAGTAGCTCTTAAAATCCTTGTTAGAATGCACCCCCAAACTATTACTAATTTCCTTTGTAACGTTATGTGATTAAATAGTAGATATTTAATACATCAGATAATTTATGTATATGCTCAAGCGTAAATTTATAAAGTGGAATGTATAATTTTCCTCCAATTATAGAAAATCTATTATACTTAAGCAACTCAGAAAAAATATTACTAAACAATTAATGTTTTTAGGTTTAACATAGAAAAGGGAATGAGATTTGTTAAAAAATTGCAGGATTTTTAACCATATATGTATATTATTTGTGATAAATTATAGATGCATTTTGACTTACAATATATTAAAATTTTATTTTTACACTTCCTTGTATGTGTTTTTCACATTATTACATACATTATTGGATACAGTTTCTTGTGTATTTATTTATAACTATTCAAGATCGTTTTCAAATTTGAGACCCTTTTTTGTGTAAGCTGGATTTTATCTCCACAAATATAAAATTTCTGTGATATCTGCAAAAAAAAAAAAAAAATCGTTCTTGTATATATAGCATGCCACATTAGCCGCCATAATAAACAATTATACTAAAACTTTCTGGGCTACTTCTATACAAACAGAATACAAATTTAAAACAGTTTGTAATAAATTTCTAAAGAAAAAAAAAAAGCAAAACAATGCTATTCAAAAAAATGTTTCTGAAGAGTTTCTCAGATAAAACTGATAATAAATCTTCCTTTATTATTTCTTGCTGGGAGACAATTATACCTCAATTTAGTGAAAAAGATTTTGATATCTATGGTACAAAGATGATTATATTACCGTCAAAAGAACCTAATTATCTTACTGTATGTTATAATTTTTTTTAAATCATATAACCTGATTAAGATAGTAGTATAGACTAGTTGAAATTTTTCTTTTTAAAATATAAAAAATAAATTATATTAACAATCTATTTAAAGATTACTTTAACGTTTGAAAACCAGTCATATTTATTTTTAGAACAGCTGATAATTCAACTCCATCAAAATAAACAGTTTTGGAAAGAATATTTATTATATGAAGTTGAATTTAAATTAAAAAAATCCATAAAAAGTATCTGTATAAATCTTTCATGTAACCTTTGGTTTAATAATAAAAGAGCTGCTTTTTTAGATCAGCCACTAGAATTAGAATGTTACAAAAAGACAGACTCTCCACAAATAAAATATCTAAACGAATTGCAAATTAAAGTGGTCTTTTATAAAGTTAATCATAAGGATAAATATTTCCAAAAAAATGAAGAGGTAACTGTTTTTGAAATTAAAAATTTATTAAACCAATTCTTTGGTTCCTTATTAATCTCTCAGTTAGAATTCAAATTTCCATTGGTATTTTCCCCCCTAGTAAGGAATAAAATAGCAATACAAGAAAAATATTTCGCTCCTATATCTTACTCATTAACAAATTCTACACAATTAATTCCAATTATTATAAAAATAATATCAAATGATAGGACATCTACCACAGCATTTGTTCTACTTCTACCCGCAAAAAAGCTAAGCTTTAAAGTAACATTAAATCTGTTGTAAGATATTTATGATATAATATTTATTTATTTTTTTTTTTTCAAGTAGAAATATTGGATTTATAAAAAGAAATATACCTATAGAGTTAATTTAATGATGATAACTCTTTACTATTCCATATTTTATCAACAATATCCTTTGCATCATCATCAAATGTCTCTTTAAGCTCTTCAAATAGACTATCCTTGTCTCTGAATTCCTTTATGTTATCAAAAATATACTCGACTAATTCTTCTTCATATACCCCTAAATATTCCTTGACAAGTTCTTCCACAAGACCTGTCTTTTTCAGTGCTTTTAATCTGTTATCTAAATCTTCATCGGTAAATGGTAATCTGTTCAGAGCTTCTGACTTAAAATCGATTATATTATTCTTTGTATCATTACCCTCTTTAAAGTTATCTATAATAATACTATCTATATTCTCTTTCTCTTCTGACGTATCTGACAATTTTCCTAATGCTTTATTAAAGTTAAGTTTAATATTAATCTCTGCATTACTGGCATGTTCTTTTCCATCATTTTCGGATTTAATAGTAGCGGATATACTCTTTGCATCAATTTCTGTAACTAGATCTTTTCTGCCTGGTATACCATTCATAAACTTGTCAAACAACAACGACATGCCCACATCTGTTCCATATTTCTGTCTATTCATATCATCTTGTTGCTTTTCCTTGTTTCTAGATATTTCTCTAGAATCATAATATATATCTTTTCCCAGGTGTAGTAACTCTTTAATAGCTGCAGGCCGTATTCTATCCAGGGTATCATCATAATTCTCTGAGTTTTTTATTTTCAACTCCAGATGTTGCAGCCGAACTTCAGTTAAAGATTTTAATTTATTTAACAATTTCTTATATCTAATGTCTGAATCTTGTTTCAATTTTATTTTTTTCTCTTGTTCAACTTCATAACCATCATCATCTTCGTTAAATTCAGAATCATCTGGATACAACATATCACCATCATTCATCATAAGAATATCATTCACTGAATCATTATCTATATTCTGTTTCTTACTTATTTCTTCAAATACTTGAACCATTTTTTTTCTTCTTTGTTGATTTTCTTCTATACTGTCTCTCAACATTTTTTCCCTCTCCATTGTAAATACCCTACTTCTAAATCCTATAATATCTTTACACAGTTGCTTTAGAGATTCTCTCGGAAGATCACTCAATGTGGAGAGATCAATAGTATACTCTTCACTTGTAGCTTGGTTAATCTGATTGTCTTTATTGTTTTGTTCCTTATTAGTCATATATCTATCCAATATGTTTTCTATATGCTGCAAAATTATATCCATGTTTTCAATAGCACCATTTGAAGAAAATGATTGTTTACCAATTAACCGATGAATGTTATCATCAAAATTAATTGAAAATCTATTTGATTTTTTGCTAAGTTTATAGATGAACCTTAAAAATGTATAGTAAGATTTATAATCACTCGAGTCGATTGACATTTGGATAAAAATATTTTGTGTTTCAAATCCAGTTGCAAATATTCTTGACCACGACACAAAATGTAATATCTCTCTCTCATGAGGTTCCAGGCTTTGTTCCTTTAAATAATCTATCCATTCGTCTATTAAAATATTCGTTTTATCAACTGATTCAATATAAACAAGAGAACCAATACAAAATGTTAATAAAGGATTATTAGCTTTCAAAAATATATCAATTGGTTTATATTTAAACTTATCATCTTCTTCAGATGCATTAGATTCTTTCGAATATTGAGAGGCATCTTTTTTTTTGGTGTCTGATATCAAATTATTGGGTATCGAAGAGAACCTACTCTTTAAAGAAATTTGCAGTGAATTTTCAAGTTTTAATAAATCTGCTTTTAAGATTGGAATATAGCCGTTTTTCTTGATATTGCTTTTCCAATCCTTTTGGGAAAGTAAATAGTTTTGTGGGGATACCCATATCAATTCACTCATATTTATATCAAAGTTTAAAGTATCCGTGTAAAGAAAAAGAAAGGGTGAATGAACTAATACTTTTGTATACTATATCTAATATTTTATTTTACCAATATATTTGTTTTCTATTCAATTGTATATATATATTGATAAAACATTTTTGAATGTACAAGTTGCTCTTTTTAGAGGGGTTATGTTTATCTTGTATCTTTATCGTGTACATTTGATGTGACGATGTTTTTAATCCAAAAATAAAAAGATCTTATTAAAAGGAAAAAATAACAAAAAAAAAAAAATAATGAAGTAAAAAGAAAAGCAGAAAAAAAGACACTAAAACAAAAAAAAAAGTTGAAAACACTTTTGGAATAGAAAAGCAAAGAAAATTATTTTTTTTACACGAAACTTCTAGTGATATTCTATTAGAGCACTGTTTGTTCATTTTCTATCCAGAATAGTCGAATATCAACTCAAAGGCTAGACTAGCTTATTCTTTTTGTTTGCTTTTTCCCTCTTTCCACTCACTCCGCTTATTTACGAGATATTATGTCTACTGTAGAAGTTTCACTGACAGTGGGTAAACTGGATGCTTCATTAGCATTATTAACCACTCAAGATCATCATGTAATTGAGTTTCCAACAGTATTATTACCAGATAATGTTAGGGCTGGTTCAATTATTACCATGAATGTTCGTGAAAATATTCCTGAAGAACAAAAGCAAAGAAAAACGTTTGAGGAGATTCAACAGATTATTTTGGAAAAATATGGATCAAAAAAGCCTAATCCACCAGTACTAAAAGTTATTAATACTACGCAAACTAGTTGTGTATTATCGTGGGAACAATTATCACTAGGTTCTGCTAAGTTAAAACAACTAATTCTTTATAGACAGGGGGTACGTTCTATTATAATCCCTAATCCTTTCAAAGTTACATCCACTAAGATATCTGGCCTATCTGTGGATACACCTTATGAATTTCAATTGAAATTAATTACTACATCTGGTCAATATTGGTCAGAAAAGGTAAAAGTTCATACACATAAAATGACAGACATGTCTGGTATAACAGTTTGCCTAGGTCCATTAGACCCCTTATTAAATATTAATGAAACACAGATTGAAGATTGTTTAAGGATTATTGGCGCAAGAAATTTACAAAAACACGTTGCTATCGACACCACACATTTTATTTGTAACGATGTTGATAATGAAGATGATAAGGAGTTGATAAAAGCGAAGAACAATAATATTCCTATTGTCAGACCAGAGTGGATCAGAGCCTGTGCAGTAGAAAAGAGAATTGTTGGTGTTAGAGGATTTTATTTAGATGCTGATAAGGGAATTTTAAAAAGTTATCCCTTCCCACCTGCATCGTCCACATCACCACTACCTACAGCTTCTTCAGGTGTTGAAGAGGAATTGGGTTCTGAGAAAGAACTAACTCAAACAACGGAAGACACAAGGGAAAGTGATACAGAAAATCCTTTAGCAAATGAGGAGCCTACTACCAAAGATATAGTATCTGAGAGTTCTTTAGCTGAAGATTATAACACTGAAAATGTATCCAATGATAAGATAGAACCAACGGAAGTTGATGTTAGGGATTCAGAATCTAAAGATAAAAATCTGTTTAGTGAAAATATTGTTAATAAAGAACTAGTCTCGAATGATTCCAAGGATACTGAACCAAAGAGAGAAGAAGAAGAAGAAGTAATTACAGATGAAATCACATCTGACCAAACAAGTAGCAAAGAAACAGAGGAAAACCATGGCACATCCGATGAACCAAAAGAAGAAAACATAGTTACATCTGAACAAAATGCCACCAAAGAAACCGAAGAAACTCAAAACACTCCTGATGAAACAGAGGAAGAAAATGTGACTATATCTGAACAAATTATCATCAAAGAAGTTGAGGAGACTCAACACGCTCTTGATGGATCAGATACTCAAAATAGTATTGATGAGGAAATAGTTAGAGAAGAACCAGTTTCTGAAGCATCTACGGGCATTGTTTATACAACAAATACATACATGGCACAAGAAACAGGTATTAATGAAACCGGTTCAGAAGGCACAGTCACAGAACAATTATCTGAAAATCAGTTGGTAGATGAAGAACCTCGTGTAGACAATTCTGTTATTAAGGAAGAAAAACAACAGGAAGAAGGTGAAGACGAATGTGAAGACGAATGTGATGATTCAGAAACTAATGACGTTGGTACCACAAATATAAATACTAATAAGAAAAACGATGCTGCCATTAGCAGTGCTAAGTCCAACAGCAACAAAAAGAAAAATAAAAAGAGAAAAAACAAGAAGCGTTGAAAGGGACCAATAAATGATGATTATCGAAACTACTTTCTAGAGATTTATTTATATTATATATATTAATCAAAACTAAATTACCTGAATGTATCTTTATATATATGTACATGCAAATATATTATGTAGTAGTGACACCGAGGTGGACAGTTGTACTCTAGCACAAATAACCAGTTACAGCATATTTTTCTTGTTTGTTCTTTCTCGTTTTGCTGGGATGTCTTGTCTCGTCTTCACGTCATCGAATCAAATGTGTGTAGTTTGTTTTGTCAATCAAGCCACAACAAAAAATCAGCAAAACGAAATCAAAGGGATCTAAAAATAGAAATTCCGACCCTTTGAAGTTCCCATTAACCAAAAAAGAAAAAATGGAAAAACAAAACAAAACAGAAGCGAAATGAAAACAATAGTAACAATAATAATACATTTGATGGTATGAGCCGCGAAAAGAAAACAATGGCAAGTAACCATAACAATAGAATCAAGAAAAATAACAATATGAGAGAATCAAAAATATTCATTTTTCTCCCATTGTTGCAAATAAATAAAAAAAAAAACAACAGAAATGATTTTTAAAGATCTTAAGCACTTCGAAATATTTTAAAAAACTGGAAAATAGAAAGAAAAAAAAAATTTACAAAATATATAGAAATCGAAAGATCGAGGCAACATCTGAAACAGTCCCTACACATTTTGAAGCCACTATCGTTTCTTACAAGTCACATATATTTCTGTTTAATATCAGAAGAAGTAGGTTTTAAGAACAGTCTTTGAACTTCTTACTTAGAAGAGATTTGTGTTGTGGACACATATATACACATATTTTGACTTATTTGCTCTTTAGATAAAAAAAAAAAACCAACAAGGACAACAGTATTATTATTACTATTACTATTACTATTGCTATACTTATCCTTATTAGTAGTTGGACAACTAATATCTATTAGTTTGCACGTTTAATTAATCAAGTAATTTTTTTATATTGTTTGAATCCACCATCTGATCCCATATCTTATATTGATCAAGTTCCCTTTGCACTAGGTTTTAATAGTTAAAAGAAACTTTCTAGTGGTAAGTTTTATTATTATTTTTTTTTTATTTTCCTAATCTTTAAAATTTTCGACCCACATTATTACCTAGACTATTGTTGACAGATACATTTTAAACACATAAACAAACAGCCAAGATAATATTTCACATATACATACAACATATTAGCTAATACACAATGGTTGTTCTACTAAATAGAAAGATTCTTATGCACTTCATATTATTATCATGGTCATCTGCTCAGAACATTAATACTAATGGGAATAATAACCAAACAATACAAGCAGGACAACAAGGTTCCTCTTTAGTCTCAATTAATTCTGGGATATCATCAATACAGACAACAACTTCTTCAAATGAAGCTATAGCATCTGCTCCATCTTTTAGTGGTTCATCACTACACCAATTAAGTGTCTCGTCAACTATACCCTCTTCATCAGGAGCTCTAAGTTCATTGTTATCTTCAGCACTGTCAACAAGTTCATCTACTTCTACATCGATATTTTCATCCTCTATCTCATCTCCGTCATTTAGTTATTCTTCCACAACAACTCAATACTCATCATCAAGCAGCAGCAGCAGCAGCAGCTTTACAACGAGCAGTTCTGAGAGCTCTTTTTTCTCTAGTTCACAATTAACGACGAGCTCCTCTTCTTCTTCAACAACAACAACAACTTCACAATCTATCTCCTCATTATCCTCCTCTTCAAGTTCTATTTTTTCGTCATCTTCAAGTACCTCTTCTTCGAGTATATCATCATCTACTTCATCCTATTTTACACAATCAACAACATATCCAAGTACAGATCCAAGACATATAGTAACAAGTGTCATTCACGGTCAAACTGTTTATTCCAATTATTATACAACAATCACATATTCTGCAACTGCAACTTCGTCTGCAAACAATAAAAATTCAAGTAGCGGTCATAAGGGACTTTCTAAGAAAAATAGAAATATTGTTATTGGGTGTGTTGTAGGGATTGGTGTTCCGCTATTAATCCTCATTGCTGTTATAATCTATATCTTTTGTATTCAAAGTAAAAAAACAAACTTTATTGATTCAAATGGTAACGTTGTCACTGCTTATAAAAGAAACAAAGTAATGAAACTATGGTATAGTTTAATTGGTAAGAACGTCAGTGATGAAGAATATGAATCAAAGTCTCCGTTAGGTAGTGCTGCGTCAGATGAAGAAATGATTTTAGATGGTAACATTATAGAACCATCTACAGTCTTGAATTTAGATGATGAAATGAACCATGGTTTTGTAAATAGGAACGGAACTACACTAACATCTAACACTAATAACACAAATCGATCTTTGAGTAATAAATATAATGGAACAAATAGTAATATAAATGGACAAGAAGGGTCAAATGATTTAGTAATACCAGAGGAGAAATACTATGATGAACATGGAAATGAATTAAACGCTAAAAATTATTGAATGTGTTGTGCTCAACCTTTCTGGAATAGGTATTCCCTACAAATTAATTAAAATCAAACTACTAATAATTCTTATTCTTTATTGCATTACAAATTATTAAAGTTTACGGTCTTAGTATTGGGACGAAATATATATCATAAAAATATTAATTTTAATAAATAATATTGATAGAAGGTGGATTATATATATATGTATGTACGTATAACACTAACTACTTTTTTTCTTTTTTAAAAATATATATTATTTTTGTTGGAATAGCTTAAGACAAAATAATACTTTATTATTTTTTTTGTTCAGACTCCTTTATATATACATTTGTATGTATGTCTATGATTTTATGGAAAAAAAATCAATGTTTTTAAATGTAATTAAAGACAAATGGCACTGTTATCCATTTCAAAGGGTGTTTATAGATCATACTAAAACCAATCCCTTTTTACAATTATAATGATTACTTACTATCAAAATTTATTACAGGCGTATTGAAAAACAATTTTAAAATTTCGAATGAGGTGATATTTTCAGCAATTTTAGCTGATAAAGTTCATCTTTGGTAAAAGAAAATGTTCACTTTAGAAATGGAGAAATTGGGCATCTATCTAACATATATCTGTTGGGGATGTTAGATAAGATAGAATTTAATTAATTAAATGTTTCACCAAAGGAAATTATTTGATTATCTAGTTCCTATAGAGAAACGCACTTCAAACTATTTATTACATTGTATTATCACCAAAATATTTACATAACATCGGGTTTGCTAAAAGGAAGACTATTCAAACCGTACAACTTACACCACACAGTCTATTGCATTATAACGATTATGTGAGAAAAATGTTAATAACGTTTTGATGGAGTTAAACCATTTATTACTACTCATGGAATTAATCATTTCGTTTTATTTTTGAACCACTTTTAACATGATAATTTGAATTGTTATTTTTTTTCTTGAAAATTATAAATATGCAAGTTTTCTCTTTAAAATAATCAATTCTACAGGGTGAATACATATAAATTTCAAAATGAATATATGTTATATATGTTACTTTATTAATATATATTCATGAAACAATATGTATATTTTAATATACGTTCTTCTATAGTAAGTGTTTATTAGATTGAGCATTTATTTATTCTATTCTGTTCAGTAGTAAAGAATACCGGTTTAAATTTAATTGTTTTTTGAAAGTACTTATGTTTGTGGATCTTGTAATTGCTACCGTTTGAATATATGACCTGTAAATGTAGCATAGGAAGAAGTTGAAAACAAATTTATAAATGAATTGCCTACTAACTAATTTGTTTATTACTTTTTTTCTTACCAAGTATCATTTTGATGTTGTTTTTATCTGAGTACATCGTACAAAGGAATAATATTTTATAACTTTTTTAGGGATTAATACGACGTATATTTGTGTGTATTAGCTAAGATCATGATAGAAGATTATATTTTAAAGTGATAATACTAAAAGACTTAATATCATTAATCATGTTATTTTTTTTTTTTGGAAAAAAAAATATGAACAAAAAATTATACATATTTGAAATCATTATTAATAATAGATGAACTACAAGAGTTTGTCGAATATGTATAATATATTGTTCATTATTTTTTTTATTTCTGGTAGGTAATGTAATAATAATGAAGATGGTTATTGTCTTGTTAAGAAAACAAAATGGTAAAAATAGTTTTCAGAAGATTTTAGTTAATGTAAATGTAGATTTTGTTGTTTTTACAATAATTTTTTTTCATAGAGACTGTATTTGAAAGTATATTTAATTTTTTTGAGTGTTTATCAGATTGTGGAAGATTCTCTTCTTAGTAGTGATAAAATGGAGTAATACTTTTTTGTATATTCTAAAGTAATTGATTAATATAAATTAATTTTCTAAGATATTTTCTTAAAGTGTTATTGACAATTTTTGAAGAAGACAAGCAATTCACTTATAAGTTTTACTGTGTAATAAAAAAATTATTGATATCGTGTTTGTCTGTATTAATAAATTGCAATGATGGAACGCTATGATAAAAGCGTTACGACTTGACATAATCTTTATTTAATAACAAATAGTAACATTGCGAAACAAGATTTACAATTTTAGTGAGCTGATGTTAAAAGGTACTTATTTAGTAAAGAAATTAATGATATAAAGTTAAGGTAATATCACAAAAAAATAAAACTCATATTCACTTTAAGTATTTATGTATAAGATACGAGATCAAGTCAATCTTAATCATTTTTTTGTATAATCATCTACATATTACATAGAAAGGAATGAGAAGATACAAAATAGATTGTGTCGTTGGAAGGTATGAGTATATTAAATAGGAAATGTACTCATATATATATTTAAAAGTCATTTTTTTAATTTAGGAAAAAATGTTATTACTGACCAAGGAGAAGAATATAAGTGTGAGTATGTATATAATTTAGAATATTAATAATAAATCACATTTTTTTGTTATTGTCATAATAAAAAATTATATCAAGTTGGATACATTTATGTTATACACGTAAAGAAGGGGATATATCTTATTGAACTTGTCTGTTAGTAACAAGCATAAATTTTAGTAGTAAAAAAACTTTTAAAATAGTTTATAATATTATTAGCAGCATCATATCTACACTGAGTATGTACAATTTTGAAATCAAAACCTTTTAGATATCACATAAATCATGTCAATTTTGACAAGAGACTTCTTTTTAGTATATTGTCTCATCTATAGCTACATAGTTTAAGTCAATCATTTACTAAGGACTGTACTATAGACTGTAACACCAGTACCTTGATAATGGCATTAATTTTAAATATCCTAAAAGTATCTAAAGAAGATACTAGTGACATCTAATGGTTTGGTAGTAAAAGATAGACTTTGATAGACTTCTTTTTTACTAATTTAGCCCATGTCTGTTGTGAAAGTATGATTTTTATCGAATAAAAAGGGAATTTTTATGGAAAAAGAAATAACACAGTCTTCTGATTTCTTTGTTACATCTTTTTAGAATCTAAACCATTTATATTTTTTGTCTCTATAATTAAAAAGTAGCTCTACTAGTTTATTATGGTAATTGATAAATGTACAACTATAGTTTTTGATGCTTCTCTAAGATCTGACACTTTCGAAGAAGGATAAAAGTAGAGGCACTTTTTATACTTTTTACTTTATGACCTTAAATAGTGAAAATGAAAGTAAAGGATGTTTGAACTAACCATTATATATCCAATAATGAGACATAACAATTATTCTTGTTGGAATTTGGAGTACCCGATGTCCATGGTTATGACAAACATTATTGAGTTATAAATGCTTATTTTATTTTTGTATTAAATAAAAGTATATGTTTATTATATAATGTATACAGTATAAATTCTTGTATTCTTTTCAAATTTCTAAAAAACATATTTGGTGAAATATAAAATGTTTTTCTAATACTGTGGTATATCTTTACACCACATAATATACAGAAAAAATAGTTAAAAATAATTCATATGGAAACCACAGTAATAAACTGTCATTTTCCAATAATTTTTTATGGATAATGGTTCTTTGAACAATGATACTTTTTAATACACATTCAAAAATTTGTGTATGACTCTCTTGTTCTATTGCTATATTCAATAAATCATCTAAATAAGCAAAAATATGAGAAATGATACTGAGTATTTTTGCATATATTCAACAAACATTTAAAGAATTTTATATAAACTAAGTTATGAAAACTTTTAATGAAATTTTTAAAAAGCTAGAATATTCATTATGATGGAAAAACAATATGTGGTGTTCAAATCTAGGTATAAGAAATTTAAAAAACAGATTTTCCAAGAATTAAAATAAACATAACTATGAAGTAGTAAATTATATAACTTCGTTAGAAAGAATGTTATAGTATTAAATTGTTAGATTCTTTGTATATTCCAAGGAAGCGCAAATAATATTAATAGTTATTCAAATAATCGAGACAGTAATCAACTATAGGCGATAATATAATTACTAAAACGGTCTTATATATTGAGCGGCTTATATCGAGCTAATATATTTATTCAAAGTTATTTAACTTGTTACTTGCTTGTTACTTGCTTGTTGTTCTCTTTTTGTTCATATATAATATATAAATTATTTACAAGAAACGGTTATGGAAGATGATCTTTTATCTCCAGAAAACGTTGTCCTTTTATATGTTTTCTGGAGCTCGATCGATTATTCAGATTAGTACATTAATGACTTGACTAATTCACCCTAAAATTTATTACATTAATTTAGGTGCACTAGTGGATTAGAACTGCACCCCAATTCTCTAATCATGGTGATTAGTAATACACGTGGGACTTATTAAAACAATAGGTAAATTCTAGATTTGCCAAAATCTTATGTAATCTAATCTTTTTATTATGCAGCATCTAATGTTGTAGCACGTGTATTGCTTATTAGTACAATAAATAGTTCTAGATTCATTCAGGATCTTATGTAATCTTGATGGTTATAACTATTCTATTCCACGAAAAAGGGTATTCAATGGTGTCCCAGTGGCCGAGTGGTTAAGGCGATGCCCTGCTATTTCTGAGAATTAGCTGTTAGGCATTGGGTTTTACCTTCGCAGGTTCGAATCCTGTCTGTGACGTTATTTTTAAATGTGCGTAGTTTTTAGTTATATAGTTGCTTCTATTAGATGACCTATAAATTTTTTTTTTCGATTTTTATATTTATCAATATTCACAAACAGAATATGTTTTACGTATAATATGCTTCGAATTTTTTATACGTATTCCGCCAAGATTGAGTTTCACTGGCGCAAAAAATAAACAAAAACTGTTTAGTAAAACTCGATGTAGTTATAAATCAAGGCTACGCATTAGGCTGTTTTAGACAGGCTGTTTAATTAGTTTGCTAGTAGCAGGCATTTTTGAAAGTTGATAAAAAAAGAAGGTATTTCTGTAGGTATTTTATATTTTGTTATTTCTAAAATTGCTCAATATCTTTGCTACTCAAATTCTTTTTATTGATACTTTCACAGTTAATTATCATAGATTTAACGAGTGATTTCAACTAATTGATAATTATATATATTGGGACTATATTATTGTTAGTATATTACACCTATAAAAAAGATACTGACTAGATACAAACAAAAATTCAATAAAAATGGATCCAACACGAGCACCAAATTTTAAGCCACCTTCTCCAGATGAACAATTAATTCCACCACCAGATCCAATTTCTACAATTCCAAAATCTGGTCCAATTATACCGTATGTTTTGGCTGACTATAATTCTTCTATCGACGCTCCTTTTAATCTAAACACAAATACAAAATTAAGAAACAAAAATAGATCTAGGCGGAACAACAATGTTGATATATCATCTGAAACTGTTATTTCTTCAAATTCTACATCAAACACAAAAAATCACAAGCATTCAATACCTTTAAATTTATCTGATTTTCAACCTTTATCCGATGATATTTCTTCAGCTTCATCAATATCATCATCTGATGCTGAAAATCGAAAAACTGAAAGTACTGAAACATCCAATTCTAATTTACTTTCTGATGCATTAATTAATGTGGGTGTTAAGAAACATCAAATAGCTGATTTAGAGGAGGTTCCACATGGAATTGTTAGACAAGCAAGAGCCTTTGAAGACTATGAATTCCCTACACATAGATTGTCTAAAAAACTATCAGATCCAAATAAATTACCTTTAGTTATTGTGGCTTGTGGTTCTTTTTCACCGATAATTTATCTACATTTGAGAATGTTTGAGATGGCTTTAGACAGTGTTAATGAGCAAACACGTTTCGAAGTTGTAGGTGGTTACTATTCTCCAGTGAGTGACACGTACCAAAAGCCTGGATTAGCACCAGCCTATCATAGAGTTAGAATGTGTGAATTGGCTTGTGAAAGAACATCTTCCTGGCTGATGGTAGATGCCTGGGAGTCACTACAACCCTCTTACACAAGAACTGCAAAGGTGTTAGATCACTTTAACCACGAAATAAATGTCAAAAGAGGTGGTATTCTTACCTCTACCGGTGAAAAAATTGGTGTTAAAATTATGTTACTAGCCGGTGGTGATTTAATTGAATCTATGGGAGAACCAAATGTATGGGCTGATGCAGATTTGCATCATATATTAGGTAATTATGGTTGTTTGATTGTAGAACGTACTGGTTCAGATGTTCGTTCATTTTTATTGTCTCATGATATTATGTATGAACATAGAAGAAATGTGCTAGTAATCCAACAGCTTATCTACAATGATATTTCATCAACAAAAGTTCGTCTTTTTATAAGACGTGGAATGTCAGTTCAGTATTTATTACCTAATTCTGTTATAAGATATATTCAAGAACATAAATTATATGTGAATCAGTCAGAGCCGGTTAAACAAGTGATGGGAAGTAAGGAATGAGCTATATCAAGATTAAGTCAAAAAAATTTTTTGAAGATGGAATTGTTTGATATCAAAGTAATGTAATATTAGAACATTGATAGTATTTTTTATTTAAAAGATATAGTTGTAATATAGAACCAAGTATCATTAATGAGACTCAAAATTTTTCGGTACAAATCTTTTATTCGTAAAATCTCCTTTCATTCTACTCTTTATCAGGGGATACTTTACTTATTTGAAAACTAATATTCTTATAAACTCTTTAATCTCTGTTTCCTTTCAAAATATTTTCGTAAATTAGAGCTTATAGGTACTCCATACTTTTGGGGGAAAATATATAAACGAACAGGCAAAATATTTCAGTGGTCACATAGTAGTACTATATTTAATGTTAACAGAAATTGTCAACTTTTTTGCACGATTAATTTTTGATTTCGATAATAGAAAATTTTAAAATAATGGATGATGCTAATATATTCCTTTATGTTTATGTAAGGAACCTAACTGGAAATCCAGTAGATACGCAATTCTGAGGGTAACACTTGAGTGTCTGGGTGGAGGATTGGTACAGCCATGTGCGCAGTGGCTCGTATAAGGTATTGAATCTGATTGGAGGATTTCCAGGGAGTGAGAATTATATCAGCTCTTGTCAAGAGGCCTTTGATTATTGAGAGATATGCCAGGGGTAATCATCTTATTTAAATACATCTTAGTAATGATATTAAGAGGCAGCTCTTAATATCATACAAGAACAACAACAAGATGAAGTAATACGACATCAGGGTTATTAATTAGTAATATATAGAGCTTACGTAAGAGTGTTTATACTTATACTAATTGATATAATTCATCCATTTACATACAACAACTTTTACAGCTTATAGAGTAGTTGTCAACTTTAGGTTTTTTTTTGTTAACTACTTTTAAATCATTAAATATTTTTTCTTTCTTTCTGGTTTACTTATCACTTAAAGTATTATCTAAACATGAATGTAACAGAAACTAAATATGAATAAATTAACTTTTCTTACTTGCTGTCTTTTACTTTTAATCTTTTCTAAATTCTATGATCTTATTCTCAATTTTATCATTGATATTCAATTCCTCTTTATATTTTCTTAGTGGTTTTTTTTTTCTTGTGTCAAGTTATTTTTACTTTCATTGTGTTTTTAAATAGTGTGTGTGTGTAAGTATACAATTATGCTAGTATCTCTATATATTAAAGTTTCAATATTTTTTCTTATATTATTACTGATTTTTATTATCAATCTGGTGTTATTAATATTTTACTTTTCTAAAAACTCTTTGTCTTTTTTTACTTTTTGTATAGTTCCACCATTTTTTTTATGTAGTTGACACCTGGTTGAAATTATAAAATATAAATCTGTAAATTTTTCATTGTTTTAAAAACTATTTTCTTTTTTAAGTTACTTTTATTTAATATGTTATATGTTGATTTTAATGGTTGTAGGATTTCCTTAATTTCTTCATGGAATTTTATGAACTCTAAATAGTAAAAGAGACCACAAATTCATCTTTATATTATTATCATAAATAAATTTTATCGGAATACTATTGATATTCTCACTACATATATAATTTCTTATAATAATTACACTTTGAGTATCATATAAGCAAAACTCTTTTAGAAGAAATACTTATGCAACAAGTATCTAGTCTTGCTCTTGCAATTAGCAACACGACTATGAATGAATATGAGTTAATAGCAAACTCAAAATCTTTTAGAGATGTTATTTATACTTTCACTAGAAAAATTTTTATTTTTGGTCATATATTCTTCTTTCCTGGCGTACTAAAATATATATAGGAATATTTTTCACTATTATGCTTGAATGCTTATAAGTCTTACTTAATAAGTGATTCACCAAATCAAAAGTTTCTATACTTTAAAATTCATTAATAGTTAACAATTAGGTACAAAACCTTATTAAGTTTGTATAAGGAAAATATTGAATAATAGTCACTTCTGTTAAGAGTATTTTTAATTCTTTCCTCAATACTAAAGTTTTTATTCTGAATTACTTCTTAAATCCGTTTAAGTAGAATGTGAAGTAATCTTATGTAGGTCTTCAATAACATTATTGCTGATTTCCTGGTCAATGTTTTATTCTTCATCCATTATTGTAATATTTTATTATATATTTATGCAACAACTTTTTTCTTTTTAATTTATATTATATTATTTTCAATTGTAGTAAGAGCTCTTTTTTTTAATTCTAATAAATAATAACATTTTAAAAAAATAATGTCGAACTCTTTTCATACTATTTTTAGAATAACAAGTATATGTAAATTATTAATATATTAATGTTATTTTTTCCAAGCTGATTTGCATGCATTTTAATAAAATTCTTTATTTTACAAAGATATTATTTTGCAATAGGACTAAAAATAATTTATCTGTAAAATTGCAGATTAATAACTTATTATTCGGACATTATACTATTGCAAATTTTGTTTAAAAACAAATTTTCATTTAATTGAAAACCTTTAATCTAAATTAAAAAATATTTTAAACAGTACTTTTTATTCTAGCAAAAGTTTCCTAAAACAGTAAAAATTAAAAATAATATCGTTTGTAATTTTACAAATATATTCTACTATAATAATAAATTTGTTGTAAAAACATAGAGAAGGAAAACTTTTGTTTTTTTGATATTATAGTAAAATATGAATCGTAAATCATGATATAATATACTTTAAATCGTACTAAAATTAAAAGAAAATGCTGTAGTGTCATCTATATTATTTACTCTCAAAATTTTTCTGTAGGAAAATATATTCCTTGAAGTATGAAAAAGATAAATATTGTATTTATGTAGGTTATATATTTTTATATTTTTTTATAATATAAAGAAAGAATTCTGAAGACTTTAATTATTGTAGTAGCATTCAACATACGTTGTATACTATATTATAATTATTTCACATAAAATTAATAAAAAATATTTTTATGTAACATAAACTATATCATTATAAACGAATACTTTTTAACGACAAAAAAAACTGTTTTCTTTATTTCGGACTTTTTATATAAAAAGATTTTTAGAAATACTTTTTAAAATATATAAAAAACAATTGTATTCACGTGACATTTTTATATTAAAAGTTATTATTATATGAATTTATTTTGTTATAATATACTACGTATTATATGATATTTTGTTATTTGTGTAAGAAAATAAAAAATTTTATTATAGGACTATTGTTTTGTAAAAAAAAAATAAACAAAATATTTTAAGGCAAAAATAATAAGGTTGTAAAAAGGTATAAAGGAGTTGAAAGTCAATAAAACTGTTGAAACAAAAATGTTTAAATAAACAAGTAAAAAAGAAAAACGGTGTATTTTTCTGTTTTATTATATTAAGTATACAAACACATTTACAGTAAAAATTACGACACCAGTCATTATATAAGAAAACCAACGGGAATCGCTTCAGAAACAACTTTGTGATTGTAGTATTCTACTAAAATATTGTTTAGATTCAATGAAAAATTATAGAAAATTATAATTTAGAAAAATATTAATAAGCAGAATACAGAAATTAGAAAAAATTTTTCTTGTCTACTCTTTAAAATTCAGCTTTCATAGTATGGTATAAAAACCTGGTACGATTCATAAAAGATAATATTCATGCTGTTCGGGGGTAATTCTTGATAGTAACTAATAGATGAAATAGTGACAGTTAAACTAATATGAGTATTATTTTCTGTCATTATGAAAAAACTCATTGGTATTCATAAGTGATAGCAAGTAATATGTTCGCCTATGTAATAAATTATTGATATATAAGGGTAATAAAGAGCAGTTGTTTATTATCTTGTTTGTAAACAAATTATAAGTAATATGCTTGACATATTATTCTATTATCACATACAGGATATTGCTTCACATAATATAAATTATAACAATTTTCTTTTTAAAACATACATATATAACGCTATAACAATTTTAATACTTGCGGATATATATGTGTAGAACCTTTATTACACTTTATTTTTATGTTTCTAATATCAATGGAATAAAGTCTAGAAGCTTAAAATAATAGTGAATCTTTTCTTAGTTCAATTGTAATATCTAGTTTTTTTTTATTAAAGGTTTTAGTAGTTGTTGTATTTCTTGTCACAAACATGTTTTAATTTTGAAGTTATTCAAAATTAAATCAAGGATGCTTTTTTTTAATATACGCATATCTTGCTTCTTTATATCTTTTATCAAGTAACTTTTCTACAGTGGCTTATTTTAATATCCAAGGACAGATATAATTATTATTTTTTTTAATACAGCCAACAGTTGTAGTAACTTTTTTCTATTCATATGATTTGTTGCTTTTTAATAATTTACAATTACTAAACTTTGCATTTTTGAGTATTCAGTCATGTAAAGACAACATATTACATGCAGATATTTTTGCTTGCTTTTTATAGTTTTGAAAAGCTTTGGTTGATACATTCAACAAATCTTTTACTATTTTCAACAACATTATATATGTTACGCAAACAATTATAAGTTTGTTGTTTAATAAAGTTTTCTAAATCATGAAGAATTAATAATATATTTCCAATGAAGCGATGCTTTTTATGTTATATTATTTTAAATAAGAAATTACAATTATTCTTAATTTCAAATTTTAGTTTAGATTCATAGTGAAAATGTTCTGACTGTTTTGGTTTCTTGTAATGTTTGTCTTCACATCTAGTTTTTCTCTCTTAAAAATACCTAAATGTTTTGCTAATAAATTTTTCCAATTTATTTTATATATTACTATATAAAGAAGTAAATTTTAGATCAGATATCACCGAAATTAATTTCATATCATTTATACAAATATCTTTATTTTTATTAATAAAAGATTTTGTAGAAAGTCTAACTTTCCTACATGCGATAATAGCCAAAATATTATAAACTAAGTTAATTTTATTTTCACCTATCTCCAGTTTTCTGTGTAAAGCTGTAAGTAAATGAACCTTACCTTTAATATATTGAAACTAATGCTCTTTTTTGATACTCTAAAACAATTTACAAGGTGTATCTAAAAAGTAGTTAAGTTCTTCATATTTAGAGGTTTTAAATTTTTGTTGTCTTGAGAAGTTAGGCATGTGATATTTGTGAGATCTTTTTTCCAAATAGCATTGTATTGAAGAAAGAACAAGCCATCAATAGAACCATTTGTTAGTTTGTTGTTAACGCTTCTTTGGTAATGATGAAAATATAGGTAAAACAAGATTAATCAGCTTTGGATATTTTTGCAAAAGGGCAATAAAATGAACTATTAAAAAAGAAAGATTATTGATACTTTTTATGACTTTATTTCTCAACCATAATAGAAAAATAGAGTTTTAAAAATAACATTGGTATTATTGAGGAGTAAAGTAATATCTATCTTACATGAATTAGAGTTGTTTGTAAGGAACCTAACTGGAAATCCAGTAGATACGCAATTCTGAGGGTAACACCTGAGTGTCTAGGTGGAGGATTGGTACAGCCATGTGTGCAGTGGCTCGTATAAGGTATTGAATCTGATTGGAGGATTTCCAGGGAGTGAGAATTATATCAGATCTTGTCAAGAGGCCTTTGATTATTGAGAGATATGCCAGGGGTAATCATCTTATTTAAATACATCTTAGTAATGATATTAAGAGGCAGCTCTTAATATCATACAAGAACAACAACAAGATGAAGTAATACGACATCAGGGTTATTAATTAGTAATATATAGAGCTTACGTAAGAGTGTTTATACTTATACTAATTGATATAATTCATCCATTTACACACAACAACTCTTACATTGTTTTAGATTTACTTTTTTTGGGCTTTTAAATGATTTTATTTGATTAATCAATCACATGTAATTATTCATAAAAGGAGACCTAAGTTTAAAGTAATTTTTTGAGATATTGAGTTAAAGACACATCTTAAAATAAATTATGAAAATTTCTTATTTTTGTTATATTTTAATTTTGATGAATAGATTTAGAATTACATATTTTCTAAAAATATTTTTTAATTAACACAATAAACAATTTTACATGAACTACGATCTAACGATTTACAAAAACTCATGTAGTAAAATAACACATTTTTTTATCATATTATAATTTAAACGGAATGAAATCATGTATAAAAGTACTATTTTAGAATATAATAAAGCCTTATCCTTTTGTTTTTGTTTTGCACCAAGATTTTGTTTATCTTAACACAAAATATTTTCAGTAATAACATTATCTATAAAAGTATTCTGGAATAACTATAAAAACTGATTTGTATAATACTTTCTCGAAAAAATAAAACATAGTCTGATATTAACGCACATTATGTAAGTATGCAAACCATATATTTGCTTTTTAAAATCTAAAAAAAAAAATATTTGGAAGATTTTCTCTTAGTAACTTGTAATAATAATTAATATACATTACCTCACAACAGTTATTATAAAACTTCTTTGTATTTATGGATTAACCAGTTGTGCACTTTCGTCATATTTTTAATTCTTGATAAGTCTTTTTTATCTTATAAAGAACACACCAAGTCTTAGGAACACTTTACCATTATACAGTAAATGAAAAGGAAGAATACAAAATATATTGAAGATCGAATTAATATGCGTGATATTAATTACATTATTTTAAATGACATTAAAAATAAATTCTGGGATAAATACATCCCTCTTATTTATACTTATATAAAAGATATTTAGTAACTCACACTACTAACGTAATCAATTGTTTTTAGGCTAAAGTAACAATTCATTTTCTAAGATATTATAATGTATTAGTTTAGATCTTAATTTTAAAAATAACCGTAAATTTTCTATACATCAGTAATGTACACTAAAAAGTATTTATTTAATGTTCCAGCAACCTATGATACATGTTATAGTTTACAAAGAGAATAATAACCTTATTGAAATAAGGACACATTATATAAAGTATCATGTTCGGATACACTTGTGCACATGTATTAAGTATTTATAAAAATAATATTGCGCTTAAACACTAATTAACAATGTATGTATTATTAATTTTTACATTTAATAGATACAACTCAAAAAAAGTGACTTAAATCATGTATAATATCCAATAAGAAAAACTACTTAATAAACTTTAGGTACAGAGAAGAACAGTAAACCTATTGGATCTAAAATAAAGCAAACATACTTTACAATATCAAAAATAGTACCACAAATTCTAAGGTGTCTAACATAATGATATAACCAATTGTTTTCAAAAAATACAGATATCTATCATAAAATATATATAATAGCGACAAACGGTTCTCTTTATTGTTTGACATAGTAAACGTTAGGTCCTTCAATTCTATATAAACTGTAGTACCAATTAAATAAAGGAATGTATTTAAAAATCCATATTCAAACACATAGAAAGACCATAATATTCTGAAATGTCACAACCAATATAACTATTACGTATACAAAGGAATTTTGTCATTCTTATGATTAACTTTTATAACCTTTGCCTTACTGTTTTCCTTATTGCTTTCTAAAGAAGCCAATCCTGTTGTTGTAGGCATATTAGTTAACATCTTTGATTTCAGTTCATTTTCTAAATCATCTAGTTCTTTGTCTAGTGCTACTTCAATGTCGCCAACACCAATGACACTGTGGGCAAGTGCGTTATCAACTTCGTTTTGATATTCTAACTGTTCTTGAAAGTCACTAATAACCTCATCAACATTAACAAATTCTTTATTTAGCTTTGTTAAAATATCATTTCCTTTTTTTAAACCCTGTAAAAACTGAACTTCAATTAATTTAAATTCAATATTAGATATCATAAACTCCAGATTGGTTAACTGATCAGAAGCTTGTTGCACTAAATATTCCTGGTAATGCATCCTTTTTAATAATAATCTTATCTTCTTATTTTGTTTATAGTTCTCAGGATTATCTTTAATCATTTGTTTTATCCTTATTTTTTCTTGTTCAATTAACTTATCTGTCCTTCTAGTAAATTTGTGTATCTCATCTTTGGACCTCTTTAATTGTAAAACAGCCTTATCTGTTTCTGTGATACGAATCTTGCTATTTGTTTGCCCCATTAGCTGCTGTAATGAAAATAAATATGCAAAGATTAGAGAGGGAAGTCACTAATAAAGATCATAAATCATCTAGGTAAATTTTTTCTATATCTACCAAGGTTTATGATGTTTTCAAGACATCTAATATATAGATTCGATACAAGGACTAGACTTATATCTTTAATAATAATTTTCTTACTGTACATATATTTCTTTTATCTTGTTCTCATTAACCTAACTTCTACAGATTTTCATCATTAATTTTTCCCTTTACACGGTTTCTCCAAACTCTATTTCAAATATTTAAAAATACCCTAGAGAAAAACACCCGCAGATATCAATTTTTTATTAAAAGCAAAGTCCACCTCTGGACCAGAAAAAAATAATTCAGAGAAAATTTTAATAATATGGAATTGATCACGATCCCACAACCATGTAAAAGTAGATTGCTATAGATCTGTTTAAAAAGTACCTTAGTTTTATTATTAAACAATATGTCAAGAAAATACCTGTCCCTCTTAGGTTTAGTGTGTTGTACAACTTTAATCAGTATAACTCTCTCCAAAATATAACGGTATTGATTAAAAAATGAAAATTATCTTGGCCTTAATAATATTTATCAAAGATACAATAACTCTAATTATCTTTCGAAGGAACCTAAATTATTTCTAATTAATAGTTATAAGAATATACTAACCATTACGCTTTAAAATTACATTAGTAGTTTTGAAATTAACTTCAGAGAAGAACGCTTTTTATTAACTGTACGTAACATACATCTTTTTAATCTTCCCGTTATATAAATAGGTTTCATAGAAACATACTCTCTTCTAAACAAAAAAAAAATATATTGATAGTTTGAATTCTATTTTATAATACTTTCATTGCATAATGTTTCCCCTCCTATAGAGTTTTTGTTGTTTCATATTATTACTATGTACATAAGTTATATAGAAGAAAAGTATTTACATTATTAGCTGTTTTTGTGGGTATACTATCAGCAAGTAAAAAAGAGAAGTATTCAATAAAGCATTGTTTCAAATCACTTACTATTCTTAGAACGTTGTGTTCTTTCGCAACACATTAGCTTTTTCTTAAAATGCTTGATATAGAAAAATCTTAATATACATCAATCACAACCTAGTCAATAATTGATAAAAATATTTCAACTGTATTATCCGACTAAGTTAATTTATGCAAAATGTAAAGTATATTAGATAGCTATCATACATAGTCAAATACCTACCAAGCATATAAAATGAATATACCTTACATAGACTAATTAATTTAACTTTGAATTCAAAACAATGAAGCTTTATATAGTCAAAAATAATATCTTTCCCCTATTTTCTCAGATAGTTAAACATAAAAGCAAATAAAGTCATGAAAGTTTTACATTTATACAATAACATATTTAGGTTGTACATACCTAAAACTATTACAAGATGAGAAATGTCATTATCTTACAACCACTTTGCGGAAAACATATCGTTTATTGCTCTGTAATGACCGATAACACCTAAAACAACAAAGAAATGCCAAAAAGTATGTGAACAACCAACATAATCTACCCACCACAGGGATAGAAGACCCCTTCTTGGATTGTGATGATATACTGGAGCACTTCTAAAATGAATATGTTCCTCTTTAGTTATTATATCAACATCTGTAGACAATTGAAATGTTGTTGGGATAGAGGCATCTACAACCACATCTGTTCTGAATCTCTCGGGTATAAAAGAACCATAAAATACAACCCCGATTAAATACCAAATGATAGAGTTATTAAACACCATCGACAATAAAGATTTGGAAAAGTGAAAAGATTCCAAATATGTCGCATGCAAAAAGGAGAGAATGCCCATAGATGCTAAAAGAATAAAAAATCTAATTCGTAAGGGACGGGATTCTGGCGAGTCGAACTTAGGGGAACAATTTAAAAATACACCTAAAGTTCCAAGTGACAATGAAACAAACATATAGAAAAACATAGGTGTTTGATGTTCATACAAACTAACAAATTCTACTGTTAGAATAGAAGCCGTTATTAAAATCGATATTCCACTATAGTCCACACATGCAAATTTTCTACGTAATTTCAAAGCACATGTTCCATTAAATGTATGCCAGAATACAGAAGCTAACAAACATTTCAATGAAGCAGCAAGGAAAACATAAAGAACACATTTGGCACTAAAAGGTACCCTATCAGATTGGAAAACTTCAGACTTTGGAAATGTATAAATTGCCAAATACATCATGTAAATAGCCCCAATTAAATGTGACCATATGTTAGATGTTTCATTATGCCAACCGTACCAATTAATTACAGATAATAATGACTTTTTATGTGAATTATAAAACCTATAATTTCTGATAATGTAACGGTTTTCTCTCCATGGAAATGGTAATTGATAATAATGTAATAATTTAGTTTTACCTTCTTCATATGCTGTTGTATGACCATGGTTAATAATTAACTGTTTAATTTCTTCATCTGGTTTCAATAAATGTTTTGGAATATTCTTGTTCTTCTGGATATACTTCATAATTTTTTCATTGACATCTTTCTCTTTTGGAGAATCCAATTGGATGGTTAATGATGAGGATACAACAGACCCTTGCTTAGATAATATTGGAGAAGATTTTGATGATGAACCAAATGATGTTGTAACTACTGTATTAAGTTCACTTAATGTTGCAGACGAATAAAGAGAACTATTGTAAGAAAGTTTTCTTCCAAAGTGATTTTTCGTAGAATATATATTATCGATGTAACCATCGTTATTAACCAGAGTTGTTGCATCTGAATTTAGTGAAATCTGTGAATCGCTTGTTAGACCTTTACTTTCACCATAAATATCGCGATTACTCCTAAAAACCTCATCCTCTTGAATAGTCGAAGAAGTTACATAACCTAAAGAACTATTATGTTTATTATTGGTAGTCCTGTTGTGTGCAGATACAAAATCAGATCCTAGAAAAGGATTACTGACAATTTTGTAGGCATTATATTTATTAACAAACTCTTTTCCTGTACGTGTGACCTTATTAATGTTGTCTATACCCCTTCTTTTCAATCTGCTTAATGATGCCATTTTATCTTGTTTGAGTCTACTTAACGAATCCATGATGATAGGGCAAAAAATTACAAAAAAATAAACGATTTATATTATATTGATAAATATTTAACAAATATCTGACTATCACTTTTGATAAAATACACGGCAGCAGCAGACTGAAAATCTTGCACTGGGTCTTCTAGTAGTTGTATAAAATACAAAGTTATACAAAACGATGTAATCTGTGAAGGAAAGAATAACAAGATATCAAGTAAACATTGAAGAGTAAAGAAACGAACCTATTCTTCAACAACATGATATGTATGATTTTAAGTATTAAAAAGAAAAAAAGGATCCTTACTAGATCTCTCTTTTATTTCTTTATCTCCTCGAACATTGTTTTGTCCTAAAAAAACTTGCAGACATTTTGCAAAAACCTCGGAGAATCAAAAAAAACAATAAGCAAAAAAACCCGCTTATTAAGAAAATAAACAAAACAATTGAAAATGACATGATCACAAGACACGGTATTCCTAATCAAGTAACTTGTATTCTGAAATTTCTTTTCACATTTTAAATTATACGAGAAGTGTTTAATCAAGACCCTGTCCACAGAATTAGTAACTTCACTTAAACAGAAATTGGTGCCAGAAAATATAGCTATTGGAATGAATTAATGTTAGAAATATAAATTATACACAGAAGAATATCCAAACAATATTCCATATAGGCATCTGGAGCTAGAGATAAAAATTCTCCTAACTTGTTGTAAACAGTAGTAAAACACTTGCTTGTCTAAACAAAATAAAAGAGAAGGTCCATACGCAGGTAAACATATGAATTACCGAGTTAAAACGTGTATAGGGATAACACAAACCCTAATGCAAAATAACTGAGTAAATAAAAAAAAACTGTTCTTTGACAAAACCTGACACTCTAACGGTAGCGTATGAAATTAAACAATTAGGAAAATGACTGATTTCTAATAAAGAATTTTTTTTATTTTTATTTTTTTTGTTTTCGAAAATTTTTTTTAAATCCAATTCCGGTGATTAATCAATCAATACAAAATTTTTACAAGAAAATAAACAGCAATTGTGGACAAATTTTCTTGCCCATCGAAATTTTATTCAAATTTTTTTTTCCTTTTTTTATACAGTCGTCCTATTAATTATCTTTTCCATTACAAAATACTAAGCATTACTTTAAGACTTTGTAGTATATAGAGAAAAAAGAACCTTTGGTGTGAAGCTTGAAAAGACCTCTTTCTTTTTTCCACAGTTTAGCCAAGTCAAGTCTTGATCGTCAGCATATATACACCAGTAACCTTAGATATGTCTTCCACAGAAACTTCCGTTGATCCTCAAGTTGCATATAATTTAATTACTAAAAACCTACAAGAAGTTTTAAATCCACAAATCATTAAAAATGTTCTTGAGGTTGAAAAAAGACCATTAAAGTTATATTGGGGGACCGCCCCAACGGGTAAACCACACTGTGGTTATTTTGTTCCAATGACGAAATTAGCGCATTTCTTAAAGGCAGGCTGTGAGGTAACAGTGCTTGTAGCTGATTTACACGCATTCTTAGACAATATGAAGGCACCATTAGAAGTAGTTAACTACAGAGCCAAATATTATGAACTAACCATTAAATCTATTTTAAGATCAATCAATGTTCCAATAGAAAAATTGAAATTTGTTCTCGGCTCATCCTACGAGTTGACTCCAGAATATACATTAGATGTATTCAAACTGGCCAACATCGTCTCACAGAATGATGCCAAAAGGGCTGGTGCCGATGTTGTTAAACAAGTTGCCAATCCATTGTTGAGTGGTTTAATTTACCCATTGATGCAAGCATTAGATGAAGAATACTTGAAAGTTGATGCACAATTCGGTGGTGTTGATCAAAGAAAAATTTTTGTCCTTGCCGAAGAAAATTTGCCAAGTCTAGGTTACAAAAAGAGAGCTCACTTGATGAACCCAATGGTTCCAGGTCTAGGTCAAGGTGGCAAAATGTCTGCTTCTGATCCAAATTCTAAGATTGATCTTTTAGAAGAACCAAATGTTGTTAAAAAGAAAATCAACAGTGCATTCTGTAGTCCAGGGAATGTCGAAGACAACGGTTTATTATCATTCATCGAATTTGTTGTGAGTCCAATTCAGGAACTAAAATATGGTGAAGACCACTTTAGCTTCTTTATTGACAGACCAGAGAAATTTGGTGGTCCAATCACCTACACATCCCTTGCTGAGTTAAAACAAGATTTCAAAGAGGAAAAATTATCCCCACCAGATTTGAAGATTGGTGTCACTGCCGCAATTAATGAACTATTAGCACCAATTAGGGAAGAATTTGCCTCTAACCCAGAATTCCAAGAAGCAGAAAAGAAAGGTTACCCAGTAGAAGTCAAGGTTAAAAAGACAAAGAAACCAAAAAACAAAGGAACAAGATACCCTGGTGCCCAAAAACAAGAACAAAGCGCAGCTAACTCTAAAGAAGCAACCGTTGAAAAAGTTGCTGAACTAATAGAAAAAACTTCCATTTAAAAGCTAAATAGTAGGTATATTATCTAATATGTATTACATATGTAGTTATTTAGATAGAAGAAATAAAGTAAACAGAAATATAAGGCCAGTTTAACCCTTTTACAAGGTTTCCCAGCCACCAAAATCAAGATTACCATCCGTTTTACGATATATAATATGCGGTATCAAATTACGCAATAAGACACTTTTCACAAGTTCAATATACCTTTTCTTATCCAAAAACACTGGAGATCCATATTTCAATTCTTTATCTGACTCACCAAACGCATTGCGGTATGGTGTCTCATAAAAAGTACCTCTGTTCCCATATGACAAATATAAGGTATTGCTTCTAATTAACAAAAACATACCATAGGTTGATGTGTAAGAACACTCATTTCTTGTATGATTAGTACATTCACCAATTAAAAATTTATGTAATGCACTTTGATGTTGTAAACTAACAACCTTTCCACAAAAGAGACACATTGTTGGATCACCATAAATTATTTTTGAAATATCCATATTTTTCAACTCTAGACATAATTCAGACAGATTATAGGGCAGATGAATTAAATATATAGGTTCAGAGGAGCTAAACTTTAAATTTCCTAGCATGATGCTTATTGTGGAGTCTGGATAATAACGAGATAATGAGCTCCTAATGTCATTTCGTTTTTCTAAGGCATCTCTCAAAATCTGTAACAAAGCATTAAAGTTTTGCATCTTTTCCAAATTAAACTGCTGTAAATAAAATTCTAATTCACTAGTTATCTCTATTGTATGTTGCCCAGAAATTATAATACGTTCATTCGCAACAGGATACTTACTTAGAAACAATAAATAACTTCTTCTCAAAAATACAACTACTGATTGATACAGCCACTTATATATGAATGGTGCAATTTTATCAAGGGAACATCTAAGTAAACCAGTGTTTTTACAAAGATCACTTAGTGTTCGTCTCACAATATTAACAAGCAACTCTGAATCAAAATATTTCATTTGACAATCAGCATCTATTGAAGAATGTTCTGGTAGAGACGTAATAAATTCCTCAGCATTGATGTTGCAATCTGTTTGGACTAGATTGCAACATAAAGATACTAAATTCTGGAATAGTTTCATTTTTAATATCTTTGCTAACCAATATTTGCCATCTACTTTTGATATGTCATGCATTTCAAACAATTGACTAACATAAAGAAGTAAATCTTCATTGAGATGAAGTAAAATACTTTCATACCAATTTTGATCTTTAAAAAATACAGTTATATCCATATCCATACTTTTTTTTGTTTGCAAAGTAAAAGTCTCTGTTTTAAGTTCTGACAATAATCTTAATGTCAATAAATCCTGTGTGGGGATACTATCTTTAAAACAGTTCAGATTACATTCAGTGTGATTATATCTCAAACCTAGTTCAATATTGGATGTGGTATTAACAAGTAATTGATTGACTGATTTGAACATATCAGTTTTAACTGTATTAGAAGGATTCATTAAATTCTGGAGAATAAAAATGCACTCTTCTACGCTACTAGACAATCCTGACTTTTTCTGTTGGAAAGTATTTTGTGTTATAAAGTGCCTGGAAGAAAATTCTTCAGCAGTTCTCAATCTATATTTCTTTATTTTTGGCACAAAAGAATTCGATAAAGAACTACAAACAGGGCAGTATAGTAATCCATAGCCAAATGAATCTGGAATATTCTTAGTAGTCTGACCCTGTGCCAATCTAATACTTTTTAGATGTTTTCCAAGACACGTTATATGAGAACCATGCCCACATACACGTACAACTGGCTTCTCTTGAATTGGGCCTAGAGTCTTCTTTTTGATGTTTACAAAATCCATAACATGATCGCAAATACCAACTTCCTCATATGAAAAATAAACAAATGAAATGTTTTCTTTGCTTGTTTTGCAAAATATGCAAAAGTCATCTGGAAATTTCCAGCCCGTATTTTCTAAACATTCCATCTGGTGAGAATTCAGAGAAGTTAGTGTAGTTTTAACAGATACAATTTTCTCTAATGATGCACTCTTATTTTTTTCCAAAAATTTTTGTTGTTGATGGGCCAATTTTCTTAGAATCTTTTCTTTTCGTAACCTTGCTTTTTCTTTTTTTCTATTAAAGTCAGTATCCTTTAACTTTTGAACCTTACAACTTGACCATAATGTATCTTCATTAAAAGATTCTACTTGTTCCATCAAGTAACTATTGATGTCAACATGTGGTGCATTTTCCTTTAAATAACAAAAGATTTGCTTTATTTCCCCATGGACGGTAGAAAACTCTTCTATTAATAAAAATGAATAAAGTAAAGATCCAATACTGTGATAATGATAGAATTCTGTATCAACCACTTCATATTCATGCCAGAATATTTTTGTAAATTCGTGGATGTTATTAACAACTGCAATATGAATAAGATGTACTGTTCTCGGAAGTAATATATCACATTTAAATTTCTTAATATAATCCAATGTATGCTTTAAAAACATACCAAAGCAATCTACTGATGTGATTGAAAATAAGTCAGAGTAGGGAGAAGTCTGCAGATTTTCAATATATTTTTTTGTTGGCACAAATGTATCATCAAAACTGATATTATTAGATTTCATCATTTGATGTCTTATATCTGTTTCAATTTCATATCTTCTATTTGGTGTTAGACCATAATAATATGGATCAAGGTCAGATCTATATTCCTCCCTCAATGTAAAACTACCAGTTTCATCAGGATTGACAGGTTTGTGGAAATGTGTGTACTTTTTTAAGTAAGAATCAAAAGCAGCATGCTTAACAATATGTTCTGGTATACTATTTACAATGTGCTCATATGTGACTTGTTTTAGAGAAACAGAATGAATTATTTCTACTTTCAAGGTTTTTTCAAAACTATCTACTGAAGAAGTCACTATGAGATACTTCATTTCAGTCAATAACCGTATTAATAAAATAAGAGCTTCATTTACAATTTTAATAGTTGTTGGTTCATCTGGATAATCTCCAATTGGAATGCCCTTACACCAATTCTTCAAACCCCATCTAACAAAATATATCACCAGAAAATCACTAGGGTCCATGTTACACATGCAAAGTTGCACATTAAATATATCGCTAACATAAGTAAATTCTCTCATACTATACTTTGTATACATTTTAGCCTGATGACTTATAGATACACCATTTCTCACCCAGAACCCCACTTCAATTTGACCGAGTAAAACCAAAGTTGAAAGAGCTGGCTCTAAAATGCATTGTAGTAGTGTTGGATTCTGTATGAATTCTTTTATATTAATTTGACTTTTCAATTCCACAGGAAGTGGTTCATACCTACCAGAAGTTGCCCATTGTAGCACAAACTTGAAAAAGTACGACATTGGATTTAAGAGGCTTTGAGAATTCATACCAACTTGAAAATTGATAATATCTGTTATATGGCCACATAATTTCTCTCTTACCGTCAAGATTTCATTTTCAGACATAGATGATATGTGTTCTTCATTAACCTCTAATTGCCTCACACGCATATAACCACAGTCTCTAAGACATTTAAATTCTTCTTTAATTGCCATATCAATAAGTTTTTTAATCATTTTGATACGGAAATCTTTATCAAACACTAGTGCAATACTTCTTACGTAACTATCTGTCATTATTAGAATTGATGAGAAAAAAAAATAGAACGAAGAAAATTCAAAGCTTTCATACTCGACATGATTATTAACCTCTCTCTTTAAAGGAAGAATATTATTAAACTGGCAAAATGCTGAGAATATGCAATTTAAGAGTGATGAGTTAGATAATAATTCAATTGGAATAGTATTAGTTGATAACAGGATGCATAATTCTTTAAGAGAAATGATAATTCTTTTATTTTGAATACCTACTGTTGGTAGTTTAAAATCTTTTTCTAAAGATATAATATAATTACCATCCTCCATATTAGAACTAGATAGATTCATTAAAACAAAGATAAATCGCAACACACGCTCAACAAATTCGTTTCTTATCGCCAAATTTGCATAATCTGGATCTTGGAAAGTATACTGCGATAAAAGAGTCATAACAACTACATGTCTGTCAGAAGTAGTATTAACAGACTGGTACAATAAATTAAGATAAATATCAAAGTATTGAGCCACCAAGCAGCCTCGACACTTGTCTGTCATAGAAAATACGGATACCAGAATATTTAGAAGCTGATGAAAATGGACTAATGATAGTCTCTCTAAAGTTTCTGTCAACAAATATTGGAATCTTGACCCCTGTATTTCATAACTAACTGTTGAGAGTCCATCTGTAATACCTTCTATTAAAGATAAATTATAATTTTCCATTATTAAATGGCATGTTTTATTATTAAGCTTACTAAAATTCCATGTTTTATACCATATTTTTTTGATAGAATCCTTCTGAAGAATACACTTCCCAAGTAAATTAATCTTTCGTGAAAGGGGCAGATCAAGAGATGATCTTGAGTCATATATTCCCCATTTATTCAATAATGATAAACGGAGTGGGTACAAAAATGAGGATGGATCATTTTGATTCTTGCATGTAGTGTACAACCATTCCAATAAAGTTTCAGCTAAATGATGTTTATAAATTAAATTTATTCCAATAATAGAGGTTTTGATATTACACTTTTCAAATTTAGCGCGAACATCTTGTAATTGAGAAATATCGTTGCTTTCTAGTAAAGTTACTGGTATGTTGGTTGTCTCCAATCTTTGGACAACAGAAATAGCATATTCTATAGGTTTATTCAAAATCTCCACTATGTTAGCAGAGAGTTCTCTTGGATGAATAGTTAAATTATCCTCATGGATTTGCAAAACCCATTTTTCTTTGATGTCTTTATTAATTGAAAATCGTGAATCATTTGTTGGCTGAATAGTACAATTTGAGTTTATCGGAATCAAATAAGGGAGTAGCAAATTCCCTTCATCAGTTATTGATTCATTTCCTTCTTTATTTTGTTTTTCAGAAGCAGAAAGTAACTTATAAATTTCATTAAGTTCCACCATGGTCGCAATTATATAATCTAAAATAACATTTATAGTAGATTGTGTATTTAGAGTCTGACTATCATCCATAATATTCTCTTCCAAATCCCTATTATTCTTTGTAGTATATTTGTTATTATTATTAAATGCATTCTTACAAAGAAAGGCATTCTGTGGATTTTTAAAAACAGATTTATTACCACAATGACACACTCTACCTTCATCTCTTATTACAATTTTAGAAAGATAGTCATGATCTTTATGATATTGTGGATCAAAACAAAATTCACAGATTTCGTATAATGGATTGGTCATACACGTAAAACAATAATATATTGTTTCAATTGGATAACTTAATCGTCGACACATTGTATTCTTATGATTATTCTCGGTATTATCATTAATGAACGTTTTTTTCCATGTATCATCATATAATAAATTTGAATATTTGTCTTTATTTGTGTAAATAACTTCGAAATTTTGAATAACACTGCTCCAATTAATACTTTGATGATTTTTTATTAAACAAAGGTTTAAAGTCTTCCAAACAAAATAATCAGAAACTTCATCATATTTATTATTACAAAGAATCGGTAACAAAGATAAAAAATCTTCCAAACTTTCTGGTGTCCTTTTTTGTACATCTGTCATTTCTATACGTAATCTACATCTACTTAGTATATTAAATTTGCAATAACATACCACAAAATACAAATAAAGAAAGGGTAAAAAAAATATGATTTTATATAAGTATAATGAAGCAAGTGAAAACACTTCGTATTATTATAATCTCTTCTTAATAAAAAGTATAAAAGTAAAAGATTAACGAGGAGGTGATTATGTATTTCAACAACCTTTTAAAATATACAGTTTCTTTTAAACAATAATTATATTAAGTGAATGTTCCTTTTGTTTATTTCCCACTTCTCCATTATATACTAGTGTAAGTTAAATACAAATTATACAATCAAGCCTTTGCCATCCCTTTTATTTTACTTAAAGACAGTTCCTGTTTTGTTTTTCTTTTTTTCTTTTTTACTATTAATGAAAAGAAAAGAATTGGAAAATAAAAATTAATAAAAACACCATCAAATAATAACAGGTTGGGGATGGATCGTAATAATTAAAATAAAAACAAAAAGCTAGAGAATATTTTAAAAAGTGTATATAAAATGGGGTAAAAAAGAGGATTTTACTTTAAATTAAAAAAAAAAGGTTTTAATATCGATAAGCTGTTTGCAGTATAACTAAACTCTACTAAACTACAAGTTTAAAATCAATTGATAACAATTAATATTCATGATTCATTCAGTATTAATATGTATGTTAATGCTATCTTTGTGTTGTTGTTTAACTCCCCCTGGTATATCCTAAATTTATTACTTTGATTTACATATTACTAACGATAATATATTTAAACTTTATCTGACTATATATATATTATATATATATATTAATGCTCTTCCTTCTTATATGTACAGTTAATAAAAAATGTCAGCCAAGACTAATTAAGTTTTATACACCCGTGGATTTGCCTAATCAAAAAAGATTATTAAATCAAGTTTATGAATTAATATCACAGAGAAACACAGATATTCAAAGTTCTTTCTTAATAACACCACCATTTCTCTTATCGCAAAATTCTAATAGTGAGTTCGATCAAAGCATACAAATAATATATAAAAATTATGCAACTTTATATTTTACTTTCATTGTGGATGATCAGGAATCTGAACTGGCCATGCTGGATTTAATTCAAACGTTTGTTGAATCATTAGACAGATGTTTCACTGAAGTGAACGAATTGGATTTAATATTTAACTGGCAAACTTTACAAAGTGTGTTAGATGAAATTATTCAAGGCGGAATGGTCATTGAAACTAGTGTTTCCAAGATTGTATCCTCTGTAGATGAATTGAATCGTCTAGCTGAAACTTCGGATAATAGAGTTGGATTTACATTTAGCAATGCATTTCAGGCTTTAACCCAAAGCAGTTTTGCTCAATGGGCTTCAGGACAGTAAATATGTTAATGTATTCATTAGATTATGTCTATTTTAGATTCTTTAGATGAATATATATGTTTATTTCTGTGTGTCTATATGCATGTATACTAAAGAAAATAGGTATCTATATCTATACTTTAATTGTTATAGGTCTTTATTCTTGTCTCAAAAGCAGCCAGTTGATATTGTAAATTTTCAACAGAGGTATTAAAATCATTTGATAAATCGAAAATAATTTTGTTTTCTAACTTACAAATTAAATCTAACCGTTTTTTAAAATCTATGTCTTCATTAACACGATTGGAATTAACAGTATTACTATTATTATTATCTACTGAATCTAATAATCTTAAGTATTTCTCCTGCAATTCTTCAATGAAAGTTAAGGGTGTTCTATTCAATTCAGTATAAGGAAAGTCTGTCGAGTCTAATGGCACAATGTCATTCAATTTTCTAAGAATGATACCTTCATCCATAGAAAATTTTCCTAATTCTTCATGGTTTTTCACTTCCAACGGCACAAACTTCCTTTCGATCCAAGTTAAATAGTTTGTTGTTTCTTTTTCTGTCCAATTTATTGGATTTGATGATACTTCGTTTGCAACATCATGATTTGTGTTTAATAGTTTAGTCAGTCTACGATTAACACTCTTCTCACTTATATCTTCTTCATTTATAGGGGCTGTGCGTAACAAAGCTTCAAGCCAAGAATTAGGATAAATTTGTTTCTCAGTGTATACCCCATCATATAAAAGGATGTACCGTATTGTAAGAATGAAACTTAATATAACATATGTTTCGGGTAATAATATATGGTTGGAAACACTTCTATTCGGTATTTTATAGATGGATATAGTTAAATCCTTTTCATCAGAACAAAATAGCTCGACGAACTTTTTGGTGTAAAAGAAAAATTCAGGTGGTAATGTGTTCAATGTAACTAATTTAAATATTAATCCAGTAACATTTATTGTACTATTAAACTTCTTAGAAGTGTGTGTTAATGAGTTAAAACGCAATATAGCATCAGTGAAAGTTTTCAAAGTTAATAAATTGTTTCCATTTAAAGATGATAAATAAAAGTTGGGCAATCTTTCATTCCAACTTCGTGGGATAATATTCCCAGCTTTATAATATGGAAAATCTAATGATGAAATCCAATTGATCAAATCACAGAAATATACTGGCAATCCCAATTGTAAGATGGAAAAGTAAATAACAGATACAGTTATATTAATATTAAGTGAGATGATAACGCCCTTTGGTTCATTATTGACTTTACATAAAAATGATAACCAAATTAATTTAACAATATTTTCAAAATTTACAGGAAATCCACAGATATTGATCAAATAATCTACTTGTTTCTTCAAAATATATTGTAAGGACTTAATCATTAACAATTTAGCCTGTTTCCCCTTTATAAACTTTTTACTATGTTTAATTTTTTGAATATTCTGTTGTGAAAAAGAAAGACTTGATTGGAAACTACCTTGTTGATTTGTAGTTAAATTTAGTCTTTTAGTGATAACACCCTGAGATTGTTGTCCAGCAGCATCATCATCGTTATTAAATTCAATATCACCTTCCATAACATGACCATATTGACAGGTTCTTCTACCAGCAATGATCCTCCATAATCTGGATGGACAATTGTCGACTCCACAAATAGGACCTCTGATGAATGTAGAGGACATCTAAGCTATGGTTATTGTTGTTGTTTCTTTTTTTTTTTTATGCACAAATCAAACACATAAGAAAAAAAGATGAAGAAAAATCATATATTCAGTTATGTTAGGTTTATATTTGATATTTGGGTGATTTTGTAGTTAATTCCTTTGAGATAAAGTAGAATCATGTATAATTTTTCTATATTTTTGTGATGATCTTTATTATTTTTCCTTTGATGTTAAAAAAAAAAAAAGAAAAAAAGAAAGAAAGGAGAAAAAAAAGAGGAAAAGTGAGATCAAAATGTGTCAAGGAAATAGAATCATTTATAAGTACAATGGATATGTTAATAGTCTCTACCTCACTAACTTAGTAAGGTGAAATTTCATGTAATATATTCTCGAAGCATAGCATTAAATAATACTTAGATATGATAATATTTGATATTACTTAAAACTAAAGATATTATTCTCAAAAGATATGGTTGGAAAAAGAGCAGATCTCACATTATCTAGTTGAGTATGAAAAAAAAAAGCAAAAACAAAAATACCACTCAAATATACGATGATGTTTGCAAGAACTTTGATATTTGATGATAATTTATTTTTACAACGGTATATTATAGAAGAACCATAAGATACAGTTGTTGTCCCCACTGATTATTTATTATTAGATAGTTATAATAATATATAACACTGGATTAGATATATATGTTGACTGCAAGGAATTTATGCTAGTAAAATAAATGAGTAGTGAGCCGAATTATTAGATGATCATTAGAATTTCAACTGTGTCATTATTGAAGTATTTTATTCTAAATTATCTGTTGCTATTGCAATAACATCTATGAATGTTATATCTTACGAAGGATAATTTATAGTGTAAATAAATTTTTCAAAATAAAAAAACAAAAAGAAACAAAAAAGGGAAAGTGGAGCAGAAGCGGATCGAGACTGTTGTAAAGTTGTGTGTGTGTGTGTGTTTTTTACTTTATTTTTCTCGTTTCGTTCCTATTTATTAGCGACAGTTGTATATAATTGTATTTCTTGAACGAGATGCATATATCTATATATATATATATATGTGTGTATTATACGAACTATTTTGAAAGGAGATACATATCTCAAAGTTAAAGGAGAACAAGGAAAAACAATAAAGAATAAATAAATCATTAGAAATATACAACTAACAATATTGGTGTTTGTAAGTGTGTGTACTAATTTTATTTGTACATAGTCAAATAAAAAAAGTTGTTCAGATGACCTTCGTAAATAAATGTTAGTCTCAAGAAGTAATATAAAACCATTAATAAAAAAAAGTACATGTCAAGGTATCAAAACCGAATTCTACGTATATATATAAGGAAGACATAACGTGACAAAATTGGTAATAAAGGAAAAAATAAAATAAAATAAAATAAAATGATAGAGTTGGTGGATATTCAGTTCCTAGCTCTATAGTGCGTAATGAATAATTATTAAAGCTACATAAAACAAGTAAAATTGCGTCCTTTCTTCTTATCTCTCCCATTTATAAAAACAGAAAGAAAAGAAAAGGAAGAAAGAAAGAAAATACCATGTGGGGTGTGAGATGTACATTTATCTCGATATCACGCGTAAAATTCGTTACTTTCAACTTTCAACTTTCAAGTTTTCTCTTAGTTATTTTTTTTAGTTGGTTATTTTTTTTTTTTGTTCTGACTAAATTTGGATTTCTTCAGAATTTTCTTTTCCCTCCAATTCTCCTTTCCCCTCCCCCAAGCGAGGCGTTGTCTGTGTTGATTTTTCCCTTTGTTTTTCGCTCCTCGTGGGTATTTGTGTTTTGAAAGAATAGATAAGGCTGGGTGAATGAACAAAAAAAAAAACCAAAAAAAAGAAAAGGGATCCACGTCATCAAATTCCCCTATTCTTTTGTAACGCTACTATACATACAATAATATTCTCTCTCTCTCTTCTATATATATTTAAATATATTCTCTTGTCCTTTTGCGTTTTTTTTTCCTGCTCTTTTCTTTTTATTTTTTTGGGTTACTTTTTTTTTTTTTTATTTTTTTATTTCTTCTGCTTTTATTTCTGGTTATATCATCAGAATATATAGCAAATAGTATTACGTGTAAAATAAACTAATACGATAAAAGGTTTCTTAGCTATTTCCCTTGCCTTGACCCCCTCCCCCTCCCCCTCCCTCTCTTCCTCCATTTCCTCTCCTCTGTTCTTTCTTCTTGTATATATTCCTGCGATTTTCTTTTAAAACAGAATGTCTAAAACATATACCTAGATCAACTCTCTATTTATTATTGCTACTATATTGAAACTTTGCCAATATTAAACAGAACCTCATACTGCTTTTTTGTTTATAAGTTTATTTTTATCTGTTTTTTCTTTTTTTTTTTTTTTTTTTCTTTTTTTCTATATCCTTTATTCGACCGATACATGTTTAAATTGGGCATTTGGCTGTGTGAAAATAGTTATAATATCATCAAATTTAAGTAAGATAAGTGTATAGTATGTTGTCAGTAAACCAAATTTATTCATATTCCTCCACTCAACATAATTCAAATAAATTGGTAATACCTAGAGCAAACACAACTTCTGACCTGTTTAATGTGGATAATTTTATAAATATAGATAATAACAATAATTATAATTTTGGCAGTAATGGTAGTAGTGGAGTATTAAAAAGAAACGGTAGCATATCCAACAATTATAGAAATAATAATAATAATAACAATAATTATAACAATAATACTGGTGGTACTATTAGTAATGCTCGCAATGGTAATGTTAAGAGGAGTCAGGATCTACATAAGCTAGCAATTAAGAATAATATGTCGATAAGAAGATCAAATACTCTTAATACTCCAGCTAATATGGTTAAAAGATCAAATTCATACAAGCAAAATTATGTTAATACCCCTATATCAAGACAATACCCACCCGTCAGAAATCATACAATAAATTTGTCTTCCCAAAAAAGATATTCAAAAATAAATACCTACGAAAATTTTGAAAGATTACAAATAAATGATTATACACTTAAAAATACACTTTATAATAATCATCATCATACTAATAGAATAAAAGAATTAAGTCCTTTGCAGATTCAAAGAAATAGAATGAAATCTTCTTTTGTATTTCCTAATGGGGAAAAGTTCACTCCTAGAGAAATTCATTCTCCTGTTAAATTTAATCCGGCGCAATCATCTAACATCACAACTAATGCTACTACTGTTAGTAGTAGTAGCAATAATACTTCCGACACTACTATTCATCTTCAGAAATCAAATGCACAATCATCTGAAACAAAATCAACTTCAAAGAAATTCGGATCCTTTTGGAAAAAATTGGTTGGTAAGGATATTAATAAAGTAAAGGATATACCAAGTATAAAAATAACAGAACCTCCATCATCAGTTATTTGTGGAAAACAAACTGTAACTTCAGAAAAACTGGACAATTTACATCTAACTAGTCAAATTGTTAACACTAACAATAGTAATAAGAATACCGACAGTATCGATGACCCACATTTGCATTCCCTTACAACCATTTCCTCCACAGATAAGGATCAAGACGATTTTGATTCTTCTAAATTAATTGAAAGATTGGAAAAATCTTGGGATATTGTTAATGTAGATTCTCCTATTTCAATTCTAAATGACTCCATAATTGGTTCCTATATTTCTAAGGAGAATCGGAGTGTTAGTTTTGCTACAGAAATATTTGTTAATGACACATATTCCTCTGAAGAATATCATAGAGCAGATCCAGATACTCTGACAGATAAGGATAGGAAAATGGTATTTGATAATGAATTTGGGTTTATTGATGAAGTTAAATATGAATTAAATCAGTATAAAAGAAAAGAAATGTTAATTCATATTGATAGTATTAAATTTATCCAATTTTCTAGATAGTCATCTTCATATCTTCTCATATATATATCATAAGTAATGTTTTATAAGTATTTTTAATATATTCCATGTATAGATACACAATTCATAACTATATTATAGGATACTAACTTAAATCATATAGGTAGCATGACCTTGTTGTGCTATTGTTAAACTTGTCGTTACATTATTTCTTACATAATATTAAAAAGCTATCTCCTAACATCAACATTACCAGTTCTCCACCTACACATTCAGGTATTACCTATGTAATTGCATATCTACGGAGTTTAAGTTAGCCTTTTTACACCATTGTACCAACGATGGAAGGATGGTAGACTATGACAATTTCCAAGCAAGACAATATATCTATCAACATCCCTACACTTTTCAGCATATTAGTTTAATTGTACTGTAATATTACGTTTAGAGATATGGAAGAGCTCACTTATATTTTGTGACAACCCTTAGGTTATGTGTTTCTGATAACAGTTAATCTTGTTGAAAACACAATAATACTTCACTTAGATAGATATAAGATATAGACTCTTTCTATATCTCTAGATGTAATATTCCTATATATCTATATATCTATATATCTATATCCCTAATCTAAGATAACCTAATAGTATATACTTATATAGTATATATCTAAACTTATGTAGCCCTTGGTTCCTTCTTCTTTATTCTTGTTCGTTCTTCTTCTTGGTTGCTCTTTTGTACTTATATTGGTTACTCCTGTTTTTATCTATGTTTGTAATATTTGCAAAAAGGAAAGTTTGGAAAAATATTGCCAACCCTTATTTTTCCAAACAAAACCCTAAACAGTAATATCAGGAATATTACAAATTGTCAAAAAAGAAACTGCGCAAGCCCGGAATCGAACCGGGGGCCCAACGATGGCAACGTTGGATTTTACCACTAAACCACTTGCGCTCAAACTTGTTACTTCTGTTGTGGAATAGAATAGTTATAACCATCAAGATTACATAAGATCCTGAATGAATCTAGAACCAATTAGTGTATTAATAAGCCATACATGTGCTACAACATTAGATGCTGCATAATAAAAAGATTGGATTACATAAGATCTTGGCAAATCTAGAATTTACCTATTGTTTTATTAAGTCCCACGTGTATTACTAATCACCATGATTAGAGAATTGGGATGCAGTTCTAATCCAGTAGTGCACCTAAATTAATATAATAAATTTTAGGGTTTGAATCAGTCAAGTCATTAATGTAGTAATCTGAATAATCGATCGAGCTCCAGAAAACATATAAAAGGACAACGTTTTCTGGAGATAAAAGACCATCTTCCATAACCGTTTCTTGTAAATAATTTATATATTATGTATAAACAAAATAGAACAAGCAAGTAACAAATCAAGTAACTTCGAATAAGTACATTAGCTCGATATAAGCCGCTTAATATATAAGACCGTTTTAGTAATTATACTATCGACTATAGTTGATTACTGTCTCGATTATTTGAATTACTATTAATATTATTTGCGCTTCCCTGGAATACACAAAGAACTTCACCATACCATACTACAACAAATCTTGGTTGAGGAGTGTCCCAGTGGCCGAGTGGTTAAGGCGATGCCCTGCTATTTCTGAGAATTAGCTGTCAGGCATTGGGTTTTACCTTCGCAGGTTCGAATCCTGTCTGTGACGCTATTTTTTCATGTTTGGAATACTATAATATCATGTGGTACGAAGTATCGGTTTAATTCGTTTTTCCAGCCAGTTTTGAAAATATTGATGCAATGTATTATTTTCTGGAGGGTATGTATCCATGACGTATGAATATATAAGACATGATGGTGTCTTTTATTGTTTTTCACACTTAAATAAAAGAAGAACATTGTTGCAAGTGAATGTACTATATTACTATTAAAAAATAGATATGTAAAAACATTCAATAAAGAAATTATACTATTAGTAATGCTGTAGACGGTTCATTCTTGCCTCTATTACCAGCAATTTTAGTATTCTCAATTGTTGTCACCTAGTTAAAGACGATTTCCTTTATTAAGGCAAAAAAGGCTATCAAATCAGAAAATATAAGTTGTCTGCATAAAAGTTCAAATCTTTCTTAAGATTTTTAAAGATGAATTTGAACTTTTGTGCAGACTGTTTCTATTATTTGATGTAGTAGCTCTATTCTTTATGTCAACACTATCAAAAAAGTTAGCCACATAACTACCCAAAAAAGGAAAGAAAAGCACTAAAAGAAGTGCAAAAATCATAGAAAATACCAGAACTACGTCCTGACATGGTAGATGATGTCAGGAAAAAGTTCTATGAAGTCTATCCAAGCCAAAAAGACCCGTCGGAGAAAAGGCAGCATTATCCTGATAAATCATTAGCACCGGGGCTCAGGGAACTAATCGACAGCAAAATTACTAATGAACCCTATCGATATTTAGACAGGGGGACTAATAAAGTCGAAGTATTTGACTCTTACTACGTCCTTATCGATGATTCTATGTATGATTCATCATTCTTTGACGATACCGAATACATCTTCGAAACCGTCCTTGCCAAAATGGTGAAATGGGATGGATAGAAAGGTAGAATGGAGAATTTTAAGTCGTCGTGTGAATATATATCAGTTGTGAAAGATTGTATTGCCTTAGACAGTACTGTCCTAAGTGGGATACAAAATGGTAGTAGTTGTGTTGGTTCAGCCATATTCAAACGTTGGAAAAAAGATACTAAAGATTCCTAACCAACATCTTTAGTGGGCTTTTATGTACTGTTCCCAACTCAAGGCTCATATAGAGAGGTATATTTATCGAACAATACATTAACCAAGTGATGTTCGTGCTCCCTTCTTCTTCCAATTCCCTGAGGAAATTTGCGCCTTACCAAAAATTAAATTACTACATTTCGTTCTACTCCACGTCATAAAAAATTTAACATATCAGATAAACATCCTATATTAAGACAGTAACCACCGAATGTCTGACAGGGTTATTTTTTAGACTGATACTTGTTCACAATTTAGTTGTACCAGTGTATATTCGACTGCCTCCGAGCACAAATTGATCGTATCACTAGACTGACAATTTGTGAGGTGTTTCCTGCAAAAAAACAAAAAAAAAACCTTCTTTCTTTTTCTTTACTATGTTTTCTCTTTTTTTGTATCAAATATAGCTATCTTAATTTAATTCATTATTTTTTATTTTCTCTTTATCACACTGTAATCACATACACACGCATATATATGTTCAGTTCTTGTGTTCTTGTTCCACTTCTACTTCTTGTCACCACTCCATGTTTATATCTAGATAGCATGTTTAGAGGTTATTTATCTTATTTCAATGGTTATTGTCTTTGTCCATTACTTCAGAGGAAATTAACCATATTGTGGTGAAAATTAATTAATATCATAATTTCTACATACAATGGTCGCCGATTTTAGAATAAAGTATATAACCAGGCGAAGCCTATTTCCTTTCTTTTTACAAATTAATAAGTATTGCTGAAATTGAATGTTTTAGAATAAACATATAATATCGTTTTCTTCTAGATGAATAATATTAGTATGCATGTGTTTAGTGTCAGTGATCATATTATAAGTTGTTGACGCAAGGCCTCAGAATCAAAAATTCTAATATAATTCATTCTAGATTAATATAATAAGATAGTGTAACTTACAATAGAATATTGGTGGTATTATAAGTTTTCTGATTATTTATAGTAGGAAGTTAGTGGTACTATAAATTTTTATTGTATTGCTTGGTCTTCTACTTTTTACATAACGAATATACAGGATACAATATTATACAGTATACTCATTTTATTTTCGAGTCTTCTTTAATATAAATTTTCATAACTTTTAAACACTTAGTACAGTGAATTTAGATTATCAACCATAACTCTAATCATAGTTCAACAGGTTTTGTGAAATAGATCCTAAGAGACTTTATCATTTTTTGTAAACAGTTGTTTATTTTCCCCTCACATTTTTCACTTTGAATTTAAATTTTGCACTGACTGTTGAAAGTTTATATTTATAGTTGGTAAAATAAAATGTTAAAAAAAAATTTCTTTAACTTAAGATCAATAACATTAGTAGACTAGTTATTTTTTTGGAGGAATTTTGAAATACATTATTTAAATACCACTTTGTGTTTCTATATAAAATTCCAAACGATATTTTTACTCCTCTTAGTAAAATAGGACAAATTTTAAATCAAACATAAATAATCTCCCTTTTTAATAGCAAAAAGACAATATGAACAAAAGATAAAGATGAAATTTTTGAAATTATTAAAGTCAACCAATATATACAAAATATTCGTTTTAGAAAACTAAAACCTTTACAAGTTAACATCGAAAACATTGGTATATATTAAGCATATAATTTTATTGCAAATATTTTATCATCAATATAAACTAAAAAATAGAACATCACTGGCCTGGAAAAGCTTAATTGTATTTTTTGTAAGACCTATTTACTTCACAAGAAGCTTAAAAAAATAATAATTTAACATTACAACATCACTATTTCCATTTTTCAATGCAAATTTAACTTTTTTACACGCTTTTTAAGCTTTGAATTTCAAAATAATACAAGAGAGATTATACAGAAAGTCCTAAAGGCTACAAAACAACGATATGTCCCTGTTGGAACACATTTTTGTAAAAACCATAAAAAGTTAAATAATTTACCTTTTCAAATGATTCAAAAAATTTTATTAAAGAACAGACTGAAACTATTTTTTCTAGTATCCATAATACTGTCAAGAATACTAAGACATCCGCCCAATTCATTAACCAACCTTCTCTATGACCAAAGAAAGATATTTAAACATTTGTTGCTTGAATGTTTTGTAAGAATATAAGAAATATTGACAGAAATTTCATAACACTTTTGAACGATTGCTATCTAACTATTTATGTTGGTTATAGTAATAACATTACAACTACTGTTCCAATTAGTAATATTCATGATTAAAAAAATAAATTGGATAATGATGATATACTGATAACGAATACTCTTTTTAGTGTTTTTAATGTTATAAAAGAATATATGATGAAGAAAAAATAGTAAAATACACTAATTTTATGAATAACACAACTTATACCAGCACAACACTATTCAAGAGTATGATGAAGTCATAAATATTCTAAACAAAACAAATTTGAACAAAACTAATGAATACGTTGGATAGTATCAGTTGTTTTTGTTTATACTTTTTCACTTAACTCTATATATAATGCTGTTGCTAGGGCGAAAATATACTTTGTTTATTTTCAATCGAACCTGGAACTCCACACAAAAAATTACATTATACTTTTTTAAAATTTTTTCCAAAGATAAATATTAAATATTCCTTTAAAAGATTGAAAATTATCTATAGGCAATTCTAGTCGTTCTTACTGGATAAGTAATTATTTTCTGTTTTATTTTTATTAACCTCTACTTTTCTATTATACTCTATTGTGCAAGTTATGCCACCCTAAGATTGATACACAGAATAGTGTTTAACAAATTATGTTATTCAAAAACCTATGTCAGAGATAATTGAACCTTTAAATTTTTTATAACAAGAGAACTTAATTAAATATAAAAAGAAAATCAAACCAGACAAGAAACAAAAAACAAATATAAATGTAAATTAATAGATATAAAATATTATGAAGTAATGATAAAAATAATTGAAAAGTTAATATCTTTTAACGTCAATTTGAAATTTAATTCTCTCATATTGTATTATATTAATTTTCTTGTCTCCCGTTTCTAAAAATTGAAAAGTTATTTGAGAAAAACTCTTAATCATATTCAGCAACTATTATTATGAATAACAAGTGGTGGTTAATTGTTTATCATAAAACCATGGGTGGCACATAGTGTCGCAAAAACTAGATCTAATGAGTTAGAAAATCAAATGCAAAAATTTAAAACAAAAAGAGAGAGACCTTTGAAATGAATGACTATACTTGAAATTTAAATTTTAAACTGTTGTAAAACTGATGCTGATGAATATAAAAAAATATCCAAAATAATAATCGACCATTGACTGTATAATATAATATAACTGATCAAAATAAATGAAAAAGCATGCAATGAAATAATTTTAGCGAAAATAATATTTATAATGTGTCCTAAATGATACAAAAAAAGTTATTTCTATGAGATAATAATTGGTTTAAATACTATCCAGTAGAAATACTTTTTTATTGATTTTGTAGAAATGCAAATATATTAATAAATTTATCCTTTTCAAAAATTATCATGTTGAGAATAATACGATAAATGAAGGAAATTTATTTTTGATGAAACTTATAATTTTTTTGATGCTATTTTTAAATTTTGATTCTTTGACTTCTGAAACAGGTCTGGTCTGAAAAATAAATGAATTCTGATAATTATCATGGTTCACAAGTGGCCTATATGGATTGCCTGAGTTATGCAAATTCAGTTTCAATTTATTATTGTATTCTGAATTTGAAGGAAGAGAAATCTTAAAGTTGTCTCGTCTTAATAGTTCACTAGAATAACATGAAGAAGAAGAATTATTGCATCTATTTCCATTAATTTCATCATCTTTGTTAAAAATTTTATGAGCTCTTTTAGGTAAAACAATTTCACCAAGGGTATTAGTGCTTAAAGTTGAAACATCATTCCCATATACATAAGCATATGCTTGTGCACGTTCTTCTTCATATAGCAAATCTTTTAAAATTTCACAATTTTCACTTAGCTCAAAACTGCACTCTTGGTTTACTTGTTCTATTTTTCCTAAACAGTTAAAGTTGATTTCTTTATCATCCTTATTAACTTTAAAAATTGATTTAAGCTTATTTTTAAAAATGTCTCTTTTTCTAAGCTTCAAGTTAGAACTTTCAGATACCATATCACCAGTAGTAAGAGTCACTGGTGCAGAGGAATCATACTCAGAACAAGGGGCTGGAAAGTACGGTTTTCTTTCTTTTTGGAATAACTTCTTAAGTTTGTTTTTTAAAATAACTCTCTTTTTAACTCTTGGTATATTAGAGTCGACAATTAATTCAGTTCCAACATCAAAATAATTCCTATTATCCGTTTGGAAAAATAAGGCAAAATTATTACCAATACCGCTAGATTGATTTTTTTCAGAACCAATTTCAAGTGAATTGCCATTAGAGCTGGGACTATTAGAGCTTGGTTTATGCCCCTTTTTAAATAAATTCTTTAACCTGTTCTTAAAAATTTCAGATTTTTCAACTCTTGATATTTCATCTCTAGGAACAGAATCAGTTGCAATTTCACATCTATCTTTATTCTTGCTATGAAAGATTGAAGTAAACTTCTTAAAAGATTCTTTAAATTGATTTTTGTCAGAATCAGGCACCATTTCCAAATTGATTGAAGAAGCAAAAATTAAGTGAACTTATTTGATAAACTTTTAATTTTGTACGGAAAACACTAGTATAATATATATATTTATGTTTATTAATAGGAAAAGCCTATGGTATATTAAAACAAATTAAAAGTAAATTTAAAAAAGATAAAACATAAAAAAGAAGAACACAGAAAGAAGATGTGGGCTAGAGGAAATAAAAATAATCAGACCAATCTTTACATATATATATATATATATATATTAATTTGTGACATTTTAATTTAATTTATTAAAGATATTAAAAAATAAAGTAAATTTGTGCGAAAAATAAATTAGCAATAGATTTCAATTATAAAAGCAATAGAATATATCATTAAAATATATTGAAATACCTAAAATAGAAAACAGTAAATAAAAGAAATAAACTATTCTATGTTATTAAATATAATATAATATATATTATATTATATTACGTTACCTTATCAAGAAAACAACATTATTATTGTGTATTATGGACCCTTATAAAGAATTTAATCAAAAAAATACAAAAAATACAGATATAAACATTATTACCTTCTATTAACCAATATTAAGATTTAGATTTTCTCAAAAACATGCTAAATTTTCATTTTTATTAATACCCTTACTAAGATGAATACCATCCTAGATTCTAATAATATTTTCCAGGTGTATTAATTATTTTTTATGGTTAGCATATATCACTTTCCCTTTCAAGTAATAGTGTCGGTGCTATTCCATATTTTAAAACGTACTAAATATCAACTTCACTAAGAAAAAGGAGAGGCGACAATATATATAAAAAAATATCAAAGTTCTATTACTTATCCACATATTTTCACAACGAAATATCATTAGATATGATTACATAATTTCTGCCTTTTTTTTTGATTCAAAAAAACTTAATTAAAAAAAACATTAGATAACTATAACATAAAAAAACTTTTCTAGAGACTAAGAACAATAAATAGTTGTTTTAATGCTCCTTTCTATCTAGATATCAATAACTATAAAAAGTTTGTTTTACATAAAATTATTGAACAACAAAAGCTATTGGAAGAGTAACAATAACTAGAACGAGAACAAATAAACATTTTACGTAAATACATTTTTTTAAAATTATTTCACAATTCATTGTCATGTAAATAATACCTAGATTCTATAAAAGATATTATAACAAAAATAATAGCTCTATATTTTAATTATCAAATAAATTATTGCCAAAAATTACTAATATTTATTTCAAATTTCTTACATAAAAAGTATGCATAATGGAAAGGCATAAAAAAGTCACTATTTATTTTTTAATTATCTTCTAAACTATATTAAATATGTTATAAAGCAAATATCGACATAGCAAATCCATATGACGTTGTAAACATACCTACATATATGGTTTTTTTATGTTAATTACGCTTTCACTTGTGTATAACAATGGTTTACCTTTTCTAAAATTGAAGGGCAATTCCGTCGGCAGCCTCTTCAATTCCGCAAATATTTTTAACAACTATTTTCTTTTCTTTTTTTATGATAAAATTTTTTTTTTGCTTTTTCGTTGTTTTTTTATTTTTTGATTAATTACGAAGCGATGAGATGGAGAAAACATTTTTATCTTAATAAAAAAAATTATATAGACACCACAAAGTGATACTCTCTTTAGTGTATAAATATATTAAGTGAGTATTAGATATATTTTTATATTTGATATATTCTCCAAGACTATATGACTTTAGATCAATAATAATAAAACAAGATCACACAAGGAGAAGTTTAGAAATTACACTTTTATTTTAAATTAGTTATTCTAGATATCAAATATGACTATATCATTAAGTGAAAAAATTAACAAAATTGTTAGCAAAAGACAAAAAAGACAAAGTCTTCAAGATATAGATATTGAGAATGATAATGATTTAGATAGACTTAATAATTACAATAATGATGAAAATGACGAAGATGAAAATGAAGATGAAGAGAATGAGAAAGAAAATGAAAAATTAAAAAAAGCACATTATGTTGATGTTAGTGAATCTAAACTCAGAAAACAACTGAAAAAACAACAATTAGAATTGGATCCCAAATATGGTGGTAGTATTGGTTCCAGAAAGGATTTATTCCAAGAAAATAGTACCAATTACTCCGAAGACGAAAATAGTAGAAATGAAAGTGATAATGGCAATGAAGTAGACGAAAGCAAGGAAAATGAATCAGACGCATTATCATTTAGAACTGATTCAGAGGACGAAATAATTCAAGAAGAAGAATATGGAGGGGAAGACAACGAAGAAGAAGAAAATGAAGAAAATAATGATAATGATGAAAGAGAAACAAAACTTTCTAAAATCATTAATAAAGAAACACGTACAGCAATGAATAACCTTTCTCAGTTAACTAAAATTGATGCACACAAAGGTCATTCTATATTAAAACAAACAAAATTTTTTGAAAATATTGTTGACTTAAGAATCAAATTACAAAAATTATTGAATTCCATTAATCAATTACCATTGACTGCTAAATCATGGACTCATATTAATGATAATGATACTTCCTCCCTTCTTGAAAGGAACAATAAATTGTTATTGAAAATTTTTGAAAAGTTATTTAACTTAAGATTGAAATTCCAATTGGATGATAATATTACTGTGAAATCATCGGAGTTAAGTGGTTTCGATAAGAACAAGAAGAAAAGATCTTATGATGAATTGCTAAATCATACAGATAAACTTGAGAATGATTTGCGTAAGTATAGAAACACAGTATTAAATAAATGGTCCGCAAAAATCCAAATGGCATCAGGCTTACAACAATTAAATTCGACAAAATTCAATGCAATTAACCAACCTGCGAACGTTCAGGTGGAGAATCAACTTGCAGACAAAGATAGATTAATCAAAAGGACTAGATTAAATAGAACTAATGTAGTACCATTTAATTTTGAGAGTGATTATAAAGAAGGACAATTGTCTCTTTTAAGCAACAATAATTCAGTAAATAATAAAGGAAACCAGGACATTGAGTCAGAGGAAGAATTAGATATACCTAAAAATTACGATCCAAGAGAAAAGGGTAATTTATTAGGTCTAGATTTAACAGAAAATCCATATATTTTCAATGATGAAGATTTCTACCGCTTATTATTAAATGATTTATTAGATAAAAAATTACATGATACAACTAATAATAATGGGATTGGAGCCAATGGTACTGAGATTATGATCACTTCAACCATATCAAATAGTCGTGACAATAAAATTAAAAAAAATATTGACACAAAAGCATCAAAGGGTAGAAAATTAAATTATTCTATTCAAGAACCAATTGCTCATTTTGAAACACCAATTAATAACGGGTACCATTGGCCAGATGAACAAATAGATGAGTTTTTTGCTGGCTTGTTAGGACAAAAGATTGATTTCAATGAATCTGATAGTGGTGAATCGGATAATGATCATATTGACGAAGAACGTAAGAATGAAGAACTTGCTATCAAGAATGACGATATTCAAATCTTTGGTTAAAACATTGCAAAGATACTGCGAAACAAAAACATATTTACACGCATATATATATAAAATATAATAGATAGATGCTTTTTGTATATACATCCCATTTATTATTGTTCATTATTGTTGTTCTAACATAATCTTTTTTTTTTTAATATATCATCTATGAAAAAGATAAAACACTTGGATACCTATAACTTTAAAAGTGAGTCATATGCATTTTATAAAAAAACATAGTAGTACAAAAGTTCATTACAAAATCATGTATATATATTTATCATCGTTAATTCCAAAAATATATAAGAAAAAGATAAAAAATTGGGAAACTTAATCAGATAAACAAGTAAAGGAAATATTGTAATATTTAGTGTGGTGGGAATGCCAAATTTTCTCTAAAGGCAATATATTCACTAACAGAATATCCTAAAACATTTTCGATTTCACTACTTTGCAAACCTTTAATCTTAGAAATTTCCAAACTTGAATAATTACAGCGAGCTCTACCAACGACCTTTAGTGGATAAGATGTATCCAATTCACCATTCTTCAATCTTTTCCCTACTTTCAATTCAACACATTCTAAGTCATGGAATGTATCTTCCACATCAATGATCCCCGCAGGCAAAAGACCCGCCTTATTTTTTCTTGTACATGCTTGATAAGCACCTTCATCGATAATTAATGCACCTTTAGTGACCAGTCCATGCAATATCCAAAATTCTCTGTTTTTCAAATGATGCTTTGTATCATTAGCGATAAATTTAGTAAACAAAGGTACATTATTATCTCTTAAACGTGTTAATTCATCCTTCTGTATAGCTTTTAAATCTAAGTTATAATTACTTTTTAAGATCGCATCTTGAGAATCCACACTTTGCATATATTCCACAATTTTAAAAATATTGGCAGGTTCAGAACTTTTCATAATTATTGTATGAACTCCAGCATTAGTAGCTAGATCAGCAGCCACTATTTTAGTTTTCATCCCACCAGTCCCTACATCTGACCCGGAACCACTTGAAGTGTTAACACCAGGTAAACCTTTAGATAAATCTGGAACAATCAAAATTGGAGAAGCCTCCGGGTTGGTTCTTGGATTATCGGTATACAAACAGTCGACATCAGTCAATAAAAACAAGTAATCAGCACCCACTAAAGCGGCTGTAATGGCAGACAGAGTGTCATTATCACCAAATTGAATTTCACTTACAGATAAAGTATCATTTTCATTAACAATAGGAACGACCCCCATCTTCAATAGTTCGGTGAGGGTGTTTTGTGCATTTTTAAATTGAGTCCAATCAAGGATATCGTTTCTAGTTAAAAGAATCTGAGCAATCCTTTGACCAAATTGACCAAATAACATATCCCATCTACCAATTAATCTACCTTGGCCCACAGCAGCAATTGCTTGCACTTCAGCCAAATGTTTTGGTCTTTTTTCCAAATTCAAAGTTCTCAACCCAATAGCAATACCACCACTAGATACAATAATAACATGATGACCTTCACGTTTTAATCTAATAACAGTCTCTACAATCAAAGACATGGTAGCCAATTTAGGTTCTTTAGTCTTTTCATCGACTAAAGATGAAGAACCTAATTTAATCACAATAGTATACGTTTTTCTGTCAGTCATTCCTCGAAATTTTTTGATGTATTAGAGATAAAATAAATGAAACATGCAAGCCTTCTCAGTTAGTTTCTTTATTAGATTATCGTTTCTACTACTTTCCCTCAAATCCAGTAGGTGTGTCTTTATAGAACCACATTTCTAGAATCATATGCTGAAAGCAGACAACACTAACTGTTTTCTATAAATAACGATGTTTGTTTTTTTGGATGTCTGTCACCAAAGGATCACATACTTTTTTTTTGTTCACTTTGTAATTTCCTCGAGACTGCAGAGAGTAGACGAAAAAAACTGAAAAAAAACTAAAAGGGCGATGGCACACTCTTTTTCCCCCTCCTTGCAACCAAACCCTAATGAAACTCAAACAGACTGTGTCTTTTTTTGAAAAAAAGTTGTCCAAACCTAACTATATGCATTTTAAATTTAGAAAAGTGAACAAAGCCCTACAAAAAACGGTTTGTTAAATGAATGAACACACACACATACAAGTATGTATATGCATATATGAGTGATGTGTAAGTGTGTAAGTGTAAAGCTTCAATAGTTATAGAACTGATTCCTTGTGTTTCGTTGTCATAATGAAAATACAACCTTGCAATTTACATAAAATGATCAAGTTGATTTTGGCAGCTACTTCCTTACTATTCCGCATCGGTATTAACAAAACCCGCAATTTCCGCACCACAAAGTTTATTTTCCATTTTGTTCAAGTTTAAAAGATCTATTTTATTTTTTTATTAAAGAACACTGTAATAACATTAATACTAATATTGATAATGATATATTTGATGAACTATGTTTGTATGTTATGATTGTTTTATGTATATAAACCATTCCTTTGAAAAAAGGACTTAAAAAGGCTACAAAACACAAACAGAGGAGACAAAAGGAAATACATTTTGTTAACCCCTTCCTCATCATTCCTTATTCTACTTTAACCTATAAATCATTACCTTATTTCATTAAATAATAATAACAGTAATAATTACATAAAGTGGAATTATACCAAGTCTCAGCCTATTAGAACATCCTTACCATGAACATATATGATGATATCTTAGAGCCATCTGTGGTATCCCACAGCTTAACAGGTTATTTCACGACGACCAAATATAAACAATTACTGGTATTAAAAACCAACATCTTAACTGTATTTAACTATACTGGTGATTCTATTACATTAGAACATGAATTCAAATTTAACGGTAAAATTACTGATATGGCAGTAATACACCCGTCTAGATTTAACAACAACAACAATAACAACAATAATAGTAGTAACAAGAAGAAAAAAATCGAGGAATCATTAGATTATTTACTTCTTTGTATTGGTTTGGCTAAATTCTCCATATTAAAATTTGACCCAACCCATAATTGTTTGAACACAATTAGTTTACATTATTATGAAAATAAATTTATGAAATCATCTATAATGGAATTAGCGAAAAAATCTCAATTAAGGATAGATCCTCTGAATAAATGTGTTCTATTATTTAATAATGATAACATCGCCATTTTACCGATCCTTCTCAATCTAAGGGATGATGAAGACGATGACGATGATTATGAAGACGATCAAGAAGAAAATAAAAATAGTATAATTATAGATGGTCCCATCAAAAAGAGAGCAAAGATAGACAACAACAACAACCACGCCAGTAATAACCACATAACAAATGCATATGACACTATAAATCCTCCTACCGGTCCAAGTGCAATTTTTCAAGCTAAATATTTAGATTCAGATATACAAAACGTCATAGATATTCAATTTTTAAGTAATTTTACAAAACCAACTATAATGATAATATATCAGCCAAAATTAGTCTGGGTAGGTAATGAAAAATTAAATCCATTACCAACTAAATTGGCTATAATTAATATTGATTTGAAAATTAATGGGAAGAAAACAGTTGTTGAACCAACAATAATATCTAAATTGGATGGGTTGGATTGGGGATATCACTCTTTACTTCCGATAACTAATGGATCTTTACTTATAGGTAATAATCATTTAGCATATATTGATAATACTGGGATCATTCAAAACGTTATATTATTAAATTCATTTGCTGATAAAAATTGGAAGAAAACTAAGGTTATTGATAATTCAAATTTAGAAATTACATTTAATAAATCTGCCTTTAAATATCTTTGGTCGCCACCAATATTGAATTCAAATAATATGGGAAATGTAACAAGTTTATACAGTAACACCACTAATAATAAAGAAGTTGGAGGTTTAACTGATGCTGATAATAAGGAGTTGATATTGTTAATAGATGAAAATGTTAATTTTTATTATGTCCAAATGGAATTTGAGGGTAGATTATTATCTAAATTCGATATATTCAATCTCCCAATTGTTAATGATATATTTATCAATAATAAAGATCCCACTTGTGTCACAAGGGTAGACACTTTAAACAATAACTCTACTATAGATTTATTTATTGGATTTCAAACTGGTGATTCATTAATTGTTAAGCTGAATAATATAAAATCTACTTTAACTACAAGGGATGAGCATATTATTGAACCTGATGATACACAATTAGAGAATTACCTAAATGATAGTAATCAGAATGAGGATGATGAAGATGATGACATGGATGATCTATATTCAGATGATAATGTTACTACTGAGAATAAAGAACATAACTTAGAAACACAAAATGATATTGTTTATTCGGACAATAAAGATACAAAAGAAATGATACAAGTAGTAGAACCATTCAATATAGAAGTGATTACAAATTTTAATAACATTGGTCCTATCACATCAATGTCATTTGGAAAAGTAACCTCTATAGAGAAGACTATCAAAGGTTTAGTTAATCCAAATCAAAATGAACATTCATTGGTCACTACATCAGGAAATGGAACGGGATCTCATTTAACTTCTATCTTATTCAGTGTCCAACCAATAATTGAACAAGCTTTAAAATTTATTAGTGTAACTCAAATTTGGAACCTTAAATTTAGAAATAAAGATAAATACTTAATTACTACGGATTTTACTAAATCAAAAAGTGATATATATGAAATTGATAACAATTTTGCACTTTATAAAGGAGGCCGTCTAAGAAGAGACGCTACTACAGTTTATATATCGATGTTTGGTGATGGTAAAAGAATAGTTCAAGTAACAACAAATCACTTATATTTATTTGACTTAACTTTTAGACGGTTGACTACCATTAAGTTTGACTATGAAGTTGTTCACGTTTCTGTTATGGACCCATATGTATTGGTTACTTTGTCAAGAGGTGATATTAACATTTTTGAATTAGATACAAGAAGTAAGAGAAAACTTTTTAGAGTACCGTTACCTGATATTTTAAAAGAAATGGTTATTACGTCAGGGTTGATTGTAAAGAGTAATATGTGCAATGACTTTTTTGCAAATTTACCGAACCCTGACGCAGAACAGATGTTATTTACTTTTGTAACTGCAGATAATCAAATTATTTGTTTTATTAAAGAACATAGTAACCGTATTTTCCAATTAAACGGTGTTAGTGAACTGAATGAGGAGCTTTATATTAGTACATATATGTTACCTGATGAAATTGTGCCAGACCCTTCCATCAAACAAATAATGATTAATAAATTGGGAAAAGATAACAAAGAAGAGTATTTGACAATTTTAACCTTTGGTGGTGAAATTTATCAGTACAAGAAATCGTCAACAAGATATAATAGGTTCTATAAAGGATTTTCTAGGAACAACCTAGCTGTTACAGGTGCTCCAGATAATGCTTATGCAAAGGGTGTTAGTCAAATAGAAAGAATAATGCATTACATTTCAAATTACAATGGATTTTCTGTTATTTTTGTTACTGGTACAGTTCCATATATTATTATTAAAGAAGACTATTCTGTTCCCAGGATCTTTAAATTTGCTAATATTCCATTGGTATCAATGACATCATGGGGTAAACAATCCATTATGTGTGTCGATGATATTAAAAATGCAAGAGTATATACATTAGATGTTAATAATATCTATTATGGAAATATGTTACCATTAAAAAAAATTAATATAAATACTACGTTGGATAATTATATGACTTTGACTAATATTACATATCATGAAAAATCTGAAACATTTATTGTCTCATACTCTAAGGAAATAGAATTTGTAGCAGTAGGTGAAGATAATGTAAAGATTACTGTCGGTACTCTAGAAAATGTCTCTCATGCAAAGAGTTTTAAAAGTGGTATTTTGTTAATTAACCCTAGGACATGGAATGTGATTGATCAAGTAGAATATGATAATAACACATTAGTCAGTGATGTTAAAACAATGCTAATACAATTAGATTCTAAAACCAAAAGAAAAATTGAATATGTCGTTGTTGGGATAACCAATGTTACAAGTGAGGATATGCCTGCGTCTGGTGCATTTTTCATATATGATGTTATTAGTGTGGTACCTGAACCTGGCAAACCTGATACTGTGTTTAAATTCAAACAATTTTTCAAAGAAGATGTAAAATCTGCTGTTACAAAAGTATGTGATATGAGTGGTCGGTTTGTAGTTAGTCAAAGCCAAAAGTTGATGGTAAGAGATGCACAAGAAGATAATTCTGTTGTTCCAGTTGCCTTCCTTGATGTTCCTTTATATGTAACCGATATAAAAAGTTTTAGTAATCTCCTTTTGGTAGGGGATGCCATGCAAGGTATCCAATTTGTTGGGTTTGATGCAGAACCCTATAGAATGATATCATTAGGTAAAAGTATCTCTAAACTAAAAACGATGTCTTTAGAATTTTTGGTAAATCATGGTGACCTATATTTTGCAGTATCAGATAGAGATGATATTTTGCATATATTAAAATATGCACCCGACGAACCCAACTCTCTCTCGGGTCAAAGATTGATACATTGCTCCAGTTTTAATATATATTCAACTAATACTTGCATGATACTGACGCCCAAAAATGAGGAATTTAATGAGAACGAACAGAAATCAAATTCATATCTGGCATACCAAGCTTTGGGTGCACAAACAGATGGATCAATATTTAAAGTTGTTCCATTGAAAGAAGATTCTTACAGACGATTGTATTTTGTTCATAAACAATTGTGTGATAAAGAAACACCACTAGGTGGTATAAATGTTAGAATGGAAAGACAGAACAATGAATTTCTAAAAATAACACGTAATTTAAGGCCTATGTTAGATGGAAATGTTATCAGAAAATACACAATGTTGCCAATTGCAAAAAGGAAAAACATAGCCAGGAGACTAGGAAGAAATGCACATTTTGATATTTGGAGAGAAATAATTGATCTTGAATTTTCACTAAGAACTCTTTCTCAATAGACTCTCATGAATGTAATTGTATATATACATATTATTTAATGACTATTACTGACAATATTTCCTTAATCTACATAAATTTTATTTAAAATATAAGAAAGGATACTAAAGCTAAGTATCCAAAAACGTTTGGTTTTTTTTCTTCTTAGTTTGTTGTTGCATTGCTACTCTACGCCATCTATTCATTCTAATTTTTATACTCTCTGTTCTATTGATGTGACTCCTGTTTTCTATCCTTTTGTTTATTCTTCGCTACTTTTTTTTTTCAAGTTTTTTTATATCTTTATTTATTGAACATTCTAAATAATTATTTGAAATAAAATTTAAAAGAAACGTTGCAAAAACAAAAAATAATGATTTAAAGAATTTTTTCGTACAAGGTCAAAATAATAATATTAACTTATGGGAAACATGCACAGACATTGATTAGAGTTCCTATTGGCTTATATTACTAACAGTATACAACAGGACAAAATATTTGGGTGACAACATTCTAAGGTTATCCAATTAAGCAACTTAGCAGGGAAGCATTTGCTTAAGAGAAGTTAATAAACCTTATCGAGAATTTTAGTATATAAAAGAAATAAAAAAAAAAATAGGAAATGCCAAACAAAACCAAAAAGTCTGTCAAGAAAAGAGTCACATTTTCAGACGATACTACCACTACTGTATCCAGATCACATAACAAGACTAGATCTGATTTTATTGCTAACCATCCACCTGTATTTATTCGAAAAACTTTTAAAACTATCCCATGGCATCTTCTATTTTTATTATACTATTACGTTAAGCTTTCCAAGAACTATGATATTATAACGTTGTTAAAAATGTTAATCCCATCACAATTTATTTATTTGATGTATCAATTCAATAAGAGTACTATATACGGGAATAAGAGGTTGAAACTAAACATAACATTATCATTAGTAACTATTGTAGGATCCTTTTTATTAGGTTTTCCAATCTTAATTATTGTGATACTTTGTGGCGCTCCATTTGTGGAACACTTGCCTTTATCCTGGCTTCTATCTTTACATATTTCATATTTGGCATACCCTGCCCTTTACTCAGTTTTTAATTGTGATTTTAAAGTCGGATTATGGAAAAAGTATTTTATAGCCATCGTTCTAGGTGGTTGGCTAAGTTGTGTGGTAATTCCATTAGATTGGGATAGAGATTGGCAGGCCTGGCCAATTCCTGTTGTTGTTGGTTCATATTTAGGTGCCTTTGTTGGGTATTCAATTGGTGCATATATATAAAAGACAATTCCCCCCACTCTTACTCATATTAACCTCAAAACAAATGGCTAACTAGGTTATAGATTATATATAGAATAATCATATACTCATCCATATACCAGTATACATAGACATGCTTTGTATTTAAGCATAAATGATAAAAACAGTAACTGCTTAGAATAATTAAGACCAGGACTGAAATCAACAAAAAGAAAGGAAGTTTTTGTCTTAAAATTACATTATAAACAGTACAAACTTTACTACTCCTTGAAGGCATTGAATACCTCCTGATAATTTTCAGCGGTAATTCCCATAGTCTCCAAATGGGTTGGTTTATATAGGTCTCTATTATTATAAACTTCAGATTTAATTAATGATTCGGAAATACTCTTCAATTTTGCGTTGAATTCAATTAGTAGATCTTCATTTAACTTTTCAAAGATATTAGCGGCGCCTGATAAGTCTTTCTTAAATTGTTTTTTAAGATCTGATGTATTATTATTAATATCATTTATCATCATGTCATAGGTGATTATTATTTTCATCTTGGTCATGATATTGGATAAAATATGGTTAACATTTTTACAATTTTGAGAGTAATCTTGTAGAAGAATCAATAATTTTCTGATAATGGTTATCCAATATTGAGAATGAACCTTAGTCTCTTCCCTAACTTTCAAGTCGAGGCTAGTCTTGGAAGAAGAAGAAGAAGATAATGATAAGTTATTTTGAAAAGCCAACGAGGATCTTTGATATAAACTTAAAATAGTATCACATAGTGAATTTAATAAAATAAAGGATCTCCTTTGCAACAGAAATTCATAACCAGCGAAAATTTTATTGGCCAAGTTAGAGAAAATGAAAAAAATTGTATCTTGTAACAACATCAACAATTCTTTATAGTGTAGTGTAAAATTCTCAATATCATCATGTAACTCATGTTGTAATAAAAGATAGTAGTTGATATACAACATAGTGTTTCTATAAATGATAGAATCGACGTTTCCATTTATTGTCGAGGCCATATTCAGACATTTTTTAGCCTGTTCTTCGTATTTAACTTTCAAAAGGTCTTTCATTCCGATGACTTTATAAAGTGACAGAACTCTATCTTTACTTTGTAAATATTGGATGATATCGTTTTGGAATTGCAACAATTTAAAGTCATTTTTGAAAAGTGGGTCCATGATCGGTGTTGAATTCAGGTTCAATTTATTATAAAACAAGTTAGAATATTCACCTTTAAAGATATGCCTCCATAGGTAGTGTTTACAAATGAAATTCCATAGGAGGATAGGTTTGTCATTTTTATTCTCATGGTTTAAGGAAAGTTGTAAACCGTGGTGGATATCTTCGTCAAAGTCGATCAATTCATAACCAACAGAGTAGTTGTTTGTAACCAAGGATCTATTGAATAGCGTGATAGATTGATAAAATTTGGACAATGTTAAGAATTGTAAAGATTCGATAACAGAAGCTGATGCAGGACGTAAAGTTAGTTCGTGTTTAATCAGATAGATATTGGTTACCAATTTTGCTATAAACTGGGAGAGTTTTTGATATGCTTGAAACTGTTCTCCTTCAATAATTATAAGCACGCTAGAAGAGAGCATTTCATGTATTAATAGCAGCAAGATGGAAAGGTTTCCGATGTCTATCAGTTGGTCTAGTGATAAAAGCTTTGGATCCAAGATGCATTCATTTTCCTCATTATTGATTTGATTTAAAAAATTTAATAAACCTGTGATGTTTAATGGAGGGATCAAGTTTTGGGTTTCTTTAACATGATCTAAATAGAGTTTAATTAAGAGCAAACAAATAGAGTTATGTAATAATCTGATCCTTGAATCATCATTAATGGATAATAGACAAGGGGTGTGAGTACTATTACCGTTGTTATCACCACTATTACCGCCACTAGTATTAGTATCATTATCAGTATTGGTATCAGTATTAGTATTAGTACTAGTACTAGTAGTATCAAATTTATTATCAATGAAAATATTTGATAAATTTTGTAAAAAACAATTCAAATAAAGATCTTTATTTCTTAAAAATGGTAATGTAAAGATTGAATTTGGTGTATCAATAGATTGTAAAGTGGGTTTCTTAGTTTCCCTATTTATATTTATGTTATTATTATCAAAGATAGAAAACATTTCTTTTGGATCTAGGAATTGTGGATCTAAGTCTTTAAAGATGTCTACAGTATTCAAATTTTTTGTAGAGATATCAGTATTAATACTCTCTGAGATAGGAGAATAGAATGGTTCTATTCTTTTATCATTTTGCATAGTGGTGGTGGTATTATTGTTATTATTATTATTAGTAGTAGTAGTAGTACTATTGTTATTAGTATTTGAAGAAGTAATCAAATCTATACCTTCTACAATTTTGCCAGTGATGTCTTGTAATTCCAATAGCCGTGTTCTTAAGAATTTCATTTCTTTATCGATAATATCTTTAGACAAGTACTGAGAATTCATATAATCTAGAATAGCGGGGCCCTGTACCCAATGCAGAGTGATATTTGAGTCAAGTGCAGTACCGACAGGGTTTTTACCCAAGTTTGGCAATTGAGTTGCTCTTGGGATGACGTGTAGAAGGGAAGTATTTATTTGTGATTTATTAAGTTTAGAAGGATTAGTAGAGTAATCTGATCCTGCAGGAAGCTGATTTTTGTTTGAGGAAAGATTGAGGCCTGTATTATAATAATCTGTAAATTGTTGGAACAAAGAAAGATTCTGATTATTATGATTATTATGATTATTATTAGTGGTGGTGGTGGTGGAATTAAAATTAATGTTATCTGTTGATGAATTAGAAATTGGATTAAAGATTATATTGTTAGATACCGGAGTAGTATTATGAAAGGATGATAAAGAAGTATGTGAGGTATTGATAGGATCCGTTTGTAGTTTGCCAGATGAATGTGATTGAATATATTTACCGGGGATATCGGGGTAAAAACATGTAGGATAGTTAGATCTTCTACAGTTGCCACACATGGGTTTAGAACGATCACAGCCTATCTTTCTTTTCCTACATTGAACACATGCAGGCGGCCTCCTCATTTTTCTTCCTCGAATATCCATATTGAGTTGTCTAGTAATATCTCTACCTATGCATATATATATATATATATATCCTATACTTGTGTTTGTGTTTGTGTGTGTGTGTGTGTGTGTATTATACTTACATATATACTTATGTATACATATATTACATCTATGTATACATTATTTATTTCATGGTGACTCTGTCTTTGTCTTCAAGATTTGTTTATTTATATTTCAATAAAAAAGAAAGAAAAGAAAAGATTGACACCCAGACACCAGACAAATAGCCGCCGATGTCTGGGTGTTCCTCCCTCCTCCCCTTTTTTATTCCCTTTATTATCATTATTATTTTATTATTTTATTATTTTATTATTTTATTATTTTATTATTTTATTATTTTATTATTTTATTATTTTATTATTTTATTATTTTATTATTTTATTATTTTATTATTTTATTATTTTATTATTTTATTATTTTATTATTTTATTATTTTATTATTTTATTATTTTATTATTTTATTATTTTATTATTTTATATATATTCCGGCTCGGATTTCAAACTTGCGGTGAGAAGTTTGTCCATCATTTCTGCAGTGAGGGTTTCTTTGTTTTGTTGGCTGTCCATTGGCGAGGGCTGAGTAGCCGTCAAAGTGGCGGCAAGTGTCGTGTTTGTTGCAGTATTTGTGTTATTGGCTTTCTCTTGTTGTTGTTGTTGTTGTACTTGTTTGAATTGAATTCCTTGTAATGGTTCAAAGTGTGTCATTCTATCCATGTCTTTAAGTATCTTAGATAGATTGAATGTAGTAGACATTAACCTGTTCTTAATCACTTTGTATATAGACGGTGCTTGATAGACATTGGCCCCAACTATATAGTAGTCCTTCAATATTTTAAATGTAAACTTTGTACTCTTGTTCATATCTCCATCCATGGATATGTCTATATCCATATCCATATCCACATCCATATCCATATGATTATCATTCTCGTTTCTTTGTCTATATTGCTTTCGAATTACCCAGAAATCTGGCTCTCTAACTGTTAGTAATACATATTCTATCCCACTCAATTTACTTAACTCTCTTTCTATACTCGCATGTATTGGGTATCGGTTCACTATATCTTGTCTCATCCCATCTAAATAATAAAATTCATTGGATTTTCTTCTTCTATCACCGTTATTAGAATCATTACCATCACTACCACCACCATTATTATCGTTATTATCAATATTATCATTATTATTATTATTAGTATCTCCTGTAGGTAATACTAATCCATTATTATTTTCACTAGATGATATATTATTATTATTACTATTTTGTTGTTGTTGTTGTTGTAAAGTTGAAGAAAACTGTCTTTGCATTTTTATAACATGATTATTCGATGTCTTGTCAAAAAATGGTGATTCTGCAAAATAATCTAATACATTATCCGTTCTTAAACCAAAAGTTTGGATCCATTCTGGTGATTTCCATTGTAACTCATCTAATTCTGTCATATTCATTATATATATCTTTCTCTTTCTTTCTCTTTTCCTCTAACGTTTCTAATAAATTGTTATTATTATCATATTATACTATATATTATATTTGTAGCACTTTATCTTCTTTCTTTATTTGTTTACTCATATAAATATATTTATGTTTTCTTTTTCTTTTTTCTTTTTCTTGTTTAAATTTTTTTTTTTTTTATTTTGTTTTTTCTATTCTTGACATTGTTTGTTTATATAATTAATTAATTAATTTATACAATCTTTCGTTTTTTCGAAGTAAATAACAAAAATATATACCTAAATAAACATAATTTATATACAAACATACATACATCCATCCATCCATATATATATATATATACTTTTTCTCTTTCCCACTTTCCCTCTCTCTCTCTCTGTATATATCATACATAACATTACAAAAAACCATGTTTTTAAATAGAATCTATCGTCTGTCATCTACCACCATAACTAGATCCATCTCCATAGCACGTCCCATACCTAAACCCACAAACAATGTGCCTGACGTCGAAACATTCTTGAAACTCATCGGTAGAAACTGTGTCGAATTCAAGGACACATACGAGAACAAATGGGACAATCTGTTTCTATGGGATGGCCCAGTTTTGAAAGAGAAAGGGGTGCCTATCCAACAACGCAAGTATATCTTATCGCAAGTACAAAACTTTAGAATCTCCGGCGATCAATCCATCAAAGAAGTTAAAAAGGGTAAGAAATCCTTCTTTGGTGGTGAAAGAAAGAGGAAAGCTTTTAAAGCTAGATGGATAGCTATAGCAAGATCTGAAAGAAAGGAACAATAATAATGGAAAAAAGAAGAAGGAGTGGACAAGAAAAATTATTCACACACAAAACACACACACGTATACATATATATGTATATAGAAATCCATGTTTAAAATTCTGTAAATATTCATATAATATGATATGGTATAATATAATATAATATAGTATAAAAATATCATAATATTCATTCTCATCTTCCTTCTCTTTTATATTTATGCTTTTTCTCTTTAAGAAGAGAAGAAATGGAAAAATAGATGAAAAAAAGAAAAAAAAAAACAACAAAAAAGGTATTATGAAAAACAATATATATGTATACATATATATATACATATATACATCTAGTTCTGATCAAGCTCGAAAAAGATAACGATAACTTTACGTATTTCTACTTTAACTCTTCATTTCCTTGTTCTTGTTCTTGTTCTTTTTTTTTTATTTTCTTTGTATTTGTAGTTCCTAATCCAGGAAATGTCAAACACTTTATACCTAACTTTACTTGAACAATTGAGCCAATACGATTTTGAATTGGAACAATTATCAAAATGCTTCGCTGATGGATTTAATCAACTCAGTAGAGCTAACTACTATAACAAGGATTCTCTATTCGGTTCTAACTATGGATCCATATATTATGATATGAATTATGAAGGTCAATTATATGTCCAAATATCTCTAAACAACAATGAAAACGATCATCAATTGACTATACTAGATAAAACTGGTATTAACAGGAACACAGACAATGATCAATCGTCTTTTCAAGCCGGAGCATCCGGTTTAAAGCAAAGAAACATTCATAAGAGAGGAACTGGAAAATTTAGTGGCTTAAAGGAAAAGACAGAAACTCTAGAGAAACAACCAAACGAAAGCAATATCAAGGGCCCATATGATCCAATAAAAATGTTTGCAGGTGGGTTTAATATACCTAGACAACTAAGGAATTCTCAACAACATTTTAAAAGTTCCATCCTTATTATTCAAAACTTAATTAATCGTAGAATTAAAATTAATAGATTAATCAATCAACTAAAACAACAAAGCAAATAATAATAATAATAATAATAATAATAATAATAATAATAATAATAATAATAATAATAATAATAATAATAATAATAATAATAATAATAATAATAATAATAATAATAATAATAATAATAATAATAATAACACACACACACACACATATATATATATATATATATATATATGAATATGTTTGGGATACAATAAATCATAAATGTTTATTTTTAAAATGCATAAAAGTGTATATAATTTTATAAAAGTTAGTTGTTTAATTGAATATATATATGTATATATGTATATACATACACTCTATGAAATGATTAAAAATGGGGAATGTTAAATAAATGCAATATAGTTGGATGAATGAATAATAAGAGAACTGTATAAAGTTGGACTGAGAAAAGTATTTTGTATAATGCCAAATTATAAATAATCATGTTGATACACCGGTTCCTCGGTATCCATAATTGAAACTTTATTCCCATCTTTGGAAGTAACAAGTTTCCCATCATTATTGGTATTATAATATCTTAAAATGTCATCCACAGATATATGATCCTTAAATGCAACATCAGAGAACAAAAATTGTTCCAAGTCTGGTGTACTTAATGAACCAGGCACAGAACTAGTCCTCTTATGCATGCTTTTAGGTTTTATTGAGGAATATGTAGATGAACTGTTGGAAATTGTAGTAGATATTGATCTATTGTTACAATGGCTCTTCATGGGAAGATCAGTAGTAGATGGGAATGATGAAGAAGATGTTGTAGTCGAATAGGATGATGATAAGGATATTGCAGGTGGCTGTAAGACATTATTAATACCCTCTTTCCCTCTTTTTTGCTCTTCCTCTTCTTTTAATATTACAATTTGATTGAAATCTTGAATTTGTTCATCCTCTAAAAGTGTTGGGAAATTATAATTTTTTAAAAAATTTATAGATATATTACTTCCTGAGGAATTTGGACGTTCAGTTGTAGTAAATTGTGGCTTCTGCGCATTAAAAATCTTGTTATTATGGTTTGATAAATGTTTGATCCTATGGAAAGATGGTGTTCTCTCCAAAAATGTAGTGGCTGTAGAAGACACAGACATAATCCTGTCATGACATTCGTTACTTTTCATTGAATTGGCATATATTGATGAAACTTCGGAATCGGGACGTAAAGTTTTTGTTATAAAGGCTTTGTTTAAAGAAATAGAGTCCTTCATAGACTCAGAATCTTTACGCTTATTTTCACTACGCATGGGATCCACCTTATCCGCATTGACTGTTCTTTGTGATGATTCATTTGCAGGTTCTTGTTTCCCACCAGCATGTGAAATATGTTGAAAATCAAATGGACCAGATATGATCCTTACATCGTTTTGTTGCTTCTTTTTTCTACTATGACTAGAAACATTACCATTTTTAAATAGATTCATTATAGACTTCTTATAGCTGACTTTGTTTGATCCCTCTTGAACTTGAGCAGATGTGGAAGACTTACCACTAAATTTATGTTCTTTGTTATATAATAGCGGAGAATTGGATTTTTTAACTAATGGACGTAGGTCAATCTGCTTCTTATTATTTAGTGCTGGTTTATCACTATTCACTAATGTAATGTTCAATTCATCATCACCCATTAACTGTTGTGCTTGTAGACTGTATAATTTTTCAGCTTCCTGATCCTCATCGATCCATATCGATTTCATCTGTGGTAATTGTTGATTCATTTTGTAAAAAATAAAAGTATTATAGAATACGTACGTATGTCAGAAGAAAGGCTCTTTGTGGTTGCACTATTTATTATCTCTTTTTCTATACTTTTAGAATCACTCTCAATTTCTTTAAAAGTTATAATTTAGACTTAAATTGATCTATCCAGGATCCTTTTCTTATAAAAGAGCAGAACTCCAACTAATTTTGACCAAATTAGAATCCTCCCTTTCCATGTAACAGTCACAACTCTTGATCTGTTAATAAATGCGTGCATACAGAGGTAAGCAGAAGTATATTAGGTGCAGTATATAGTATTGCTTTCTAAAAAATCATTTATATAAAATCCTCGAGAACATAGAAAAGATCGAAAAAATTCGTGGCTCGGAAGAATCGAATTTCTCTCTTTTCTTTTTGTTATTTTTATTTTGTTTTTTGTTTTTTGTTTGTTTCAGGATTTTCGTGTAATCAGTTTATTACCTTTTACCCAATTGGGAAATTGCTACACACGCGTTTTTCTTGTCTTATCATTGCCAGATCAGGAGAATTGGAGATAAGCTCCCTTCTGTAGCACCAGCATTTTCAACAGTATATTACTGTATTAGGAAATTCCACTGATAGCTGTTTTCACTCATATAAATGTATACATAAATACATACATATATATACACATGAATATTGTTCAATAATAGGTAAATAAAGAACTCTATTGAGGCTTGGGTCTTTTCATAAAGTCTCTATTTTCATCCTCGTTGAGTTCGTTTGTTATCCTTCGTTTGCCTATGGGATGAGAAGAAGGTAGTCTTGTGTCATTTACAATGTCTGGACTGTTTTCATCTCCACTACCCATGACAATCACTTGTTTATAGCTTCCGTTACGTAATCTACCGTTTAATAATACCAAGGAAGCATTCTCACCCTGTGCTCTTGAACATTGATCATTAGCCAGTCCCAATGTTCTCAATAGACTACTTACGCCAAGGACATTTCTACATTCTAATGAGGATTGTGCACCACTACTAACTACAATACCACGTAGTCTAGATGCTCTTAATACATTTCTTACATTAGCAATAAATTGACGACGTGATTGAATGTCTCTTAAGGCATAACCATACACTATTTCCACCTTGACACCACGATTGACACAGCTACATATATTTTTGTGTTTTAAAATGGATGGTAATCTAATCCCATAGTTGAATGTCAAAATATCAACGTCTAAATTAGTGGTGGCAATGGTTAAACCTTTTTCACTTACTGGCAATGCTGCTACAATATCAAATGCTTGGGAGATTTTTGACAGTGACTGACCTCTTGATGGATCATCAATAATCAAAGTAATTCGAGAATATATTTTTAATCCAGTAGAGTCCATTAGATCCTTGAATCTTGTATTTATTTGCATCGGATTCATATCACGAACATTATTTGGAAATTTATCGCTTTGATTCACTGTAAAATTTAAAGCAATGTGACTATATCCTAGGGTGTACAGTGTAGATAATGTTATTTTCAAATTATTCAAATTTTCTTCTGTAATTGTATCATTGTATCCATTCTGCGGCCAATGAACATTTAAGTCTACCAACATTTTCGCAATCTATCCAGTGTATATGTGTATATTGTTGTTATTCTTATAGTGTATATCTTTCCCCTTCAATAAGTTTCGAATGCAGTTATTCTTCTAAAACTATCTAAAATAATCAAATATAATACTTACTGTTTATTTCAATTCTTTTTCTTTTTTTTTAAAAAAATGTTAATGTATCTGTTTGTTAGTCTCATCAGTTTTTATTAATATTCTTCTCTTTTTTTTTATCTTATTTAGTTTTTTTACACAAGAAAATTTTTCAAAATCATTTATTGAGGTTAACTAAGTTTATAACAAACAAATGTCTAGCTACAATACATTCTTTCATAAACAGATATATACAAATTGATGGATATAGATAAGTAAGCATGGGTATATATCCATCTAAATACTTAGAAAAGTATTAATAAATGAGAGTTTATTAAAAATATATGTATATATTCTTTTAATATTGGCAGCTATAATATAATACAAACTTATATAATGCATATGATCTATAATATTTTGGATGTGATAGTACTTCTATTTGTACTTCCAATCCCCCACAGAGGCTCTCTTTCTATTCAATCCTAATCTCAAATTAACTAATTCTGAAACCGTCTTATTAACTTTTGCTGATTCCGGACTTAACCCTAAATCCTTCGCCAATTTGACAATATATCCATTGATGTACTCTATTTCAGTATCTCTTAAATATCTAGTGTCTTGTCTCATGGAACTACTATTTTTGGCATTAAGCTCACAACCAATCTTAATGATTTCAGTGACCAAATGGTCAACTGTCAACACTGAATTGACTTTCAATGATGGATATCCTTCTAAATTATTATATTTATTTTCATACTCGAATAACGGTTTATAAGCGATTCTTAGGACTTTTAAGCTTTCTTCTATAATAGAAGTAAATACCTGTCTACAGGAATCAATCATTTCACCATTATCACAATCTATAATAGCAGTTATTGGGTTTATGCACGAATTGATGGCAAATTTGAATAATTGGCCAAATAGCAACTCTTGGTATGTTACATATTGACAATTAAATTCCTTAGCAAATACAGGTTCTGTCAAAGTTTGGATTAAGGAATTTCCATAAGTATCTGAGTGAATATCTTCATTGGTTTGAACTATATCGTCTTTGGACCAAGGTAATCTAGCAACTTTAATTCCAACAAATCCGGCATGATTAAAGATAAACCCTTTATCTTGGAACACACCATGAGAAATGACACCTTGAAATAGATTTGGTCTATTATCTTCTTGTAGAAATATTTCTTCCCTTAACACTTCAAGGACACCTAATCCATTTTGAATTAAAATTAAATTGGTATTAGAATCAATGTAGGGTAAATATGGTTCCAATGCACTCTTAGTTTGATATGTCTTTGTGGTGATTACTAAATTTTCAATGTGCTGTTTGGGGAAAGTATCTGGACAATAACTTTTCTCCAATTTCTTAACAGTCAATGGAGTATCCTTTTCAAACAACCTTCTAATACCAATAGTAGAACCGGCATCATCTTGAAATTGAGACAATCTTTCTTGATTTCTAAATAAGGGAATAATCTCAGCCTTTGTGTACTGAAGTAAATTAATGGCCAATACGGTCCCCATGGAACCCATACCAACGATATGAATAACTGGTCTACCAGCTAAAGTCATTTGTATATATATTCGCGGTGTTTTATGAGTGATTCTTTCAAAAGAAAGCAAAATAAAAATAATAACAACAAAATAAGATAAAAAAAATAACAAGTAAATGTAAAAGAAGAAAGATACTGTACTTAGTTGAACTGTTGGGACTATCTCCTTGGTTTTATATTTATGTTTTACAAGAACCATTAAGGAAGTTCGAGATTAGATATGCTATAGAAATTAGTCATAATGATCACGAACTTAAAAAATAAAATCTTAACGGCTGATAAGAACCCTTTTACTTTTCTTGTTTATTAAAAGAAAGAAATGGAGGAAAAAGAAAAATAAAAGATAATTATTTTTAGGGTATTTTGTATCTGTAACATTTTTTCCATTTTTTTCTTTAGGTTTTCTCTTTTTTTAAAAAAAGGTCTCTGGTAAATTTTAACCGAAACATTGAACGAGAAATACAATTTTTATTAAATTCACTTTACTAAAAAAATAAGTCAATAGCAAATAGTAAATACTATCATTGGCGCTGTATTAAAATGGGCTAATATATATAAATCAGGATATAATAGAAAAGTTCTTATGGAATAATTCTATTTAATTAAAAGTATATATGTGTATGTGTACTTATAATATTTAGTTATTTATGAAAGATTGAATTTTAAGCTTCATTCTTAACGGTTTGACCAGTCTTTAAATCTCTGGCAGCTACTCTTAAAACACCATCTCTATTAATATTCAAAGAAACTTCGACGCCGGCGGTGGCACCTTTAACAGCGACATCTAATAATTTTTGCGTAGCCTTATAGTGTTTTTCTCTAACAATTTCTGGTTCATCGTTTTCATCAGACCATTCTTCATCATCTTCATCATCTTGTTCTTCCTTGTCTTCTACTGGTGTTGGTTCAATAGTCTTTTCTTCAATGTAAGATTCACCTTCATAGACAGAAATTAATAAATCACCTTTAGCGTCTTTGAAAGTCAATTTCTTTTGAACAGGATAAGAAGTTTCAGCTGGGAATATTGGGACAAATTCATTGTCAGCATTTAATAAACCAATTGGTTTTTGTAAGTGTAAAGTGTTAATGACAACTGCTTGTAAAGCATCCTTTAATTCATCTTCGTCGTAATCAGACACTAATCTACCTTGTAGTGCGGCACCGGATGCAGTCAATTCATTTGGATTGTTGGTAGCATTATTATTAGCTGGACCCCAGATTTCTACTGATTCTGGGAATAAGAATTCTAAATTAGAAGATAACTTAGGAGTGAAAGAAGCACCACCGGATAATAAGACGGCATCAATGTCTAATGGGTCCATATTAGCCTTGGCAATAACGTCATCAATAAATTGGGAGAATTTAGAGAAGACTTTGTTGGCTGTTAACTCGTATCTCATTCTGTTAATAGAAGCATGGTAATCGAAACCATCAGCCAAGGAATCAATAGAAATGGTAGCAGAAGTAGCGTTGGATAAGGTCTTTTTGGTAACTTGAGCGTTGGCTCTTAATTTGGCCATAGAACGAGCATTGTTTCTTGGGTTTGCTTTAGTTTTCTTTTCGAAATCTTTGGCAAAATATTCAATCAATTCAGAGTCTAAGTTGTCACCACCTAATTGGTTATCATGTGAGGTAGCTAAAATAGTGAATATATCGTTACGAACAGCAATAACAGCGGCATCAGATCTAACACCACCGAAATCAGCAACTACGACATTAAGATCTTTATCATTTGGGAATTGTCTAAAATGTGACAATAAGGCAGCAGATGGTTCATTAATGAATTGAACAATTTGTAAACCAATGTTAGCTGCGGCTTGGCTTAGGGCGGCCCTTTGTTCTTCGGTGAAATTAGTTGGAATAGTGATAACAGCTTCTTTAACAGATTGGCCAATGTAATCTTCTGCAGCTAACTTTAATCTATTTAAATGTCTTGAAATAACTTCATCAACAGTGATCTTTTCAATGACACCTTCACCTCTAGTTATGGCAAAACCAACTTTACCATCTATGTTGATGGCAGGGGCACCATTTTCACAACGGGAGACATCGCATTGGTCGAAGGGAAGACCTATGAAGTCACGGAAATTGACAATAGTGTTTTTAGGGTTTCTAATTAGTTGTTGGTAAGCTTGACCACCGTGATACTCATCTTCACCAACATAAGAAAGAACAGATGGAATAGAACGTTCACCATCTGGGTTGGCAATCACATCTACATCATTCTTAGGATTGATATAAGCAATGGAAGAAGAAGTGTTACCAAAGGAAATACCAATAACTGGGGAGGACATTATTTTTTTTTAATATTTATGAGATAAGTAATATTTAAATGTCAGGGTTTTCTAGTTTTTTCTATTGGTTGTTTTCTTTACAGAATTACCAAATGATTGTTAATGTTGTGATTTTTGTTACCTTCTTTTTTTCTAATTGCTTCGGGTTCCTTAATAGACAAAGAAATAGAAATACACAAACATATACACAAATACACCTGCTCAAAAGTTGAAGAGAAGTTTACTAAAAAAGTCATCACAAAGGAAATTCATAAAGTTTAATTTGATATTTTACTTTACTCTAACTGCTAACTTCTGAAGTTTATTTCAATGAAAAATTGGATGAAGTCATCGAAAATTTTAAAAAACTTTGGCCTGAAGGAAAGATAGAAAAACTTTTATCTTCGTGCAGAGTGATCCAGAAAATTTCCAAATATCAAGGGAATCAGAATACACAAAACGGCCTAAACCCACTAATATGACATTCATATATTTGTGTGCTTATAATTATACGTATTAATAGATTGTATATTAGTTAATACGATATCGGTTGATATTCAAACAGATTGATACATATAACTACCACGATTGTAACTAAATTATGTCACATTCAGGTGCTGCTACTTTCAAAAAAGTCTCTGGTATAATCACAATAAATGAAGATGTATCACCTGCACAACTGATATGGAGGTCTACTACTGGAGACAAAACACATACTATATCTTTAGAAACAATAGATAAATTACAGGCTACGCCACCTAAAAGTGAAAAGATGATGTTAAGACTGATTGCAAAATTGGATCCAGATGAGGTTGCTGCTTCAATGGCTAAAAAAATTAAGGATAATGATGGTAATGAAATACCTGCACCTCCTCCTAAGCCTGTTTCTCATATGTTTTCCTTCAATAATAGAACTGTTATGGATAATATTAAGTTAACTTTGCAGCAGATTATTTCTAGGTATAAAGATATTGAACAGGAAGAAGAAAGACGTAGGACTGAGACCCCACTGTCTACTGCGGGTCTTGATCCTTTAACTGTTCAACAACAACAGCAACAACAGCTACATATGCATCTACAACAGAGTCAAACACCATTAATCAACACGGCCCAATTAGATGATTCTTTATCTAAGGAAAATCTGTTACTAAATCTGAAATTGCAACAGTCGCTGTTGAAGAATAATAAAGAGTTGATGAAAACATTCCAAGAGACTGTAATATATTCTGGTCTACCACCAGAAGAATTTTGGTCAACACGTATACCTTTGCTACGTGCATTCGCATTGTCCACATCACAAAAAGTTGGTCCATATAACGTTTTATCCACAATTAAGCCAGTAGCATCTTCAGAAAATAAAGTTAATGTGAATTTATCAAGACAAAAAATTTTAAGTATATTCGAAACTTATCCTATCGTTAAGAAGGCATATGATGATAATGTGCCTAAAAATTTTAAAGAACAAGAATTTTGGGCAAGATTTTTTTCTTCAAAACTGTTTCGTAAGTTGAGAGGTGAGAAATTGATGGCAAATGATCGTGGTGATGTCATTATTGATAGATATTTGACTTTAGATCAGGAATATGATAGAAAAGATGATGAAAGACTGAGCCATCCTGTCACCAAACTAATTGACATTGCAGCTAATCGTGAAGATGATCCTGTAAAATTAGGGCATAGGCCTGATTTTACTATGAGACCTGGTGTAGATGTCAATGGTAATAGTGATGGTACGATAGATATCTTGAAAGGTATGAATAGATTGTCTGAAAAGATGATTATGGCATTGGAGAATGAATATTCAAGATCGAACGTGCAACAAGAGGATCCGTGTCAACAAGAACGTGAAAGCATAGAAATATTAGATTTAGAGAAACCATTTAAAGCAGATTATGCTTTAATTCATTTAAATGATAAAGAAAAGGAGAAATCAATAGAATTAATTAATAATAATAACAATAATAGTGATGATAGTAATGGTGCAAATAATGAAAGTTTAACACCAGAAATTATATCAAAACATATATCCAATCTTATTGATGACCTGAGTTCCAATGTAGATTTAACTAATGTAATGTCTGAGAGTAGTGAAAACAACGTAATTAATCAACGTGTTATTCAAGCAGTGAAAATAAATGCCAAACAAACCAAATATAATCATCTAGATCCCATGTTGGGAACTTTTATTGGTCGTTCTGATGAGGATGAAGCAAAATCAGATCTTCCGGTAGATTTGTTAGAGAGTTGCAGAATATTACATTCAACATGTTGTGAATTTCTTAAACATTTCTATATTCACTTCCAGAGTGGTGAGTATAAAAGAGGTATTCTTGTTAATAAGCTATACAAGCATTTAAAAGACTGCAGTATGAAATTAAAAGAACTATTTGATGATGTTTTGAAAGAAGATGGTGAGGCTATGGCACAGATAACCACTGCATATTTAAAACCAATTTTGGATTCTGTTATGTTTGCCATTGCAAAATACGATAAAGCATTTGCTGATTTTAATAAGAATGTTCCACCACCATTATCTTCTTCATAATAAATATGGATGCATGTTTTATTCTATTTATTTATATGTTTTTCATTCATATCATAAAAAAAGGTATTCATTGAGATATTATTATGAATGCATTTTTAGTATCTTCATCTTTTTTTGGAAATGGCCTTTCCTTCTAAATTAAATCTATAATAATTTACAACTTGTTATTATATAGAGAGATATATGTATAGATATGTTTGTGCATGCATATATTTTTATTCAAAAATTATATATAAAAACTCCTTACATTTCTTCTTTATCCATGTTATCCTTAGCCAACATTCTAGCTCTTCTACCTTTACCACGTGCGGCCTTTTCCTTGCTTCTTCTACTTAATTCTTTAACAACCTCACCATTAGCTTTATCAACAGAGTCCCTTAATGCTAATATGATGTCTTTATCCACTGTTTCTTTTGGTAACTTTTTGCCTAAAACCTCTTCAATTCTTAAAATCAATTCTAGATCGTATTGCGATACTAAAGAAACAGACTTACCAGATCTACCTGCTCTGGCAGTTCTTCCAACTCGATGAATGTATGATTTTGAATCAACAGGGATATCATAGTTGATAACTATATCAACCGATGGAATATCTAGCCCTCTTGCTGCAACATCAGTAGCCACAAGAATGGTCTTTTTGCCAGCTTTGAATAAATCTAGAGCACCTGTTCTTTGGTTTTGATTTAAATCACCGTGCAATGCAGTGGCATTGAATTCTAACAGATTAGCTAATGCAGATATTCTCTCGGCATTGGCCTTTGTTCTAGTAAAGACTATCATAGATTTTCCCATAAATTCATTCAATAAGTATATTAAATATGTGTCCTTAATACCACTTGGTACAACCATCAATGTTTGTATCAAAGTGTCAACAGTTTGATATTTATTAGATACAGCACATTTCACTGGGTTAGTTAAACTTGCTCTTTGTAGTTTATCAATCTTAGAAGTCATGGTAGCAGAGAATAAGTATGTTATTCTTCCTTTAGTTGGTATAATTTTGAGAATTCTGTCTAACACGGGACCAAATTCCATATCTAACAATCTATCCGCTTCATCCATCACCAAATATTTCAATTTTCTCAATGAAAACCCCTTTGTATTTTCTAAATGGTCCATTAATCTACCTGGTGTAGCAATGATTATATGTGGTTTCCTCATAAGATCTCTTGCTTGATCCATCATATTCATACCACCGACAATACAGACGGAACGCACTCCCATCAAGGAACCAAGAGAATCAAATGTCTCTTTGATTTGTTGGGCCAATTCTCTTGTTGGTGCTAAGATACAAGCATAGTAAGGTTGTTGGTCATGCCATAGATTGTTTAAAATTGGGATGGCAAATGCAGCAGTTTTACCAGACCCTGTTTGAGCAAGGCCAATAATATCTTTGCCTTTTAAAGCAGGTGGGATAGACTTGGCTTGAATTGGAGTAGGTTTAGAATAATTCAAATTTTGACAGGCCTCGATTAATTCTGGTACTAAATTCAATTTTTGAAACGAATCAAATGTTTCATCTTCATCATTGGTGTCCCCTTCTTCTTCTTCCTTTTTTGTACGTTTCTTTTTATTTGATTCACCGTCAGTGGAATCTACACTGTTTTTATGTTCTTCTTCTTTAAGTTTCTTTTGATTTTCTAAGGCTTTTGCTTTAATTTTAGCTACTAAAGAAGTAACTTCTTTTTTGCTAGATGAAATTTTTTTATCCACTTTCCCATTAGCCATATTTGAAATAGTTACCTCGTTATTTAGTCACTTACTTATGTGTTTTATGATATATATGGTGAATATGATGAATGAACGGAATGTATTTATATTATAAGAGTACTAAATTGTCTCATATACATTAGTTTATATATCTCATCGCATCTTATCTTATTTCATCTCATCTCTTTTTTCTTCATGACTGGATTTTTTTTTTTTTCATGGAATTAAATTTTTTTTGTCCTTCTTTCCTTGAAAATGTAAAAAATTGTGATAAATTGGAAAAACAGCGATGTTCTTCGAGACTTTGGTGAAGATGAATAAATATATAGTGGAAGATTAATACCATACACACATATACACATATATACACACATATAAATGGATATGGAAACGCCCATCTATCGTATATAAGTATGCCAATATTTGGAAATTGAAACTAATTGATTGTATAATTGGAATATTTCATATCTTCATATGTAGGGAATGGAATAGAAAAGTTATCTAAAATGATAATAGTTATATAAATGCAATATGATATTTTAGAATATAGCGTCATGTAAAGGACAGAAATTTTTGCCAATTTTGTTTATACCTTCAATAGCAGCTACCTGTTGTGATTTCTTAACAAACCAACTTTTAATACAATGATAATGGAATACACAGAGGCATTCTAGTCTGCCTACTTTCTCACCTGGGAGCATTTGTTCAAAACATATAGGGCATTCTTCATAATCATTACTGTTTATAGAAAGCTTGTCGTTCTTGTTCTTTGGATACGGTATTTTATATACAAGCATTCTATTCCTAGTTGTTGGGCATGTTGAGTCGTTATTATTGTTACAATTTTCATTATTTTCATTGCTATTGTCTGTAGATAGAAGACTATCATGATGTTGTTGTATTCGTTCTGCTCTTCTTATACATTCTTCGACATGCAGTTCAATAATATTTTCATGGTGTTTAGGAGAAACTTTCTTAAAATTTATATTGCAAATAGGACAAGTATTCATATCGTCATCTTCTTCGACACCTTCGTCGTTTTCGTTGTCTTCTTCTACCTCATTCTCCTCCTCTTGGACATAGTTTACAGTATTGTCATCGGCAGTTTCTATTCTTGATACATTATTGACATTATTTGTGTGTGTTTGTGTACTACCAAAAGCAACTCTGTTAGATGCATCACTTTCTATGGTTGTATCTTCCATATTAATGGGAAATTCAGTCACATTAGAGACGTTCAAAGAATTAGTATCACTATTAACTGGTGAAAGGGACTCTTCGTCTAATGTATTTTGACATGCAACATCACTAGAGCTATTACGTTTCTTGGAAGGTGATGAAGAAGAAGGAGAAGAAGGAGCAAACGACTGCGTATTTATAATAAGTCCCAAATGTAATAGGTTATTATAGCAAGAATTGCAAGTTCTATAAGGTGCAAATTCCTCTATTGTGGAATCAGGTCTCTTAATCACATGAACTTTATTTTTATCATATCGAACAAAATTATTTGTACAATTTTGACAAAATATACTTCCGCAACATCGGCAATGATGTCTTCTTTGGAAAAATGTGAAAGTAATATGACAGTTACCACACTGGGTTATTTCCTTATCCTTCTGCCATGTGGCTTTACTATTGATATATCGCTGTTCTGATAGGGATGGCCGTCTTACTGATGACATGATTCATAAGTTAAATATATATATATGTATGTATGTATGTTTGTATAAATAGATAGGCAGTCAATCAAAAAAAGAAAAGGAAAGTAAATGAGGAACAGTAAAAATGGATCTATAAAAATATCAAATTAAATTAATTCACGTTTAGAGAAGTGTTAATATCAAATATGTCTATATAAATATTTTTTTGTGCTTTACTTTATTTTTTTTCGTTTTTAAACAAAAAGTTGGTTAAGAAGAAAGCGGAATATCATATGAGAAAATACGAGTGACTATGTGTGTTTAACTATTTAATCGTTGCAGTTATACCAAGTATGTAAACAAGTGATACCATACCAACGTTTAATGAAAATCATTTAGAGATAAAGATGGAGTTTTACTATTTTTCTTCTTCTTTTTCTTTTTCTTCTTCCGTTGGAGAAGAAATGCTTTTTAATTTATTAAAAACCTTTAGAAAATAAAAAAACTCCTTTTTCTAATTATTTTCGCAGGATCGATTTTTGTAGGCAGTGTTTCTTTTATTTAATTTTTTTATTTTTTTTTAGTATAAATATATTATTCTTCGGTATTTGGAGATATTATTAATTAGTTGTATCCTTATAGGAAGTGAGTCTTTCAGATGTATACCTAGTCCACTTAATTAATTCGTTCCAGATGGGAAGCGCTTCTTGAAGATTGTAATCTCTCCTAATAATCAAGCAGTTAAGTAACAAGGTTCTCTTTTTTTTATTTTTTTTTACTATATAATCCAATAATGGTTGGTAAAATCAGAGTATTCAAAGATGTAATTAGTAGTATCAAATTGAAACAATTTGCTGAAATAAATGGCTTAACTATAAATAATAGGTGCAAGGTAGGTTCAGATATTACGGATCATTTGTTATCATTTACTCCACTTCAATATCCATTGTCTAAAGATGGGTATTTCGATTACTTGATGCCCGATAAGATTGATAATAAATGTCTGAATTTCCTTAATGATTGTAAGAGTGGTACTTATTTGAGACGAGTATGGGGTGGTGGTTCACTGAAATTGTTTTCCTCCATTGAACATGATAAAATTTATTCTTGTGTTGAGTCAGTTAAGACTTTGAAAAGGACATTTAGTGGTATATATGTCATTTTGAAAAGGGATATAATACATGCTGATGATACCAACACTAGTAATCATGAGTCATCATCATCATCATCATCATCAGTATTGTTACAAGAAATTAGGAATCTTGTATACACAGATTCTGAACCTACTGTTAGTTATTATGACAATTTAACTAATGATAGAAGTCTCTTAGACGGACAAATAATTGAAACATTTGCTTTTGAAATAGATAACGTAACTAAATATAATATCTTATCTTCAAATCCACATAGGGTTCATTGGGATAAAAATTATGCTGTAAACATAGAAAAGTATAAAGATATTATTGTTCCTGGACCTTACATTTTACAATTAAGTACAAATTTAATTGAATCTGCATTAGGTTCTCCTCTCACTAATATTAAGTATAGAAATCTTAATTTTATCTACTCTACTACTGTAATTAACCTCTTGGCTGATTCCAAATTTAAAACATTTTGGTTAGTCGATAAAAAGGATCCAAGATTGATATATTTTATACTTAACATCGAGGAAAACATGTAAACTATATGTATATATATGTATATAACGTTATTCTATGTTTGATTATGTTTTTGTTTGTTTCTTTCTCTCCTCCTCTCATACAGCGTTTCCTCTCATCTTTTCACCATTAATGACATCTGCCCCTAAGGATTCCATTACCTCTCTCTCTATCAGGGAACCGATATTTGGATAAGCCATACTGGCTTCATAAGCACTGACAATTCTTTCTTGAGTGATACCTATCTCACAATAAGCTAGAGCTTTAATCACATTGGCATAACGTGTAATGGTTATTCTTATACTATTACTTAAATCAGGGTCATTTTCATCAGAATATATTTGCCATGAGGATTCTTCTTCTAGTCTTGTGATGGATACATTAGTAGAATTGGCCGACAAACCACCATTTTGGTTGCCTATATTGGATTTTATTGTGGATCCAGCACCAGTGGATCCACCTGGTGGTAAATCTTTGGCTATATCCATTTGTGAAGTCTTTCTTAACCATATATAACCATTCACCCCAAGTACTACAGTTATGTTTCCAGGTAGATTATGTGTGTGGTTTTTAGCTCTTACAATTAACGAACTAGGAACTTGGATAAAGAGACCATTTCTTAATTTCCCATATTTCAAAGATCTTGTATGTAAAGAAGCGCTTCCATCTTGAAACAAAGATTGAACTTCTGCATTTAATAAATCACCTTCTTTCAAAAATGTTCTCATTTGCAATTCATCACTCTCAGATTTTCTTCTTAAGATACCACCAGGTAAATTGACAGATCCTAACATTAATACAGCATATTGTTTTGCACCAATATCCACTTTCCATCTTTTATTCCCGACTTCCACAATCCTTCCAATAACATGATCCCCAGTCTCAGGAGAATATCTACCTCTTAATGGAATCACAGATAATAATCTATTCACTCTGGATACAACCCCAGCTACAGAAGAATAAGTCATTTCATTTAAAAATATGTTCCATGACCCCTCATCCAAATAGGGTCTTCAGTAATCAATTCACCAGGTGTCACAATTTGAAAACTCAATCGATCTTTGCTTGTACCATTTTCACTGTCAGATTCGGAACTTGATATATCGATGTCATTGTCAAGAATATTATCTTCATCTTCATCACTGGATACAAATCCTTGTATGGACTTGTTTAATACCATATTGGCATTTTGGAACCCACCATTTTTCTTAACAACTGTTATAACAGCAGACATAAGGAACAATTTATTGTGTGTGTATGTGAATGTGGGTATATAGAATTCACAGTATTAAATAGTAGGATATATATATTTATGTGTATGTATATGTATATAGACTACTATTCAGTGATGCTTATTTTAATTGTCATTTTATCTAAAACCGGTTACTCTTATTTATCTCATCGTGTTTTTTGTAAGTTAATTTTTGCATGAATTTTTTTTTTCATCTCTTGCAATTTTGCTTGTCAAAATTTCCTATAAAATATATATATAGAGAGAGAGAGAGAAAAAAAAGAGAATGCGTGTTTGAATTTTATTCTAATGGAAGATGAAGTGAGATACAACATCCAGTGATCAAGATTATTGAATAGCTATATTAAAATAGAAAAAACTGAAGGTAGGTATTGAGAAAAAGGGGATTTGTTGACATCTTTTTAAATTTATTTATTTTTTTTAAGAGAATATTTTATATTAATTAACTTATACATGTAATCTTTATGTTGTTGCATTATATATAATTTTGTAAACTCGTTAATAAGTAATATTCTTATATATTTTTTGTTGATAAACTTTATATCTATTTATGTGCAGCATTTTACCATATAGAGTATAGTTATTTTTATATTTTTGGTTAAGGAAAAAGATAAAAATTATTCTTATTATTTTACGGCTAAGAAGAGTACTCCTCTCATAGCAAATTTTTATCTGATCACATAATTTATTAAATCAATATGAACTTTACTAATCTCCTCTGTACTAACAAAGCCTCTAATAACGGTTAAGCTGGATATAACAGTGAAAAAAAAAAAAAAAAAAAAAAAAAAACAGCTGAATAAATATAACAAATATCAGCTAAGTAACATATACTATGTATTTACATATCTTTTCTTAGTTCTTGTTGGTAACTCCTGGTTTTATATGATGTTTGTAACTTTTCCTTCACAAATTCTTTATACCTGCCACTAATAATAGTATATATTCTTTGAAATTACATTGTCCAAAAAGGGAAAACTTAGGAAAGTTAGGGTTGTCGACATCCTCTTACCAAAAATTTGAAAAACCCTAATACATCATAATCTAGAATAGCAAAAAAGAAAATTGCGAATTCTGTGGATCGAACACAGGACCTCCAGATAACAGTGACTAAAGTTTTCAATCTTCAGTCTGGCGCTCTCCCAACTGAGCTAAATCCGCAGCTGCTTGTTGTTTTTGTTGTGGAATAGAATAGTTATAACCATCAAGATTACATAAGATCCTGAATGAATCTAGAACCAATTAGTGTATTAGTAAGCCATACATGTGCTACAACATTAGATGCTGCATAATAAAAAGATTGGATTACATAAGACCTTGGCAAATCTAGAATTTACCTATTGTTTTATTAAGTCCCACGTGTATTACTAATCACCATGATTAGAGAATTGGGATGCAGTTCTAATCCAGTAGTGCACCTAAATTAATATAATAAATTTTAGGGTTGAATCAGTCAAGTCATTAATGTAGTAACCTGAATAATCGATCGAGCTCCAGAAAACATATAAAAGGACAACGTTTTCTGGAGATAAAAGATCATCTTCCATAACCGTTTCTTGTAAATAATTTATATATTATATATGAAAAAAGTAACAAGTCAAGTAACTTCGAATAAGTACATTAGCTCGATATAAGTCGCTTAATATATAAGACCGTTTAGTAATTACACTATCGACTATAGTTGATTACTGTCTCGATTATTTGAATTACTATTAATATTAATTGCGCTTCCCTGGAATACACAAAGAACTTCACCGCACCATACTACAACAGTTTTGTGGAGATTTAGGGTTTTTAAAGTAGGTCAATCTAATGAACAGATTAAGACTGATAGAATATAATTAATAAAAACGCTATTGAATGGATACGTAGGCAATAATGATTTACTATAGAGATATTATATTACTAGACTTAATTATTTTATTTAATGTTTTGTTATCACTTAGTTACCCATTTATGACTTGTTTATTTATTATTATATGTTATATATAAATGAGTGGCTACGAACAAAAATCTATCTTTTCAAAATGTTGTCCTTTTATATGTTTTTAGGACTCTATCAATTATCCAACTTGATACATTAATAAGTTACTCATAGATTATCGTCAATAATTAGAATAATTCAATAAATCCTCAAAAAGTACCCTGAACAATAGGATGTGTGATAAATAGTCACACTTTACTGACTCATTTATTTGACCTATTTGAAAACTTTAAATTTTTTTTCTGGAATTTTTTTAAATTCTAATTCCTTATTATTATTAATTCTAATTATTATTTGTCTAACTCTCATAAATTCATCTATTATACAGCATTTTCTTATTGTGGCATATGTATACTTAATTATTTGAATAAACATACTATCCGACAAATAGATAGATCAAAGGCATATTTAGAAATACGTTAAAGATAGAGAATTAAAATAATTGTTGCTTACTTTTTTCTTGATTTATATAATGAAGATAAAAACAAGTATAAATTAGGCATAAATATTGATGGAAGTTGACAAACTTAGTATTTATTGTGGTGTTACATACCATTAAGTTATATATATTTATTTTATTTTTATTTTAAGTTCTTGAATTCACTATGTATATATATATATATATTCTATTTAGTATAAACTACATTTATTTTTTGAACTTTTCTTTTGGAATTTTCTTTTTTCTTTAAATCTCTGAAAAGTTCTTTTGGCAAAAAAAATAGAATAAAATGTGTTTCCCTATGCGATGTATGAAAAAATTCATATTACTATGTAATATACAAAAAAGCTAAACTGAAAAATAATTTTATATATTCGATCCTTCTTTATAAGTATAGGAGAGTCTTGAAAAGTGGTAGATTTTATATCTGATATCGTCATGATTTAAGCAATAAGTATATCAATACAAATAATATAGATAATTATATATATTATGGCTATAAATGAATATAACTTGATTCGTCAGTATTTTTGATTTTCTTCTTAAATTATTATTTTTCTCGAAAATACATGTTATTATCACTAATAATATAGTAAAAAAATGCTTAATAAAGAAACCTAGTAAATATATGAGTTATTCTCTAACAAAAAGATTAGTAATGTCTTTCTTATACAAATAATCTTACATATATTTGTTATTTGATAATTGTAAGGAACCTGGCTAGGATTTGATAGAAACGTGATCTCAAAGATAGCATTTGAATGTCTAGATCGAAAATTGGCACAATTGCATGTGAAATATTTAGTAGAAGTTATAGAATATTATTGGAAGACTTCCAAGGAATGATAATTATATCAGAGTTTGTTTATTTAGCACTAATATTAAAAGATAATTTTTTAATATTATATAAAACAAAAAAAACATAATAAGAAGTTAATTATATGATTCTAGGGTCATTATTTAACAGTATAGAGGCTCTAAGTAAGATTGTTTATGCTTCCATTAATTCATGTAATTTTTTTTTGTTTAATTACAATGACTCTGACACTCAATTATACTTTTTCCCTTACACAAAAAAAAAAAGTAGACATTGTTTTTATTTTTTTAAATTTAAGTTTTCTAATAGAAGGAAGCAATATAAACAGAATTTTTCAAATAACTACCACCAACAATGATTAATCAATAAAATGTTTTAAAAGTCAAAGCTGCTTCTTCATAAATTGTTTTCCAACCAAATATACACATTAACAAACACTAAAAGCATTATATGTATACCTGAAGTGCTAGAAAGTTTTCAATAAATCTGTTTCTATATATGTTAATTCAAGGACTTTTGAGTTATTTCACATAGGTTTAAATAAACAATATTACAAAATATTTTCTCTATTTCTTATACAAACAAAAAGATCAAATAATAAAGTTATTACTTGCTTATTACAAATCACTTTAACCCCTCTGGACATAAAAATAAAAGTAGAAGACAAGAAGTAGTCCTTACAGAGTAACCAAAATACCAGAAAAAGAAATAAACGAAAATGAAAAGAAATGTTTAAAAAAAAAAAAATCCTTAACCTTTTATCTTCACAATAGTACTTAGTTCCAACTTTTAAAGTTAGTGTCGAGAAAAAGATACTAACCAAACAACCTGTCCATTGCTACTATTAATTATATAATACAAAATTATCTTATACAATCACATTTTGTAAATATCATTTTCCACGGAACATACATAAACGAAAAAATATCAATGCAATACTCCAAGATCCCTTTAACCTATTATCTGTTCATTTAATCATTAACAATATCCAATGTTTTAGAGAATTACACACATTTCAAAATACATTATTCTTACTCAATATACTATAAAAAGTATATTTGTATCTTTTGCAATTGTTAGCTACTAGAATTAACCAATTATGTCGAAATAAAAGTACAACATTTCAAAATATAAAAGAAAATGACTAAATTCTATTCTGAACTTTTAGATTTGCCAAGAACAAATCCAAGACAATGGAGATTAAGAACAGATAAATTAGGAAGAGAAACATGGGATTATATTGATGAAGAATCTTGTAAGAATGATCCTCAATCCACTTTTACCCAATGGCTTTTACAATTACCAGAATTTCCTACACCGGAGCCTACTATAACAAAGGATGATCCAGACTTCAGTGCTTGGGAATCCTGTTTAAATGGTGCCAAATTTTTCAAGTTATTACAAGATGAGAATTCTGGTATCTTTCCTTGTCAATACAAAGGTCCTATGTTCATGACCATTGGATACGTTGCAGTACATTACATTGCTGGGATCCCTATTCCTGAACCACAAAGATTAGAAATTGTTAGATATATTGTTAACACAGCACATCCAGTTGATGGTGGTTGGGGTTTACATTCCGTAGATAAATCTACTGTATTTGGTACTGTATTAAATTATGTTATTCTTAGATTATGTGGTATGGAAAAAGATCATCCTGTTTTGAAGAGAGCAAGGTCCACTTTATTAAACCTTGGTGGTGCAATTGCTGCCCCACATTGGGGGAAAATATGGTTATCTGTGTTGAATTTGTATAAATGGGAAGGTGTCAATCCTGCTCCCCCAGATATGTGGCTTTTACCATATTCATTACCAATTCATCCTGGAAGATGGTGGGTTCATACAAGAGGTGTTTATTTGCCTGTCAGTTACTTATCTTTGGTCCGTTATTCTTGTCCTGTAACACCACTTCTTGAAGAGATTAGAGAAGAAATCTATGCTAAAGATAAGTTTCAAGATATTGATTTTAGTAAACACAGAAATACAGTATGCGGTGTAGATCTATATTATCCGCATTCTAAAATATTAGATTTTGCCAATAACCTAATTGTCAAATACGAACAATACTTAAGACCGAAATGGCTATTCGATAAATCAAAAGAAAAAGTCTATGACCTAATTCGTAAAGAAATTGAAAATACCGATTATCTATGCATTGCCCCAGTAAACCAAGCGTTTTGTGCTTTAGTAACATTAATTGAAGAAGGGAGAGATTCATATCAATTCAAAAGATTCCAAGACAGATTCCAAGATGCCTTGTTTCATGGTCCACAAGGTATGACCATCATGGGTACCAATGGTGTCCAAACTTGGGATTGTGCATTCATGATACAATATTTTTTCGTGGCTGGATTAGCAGAAAGACCTGAATTTTATGATACTGTAGTAGCTGCCTATAGATTTTTGATTAGATCCCAATTTGATTCTGAATGTGTTCCTGGAAGTTTTAGAGATAAAAGAAATGGTGCATGGGGGTTTTCTACAAAAACTCAAGGCTACACTGTGTCTGATTGTACCGCTGAATCTGTAAAAGCTATTATAATGGTCAAGAAATCACCATTTTATAAGAAAGTTCATGACGAAATCTCCGATGAAAGATTGTATGATGCCATTGACATTTTAATGAATTTACAAAATATTTCATCTTTTGAATATGGCTCATTTGCAACTTATGAAATGATTAAAGCTCCATTATTTTTAGAATGTTTAAATCCAGCGGAAGTATTTGGGAATATTATGGTAGAATATCCATATGTTGAGTGTACAGATTCATCTGTATTAGGATTAACCTATTTCCATAAATATTATGACTATCGTAAAGATGAGATCACAAAAAGAATTCAAATCGCAATAGATTATATTAAGAATACACAAAGTTGTGATGGAAGTTGGTACGGTTGTTGGGGGATATGTTATACATATGCGGGAATGTTTGCTATTGAAGCCTTAAATTCTGTTGGAGAAAACTATTCCAATTCTGAAGTGGTTCGTAAAGGTTGTGATTTTCTTGTTTCTAAGCAAATGTCTGATGGTGGTTGGGCTGAGGTTATGAAATCCAGTGAATTACACAGTTATGTAAGTGGTCCTCAATCATTAGTAGTTCAGACTGCATGGGTCATTATTGCATTGCTATTAGCGGAATACCCAAATAAAGAGATCATTGATAAAGGTGTAAAATTATTAAAGGAAAGACAGGAAACTTCTGGTGAATGGAAATTTGAATCTGTTGAAGGTGTTTTCAACCATTCTTGTGCAATTGAATATCCAAGTTACCGTTTCTTATTTCCAATTAAGGCTTTAGGACTATACAGTAAAATCTATAAAGACAGTCTGGTATAAATTATCATTCTTTTTTTATTTAATTATTTATAAACATATTTATGACATTTATATTATTATAATATAACATTGCAGATTATACTTAACAATAAACATATATATATGTATATGTATTATCCGTGAATTAAGATACTATGTCAATGTAAAAAAAAACAATCACATTTAGGGTTTATTTAATTTTGTCATTTTATTTATCTCACTGTATACTTTTCTTTAGGGTTCATACATATTTTCCCTTATCTCACCTCATTTTTTAATTCAACAAAAAAAGGCTGAAAAAAGAAGAAAAAACCAAAAAATACCCAAAAGCAAAACCAAAGACAAAAAGCACAATAAGATTAGATCAAATACAAATTTAATAGTCTCAGGTTTGATACATACATATATATACTAAATAAATTTGTATTATGTATCCTGAAACAAAACTATACACATAGACAGTATACAAAGGTTATCTGTAACTCTAAAAAATCAAATTACTTTTTTTTTATTTTTACTTTTCTAGTTAATTTTTTATCGTATAACCAATTTGCTATACCTCCAACTAATCGAAAAGGTCCATTCATTAAATTCTAAAATCTTTGTTTATTTTAGTTATAAAAATATTACTATAAATTCTCCTATTGTATTATTTTATTCAAAAGTTGTTATTTATTCACTCATTTATTCATTAAATTAAATCATATCATCTCTAAAAAATAAGATATAAAAAATAAAATATAATATTCTTTTAAAAGAAGTATAATAAAAACCTCAAAAAAGTTACTTTTGATTTATCGTCTTTTGAAAAAAACATGGAAACCATAGATATCCAAAGTAGATCCTTTGTAGTCCGCTGGGTGAAATGTGTAAATGGCGATACTATCAACTATCAGGTAAAACCACTAAAAAAATCCATTGAATTAGGTATTTATAAGAAACTAAAAACATCTATTGATGACCAACACACTAGCCCTTCTGTTCACATCGCACCTGACACAAAAGCTGTTTTGGACTACACAAATAGAGTTTTACAAAGTAGAACCAACTCTTTCAGTGGTTCTAATGATGATCCTTCATTATCTATTAGTTCTATCCAACAACAGTCTCAAGAGGGGTCGCTCCGTGAAAGATTGGATCTATCTGGTTTTACTTTAGTCAAATGGGTCGGTCATATCGATGGAAATAAAATGTTTGAAGGGTCAATAAACGTTATGGATAATGATCATTATTATGCTTTTATTTTAGATAATACATCTTCTAAGAATATAAGAAAAAAAGTGTTGTTTAATGCTAGTACCATCAATGATGACGCAATATCCATGGTGAGTACCAGATCTGCACCATCTCCTACTATGGGTTCTTTTCAATTACCACCAACACCTCAAAAGGATAGTCCTCTTGTTATTGGAAAAGGCAGATATTTACAGGGTTATTTACTAAAAAAGAGGAGGAAAAAATTGCAAGGTTTTAAAAAAAGGTTTTTCACTCTTGATTTTAGATATGGTACTTTATCTTATTATATGAATGAATACAACCAAACAAGACGCGGTGAAATTGTTATTAGTCTTTCCACAGTGAGTGCTAACAAAAGGGATAGATTGATTATGATAGATTCTGGGATGGAAATTTGGGCTTTAAAGGCAAGAGATACCACAAGTTGGCAAATTTGGGTGGATGCCTTACAGTCATGTTTTGAACATCAAGAGAATGGGTATGCTTCTGAGTCGAACATATCAAGTGATGATAATGAAGATATGCATTCAAACGAATCTATCTCTTCACAGGAAACAATAAATAATCAAACTTATGTTCCATTACCGGATGAAGCATATGAAAGTTTTGAAATAAATCTCAAGATTATTCAACAAAGATTAGAACAATGTAAAAATGAATCAAAATTATACACCTTAAAACACAAAAATACTTTACTTTATTCTAGAAACCGTTCCTCATCATCTTCATCTGTTCTGGGGAAGATAAGATTAAAAAAGTCATTAACATTATCTCCGAATGCTTCTACAGACTCTTTGACTCCTATTGATTCGGAATCTAACGAAATATCACCCCTTCAGGAACATGATTTATACCAGAAATTAGCAGATTTAGAAGAACTTTTTTCTCAGTTTGTTAAACAAAGTCGAAGATTAACTGTAGATCATTTATATATCACGAGAAAGATACGACAACAAACAACAGCCTCTATCTATTCTACTTTTAGTGACAATGACGAATATTTTGATGCTGTAGATGTTATTAATCCTGGAGTTATTCTGTTAGATGATGAAGATACAACTAATGACAATGAGATGAATAATAACGATAATGTTGATGAACTTAATAATACACTAGATAATTATAAACTTGCCTTAAAAGGACCCTTACAAGAAACTAATAATAAACTAGATTCTACATTAATAACTACACAAATTATTCAAGTAAGGGAAGATGAAATATCGATATTATCTCCAACTTCAAAAGAACCAAAAAAGATTTTAGAATTCAAAAAGCAAGCTGAACCTAGAGATAAATATGAAGAAGACTTAATAACAAAAGAAGAAGAAGAAGAAGATCTTTATCCTTTGCCCATAAATGTACCAGTGCTGCATCGTGATGATATAAAGGCTGCAACCTCTATGCCACCAAGTTTATTTTCCTTCTTAAAGAAAAATGTGGGGAAAGACCTAAGTTCAGTGGCAATGCCAGTCACCTCAAATGAACCACTAACTATCTTACAAACAATTACTGAATCATTTGAATACGCATCTCTTCTTTCTAACCTTAAAAATGATCCTATCCCATTAATACCTGTTACCGCCTTTGCAATCTCTTACCTTTCGTCTTATAGAGACAAAACAAGAACTATAAGGAAACCTTTCAATCCACTTTTGGGTGAAACATTTGAATTAGTTAATGAACAAAATGGCTTTAGATTAATTACGGAAAAGGTATCACACAAACCTCAAATATTCGCATTTCATGCGGATCATAAGGATTGGGAATGTACTTATACAGTGACACCTGTGCAAAAATTCTGGGGTAAATCTGTTGAATTAAATAATGAAGGTACTATTGAATTAAAGTGTAAAGCCACGGGTGAATATTTCGAATGGTCTCAACCAACCACCATGTTGAAAAATCTAATTGCTGGAGAAAGATTTTTAGAACCAGTTAATGAATTTGAAGTAATATCATCTAAGTCTGGGAAAATTACAGTTTCCTTTGAAAAAACTGGTATGTTTGGTGGTAGATCAGAAAAGGTTATTGCAGTATTAACACCCAGAGACAAAAGTCAAACTCCATACAAAGTACTTGAAGGTAAATGGACAGAACAATTGAAAGATTTAAAAACCAATAAGGTCATATGGAAAACTGGTGAATTAGTAAAAAATGCCAAAATAAAATATGGTTACACTAAATTTGCTGCGAATTTGAACGACATTACTGTCATTGAAAAGGGTAAATTACCTCCTACCGATTCAAGATTAAGGCCTGATGTAAGAGCATATGAAAATGGTGATGTAGAAGAAGCGGAAAGACTGAAGTTGAAGTTGGAGAAGGATCAACGCGAAAGAAGACAAAATGGGTTAGATGTCAAACCACATTTTTTTGTCAAAAATTCTCAAAACAATTGGGTATATAAGAAAGGCAAAGATAGTTACTGGAGTAGAAGAAAACGTGGTGATTGGTCAAATCTGACTCCATTATGGTAACAAATTACTCAAGGGCATTTAAACAGATAGTGCAATATTTCATATGTCCTTTTTTCTCTTCCAATTTATTATGATGTACTTAATTATACATACATACATATGTATATAAATAGATAGAGTTACGAGAATCATAAACTAATGTTAATATCTTGCTTAGAATCAATTTAAATAACTAAAGCTCAACGACAATAACAGTGGCTAATAGCTCCTTATTTATGTATAAATAACGTCTCATTTAATAAATATCTTAAGTGATAGGATTTTGGAGGATTCTTCTGAAATTTTCTGAAAGGATGAAAAATACAGAAATCAAAAAATATAATAATATTACAAACCCAGCAAAAATAATAATAAATAAATAATCTTACACTACATCTGAAAGAGTGGGAAACATCAACAACCATTTTGCTTGTGAATCCAACTGTATTTCATATTGTTAGCGAAAAAAAAATATAACAATTAAAACAGGTGATACTATGTCTCAATTAATAACTGTGGCTACATGTAATTTAAACCAATGGGCTTTAGATTTTGAAGGTAATAGAGATCGTATCTTAGAGTCTATTAGAATTGCTAAGGAAAGAGGTGCACGTTTACGTGTTGGTCCAGAATTAGAAATTACCGGTTATGGGTGCTTGGATCATTTCTTAGAGAACGACCTATGTTTGCATTCTTGGGAAATGTATGCCCAAATTATCAAACGCCCTGAGACACATGGTTTAATATTAGATATTGGTATGCCAGTCCTGCATAAAAATGTGCGTTATAATTGTAGATTGCTCTCTTTAGATGGAAATATTTTATTTATTAGACCTAAGTTATGGCTGGCCAATGATGGGAATTATCGTGAAATGAGATTCTTCACGCCATGGATGAAACCAACTGTAGTGGAAGATTTCTTATTACCTCCAGAAATTCAAAAAATTACTGGTCAAAAAGTTGTACCATTTGGTGATGCTGTTATCAGTACTCTAGATACTTGTCTTGGAGCAGAAACATGTGAAGAACTTTTTACTGCACAATCTCCACACATTGCCATGTCATTAGATGGTGTTGAAATCATTACAAATTCTTCTGGTTCTCATCATGAATTGCGTAAGTTGAACAAAAGAATAGACTTAATTCTAAATGCTACTCAAAGGTGCGGTGGTGTATATCTTTATGCAAATCAACGAGGTTGTGATGGGGACAGATTGTATTATGATGGTTGTGCTTTGATTGCAGTTAATGGTAAAGTTGTAGCCCAAGGTTCACAATTTTCTTTAAAAGATGTTGAAGTCGTCACTGCAACCGTTGACCTAGAAGAAGTTAGAAACTATCGTGCATCTGTGATGTCTCGTTCTTTGCAAGCGGCTGCCACCGATATTAGATACAAAAGAGTCGACGTTCCAATTGAATTAGCTCGTATGAAAGAAAGATTCGACCCAACTATTACCCCAACCAAATCTAAGGATGTTTTTTACCATACTCCTGAAGAAGAAATTGCCTTAGGTCCTGCATGTTGGCTATGGGATTACCTTAGACGTTGTAATGGTACAGGTTATTTTCTACCATTATCTGGAGGAATTGATTCTTGTGCCACTGCCATGATTGTTTATTCTATGTGTAACTTGGTAGTCAAAGAAGCCAAAGAGGGTAACCAACAAGTTTTAAACGATCTTAGAAAGATCGCACGTAGTGAAGATGATTGGATCCCCGAAAAACCACAGGATATTGCCTCCAAAATTTTTCATACCTGTTTCATGGGCACCGAAAACTCATCAAAGGAAACAAGAAGTAGAAGTCGCTGCTTATCTGAAAAAATTGGCTCTTATCATGTAGATTTAACTATGGACAGCCTTGTTTCCAGTGTTGTCACCTTATTTGAAGTTGCTACAGGGAAAAGACCAATATTTAAGATTTTTGGTGGTTCTCAAATTGAAAATCTGGCTTTACAGAATATTCAGGCTCGTTTAAGAATGGTCTTAGCTTACCTTTTTGCTCAATTATTACCATGGGTTAGAGGTATCAAGAATTCTGGTGGGTTATTAGTGTTAGGTAGTGCCAATGTGGACGAATGTTTAAGGGGATATTTGACTAAATATGATTGTTCTTCTGCAGATATCAATCCAATCGGTGGTATCTCTAAGACTGATTTAAAAAAATTCATTGCATATGCATCAAAACAATATGAAATGCCTATTTTAGATGATTTCTTAAATGCTACACCAACTGCTGAGTTAGAACCTATTACCAAAGATTACGTTCAATCTGATGAAATTGATATGGGTATGACTTATGAAGAATTGAGTATATTTGGATATTTAAGAAAGGTGGAAAAATGTGGTCCATATTCAATGTTTTTAAAATTATTGCATTTGTGGACACCTAAATTAAAACCTGCCCAAGTTGCTGAAAAGGTGAAAAGATTCTTTTTCTTCTATGCAATCAATAGACACAAACAGACTGTTTTGACACCAAGCTACCATGCTGAACAATATTCTCCAGATGACAACAGGTTTGATTTAAGACCATTTTTAATTAATCCAAGATTCACTTGGGCCAGTAAAAAGATTGATCAAGTTGTTGCTCAATGTGAAGGCAAGACGTCCGCGAATTTAGATATTATGAGTGTTGATTAAACTATTTATATACCATCAAAAGATAGAGAATTATTTTTTTTGTTGCAAAAAGAAATCACAGTCAATAAATAAAATAACAAACATACATAATTTGTATTAAACAGCGCATATGAGTTATTAAACAGATATATTGTTATTATTATTAATGTTAATCAGTTTTTACCCCAGTTAGTCTTTATAACGACATTCTTATTATCATTTCTTTTCCAAAAATCTATCAAAGTCAATGCACACTTCATTGGACAATCCTCTTGAATAAAATGTCCTGAATCTTGGAAAACTACCAGTTGATATTTCCCTTGCATCTGTCCAATAATCAACTCTTTATCTAAATTATCATTTCCAGCTAGAATCAGTAATTTACATTTGGGAGCAGTGACAAATTGATGTGATAAACCAATAAACCAAGTATCCCAATATCTTGAAAACATTCTAAGATCAGTTTTTCTTACAACACTCCCATCCTCTAATTTCTTAAATAACGCAGGTATAGATATCTCTGCGCTACTTCTAAGACGGGACAGTCCATTGTTAACGTGCCAATTAATAGCCTCTTGGTATGAGCCAAACGTATTTGGTGTAGAAAATAAAAAACTTTGTACTCTTTGTAATGCTTGAATGGCCGCTTCTTCCACAATATCAAACATGGCTATCCCCAAAATATGTCTTGTAACATCGTATCTTAATTTATCCAATGCAAACGTACATATACTCCCACCTAATGAGTGGCCTACAAGAATAATTGACACTTTCTCCAGTGGTAAATGTACCAGATAATTGTCAAATATGTAATTAATAAAGGCCACAAAATCATCAACAAACGCGTTTCTATAGTAACTATTATTAATGCTATTGCTGATATCACAGAGAACAGTCTCTCCATGACCTCTAGCATCAAATGTGAAACAACCACATTTAGAATCCAATCTCTCATACAACTCTTTACAAAGACTAGCAAATGTCAAACCGGATGAACCAGCGCCATGATGAAAAACAAAAATTGGAATTGCTTTCTCATTTTGACAGTTGTCAGGTAGACTATAATAATAATTAAAATTATGATTTCTTTGAGGTAGTTGTACAAACCGCTTTTCTGTAAAGAATTGATCCCATTTTATACAAAATTCAGAGTGTGTATGAGTAAACATAGACTGTTTTGGTATCGTAAACAACTCTGCCTCAGTCTTATCACTATGCAAAGTATTTGTCAGATTTGCTTTGCGAGACTCTTGTTCATTAGACTTATCACTTGTGTCATTCCCTATCACTTCCTGAATTTTTTGTAGATGGTTTAAAAGCACCTGGTTTCTTAGCCCACTACTCATAATGATCACATAAGGTTGCTAACAAAATCGTATGGACACAATCACTTAGACAACAGTTACTTCAATTGAAGCACAATGAAGATGCATGTTATGCTTATCGTACCCATTTGTTATAAAAATAGGGATTCTCTTCTCTCTCCATGTATCAAAAACACAAATGCAAAGGAAAATAATACAAAAATGGAAAAGAATGAAACATGAATTTCCAAGATCAAAATAACAAACTTAGACAGGCATACATGACTAAATAAATATTTAAACCAAATATATATATATATATATGTATAAGCATGGTTAATAGTACATATTATCATCACCGTATAGGTACAAACATTATTTACTACATAAACATTCCAACAAGTGTGAATAGTTAAAAGCAAAATAAAAGAAAAACAATAAAGCAAAAAAAACAAAACAAAACAAAACAAAACAAAACTACGTACTGATTACGTGCTGATTACGTGTTGATTATTTCTCTTTGAGTTCCTTTAGCCCCACTGTCAACTGCTGGACATTTGGGTTTGGTTTCCTGTACAAATCAAATTTGGAGGATTTCTTTTTATGTTTAAACATCCTAATAAACTTTTTAGATTTAGAGGTAAAGATATCAAAGATTTTATGAGAATTCTCGTTTGTGGTTATGTTGTTAATTTGTTTTGAAGTACTACCTCCTTCATCAGGCTTACTTTTTATACTGCTACTGATGGGCGTATGCAATGGGGATAATTGTTCATATCTTTCAATTAATCGATTTAGTTCACTTATTTTATCATTAATCTCTTGACGGTCTCTCCAAAGGCGTATCTTTTCCATTGTGGTATTATCTTCTAATAACAATGATTCTGGTGATTCTCTTGATGATAATTTACTCTTTATACTAGCTTGAACATTCCATGATGCCTTTTTTCTTTTGTAACTATTATTTTTTAATTCTATAGATGATTCATTTATTTGATTTCCAATCGATTGATCATCTCTTAAATATTGGATTTCTCTTTTACTTACTTCTTCAAAAAGTTCACCGATAATTTGAGACAGAATTTGTTCCCTTTGAGAGAAATAAGAAAAATCCTTTTTCCTTCTACTAGAATCTCTTTTGGTTTGAGTATTATTATCATTATTAGTTTTAATACTACTATCACCACTACAACCACTTCTATTATTATTATTATTATTATTATTATTATTATTATTATTATCTAATATGTGAATAGAATCAGATCTATCATTGTCAGCATATAAATTAAACTCATCTCTCATAATCAAGACATTTCTCAAATCATTATAAACCAACTTTCTTTCATTATTTAATTTCTTTTTCTTAGCTAGTACCCTTTTAATAAACATGTCCTTTGTCTCTCTTGGTAATATTTCCCAAATATTATTAACTTTATTATATTGTTCTTTACGTGTGACATAATTGAAGAATTCATTGAATAATTCTTCTTGTAATTCAATTGGCGCAGACTGTGTACTACCAGTACTGTAACAACTTGATTGTGATAGAGTTCTGTGCAAATTTGTGGCAGAGAAAGATAACGAGGCTCTTTTTTTAACGTTATTCACTGCATTACTTGAAATTGATCTCTTTAGAATGCTACTATTATCGCTTGTGTTCAAATGGTACCTACATTTACTGTACCCTGTTTCTTTTCTATATGTTAGTTTATCTTTTTCCCCACTTACACAACGATCAATTGAACACATTTTATCTCCCATACAGAGACTACAGTTCAATTGTTCATGTAATTCACATGGTTCATTTTCTTCTTTAATTGAAGTGTTCCTACTACTACCACTACTACTATTAGTATTGTTATTGTTAGTATTAGTGTTGTTATTAATTCCTCTTTTGTGTAACATATAATGACCTGTGGTGAGTTTCAAATTGCAATTCTTTTCAAAAGTTTTTATATGTCTGTAATAATATTTTTTTTTAAAGCATTTCAATTACGGAGTATATTATCATTAATCCAAGCTTACCATCTTATCTTCCAACACAATTAACCATTACAATTTCCATATATTAAAAAAAATTATTTGTATATATTTATATATATTTATACTGATTTATACTTATTTATTTATATAGATAGATTGATAACTACCCATAAGTATCAATCTATCTAATCACTTTTCTGGAACAAATGTATAACCAACTACCACTGAAACAACAGTGAAGGAAGGGGAGAAGAAAGGAGAAGAGCAAGTGTTGATGTCACAAATTCGAAACGTTCTTGGATTTGTGACATCGTCATCGAGAAATACTGCCAGAAAAGAAAATAAAAGTGGGAGAGTTCTGTGACTCGCTATAACACCCACACACCACTGCTACAAAACTGTTTCACCACGATGTCTTACTTTCTTTCTATGAAGAGAAACGGTGCAAGATCGAATATTTGGATATTTAGATATTGGACATTGGACAGAGACTTTATCTTATGCAGTTAAGAAGCTAGTCGTTCTTGTCTTCTGGCCCAGTCTTATTGAGAAGTCCGATTACTTTTAATTGACTCTTTTCTGTTTTATTTGTTTTTTGTTCTGTGAGATTTGAGCCATCCCCATTAGAAGAAGTTAACAATCTTCTTATTTTCTCATCGTTGTACTCTGCTGTTCAGATTTTGTCAATGTCCTTTAATCTCATAGGTATACGAATCCCAAGAATATCAGGGATCTCAAGGAGCTCCTTTTTAAGTATGTTATGTTTTTGTATTTTTCTTAGCTCAGTTATAGTCTCTTTACTAATACGTTTTCCATCTAATTCTATAAACCCAAGTCTATTTACAGTCAATAACCTCGTCAATAAAAACACCCTCTTCAAAGTATCCAAAAGGTACTTTGTCTCTGATTCAAATTCTTTCTCTTCCTCCACATCTCAAAACTTTCACTCCAATTCCAATCAATCAAGTAATACCCAATCAAACACAAGCAACAATGGTCATACTCCAAATCAATTCTCTTATAAGACTGCCGTCGCATATCAACCAAAGGATAGAGACGATGTCATATATCAAAAATTGAAGGACTCTCTGCTCTCCCCAACAGGCGAGGATAATTATTTCATTACTGTGAACTCCGAGTCTGATGTCTATGCTGCCGTAGCTGATGGTGTAGGTGGCTGGGCAGAACATGGTTACGACTCAAGTGCTATCTCAAGAGAACTATGTAAAACTATGGGCCAAATCTCCAATTCTTTGCAGTTCAAGAAGTCACATTCTATAATCACTCCAAAAGATATCATCGACCTTTCTTATAATAAGATAAAGGAGGATAAAATTGTAGAAGTTGGTGGAACCACTGCTATAGTAGCACATTTTCCAAAGGATGGTTTATTGAAAGTTGCAAATTTAGGTGATTCCTGGTGTGGTGTCTTTAGAGATTGTAAACTAGTATTCCAAACAAAATATCAAACCGTGGGTTTTAATGCACCATATCAACTTTCAATAATTCCAGAAGAGATGGAAAGAAATGCAAGACTATCTGGCAGATCATATATAACAAATACCCCAAAGGATGCCGATGAATACGAATTTCAACTAAAATCTAATGATGTAGTTATATTGGCCACTGATGGTCTCACCGATAACATTGCTTCTGAAGATATCGAATTGTTTTTGAAAGATAATTCAAAGATGCTATCAAATGATCTTGATAAGTTTTCAAAAACTTTAGTACAAAACGTTGTTAAGCTAAGTAAAGATCCTAATTATCCATCAGTGTTTGCACAAGAAATCTCTAAATTAACTGGAAAGTTATATAAAGGTGGTAAAGAAGATGATATCACTTTGGTTCTTGTTAAAGTTAATTGATGATCATAACAATAAGAATGGACTGAAAACAATAGCAACAGAAATCAAGTAAATAAATAACTAAATAAATGGTACAAGGATACATTTTATTGATAATTCCTCATGTATATCTCCAATGTTCTGTTTTATTTTATATTATACATTCAATCTTCCATAACATTGTTTCTACACAATTTTAAACACATGGATATGTAAATATTTGTATAAATGATATTCAAATGACAAAACTGAAAAAAAAAAAACATATAACTGATAAAATAGGTGCAGCTAATCAAAACTTCTTTGCAACACAATTTTTTTAATTTTTTCTCTTTCATTCTTTAATTTTTCTTCTTCCTCTAGCACATCAGAAACAAATTTAATATCCTTAGGTAATCCAACTGTTCTTGTATTTGTCTTCTTACCTAATTTTGTTAAAAATGTAAATGCAACTTTTGATCCATTTCCCCTTGTCTTCTCATTGCTTGATAATTTAGAACTATTTGATGTAGATAAAATTGGCAAAGAACTACTTGTAATTTTTTCACTTTTACGTTCTTCTAAAGACTCATTCATCATTTGTTGAAGTTGTTTTTCCAACTCACTTTCTATTTTTCTTTCTTCACTAGTTTGTAATTTCTCTTTAAATTCATTATACATTCTTTCTAACTCAATGTTTCTATCAACATCAATATCTCTAAATTCATCATCATCATCATCATCATCATCGTCATTATTACTATTTTCATCATCATCATTATCATCGTCGTCGTCATCGTCATCATCATCGTCATCATCATCTTCTGAGGAAGAGTCTACACTGGATACATCAGATCCACTACTATCTATATCCAGATTATCAAAATCACTAATTTCACTGGCATCTGACATATCTTTTTCTTCTGAAATATTTACATCATCATCTATAGTAGTAACATCAGTCTTTAAAATATGAGGATCTTCCTCTTCTAATTCTTGCTCGTCCTCCTCATCCGTGTACCTGGGCTCATCATCTTCATCATCTTCATCATCTTCATCATCCTCTTCTTTTATTCCATTTACTCCTTCTTTGCCTTTATCTTTGGAATCTACAGATGATAAATCTGTTTCCTTGTCAATATTATCACCTTCACCAGATTTACTCTGACCATTTATGGACTGAAGTAAACTTTGTAACCTTGTAGCACTGTCCAGTAAATTTTCCGCTTTTTGAAATTTAATCAATTTATCATATTTTATGAAAGTATCCTTGATTTTGAATTGTGTTTCTATCGGTAATGGTTGTTTCTTGATGTATATATAGTATTCAAAAAACCTCAGTATCAATTCTAGTGATTTTTTAAAGATAGATGGGTATCTCTCTACATTCAATAGAATTATTGTGATTAATTGGATCCTAAAATAGTTATCCGGTGGATCTAATAGATTATAAACGGTTGGAACTGGTTGATTGTTAGGATACCCGAATCTCAAAATAAAAAAAATGATTTCAAGTAATACATCGGATTTGATCATTTGCATATTAAATATCTCTGTCAAGTACCTTACTTGCACCACTCTAGCCATATTTTCACCGTAATCATTGGTTTCTAAACCACGTTCAATATTTTCAATAGTTTGATCAATAACTTTAACAACAAAATTTTTATGGTAAGGATATAGTCCACTCAGTATTTGCGCCAAAATAGGAATATTTTGGTAATTCATTTTATTTACTTCTGTGAAAAGTTCAAACATTGTTTTATAGACATTAGGATCACTCCAAGTAGCTTTCCTTAACAGTATGGTAGCACCTTTAGCATTAAACCGGGCTAATTCACTTCTTATGACAACATGATAAAACCTCTCTTCATTAGTTAACTCTCTTTTCTCCTGATTCAAAGTTGAAACTGATGGTGGATATAATAAAGTTAATGAATTATCTATAGCACTTTTAACATTCATACCTAATTGTCTGTCTCTAGCCTTTGTCTTCAACAATTGAATCATTTTTTCCATTTCAGTTTTAAACTCAGGTTTATGTATCAAGAATTTACCTGCATGCTCAAAGAAGATAGTCAATATCTCAACATTATTTTGAATTTGTAAATTCATGATCAGTGTTCTAATTTTGTGAAATATGATGAATGAAGGTACCAACATAAATTTGACCATCTCTGCAAAAAATATAATATTTTTCACATTAATTTTACTAGAATGAAGTTGATTTCTGAATCCATTATCTAAATATTTGATAAAATCTTCTACAATATCAGGAAAATATTTATTGTTTGCTGCTAAAAACCGTGAATATATTTTTATTTTGCTCCAATCTTGACTTTCGATAAAAAATTTGAGTAATCTATTCCTGGTAGCTTTATTGTCTAAATTTAACTTCCAATATTCATTTATTAATTTATCAATTGAATCTTTAGTGTCAGCCAGTTCCAAATCTGCAAAAAAATTATTCATTAACTCTGAATCGCTAGTGGAGTTTCTTGACTGAGATTCTTTAACAACTTCTTCAATATCTGGTAAATTTTCATAGAACCTTTTAGTTTCTTCATTTTCCCATAACCTTTCACTAGGCGGCAAAACTTGGTTAGTAATTATGGACTGTGGTGATTTTTCATCTGTTTCTTTATCATCTTCAACAAGTTTAGGTGGATCTAACTTAAAAGTTTCTACAAACACTGTAGTCGCACTATTAAATCTCTGAAATATGGGTACTAAAGTGTCATGCTCTTCTAGATACTCATTTACCAGTCTCCCTGTCCTAATTTGACATTTTTGATGTTCTTTAAAAAGTTTATGAATCCTTTTATCTAAGTCTATTGTCTTATTCACTACTGCATCGGCAAATACTTTAAATAAAGATTGTAGAAGTGATTTAAGTTGCACATCAGGCATCAGAGGATCCCATGAATGGTCATTATCATCAAAAAAAGTAGGGAATCTTAGAACAAAATGAGTGGCAAGAAGAGTGCTAAAGCCAAATTTGAATTTGTAATTTAATAATTCTTTCAAAATAGTGAAAATGAATGGTTCCTTCTTTGAAATCTTTCTTTGGAGATATAGAGGTAACATGTCTTTATCTTCAACGATATCAAGAGATGTAAATACACCAACAAGGTATAATTCCGTTAAGAGTGTTACTGTCGCTTTCAATCTGGTCAATCTAACCAATTCCTCCTTTTCTACAGGCGCAGAGTTATCCTTATCAGTGACTGATGGATTCACAAAGTTGACTAAGAATAATCCAAAAAGTTTTCCAGTAAACCTAGCATTAAATCTTTGATGTATGGCACTAATAACTTCTGTAACAGCAATAATATTTTCATTCTTTGTAGAAACATTCCATAATAACTCACTAGCTGTTGTTATCAGTTCAGAAAGATATTTTTCTAGCGATAATTCAGTTAAGTCATTCAGTAAAGAATCTTTGGAATCTTTGGTTACACCCTTTTTCAATTTCTTGATAAACCCTGTATTCTTTTTGATACTCGAATCCAGCTTGCTATTTTTTAACAAGAAAACTTCTTCACCATTCCATGCTCTTGTATTTAAATCATGTAGTTCTAATCTTCTAGAGTTCTAACATAAATAAACGTAACAAAACTAAATATTTTATAATCATAAATCCAAGAACGACTTTATTTTATTTTATTTTTTCTAAAAAAAAATCAATATGGATTTATGAATTCCTTTGAAAGTTAGACGGTTAGTATCAGGATAGTTTATATAATACTAATGATTAGCAATTAATTTTCTCCTTAAGTTTAAATCAATTAACACCTCAAGGGAAGGTACTAAATGAAAAGAATAAAATCTATAAACACACACACATACATCCATTATAGTATAATTTTTTAATCACAATCTATTAACTACTCTTGAACAGTAATATTGGTGTTAATACAAAAGAGAGCCCTTAATTAGGAGTCCAATAACTTAATAGAGAATGACACCCTTCTTGTACAATTCTTCCATTCTACCTCTTCTTTTCATCGATCCTTCCAGTTTATACAAAAGAAAAAACATTCAAAAAAAAATTGTTCCAACATTCTCAAAAAAAAAAAAGATACAAAATACAGAAAAAATTCGAAAATAAGGACGGTATATTTTTAGATGTAAAACTTAACATGAAGAATCAATTTTATTCAACTCATCTCCTTTTAAATAAGGTTAGAACACTAAAATAATAAAGGGCTTAACATAAAGGATTAGCACTAATGTCTTCTTAGTATGGACAGTTGAGGACTAGACAAAACATATATTGAGGGAGGAATTAACGATTCACAACAGGAAGGAAATAAAATATTTATTTATTTATTCATTCACTTATTTAGTTTATTTTATGCAATATAACCATAGTTCGAAAAAGGTATTGTACTTGTTAATCACTGAAGTATATTCCAAAGTTTGGTCATGTACGAGTTCCTTTTCTTTATTATGCTAGTAATATCCAGTGTGGTTGTTTATTGTTGGTCCTATAATCACATGTGGTTTAAATTGCATCTATTATTTGATGATACTAATTCTGTTAATTGGGATTGCATGTCCCATTTACCGGAAAGTTGGTATCAGAATCCTAAAATGTATATAAAAGATACTTTTATGCAGAAATTTTACACAGAATATTCTTTATCTTCTAATAAAATCTCCAAGTGTGTCAGAATTTTATTTTCATTAGCGATGACATGTTATCTGATAGCAATTGAAATCATACTATTCTATATTAAAACTAGTGATAATGGAAAACAAGCAGATTTCATCACAGAATTTATCTGGCCCTTGATTGCATTTTTATTATCATTAATATTAATCTTAATTCAACCCTTTTGTATACTAATATCTATTCTAAATAAATTTTTTAATGACAAATTAGACATGGATAGATTGATTATGGTTACTACTGCTTTGATTGGGGGATTAATTACAATCCTATACCTTATTGACTTCGGCCCATTCTCTTTTTCCAATAATATTTTAACAAGATTGTCTATTGCTGGATTAACGTTAATGGCACATCTGTCGGGAATAGCATGTGTCTCGACAGTGTATTACACTTCTGTGTTTCTATGGTACAGATTTATGGACAAGAAACATTCATCGATATATCATAATTCTATGTTAAATAACTTTCAAAAACAAAACTTTCTTCTCTGGTCTTCTAAAGAAACTCTTGAACATAGAATTCAAGAATATGAGTATAAAAGAAAACAATTGCTTAAAAGAATGAGTCAGGACTCTGATTATGTCACCTCTACTATGAAAAATAAATACATTGATATCCTTGGGAAATATCAAGTCAACTTATCCAAAATAAACAATTCATTGAAACAATCCCGTAACGTATTAATCATAAAGAGAGTATGTGGATCCATGTTTATTATATACTGTATCCACAGAATCACTTTCACTTTCTTAGTGCGACTTCCTAAAATCTTACATCATTTCATCAATTATCCAACTGATTATCAATATGACCGCTTTAAAAGCAAAACGGATCCGTTAGCTGTGACTTTAGCCAATATTCTTGATATTTTATTATTCAATTTCAATTATCAACATGATTTAGAATCTTTAAAAAGCCAGATCTCTTTATTTTTATCTGCTTCATTGTTCATTGGTTCTATATCTACTGTTTATACCACAATTTCCTTCATTATGGGTCTACTTCCAATACGTTTCCAGGTAGTGGCCATGTATGCTATGGCTAATAATGTTGAGGAGGAAGAACTTCCCTCCTTCAGTAATGGTAAAAGTGGATACTCAAATAAAAATCCATCAATAATCAAAAATTTACTTATTTCTGAATTAACTGGTATCTATGTAATTGCCACAGTTTTAATGATCAGATCAAACCTACCTTTCAATATATCTCTTAGATTAAAAAATTTATTAGGTGAAAAATTCACTGTACCTAACATTACTATCGATTGTTGGTTCGATGAAATGTTTGCATCTGCATGCATATTCACAATTATTGCAATCAAACTAGCCGAATATTATTTAAAAAATAATAAAAGTACCATTACTAGCATGTCACCTAAAGATAATCGTTTAGTCAACTAAAACATATATCACTCATTAAAGCTAGAATATAAATAAACCGAACATGATAAAGCTATATAGTTGAAATATATATATATATATTCGTGTATCAGTAGTAACTTTATCTATAAATAAAACAATTATTCATGTAATTGCTCACTTTATCTTTTTCCATAATCTTATTATTCCATCTTGCTTCACTATTTCTCAATATATCCTTATAAATCCAAAATAAATAGTATTATTTATGCAAAGGAGATTTTTAAAACGATATAAAATACAACATAGATCAACACATATAATTTATCTAACTAAAAAAATTCAGCAAACACTTGTTCCTCTTTCATATTTTCCTCGACAAATAGATAGACTTCCATTAGTAAATTAGGAAATTTTCGTATAAAATATTTATAAAATCCATCTGGTAAAGGTCCCATTTCTTTAGCTAGATCCTCAGGCAAATCCATAAAATGATGATACTTGTTTCTTATTGCTCTCAATAAATCTAATACCCTTTCAAAATGATATTTTCTATATTTACCCAAATTTTCCATGAATTTTTGATCAAACTTGGAAGACCAATCCCTATTTTTAATCACTTTAGAAGATACAACATTTAATTTTAATAATAACTGATTAGTTGGATCTTTGTTTTCTATTTCAAACCGATCACTAAACTTTAACAAAAAAACCAATTTCTTAGATATTGGCCAAAATAGTGGATGTTTCAACACTATAGCTGCAGTAGGTCTTTTTTTAGGATCCTTATCAATCATCCTTTTAATTAAGTCTGTTGCTTCTAAAGTTACAGATTTATATTCAATAGTCCTTTTCAGATGGTCCAAATTATAGTAGCCATTAATTATGTTTGATTCTCTTATGAATTTATCACCAAATGGATGTTCTCCTTTAGATAGGACATAATAAAAAACGCATCCCAACGAAAAGATATCAATGGCTCTTGTTAGTCGTTGTTTTGTATACGTATCATAAAATGTACCAGTAGACGAATTTGATAATTCTTGCACACAATCATTTTTATTTAAGGTAGTACTACTCGACATAACATCATTGTTGACTAAACTCCCATTTAACAACTCAGGTGCTCTCCAACCAGTTGTACCTGCTGGGTTATTAAGGTTTGTCCTGAAAGATGACTGGTCGACATCTAATTTTTTGCACAATCCAAAATCAGATATCAATATTCGTATCTTTTCAGTCTCAATGTCCGTATTTTTATCAATAATTTTAGAAACTGCTAATAAAATATTCTGTGGTTTGATATCCCTGTGAATAATCTTTAACAAATGAAGGTACGCAATACCTGATGCAATTTGAAAAAGTATGTTTATAGGATCTAGAGTTTTAATTAATGAATCAGATATTTCAATCTTAGGATTTTTCATTTCAATAATATCTTGTAAAGAGGCATTACAACGTTCTAATGCGATATATAGAAATTTCTCAGTGGTTTCAGAGCAATAATATCTAATGATATTACTATGATTATCACTTTCAGTTAACAGCTCAATTTCTCTTTCAGCTAAATCACAAAAATCTAAAAGCATCCGCTTCACCGCGACTGGTCTTCCTTGAAACTTACCTTCAAAGACTACAGTACCTGAAGAACCATATCCTAAAACCTTATTTGACACAACCAGATGTTTTAAATTGTCTGATACCTCATTATTTTCTAAGGTATTTCCTTTACGTTTATTGTTCTTACCACCCCTAGTGCCACGTTTCCTCTTCTTCTTTGTTATAATGTCCAATTCTTCGTTCACTACTACATCAGGACTAAGATTGTTGACATAGTGATTTGCAGTCTTTGTTACTTCATCAATGATGGTAACCTCATCTGTAGAAGAATTTTGCCCATTTTCTGAAGTATTTACTTCTTTATTGACTTTATTGATATTATCTAAATTGTTAAAAACAGGAGCTATTCCGAATATATTCAATATAGCTCCAATAGGTGGTACAAGGTGAAGCCTTTGTAAGACTCCCAAAATTAGTACTGAAACTATTAGTATCAGACCATTTTCAAAAATTTTATAGCAAAATCTTAGTATATATAGAGCTATTGAAGATTTAATATACTTCTCTTCACGATTGTCCTTTATTTCTTCTTCTAGGTCATTTATTATTTCTTGATTTGGATATATATTCAATTGCTTCGTTGCTAAGGCTTTTGATTCATATGCAACAGAATCAATTAATAACGGCATAGTTTGGGATCTGGTTAAGTATTGATTTGAAAAGTGATAAGATGGTTCTTTAAGTACATGAACACCTATCACAGATGTTCTAAAAAGATTCTCATTTTTAAAAATTGATTCACTTCTCCAATTATCACTAGTTACATATTTTGATAGCGGTGCGGCTTTAACTAGTGATGGATAATTTGTTATAGAGAAAGCCACCCATGATTGATTCTCAATTTGTTCTAAGTAAACTTTACTTCCCTCAGTTTCCTCATCTGATATAGAATGAAATGGATGAGCTACAAGTACAGGTTCGGAAGAATAATTATCCATAAATACATCAAATACTGTTGTAACAATACCTGGGAATTCAGATGATATCCATTTCGCTACTCTCATATGAGTATCCACTGCTAATAATGTCTTATCTCTAAAGGGAGTAATCAGTAACCCATCTCCTGGAATTGTATTTTCATTTGAAAGATGTGAATCCAAAGAATTTGGTTGCCATTCTGCATAGGTTACATTAAAGACAGAGGAAGAATGACTATCAATTTGCAAGTGATAAATTGATTTTCCAATAGTTAGTAAATTTGATGGATGTACAGAATATTTATTGCCGTCATCAGGAAAGCATTTGACAAAATTTCTAGTTCCAAAACCGAATGCAGATATGATATCTCCTGAATTAAGATCAATTGTGTATAATGAACTGGATCTAGACCCTGTAAAGATCTTTTCATCCTCAACTGTAGTACCATAATTATCAACAGGAAGTGTTGCCCTCATATACTCTGGTGAATTGTCAATTAATTGACGTACAGATGCTGGAATTCTCTGTAATCCTTGGTTAGCATGAAAAAAATACAGTAAACCGTTTCTAAAAGGTTCAACAATTAAAGTTTCTTTTGTTTCTACGGAGGATTGCTGCTCTATCTTCACCAAAGGTTCGAATCCAGTAGAATTAAGAGACCATTTTGTTTCACCTGTACTTCTATTGACTGCATGCAAATAACCTTCAATATCTGCTACAATAATTAAGTCAGTTAAAGTAAGATCATTGATTGTTCTCCCAACAAGATATGAAACCGGAAGGGTTGCTATTAATCCGTGTCCATCTTGCACCTTATTTGGAATTGCTTGTGATGGGCGTGTGGTTCTAGAGCTCATTATAGTTGACTCTATTTTATCCAACAATTTATCATTATGAAATTTTGGCAATAAAAGTCGTTGATTAGAGCCAGAGCCTTCTATATTTTTTCTTTGATTTTTTCTCACTAGACTTATTCTTTGCTCTTCATGTTCAGCATCAAAGTTGCTAGACCCTACAGATCTCAATGAACCATTAACCAAATTCAGCAGGAACCATAGTAGCACCAATATTTTAAGATATCTAGATAACTTTATACCATGCATATACTATTGTTTACCTCTGTTTTATTATAATTTAACTAAAATGTAAGATTGTAAAAATAATGTTAAACAAAAGGATAAAATATTTTCTTATAATCCACACTTAATTATATTTCAATCCTTTTAACTTTTATCTTTGGTATGAAATAATAAATTCTTCTAATAACATTCAACTATCTGAAAAAAAAAAAAAAACAAATATAGATCTATATAAGTCGAGCTATATGGAAATTCACTTTAAAAATCTATTGCTTTTGTAAATCCTAAAAGATTTGTTTATTTTGTATTTATGAATACTCTATAAGTTACTAAAACTCTCTACTTATTAGTGATAATAATCAAAATTGTCATGAAAAGTCACAATATTTATCTAAATGGCAATATATATGACAATTAAATATTTTAATTAAACATTACTTTAGTTGTTCTTTCCAATAAATTATAAAAATGTTTGATTCTCCGAATGCTTTTTTTTTGATTTCTTTTTGGTTCTCCAAGAAAATAAAATAAAGAAAAGAAAAATATCACAGTCAAGAAACATGATAGCGTCACTTTCAAAATATCAACACATTAATAGCAATATATGAATAAAACTTTGAAATGATAACAACATGATAACAAAATTGTAGTGCAACAATGGTTAATGTTGTACAGTAATATCAGTTTTCAAATAAATTCTCAAAAAAAAAAACAAAAAAACAGAAGAATATAACTAGTTAAAAAAATAAATGAAAAATGGTCTGATACTTGTATATGGAAATTAATCATCTTTGATAGAGTAGCCAATCTCATCAACCACTTCTTTAAGAGATATCTTCTTATCGTCAGCTACCATTTGGACCATTCTAAGACCTGCATCTCTTAATTCGTTATACGCTTTTAAATCCTTAATATGTGTACCTATTATATCATTTGGACTCAATATTGGTCTAGAAAAAAATTTAATAACAGATACCTACATCTGTAAATACATAAGTATATATATATATATATATATATCAACTAACATTGTTAATAAACTAGTATATAACTATAAGGTTTATTTGCTGCTTTAATTTATAACATACAGATTGTGTACCTTTAATAATGAATCGAATTGTTCTTGTAATAGATCTAATTCTTTTTGTTTTTCTGTTTGGATCATTTTCTCGTATTTGCACACAACTTTAAGAGGGGAGGGGGTTAATAAAACGCTATATCCTTCTTTCTTACTTTCTAATAAAATCTATTGATGTAATCTTCTTTCTTGCAAAATATTCTTTGAAACCTCTTTCTTAAATACTAAAAATATCAGAAAGTAGAAGCTGGTTAATTTAGCCGCTGATGAAAATTCTAGCAAAAAAACAGGCCCTTTCCAAAAAGACTCTAAATTTTTTATCAATATATAAACATAAACATATATATAGATAGAGAAACATAACAGAGATATTGATGATTATGGTACAAACCAAGTAAATTAAAGGTTTAGAAATGATATAGATTATGTATTCATACCTCTAACTTTCTTGTAGTTCTCCCTTCAATTATAACAATCAAAATATGTAACCATATAAGAAACTATATATTAAATCAACTAATTATATATTCGTATACACAATCTATTTTATTTTTTTTATCTCTGTATGTACACCTTCTGTATATTGCTGTATAGGTTAATCTATTGAACTGCATTCAATTTATATGACCTTCTTAATTTACCTTTAACAGAATTTTTTCTAGAAGAAAGAAAATTGAAAAATTTAAAAATAGGAAAAATAAAAAAAAAAAACAATGTTAATGAGAAGGTGAGATAAATATCAAAGGTAACCAAAAAAAACTATTTCTTGTTATAATATAAGTCTACTCCTTTATACCAATACATATTTTGAGAATATTATATATCACATCAGTAACCTATCATTATCTCAACATTTAAGAAAGCACACGCACACGCAAAATGGATCAAGATTTACAAAAAATTAAACCTTATATAAATAATCTTAAACGTCATCTTCAAACATTACAACCAGATTTGCAGCATATGGTAAAAGAGTCATTAAATGATAAATTAGTTATTATGACGAGTGAGTTAGATAAGTTAGATTTGGTTAACAATTACTGTTATATTTTGAATTCTTTGTTATTTGCTTATATGAAGTTACTTGGTTGCAAACATTTGGATAAAACTATTATGATTGAGTTAAATAGATGCAAAGAATATATGCAAAAGGCTAAAAATTTACAAATAAAAAAAATAAAAACTGAAAGTGATAATATTAATAAACAAACGAAATTGAAGTCTTCAATTGTAGCATCGTTAAAACAAGAACCAGCCATCAGCAAAAAACACTTTCAAAATACTGCTACCACTGAAAATAATAACAATGATAGAGTAAATAAACATATCAAATTTGAAGATAGCAAATATGAAAAAGAATTATTGATAGAGAAAATTAACTCTACTCAAAAGAAGAAAAAAGTTATGGGTAAGAATAGGATAAGTAAATGATATATATATATATATATATATACATACATGTATATATGTCTACGTTCATATGTACGATATAATAAATAGCATTATCAGATCACACAATTTAATAATATTATATCAGTATTATATACTAATGTATGAAGTTCTATATATATATATATAATTTCATATATACATAGGTACTTTCCATAATAATGAGCATCATAAAAAAATAATAAAAGAAAGAGACTGATTGGCAAAAATATTATTATTATTAGTATTTTTATGACTATGACTATAACTATATAAATGTGGTGTCAAATAATTTCTTCTTGTTGTGATTGTTGTTGTAATAACCAATTATTCTTATATTGCTCTAAAGAGCCCACAATTTCATCTTGTAGTGTGGTAGATTTCCTACCAGCTCTAAATTTGTTTAATTTATCATAATCCGATTTATTATCATAAATTTCATATGGACCAAACACTGTTCTTCCATTATTTGAAGCCACTTCTTCATCCTCTTCAAATATTATGGCTTCAGTATTAGAATCTGCAAATGCATATTCATTTTGCAATGATGTTGTAGATTGGGATGGATTCATTAATATGTTGAAAGATTGTATTTTATCGTGAGAATTATCTGCTGTGTTCTTTTTTTCATTATTTTTTTCATTAAAATTATTATCATAGCTGATTTGATTATTTGACACATTTAATACATGTTCATAAGGTGGAGACGACGACGATTGTTGATTCATAGAAGCTCTTCTATGATGAGGTGGAATGTAAACCCCAGGTTTAAATGTTTTTGAATGATTGTCACCAAAAGATGATCTATGAAGAACACCACCATTAATAGGCTGATTATAGTTGTTGTTAACCAATGAATTGACCATGTCATCATGATGAATTTCATTAGTTACAGGCGATTTCAATAAATCTGGTAAATAGTCATTCGTAACACTTGGGGTACCACCTTTAGTAACTAATCTTCCTAATGTATTTGATACTGTAGACTCATCGGAAGTGGAGAAATGCTGAGACACTAAAACCGAAGGTACTGAATTTGAAGATGGAACATTTAATAAATCATGACCAGCAATGTTTGCTGTGTTTCCATTATCATGAATATGGTCATGACTCATCATACCCATGTGTGCAGTGCCTGAATTTATTGATAAAGAATTGAAATTTTTAACTAAATCGGAATCATTTTCATCTAATGTAAATAATGCATCGTCAGATTCATGACCATCATCATTTAATATGCTTAATTCATGAGAATTATTTTTCCTTAAATTATTAATATTATTGTGATTACTATCGTTATTATCATAACTGTTATTGTTATTGTAATTTCTACTACTGATACTACTACTATCACGACTATTATGGGAATTCACAGAACCTGGAGAATTATTATAATGCCCATTATCCAAAACAGTAGAGATATCAGGAATATTATTATATGTTGATAGAGATGCATATGCTAGATTCGGTAAAGGGCTATTACCACTAGCATGACTAATTGAATTTCTTTGGTTTGGCGGAATATATGCTCCTGGTGAATGTGTTGTTAATGAACTACGCCTAAAGAAACCTGATGTTAATGAACCATTGTTGAAGCTATTTCTTTGGCCATGCGAACTTTTAAGAGTTGACACATTATAACCTGAATTACCTGTTGTACTTGGTCTTCTAAATTTATTGTATTTAAAACTGTTGCTTAAACCATTATTTTGGTTATAACTACTATGCCAACCTTTATTAGCACCATAAATTCCATGAGGATTGATATTATTATTATTATTAGTGTTTGTTGTCAAGTAATACTTTGATTTATTTTTACGGTATTTATGATCGAACACACCTTCCATATATCTATTTTGAACACTAGGTGGAGTAAAAAAGTCTCTTGTATTAAAATTAGATTTATCTTTATTCTTTTTATAATCATGGAAAAAATTATTAATATGTGTATTTGGTGTTGGTATACCCAAGGGTTTTCTAGAATTTTTAATAATCTTTGATTTATTCCTATTTCTGATTTGAATTGGTTTAATATGATATCTACCATTATTTTTCTTCTTACCACGGTTCTTTTTATTATTACTACTGTATTTGAATTTCGTATTAGATTTAGATATATCTGAAGGATCATTTTTATGTGAGCCTTTATTATTTGGATTTGTATGATGATCATGCAAATTATCTTGAACAGCATAAGATGTAGGAATTTCTAAATGCTGGTTAGAATTATTGTTTTGTGATATTAGTTGGGAGGTAGAATCTTTAATCTTTTCTTTAATTTCTATATTATTAGCAGCAACTGCAGTTGCTACTGTATTATTGTTATCAATTGATGCAGCTGATTTATCCATATCTACGTCAATCGACTGATTTTTTGTATCATTTGAAGGTTTTAATGAGCCAACAGGTGTAGGTAAAGATACCGGCGGTTGAACAGCATTTGATGCAGACTCAGAGACTTCGGTATCGTACTCAGTTCCACTGCTTCCGTATCCATAGTTTTCTTCTTCTTCTTCTTCAAGGTTGTTGTAATATTCATCATCAAAAGTATATTCATTTAGATTATCTAATTCAACCCTGATTTGTTTCAAATCTCTATTCATTGGATCAATTGTTAAACAATACCGTAAAACTTGAAAGAAATCATATGTCATTGATGAAAAGACATCAAACAGTGCTTCTCTGTTAGCGGCAAAATAACAAAAAGATTTGTCTGATTGATTGGCTACACTAAATGGATTTTTATGGAAAACAATATTTAAGAAAACAATCCCCATAGCCCAAAGATCTACTTTATCACAATGATAAGGTTCTTTCCTTTCTTCAAGATCCAAATTTGATTCAAACAATTCTGGTGCCATATATCTTTCTGAACCGATAGATCTATCCATTGACGTTTTGTTCGTGGTTGCTAACCCCCAATCTGTCAACTTGATTGTCCAATCTATCCCAGTAATCAAAATGTTTTCAGGTTTAATATCTCTATGATAAATATGCTTATTATGAACATATTCAACAGCATCGAGTATCTGTGATATGATATGAGTGATTGCATTAGTTGACCTTGGCACAATATCATCTTTAATAGCCTCATATAGATCACCACCTGTACAATACTCTAAAATGATGTAAGAATCAAAGAAATCTAATAGCTGTACAATATTATTATGTTTACCAATTTTAGTTTGTATATCTACTTCATACATAGCTTCAAAACATACATCATTAGACATCTTAGATTTAATGTTAGAAGATATCAGTGATTTATCAGTATTTTTATTAGTAGATTTATTTTGAACATGGAATTTTTCTTGACTTGAATCATAGTTTCTATCAGAATAGTTTTTATCAGAATCATAATTATCTGATCTATCTTCGTCTTCGTCTAGTTTAAAGATATATTTAACAGCAACCAATTTTTTTTCCTTGAGATCTTTAGCCAAAGACACATAGCCATAGGAACCTTCACTTATATCTTCAATCTTTTGATACCTATCTTTTAAAATCCCACCTTCCTTATAAATTTCATAATCAACAGTCATTTTAAAATAATGTCAAATCTGAACACTAATAATAATGAGAATAATTAAAGCAAACAGAAAAAGAAGAGGAAGTTTTTATAAATTATTGATATGATACCACTAGGTAGATAAATTATCTACGGAGCTTAACAGAAAACAGAAATGGATAAGTATAATAATAATGATAAAAAAATATCTATGTTAGATATTACGAACCTGTAAAATCCAATATCCTTTAGTCAATGTATATATTATTACTATTATTATATCAGTTCACCAAGATAAATAGTATTAAAACATTCAGATTAAACAAATAATCAATAACACAAAACAGAAAACAAACAAAAAACAACAACAATAAGGTCAGTTAACCACGCGAACAAAACACAGATACTCCTTATTATCTAATATATGGTGTGATATGATATGCTATAATATAGTGACTATAATTTCAAAACCATATATAGACGGAACCTTATAGAGACACTAGGGTTTAAGGTGATTAAACAAACAACTGTAAATAGTGAGCATGAATATATATTAACCATTTAGGTTGTTCTAACTTCCTTTTCGATTCAAAGATCAAAGATATTGAAGACAACACAAACACAAAAAAAAAAAAGAAAAAGAAAAACTAACCGAACAACAATAGAAAAGAAAAGAAAAGAAAGGGAAAGAAAGAGAAGGAAAAAAAATTGGCTCCAAGAATATTTAGACAAAGTGAACCTATACTCATGATAAAACTTGTCTATGCATAGTTTTTATGTGTCATTATAGTTAACTCCCAAGGGATTAAACATACTGATACAATTAAATCTTAGAAAATACGTATATATATATATTACAACGATGACAATGTCATTTATTAAATTTTTAAGCAAATTTCCAATCAAACAATACGAACCAGAGGACATATTTGATTATACCTTGGACCAAGATTTATCGAAAAAAGCTTTTACTATACGGCTGCTAATACTACTACTACCACTAATAGAGATGGTATTCCATCTTTTACTTTACTTATTAATAAATACAATATAGATCCGAAGAGTAACACAATATATTCTTCTGATCCTGATTCTTTATTTATTCAATGCCTATTAGCTAAAAAATATCACTTATCATTGCCAATATATAACAAAAACACTAATACCACAAACAACAAATCAAATGCAAAGATATTATCTGTAAATACAGAAAATCTACCGATATTACTATTATCATCATGCGATTCTTCTTCTTCTTCTTCCTCCTCCTCTATTAGAAAAAATAACAATAGTGATGGTAATTATATAACAATGGATGAACTAATGAATGAGGTCAATATTAAATACTTCACAATCAAGGAAAGACAATGGTCAAATATTTTAGATTCAACTGTTTTATCAGTATGGAAAACACAAATTGATAGTAAAAATAACAATTATTATAGTAATACTACTATGATCGATCATTATACTTATGAAAAATCTAAATGTTGTTCGATTTTAAATTTATTTGAAAAGGAATATGCGAATTTATTCAGTGGCGATGATAATACATATATTAAATTGAAATTAGACACATTAATTTATTGTATTTTGCATGGTCCACAAGTTCCCATAAAGGATTACATTCAATTAACTTGTCCAACATTATCTAAGATAAAAATCCCTTCAGTATACTAGGAACAAAAGCATAACAAGAAAAACGAACACATACCTGTTAATATATATATATTGTTTGTGTTTGCATTGCATTATGCATCCAAACACCCTACATTCTTCTTCAATTTCTTTCTGTTTCTTTCAAAGTTGTTAAGAATGTTTCACTTTTTGTTCAGAAGAATTTTTTTTCTCCAAAAATAAGAAAAATGAAAAAAAAGAAAATATTTTGCAGGTTCTGACAATTTAAATTAAGAAGAATTTGGGTTCATTAGGAATGTTTCAGCTGGATAATACACCTCTTCCTGGTTGGATTCTCGTGATCTTTTTGCTCCTTTACATTTGAATTTTAATTAACTTAACTCTATTTCAAATCCATATTTAGAATATTCTTATGTATATTAATGTACAAACAATAACGAACGATTAATAATATTTTTTTTTTTGACAAATTTTTTTCAGCACATTGCTTTTTAAATGCCTATGGTGAAGATATGATAACACAGGAAAGTGAAAATACAAAAAAAAATAGAGATCTAGATAATAAAGACCCCAATGACAAAACTATTACCTCAAGTTCATCCCAAAAAGCAGATAAAAATTTAATACAGACAACATACGTCAGAAACGATCAAGAAATACAGAATGCATTAAATCAATTGGATGAATTATATTTTTTCATTAGGACTGCACCTGTTCGATGGTCTTCGGATCAGCTAATGAGAAGATATTATCTTACTGAGGAATTGGGTTTCATCACATGTATCCTTTGGAACAATCTGTTTTATATCACAGGTACAGATATCGTCAAGTCATGTATCTATCAAATGGAACAGTTTGGTAGACAAATAGTTCAAAGAAAAAAATTTGAAGAAGGTATATTTTCAGATTTAAGAAATTTAAAATGTGGTAAGGATGCAATCTTGGAACAACCAAAATCAAATTTTTTGAGTTTTTTATTTAAAAATGTTTGCTTAAAGACTCAAAAGAAACAAAAAATATTTTTTTGGTTCAATGTGCCACATTTACAATTATTTATAGATGCTTTGTGTAGAGATCTTAAACGAGAAGAATCCAATCAGTTGGCCACAACTAAAGCTATCTCTGAACCTGCACTATCATTTAAATACAATCCAAATTCTAATGTTCCTTTAATGGATCAGTTGATATCATATCTTAATAACGGAAAAATAAATGGATTTACCAATATGATTACTGATTTAGAGGATGACAATGGTAATAATAGTGATATTACTACTAATGATACCACTAATAATAATTATAAAAAAAATAGAAGTAACACAAATAGATTTACAAAGAAAGAGAGACAGACAATGTTAAATTCCACCAAACCTAATTTATCTCTTCCTTTGAATAATTCTTCTATTAATAATCACATAAATTCAGAAAAGACATATGCTGTAATAGATGAAAAAATAAATACCAACAATAATAACAATAATAATATTGTCACCCACACATTAATATTACATGATAATTCAAGATTAGAAACATATAATAATGATGATGATGTCCAAAATTCTGTCTCTAATAATTTTAATGAACATTTTATGAAAACCAACAATAATAATAATAAATATAATATCATTCCAGATAGAAATACCAAAAAGAATAATAACAAGTTATTATCTCCGTTAAATATAAGTTTTAATAATAGTATAGATAATTTAAATGATCAAGATTTTCCCTTAGATTATTTACCTGTAATTGATGATGTCCTAATTAATAATAAACAAGGAACTGATAATCAAACTTCTATGTCCTTAGATAAGGAAATACCGTATCCAAACATAAATAAAGATCAAACTAGTTATGATGAACGCAATAATAGTAAAAATGATGACAGCACTGCCATAAAAGAAGAAGACGAAGATAGTGATGATGATGAAAATGTGGTGGTTCCAGTAACAGTGGCAAATTTTGATAAAAATAATAGATATTCTAAACCATACCGATTACATAATTTACTAGAAAGCATACACCAAGTGGCTAATAAAGGATATTATATGATAAATAAAGTAAACTCAATGTCAAGAGATTCCAAAAACAGAAGTTCTAATGAGATAGAAGTCACTGTGTTTCCATATGACATAGGGTCCAATAAAAATATTTCTACGGATAATATTGATATTAATAACAGTAATAATGAAGCATCGATTAATAAAAATCCATCAAGTATAGAGAATTGTAAAAGTGAATATCCTATCAATGAATCGATACCTTATAATCAGCATGGAGATTTCTCCTCACACCAAACAGTACCCAAAACTAATTTAAAGATCAACGATTCTTTGTTATCAATACAAGAAAACTTATCAAATCTGCGTGATGAATATACACTTTGGGGAAACTCTGTATTACCATTTCAATCATATAATACATCTATAAATCAGCATCTGATATTTAGACAAGCACCATCATATCAAGAAATTTACAACAATTCAATTACACCAGTCACCAAGTTCAATCCATATATAGGACAATCACCATGGGGATCGAGCTATCTTTCAAATTCAGTCTTTGGGATAAATTCACCACCCGGGCTTAATCATACTGTATCACAACCATATCAAACACAATCAACAATCTCATTATCGGGATCTTCATCATCTATGGATAAAAACAAAATTAGTGGTAAAATTAATATACAACCGTATATTATGAAGTCTATGGAATCACCTACTCACCAAATCAAAAGACAGAAAAAATAAATAAACATAAATATAGAGAGACAGTAAATAATATAATCAACTTGTTTTCTTTACTAGTATAAACCATATATATAATTTATAAACTGGTTTTTATTAAAAGGAAAGATAGACATTTGTATTAGTAGAGAATTAATTTAAATCTTCCACATATTATGATATACATTATTTAATATATATTTTGTTATAGATAATCTCCAGACTCATTTGATCTCGTTCTGCTGCATAGGTGAATGTAAACACATAAATAGACAAATAAATGCATGTATATATCAATGAAATAGGTATGTTAGTTTTCTAATTAGGATTCTGAAACATTCTACAGATACAGTTAGGTCTTGGATAAAGTTAATGTCAATTAATTCAATTTTTTACTTTTTCTCCTGTGTGTGTTCAGTTATGTCAAAAATCGACAGGAAAAAAAAAAAAAACAAAAATTAAAAAATCAAAAAAAAAAAAGAAAAGGCATGATTTGAAATGAAGATAAATCATTAAGTATCTTCGACTGTTAATACTGATCATATGTATGTACATTAAAAGTATCACAGATATATAGAAAGTAAATGGATATATGTATACAATTTATTTTATTTTAAATATACAAAAGCAATCTTAAAATTTGACAGGCAAACAAAATAAAACATAAAACTAAGATTGATAGATTGTAATTTTGTACATCATCACAAAAAGCTGTTGCTGTGGGGTTCCATAAACAGGTCTTAATAACTATCCATTTAGTATCCAATCCAGCCATATTTATTAGATAATTTGTTTCATTTTTGTTTATTACAGAAAAAAAAAATACACATACGTTCATATATAGTCGAAATGTCATATATATATCAGAAACAAAATAATCATTATTTGCGTAAACAAAATTATAATCAAAACCGAAGTCATTCTTATTATAATTATAACAGTAACAAGACATATTATACCAATCATAATGTTAACATTAGTAACAATATTGATAATACGAGACCATATCAATCTAGGTATAAACATGGAATGAGTAATAGTAGTAATAGTTATATAGATGCTAACTCAGGAACTAATGAGAATGGTCTAACAACCTTATATATGGGTGATTTGGATACAAATTGGGATGAATCAGTTATAAGTAATCTCTGGAAATCAATTGGTGTTACTAACATTAATCTAAAGATGATGTGGCAACCTAATACGAATAATAGATTAAATCAAGGATATTGTTTTATAGAATTCCCAACCAATAAAGAAGCATCCTATGTGTTATTGAATTATAACGGGACACCAATTCCGAACATCCCAGATAAATTCTTCAAATTAAATTGGTCAAATAATTTTAGTAATAATGCTAATAGTCATAAAAATAACGAAATTACCTCTGTATTTGTTGGAGATTTAGCTCCAACTGTTACCGAAACCCAATTATTTGAGCTATTTAATAGCAGGTATAAATCAACAGTCAGTGCAAAAATAATTATGGATTTAAGTACAGGTTTGTCAAAGGGATATGGCTTTGTAAAATTTAGTGATCCTCTGGATCAACAAAATGCCTTAGTGGAAATGCAAGGTGTATATTTCAGTGGTAGAGCAATAAAATTAGGTCAAGGGAATAATAACAGTAACAATATGACAGTTTCTGCATCCAAAAACAACAATTCTAAATCTTATGTTTCCACTTCATCACAACAATTACCAAGAACACAATTTGTTGTTCCCAATCAACATGTACCACAAATAAACCATTTCACTGATCCAAACAACACTACTGTATTTATTGGTGGATTATCCTCTAGTGTCACTGAAGATGAATTAAAAAGTATTTTTGAACCATTTGGGCCCATGGTATATATTAATATACCAAAGGGAAAAGGTTGTGGATTTATTCAATTTGTAGATAAACAGTCTGGAGAGGCCGCTATATCCAATATGCAAGGTTTTCCTATTGGAAATTCTCGAATAAGATTGTCCTGGGGAAGATCTTTTAAACAGTATAATAATAACTTTAATAATCATAGTAGTAGTAATAGCACTAATAGTAAGAAAAACTTATATCTGAAACAACCATCTATACCTAATCCAATCTATACTACACATTTTGCACATCTAAAAATAGGTGATAACACTACTACTACTACTACTACTACTACTGCTAATATAAACACTAATAGTAATAAAAATGACGTTTTAGAATTTTTACCTGGTTTCCAAAACAATTATTTCATAAATGAAAATGTTTTAACAAATAATATCATTAATGGCAATAATAATATTAGTAGCATACATAGTTTTGATAGACTAGAAAATAGAAGTAATAGATATTTGTAATAACGACACAAAATAAAATAAAAAAAAATTGTAATAAACTAGTAATAAAATAATTAGTATATATATATATATATATATATATTCGTTTGTTTTCTTTTTTTTATGTTTTTAAATGTTATAGAGATAGAACTATATAGCAACATCTATTGCAATTAATGCTTTTTACCCTAAGTGATTTAAGACAATTGTTTAGAAAAAAAAAGAAACACCGTAAATAACCCCCATTTTCTGCTCAACTGACAAATGAAATTTCTCTTTTTGTACTACTCTTTTATAAGTGATAAGGATACAAAGTATAATATTGTAAAGGGACTCGTAAACATTCAATCATGTATGCTATTAAATATGTCCCTTCAAATGTTGTATATACTGACGTGTTAGATATACATTGTTCTAAATATTAAAAATGACGTATGTCAAGATATTAAAAAAGGATTACTTGAAGGAATAGTTAAAAGTATAATCACCGCAAAATATTATATATATACATATATATATATATATATGCATTCTTAAAAAAAGTGGATAGATAAAATTGTTTCTTGCTTATTATTGGTCTATATGCTTTTTTAGTAAAAGAAATTTTTTTTTATTTAGATATGCTTATTTTTGCACCTCATCTACTCTATCGATTTGTTATCCATAAAAGAAAACATCACATTACTAATCATGCATGGTCCAAGTGAATTTTTTAACAATAATAACCAAGACACACATATGAAAAATATGGCAACAAAACCTAACCATAAGACGGAAGTGGGTCAATTTTTCTATAAAGGTAAAGATAGTGATCTAATAGTTTTTGTAAAATCTGAAAATGCAGTAGACAAATATTTAGAATCGCCACTTGTTGAAAATTTGGCAGACTGTGTTGAAACTTTTCAAATATTTACTAATATGGATTCTGGTTCAAGAGGCCATAGAGGAGCATTGGGGGAAGCTTCAAGAGCAGCTGTCGAAAATGAACTAGGTAAAGGTATAGATCAATTTGGTGCCATTGATTTAATACTTAAACAGGGTAAGTATACAGGTACAATGTCTGAAATAAGAAGAAAAGATAGAATGAAAGAATAATTATCACATTTAGATCTATGTATATTCCATTTATATATTAACAATAATAAATATGTTTTGTGGATACAATCTTCTTGTTTTGATTCTATTGTTGAGGCGTAGAATGTTAACACATGTCTATCTCTTATTTTCTTCCTTCCTGTAAACAACTATACATTATGAAATTCACCATCGCATCTCATCGCAAATTTAACGAAAACAAAAAAAAAAATTTTTTAAACAAACTTTATAGTGAAAAGTGAAACGTATATATTATGTGAAATTGGAAGATAAACCAGATATGTGATAAACAATAAACTTAGTTGAGTAGGGACTAACTATTTTGCAGTTGTATTTCCTATGAATATTATAAAAAAATAAAAAAGCTGCAAAATAGGCAATAAGAATATTAAATAAATACTTGGCAGCATTATTTAAAGCACCAACAGTAACAATAAATAATATATAAAAAAATGGCAGCTGAAGAGATTAGAGTCAAGAATAAAATGAAAAGACAAGCACTATTTGCTTCATTAAAAGACGAAAAGAATAAAGAACGTCACTCGATGAGAAGGAAAAGAGCTAAAGAGGAAAGAGAAAATCCAGAGCTAAAAGCTAAAAGATTAAAAGAAAATGTGCCAAAGACCATTGATTCTATGAGAGTATTTGATGAAACCATAGGGGAATCTATTGAAGAAGATGAAGACGATTTAATGAAATCCTTTAATAATATAGGTGATGGGAAATCACCCAAGATTTTTTTAACTACAAATGTAAATGCAAGAAAGTGTGCATATGAATTTGCTAATGTTTTGATCGAAATTTTACCAAATGTAACATTTGTTAAAAGGAAATTTGGATATAAATTGAAAGAAATTGCAGAAATGTGTACAAAGAGAGATTTCACAGACATGATTATTATAAATGAAGATAAAAAAAAAGTTACCGGCTTAACCTTTATGCACTTGCCAGAAGGACCAACTTTTTATTTTAAATTAAGTTCATATGTAGAAGTAGAAAAGATTGTTGGACATGGGAAACCCACCAATCATATACCAGAATTAATATTAAATAATTTCCAAACAAGACTTGGCAAGACTGTTGGTAAACTATTTCAGTCTATTTTACCACAAAAGCCAGATTTCGAAGGTAGACAAGTAATTACATTACATAATCAAAGGGATTATATTTTCTTTAGAAGACATCGTTACATTTTTAAAGAAAATGAAAGAGTTGGGTTACAAGAATTAGGTCCGCAATTCACATTAAAATTGAAACGATTACAAAGAGGTCTTAGAGAAGAAACTGAATGGGAACATAAGCCTGAAATGGACAAAGATAAAAAGAAATTCTATCTTTGATAAAGAAAACAAAGAAAGAGTACCATATATCGTATATCAAATTGTTATTATATATAAACATATATAAGGATATATCACCTGTAGAAAAAAATTTGACCATATCTTTTAATATATCTCTAATATTCAATATTTGCGGTAACTAAATAATACTGCATAATAACAATAATCTATTATCTGTCACATATATATCATCATCGGAAAGAACAAGGTGATATACGGTTATTAAGTAATAATAGATATTACTTCAAATAAAACCCATACATCTTTGGAAAGAATTTTGTCAATATATTTAGTTTTAATTAAATATATACAAATAATGATTAATACCAAATAAATAATGTAGAGTCTATTCAAAATAATAACGAGAGATATATTCCAATAACCTTCTATAAAAAGTTACTTTACAGCTCTGTAAGTGTATATGATTAATGTACGCTATACATAAACAACTATAAATCCAAATATTTAACGAATAATAAAATTCAATGTTAACAATTTTTCTTTTCTGGAGTTTGATCTTACTCAAATTAATTTCTGCTTTAACTATTAAAGGTCAGTTGGATGTGACACCATATAATCTATCAACTTTTAAAATAAGTAATACACGTTTTAGATTACAACAAATCGGCTCCCTTGATAGCAACAAACACCCTATTAAGGCAACTGCATATATTCAAGATCCAGATGGCTCATTTGAATTTAATAACATTGAAGTGGATGAAAGGATAAATAAAACTACCCGGTTTGTTATATATCCTCTATCAAAAGACTTTAATGTGAAACCAAATAGAGTACTTGTGGAATTCTTCATGAATGAGAATGGTACTTTGGAGACAAAAGGCTTCAGAAACTATTTTGGTAGAGAATATTTTCCATCAAAAGACATTAAATTCCCAGAAAAATTGGATCCTATTGATATCAAACCAATGGTAAGATTCTCTTTGGTACAAAAACAACCTTTTAGAAATTATTTACAAGTAAGAAATCCCGGTGTTTTAAAAAGCGGTATGATTGCTAATATATTGCATTCTCCTTGGAAAATGGCATTAGTGTTTATTGCTCTAACAGTCATTATCTTTCCAATATATGTAGAAAATTTTGATCCAGAAACGGTTAAGTTGATGAAGGAACAAAGACGAAAGCAACAAAGAGAAAAATATCAAATTCCAAATTAATTATTAATATAGTATTGACTAGTCTAGCAAAATATTATGTACATATACATACATACATATGTATATGTATATTTTTCTTGCAGAAGAAAAAAACATAGAGGAAAAAGAGATCTTTATTTCTATTTTATATGTATATACATATTACGAAGACAAATTAATTTATAAAACATGTACTTTCTATAAAAAATCTAGCATTTTGAGAATAACAACATTCTTGTAAGATTTTATACACAATTTTAACTACAATGCCACTGTTTACGAACGTTTCAATACTCGTATATATATATACGAGTATTGATATGTTTAATATCATTTAATAAGTCTCAATTATAAGTTATATTCTAATAAGATCGAAGATTCTATAAAAACCATTCAATAATACTGGTTGATAAATAATAAAACAAAAGAGAGAAGAAGATAGCATACCCAATGATCATTCAGGACGTAATTTTTTTAATGTTTTATTTTTATTGTTACATCTTTCATAAAGAAACAAACCTGCTGTATTGACAAACAAACCAAATATTTGTAGAAATGTTATTGGACCGCCAACAAACAACCAACTGACAGAAATAATAGCTATTCTTTTCATTAAATTTGCAATTGAATATGTCAATGTAGATACTTCACCTAGTAGGTGGAATGTGATCATAGCTTGAATAAAATGGAATGTCCCATTTACAATAAACAATTTCCATGGTATAGTCTTAATATGATCCGATACTTCATCATGACATATATGTCTCCATACAATCGGTAATTCTAACGTAACAAACCAACCAAAAGATAAAAGAAATCCGATGACTGAAATATAAATCATTAATGTCATTTTATCATATTTCTTAGATTTCGTTGGTTGTGTGTTTACTGAATGATTCTCTTCCTTATAAAGGGGTAACGGGGAATCTTCGTGATGTAAATGCTTTCTCTTGTCAAATTCGGTTAAAGGAGTGCTTTTGAAGGTGAAAATACTCTTACCATAAATGTTTTGTACCACAAAGACAAGCATAGAAATCACAGCACATATTAAGCCATATGTAGAGTAACTGGTTGAAGATGCTGTTTGTTTTTTCTTGTGATATTTGCTATCCTCGTTAACAATAATCCAAACTCCAAGAACTAATGAAGTTAAACTAAGAGTTAAGGTTTTGTTGATTTTCAAAGTTTTAATATGTAGCAATTTTTGAAACATCAAAATAAATAGAGGTGATAATGTCTTTATACTTGCCACTGTAGACACAGGGACCAAAGAAGTAGCTTTGTGGCCAAAATATTTCCCTACAAATTGAAATAAACCTAAAGGTAAAACGGTCTCAATAATATGTTTTGTTGGTTTTGTGATTGCTAATAAGAAATTTGCATTGTCATAAGTTTTAAGACCACCATATGAATTATAATCAGGAAAAGTTCCTTGGGGAAAAGTATTTTTAAAATTTGGGGACATATATGCAATTTGACATGATATAGAAGCTAAAAATGCTGTGAAGACAAACTGAAATTCCCCTAGAAACAATGGAAGCGGACATAGAGTTAAAATATGTTTTGTTACTTGTGATGCTAAAGACGAAATAACATACCAGCATATACACAGGACAACAATATGTAAATATGGACGTAGTCTAGATAACATTGTAAATCTTTAAAATTGTTTAAACAATAATTATTGTTTCTAACGTACCACTAATAAAATTTTTTTTATCTTTTGTATTTCTTCTGGCGTTTTCGTTATTGTCTTATTAAAGTCACTATGCTTACCGATAATTTAACTAAAAAATATTTTCAATTAATTCAATGGAATCTGATCTTGTTTCTCTTTTGCTTAACTAACGTTCTTTTTTTTTATTTGTTTATTCTAATAGATTTGTTTGTTGATCTCTTATAAAAATAATAAATAGCGATGCCCGCATATTACAGAAAAAAAAAAAGAACTTTGCATGAGAAAAAAAATCTATGCTCGAGAAAATAAGAACTAAAACGTTAATAAAAGATCTATTTAGTAAAGTGAGTGGTATAGTAGAAATCCACATCACATATGTGTGAGAGTGAATGTAACTATATGCAATTAATTGAATTCTATAAAATATGTACGTATGTATATGCAAAAAAAAGAATAGAGCATTAAAAAGATAATTCGAATAAAAATAAAATGGGAAAAGAGAAATAACTTTTTAGCACTAGATAAATCTTTTCAAAATGTCCATTTTTCGAATTTCTTCTTCGAATTCATTTTTATCTATTGAAGTTTGAATCATTTTAACTACATGTTTGGTCCTTCCAGTTGCTCTACCGTGGTTCATAGTAACTACACCACAAGTTTCTAAATTGTTGGCAATCTCAATGAATTCATTTCTGTTTAATGGTTTCATAACAGAATCTCTCCTCTTTAAAAACTGTTTATAATAATCGTATGCGGTGTCCAAAGAGCAGTTGTTATGGAAAACGTCGATGGATTCACGGTTCACCAAGGAACACAATATAATCCGTTGTTGCATGTTTAATCTTGAAATCCGCGATCTCGTAGAGACATTATTATTAATCTGTGAAAATACCTTAGCCACATGTGGCATCCCAACTTTGATTAATTTGAAACCATTTGTTACCCCTCTTGTGGCATCATTTCTTTCTATACCTGTTTTTATTTTGATCTGTTTAATCACTTCTAGTTCCACTAGTTCAATGCTACTTCTTAAAACGTCGAAGAGCTTCCTTATATCACCAGTAGAACCAGAACATTTCTTAGAGGCGAATTTTATGGCAACTGGATTGAAAATGCAGTCATCAACTCCATCTACACCTGCACCTATGTCTGCATTATCAGATATTTTGATTGTTTTGATACGGTCCATTACAATCTTAAACATCTCCTCTGACGAGTAAGGATGAAACACAATAGTACTTGGTAACAACTCTTGTTTCAAATTCAGTCTGGAAAGAAATCTATCCTTTAAATCCAAACTGTTAGCCACCCCAACTAAAAGAAAGTTACAAGATGGTGATTTTGCCAATAGGAACAAATCTAAGATAATTTTTGTGGCCATAGTATCATTATTGGAAGAGTACAACAGTTTATCTATTTCATCAAGGACTACTAAGAAAGTGATTTTTTTATTAAAGGATTCCATGTAGTGTTTCAGGTCTTCTATTGTTCTGACTGGTTTTTTCGTATTATCTGTGACATTAAAGGATTCGTATATTTGGTTAAAGACCATGCGTGGTTCACTCAATGCGATACAATTGATCAGAGTGGCTACTACGGATTTATGTTGGCCGTTATTCAATTGAAAGTAACATTGGTTTCTCAGATTGGGAAACAATTCGATGTCATAGTTATTATTATTATTATTATTATTATTACGACTCTTATGGGAATTGATCAATTTTTGCTTATTTTTGGATTGTTTCTTTTGTCGAATAGCTATAGGTAAGAATCTATTTCTTATGATGGAACTCAACTGAGCAGTCTTCCCAGTCCCTGGAGGACCGGTGATATATAGAGAGGAGCTAATATTATTTGAGATATTTGAATCTAAGAAGTCGATAATTCTATGAAATTGTTCTTCACGAGTAATTAAACATCCAGTCTCAAATGCAAATAGACCAGCAGATCTTTGCAATAAGGACTTAGTCCTTGAATATATGGAGTCTTTACCAAAGACAAGTTTCTGTGGGGAAGGAGCTGGAGAGATAGGCGATAGTTGTTGTCTTTTACATGGGGTTTTCAGACTGGAGTTATCTCTTTTGTTACTATTGTTATTGTTGTTGTCATCACGGTCTGTTTCACTAAATAATCTTTTTTTAACGATATTTAATTTTTTTGAAGAGGAGGAAACAGAGTCTGGCGTCAATAGCAAGGTACTATCATTTGATATAATTTGTTTTTCTGGAGTAAGAAATTCATCTGAATGTTTATTGTTGCTATGATTTCTCAGTCTCATTGATCTTCGTCTGGTGTTCATTTCTATGCAATGTTAAATTTTTTTTTGAAATGCAGATAATGTTTTGGTATCTAGTTATTTTCCAAGTACCTTGATTGAAATGTCAAAGGAAGAGATGCTGCGTATACATATATATATATAGAAAAAGAGAGAGAAGAGAAAAGAGGGAAACAATAGGTTGCCGAAGACAACAAATTTAAAAATAAGATTCTTGATAGAGCGTTATATTAATAATATATAGTATTAATATGTATGTACATATATATGTAGCAACAGAGATCTAATGCAGAAAGGTCATCGAGAGAACAAAACGCGTTAAATCAAGATTTGCTACTTTTTTTCTTAATTTTTTCTTTTTATTTTCATACATTTTTCTGTTTTTTTTACCTAAAAGAGAAAATAGCGCTATTGTGTGTCTTTTCGAGAAGAGAACAATAGGAATTTGCTGGGTTTTGTTTCGAAAACACACACAAAAAAGGGGAGAAAAAGAGAGACAAGATCCAGTTTATTACCTGATTAGGAAAACATATTGGGATTCGAACAAAAAAACTGCGTAGTGCCATCAAGAATCACTACGTTTACCCAAAAAGGAAATAAAACATACAAAATTTGTACAAAGAGAAATTGAGAGAATTGCAAGAATTAAAGAGAGAAAAAATGTAGGCAGCTCCACATCTTTGGTATCCTGCATATGGTACATGTGTTTTGTGTATATGACATAAACACAAACATCAATAACTACTACAGAGTGTTTGTTTCTCTTTTCCTCTTCTTCTTTCTCTCAGAAATTTTTAACGTACAGTGTGATCGTTTGGTACGATCCAAATGTCTCGAGAAAGTCGGTTTGTACAAATAGTTTTTTTTTTCTTTTCCTTCCATTTCTTTTTTTTTTTTTTCAGAAGGTTCGAGGACAAGCAATTTCATTTAACAAGAGTGTTACATATATATGTGCGTATATGTGTATGTACATAAGCAATACCGTACGTCTTTTTGACGTGTAGTGGTAAATTAAATTATACCTAGACTATGTATATGTTATCAGCTTGAGGACAGAGAGAAAGAGAAAGAGAAAAAGAGACAAATAGAAGTGATAAAAGGTAATTATAGTGTGTTGCTGATACTATTATAATGTTGTTGATTCAAATTGTATTGCATACAAATAACAAAATATAGACAGTAACAGAAATAATAAATACCCTAATAATAGCAGATAACGCGTGATTAGCAGTTTATTAAAATTAATATCTAAACACCTTGGGATCCATGGCATTGAGATATGGGTTATCCATCCTATTACAAAGACAATCCATTCCATAGTAAAAATAGATATACATATAAACATAAATATACACATAGAAAAAATAGTAAAATAAGCAATAATAGTACACACACGTATACAAATCCCAGTAGTAAGTATAATACTAATCATTCGTGTCTTAATAATACATCAAGGTATAATAATGATAATAATATAACATTTTATGGTTCTTCTTCATCCCCTAATCTAACTATAAATCAATCTATTAGCCCTACTACGACTACTATTCATAATAATAATGGTAGTAATAATAAAGTTGATGAAAATACTAATTTAACTAGTATTGAGAAAAGTAGGTATCAGCCTCATGTCTTTGAATCCTTACCAAATATCAGAAGTAGGTATAATGTTAGTAATTCCGCCTCTTTTTTCGATATTAATAAAACTATTAGTAAATCAAGATATGATCCAACTAATATGACATCATATCATTCCCATCCTTATAATAATAATAGTACTAATAATATCAATATTAATCATAATGTTAATTATTTCAATAAAACAAATTTTGATAAATATCAAACCCCATGTACATTATCTAATCGCTATTTCCACAATAATAATAACAATAACAACATACCCTCATCCTTTACTCAATACAGAAAATTGAACAGGCCCACAAATTACAAGAAGAAAAGTAATGATAACAACTATACCAATCGCAATAGAATATCAAAGTTTTCTACTTTTTCGAGTATAACACACTCCTACGTCAAACCACAAGCTAAACGTGCTCATAACCTTACCATTACCACAGATAGTTTTTCTGGTAAACCAATCAGATCTGTATTGGAACAGTCTTCTAAAAGTCAAAATAATATATCCGTATCAAATTTATTAAATTCCGATATTGGCAATGATAGTAATAATAGTAGCATTAATAACGATAATTTATTGAATAAGGAAAATAGTATACCATTATCTGAACCTGATAATGACACGATTGAGAATAACTCTATGGGCAATACTAGATATGATCAATTGAAAGATTTTGAACATATTAATAATCCAGCTTTATTAGTGACAAAATTATCGGATTTGAATTATCAAAGCGAAATATCTTCTTATCCAAAGAATACCCCAACTTACAATAAATATGTATTCCCACTAAATAGATTGCAAAATAAATTATGGTATTTAAAATATCGTTTGAAATTTGAAAAGTGTAATGATATTAAAGAAAAAAGTTATATCACTTCCTTATCACAGTATTCATTTTATCAAAGGAATATTAGCAATAATAAGTTGGTCCGAAATTGTATGAATTGGTTATTGAAGAATAAATGTTTACAACTGAAAACTCACTTAGTTGCTAAAAAACATCAATGTATGATGAATCAAATTTGGATTAAACAATGTAAAGAAATAGAACATTTTGATGAAATAAGAAAGCAGAAAGAAAGACAATGCAACACTAAATTAGACAGTGACTATAATGAAGTTGATGATATTGATAATGATACCACTATTTCCTCAAATAGATTTAATGGACGGGCTCATATCAATAGAGCAGATTATGTCAATGATGATGAATTAGAGGATATAATGTGTCAGATTGATCCCGGTTATAGATATAATAAACAAGCTGCAACGATCCCCATGATGCTAACCGATACCCTAGAGAGAAATTCTATGCAATTTAAAGATGTAAATAACTTAAATGTGGATAAAGATAAATGGGCTATAAGATTGGTTACAGATAAAATTGACACTTTCACCAAAGAAGAGCATGATTCTTTTATCAAGGGTTATTTAAGGTTTCCTAAGAAATTTGGTAAAATATCCGATTATATGGGGAAGTTAAGGTCGCCCGAGGAATGTGTTTTGCATTATTACAGAACCAAGAAAATTGTAGATTATAAAGCACTTATTAAGAAAAGGAATATGGATAGAATCAAAACTAGGTTTAAATCAATTAAGAAAAACCAAGGTAATATAAGTGCAGAAGAATCTTCTGATGAACCATATATGCTTGATGTTGACGCAATGATAGATGAAGACAGCCTGGAATTGGCTTATGAAAAAGAAATGGAAGAGGAGGGTTTACTAGATTCAGATTCATAACTGTACACTAACTTTCTAAATAAGCTTTAAGGCACACAGACACACCTTTATATATATATATGTATGTATTTATTTATTCATACATTCTTATAGACACTCAAATTGGTATTAATGTATCCATAGTTAATTTTCCAATTCAATATTGATGATTCTTTCGATTTATTAAATCAAACCTCCTATTTCTTCATATAAAAGACCATTAAGCTTTTATTATTGTAAAAACTTGAAAATAATATCGGAGTTTCATTTTGTCATTTTCTTTTCTTTCTTCTTTTCTTTTTGTGAACAAACTCCGAGCAACAAAACCATTAATTAAGTAAAATGACACTGCAAAATAACAACTATTTATAAAAGTATAATGGAAGTTGTTGTTGTTCTCTGCAACTTAAATACCCTCTTAATAGTCTTTGTTATATAAAATATATATTTACTTATCAAAAAGCTAAAACTTTTTTGAAATATTTATTCCGCTCCCCTGCTAACTTCATTTTTATAACAACTATCCATGGAAATGATAGGTTCTGTATTGAATTCAATGAACTTTTATGAAATTAAAAGACCTTTATGGCAATTATTCGATAAACTTGTAACTTACTTAATGCAAGGAAAATTTTCACCAGGGAAATTCAATTTTAAAGTAAATGAGGTACCATTAAGTAGCTCAAATACTGTTTTATTAATTATTTCCCTTTATTATACACTTATATTTGGAGGACAACATGTATTGAAAGGTACAAAGTCATTCAAGTTAAATGCACTATTTCAGTTGCATAATTTTTTTTTGACAACTGTATCATTGATCCTTTTAATATTATTATTAGAACAGATTATTCCAATAATTCATAAAAATGGTCTATTTTTTGCTATCTGTGATGCAGGTGCGTTAACACAACCAATAATGACAATCTATTACATAAATTATTTAATAAAGTATTTTGAATTCTTGGACACATTTTTTTTAGTTTTAAAACATAAAAAGTTAACTTTCCTACATACATATCATCATGGAGCTACTGCTTTGCTTTGTTATACTGAATTAGTTGGATATACAACAATATCATGGGTTCCGATCTCTTTAAATTTGGCAGTTCATGTATTGATGTACTGGTATTACTTTCTTTCAGCTAGAGGGATTAGAGTATGGTGGAAACAACTGATTACAATTTTTCAGATTTTACAGTTTATTTTAGATCTTGCTTTCATTTATTTTTCTACTTACACGAAATTAGTGCATTATTCGGGAATTGATTTACCTTATTGTGGAGACTGTTTTGGTTCTGTTACATCTAATTTGGCAGGTTGTTTTATTATTTCATCCTATTTGTTTTTATTTATTTCATTTTACATTGAAACTTACAGACATAAATCGACAAAAGTATAATTACAATGTATTTAAATATTCTTAAATACATCTATATCTAGCGATATGTAGATATTCTATAAGTGTAATTATTAAACTTTACATAGTTTATTTAGTGAATTTTACTTGTTTCTTCATTTTTATAAGGGGTTTTGGAATACTCTCTAGTTATCCAAATCAGATGAAGTTGTAGTATCATCTTCTGTTTTTTTAGGGTATACCTTATTTAATACACGTATTTTCCTTCTTGTTATATGTTCTTGCTCTAGACTTTCTACATCATCTAAATGAAGATGGCCAACTTCTTGACATTTTGTGCTATATTCAACTGTTTGTCTAGGTGACACATCATTTACTTTATCATTATTGTTTGTTGTATTATTATCACTTTCATGTCTTTTGATAACTAAATTGTCTTCTGAATCTGATTCAATTGGACATGGAAATGTATCAGATAAATTAATATGTCTCCTTTGAAAATGTTTTTTTTTGTACGATTTGGAAGAAATAACTGACTCGTCCTTATCAATATGTACTTCCTTATTTTTGTCCCCTTTTTCTTCCGATACCTCTTCGTTGTCAGTAATATCCATCTCATCACTGCTACTACTATTCTCATCATCTGTTTGGTTTGTTTTGTATATGCTTTCTTGGCGACTATATATTTCTTTCATCTGATTCTCATATGCCATCCTTGTCTCATCAATTATAGTTTTTACTTTACTAGGTTTATTCAAAGAACCTCTACGCAGATAAAATAGTAAGTATGCTGATCCTGCTATAGAATTTTCTGGATTTGCCACTGATACTCTTGAATCATCAAAATAATACCACTTATCATCAACAAAATTTTTTACGTACGCTGTATAATGACCGCCACCTAAACCACCGTAATGATTATCGACAGCAATTAGGTCATATATATTATTACTTGAATCATTTTTACAGACAACATGTTTACTGATATCAAACCCAGTAATTGGGAAATTAACCACATCATCAATCTTGTCACTAAATGATCTGGTATTTTCAAAACGTTTCAAATGAATTAACATAATATCTGGTGTATTCCATAATTGTATACGCTTTGTAGCTTGTCTATGTTCTTTACAATTTGGGCAATACCATGAATCATTGAATCCAAGGACTTCTTTCTTAGAAAATAATGTTAAACAGTCGTCTAATGTTATTTGTTTTTCATTTTGGTTCAATCTTTCTAATTTAATGGATTCTAATTCTTTATTAGGTATCATTCCCGGGTTTTCCCAATTGATTACTTTATCTGCCGAAAATGCTTCTTCCATATTATCTTTTATCCATTCACATACTATGAATGTTGTTGGTGATATTAGTTTTTTTCTGGGAATGAATTTTACTTGATGATCGGTTGTAGACTTTTCCATTATATTATTATTGGTTTCAACTGTAGCAATAGAATTATCACAAACCGGGGATTCCATCATTACATCTTCATCGGCACTAGTCACATTATTAGTAGAAGGCTTGCTCGTCAATGATTCTGTGTCACTTGTAGGATTTTCCTTAAACAAACTTTGTTTTTTTCGATCTTCTTCCTTAATTTTAGGATAATTATAAATATCCTTGGTTATGTCATCCAATACATTGACAATATCTTCGGAGTCATTTAAGTTGATGTGAGTTCTTGGTGTCCAAAACTGAAGTGAATTTTCATCCATATTGTTTCTTTCTATTTCGTTACTATCATCTAATATCTTGATTCTGAAAAATTCTTTCCCATTATCTGTCGTACATGTAGCAAATTGTATGATTTCACTATATTTAGATAATTCCTCAGCACTATATTTATTGACCAATAAAGGGAAATCAGTAAATGAAAGCGGTGTTTCGCTATCTATATGATTGAATGAAATATGGCCTCCACTTAGGTTTATATACATGTCTTGTAATTTCTTGCGAATATAAAGTGGGTTATTGAGTTCATTAGGTTTAAGAATAATAAAGAATGGGACACCAAATAACGATGGTGATGGGAACTGTGGATCTCTATATGAATTCAAAACAGGAACAATGGCATCATTTTCATCAGCAGGTAATTCGTAGAATACTATTATATCTGATTCAGATATCAATTCGTGTAACGGTAAATATTGTGAATTAGAATCAGGCATTTCAAAATTATTATAAAACTGATGGCCAAATATTTCACAGCCGGACAAATTATCAGCATCGATATTAACACATTTGGATACATAATTTTTTAAATCTTTATATGTAGCAGTCTTTGGTAATTCAACCTCCAACATGCATGGAGGTAAATTTTGAAGAAATAACCGTATTGTAGCTTTCCAAACAGAATGAACCGGAAGAGGTAAAGTGATATCATTATATGGATCAAATGTTATAGATACCTTGCGACATTTAGGACATTCTAGAGTAGATTTGTACATCCCGACAAATAAGTCAGTAATAATGGAATCATTCCTAAGTAAGTGTGACTCCCATGTCTTTTCTGCCAGATTTTTGATTGCATCAGAATCGTCAATGTCTGCATCTCTCAGTAAACTTGGTTTTTCTACGTATGGCTTTTTAATAATCCTATTCAAATCTTCATGTAAACTGTCAATAAGGAACGCTAGAAATTCTTGAGAATCTTGCTGCATATAACCACCAAACATTGAATTACAATGGCCAATCATAGACTTAAAATGATTGGGGGAGAAAGAAGTTCTCAAAGGTAATATTGAACTACCCCATATATTTTGTATTAAATCATGAAAGGCTCTTGCAATATTGCCCTTATAACCCAAAGGATTTTCTGTATTGATTTCTCTTTCAAATCCATTATACACAAAATAGTCTCTTAACTGAGGTATATGTATGAGACATTGTAATGCAGAATTCATGTAGCAGGTATTACCTAAATTTGATAAACCTACCTTACCGTTTGATAAAGAAATTTTATTGTAGTGAAAATAATTTGAAGTCCAGTGATAATTTAAATTACTTTGTTTAATTTCTATAATAAATGATCCATTAGAAATATTTAAATCACGTAATTGTGATGACAATAAATTAGGTTGGATTCGAATAACATTTGGAAAACTTAAAAAATTAACAGGTGTCAAAATATATGTGTTGATAAGGTGACTTGAGTTTTCGTCCAAATCACTGTCTTTGACAAGCCAAATTTTGATTGGTGTTTTATTTATATCTAAATGTGATTCAATATGAAAAAAAAAATCTAACGCTTCCTGGAGAGCATTTGACAAAGTGCTAATACAAGATATAGTAAAATAATTAATATTATTTACATGATTGTTCATTCTTCTTGATCTCCCATCTGGCGAAAGCAAGTATTGAACTCTGAAAAAGCATTTATTATATTCAGTTACTACATTGTTGGTTGCTTTATCCAAAATTAAATTTGTAAATGTTGGCTGAGCATTTGGTGCTAAACCATACCATTCAACAAATTTCTTAAATACTGATTCTGGAATGGCCATGTATGGGCATTGATCGTAATCTTTTAAAATGAAATTTCTATAATCACTACAAATCAATGATGTATCGATCGGTTTCACTAGAGAAGAGTCATCAATATCAGGATTAAAAAAATAATCATACCAGAAAGTAGGAATCACGAACATTTTATCGCCTTCTTTAGCATTATTCTGGTGTTCCTGAAAAAGTTTATTGATTTCTTCTCTCTGTAATTGAATTGATGGGAGTTTTGTAGTTGTTTCTTCCTCTTCTTCTTCTTTTTCGTCTCCCTGGGATATAAGGTCATCATTAGATTCAAGTAACGATTTGTCCGATGATTCAGTAAGAGAAGTAGTTGAAGTTGGAGATATAGATATAACAGTCATTGGGTGTTCAATCTCTGTCGGTTGTAGTGAAGTATTTTTTATATCATCAGCTTGGGTTTCCATTAGTAATATATTATAGTTTACCTTCCTATTTTTCCTATGTATTTTTCTTGTGTCCTATGTGGAATATTTATATATATTAAAATCGACTTCCAAAGTATCACGAAAAAGATTTAAAAAAGAAAAGCAAATAGTGTAATATCTGGTGATACTCAGTTCAGGTAAAACATCGTAGCTTAAAATTAAAGACAATCGTTGTGAAACCAACCGTAACAACTTCGGTTGTGTATTGTCACTTGAGATGCCTAACTTACTGTAATAGTAATTTTTCAATTATTTTTTTTTTTTTTGAATTTTCTAAACTTTATTTTTTTTCTTGAACATTACCGATATGATCTTACCGATCTGAAAATATTTAGTGGAAAAACTTCGAACTTTTCAGATTATCCGTGTAGGCTTACAACCCTTTACCAGAGATAAAATTATTGAAAGCATACCAAAAAAATTTGTCTATAAGCAGTATTATTAATTATGATTAAAATATGCAAAGTATGAAACATGTAAATATGTATGTACTCGAATAAAAACAAATTGAATCAGAGATGCTAACAAATGACAATTATTATTATGTATGAATATATAGATTTATATGTATGGATATATGACTATTTTACATATGAGACGTGTATAGTTATGTTCTCACGGAGCTGTATGAACAACAGATACGATAATACCGTAACCGATGGTGATTACACAGACATACACAATCAGAGAGCAAGGAACACCTCTTGACATAAAAGTACCCATATCTAAATATCTATTACCCTTCTTATCTAACATAGAAATAGCGGTAACATTGGGGAAACCAGATGAAGCTAAACCCATACCAGCCGATGCTAATAGAGTACAGCCGAAGACCAATGTTGGTGCAGCTTTAGGATTCGCCAATTTATCACCGACTTCTTGAACCAATGGAATGATAATAATAGCAGAGACAGTGTGAGAAACAAAAGTACCAACCACCAACATCAATGCACCAAAGATACATAACACAGCTATTGGTGTGTCATGCTCGATTCGTCTTTGCAAAGCCCTGGCAATAGTAGCCAATAATCCAGATGAAGACACCGCAGTACCCAGTGCAGTACCACCCATTGCTAAGATAACAATGGACCATGGAAGTGAATTGAAATCTTTGGTAGTTAATAACCCTGAACCGAAGAAAATGCAGATAGGTAAAACAGCAATGATACCAGATGAACCAAAGGCGCTTTCAATTTGGGCTTCCACACACCATAACAGAATTGTGGCAACAGTAACCACAATAATGAACCATTGTTTTAATGTAAATCTTGTTTTAATTGGAATAAATCTTTCCACTTTAGTCTTGTTGATTTTAAAACTGGAAATTAAAAGCAACCAACAAATCAATGTAGCAATGATACCTGTAGGTAAAGCAACTGCAAAGAACTGACCCCAACCAATATTAAAGGGTTTCAAATATTGCATTGAGATAATATTTTGCGGAGATGAAATTGGCGATGACATACCCCCAATATTAGCAGCAATGGCAACCCCTAATACTAAAGCCTTACCGAAGGGTTGATCTGCTTCTAATGAATCAAGAACCTGTTTTAATAAGGAATATGTTAAAACAGGAGCAGCCACATTAGAGATCCACATAGACAAAAAGAAGACAACACCCATGGCAATCAAGAGTACGTTTCTTGGTTTTGTACCTGCAGCAGCCAATAACCAGGATGCAATGACTTTAGCAATATTATATTGAGATAACACTTCACCTAATGTGAACCCTGCCAATAAAATGATGACAGTAGAAGACCACATAGATGATAAAACAGTGGAAGATGCACGAGCAGCTGTTAAGACTTCGCCTGTATCAGAATTTTTCAATACACGGAATAATACGACTAATAAAGGCACCAAGAATGCTGTGATGTGTAAAGGTAGGGCTTCACTTGCCCATAAAAAGGCCACACATTCAACCAAAGCCATGCAACGATGTTGTGCGGGATCATTAAAAGTCTTGACACCCAATAGTACACCAGTAACAGCGATAATGAATGCGATTTTAAATGCTTTCCAAGTGAAAAATAGTTTTGGTATTGTTATATTTTCAATTGTGGTAAATTTTAGATTAATTGGATGCGGTAATGGAAATGTGAAGTATTCTAATTGTAATTTACCTGTTAGACTGATATTTTCATCATCCTTTTGCAAATCTGAGACCAAAGGGGCTTCATGAGAGATCAATCCCAACATGTCTTTCCATGTGTTACTTCTTTCCCATACTATATGATCATGAAGAGCAGATTTCAATTCTTCTTTAGCTTCCAGAACATCTGAAGTTTGATCTGTGATGATAGAATAGAAAGTTATCAATTCACTAATTTTCTCGCTTAGGATTGTGAAAGTATCTTTTTGGAAGATATAGGTGTCTTTATAGAATTTACCAGTTTGGATCAATTCGGCTTTGATGTTCAATTTTAGAACCTTATCAGCTTTCTTAGTGATTTTACTAAACCCCATTTTATTCAATTCGATGAAAGATTTCAACTGAGACAAATCGATATAAAGATTAACAATACTTTGTTTTAAAATAGATTGTTTTTGTTTCTCGACATTAAATTGGGAATAATGAAGTAATGCAGTATTTTCTGGTGTATCAGTAAATTCATCATTGTCCAATATATCATCTTCGTCCTCTTCTTCCTCTTCCTCAGTGACTTGATTACTATCTGCAAAAACATTTGAAGAAACTGAGCTGTTAGTGTTGTTAACGTTGTTAACGTTGTTGTTGTTGTTTTTGGAAGGGATGGCAGAGGATAGCTCTGTATTAGTTAAAGATTGTGTGGTTAATTGTGAAGAAGAGAGAATTTTCTGTTTTTCTAAATCATGGACGAGATTATTGAATTTATCATAAAATTTCAATTCAGTTCTCTTATAAAAATCATCAACTTTCAATTTTTCCAAAGTCAATTCGTCTACAAACGTATCGTATGGGTTAAAATCCTTTGTCAAAGTAGTAGAAGTAGTAGTAGAATAGAGAGTATTATTATCGTTGTCTGAGCCAGAATCCCAAAATTTGTATTTTTGTAGAGGGTTAAGCCGTTTATTTTTCTTGGCTTGTTTATTTGAGGTTAATGGATTATGGTGAGTCAAATCATTAGACGACTCATGAGGATTGAAGTCTTCCAACTCGAAAGTTTTTTCTAAGACTTGTTCGTTATCTCCTTCGGAAAGAACAGTGACACCGTGGTTATTCAAGTTTTCTATATCTAATTTATCACTATTTCTGTATGTTTTCTTTTCTACATTGAATTGGGATTCTTCATCATCAGCAATAGAATATTTGCTTTCAACCCTATTAACAGTACTAGCAGTATTATTATTATTATTACTATTATCTGAGTTAGGTCTTTTGGAATTCTGATTTGGGAAAAACTTATTTTTTATTTTAGAAAACTTCCCGTTAGTATCGAAGATTTTATCAACACTCTTATTATTAAGATTATTAGGTGATGATGAAGCATTTTGTTCATTTAGATTATTGCTGTTTAAGTTGATATTATCTGTCTGTAGAGTATAAATCAGATCTTTGAGACCATTGTAGTCCATATAATGACTTTCCCATTCTGGAACAGCATTATATTTAATGAAATGGGAAAACCTCATCTTTCAGACTTGTTATATTATTAACAAAGCAGAAAAGCCAAAAAAGCCAAATAAAAAAATAAAAAAAAAGAAAGCAAAGAATCAGATTATAAACAAATTCTCGAGACTTGATTTGATTTATTCACAAGTTGGTGATAGATCGTAAGTGAGAACTGAGCGATAGATATACCAAGAGACTGGGAAAGAAAAGACTGAATTTGCTAGATTGATCATCAAAACACGATTTGAATGTTTAAATAGTGCAACAATGTTTCCCCTCCTTTCTTCTGTTCCATTCTTGTGTCTGTCTTCTCTCGTCCTTCTTTCTATACAAGCTTTTTCTCAATTTGTGATTGCTTTTACATATTTTTATTTTTTTTTTTTTACTACGATACAATGTGTTTCTTTCTTTTTCTGCAGATTCACAATTACATTATTTTTCTCTTTGAACATCTGCCTTGCTCCTCCATCTGTTGGATTAAGATAATAGAAAACAGAAAAATAAAGATAAAAATAAATAATAGAGGTAGAGGCGGGTGAACAATAGAGAGAAAAAGAAAGAAAAGAAAGAAGAAAAAAATTTTTTTTTTTTCGATGTTTCTTGTCCCACGTGGGTTGGCTGGAAAAAACTGAAAAAAAAAGAAAAAGAGAAAAAAAAAGAAAACTGAAGAAGATCAAGTCGGTTTTTTTTTATTTTGTGTGGTTGAAGAACGGCGGCGGCGGCGTTTACAGGTCTTTTTTTGTTTTTTTGTTTTGTTAGATGTATGGGTGTGCTAATAATGTTGTACTGTGTTTTTGTTGTGTATGCCAGGGAAGGTTTTCAAACAAACATTGAATTTCACTTTATTACTACTGAGCTTAACAGCATTCACAAACTGAAGTAGATACGATCTTCTTTGATGTTATGTAGACATATGGTGAGCGTATTCTGCAATATGTAGAGCTCCTAATCGGTTTTTTTTTTATTTTTTGTTCAGCAAGTGAAAGGAATCCAAAGTCGAAATATATCTTGCTTAAATACTCAGATGGAATTTCCCTTCATCTTTTCTTATTTCTTTTTTTTTTGTTTTTGTTTTTGCAAAACCTGCTAAATGAACCTGTACGTTAATTTATAAGTAAAGAATACCCCTCTTTTTTTTTTTGTTTGTTTGTTTGTTCTCTGCGGAGGAGGAGAAGAAACAGAGGAGGTTTAATAAAGTAATCAAGATATAAGTAGAAAACGTGGGTGCCATTACTACCACGTGGTGTAAAAGCTGTAAGTAACTTTTATACAAGAGAGAGGCCATACTTGAATAACAAGTTTGTTTGTTCGCTTGCCTGTTTGTTTATCATTATCAATTTTATTTTATGACATATTTAGAATATTTAATATGGTTTTACTTTACATCTTTTATAAACTATCTAAAAGTCTGTGGTATATGTTCTTATGTGTGATAACAACTAAATTGAACATGTAAGCACATTCCAAAAGTTGGTACAGTAAGTAGATCGGTAGAAACAAAATAATTAGAAATAGAGATTAAGACTAAGATTAAAATAAGCGAACAGCTACTTATTCTTGCTTCGTTTCTAGGTTTGTTAAGGAAATAGCAGATTAGGCGCAATCAAACGTGAAAAAAAAAAATTAAAAAAAAAACTAAAAAGGTTCTTATAAGCAATTCTAAGTTCTTACCTCGAGATACTACTAAGCCGGAAGAACACTCTTTTCAAAACTTCAAAATTTTTGTAAAAAATAAAATATCACAAGTCAGTGCAGATTCTACACGCCCTGGAAAAAAATATATTTTAAATATATATATTCTTCGACAATATATAACTTATGTTTTAGCGTAATTAGTTTTCTTTTCCCCTACTTGGGAACTCCAAGATTAAAATAATATATTGGACTGAAGAAAAGAAGACAAGAAAATCAAAATATTTCCACCCTTTTACATCTTTACTTCGAAATATCTTTCCCAAACATTCCAACTTACTCCCAGGAATATATAAAAATGATGATAATAATAATATAATAATAATAATCTCAAGAGAAAAAAGTAATGCAACACTTTAAATTCCTTGTAATTCTTTTTTCTTTTTTAAAAAATAACTAAGGAATTTTTTTTTCTTTTATTTATTTACATTTTGGGTTTTTTCCATTGGAAATTTTTTGAGTTCATTTCTTCGAGAAATATAATAAATCATCACATTTTGTTACTCTTAAATCTCTTCGCAATGAGAATTTTATATAAGGGACTAAGTGACATCGAGCAGGATTAAAGATACATTACTATAGTGTTGTTATTGTCTCTATTGTTATCGCACACGTAATTTTCATCTTGATTTTATTTGATTCCGATGATTCATCAGGAATCGCAGTTCATATAGACTCAATCTCTTGTATTTTTTTCTTATTTTTTATTCTTTTTTTTTTTTTTGTGAGTCTATTATATTGCTTGTTGTGTCTTGTATTTACTGTATAAATTATTTTTGACATATATCCATGAACTTTTTGGATCATTTAGTACTATATATATATATGCATGTATATGTGTATATATGTATGTACGTGTGTATACATGTATATATGTGTGTATTTCTTTACTCAGACTTGCTTGAACTTTTTTGCTCTTGTCTTATATATTACTATTATCTTTTAATGAAAAGACTTGCTTAATAACGTTCTATCTAATCATATTCACTGTTTTCTTCTTTTGTTTTTTTCCCCTCTGTCCAACCGTTAAATAAACCATAAATATAACCTTTTAATTAGCTATGCTTTCTGCTAGGGTTCAAGTTAGAAGGTCTTTTGCAAGTTTTGCAAAGATTCCAAAAGTTTCTGAAGAGTTTCAAACAAGAATGCCACCTTATGCCAAATTATTGAGCAAACTAGAAAAAGTTAGACAGTTGACAAATAATACCCCATTAACTTTGGCTGAAAAGATTCTTTACTCACATTTAACTAATCCTGAAGAATCTCTATCCGGTAATCTACCACTCTCTGAGATTCGTGGTAACAGGTATTTGAAATTATCTCCTGATAGAGTAGCTATGCAAGATGCATCAGCACAAATGGCTTTATTACAATTCATGACCACAGGCTTAAATAAAACTTTCGTACCAACCTCTATCCACTGTGATCATTTAATCGTTGGTAAAGAAGGTGAAAATAAAGATTTACCTTCCTCCCTAACAAATAATAAGGAAGTTTTTGAATTTTTGGAAAGTTGTGCTAAAAGATATGGTATCACTTTTTGGGGGCCTGGTTCAGGTATTATCCACCAAATTGTACTAGAAAATTATTCCGCCCCTGGTTTAATGATGTTAGGTACAGATTCACATACTCCTAATGCCGGTGGTTTAGGTGCCATCGCTATTGGTGTTGGTGGTGCTGATGCAGTCGACGCTATGACTGATACTCCTTGGGAATTGAAAGCCCCAAAGATCTTGGGTGTTAAATTGACTGGTCAATTGAACGGCTGGTCTTCTCCAAAGGATGTTATCACCACATTGGCTGGTAAATTAACTGTTAGAGGTGGTACCAATCACATTATCGAATACTTTGGTGATGGTGTCAAGACACTTTCCTGTACTGGTATGGCTACAATAACTAATATGGGTGCAGAAGTAGGTGCCACTACCTCTACTTTCCCTTACCAAGAAGCTCATAAGCGTTACTTACAAGCCACAGGTAGAAAAGAAATTGCCGATGCCGCTGATATTGCATTGAAGGAGTATGGTTTTTTGAAGGCTGATGAAGGTGCACAATATGATAAGGTGATAGAAATCAATCTTTCTGAATTAGAACCACACGTCAATGGTCCATATACTCCAGATTTGTCAACACCAATCTCTAAATATGGTGAAAAATCTAAAGCTGAAAATTGGCCGCGATACATCTCCGTCGGGTTAATTGGTTCTTGTACAAACTCTTCTTATCAAGATATGACTCGTGTTATTGACTTAGTTAACCAAGCATCTGCTGTAGGTTTGAAACCAAAGATTCCATTCTTTGTTACTCCAGGCTCTGAACAAATTAGGGCCACTTTAGAGAGAGACGGAATTATTAAGAAGCTCCAAGAAAATGGTGCTATTGTGCTTGCTAACGCATGTGGTCCATGTATCGGTCAATGGGATAGAACTGATATTCCAAAGGGCTCCACCGAAGTTACATCTATTTTCACCTCATTTAACAGAAACTTTAGAGCTAGAAACGATGGTAACAGAAATACAATGAATTTCTTAACTTCTCCAGAAATGGTTACAGCTATGGTTTATTCTGGTGATGCCCAATTCAATCCGTTAACTGACTCAATTAAATTAGAAAACGGCAAAGAATTCAGATTCCAACCACCAAAGGGTGAAGAGTTGCCAACCAATGGGTTTGAAAAAGGTAGAAAAATATTTTATCCAAATCCTGATCCTCAACCAAATCCAAAAGTACAGGTTAAAGTTTCCCCGGATTCAGATCGTTTGCAATTATTAGAACCATTTAAGCCATGGAATGGTAAAGAATTAAAGACAAATGTGCTGTTGAAGGTTGAAGGTAAGTGTACTACTGACCACATTTCTGCTGCTGGTGTTTGGTTGAAGTATAAAGGCCATTTAGAAAATATTTCCTATAATACTTTAATTGGTGCACAAAATAAAGAGACTGGTGAAGTCAATAAGGCTTATGACTTGGATGGTACGGCTTACGATATCCCAGGTTTAATGATGAAATGGAAAAAAGAGCACAGACCATGGTCAGTTGTGGCTGAACATAACTATGGTGAGGGTTCTGCTAGAGAGCATGCAGCTTTATCTCCAAGATTTTTAGGTGGTGAAATTATCTTAACAAAATCTTTTGCTAGAATTCATGAAACAAATTTGAAGAAGCAAGGTATTTTACCATTAACTTTTGTTGATGAAGCTGATTACGATAAGATTCATTCTGGTGACGTTCTTGAAACTGTTGGTTTAATTGACTTAGTTGCAAAGGATGGGAATAATGGTGGTTTCTTAGATGTTAAAATAACTAAATCAAATGGTGAATCATTTATTATCAAAACCAAGCATACAATGTCTAAGGATCAAATCGACTTCTTCAAAGCAGGTTCTGCAATGAACTATATTGGCCAATTAAAGAAAAAGGCTTAATTTTTTTTTCATCCTGTTAATGATACAGAATTTGTCATGATCATTTTATTTATGTGTATATTTATTTATTTATATAATTATTTTCCATTTGAATCTATTATTTATTATTTATCGTGTATTTTTGTGAAAATTGTCCTGTTGGTGAATTCAACGGCTAGCATCTATAATTATAACAAAACATTTCTAGATTGCATTTTACGATAAATTTTTGAAAACTATTAATATATTATATCAATGCATTATTTTGACTAATTGTCGTGTGTATTATTTCTTAAGTAGAATTATGTCGGGACATAAGGATTATTTGTAAAAGTCAGAAATGGCAGTTTATAAATACATTATCATGGAAAGTTTAAATAAAATCTGTAAAAGCATCAGGTATTTATCCTTTTTATAATTCAATGGTTTTATTTATTCCTCATAATTTCATTCATTACTTGCAAACCTAACAGTCTTTCTTCATATAAGGCAGCCAATTTGCTAACTTTACTTTCATTTTTATTGCTTTTAATAGTAGTAAAAGATTCTACAGAAAATTTTTCTTTTGTGCTGATTTCTTTATACTTTTGTTGTTTTTGCTTTTTCAATTCCTTATCAAATATTTGTATTTTTGTAAGTTCAGGTGGCTGATAAGTTGAAAAATCAGCAACAATATCCTGTGCAAAATTACTTTCAGCACTTTCCTTACCTTTGGTTGGGCTATCAACAGATGTTTCAGACGCAGTAAAATCATCACTTTTAAGGGAACTGCTGGTTGTTCTTAGTGAGGAAATAGAAGGTTTGGTTTTGAGTGTCGAGGGTTTAGAGGGAGTAATTTCACTGGAGTTGGATCTCAATGAAAAATATGGAGTTCCACTGACCACACGTGTTATAGATTCGATACTACTTATTCGTTGTTGTGCGGATGAATGTTCTAAATTAGGCACTGATTTGTCAAAAATCAGCTTCGATGAAGTTTTTTCATGTGTTGACACTGGCGAACTAGCAACTGAACTTGAATCATTCAATTTCAAAGATGAAAATGACTTTAGTGGACTTGTTACATCACTACTTGAAGTGTAATTGTCAATCTTAAGGTCAGTGACATTATTTTTATTACCATGGTTTTTTCTAGGCTTTGGTAATTGAGGAGTCATGATCTTGTTATTATTCTTTTGTATACTTACATTTGATCTACTCCTATTTATTTTATCTCTATGATATTGTTCATATATTTTAATAACAGGGTTGAAATTTTCTAATAGATTCTTAATAAACCGTGTACCTACTGCAATTCTATCCTTGTTTGTCATTGAAATTTTCTCTTTGCATAAACTTGGAGCGATGGCTTTACTTAATGATTTTGAAGTGTGTTGAGACCTTTCAAAAGAGTCTAATATTGAAATAAATAAAGGAAAAATTGTAATATAAAGATCATAATACTTATTAAAAGCTATAATTTTCTCAAAAATATCAGCTGTATATTGCACAGTATCAAGAATTGGTAAGGTAATTAAATCTATTGGAACCAATGGATTGGCTTTGTTTTTTAAGAAATTTAGAAATACAGATGCTAGGGAATAAATGTCCCATTGTGATATATCAATATAATTGTTTCGTTCAATAATATCTAAGAAAATATTAACTTTCTTGTAAGAGCCAGGCTTTTGGAAAACTAATTCTGTTTGAGGTGCTTGTATACTTAGTTTTTTATAAATTTTATCAAAAATAAGTTGCCTATATTTTCTTTTGCTTATATCAGACAGTCTAGTAAAATATAAGTCAGGCACATCAATATATTCAGATAAATTATAATCATGTAAATAAACATTAAGAGATATCCTTAAACGGGTAATGTCAATTAGTCTGGATAAACTAGTTAAATCTGGAACATGTATAATTGAGAAAGATGATCCTTCTGCTGTATCCTCTTCCAATGGTGTTGTTAATTCATTGTTATACTTTTTCATATTTGTCAAAAACTTTATGCACATAGCATTGGATAATACTTGATATACCGTTCTAATGAAAAACGATTCATGTACAATATATGTCTTTTGTAAATAATATTTTAATTCTTTGGGAATTTTGGCAAACATTTTTATGCCATAGACCCAACTAATCTTTTTTTGTGAAAATCCTGATGAAAATACAACCAAAGAGTATGGAGCAGAAGGTAGCTTTTCTATAAGGGTATCCATTAGTTTATCTATCAGTAGATCATATACTTGTTTATCATTTCCAATTATTTGCGGTTCCGGAAGATATGTTGAATCAAAAACATATATGGAATGACCTGAATTTGGATCGATAGAATAGGATTTAAAAAAAATATTATTTATGTTGATATCTACCATGGTAGTTTGTCACTTTATTTCTTCACTAATGCCAAAGAAATAGGCAATAAGCTTACTGTGCTTATGTTGAATTATGTATTGTAGAAAGTTAACAAAAGTAATCTCAAGTATGAAATATAAATATATTTAATAAGATACATGGTAGTCATTATTTATCAATAAGTATTGAACGTCTTCTAGAAATCAGAAAACATTACAAGATTCTGTAACTGAAATAATAGGTAATATATTCTATCTACAAAAAAAAAAATTTGAGATCATCTTCGAGATTTTGATATCTCCCATACCTTGAAGTTTTCTCAAAATTCGCAATGACACGTGTAAAAAAGGAACTCCTCATAGGGGGCTCGAACCCCTGACATTTCGGTTGTCCTTGAGTAAACGAATGTTTAAAAGCCGAACGCTCTACCAACTGAGCTAACAAGGACGAGTTCCTCAACCTTTGAGAGGTTAAAATTTATATTATTATTACCAAGTGTTTTGCTAATGTTTTAAATTTATAATTATTTATTTTTTGTGAAGGTATTTAAAATGTTCTGTTAATTATTTATGCTGTTATATATTGTTTAAAATATTTTATGAGGGTGAATTGAATTATGTAATTAATGATTATTGTATGGAACTTATAATATACTAATTTCTTTTTACGGGATAGTTGATTTAGTTTCATATATACTAAAGAAGAACAACAATGTTGAAGAGAGAGTACAACTTTGTAAAAGTTTTCACAAGTAGTATACTAAAATATTGATATTAATTATATATAAACACTTACAGATTATATAATTGCTGAAATCGAACATTCCAGAATGAATAGACAAACTAATTAGATTTTAGTATACATTAATTGATAGCAAAATGTGGAGAATACATTGCTTGCTCACCAGTAGATATAAACAAACATCAACAACAATTTGGTACTTTTCATAGACGAGATGTGCCAGGTATGAAAATAGATAAAGTTAATATTTTTTTCATATCATGTTTCTTCCTTCGCTCATCTTTTATAAATCATCATGTAAGGGTTATCTCAAGTGATATACTAAAATATGGGTATTAATTATATATATAAATACTTACAAATCACATAATTGGTTGATTCTAACTATTAAATAGATTAGTCTTGGATATTCTTCTTGTTCTTCTTCCTAATCTATTAGATAGAATACGAATGTTAATGCTGATAATTATCTCTGGCATCATCTCTCAGTAATAAAAGTTCTCTTAAAAAAGCTTCTTAGTAATTTGCCATCAATGTTCATGTGATGATTGTTTGTTCGTTCTAATACACTCACGAGTTTGGATCCAGAGTTTCGATTGTTCCAATTCCTTCACCTTGGCATTTGTTGTTACTTGCATATTACGTATTTCAAGATTTCCGATTAGGGCTTCTTACAACCTTTTGTAATTTTTCTTCCATACGTGATTTGGATAATGTATATACAACATCAACAAATAATAAAAATAAGAGTATGAACAGAAAAATAAAACAGGCTTGGTAAAGCTGATTTTACATACGATACCCTAAAGTAATTGAATTGCTGTTTGTACCTGCTGAAATAGGGTGTTTTAGGATAAAATTAATAAACCAATGAGCTTTTAACTGCTATTGAACAATGGAACGAAGAGTATTTATCATTTAGGTATCACTAAACCTTGATAGACTTTTCTTATTTAAGTTATTTTTAATTCATAGGGAAAAATTGTTTAATATTCACATATGAGAACTAAAGATTTCTTCATATCGTACTTTTAATTTATTTGTATTTTTCAAAACATTGTGTAAGAGTTGTTGTATGTAAATGGATGAATCATATCAATTAATATAAGTATAAACACCCTTACGTAAGCTCTATATATTACTATTTAATAACCCTGATGTTGTAGTATTACTTCTTCTTGTTGTTAGTCTTAGTCTTGTATGATATTAAAAGTTACTTCTTAATATCAGTACTAAGATGTATTTAAATAAGGTGATTACCCCTAGCCTATCTCTCAATAATCAAAGGCCTTTTGACAAGATCTGGTATAATTCTTACTCCCTGGAAATCCTCCAATCAGATTCAATACCTTATACGAGCCACTGCGCATATAGCTGCACCAATCCTCCACCCAGACACTCAGGTGTTACCCTCGGAATTGCGTATCTACTGGATTTCCAGTTAGGTTCCTTACACATTGCTTTGATGTATCTCTCTCTCGCTGTGTTGCAATTGCTGTAAGAGTAGCTTTTCAAATTATTATAAATAAATTTTAATAGTAAATATGTATTTTTTATTAACCAAAAGATTAATAACTTCACTCTTTAAAGTATGAATGCTCATAATAATCGTAGTAAAACAAATAAATATCATTAAATATATAAAATAATACTGCAATCTTAAATTTTACAGTACATCTGAAGATTTTTAGGGTAAATCAAATGGGTAGTGACTCATTGGTAGCTCGTGTTAAACTACATACTGATTTATACATGAGAACTTTTTCTAGATAGATATCATAAAACAGAAGATTTTATTTTCATAATGCTTCATATATTTCTTGACGTACACGATATTCCTCATTAAATTCATCTATTTCTTCCCAATTGCCTACTATTGTATCACGACCTCTTACAACGGCAGGTAAAGTTCTACCACGACTAAACGTTTTCCACACTTTACGTGCTTCAGCATCTGTTCCAAGATCTCTATAGGTAAATTCAATTTTATTTGCTTGCAATATTGTTGCTAATCTATTGGTTCTCGGTATCATATGAAAACCTCCACCAGCAAGAGATGTGTATATGTACACTGGTTCTTGTTTGTTTGCTTGCTCGATCTCACTACTCTTCAGAATATTTTCACTATTTTTTATTTTTTCATTTGAACTTTTACCTATTCCTAGTAGTTGATTCAATTCTGAATCATCAACATATTCTAAGTTAGTTAACAATTCTTCAGTTTCAGCAAATAAGTCATCTAATGATGTGTTTGTGATACTATGGGATTGAGAAGAGTCAGGTTGAGTATGTCCTTCTTGAGGCAAAGAGTTGTTTTTACTTTCAGATAGAGAAAGTCCTTCAACTGAATCTACTATATCTGTTGAATCATTCACCATAACATTACAGATTTGTTCTTCAGATGGTGATTCTTTATCACTTAACATTTCTAAAATTTCCCTTGCTTCTTCTCCTTTTTCTTCTTCTTGTATTTCTGATACACATTTGCTTATTTCTATTTTATTCACCTCCTCTTCTTTTTCTGAATTTGAAGATTGAATAACTTCAGCATTATCAGAATGTGATTTTGAACTAATTGAATTTTCATCAGATACAATTTTAAATTCTGTCACAGAATTTTCCGCTATGTCTTCAGGGATATCTGATTCACCTGCTGGTTCTTCTTGAATATCTGTAACTTGATTTGGTTGTTTTTCTGCATCTTCTCCATTGCAATCTTTTGAAGAATTTGTTTCGGATAAATTATCTTCCTCAAGAATTTTATCTCCATTTTCCTTCTGGTGTAACCCTTTTTGATTCGAATTGTCAACCACTAAGGATTCTTGGGGATTTGCCTTAAGCACCAATGAACTACCGTTCTCAATACTAGTTAAAGTAGAGTCTATGTCTAATGATGAGGAAGCTGTATGCTCTTTTTTTTCATTAACCATATCTTCTATCCTTGCACTATTTGACTGGAATGTCTCATATAGGTCAGAATTCTCTTCCCTTTCTTGTTGTGGATGTTTTTCCTCCACTTCTTTTGAAGACCTAGTATTTTCATTACTTGTATCTACTGCAATATCTTCCACTGCAGCGGTACCATGTGAAACAGGATCATCTTGTACTTGGAATTTTGAAACATTTACTTCTTTAATTTCAGATTTATAAAACTCATTCTTATCATTTTCAGAAATAACATTTTCTCTTGCTTCCATTAATTCATCGATATTTCCTTCCGGTGATTTATTTGAAATAGATATATCATAATCAGTCATAGCATCAGTATCAGATTGTTTTGTTCCCTCCATATCTTCTTCTAGTTGCTGCTGTGTCTCTTTATCATCCACTGTAGAATCAGTATTGGCACTTGCAGTCAACTTACTATAAGTAGCTGGACTATCTGGATCAGCAATTGATTCTTCATTTTCTTTTATGACCGGAGTTGAGGCATATTCGTTATTAGAAGCATTTGAAGTTTCTGTTGTTGCCACGATATCATCTTTTCTTTCTTCATTATTTTTAATCACTGTGTTAGTTTCCTCTGAAGGTTTCTTAGTTTTCTTTTTATTCCTAGTTTTCCCCTTCTTTTTATGCTTTTTACTCTTTTTTGGTTTATTAGAAACGCCATCAATCAAATGATCCTCTTGCATTGAAGTATTCCTTATCACAGGTGTAACATTATTAGAGGAAATACTGTTTAACACATATGCTGAATTTTCTTCAGTGTTCTTCTTATCAGAATTATTTGCAGAAGCTGAACTTTTATTATCCGAAATTTTCATATTATTTGGATATTCTACAGGAATGTCAATGCTCTCATCTTTAGCATGATCATCAACAGATGTATCTTCCATTTGAGCATCGGTTTCAGAAATTTCTTTATTGATATTTACAGGTACATCACCTTCTACATTATCCTGTAAATATTCTTCGATACCTACGATAATTGAATCAAGATTCAGTGATTTATTATTTTGTAAGCCAGAATCAGAACTTGTTACATCAATGGATATCTGTTGCGATTTCTTCTTCTTCTTCTTCTTCTTCTTTTTATTTTTCTTTGCATTCTCTTTAGTCTCTTTAATGATATCCTCTGTCAATGATTCGGCTCCATTGATGATTTTATCCAAATCTATCTCAGGATCTGTTTGCAAACTAGTATTCACAGGTATATCTGTAGTATCTGCTGACATTAGTATGAGTTTTATCTTTTTATTGTTATAGCTAATTCTGAACGAAAGAAATTTATGGTTTTAAAACTTTTTAAAACTCAATATACAATATAGTAGAACTGAAAGACAGTAACTTTTAACTTAAGCAATTTTTCTTACAAAACCTTTATAAAGCAGCCTAGGATACTTCCTTTTTCCTATTTTGTTGATTTACTAATTAAAAGAGGGAGTCATTTTTAAACGCTAAAAAGTATAGAGGTATGCATTACTTGAATACGAAACCTCGAGGTTTTGATCTGTCTCGAATAACAATTTGTATGGAGCTTTATTACACGCAGAAATTTTATTTACTAGACAGGCTTTCCTAAAAAGGAAAATAAATCCAAAAGAACAAAGTAAATGGACGGTGTATGGGTTTTAGTGTTCTTACACTAATAATGATGATAACAGTACTAGATGTTATATTCTGTTACATAATAACACAATCTTTTACACCAAAGCCGTACATAACTTTTTGGACTTCTCTCTTAACAGCAATCCAATCTTGTCTTCTTTGAACAAATTCATAGATCTCTTCTTGTGTGAATATTCCCTGGAATTTACCTAAATCACAGATCAGTTTACCCAATTCTTTTGAATCTTTGGAGTCTATCAAATACAGTGAACAGATGTTTTTTAATCCTTGAAAATACGGTACAACATTCTTTTGTTTTAGTCTATTGTTGATGAAATCATAATAGTAATTGACATCACATATCAGTTGAATGGCACCTTTAGTGGATATTATTTGTCTTTTAATATGCTCCACTAAAACAATGAAAAATCGTCTGCCTATCTCCTGTTGATAAACATCTATAGTTCCCTTGTCGGTAGCCCCTGTCAATAGGAAACAATGATTAGATAATATTTCTATGATCATCTTCGCACATTTAGTAGGAATTGTATCCCTTGGAGGGTCATTTGGTGGTGGATAATAATCTGTTGGTAGTTGTGAAGTGTTGAAGACAAGCTTTATCTGTTCAAGTAATTTATTGATACCAATATTCAAACCGTCAGCTACAAAATTGTCCAATGTCGTCTCAAAATTTTTCTTTGTTTGTAATACTTGATTTTGCCATATATTCTTTTTATTAGAATTTTTGTTGTCAATAATTTGTTTCTTGACCATTACATTATTGAAAAAAATTGATATCATTTGTAAGATGATATCACCAATATTAATCAATTCGGCAAAATTTATCAATGGTTTTACTGATTGCTCTATATTCTCTGTATCAAATGTATTTTGATCAGTAATATCATATTCATCTAATAAATCTATGGCCTTTTCAAAGGCAGGTGTTACATGATTTCTATTCATTACTGTTATTAATATCTTGAAAATTTCTTCACATTTTGCATTTATCAAAGGTCCTAATTGTGGAATACACTGAAAACTGAGAATTGTATCTACTTTATTGTGGGCTTGTTGGACTATATTATAACATAATTCAAGGTTAATTAACTTTTTAATATTTTGTAAATTTGTATTCATCAGATTTATCAAATTATCGTTTAGCTTTTCTTCATTATCTTCCTTTTTAGTGTTAGTAATTCTAAAAACTTTTGTAAATGACTCTAAAAAATTTATCTTATTCTCCGAATCATTCTTTTTAAGTGATTCCATACTTTGATCCTCACTATCAGTTTGCTCCTTAGTGGTCATATTTAATAAATCTGTTTCTATTTTATTTTCTTGTTCGATCTTAAAATTTTTAAATTGTCTTTCTAAATCTTTTTCAAATTGGCCAGTAGATAGATTCAAATATCTTACCACATATGGTTCTAAATAAATGTTTAATAATTCATTAAGTGATTGTTGATATGTTTTTCCCTTTGGTAAATTCATTGAACCATTAATTGAATCAGGTAATTCAATACAACATGCTTTAACACATTCAAAATACACACTTGGGAAAAAAGTCAGAAATTCCGTATCATTGTTTTGATTTGAATCTGATAGTTCTAGTAACTCATTAATACCCTCTAAAATTGTCTGTTGAACAAAATTTTCATAGAAAATGGGGACCATTGAATATTTATCTTCAAAGAAAATATCAATCATTTCTATTGTTTCCTTAAGATGTTGTTTTAATGGTGCCCATATTTTAGGTATATTTTCAACAGTAAGCTGAATGTCGTTAACTGTTAATTTAGGATATTCAATCTTTGAATTAAAAAAATCTATTGAAATATTTTGTTCATCTGTTTGTAATAATATTCTAATGAATTTACCTACCACATCATAGTTATGAGCATTAAAATTATTTTCCATTTCATTCAGACATGAATTGACAAACAATTCCTTAAGAATATTAAAATTTGTAACTGTTTCTTGGTAATAACTAGGATCGATAATGTTACATTTATTAAATTTTTTTATATTTGAAAGTATTTCACTTTGAACCACAGGATCGGTATCAAATGGTGGTGGAAAGAAGTTGGTTAAGCTATTATTATACAATTTATCACAATATATGGAAAATACTTTATATACTTGGATAAAACAATTTTTGGCATTATGTATATCACAACTAGTTAATTTATTGAATGTATTTACAGGGGTTAAAGTTTTTAAGTCATTGCTATCTATCAAAGCATATGTGCCATTATTTTTCTCAACCGTTACTATTAAACCCATAAGAGTTAATCTAAGTGAAAAATACTCTTGTTCAAATTCTTCATCTAAATGTTCATAATAAACTTGCTTATTGACAGTTTTGAATCTTACATAATCTTCCGGTCGAAGACAATTTGCTATATTGGAAACAATACTTTTAACCTTTAGTAAATTCTCCATATCTATCAATTATCGGATTGCTAAAAGTTCGAGGGAAGTGAAGAAAGTGTTAACTAAATCTACTAACCATGAACATATATATACATGCATATATATATATATATATGTGTGTGTGTGTGTATGGATGTATTTAAAGTGTCTTTGTGCTCATTCTCAATCAGTCCAAACAATCTTCTTAATTTAATCAACGGTTCTTTGATTTGTCAAAATGAATAAATGGCTACAAAGAATATAAAAAAATGCAAATTAGAAAAAAAGAAAGGAAATAATAAATATGATGATATATAGACATATGTAAAAATACAGTTAAAGTTCTGTAGAGCTCAAAGATAAGCAGTGGTGCAATTATTTGTTTAAATGGTTAAAAAATCTAAGAAAAGTTTTACTATTTAGAAAAATTGCCAAGCAGTTTATTTACCATTGAATTGATGAATATTTTTATCTATTTTTACTAATGAATAGAGAAGAAGGTAAGAGAATAGAAGATCAATCTAGTGTATCTATAAAAGATTTCCCCCCCTTCACTTACATTAACTATGATCATGCGGGTGTATTATCTCCTGAAGACATTCATATCATAAAGAAGACTGCTGAGTTTTATGTTTTATCAACAGTGAATCAAAAAGATGAAAATGACGATAATACTAGTGATTTTTTTTCTAGTTTAAAAGCAGAACTTGGTAAAGAAGAACAATTTCAATTTTTAGATGAACAACATCCCTTAAATCCAGTATTTAAAGATTTTATAACACAGTATAAATCTGTTTTATTGAATCATGAACCTATAAAAGATCAAAACATTTTTCTCCGACATTGTTTTGATAGAGCTACGTATAATGAATATAAAAGACAGGTGGAAAGAAGTAATCAGGAACGTTTTAACTTGTACAAGATTCGTTTTGCAGCAATAAATTGGAATAAATTTCATATTGTATCGAGTGTGGAAAATATTTTGAAGTCACAAAATGTTAATAAAAGAAATGATAATAATGGAATAAGTACTAAGGCATCATCATCTTCTTCTTTACAAAATGTAAAGTGTCATGAACCCCTAGATTTCTCAAAATTAAATAAAAGAAAAATATCTTGTAAGGATAGTGTGGGTTTCCTAAATAAATATTTTGAAGAAAATAAAGAAGATATTAAAGTAGATCAGGCTTCTGATTTAACTCAGAATAAGCAATCAATTATTAAGAAGACTAAGAAACGTAAAGGTAAAATGTTGATTAAGGGACAAGGAGAAACCAGAATTAATAAAAAAAAGAAATAAATATATATGTATATAGAACTTTGAGGTATCACTAACATTATATATATATATATATATATTTATAAAGTATTTAAGATTACAAAATTTATATATATGTACACATGCAGTAAGCTTCTAACACCAAAAATTCCAAGTTCTGTAATACCAAGGTTTACCAGCAAGTATAGTCTTTTCCTCAGCAATTTCTTGACGAAGAACTTCGAGATCAATCTCTTTTCTACCAGTATCAATATCCATATTTTCTGCTTTAATATAAAGTTTCCAATTTCTTTTGTAAATCTTATGACCAATATAACAAATCAGCACAACAGGGAAGGATAAGTAACTTTCGAAGAATGCAGTAGCACTTAGTTTTTCACCAGCTGGTGCAACTGCAATGTAGAATTGTGCAATAAACATTAATACAATTATAAAAATACCCCAATAGGAACTGTAAACTCCTAGTGGTGAAACAAATGGCAATTCATCCGTACTTCTACCTTGTGCTTTCAAAGCGGCTCTAAATCTAATATGGCAAATACAAACTGTGCCCCAAGTAAATAAAGACGATAAACCAGACAATGCTAGCATCCAGTCGAATATTTCACCTTCTTTCTCTGATTGGGCGACAAAGGCAACTAAACCAAAAATTGATGTAAATATGATACTGTTCAAAGGTCTACCTCTACGATCAATATAACCAAACCATTTGGGTAAGAAATTTTGTTCAGCCAGAGCACACAAAGTTCTGGAACATGCATAGATAGCGGAGTTGCCGACAGATAAGACTGCTATTAAAATGACAACGTTGATGACAGAGGGCAGACCTTTAATACCATGAGAGACGATAGCTATGACAAAGGGGGAAGCAGCTGCGTCAACAGAAGATGCACCGATCAGTCTATTATCATTGTATGGTACTAACAAGCCAATAATAGTTAAGGATATTATATAAAATAAGGTAATTCTCCAGAATACCTGTTTTGCAGCCTTTGGTACGGATTTTCTTGGTTCTGCACTTTCTGCAGAGGCTAATCCAATTAACTCACTGCCTGCAAAAGAGAATGCAGCGGTAACAAACACAGTACAAACACCCTTAAATCTAGCACCTGATGTTGAGCCAACAAAGGCACCATATGGGGCATGCCAATACTTACCACCAATATATCCACCGATTGGACCACCACCACAGTTCAATACAATACCTAAAATAATGAATCCAATGACAGTAATGACCTTAATAAGGGAAAATACAAATTCAGCTTCAGCATAACCTTTGACACCGAAGAAATTAATACATACGATGACTAACCAAAATAAAGCAACAAAACCATCTCTATATTTAGGATCGGTGCCCCAGTAGTTAACCGTGATGGAGGCAGCAACGATTTCTAAAGGAAGAACGACTAACCATTGTAACATATAATTGATATTATTAGCAAAACCAAAGGACTCATCTATAAACCGTGTAGCAAAAGTAGTAAAACCACCGGAGATAGGAAATACGACAGCCAATTCACCCAGACTCATAACCATGGAGTAAATCATAGTACCAGTTAATCCCCAACCGATTAAAATCCCTGCAGGACCAGCAGTTCTTAAAGCTTTCCCTGAACCAACGAAAAGACCAGTACCAATAGCACCTCCAATAGCAATCATTTGTAGATGCCTGTTTGTAAGGCGTTGTTGTAGTGGGGTATTTGCCGTTCTGAATGCGATCTGATCCAATTCTGACATATTTGGATCGACCTCCGGTCTCTCCATTTCCCTAAAAGAATCTATAAACCTTGCCCATCTTGAACCTAATTTAGAGGTGCTTTGGTCAGATGAAGAAGCAACATTACTATCAGAGAGTGGTTCTTGTGATATGAATTCAGAATCATATTTAGCAGAATTACGTTTGTCATTAATGACATTTTTCTCATCAGATAAACTCATTGTGATGTTATTAATGTTTTAGCAATATTTTGATAGATTATTGATATTTTTTTTCCTTGATTAGTTGACATTCTAACTATGATAAGGTTTAAATCTGTTAAAGACAGTAGTAATACACACAAATACACACACATCTACTTGTCTATAAATATATATATATATATGTATGTATGTATGTATGTATGTATGTATGTATGTATATATATATATGTGTGTGTGTGTATTCAAACAAAAATAAAACAGCCCCAAAATAATATCATATTCTTTATCATTGGTGGTTATCTTTCCTAATCCCTAGTGACTCTAAAAAATCATTTAGTTATTTCCAACATAAATGATATGGGATTAATCAGACATATAGTAATCTATTGTGTTTAGGAATTTTTGGATAGACAAATAAACAATAGAATAGTAGAATATTCAGCCATCGGAGGACCTCGAAGTCGTTGATAAAAAATGACTATTAAGGTTTCGATAAGCAAATAGTACTATTTTCTTATCAGATAATGGATATAGGGTTATGACGTATAAAAGATAAAACAAAAACATCGGACAAAATTATTGGGAAAAAAAAAAAGAGAGAGAAAAATCTGTTTTTTTTTTTTTTTTTTTTTTTTTTTTTTTTTTTTTTTTTTTTTATTTTGTAAGCCCTACTTTGTTCAATCTTTTAGTTGGTACATCGGTAAAATATTCCTTTTTTCTTAAAAAAATAAAAAAAAATAAAATAAAAAGTAAACGATCTAGGAAATAAATCTCCAACTTGTACAAGAAGACAACTTCTTGAAGAGGGTGACCAAAGACTTTACGAATTGACAAGAAGCAAATAATAACGTTATCGATCATATAAAGTACTGATAATGAATACTAAGAATCATATGTTTGAATAATTTTCGACCAATTCTTTCTCTGATCAATTATATAGTATCTTACCGTAAATAATATGCTCTAGTTGTAGTATTTTATAGCAAATCATTTCTTGAACCTAATATTTCGATCAAGATTCAGGAATAGAAGAAAAACTAAAGAAAAAAGAAAAAAAGGAAAAAAAGACAAGTTCCTCACATTTTCTTAAAGAACGTCAATAAGAGAGGTGTGATTTTTTGGGTATTAGGGCTTAATGTCTTTTCATTTTCGGTAAAGAAGAAAAAACATAAAAAAAAGGGCAGAATTACTTTGTGAAATGTTTTGATTAGAAAAAGAGCTTAATAAGAATATTTATGTACCTATTTTAAACGGTTTTAAAAAAATTTTGTCGAAATATATATATATTTGATTTTACATTAAAATTATTACAATCTTTTGTTGCAAGTAAACAATACTCCAAGTTTACAGATCATTAATAATACACCAATTTACAATTTTGTACAATCAATACAATAGTACATTCTTCACTAAACAATGCTAACATTTCTTATCGTTTCAGCTGTTCGTTATTGGTAAAGAAAAATTCCCATGTCAGCAATGCCAACCCGTTGCTCCGAGATAAGAAAAACAAAATAAAAAAAAAAACGAAAAGAACATTTTTTCTAAACAATGCATGTAGGGTTTGTTGTTGCTATAAAAGATAGGATGTGGATAAATGTTTATTCTACGTTTGTCTTTTCTCCTTTCTTTTCCTTGTTTTCTTTTTATTTTTTATGTTTTCTTAATGCCCCACTCCTTTGTATGTGAAATATCGAAATGTTTGGATTTATCAAGTGTTGTACCTCTTTTATGATAAGAGACAGTCCACGTATCTATTTCTTATGTGCTTGTAACTTGTTTCGAGCAGTGCTACTATTTTTGGGGTGTTCCATAGAGTGTTTTATTGTTTTAGGTTGTTCTGCAATATCACATAATATTTTCTTATTATGAACTTCTATAAAATTATTTTCTACTGGTTAATAATGTTATCTTTTAACAATTTATATTCTTTGGAAAAAAAAGAAAAGAAAAGAAAACATAAGGGACAGGTATTAAACGTTCCATATTTTAATTTATTTTGATCTAATTTCAGATACTAATTATTATATATAAGAAAGTTTTATTTTTTCTTTTGCAAGAAGATGCGAAGAGATACAAGGGGACGAGATGTTTACTCTGCATAATCACAAAGAATATATCAAAAATTTTACAATATATCCGACGCATCTAGAAGCATTAGAGATATACAAAAAAAAAGAAATAAAAAAGATAAAAAGGACTTTCATATGATTTATTTGGCCAGATTAGTAATTTAGGAATCAGTTGACTTGTTTATATTGTGTTTATTGCTGCTAAAGGATGTACAAAAAAGTTTTAAGTTTTTCTCATCTTTGACGGAGATGTATAGTTGTACTCCGGTATCTTTAATATACCTTTAGGTTGTATGTTGGTACAAACTTTTGACTAGAAGAACCCCTCTATATCTCAATGAATATATATATATATACTGAAAGTCAATATAACTTTCACTCTACGATTTTAAGCACTCTATAAACGATAATCCCATGAGTGGTATGTACTTGGTCTTATTGTTCACATTTGTAAGAACAGAAGTTTAAAAAGATAATGAATGAACCAACATTTTCCGTAATTATATTTTTTACTCAACGTTATTAAGAGTCTTTTTCCTTTGTTTTAGGTCAAAAAAAAAAAAAAAAAAAAAAAAAAAAAAAAAAAACAGAATTATCAGCACACCAACCTAAAAAAGAAAAGAATATTATTATCCATGCAAGCATTGTTTAGTTTAAAACTTTGTTTTTCAAGCAGAGTTTATTCATTACGCATAATATAAAAAACATTTTCTTCTGTCTTTCTTTTTCTCTCTCTCCCTCTCTCTTTCTCTGTGTCCTCGTCCCCTTCTTCCCCTTCCCCCCTGGCCTCACCTTTCTTTCTTTTGGTATTCACTTAAACAAAGAAAAATTCCTCTTTTTTGTTTCTGTTTATTTATTTATTTATAACAGTGGCTATGTGACAAATAAAAATAAATAAATAAATGAATAAAGAAAAAAAAAGGGGTTGAGGGAGTGGGGGGAGGGTTAAGAAGTATCAATAATAAGAGAAAAAAGACAAAAAGGGTCAAGTCAACGGAAACAACAAAACAATACAAGATACGGAATAACGGGAGAGGTACAAGAAGAAAGAATAGGAAAAATGAAGGAAATTTCATTTTGAGCGTTGTTTGTTTGTTTGTTGTAGTTCACCACCCCCTAAATTTTTTTATTTTTTTTTTTTGCCTCTCTGGTCTCCTACCCCCCTCCACCTCCCCCTTCCTCTTCTCACTGTAGACGGTATGCTTGACTCAAAAAGGGAAAATGGTCCCACTTTTATGCAACAACTAATAAGGCTTTTGTTTGTTTTTGTTTGTTTTTGTTCATTTACTATTGTTGCTGCTGTTGCTGTTGTTCTTTTTCGACATTGATGTTAATCTGGTTTATTTCTTGTTCCAAAGTAGAATGTTTATGGTTTCCTCGACCGTTATCATATAGGAAATCTCTCTTGTTCTTTCTCATACACGTATAGCTATATATATATATGTATATATATATATTTGTGCATGCACGAGTGTGTGCCTGTGTTAATGTGTATCTATCATAGTATTCCAGATTGTGCTTCTTAAGTTGCATACTCTCTCCCTTTTATTCCTCTTAATGTCTTCTCATTCCCCTTTTTTCAAACCTAATGTATTACTGACAAATAACCAAACATTAGTTGTAAACCAAAAGAGCAATAATAAAAGATAAATAAATAAAAATAAAAAAAATAAAGAAAAAACAGAACCAGAGACTAGAAAGGAACTACTTGAGCTAAATAAGTTTATTTTATAAAATGACCCGTGATCTACAGAACCATTTGTTATTTGAGGTTGCAACTGAAGTTGCTAACAGAGTTGGTGGTATCTACTCCGTGCTTAAATCAAAAGCCCCCATTACTTCTGCACAATACAAGCAAAACTATACTCTTATTGGTCCTTTGAATAAAGCTACTTACCAATCTGAAGTTGATCAAATAGATTGGGAGGCAGATGATGCATTCCCAGATGAATTGAAACCAATTCAAACTGTTTTGAGAAATATGCGTGATAAAGGTTTCTATTTCGTTTACGGTACTTGGTTGATCGAGGGGTCTCCAAAAGTTATTCTTTTCGATCTAGGTTCTTGCTCCCACTATCTAAACGAATGGAAAGGTGATCTATGGTCTCTTGTCGGTATTCCATCCCCTGATAATGATATAGAAACAAATGATGCCATTCTTTTGGGTTACACTGTAGCATGGTTTCTTGGTGAATTAGCTGTTCATGATAGCCAGCACGCTATTGTAGCGCATTTCCACGAATGGTTAGCCGGTGTTGCGTTACCACTATGTAGAAAGAAGAAAATTGACGTGGTCACCATTTTCACTACACATGCTACTCTACTGGGTAGGTACTTGTGTGCTTCTGGTGATGTCGACTTTTATAACAATTTGCAATATTTCGATTGTGATCAAGAAGCTGGCAAAAGAGGCATTTATCATAGGTACTGTATCGAAAGAGCAGCCGCCCATACTGCTGATGTCTTTACTACAGTCTCACATATCACAGCCATTGAAGCAGAACATCTATTAAAGAGAAAACCAGACGGAATTTTACCAAACGGTCTTAACGTTGTCAAATTCCAAGCTGTCCATGAGTTCCAAAACTTGCATGCGTTGAAAAAGGAAAAGATTCATGACTTTGTTAGAGGCCATTTTAGAGGTAATTTTGATTTTGATTTGAACAATACTTTGTATTTCTTTATCGCTGGTAGATATGAATACAAAAATAAAGGTGCTGATATGTTTATTGAAGCTATGGCACGTTTAAACTATCGTTTAAAGATGTCCGGTTCCAAGACCACGGTTGTAGCTTTCATTATCATGCCTGCTAAAAACAAATCTTATACTGTGGATGAATTACAATCACAAGCTGCAGTTAGAGCTTTGGAAAATACCGTCAACGAAGTAACCAAAAATATAGGCAAAAAACTTTTTGAACATGCTTTGAAGTATCCAAATAATGGCATAACCACAGAGATCCCAACTAATCTGAACGAGTTGTTATCTCAGTCCGATAAGATCATGTTAAAGAGAAGAGTCCTAACCTTAAAAAGGCCAAATAACCAATTGCCACCTATTGTAACACATAATATGGTTGATGATGCCAATGATCCAATCTTGAATCAAATTAGACATGTTCAATTATTTAACAAATCCGATGATAGAGTCAAAATCGTTTTCCATCCAGAATTTTTAAATGCTAACAATCCAATCTTGGGTTTAGACTATGATGAATTTGTCCGTGGTTGTCACTTAGGTGTTTTTCCATCTTACTATGAACCATGGGGTTACACGCCAGCTGAATGTACTGTCATGGGCGTTCCATCGGTCTCTACAAACTTGTCTGGATTTGGTGCCTATATGGAAGATTTGATTGAAGCAAACCAAGCTAAAGATTATGGTATTTATATCGTTGACCGTAGATTCAAGAGTCCAGAGGAATCTGTCGAACAACTAGTTGACTATATGGAAGAATTTTGTCAAAAGACTTTGAGACAAAGAATCAACCAAAGAAACAGAACAGAAAGATTATCTGATTTGTTAGATTGGAGGAGAATGGGTCTAGAATACGTTAAAGCTAGACAATTGGCCTTGAGAAGAGCATATCCAGAAGAATATAAACGTCTAGTAGGTGGTGAAGAAAGTAATGCTTCGAATATGGATACTTTTGTTGGTGCAAAGAAGTTCAAGATCGCCAGACCAATGAGTGTTCCAGGTTCTCCAAGAGAATCCAGAGCTGGTAGTACTGTGTTTATGACCCCAGGTGATTTAGGTACGTTGCAAGATGCAAATAATGCTGATGATTACTTTAATTTGAGTTTGAATCCAGATGGCACCCCTGCTGATGACGATGATGATGATGATGATCAAGCTTATTATGATAATAAATAGTTACGAATGGGTTTTTTCTTTCTTTAACAGGCTTCTATACTAGACAATAAATGTAATAATAGTAAATAAGAATGACCCATAGTAGTATAATAAACTCATATTTCTGTTTCATTGCATATTAACACCGTTTTACTAAAAAAATTTACGTTTCTTTTTCAAACCTACTTTTTTTTTATATATAACTAAAGATGCACATACGTTATATACGTTTCCAACTACACCACTATGTATATTATGACTTGTCAATATCACGTCTTTCCAAATTGCTTCCACAGTCTCTTTATGGAGCGACACTCTAGATTCAACGTTTCTATATAACCTTTTCAGTCACTTTTCTCCTCTTTTCTAGTTTTCTTCCCCTTCTTTTTTTTTTTTTTTCTTTTTTATTTTTCTTTCAAATCTGGGACGTTTTAATGTGAAAACAACAAAAAGGCAAAATAAAGAAAAGTCAAGCAACTTGAAAGACTTCGATCAATAAAGGGAAGTAAAAGAAGCAAGCTCCCTTTTCCCTTTAAAAGCTGAGCAGTATTAAACGATAGGGCAATAATTCAAAGGAAAAGACTTGGATTGGACTCAAGTCTATAACATTTTTCCGATAATTAATATTAGTTGATATACTAGAAAGAGTATCAACATCATAATTAACCCTTCCCTTTCCCCCTATTTCTTCTTGTAGTTCTCAGTTGTACTATTACTATTACTACTACTACTATTAGTATTATTACCTTGGCTGGTCCAGAATCGAAAAGGAAGCCTAATTACAAAAATATACAAAGGGAAACAAACAAGAATACCATAAAATCAGTATGAAATCATTGCAAAAATATGATTATGTGTTTGGTAGAACATTGGGTGCAGGTTCATTCGGTGTTGTAAGACAAGCTAGAAAATTATCGACAGATGAAAATGTAGCTGTGAAAATTTTATTAAAGAAAGCTTTGCAAGGTAATGATGTTCAATTGAAAATGTTATATGATGAATTATCCATCTTACAAAAGCTGGATCATCCAAATATAGTTAAATTTAAAGATTGGTTTGAGACAGAAGACAAGTTTTATATTGTCACTCAATTGGCTACCGGTGGTGAATTATTTGATAGAATTTTGAAAAGAGGAAAATTCACCGAAGTCGACGCTGTAGCCATTTTGATCCAAATACTAAAAGCAGTTGAATACATTCACTCCAAAAATATAGTTCATAGGGATCTAAAGCCTGAAAATGTGTTGTATATAGATAAGTCAGATAAATCACCATTGGTATTGGCAGATTTTGGGATTGCAAAAGAATTAAAATCTAGCGATGATCTAATTTTTAAAGGCGCTGGATCGTTAGGCTATGTGGCACCAGAAGTATTGACATCTAGTGGACACGGGAAACCATGTGATATATGGTCAATTGGGGTAATCACATATACACTTTTGAGTGGTTATTCTGCCTTTGTAGCTGAGTCTGTTGATGGATTTTTAGATGAATGTACCCAATATGAACACCCAGTTGTCTTTCACAAACCATACTGGGATGATATTTCCCAAGAGGCAAAAGATTTTATATTAAGAGCTTTAGATTTGGATCCTAAAACAAGGCCCACCGCAACAGAATTGTTACAGGATCCATGGATTGTGAGTAAAGAACTACAACGTAAAGATTTGTTACCAAGTGTTAAGAAGAACTTCGATGCTCGTAGGAAGTTTAAGGAAGCAGTGGAAATTGTTAAGTTAAATAATAGAATTCAAAGATTGAGGCAGATGTACTGTTTGACAAATGAAATAGATTCTGATCTAGAAGAAAATAGGTCTTCTAGTTCTATTAACTTGTTATCCGATAGGATGAGTGGTCTAAAGATAAAAAATGAAAGTCATGGTCCATCCTTAAATTTAAATGATAAAACCAATAATAATGATAATAATAAGAAAAGATTTAATGATGATGCAAGGCTGAAATCTGCTCTCACCCAAGATGCTTTTGCACAAATAGTTAGAGCAGCCACCAAAAACAAAGAGAAAATTTTAGAATATCAGCATTCAGAGGCTGCTAGTCAAGATAACCTTTCAATAGAAAATAAACAGCCTGAATAATGGATAAGATATGAATCATAAACATTATATCCAAAAGTTGTTGCTCATTTTTCTATATTATAAATATTGTTCTTTCTTGTTCTTTTGAATCTTTTTTTTTTTGCTATATTTTCTAACGAACGTAAAACCTGAATTTAATGATATGAAAAGTACTTTGTAGAATAATGGATTGTTTATTTATTTTCTTAATACCGAATGAAGCATTTTCAACTTATATGCAAATACTTCCATTGTTATACAATGTAGTAAAATAATATTCTTTTTACAAAGAGAGTATATATATATAAATGTATTATATAAAATCATGAGTTAATAGGAAGCAAAAAAGTCATTATATGCTTAATTGCCCGGGGTGTTTCACATAATGTACTTATAATAATGTTATGCCTTTTTTAATTTCAGATTTCTTTCTAGTTCTTTCTTCATAAGAAAAATATTAATTCTATCAATTAATCTTAGACTCCATATGCCAATATACAATGTAACTAATCTGAATCTTCAACATATTCGTCTACATAATTCTGTCTTCTTATTTTTCTTAGTTGTCTTTTTCCCGGTATCATATCTCCATACTTTTCTTTCAATTCTTCAAAACATTCAAATAAATACAGTATCTTTGATAAATAATCTCTTAGTTCCTTTAACTTATATCTAGCTGTGTTGTATTTAGCGTCCTTTGGTAATGGACTTGTATTTATCATCATAGTATCTAAGTTCTTTTCAGCTGTATTAACATGTGCAGCTGGTTGAGGAAGATTCTTATCATTATCTAATGATTTGTTCGTATCTGGATTGTCAACACTTGCTGTCCCCTCATCAACATTTTTTTCAATTGGAACAGCAATTTTATAATCTAATAATTCAATAAATTCCTTTAGCGTTTTAGAATCATGACACATTTCATACCAGTAAACTTTATCAGTGGTAGCATTACCTTTATTGACATCACGAACCAATGATGGGGTATCGTGATATAAAATTTTGAACTTCCCACTTATTGTTTGACCAAAGTTTTCAAACAAAGTATATGAGTTATAAATTCCATTAGAAAATCTCTCTAAAATTTCAGTTAATTTTCTCAAATCAGTGAATGTATTAATCTTGCTTTCACTTCCATATGAATATAATCTAGGAATGTAGAAATCACCCATACGTGGTATTCTACCTATAAAGAATTCTTGACAACGTAGCTTATAGACAGGATCATCAAATGGATTAGATAAAGGATTATCAATGATTTCACCTTCAAATAATTTTAACCACTTATTATAAAGAGAAAAGAATACTTCTTCTTTTCTAGTTGGTTCTGTATTCTGTAATGTATCTTTAATTTCCTTGATTAAATTGAGTTTTGCCTGAAGTTCGACTTGTTTACCTTCCTTCAATCGCTTTCTATAATGTTTTTTAAGAGAACGAATTTCAAAACGAGATTCAACCAATTTACACAATTCTTTAAAGCATCTAAATGTCTTATCTGGGCCCTCAATAAAATACCTTGGTACATGTTGGGTCTCAATACCAAAGGCGGGATCTCTTTTAAAATGAGAAAGTTGCTGTATTTCATTATGAATAATTGTAGAATGTGAAGAACACCAATCAACTAAGGCACGCAAAAAGATGATTCTATCCATGGGTTCTAATCCTAAAATACCTCTACTATACAACTCAGTATTTTGTAGCGGGCTTGATTCAGGATTAATAACTGCTGGCCATCGATATAAATTAGGTGTTAAGACTTCTTTAGTAGCTGGATCTATAAATTCTGTATCATCATGATCAAAGAATTTAATTTCAAAGTTACTTCTATCAGCTGAAGTCAATTGTCTCCATTCCCTTGGATACCCCCAACTACTAACATTCTTATTAAGTTCATTCAGCCAGTATTGGCAGTCTTTCTTCGGATATGGAGTTATATCCTGTAATTCTAATGGCTCACCAAAAGCTTTCTCATCACAGAATAAAAGTTTTAGTAATGTCACAAATACTAGGGTCATTTTATCTTGAGACGCAATAACTTCCTTTATTAAAATATAATCTTGATATAATATATAACAACCCTTGGTTTCAGAAAAAATGCCTCTAGACTGATGTGGAGCAGAACATGGATAAAGATCTAAACCTACTTCAAAATCTTGAAATGAAAGACTCAGTATATCAGAACCAAAATAATTAGAAAATTTATTGATAAATTCCATGATTTTAACAATATCACCGGCATAATAAATTGGTTTGGTATTGGGACTTCTTAATCTGGAAACAACACTGGTTTGATTTTTAAAATCCGAGGATAATAAAGGTGCATTAGAAGACCAATTTGCATTACTTAAAGAAGGCTCTTGTAGACCAATACCCTTGGATATCTTTAGCGCCTTTAATTCCTTTTTAGTTAACTTTTTAGCAACTTTTTTGACAGGTTTCTTAGCTTTCTTAACAACTTTCTTATTAGAAATTTTTTCTTTAGATTGCTTCTTTTGTTCTACTTTTGACTCTTCTTTTGATGGTTTTTTTTCTTGGGAAGTCGAATCAGTATCTTTAGATTGATCAGTTGTCTTTGATTTCTTAAAAACATTTTTATTTTTTTGACTCTTAGGTTTGGGTCCAGGTTTCTTACCATTATTCTTTCTCTTCTTATAAGGTCTCTCAGGGCCAAAATCAATCTCCACAGACACTCTTGGTTTAGGAACACGCGTGGATCTTCTTAATCCTAATTTTTTAACTTCTTCATTCACATCTGAATCTTTATTATCACTGTTTAGGTATTCAGACATAGTGTTATTTATATCTCTATCGTGCATTATTAAATCGGAATTGCTGTTATTTAAATGTTGGCTGTCTGTGGACCCAATATCTTCATTGGTGACAGTGTTAGCCAGAGAAGGACTTTGTGGAGATAAATTACTATTTATCATTATCATTGATTTCTTCAAAAGAATCCTTCGATTCGATAACAAAACAATGCAAAGCAATTATTTAATAATGAGAAGGAATGTTTGTAAAGCAATAAGAACAAACTTACCACACATCTTCATCTATCTTCTCTGAAGAGTTTTTTTTTAGAAAAATTTTCTAAAACCTTAAACATTCGTTAAGCAAAATGAAATATTTGTTTTTGGACGACTATTAAAAACCCAAAAAAACGTTCATTACAGATTAGGCTGACAGAAGTATGAAAAATAGTTAATGAGATACTTGAGCTACTTATATGTGAATAATCATAGTTATATAACTAAAGAATTTGGAAAGAAAACATAACTATTAACTTTACAAATGAATTAAACCATTTCGTAATCTTTCTCATAACCTAATATATAGCTTAACAAGAAAAAATTTTTTACTCGATTTTTTATGAACTTTGAATGTATAATTCATACATAATTGTCCATTATTTTCGGTAAGATAATGAAATGTTATAATACGCCGTTAATTAACTAAAACTTGTAAATTGAGTATTCTTTGATCAATATCTATATTAATATATGTATATTAGGTCGTCGATGCAAGGGATCAAGTATTGATCATTAAAAAAGTAAAAACTTTGCTATTCTACATGTTATATAACATAGAAATTAAAAATAAAAGGCCAACTATTTTTGGTGATTAAAAGCCCCTAAACAAAAGCGATTAGGCTTTGATTTAAGTACAACCAATGGTTAGTTTAGATAAATTTACTTTAAATTATGAACTCATAATTGGTATTAAGAATGTGTATATGCACATATGTTTTTTTCTTCATCACTCAGATCATCACAAAGATAATGTATTAGTTTAAAATGTGAAGATATGGTTCTAGAACTCTTTGTGTGTTAGTTATTCATTTGCCTTTACGGAACATTTTTGCATTTAAAAAATTTCCAAAAAGTGAAGGATGCGAGGTTCGAACTCGCGCGGACACCGTCCAACAGATCTTAAGTCTGCCGCCTTAGACCACTCGGCCAACCCTCCAAACAACTCATGTTTTTGAAAAAATAAAGTGATTAAAAGTACTGAGATTATATAAGATTCTAGTTGAATCCAGAGTTATTTATGGTGTTTTAGGTATAACTTGTGGATTTGCCACCTGTTCTTGTACAGCATGTTTACATACCTCTGTTGCTGCGCTACCATAACATACTATATTTATGTACACTGTGTTCATATATATTTGCTATTGTACCACCACAATCTATTGATTCAAATATTCATTAAGGTTCGACCAATTTATTATAATTAATAAATTGGGGCGTGAATTACAAATTCATTAAGACCCCAGATTGAATAGTTGATCAAGTCAGAAATATGTGAAAGGACAATAACTTTTGAAGATAAACCATCTTCCGTAACTTTTCTCTTATATAGATAAATTATATATGAGTAAGTATAGCAATAAGAACAAGAATAATTAAAAGATATATATAAGCTCGATATACTTGTTTACTATATAAAACACCATATAGTAATTGCCTTACCGATTATAACAATCACTGTCTTGTTTATTAAAATACTCATTTGATATTGACTGCACTTTACAACTAATCAATAAAGACTAATTTGCCACTTATCTTTTTTACAAAATGTGAAAAATGACTAACGAACATAATCACAGTGTTTAAGAAGCCTTTGAAGATTGAAATATATTTCAAAGTATAAAATAAGTGTTCTTGAAATATGTGTTTCTATTAAGTATTATCTTTTATACCAGTATCAATTATTATAAATTATTATATTGTTAATGTACATTACAAATAAACATTAAAAAATTAACTGTGATTCTTATTGTTTCTTTATTTATTCACTTTATCACAATAAGAATGTTGAAATTGAATGTTCTAAAATCAATGAATAGACCAATTAAATTTTAACAAATATAAATTGATAACAAAATGTGGAGAATGTATTGTTTGCTTATCAATAGATGCAAGCAAAACATATCAATAAATTGGTGTTGCATGTAGACCAGCTGTGTCAGATATAAAAATGTATAAAGTCAATGCTTTTTCATGTCGTATTTTTTCCCTTGTTTATCTTTTGTGCATTATTATCTAGCTATCATAGATAGATAAGGAAACTGAAGAACTTTAATATAACTTTGTACATTATATCTATCTAATTATAATATTGAAAATGTTTACTATATATCTAATCAACTCAAGTGCTCATTCTCAAAAAAGAAAATATTTTGAGATTCATTAAAATATATACAATTTGAATGTAAATATGGATAATGTATTTGTTGAGAATGAGCGCCTTTCTTCATTGGATATATAGTAAACATTCTCAATATTATATTAAACAGATTTAGTATACAAAATTATAATAAAGTTCTTCACTTTCTTTCTCTATATACAACATAGAAATAATAATATACAAAGATTGTAAATAAGATAAAAATAATGTATGATGAAATCCTTGGCTTTATATATGTTAACATTCAGCCATTTTCCTCTACGAACAGTAAGATATTTAATAAACAAACTCAACAACTTTTGGTGACCTCTCAACAATTATTACTCAACAATTTATCGTTTAGTGTCTGTTAAAATCTTATTGTTTTATCTATTTTATCATAGAACATTCTATTTCAACAGTATTCCTTTGTTCCTACAAAAACCAAAAGGATATTAATTGATGGTGTTGGAAGGTCTTCTTTTTGTTTCTTAGGTTCTCCTTTTCTGTAAAAAATATATATTTTAAACAAAATAGATTCATTGATTATTTTTATTTATAGTTACAGATAAGCTAATAACATAGTAGAAAGCCCTATCTGGAAATCCTGAAATAAGTAGTCTGCGGGTAACGCTTAATGCCAAGACGAAGGACTTGGAACAATCGAAACTCTGGGCCCAAGGTTGTGAGTGTATTCAAACGAACATATGATTGTCGGATAGACATTGGTAGTAAATTACTAAGAAGCTTACTTAAGGGACCCTTGATTATTGAGAGATAGTGCCGGAGGTAATTATTAGCATTAATGCTCGTATTCTATCAAATAGGTTAGAAAGAAGAACAAGACGAATATCCAAGACTAATCTATTTAATAGTTAGAATCCACCAATTATGTAATTTTTAAGTGTTTATATATATAATTAATATCCATATTTTAGTAGATTGCTTTTAATAACCTTTACAATGTATTTTGGAATGTTCAATTTCAATAAATACTTAATGTCAATATGTACACTATAAAAACTGTTTATACAATTATTTTTAAAAGGCCTCAAGCGTTCACCTTAGTAAGAAATTCTCAACATTTCACAATGAGTAACTGTCTTCAACTATTAATACAAATAATTTCAAAAGTATTATCGAAACAACAAAAATATTTATTATTAAAAAGTAATTGTTAGTTAGGCATCCCCTTAGAATGTTTTCTATATCCTTATTTTTGTATATAAAATAAATTATGAACTTCCATATTGTGGATAATTTTCAAAATTATATCATTTTTTTAAATTTAATACAAAAATTGATTCAAGTTGTAAACAACAAGAATCTACCAGATAAAAAATAATGCAAATAATATCTATTCTTCAGTTCTTCATATTTTTGAAGTTACATACCAGTGTTACTATATATTACTTAAAAACTTGATGCGCTGTTGCAAATTTGTTGCTACATTATTATGCTTCTTTATGGATTAAACTACCCTCCTCATAGAATTTATTTTATACAGGATATATCATTACTTCCATTTTTTTCCAATCCTTTCACATTTTATTTTCAAGTATTTAGCTTTAGTAAAACTTTATCAAATCAATATTGTCTTTAATTATATTTATAACTGAAAAATTACCAATATATTTTTTTCTACACAATCATTTCAACTTTATCTCAAGGTGATTATAAAATAGAATCATTTCTTTTTGCAACCTACATATTTTAATATTGTGAATAGTAACGCTTCTATCTCTTAACAACAAAAAACAAAAGCTAACAGTCCATTTCAAAAATTTTTCTTCTTCATAACTTGAAAGTCGTTATATCTTTTTTATTACTGCTAAATAATAGAAAGAAGCAATGTAAGTACATGCTTAGATAAAGGGTAACAAAATCTGTCAACAATATACTATTTCAATACACCTATATATAGTAATATAAGTACTACATACTTTAACAATAATTTAAACATATGATTCTAATGATGTTTAACAACACCAGCCTCATTAGCTGATGCAAGAATATAATCCTTATAATCATAGATATTACCGTCAAATCTTTTAACAGTACCATTCTCAGACACCCAAATTTCATTACAAACCTCATCAATCACAGATATATCATGAGATACCATTAATACACCGCCTGCAAAGTTCTTCAAAGCATCAATTAATGCCTCTAAACCAGTAGTATCCAGGTGATTGGAAGGTTCATCCAAAACAAGAATATGTGGATTATTTAGACACAAAGCTGCAAAAGCAACACGAGATTTTTGACCACCAGATAATAATTGCATTTTTTGTAAACCTAGTGTACCTGTAATACCAAAAGAACCCAAGTGACGCCTGTACTCTTCATCTGTTTTGCCTGGATATGTCTTAGACATCCAATCTACGGCAGATGTAGTTAAATCCATAGAGTCAACATGATGTTGCGTAAAATAACCAATACGTAACCTACCATTCTTAGAAACATAACCTTTAAGTGGTCTTAATTGCTCCATCATGACCTTTAGCAATGTAGTTTTACCACAACCATTAGCCCCTACTAAGGCAATTCTAGAGTCCATTTGCACATCCAAATTTACATCCTTTAACAATAGGTTTTTCTCGTCATAACCAAATGATACATCTTGTAATTGAATAATAGGGGGAGATAATTTTTCACAATCTGGGAAGTGGAAATTAATAGTTTTATCTTCCTCAGGCGGTTCTAATACAGGTAATTTTTCCAATTTCTTAATTCTTGACTGAGCCTCGGAAGATTTAGCTGCATTATATCTATATTTATCAATAAATTCTTGTAAGTGCTTTCTATAAGCCATTTGGTTTTCATATTCCTTTTGTGCATTTTTTCTACGTTCTTCCTTAGTTTTATAGAAAGTATCAAAATTCTGACCTCTGTAATAGTCAAGACGTTCATTATGTTGATGGATAATATCAGTGGCAACTTCGTTTAAAAATGCACGATCGTGGGAAACTGTAAGAACGGTAGCAGGATATGTTTTTAGATACTCTGCCAAATATGCAATAGATGGAACATCCAACATATTAGAAGGTTCATCCAGTAACAACAAGTCTGGCTGACAGAACAATGCTCTCGCTAATGATAATCTCATTCTCCAACCACCAGAGAAAGAATTAGTTGGTTGTTGCTGAGCTTCTGTACTAAAACCTAAACCATATAAGATAGAGGCAGCTCTTGCTTCTGCTTTATCAGATTCCATATCGGCTAGTTTTTCTGAAATTTGAAGCAAATGATTGTCTAAATCTTCACGTTCATTATCTAATTTCTTTATTTCTAGGGAATCTTCTTCAAACTCAGATCTTAAGGTTTCAATCTCTTTCAATCTTTCATTAATCTTATTTTCTTCATGTAACAGTTGCTTTCTCCAAACATCAGCATCAAGAACACTTTGTAAAGCTTTAGTATCATCTCCTCTCAATTCTTGTTCAACATGCAAGATTGAAACGTGCTTTGGAATGTTTAATTCTCTCCTAGATAAAGCTCTTAATAAAGTGGACTTACCGATACCGTTTTGACCGACCAAACCATATCTATGTCCAAAACTCAATGTTAATTGAGCATCTGATAGAATTCTTTGACCATCACCAACATACAAATCAAAGGAATCAATCTTGATATCTTTAGATTTACCAGCAGCAGAACCGAAATCCAGTGGATTAATCTTCAAGAAGAATGAGTCGTAATCTTCCTCCTTTTGTTGGTCGATTAATTTAGAAGCTTCGTATTTAACGAATTTATTATTTCGCTTTGCCACTTTCTTTGCAATCTTCTGTTCAGCCTTAGCCAATTTTTTCAAATCAACTCTAGTCTCCATCTTTCTACCGGTGTGTTCAATATCATTATTAACGCCTAATAAATTCAAAGAGGTATTAATGTTGGCCTTTTCATTATGAGATTGTAAGATATTGATATCTAATAACCTCTTTGAAGTATCACCTGTAATCTCCAACTTAGCTTGATTTTCTTTTAGTTGCAAAGATAATTCATTCAAAATATTCTCGGCCAGCTTATCAACAGCATCTTTAGAGGCTCCTGCATTTAAAAGTAAATCATGGATAAAATCTATTTCTTTGGGTAAATTCAGTTGTTTGCTCTGGACTGCATCAAATGTAGCCTTTGATAAATGGTTGAAATAGCCTACTGCATATTCTGTAACAATCGGATCAATTGTAGAAGCCGCTTTACGAACTTGAGAACCAATAGAAACCATTATTCAATATATACTAGCTCTTTGTGGTTAATAGCACACTTTTCTAAACATATATGTGTCCTACTTTAACTTATTCTAGTAACAATAAATTAACTACTATCATCTGTTTTGTTTTTTAAAAGTAATTTCTCACTGCAACAAATCTTATATTTTCTCTCTTTTTTTTTTTATTTTTTTATTTTTTTATTTTTTTTTTTTTTTATTTTATTTTATTTTATTTTATTTTATTTTATTTTATTTTATTTTTTTTTTTTTATCATTCATGTAGAAATAACATTAATGAAAATCGAACAAATGAATGAAATAAGATATATTCAAGGTACAACATTGCTCAAAAAAAAAAAAAAAATAAAAAAGCACTGTTATATAGGGGTGTACCTATTATCTTATATCTGTGTGGATTGTTAATTGCTGAGGGAGTGATTGTTATTTAGATGTTATAGCCATAAGGGGTTATTGTAACTAGTTATTCAGACACTTTATGGTTTCTTTTAAAAAACATAATAACAAATAAAATGTTAGAATGAACATATGTATATATATATATATATATATGTATATGAATTTAAAGATTATGCGTAATCTAAACAAGCCATTTCTTTTTTTTTGTTTCTTCATATACTCGAAAGCGAACTATATTAAGCGTTATCTATTCTTCGAAGAATTTTAATCTATCATAAATGTCTTTTTTAAAGTCTTCATATTCGAATGAAGAACGGCGTCTAAACATTTGTGGTTTTGAGGGCAAATCTCTTGTGGTGTACCCACCGCTGCTATTTTTATTGCTATTCATGGAAGGTAAAGTTGCAGACCTATCATTTTCATTGTCCAAATAATCACCCTTAAACAGTTGCATAGGTTGTGATGGGACATCAACGGGTTTTCCTTTGGTCTCCTTATGTTTATGTTGAACACGATCCCCCATATCGATAGTAGAATCAGAATTCATATTGTGGTCGTCATAGTAGTCTTGCCAACTTTGAATATCGTGTTTTATATCTTCATAATCCATTTTCTGAGTCAAATAACCCTGTTCATGACCGTAAGCGGGAGTGTAATGTTTATTTTCTTCCAAACTGTTATGGTTTATCGTTTGTTCTCTTAGTTGATTCATTTTTCTTAGATTCAACGCATCTGTATAATTTGTAGATCTGCGTCTTTGTAACGTACGGGGTCTCCTTGCGTCTTGAATATATGATCCGTTAGGTGTGATGGATTCTGACACAAAAGGAGATTCCTTAGGCCTAGGTGGGTCAGATAAATTAATAAAATCATCTGAGGTCACTTGTCTGCTGAACACCTTTGTATTATTTGACATAACTTAAAGTAGTATTCTTTTATTAACTGAAAAAAAAAAAGGGAAAAAATTCTTATAGTGTGTTGGTTATTGCTTTACTATAGAAGAAAAGAAAAAGACAAAAAGAGAGATGTATCGTTTTTCATAGCAACAACGACAACAACAATTATATATATATATATCCGTATATCTTTGTAGATGTAAGTGTAGATGTATCTATTTTTTTTTTTTTTGTGTGTGTGTGAAAAGAAAGTATCAAGTCATTCAGTCAGTCAACCCGTGTTGTCAAAAAAAAAAAAAAAAAAAGATTAAAACCCCATCAATCGCAACACTTTGTTTACAAAAGAAGAAAGACACCCAGAACGAAACCAAAAAAGAAAGAGAGAAAAAGCTTCTCTCCTGCAGTGTATAATGCTATATTATGTTCATATAACACACACCAACAGATTTTTCTGACATTACGTTAGTCCACGGCGATTCGTTAAACATTTGCGTTGCAGATTTGTCGCGTTATATCATCTGTGTGTCTCCCCTAATTTCTCCTTCTTTCTCCTCGTTTTTTTCTTTATTTTTTATTTTTTATTTTTTTTTTTTTATTTTTATTTTTTATTTTTTTTTTTTTATTTTTTTTTTTTTTATTGTTATTGAATTAATAATAATAATAGTAATAACGGAAAAAAAATATTACAATTACGTACAGGAAAAACAAAACAAAAACACCTTACAGGGGAAATAAGGGAATAAGGTCCGACGTTTGTGTGCCATAAAAGACAAAAGACAAGAGAAATAAACAAACAATAAGAAAACGAATGATTTTCTCATGTTATGATTTTTTTGATAAAAACTTCTTCTTCCTTTTTTTTTTTTTTTTTTTTTTTTATTCTTTTTCGAAGCTGTCCGCGTTTCATGCCAAAATCGAGTATTCAGGAAAGAATTAAATTGGCATACAAGTATTCACATACCATAATGGCCCACTTATTAATACTTCCTTGATCCAGATGTTCAAAATCATCGTCTAAAGTATGCCAATTGCTTGGAAATGGATTAGGTATTAAATGCAACGTAGATACTCCTTGGTGCCAAAATGGCGAATGATCATCATCAATAATAATCTGATTCATATGTAGAAACCCTCTATCGTTTATATCCAATTCTTTATGCAATTTGGTCTCAATCCCATACGCAGATCTTAAATATGCGTCCTCAATATCACTTAGTAATCTATAATGTCTATGACTCTTTCTATAATAACTTGGAATACTTTGATTACCTTTACTACCTATGAGATCCAACAGAACAAATGTCTCTATTTTATTTATAAGTCCGATCTCTGTCCATTTTTTGGCAAGATGGCGTGATCCATATAGGGAATCGCTGCTGGACCATTCCCCAAATGCTTCTTCTCCATCAAAAAATATCATCTTTATCCCCATATCCCGTCTTATATTTAATTTATCTGTGGAATATAATCGATCAACAAATTTTGACGCATACATAAGTATCGCACATGGAACAGCACTATCCATCCCTCCAACAAATCCCTCCGGTAACACCTTACTATCATAATGGGCTGCAAGAACAATAAATCGCTCTGCATACGCATTCAATGTATAAACAATATTAGTAAACATATGTCCATTTTCAGAAAACTGATCAATATAAAGATCCAAGCCCTCTGAATCTTTGTTTACCATTTTCTTCCGATAAAAATCTTGAATGAAATTCTGGATTAACATTGATTCCTCACTCCCTGGAACCCTTGTCGTATTAAACGGTAATAACAGATTATCCTCATTATTGTCTGTTAAAGAAAGCTCCACACATAATGTTTCATCGTAATATTTCATGTTGTTCTCATTTATTTCATATTTGTTTCTTAACCCAACACAAAAGGTTATTAAAAAAATAAACATAAAACAAAATTGGCTAACATATCTTTCCTGACAAGCATTTCAAAATACACTTTATCCACAATCCTAAAAAATCCTTGTATCTATCTTTTAATGACTTTTGATTTATACATATATATATATATATGTGTGTGTGTGTGTGTGTTTATTGTTAATAACATAAAATACAGTAGACATTTGTCAATTGATCTGTTTCATAGTCACTAGTCTAGATCGATGCCGTTTGTTTACTATATTAGATATTCATACTTACCATTATTTGATAATCTTCTCATTTCTATCTTTTCACAACATCGCTTTTATTGTTTTTTTTTTTTTTTTTTTTTTTTTTTCTGATATCTTAATTATTTCTTTTCTTAGGATATAACCAATTATTATTAAAAAAAGAAATGTAAATATAAAATTCATATTAAGACATATATAACTAAAACAAAAAAATAAAATAAAATAAAATAAAACTACTATACATTTACACCAGTCAGTCCTCTCTTGATCCTTAAAAAAAAACCCATCACAATTAAAAATAAGTATAAACACTTCGACTAACTTGACGCCAAAAATAATAATAAGAATAATAATAACAGTTATTTAGTCTTTCTTTTCTTTTCTTTTCTATTAAAGGGGTTATCATATAATCACATGAATATTGATAAAGATGTTGAGAATACCAATACAGACAACCATAACAAGAATAAGCCCAATCAAATAACAGATTCAAACCTTACCACACTCCAAAAAACTCCAGAATACAATAATGTCGCCAATACAAATAGAACTAGCAATGTACTCCTAATGTCCGATATGCTGTCAAGACCAAACGTGTCATTAACAACAACAACTACCACTGATGTTGATACAAATCCAGTATTGAGTGATATAAGTATACCTACAAAATTAGATAATCTTCATATAGAAGGTGTACTCGATAAACAATTCAATAATCAGGTACATAGGAAGAAAAGTCCCCCATTATTGAATGGAAATCAAGATATTAAAAATGTTGCTATTGCTGGGGATAACTTTGAGGATCATACTTCTGCTTCTGAGACTGCGTTAAACCAGATCCAGACAGATTATAATGACAAGAAAGTCAATAATCGTAACAATAACAGCGGCAATGACCTAACTATGAATTTAGTTGTAGGCAAAAAAGTAGATAGCATTCTGCCAGAAAATATTATAAATATCAATACAACCTCTTCTGTAAAAATTGACAATAATAATATCCACTCAATAAGATTTCAAACATCAGATCCAAGTAATCAATTAACTACCACAAATTCCCAGTTATCAATATTCCATCCAGATGTAAATAAACACCGAACCACACAAATTAATGATAGTATGAACTCAATACATTCTAAACATATATTCCCCATTAAAAGTGATTCCATGAATGTAAATAGATCTAGTACTTATGCATCTAAATCCACTGTGAAGGCAATACCTATTAGAAATCCAAATAGTCAAAGACTATTAGACTTGGAAGACAGGTTCTCTACTCGAAGTAGATCCTCATCTATGACAACATCACTATCAAGGAGTTTTTTATTTGGTTTCTACCATGCTCAAAAAAATAAAACAGACCTTAAACAAAAGCGACCTCTTATTTCAAAAGAATATTGGATGAAGGATGAAAGTGCTAAAGAGTGTTTTTCTTGTGGGAAACCATTTACTACTTTTAGGAGAAAACACCATTGTAGAATATGTGGTCAGATATTTTGTCATGCTTGTTCTTTACTAATGGACGGGGAACGACTAGGTTACACCGGTAAGATGCGTGTTTGTTACAATTGTTTTGAACATATTAACACTTATATGGATTCTAGTGATGAAGAAGATGAACTTGACGATGCAATTGTAGAAAATAACAATCATCTTAACGAGAGTGGAATTTTATCCCAAAAAAAACTCTCATACGAAAAAATTAAAGATAGAAATTCTATATCCAGTGATAGCAATACTTCTTCAGACGATAATCATTCAATATCTCTAAACAGTGGATTGTCTTTATCAGTCTCTGAACCTACCGAAAAACGACAAAAAGAAATCATATTATTGAACCAGGATGATGTCCGAAGTATCATTACTGCTGATGAAGACTCTAAACTATTTGTCATGACTCCTTCACCACCTCCTAAAATGGCAATTCCTGCCACTAAACAAGGAGGATCACTGGAAATTGGTTTTGATAGAAATCGCTCTGATAGAAAAAAAAATAAATATTATACCTTCAATACCCCCAGCTATTCAAATAATAACGAACGCTACACTATTAGAGATGTCGATATGCTACCCAAACAATACCGTTCGAAGCATAAGAAATATCAAAATGCAGGGTCCTCTGAAAAATATTATTCTCTATCACCTTCTGAAAATCGTCACAAGCGCATTCCAAGTATGAACTCCTTACGAAAATCTCTTTTAAATTATGTTGGCTCAGGAAATAAAACAAGCCCATTTTCACAAACTTTTGATAACCAGCAGCAACCAGAAATATATAACAACACAGAACCCCAAAAAGATGGTATTAAGACTGCTAGCACAATAATTGGCAATTTAACTAACAAAAATTTTAAGTTCCAGTTTAATTTCAAAAAAGATGCACCTAAGGATAGAAACTTGATTCAAGACAATCTCGTACATGTAGACGATGCAAGAAATTCAGAATTAAGATATGATTCAAGTGGTAGTGACAACAGTCTTGAAGATGAAGGTACAATGTCAATATACTCTTCTTTACATGATCTTCCAGTAGCGACAAATCCTATAAGATCAACTAGAAATTCATCCAGGTCATTACAAAGAGCACAGGCCTCATTAAAAAGAATTCAGAATAGACGAACCAAAAACAGAAATAAAATATTCTATCATCATGATTTTGAACGTTTGGGCATGAGTGCTCCCAATCTTTTATCAGTTGTTACCGACGATGATGCAGGAAATAAATTTTTAGAAGATACCAATTCTCATAAAAATTCTGCTAATAATACTGATGATCTTATTGATGAAATTTCTAAAAGCAATGCTATTCTCGAGAAACGTGAAACTATTTTAAATGCACGGCACTCAAAAACAAATAATGTTAACACACAATGGAAGCGACTATCCAGTATTTCATTGCATCATCCTCATAGAACAAGTAGTACATACAGTTTTAAAAAAAATTTACTCAATGAAGTTGCTACGGTTCATATGCACTTGCTTTTAAAGCAAGTATTAGCTGATCAGGATATTAAAGGTAAGGAAAGATGGGAAACTGTATTTAAAGAAGTTCTTTTAAAGAAAGTACAATTTATTACCTTGAGTGCTCGGGATTCAAACACTTTAGATTATAGGCAGAAGTATGTCAAAATAAAACGAATAGCTGGCGGTACAATAGAACAATCAGAATATGTGAATGGAATCGTGTTTTCAAAAGCTTTACCTAATAAATTAATGCGTTCATACATTGATAATCCCAGAATTTTATTAATCATGTTTCCTTTAGAATATCAAAAGAATGAAAATCATTTTTTAAGTCTTGAAACAGTACTTGCCCAAGAACAGGAATATTTAAACAAGTTGGTTTCTAGATTAACTTCATTGCATCCTGATATCATATTCGTAGGTGCTAATGTTAGCGGATATGCGCTAGATTTACTTTTAAAAGCTGGCGTCACCGTCCAATATAACATAAAGCCCCAAATTATAGAAAGAATTGCAAGACTAACTGAAGCTGATATTGCTGTCTCTATTGATAAATTAGCATCCAATGTGAAGATGGGAGAATGTGGCTCATTTCAAGTCAAAACTTATATATATGGAAATATTAGTAACACATATACTTTTTTGAAAGGTTGTAATAGTGATTTGGGAGGAACACTTTTGCTCAGAGGTGACTGTAATGAAAATTTAGAAAAAATTAAACATGTTGCAGAATTTATGGTTTATGTTGTATTTGCTTTAGAGTTAGAGAGTTCCTTTTTTAATGATAACTTTATTCAACTTTCATCGTCCTTTTACCTTGAAAAAAGCAAACAAAAACGCATGAGTATTTTTGATGGCTATTATTTTGAATTCCTAGAAAAATTTAGCCATCGAATATTAACGACATCACCTACTGTTGAATTTTCAATGCCTTTTCTTTTAAGCAAGGCGAGAGAACTTGAAGCCGAAATTAAACATAGACAGGAACAACAGGCAGCATTGGAAGATAAGGATATATCCATAAATCACCCAGAAATCAAGGAATTGGGCATCGAATCCACACTTACATTTAAAGATATGAGATATATTACTAGTTTTTTGCAACAGAAAAGGATTGAAGACTTACAAGCTACTTTCAAAAAAAGATGTAAACAATGGGAAGTGTTCTATTCATTATCACATAATATGTTAGGTACTGGTTCTCATCAAGCTATTACTGTTTTGTATTCGATGGTTTCAACGAAGACTGCAACTCCATGTATTGGTCCACAGTTGGTTAACATCGACTATTTTTGGGACACTGATATTTCAATAGGCCAACTGATTGAAAATATTGTACTTACAGCACATTATCCTTGTGAACAAGGTTGTAACAGTTATCTGTTTGATCATTACAGGAGTTATGTTCATGGTACTGGTAAAGTCGATATTATGATTGAAAAATTCCAAACAAAACTTCCTAAACTTAAAAATATTATCTTAACTTGGAGTTATTGTAAAAACTGTGGGACTTCTACACCTATTTTACAAATAAGTGAGAAAACATGGAATTATTCTTTTGGTAAGTACTTAGAAATTATGTTCTGGAGCAAGAAGGGAAGTCTATCCGATATTGGAAATTGCTCACATGATTTTACTAAGGACCATGTCAAGTATTTTAGTTATGGTGATTTAGTAATAAGGATGGAATATTCAGATTTAGATATACATGAGGTCAATACTCCTCCTGTAAGAATGAGATGGCAACCCAATATTGATATAAAATTTAAGGTTGAAAATTACTATAAGATTTTAGATAAAATAAATATGTTCTATGACAGTGTTGTGGACAGATTAGAACATGTCACACTTGATAGTATACATCATAGTAAAAAACAAAATGCCGAGAATAAAATCAATGAAATGAAACAAAAAGTATACCAAGAAAAGAAAACATTATTCTCAGACCTAGAATCTCTGTATCAAAGATATCCAGGTGATCAACACTTGCAATTGAATCGTTTATTAAAAATTGTATGTGACTATGCAGCCGATTGGGATAATGACTTTAATTTATTTGAAAAAGAATATCTTCCTTCAGAAAGAGATATTACTAGAATTACATCAAAGCAGCTAAAAAAATTATTTGGAGAGCCTAAATCAACAGAAAGTGAGTTGGACATGACTAATAACAATACTACAACAACATCAGATACAATATTAGCTACTAATGAAAAAGAAAAAAGTAATAGAAACTCATCTACAGGAGACCAGAACACACTTGTAAAAGGCAAGCAATCTGAAAATTATAAACATGCACTGATGATTCAACAAAAGGATAATATTCAGAAACCACATAATGATAGTCCTGAAGCTGAACCATTAAATAGTGAAGAAGGATCCATAAGCACTGCCATAGATTTGGAAGAAAACAAAACTAAGAAAAATTCAAAAGTACTGGAATTAGCATCTTTTTTCGATCAAATACATTTAGATGCACTTCCTAAAGATTCTGAACTTCATAAAGAATTCACAAGACTAAGAGGTGATAAAAATAAATACAAGAATTATAAATTACAATCATCTGCTCCAATTATCGAAGTGTACAAGAATGTTAAAGATGCTGTTGCAGAGCCATTACATGATCCAGGCAGTCAAAAAGACCATGAAGTCTTCGATCATAAAAACATACTTCAATTGACAGATAATATCATAACAGATGATAATAAAACATTGGAAAAAGAAACTTCTGCCAATTTAGAGAATGAATTAGAAAATTCTATTACTCGCTGGGGAGAAAAAGTATGGAACCAAGAAAATAACGAAGACAATACACTGCCAGAGCACGTATCGTTAGGTTCTGAATCCTCCTCTAGAAGCACTGCTGAAACCAAACCTCCTAAAAAAGAAAGCATTGTAGTACAGCCGGAAAAATCTTTGTTAATGAAAGCTATAACAAATTTTTGGGCAGATCGATCTGGGTATCTTTGGAAGCCTTTAGTTTATCCAATTTCCTCGACTGACCATGTATTTGCCGATAATGATGTAATTATAAGAGAAGACGAACCTTCTTCTTTAGCAGCATTTTGTTTAAATATGCTAGATTATAAAGAAAGAATGTTAGCTGTATACCAAGCATATTCACAAAATTTACCTTCTATACAGAATACTGAAAATACAAGTATATATACTCTGGACACAGAAAATCATTCTACTACCAGTGCATCTCATACCACAAATGTAAATTCTACAGAAGAAGAAAACTCTATTTTACTTCGGCTAAGTGAAACTCCAGAGATTTTAGAACAGATTATGACTAAAAAAACTGCGGTCCATCTTCGATATCAATTTGAAGATGATTCAACAGTAATGTCGTGTAAAATTTTCTTTTCTGAACATTTTGATGCTTTTAGAAGAACTTCTAATTGCAACAATAATTTTATACAAAGCTTGTCAAGATGCATTAAATGGGATTCATCTGGTGGTAAAAGTGGTAGTACCTTCTTAAAGACTCTAGATGAACGATTTGTCATCAAAGAGTTATCTCACTCTGAGTTAGATGCATTTATTAAATTTGCACCAAGTTACTTTGAATATATGGCACAAGCAATATTCCATGATTTGCCTACCGCCTTGGCTAAAGTTTTTGGATTTTATCAAATTCAAGTTAAAAATCCAAATTTATCAAAGAATTATAAGATGGATATTATTATAATGGAAAATTTATTTTATGACAATAAACCAAGCAGAATTTTTGATTTGAAAGGTTCAATGAGAAACAGACATGTTGAGCAGACTGGTAAAGAAAATGAGGTTCTTCTAGATGAAAATATGGTGGAATATATTTATGAGTCTCCAATATATGTTAGAGAATACGATAAGAAATTATTAAGAACTTCTCTATGGAATGATACATTATTTCTAGCTAAAATGAATGTAATGGATTACTCTTTAGTTGTTGGACTCAACAATGACAGCATGGTGTTGACAGTAGGTATTATTGATTTTATCAGAACTTTTACTTGGGATAAGAAACTTGAAAGTTGGGTGAAGGAAAAAAGTCTTGTTGGAGGTGGAAATAAAGTAATTAAACAACCTACTGTTGTTACACCAAAACAATATAAAAATAGATTTAGGGAGGCTATGGAAAGATACATTTTGATGGTTCCAGATCCCTGGTGTCAAGAATATATGTAATTATTTTTAAATAATTGAATATCAGAATAATCAAAGATAAATAAAGGGTAATTATAACTATTGCTCCTTGATTGTTGTGACATTTATGAATCGTGCTTAGCTTACTCTTCTCTTGTAACGTTTTCCTCCAAAGTAAAATTTACAGATTGTAAAATATTTAGTGATTTTATGAACCATTTTCTGGAATGATAAAATGAAATTATCTCATTAATCCAGCTTAAGTTACTCAATAAAAAAATTAGGACAATAAAATAGGATATTACCGACATTCTTTCAGTAGACATAGTTATTAAAAGGCAAAAGTGAAGCTTTATTTAAAGTTGGTATCGTTATACTCTGTAAATACTTGATGAAGAACAGTTGTTTTTAATTTTAATATTTTAGTGAATATTATATCACAGTATTGAGAAATCCATAATCCTGTTAAGATATCTGAAAAAGGATCGAAATAGATAATTTCCTAATATTATAGATTTTCTTAACGTAGGATGCAGAACTCGTAAAAAATCTTTAATAATTTCAAAAGATTCCTTTATCAATCAAATGTTGTGCAACATACTTAAATTAAATAGCAAATATCTGTCCTCAGATAATTAAATTTTTGTTGGAACTTTCTATAATATAAAATCAGTTTCTTCCAAATTTAACTAAGATTATGCAATAATTGTATTGATAATAATGAAAAAAACTTATATTTACTAAAAGGTCAAAACTAAGACTTGTATTAAAATTCCATTTTAGTATAGTAAAACTACAAGTATTAGGCTCTGCTGTAGTATTAATAAAATGATGTGTTGTGTAAAGTCTACTATTTTGTTAGACCTTTTTATGGTCTTTACTACTATTTCACTTTTGTAAACCTTAAGGATCTTCGGACATGTAAAAAACAGAAAAATACATAAAAAAAAAGTAAAAAGAGTTAAACATAAAATCCAAAGTGTGGACCCTGTCAAAATATCATATGAGCACAAGTTTTAAAAAAGTTTTATTTTAAGTACATTCCTATTTATATTTTGTTAAAGAAGTACTTTAGCTACTAGTGCTTGTTAACTTACTATGGTAATACATCAATACAAGTGATACATATATATTTTAAGACGGTAACACATACTATAAAGGGATGCAAAACTATGGCTCCTCATATATAGGAATAAATCGACATAGAACATCTATTATTACTACTATAAAAGGCGGTTACAACATATTTAATGTAGATCCATTAAGACTCGTTTTCAGCGAAACAAATGGAAAATATAGTATAACTGAACTTTTCGATTCATCTTCTTTAATTGCTGTGGTTGGCAATGGTGAGGACCCAGCTTATTCTACTAGACAACTACTGTTAATAAATTTGGTTAATTTAAACTGTATTTGTAGATTGACTTATCCCAGTACGATTATATGGGTAAGAATAACATCAGATCAATTAATTGTAAGTTTAACGGATCGAATCTACATTTATAGGCTATGTAACATGAAGTTATTACATGTTATAGAAGGGTTGAATATTAATAAGAATACAATAGCAGTTTCATATAATCAAATAAATAAATTATTGGCGTATCCTATCTGCAAAATTACAAATGAAACAAATATCACAAAAAGGCAAAATCAATCACATAACATAACTAAAAAGAATAGAAAATTTAATACAGAAATATCCCCCAAGCATATCTTAAAAAATACTTCCTTTTCATCTGTCGATACATCCTACACGAAAAATTTTGAATTTAATAATGATAATTCAGATGCATCTCCATATAGTAATGACAAAGATTTCATTGGTGATGTTTTGATATTCGATCTAAATAAACTACAGCCTTATCTAGTGATAGAAGCGCATAAGCGGAGACTCCAAGTTATTACTTTAAGTGATGATGGATCACTACTTGCTACTGCATCTAAACTTGGCACGATTATAAGAGTCTTTGATGTTTCTACTGGAGAAAGAATTTGTCAATTTCGACGGGGAAGATACCCAACCACAATTAAGTGTATCTCTTTTAGTAAAGATAATAAATATTTAATTGTGGGTAGTTCAAGCCACAAAATCCATATATTTTCTATTGAACGTAAATCAGAAATTTTGATTGATAACAACAGCAATAGCACATCCAATAACTCAATAAATTCAGAAATTGATAAATTACATGATTTAAGTAATATATCAGAATTAGATGAAGAAGATTTTGTAATAGTGTCTGATGAAATACAAGATGTAAAATATCCACGTAATATAAAAGAATTATTAAAAGTTTCATCAAGAACAATAACCAAGGAAGCATCTAAACAATTTACTAAATATTTCATATATGAGGCCACGTCAAATCTATCTCCAAAGAGACATGCTGCATTTTGTAAAATTCCAGATGATATTAAGACATCACCAAAAGTGGTATTTATGGGGGATGCACAACGTATTCAGAAAGATGATTATCTAATCATATATCCACATAATCGAACATCCAGTAAAAGTCGACAGTGGATAAATGTTAGAAAAATATATCTGATTGATGAAGAAGGGTATTTATTGGTATATATTTTTGATCCCTTAGGAGATGAAGAATGTGCTCTATGTAGTAAGTCACTTTTATTCAATATAGAGTAAATTCACATATTCATCTAGTCTAAGAAACGTAACCTATTCGATGATATTATGAAAGAGTACAACAAATTGCAGAAAGTTCTAATATTACATCCAGTTGATACACATGGTCAAATACTTACACGTTCGTTGATACCAACACTTTTACTACTAGACCATATTTCAATGACCATAATTGATATATAAAATCGGATCTAACTGTAGAGTGAATCATTTCATATGAGAAAGAGGAAACAATATAGGTCAAATGTTGGTTTATTCTATCTGCCACATACACACATATATATATTTGGTGGTTATACTTAATTCTCTCCACATATATTTATTCCTGTCTTTACTTTTTCTTCCTTCTTTTATGTTTCTTCTATCTATCTACAACATTTAGCCGCGTATGTCATGGTTTTTCTTTTCCTTCTAAATATATTCTCATGCTATTTTATGTCTGTTTATTTATGTATTTAATATCAATGATAGCTGGCGGCTAAATACAATATGATTATATATTACAGAGACTCAAGAATATCAAACAGGAAACTGAAAAATAAGTAACATAAATAAATGTTACAATGGTTTTCTCGTTGTTTGACAATTCACATGACGAGGATATGGGGATCAATCTAAAGATCGATTTGGAAGAAATCGGAAATGATGGTATTTTATTTCTTAGGGGAAAGCATGATAGGGCATCACCAATATTTCTTTCTGGCAAATTAAGGTTATCTAATTGCAAGAAAATACATTGCCGCAAAATTTATATAAGGTTAATGGGCAAAATAAGATTGAATGTTCCTATCCCAGCAAAAAAAATCTACAGAACACGTGAAGTAGAATTCATAAAGTTAGAATCATATTTTTATCAGCATTGCTGGGATGAAATTGAAAATTTTGGATTACTTAAGTGTAGTAATCCTATAAGTAGTAATGAGATGGCAAATGAGGTTTTTAATAAAACCCCAAATTTTTTCAAAAGTCTCTTTTCTGATATAAATGAACGATATAAGCATCCCAAACGGAATATACTAATATTTGACCCCGGTGAGCATATATTATCTTTTAGCGCAGTTTTGCCGGGAGACTTACCAGAAAGTGTTCATAATCACCCTAATGTGTTTGTAGCATACCAATTATGTGCAACTATACAGCAATGTAAAGGACTTCCTGATTTATCAGCAACAAAACAACTCATGTTTATTAGAACTATAAGTGTGGACATGTTGGATTTCCAAAATTCGGAATTTGTAGAAATAAAGTCAAAAAATAAGATGTCTATACATGTGGAACTTCCATGGAAAATCGCCGCCATTGGCTCTAAATTAGACATTTCCTGCACAGTAAAGTCTAAAAATAATGATATCAAAATAACGAATGTCATTATCAAATTAATTGAGTATTCTAAATATCAACATAAGAATAAAGTAGTTAACAAAAGAAGAAAAATCAATGATATAAAAGTTTCAGACCCACATTTCTTTTCAAAATTCACTACAGATTCAACTAAACAAAGGATTAATCATTTCAAATGTTTTTCTTTCCCCATACCCAATAATTTAAGTCAACTGACACAAGATTGCTCAATTATGGAGAAATTAACGATTTTACATGAATTAGAGATGAATGTAAAAGTCCTTTTACCTAATCACAAGATTTGCCAGTTTGAATTACACCTACCAGTTTATCTTTATATCTCTTCTTTTATTCCAGTAAATATGGTCCAAAGAAATTATTTTAAAGAACCTAGTCTACACTTTTCAGAGCCATCTCTTGAGTCAGATGGGCCATTACCTTGTGATAGTAGTACTTTAACAAATTATTATTCTAAAAATAATAACAACATAGATATATCAAATTTTCATATATTAATGAAAGATCTTTTTCCATCTTCATACGAGAATCATATTTATGATGCAAAAGTAGAAATATATGATCATATAAATATGCCCAGTGTTAATTATATTAATAATAGTTCTATAATAATGTGTGATTCTTCAAATATCACTAAATTAAATAGTTTGTATGATGTAAAATACCCACCCCCTCATTATGAGGTATCAAATAGTCAAGCTAGAAATGAGAGAGAATCACTCACGGAGGACTATTCAGTAGATTTGATTGATATGAGAATTGATTATTTGAAAACTTCTAGAGAAAATATTATATCAGAATCCATTTTGTAAGTGAACTAACCACATGTTTTGAGATCATTTAGCTCTTCATTTAAGTCTTATAATTCTATTATTTTTCTAATTGATTGAAATAATAGCGACTATTACTAAACGATAAGGTATAATCAAGCATTTACTGTTTATCTCATAGTACATTCGTTGTGATCCCTTTGTAAGTTTTATCAAACTCCAATTGAAGTAACACTATGGGTATAATAGATATGATAAATATATAACTGAATACATGTAATCTGCTAAAATTTAAAGAAAAAAAAAAATTGAAAAAGATTTATAACGTTATCATTACATTAGTGGAATTAGTACTATATAAAAGTTAGATAAACCTTTTTTTTTCTTGTCATGGTACGAATATATATCATATTATCATTGGTTTAATACATTAACAAATGAATTGAAGGAATGAAACACAATAAAATAAATTACATGACGTTAAAAGATGGATTAGTGATTTATCATATTTTGGGTGGGATGGTAAATAATTGAATAAATTAAATAATACTGAAAATAATAAAACAACCGGTATTAACTTTGCATTTACTTTTTTTTTCCTGTTTTTTTTTTTTTGGGTAATGCTATTTTATACTAGCTCAACATAGTTAGCAGGGAAAATACCTTCAGCACCATTGACTCTACCAGTCCACCAATCATTTTGAGATTCTGATTTTTTAAGAATGGTAATCACATCACCTTTTTTGAAAGGTAAATCGCCAGGCTCTTCCCCAGCAAAACTGTACAGTGCTACAGCCTTTGGAGCTCCAGAGGAACCTATCCTTGGAGAAAGAGAAGCTGCGGCTGCGGCTGCACTAGAACCGGAAGGTGTTACTGTGTTTCCAGAAGATAGCTTTGTCTTTGAAAATTGATTGGACAAATCGTCTAGATCATTATCGTAACTTTTTCTAGTATATGAAGACCTTTGATTGCGGTCATAAACATCATCTTCCCAGCGGGATCTCGAACCACCGCGAGGACCTAATGAACTTCTGTGAGCAGCATAGTAATCGCTTGCACCATTTGAATCATCGTCAAAATCTTCACTATCAAAACGGGGTTTTGAATCTCTGTTATAAGTTCTTCTATTCCTGCTACTGTTATAATCAGACCTTCTGTTACCGTCATGGTTTCTACCATTGTAGTTATCATTGTCATAATCATCATCAAAGTCATCAAAATCATCAGAGTAACGATTATTTCTTGAACTTCTTGAATAACCTCTGGAACGTCTACTAACGCTTGAAGAGTCGAAGGAGTCTGGAATATCGTCATAGAATCTACTATCATTAGAACTATAGTCATCATCATAGCCACCATTATCATCGTATCTACTTCTATAATTGAATGCTCTTGATTCTAAAACACGGAATAAAGGATCCACGGATGGTGGAGGTCTAACTCTACCAGATAAAATCATCTTTGAAGTACAACTGTCACCATAAAATTTTCTATTAGCTTCTCTTCTTTCTAAAATTACAGAACCTTCCACAGAGACACCAGCAAACAAACCTTTAGTCTTAGAATAAGCGAATACTGCAGCAACACCACCGGTGGAAGCCGATGCAGCAGCTTCTGCGTTTCTACCTAACGGACCTGCGGCTACAGAGACGTTCCCACCCAAAGTAATGGTACCAAATTCGGAAAACGACTTAACTGCATCATAATCATTTAAAATAAACACGAAATCAGTCAATTCTAAACCAACCATACCACCCGCACCAGCACCTGCCATAGCAATTGCAGATGGTGCCGACCAAGAACCATCTTTTAATCTTGCCACGATGACACCAGAGCCAGCTCTCCCTGAAAAAAGAAAACCAGCCTTTAAAACGGTGATGATGGCTAAACCTTTAGCTCTCTTCAAAACATCATGTGGAATAACTTGGTCCTGACCAAATACTTGGTTAGGCTTAACAAAACTGGCTAATATTTTAGCTGCCTTTTTAGTTTCACTTCTCAAACTTCTTGGAATTGGATTGTTAATACCCATTCTTGATTTTTTTTTGTTTTTGTTTTTTTTTTCTTTTTTTTTTTTTACAAATTGGTTATTTTCTAAGTTATTATTGTTGTAGATGTAAACGTTGATAGACTGAGTCTGACTATATAAAATTTGATTGCTTTATGTAGTATTAGATGGTAACTAAATTGGTCGTTATATTGATCAATTAACTTTATCTGCCACTCTGTTTTATCACTATATTTTTCTTTTTTTTCCCTTCTTTCTAAGATTCTTTTTTCATTTTGCTTTGGACGTTTTATTTTTTTTTTTCTTTTTCTTTTTAGGCTTTGCAAATCACCAATTTCCTCTTTTGATTATATTGGAGGTATGGGTGTTGTGTCGCCTAAATCTTTCTTTTTTGTTTTCAAAGGAAATCGTAATGAATTACAACCAAGCCAGTTAAATGATTTATCAACTAACTAACTGATTAAGCAAGTAAGCAATCAATTAACTGTTTTGTGGAGTTATATAAGATATTAGGCTGGATATTTCTTGGCTTTTTTTAATTTTTTAATTTTTTATTTTGATTTGTTGCGACCAATATAATATTATGTGTGTCGCTTCATCCTTGTTTACATCAAGTGATAAGATTTGAAGCCTGCATAGGATTATATAAAGTATTGGATAATGACCAATTTGTGTATATATTTTAAGAAGATGTGGATTACAAAAATACCCAATGCAGATGAACGTATTTATGCTTCTTGAAAGTTGAATATTCATGTTTTAGTGTCTTTTATTCTCTATTATTTTTTCTTATTTATTTTCGGAAATTCACCAGACTTCTTGGGTCTTCTGGGCAAAAGAAGAGTGTAATTTGAGAATGCACTGCCAACACATAGTATACAAGTAAAACAAGCCATAGTATTTCTGGTTGAAATGTACAAATGCATTCATTTGTACTTTAAACAAACGCACACACACACAGATATTGAAGTGGAAGCAACGTAACATAATTGACACTTCTTTTCGTGAAAGATAACATGTCTCTAAATTGAAGTTCAGACGGTTATATATGTGTATCCGGGTAACGTAATTTTATTGATTGTCATGTTTCTTCTTTTTTTTTATTTTTTTTTTATTTTTTTGCTTTCTATTTCTAAAAAAACAATTAACATTGTCGTGTAGAGTTTAAAGGAAAACCATAACTCTTTAAAATCATAGTGTCCATCTGTATACATAACACATCGCCTACTAAAGCATTAATATTTGAAAAGTTTTACATAACCTGGTTAAAGATTGGTTATTTTAATTAGAGCCTATTTAATCATTGTTTAACAAGATTTTATAAAAAGAAGAAGAAATATATACATACATACACACATATAGACAAAAGTAATTTCACTTAAGAGAACATAAACAAGTTATTTTTCTTCTTTTTCTTTTTTTATCATTACAATTATATTATAATTCAAAACAAAAGATTGTTATGTCGTTACCTTTAAGGAATGCATTAGAAAATGTGTCATCCCTAGACAGGGTACTTGAAGACTTATTAGTACGTTTTATTATTAATTGTCCCTCAGAGGATTTATCCAGTGTAGAGAGGGAACTATTTCATTTTGAAGAAGCCTCATGGTTTTATACAGATTTTATAAAATTAATGAACCAAAATTTACCGACTTTGAAGATTAAATCTTTGTCACAATTAATAATCAAAATTTGTCCATTGATATGGAAATGGGATATTAAAGCAGATGAAGCTTTGGCAAAATTCTCTAGATATAAAAAAACAATCCCCGTTAGAGGTGCAGCTATATTTAATGAGGATCTTAATAAAATCCTATTGGTTAAAGGCACAGAATCGGACTCCTGGTCCTTCCCAAGAGGCAAAATATCTAAAGATGAAGACGATGAACAATGTTGTATACGTGAGGTTAAAGAGGAGATTGGTTTTGATCTGACTGATTATATAGATGAAAATCAATTCATTGAAAGAAATATCTCCGCCAAAAATTATAAGATTTATTTAATCAAAGATGTACCTGAAGATTTCTTCTTCCAACCGCAAGTTAGAAATGAAATTGAAAAGATTAAATGGTTCGATTTCAAAACCGTTACTAAAAATATTTATAAAAGTAATAATAATGGATCCTTCAAATACTACTTAATTAATTCAATGATTAGGCCTATCTCCATGTGGGTGAAACATCAAAAACAAGTGAAAAATGAGGATCAATTGAAACAATATGCTGAAGAACAATTGAAGCTCTTATTAGGTATCACAAAGGAGGAAACAATCGATCCAGGTAGAGATCTATTAAATATGTTGCATTCAGCGGTTCAATCCACACATATCGAAAATCAGCAATCATCGATATCAACACCAGCATTCTTACCTACACAGAATTTACCCTTTTTAAATAGTCAAAATAATAGTAATGGTAATGGAAATAGTAACAACATTTTTAACAATCCAATTTTAAATAATTCTAACATCGGACATTTACCAATAATCCAACAAACTCCTATGTTTGTCAATATGATGCCCCCAGTACGTACAACTGAACAAAGCACAATCAGATCTATGGGATTCCAGCCTTTTACACCATTTGGGTTTACTAATGGTTCGTTGCCAAATGGCCTGCAAACACCATTTGTATTGCCAAACTCCGTTCAAGGTCCAATGTTCCCAGTGAGTCAGGTTCCCTTGTCTCCAAGAAATTTACCTCACCCACTAAATGAATCACAACCGATCCATATTCCATCTACGCCAAATGTTCAATCGTTATCAAAACCATCCTTAGTAACATCTGATGATAATCAAACATCAAATCACTTAATGTCTATGCTGCAAAACACTCAAAAATCCGTATCACATCTATCTTTACAGTCTTCTCCTTCATCTCCATCAACTAAGGACGTGAAACCAAAGATGAGAATTTTACAAAGAGGAGAAGAGTTGCCATCTTCTGAAAAAGATGTTTCTGAAACTCTATCGAAGAATATACATGGTCAAAACATTGGTTCTAAACTGCCATCTAGTGAAATTTTACAAGCACAACATAATAATGTTTCAAATGATGTAGAATCTCAAAATTTGTTAAGTTTATTGAAAAAGCCTACTGCTATTAACACTACTAGCCCTATAGCAACTACTGCCACCGTTGGTATGGTAAAGAGCCATCAATTGCATAATCAACCCATATCGTCGTCGTATGAAGGTATTCCTAGTGAATCTGTTAAGGTACATGCTATCAATTCAGACAATAATGATGATGAATTCTTTGAAAATCATTCTTTTGAGGAAGATGAACCAGATAGTCTTCCTCCAAGTGTTTCTGTACCTCCAATTAGAGGGCAAAAACCTTTAAAAATATCTGACAATGACAATGTACATAGTGAAACTGAGGTAACTGAAGAGAATTACAGTGATTTTGAAGATAGTACAGACTCTGAAGATGATGTAAACGCATTCAGAACAGCATATGAAAGTGCCCCTATTGAATTACAATCAGAGGAAGAAAGTGAGGAATTAGAAATATTGAATGAAAATGAAAGTCCTTCAAAAGAATCTCTTCCTGATTCTATTTTACAAGAGAATAATTTTGCAGGGGGAGAAATTCCACATAAAAATGAAAAAAGTGAAAGTATGGTCTCAGTTAAGGGATTTAATATAAATACTAGTAATTCAAATATCAATTCTTTGAATAATAATATTAAACCGAAATTTAAAATTTTAAAAAGAGGTGAAAAATTGGAAGATATTGCAAAAAATTCTTTGTCTTCTCCATCTATAAATGATCATGTAACAAATAAACAGCAACCTTCTGTATCGACACATGAAGCAATAAAGACCCATTTTGAACAACAGCAGCAACAACAACAACAATATACTAAGTTACAAGAAGAGCAAAGTCCTGATCTTTTGGCAATTCTAAAGAATAGATTTGACCTACCAAATACAACACCACAATCTGTGAGAAAATCTTCAATACAAAAATCAGAAGAAACAAATAATGAATTATTAAATCTACTTAAGAAAAATTCTCAAGGTGTACAGGAATTTTCAGAGGATAAAGCAATAGATTTGAATTCGAATAATCAAGTAAATAATAATAATACAATGATCCAAAGTACTTTTATACAAGGAAAACAACCAGATGATTTTGTTTTTTTTAATAATCAGAGATATGCGCCAAGTGAGGTTAACACTAATCAACAAGCTACTGTTTCTTCAGGTGGAGACTTATTAAGAATGTTGCAAAGTAAGTCAAATAAAAGTAACCAAGGTACACCGGAAATATCTAATAATACTTCTTTGAATTCTCAAAGTTCCCACCCAGTTTCTCAAATAAGCCCACAGTCTGCACCTTCTTTATTAAATGAGTCAGCAGCATTACTAAGTATGTTAAAGAATCCATCTCGTTCTACACCGCAACCACAACAGCAATGTAGCATGCCAGCTTTGAAGAATTCATCCCAGAATTTCGATATATTCCATCAGGAGCAATTATAAAGAATATATATTTATCAGTTTTATAGTTTGTGTGATGTTTAATGCATAAAATAAATATAGAAATGTATTGGAAATGTAATTAGATATCTACATATATAAATTTTTTAATTTAATTTTATAAGCATATGCATAATCATGACATGACAATAATTCACTTGTCATCTGCATTGATTTGATATTCATTTAATACATCCTGTAATTCTTTATCAGTATTTCTAGGCCATATTACATTTTTACCTTTTATACCATTTAAATTGATAGTACACCCATAGCACAAAGGCACAGCATCACCATTGTTCCATATATAGTCCCTTAACTTAAGATATTGTTCGGTTTCAACACCCATTTTAGATTCCTTCCATTGTTTATAGTATTCCTTTTCTTCCTCTGTTTCAATAGGATGACCCTCATCAACAGTAATAGAATTTAACCAAACAGAGGGATTAGAATAGATAGCATTTGAACAAATAAAGCATATTTGTGGAATAGTTCCTTCTTCCAAATATTTAGTTGGAGCTTGCAATTTGTCACCAGTTCTTAAAACAGTAGAAATGATGTTTGAGTATTCACCCTCCATATCCTCATAGTATTTTCGTACTAATTCGTTAATAGACATATTTTTAATTAATGTAGTATTGACGTTCTCCTTCTTAGAGTCTTCATCTGAAATAATTAAGGATTTCCTTAAGGTATAATCAACTAATAATGAATCCATTTTTTGGCATATTATATATGCATCAATTTCTGATAAAAGAATATCTTTCATTGGGTATAGATTCTTAAATATATTTCCGTATGCTTTATCTAGCGATTCAGAATCAAGACTTGCTGCTATATTAGCACCTCTGCCTTTGATAACTAAACCCAAGATTTGATCAGCTAGCTTGGTCATCGAATTACCCCAAATTAAAACAGAACATTTAGTTTGCATAGCAAATTGTTTTACTGTATGTTGGACTATAATATTCCAAAAATCATTTCTAGTATTTCTGTTTGGGCATGCTTTCAATAAGTCTTCAATGGAATAATTATATTTTTCATCCCAGTCTAGAGCCATAGAATCGAAATTGATATTATGAACAAGGATTTGCATTAGATTCTTTTTATGGTAAAAAGTGTCTGCATTAATAAAGTGTATTTTTACATAGTCTAATATTCTATCATTTGAGTATCTTTCAGAAGAACAAATGCACTCCCATGCATCTTTAAAATGATTCAAAGTTTTATTATTTTGATAGACAGATACAATATCTAATGTAAAACCAACTCTTCCTCCATGTTGATGGTATTGTTCTCTTAATAATTCAATAATAATATCAAGGGCGACTAAACAGGAACTTTGGAAATCGAAACCCATAACAACTTTTCCAACTTCATGAGTACCATCTTTATTGTATGCAACTTTGAATACATTGCGATAATACTCATCACCCATCATACGCTTTCTTTGTTTTAAACTTACAAACTTGGTAAAACATTTGTTGCAGAAGAATTCCTTACGGGATCTGATGATTGCAATTTCCTTCTTGCACCTTTGACAAACTTCCATCTTTTATTCACAACGCTCTGTATACCTAAATGGAAGTAAATAATTCTATGGATCTCAATAATCAAATGTATTAGTTGAAGTTTGATCACCAAACTATTCTCTGGGTTTCTTCTTCTACATATATACACTAGCTCATCGAGCAAATCTTTTCTAAATTCTTTCTAGTAAAATCTGAAATAATTAATAATCAATTTTTTGTTCTTTTTTTTCCTTTTTGGTTCGTTGATAATTACGTTTTTCTTTTAATTTGCCTAAAAGGAAAAACATATAAAACCCTAGGGTTTTGTTTCTAAATCTTAGGGTTGAACAATTTTTTCCCAAAAAAAAAAGAAAAAAAAAGAACGACATCAAACACAAAAATAAATTAAAATGGGAAAATCTGAAAAGAAACTAAAATAAGTTAGAAAATGGAAAAGGGAAATGTTAAAAAAAAGTTTCAAATAAGGAACTTCACGAAGCTATTTAAAAACCAGACTTTAGACCAAAGACTAAAATACTTACTATTTTAAGAAATTCAGATCAAATTTTCAGAGTCAAGGCAAGTAAGTCAGGATTAAGATAATTTTAAAGTACGTTTAATAGTCAGTTATGCTGTTAAAAAATATATTCCGACCTATAGTGAGTTGTGGGATGGGCTTAATGAAGGGTTATTCACCATCATTAATTATGACAAGAAGTTTGATGAAAACACACAAAGCAACGGCCAAAAGATGGAGAAAAAACGCACATGGTTATAAGAGAGGTATTGCAGGCAGAAATCATGGGAACTGTGGTTGGTCTAAACGTTCGTTGAAAGCATTAACAGGCAGAAAAGAAGCAAGTTCTGCATATATAAAACATCTTAAAAGGTTGCTTCCGTACCATTGATTTCAACAATATCTCTATTTGTAGATACTAGGGTAAAATATTAAAGATTAAAATAATAAAAAAAATTCTTAATATCCATATTTGTTAATATTATTGTCTATTTTTGGTAAAGCTTACTTTTTAAAGATATAATAAAATATATTTTTAAGAAAAATATATATTTATTGTAACAGGAAACTTAGTATTCCTTTCTATTGTTGTTCAGAAGGATAACTTATTTCATGTATATATTGAATTTATATTAAAAAATAATTAGCATGTCTATATGTGTTTAAATGTTAAATAATTATTCAATTGTTCTTAATTCTTTGAACAAGGTTCCAAAGTTTGGGGATCATTACTCTCTTAACTATTATTTTTGTTCTTGATGATCGTACTTATATTCATGTTCAATCCATTTGTTTGTGATAGAATCTTTTCTTAATTCGGCAGTAGGAAAATAATGGTAATTAGTCTTTAAGGAAATAGCAAATGGCACGTTATCGTATGTCATTAGTCTTATCTTACAGTAATGATTATCAGGGATTTGCTTAATAGCAGTCAAAAAACTGTCCATATCTGGGGTTGGTATTTCATTAATGTGAGTAATGAAATTCGTGGCTGAAATACCGTATTGAATAGCTGGAGATGATTCCCCTCTAAAAACACAATAAACACCCTTTGGCATTTCAGTCATAGCTTGATGTACTGCATGATGTGGTGCTTGGACTATACAACCTGCAAAAATTATCAAACGATCAGTTTCCTTTACATTGATGGTGGATATATTTAAGTCTAGTACTTTATCTTCACGGACAACCTTAAATTTTAATAAAGGAGGGGTTTCACAGTTTTTAGCAGATGTAGTCACTCCGTCTAGATCGTCCATCTCTGTAACTAATTTATCATTTACTGATAATATTACATCACCAGTCTGTAACCTTTCTCTCTCAATAGTATACGATACTCTAGATACAGTCATAAATTGTAAACGACTGTGGGATTCAGCTTCCATTCTTTCTATCCATTCTTGGGGAACACCTCTGATTCTTGCATTTAAGATAGATATAGATCCAAATTCAGCACCTACAATATTAACTTGCGGTTTGCCACCACTTTTCAATATTTTCACGACATCCTTAATATTTACAATATCAAGACCCATCAAATAGACCTTTTCCTTGTTCTCTTGTCTTTCACCCAAGAATGATAACCAAAGAGCCCTTACTGTCCCATCATTATCTGTTAAAATACCTGAATTGCATCTAGTACTAACATTACAATCAATTGATATTGCTTCTAAATTGGTAGCTCTGTATCTTGGGATGAGATTACTTGGGATACTTATGGAGGATATATCAGTTATCACGGTGTCGGATGTTACTAATCTATTATTATGTGTAAACCCTATAAACTGAAGTTTTTCACCATGTTTTACTTTATTTTCTGAAAATTTAGGTGTTATTACATCAGCTTCGATTAATTTGGGATCATATTTAACAATAGCATAGTTTTGTGTTGGATGTAAAAATTCTACAGTGGCAGGGACAATGACAGAGTCAGCAATAGTGACAAAACAATCTAAACAGTCATGAGGAACAATTCTACGTGATACAATAACATACCCATTTTCAGCATCAATTATTAACCCAGCAGTTTTTAGTGTCTCGGCAGACAATGAATCCAAAGGTATAGCTGCCATTGTACTTACTATACAAAGGGAATGTGATAAAATTTTTAAGTCCATATTATCGGTGGCAATATCTATAAACCTTGCTTTATGTGGTTTTAATGGTTCCGCTGGGACAGGTTCACAGACATTGGTATAATCCCATATACCAGTAGTGTCATTTCTTTTGTATAATCTAAATTCACTGCACCAATGACGGTCTATATATATAGATGTAACAACTGGGGAATGGTGATCAGATAGATGATGATACTTCACTGTCACACGTTTTCTATCAGGGATTCCCTTCATAACGTTTATAAATGTGTCCAAATCAGGTGTTTCTTTATTATCAACAGCATCAATGATCCAACCTACTTTTTCCTTTGAATCAAAATTGAATGATCCAGAAGCACAACTCAAAAATACACCTTTCACTGGAAGTGCATAGCATCTTGCCATTTGATAAGATAAATCATTGAAAGTGGCACCACAGACTTCTACGTATCTATCTGGGGTAATAGAATGTAAATCTTGGATAATGGTCTTTATTATATGATCTATACCACTACGTTGTATGTGGATTGTTACTTCTTTACCCACTGAGTTATCAAAAATATCATCAACTTGAATAAAGGAAGAAATACGCTGCTCATTTATCGAGATAAGAACATCACCTTCTTTTATAAGATTATAGCCAGGGCCATCTTTCAGAATAGTTTCAGCGACTAAAAGCCCGATTTTATCTGGTGAAAAAGTTCTAGCTTTACTTTCTTCTTCAGACGTGAGTCCTAATCTTTTACATTCATCATAAGGTTTCAGTAGCCATTGAACTTGAATGGTCCCTCTAGTTATTGGTTTATTATTTTGAATACATTGTAGAGCTCTCAGTATTCTGTTCAAGGGAAGGAAGAAATCCGTGGAAGCCTCTGTAGAACCACCCGCTTGTAAGGCTACAGCATCACCATCAATATTAACAACTGGAGACCCACTAGATCCCCCTGAAGCGGATGCAGCAGCCTGAATATATTCAGTATTAAAATCATTATATGTTAATTCACCGTAATCTGGAGCATTTCTATCTAAACGAGAGATGAACCCAGATAATATACTTAGTTTTTCACCAGCATCGTTACCTACCACTCTAATTTCAGAACCAACTTTGGCTAATGAAGGTCTTAATTTTAGAGCCTGAATTTTACTATATTTGATTTTCTTTGGATCAAACTTTAGGAAACCAAAATCATGTACTGGATCCCTATATATTGGTATCACATCACACTCTTCATGATTATCAAAGACTACATATCCAACAAAAGGACCTGGACCTACCACATGTCTATTAGTTAGGATAATTCCGAGTTCAGCATCGACCACAAACCCAGTTGCCTCAGAAACTAAAGCTGGATCACAATCAAATGGAGCTACTTGTGCAAAATGAATAGATACCACAGATTTAACTACTTTAGAAATCGTATCTTGCCATTTTATATAATTTTCACTTTCTAAGGTATTAATATTATTGTCCAATATAACGTCTTCCAATAATTCCTCTTCTTCTATTTCACTATTAATTAGATTTATTCCTGTGTCATTGGTAATAATTTTCCTGTTATCTGCTACTGGGAATAATTCTTCATTTTCCAAATCAGAATATGTTCTTTTTTTTCTACTATCTGTATTAGTCATGATATACCTTCTAAAAGCTTTTTTATTATTGTTTATTTTCTAAAAGGTTTACACAAAATAATACGGCTGTAATTTACATCAAATCTATACAAGTAGTAATTTTTACCATTTAACCTGTGGCAGTTTTTATAATTATTGATAATTTTTAACCTCATCTCTTTTTTTTTTATCTCTTTTACAAAAAAAAACTACGTTAATAGTAGAGAAGAAAAAACAAAAAAAAAGTATGGTTAATTGAGGTCATATTCTACGAAGCACTAGTTATTGTAAAGATTAGAAAGTAAGTGACACGTTTAATAAATAATTATTTGATTTTTAATTGATTTTGTAAATTTAAATAATAAAATCACATTCCTTTGGTTTCTTCAAATTATTTAGGTGTTTTCGAGTTATTTTATTTGGTATGAGAAAATCGAAATGATTTCGTTATTAGTATTTCTATAAAAAAGAGATAATAGTTTATTTTTAATCTTTAATTTTTGTATATAATCTGGCGCCTTCAATAGATCAATAGGTTGAATTGTGATAATAATACAAGTATAACTCAGAGAGAGATAGAATATATATTAATGTAATTGAGAAAACTTTTAAACTGACCTGTTTCTAAAATTACACAAATACTGTAAACGAAAACAGGGAGCAGATGTGATTATATACAAGTAAACGAAGATTATAAATTATTTTATTAATTAAATAAGAATGAATATACGGTTTTAAAGAATATATAAGAATATTAAATTTTTGTTGGGTATGTCACTCTCTTTATTATATTCTTCCAACCAGAACCTAATAAATGATTGTATTTATCTTTTGTATCTTCTAATTTACTTAAAAAGTTACTATCATAACCAGCATTTTCACCAGTTTCTTGAATAATGTTCATACAACTTCCTAAACGATCAGACTTTTCATATTCATTTATCTTATCTTCTATTTTCTTCACCTCCTGTTGTAATTTAATTGTGACAACTTTTTCCCTTAAGACAAAACTTAATAACAATGCCCCAAAGAAACAAAACCCAGTAAATATCTGTGTATGTATGTATGGATTATTTTTTTTCTCTGGGACAGTCAATGCTTGTGCTATCAACTCAGATACCAAAAATAATGGACTTCCTGAATATGTTACAAAACCCCAGGCAGGTAAAAATTCCTCTGGTTTAACGACATCAGCAATTAAGACACTATTCATCACATTAGCAACACCTACAGATAAGCCCATCATTATGGAAAAGAAAATTAATTGAACAAAAGTGTGTGCAGGAATCCAGAATGCAAATATATATATGCATAAGATACACGTTAGGAAGCTTGTAACGTTAACTCTACCAAACTTGTCACCCATAAGCCCCATTATTGGTCTCCCTACCGTCTGGCCAGCATTTAATAGTGAAGTTAATGTAGAACCTTGATGTTGTGACATGCCACGAGCCACAGCATATGCAGACAATGTAAAAACCATTAGAGTGTAAGCAAAAATTGCTAAATTAAACCACATAGCAATTAATAAGACAGTAGGCTTCTTAATCACATCAATATCAAAGAATTTTTTGAATTCCATTACAATTGCTTTCTTTGATCTAAGTCCAGTAATCTTAGATGGGATTCTTTCCTTCACAATGCAGATGGAGATGAGACATGAGACAGTGCAGGTGACGGCCAGCATTCTATAACACATAGAAGTACCATTATAATCTTGTATCATTTTATTTGAGGCAAGACCATACATAAGACCACCCAGACCAGTACCTAGATAACATAACCCCATAGCGGCAGCTCTTTTTTTCAAGAACCAGCCTGGTATACAAGTAGTTGGTGGATTAGCGACCAATGAAATTGATATGCCGATGAAAACACCTTGAGAAACATAAAGTTCCCATAATTGAGTGGCAAAGGAGGCCCACAAGAATCCGGCTAACAAAAACATGGTTCCAACCAGCATTGTTGTCCTGAGCCCAATAATTCTCATCAAGATTAATCCTAATGGTGCTAAACCTTGTCCCAATGCTACAGGGATACCAGCTATAATTGCATAATCGTATTTTGTAGCATTAGGGAAAGTTCCATTGGTTAGATAAAATGATAGAAATACACCAAAAGCAGCATTACAACCCCAAGAACTAAGCATAACAAGGATGACGGCAAACACCATCACCCATGCATAACCTTTATCAGGTGGTAAAACAACTTCACCAGTGGATTTATTAGTGAACACTCTTTCTAATATAGTTTTTTCTTCCCCTTGAGAAGATATACTCTTCTTTTCTATATCTTCCATATTTTTGAGATTATCAGTATTAGTATGACAGATACGATTGGTTGTTTTGTTTGACAAGTTATGAAAATCATATTCGTTGGCTTCTAAACGAATTGCATCACCAACATCAAATCTTTCGGTGAGAATTCGATTCAATTCATTCTCACTATTCTCTGGTGTTTCATGATTACTGGTATGATAGTCAGGAATATCTGCATGCTGGAAAGATTTGATGGAGGTTGAAATATCACTCCTTAAAGAACTGATAGCATACAACTCAAAATCACCAGAATATTTACCTTTTCGTATACTTTCAGCCATTACCAAAAGTTAAAAAATAAAGTATATTAAATATAAAATACTAAATACAAAACAGACTAAAGAAAGATGACTAAATAAAAAATCGAAATAGGTTTGGTTCCGAATAGATTAAAAGTGTAATAATGTCTGTTGAGATATAACGATTTGCTAGATATGTTAGTTTGAATGGCTTAGTCCAAATTAGGTGAGCTAAAGAGATAGAACTTGAATATATAGGAAGTAGTCGAGAAACACTATGTTAGTTGTTTCCTATACCTTCTCTTGTTTTTTAAATTTTTATAGCATATATATATGTATGTATGTATGTATGTATGTATATATGCATATGTGTGTGCACATACAAGCTCATTGGTTGAAACAATAAGAATTGAAATACAGATAGAGCCAAAAATAGCTATGAAAAATAAAAAAAATTAGTCATCTTTAAAGACGATGTCTCGTTACTTTATCGAACGAAATCTTGTTTACTTGGAAAAAAAAAAGGGAAAGGAAAAGAAAGAGTATAAAGATCAGAGTTGAAAGAAAATTCTAGAAAGCCAGAAAAAAAAAAGTGTCATTTGCTGAAACGTCGGAGTGTTTCCTGTTTGGGAATTAATATTGTATTTCATTTTCCTTTTCAATAAAATTTTTCTTTTTCCATTGGTTTTTCCTTTTAGGTGTATATGGGAATATCACATAGATTGAGATTGAGGAATAAAGTATAGAGAACAGATAACAGCCAGATAAGTCAAAGTGAAATAGTTATTAGTGAGAATTTAATTGAAGTAAATCAAAAAAGTCTTCTCTAGATAGATACAATTTGAAGAAAAAAAAATTTCTTTCTGAGAGGTTATTTCAGCACTATCGTAAATCAATACACTTCTAACTTTTTTTTTTTGACAGGATCTTAATGGCATTTGTTTAATCAGAAGAAGCTGCTTTTTATAAATGGTAAAATGAATTCATAAAAGAAGATATTTTATTCTTGAGTCACTTCAGCATAGTTTATTCATTCTGTATTTTATAAATGAAATTCGTGTGAATGGATACGTTCCAAGATGTTTTTCTCTAAACCCTCAATTTCGAACAGCTATAAGTCTTCGGAAAAACATAGAATATTATTTTTCCCCTCCGCTTTTTTCATGTCGGCGTTATAAATATTTCCTTTTTTCCTTTTTTTTTCACTTATAGTTTGCTGTCCTTAAATTTTTTCCAGAAAGGCGCAATTTTTTTTTAGTCTTGGCATAAATTTAGGTTTGCTAGACTCTGCAAGATTGTTTAACTCAAAAATGCATGTCAATTAGTTGTTTTTGAACTCCTTGTCTTGAACCTCAGATAGAGAAATTTTTCCATAGAAAGAATATGTAATATCACATTTTTGTTTTGATCTAACGGGTATGAAAGAGGCATATGGCAAATATTTGGACTACAGTAGGTTATGAATAAGGTGTTCTTCATATCTTTGTTTTCTATATTGTCCTAGAAAAATGTGTCAATGTCATATGTATAAAACTCAATTAGTATACTGGTTAGAAGCCATACGAGTTATTATAGTAGGAAAGTATATATATTTGTATATATCTACATACTTGTACGCACCCGTATATTAATCCTCATACTTTCATAGGGTAGAGCATTCTCATGAAATATTTCTTTACTCCAGCACCTAACAAAAGATTATATTTATCTCTACGGTGCTCGATGATTTCCCAACTTTCAGCTGTAGATTTGTTATCATTGAATACTCCAGAACTAGCATCAGATGCGTTGTCTGATCTTTGCAGTAGTTTTAAATTATTCTCTTCTTGTCTGCTTGTCAGTTTAATTTTGACAGTATATTCTCTCAATATGAAGATCATAATAAGTGCACATACAAAACAGCAACCCGCAAATATCTGAGTGTAAAGATATGGATTTTTCATTTGTTCTTTCACTAAAGCTTGTGCAATCAATTCACAACATAATAAAGCAGGGGACCCTGCGTAATTAACAAAAGACCATGCAGCTAAGAATTCAGATGGTTTAACCAAATCTGCAATCAAAACAGTATTCATGACATTTGCTACACCAATACAGGAACCAACCATAATAGAAAAAAATATCAGTTGAACATACGTGTGTGCTGTAATCCAAAAAACAAATAGATAGATAGTAATCACTGTTGTCATTATAATGGTAATGTTAGCTCTTCCAACTCTGTCACCTAGTAAGCCCATTAATGGTCTTCCGACTACTTGTGCACCATTTAATATGGCTGTCAATGATGACCCTTGATGAGATGTCATCCCACGTGCCACTGCATATGATGCTAAGGTGAATATCATTAAATTGTAACCTAACAATGCTAATGTAAACCAAATACATATTAATGGAACCTGTGGTTGTTTAATAACTCCCCAAGCAAACAATCTCTGTGCTTCTATTTTGATCTTATCCCAATGAAGTCCTGTTGATTTAATAGGTGGTCTTGATTTGACTAAAATTATTGCAACTATAACACATACTGTATTAACAACAGCTAACATAACATAACATAAACGCGTGTCCCCATTATCACTGATCATCTTCTGTGAAGCCAAACCAAATGTAACACCTCCAGCACCTGTCCCTAAAAGAGATATACCAATAGAAACAGCTCTTTTTTTTAAAAACCAACCTGGTAAAACAGTGGTTGCAGGTGAAGCGATAAAAGCAATCGAAAATCCAATTAACACACCTTGAGTTAAATATAATTCCCATAATCTTGTTGAGAAGGCAGCTAATAAAAACCCAGCTAATAAAAAGATAGTACCAATCAGCATTGTGGGTTTCCTTCCAATAATCCTCATAAGCAGAAGGCCTATGGGACTAGCACCTTGCCCCAAAAATACAGTAAGTCCAGCAATTATTGCATAATCATATTTTGTAGCACCTTTATAAACACCATTATTTAAATAATATGATAAGAATACACCAAATGCTGAGTTACAACCCCATGTATTAAACATAACTAAAAATACAGAGAACACGACTACCCATGCGTATCCTCTATCTGGGGGTAATTCTAATTGTCCTGTAGATTTATTAGTAAATACTTTCTCTAAAGTATCTTCATTTGATGGATTATTGTTGTTGTTACCATTTACCTTCCGTCTGTTTAAAGTATTTATGGCAGAGTTTGTCAATGATGAGGCAGAAAAAGAAGATATTGTACTTGTCTCCTGTGAACTTCTTGGAGTGGCTTCAAGATCAGAAGGTAATGGACTATGATCTTTTTCAGAAAAGTCACTTTCGTCATGTTGGTGTAGGCCTTGTTCTGCTTCTCCATTATTTCTATTATCCTCTATTTGAAAAGCATCTCCTAAATCAAATCTTGATTCTAATAACTTATTTAAATCACCAGATTTTCCTTCCTCAGCAGTTTGTTTATTATCATCTTGAACTGCATTCCATATATTTGTTACTGTTTTGGTTAAGGTTCTTGCCATTGATGGAGCGTTAGATGGTACGACACGTAAAGAGGGAGTATTTGTGAGGTTTGTATGGATTCTATTGTCATTATTAATATTATTAATATTATTATTGTTGTTATTGTTAAAACTGTCTTCATTCTCGCTGGAACTTTCAGCAGAAGAATAGAGACTGTCAACAATGAAAGAAGACGATATATCTTCAGTATGAGAATTACTATTTTCAGAAGTCATGATAGCGTATATAAATAAAACATGAAAATATTTTGGAGAGCTTTTTTTGGTTTATTTTCTTTTTTTTGAATGTATTAGTTTTTATTATAGGTGGATGCAATTAAAATACAAAAAAATATATGTAGATGAATAAAGCATTAAATAGATGAATATAGTTGTTATTCAAGTTAAAAGGGAAAAAAAATAAAAATCAATCTCAAAAAGTGCAAAGGTATGAATATGTAGTTTATGTGTATAATTTTATACACACATGCCAATATATAATTTGAGTGAATAAGTATTAGGATAAAAATATTTTATATAAAGTAGGAATCCTTATGTCCCTCACTATGTATATTATAGTGTCTATTTGTTTGTCTATCTTTAAGAGTTAAATGTCACTAAGAAAGTTAAGATGATTTTAATACTCCGTAGTTAAATAAAAAAAAAAGAAGGTAATTCACAGGTCACGAAAGGAAAAAAAGAAATACTTGTGAGATTTACTACATCTATATATAACAATTAATATTCGAGAAGGTGAGTAGAAAAGGTGCTTATGTCAAAGAAGAAATAAGCTTTTTTCGTTTTAAACGAATTCTTCGACCCATAGAAATTCTTCTAATATTCTTTACATCTCTCTGAATATTGAAAATTATTATCTTCGCACAGCAAGAAGCGTCTCAGAATACGGTTAATCATCATTATTCGTGGGTGTCCCCTTTATTTTTCACTCAAAAAGTTTTGTAGAAAAAACAAATATAATGTTCCCGACAAAAAATTGCTTTCAAGACTTTTGTGTTGAACCCTACTGTAAATTAAGTGGATGTCTAATACGTTTGGATGAAACCCTAACTCTGATTAGTTTGAAAAACAATGTAATATATCAAGTGGTTGTATAAACAGTATTAAATATACAGAGATAGATAGTGAGAAATTCACTGTTAACTATCTGTTCGCGCTTATATTTACAAATTTTTACTATCATTCTATTAGAAGCTTGAAAAACGTAATATTTATCTTCAATTATTGTTGCAATGCTTTTTTTTTGTTCCATTCACTTGTTAATACTTTTAAATTTGAAGAAAAAGACTTAAAGTCACTAGTTATAAGCAGATATCCTAAATAATGTTCTGTGAAATTATATAAAAAACAAACAAAAACAAACATAAGAGTACTTAGAGTGGGGTTATTATTGAGCTATCTTAATACAAGCTATATAGCCTTAATAGTAATCCATGATGTTCATGTAAAATGGATATGTTCTGTAATGTTTTTGACAAACCCTAATTTCAAATGACTACAGTGGTTGAAGAAAACTAAAATATTTTTATTTGCCCATCTTATTTTTCGTTTTCGTATGTTTTACATGCAGCAGTTTTTTCCAGTTTGTAATTTCTCTCGCCTCCTATCATTTTGTTTTTTTCAAGGGGGGGCATCACTTTTCGAATCTATTAATAAGCGGCTTAGTCTAAAGGGGAAGGGGTCTCGGCAATCACCGAGAATAATTTACGAAAAGGCTATCAAGAGGTGGGGGTGAAAGGAAAAAAAGAATAGGATGATATCACCGACTTTGAGAGAACAATATACCCCTGTTGTTTTTGTCTTCTCATAAAAAAAAAAAAGATAAAATGAAAGGAATTTTCTTTTTTTTTTTTTGTTTTTTTTAAAAGATAAAAATAATTTTAGGGCTTCTTATAAACATACATGAGTTTTTTAACAAAAAAAATAATATATTAGGTCAATATGTTGTTATTAGAATATATCCCCTTCATTATTCATTAATATATTTGGATGACAAAGAAGTGTTAGTTTTTTGAAATATGTTAAGTTTGTTATTATTCAAGAAAAAAAAGGGTGTTAGATTTATTTATAGTCTATGTTAAAACATAGAAGTTCTATTCTAAAAAAATGAAATCAGGGTTTCCGAATATTATTGGAAAAAAGATAACAAATTTGGAAAATAGAGACGAGGACTTTAAAAGCTTGTGAGAGTTTTTTTTGTTTTTACAAAACTGTTTCTTTTGTTGAAAAATTCTTGTCTATTAAATGTGGTTTACTCAACATTACTGACTATTGTTATTTTTGTTTTTTGTATCTTAAACTACTTGATCTATAGAAAAATACGATCTGAAAAAGATTTTCCCATCAAATTATTATGAAATTTTTTATTTCCGTGCATTAAAAATTATAGGAGACAACCGCAGTAATTTATTAGTTTTCCCAAATATTGAAACTTTTGTAGGTGATTAGGGTGTGGGGGAGAGAGAAAAAAAGACCACACCTCTTGACTAGTGACTAAATGATTCTTGTTACAAGGTATTCAGGCGATTTTATACAAGGTTTTCTGTGTTTTCTTTTTTTTAGTTCATAGTTATTGGCTGATGTTTTTATTGGATTTTTCAGCTAGTTGAGGAGGGGGGAGGAGAATATTAATATGTTTGTTTCATATATGACATATAGTATATTTAGATTTCTTTTTGCACTACAGTTACTTTAAACATAGAAACTACTTACGCAGAAATTCATTTATTAAATGCTTTAGGTGTTCATTGTAGGAATTCATTTTGACAAGAATTAGGGAGAGTATTGCTAAGGAATATTCTTTGTCTTGATAATCATCTACTCTAATATATTATTGTCTTGATCTACTACTAAGACAAAAAATTATTATCAATTGCAGCATATTCTAAAATTGTCTTATTTGCAGGACCTTAATCACAATAAACAGTGACACAGTTAATTTTTAAGGTTCCCATTAAATTTCTTCTACAATCTTAACCATTTAACATTATACAAATAAGTCTATTCCAGTAATATTTCGATGATTATAAAGGTATCATATCAGTATTTCCCCTCCTTATTTAAGCCATGATTTTGCGATATTTTTCTTTTAGGTTTTGGAGTGGGCTAGTTAATATATTCAACAAAATCTTCTATCATCAAAAGATAATATTATTAAGATCAGAACATTTTGTCATCATTGTGTGTGGATGTAAAAGAAAATTATTATCAAAGTTGTTTTTTTGGACTATTGCTCTTTTTGTGAAGAATGTGTCAAAATTATCAATACCCTAAACTATAATATTATACGGATTTCCCACAGAAAAAGCTAATTATAAAAAAAACATATCTCACGGAAAAAATTTGAATCAGAATTTCTTTTTTTTTTTTTTTTTTGAAATTTTTTGGTTCGTGAAAAAAAGAGGCGATTTTTGTTATAATGAGATGAGCTGAAGAAAAAGTACTGTATGATATGAGATGATACAGTATGATTCATTATTCTCCATCTGAACAAAATACTTAAAACTTAAGGATTCGTTTTTGATATTACTGACAAAAAGTTATATTCTCCTCTGGATTAAGTGGTATTAGGAGGTAGAGGAACAACAAGAACCAGATATAGATACATATAAACACATATTGCATTATTAATGACAGGTGATTTATTCAGTAGAGCCTTAGAGAACGCAGATTCAATAACAGCGGAAGAACTGAAATTAACTTCACTGGAGAAATCCGAAGGTGAAACAGAATCGCAAAATATTGATAATGAGGAGGTTGAAGAGATTGGAGATTCGAATATAAATGAAAAAGATAATGGAAATGATATCGATAGTAAGCAAGATAATGGGGAAGTGAGAGAGAAATCAAATGAAGATGATCAAATTATTGAAGGAAACACAGAAAGAGATGCAGTGGGTGTGGATGATTGCATTGATAGTAAAGGTAGTAGCAATATAGGTGATAATAATAGTAGGATTAGCGAAGGTGAATCACAAAACAGTGAATCTTCTGATACAGACACTTCTAGTTCAGGAGAAGAAGAAAATACAGATGATGCTAAAGATATTTATGAAACAGGCGAAGAGGAGGATGAGGAAGAAGGTTACAATTTAAATGAAGCGATAAGATCCAAAAATGAGATTATTGAAGAACAAATTATTGAGGTCCCAAAAAATTACAAGATCGATGAAAAGACTAAAATTTCAGAGATTGGTATTATTAAATCTATTTTTGAATCTAATGTTATTGTTCAGGGTACTACTTCTGGTGAGAAAAGAGTTCTAAAGGATGGGTCTATTTTTTGTTTGGAAAATCGTGAAGTAGTCGGTACTTTATCTGAGGTTTTTGGTCAATTACAAAATCCATTTTATAAGGTCGGTATATCTCCAGTAGATGAGACTAAAAGTGAGATAATATCCAAGATTAAAGAAATGGTTGGAGCAAAGATATTTATTGTTGTTCCAGACGCACATTGGATTGACACATTTGAATTGAAACGTGTAAAAGGTACAGATGCCTCAAATGGTTATGATGAGGAATTACCAGAAGAAGAACAAGAATTTTCTGATGATGAAAAGGAAGCACAGTTCAAGAGAATGATGAAAAATAAAAAGAAGAAGAAAAAAGCAGCCAGTAATACGAATAATAATGATAATAATAAATTTAAAGATGCCCACAATAATAAGGTCACAAGAAAGAAACAGCAGACTAGCTATCAAGAAAATACTGTATATTCGAAGATGAAGGCTCCAGTTGGAATAGTACAACAAAAACATTATATGTCTAGGGTGAATCGTCATAAGGATATCAAAAACGATAGTTTTGATCATGCATCAAACATTAATAATACTATTAATAATTTTAATAACATTTCAGATAATAATATTAAAAATAACAATTTGGGAATGAATTATCAAAACAATCCTGCTTATTCAAATCCATCTCGAGGCATGTATCAATCTACTGCAAATCAATATGGACATATGGCTCAACAAAGTCAATATAATTTTAATAATTTTAGCGGAAATTATCAACAGCCATTTGTGCAGAATCCCAATTCATATCCACGACAACAATATAATAGTAGCAACTTTGACGTAGCTTATGGGGAGATGCGAACACAGGGATATACAAATGTTAACTATTCGGGCCAGGCATTTGGTCCCGAACTAAATTATAATATGCAGCATAATTATGCCAACTCCAATCTCCATTTTTATTCACAACAGTCAAACTTCCAACAGCAGCCTCTGTATAATCAAAATTTAAATATTTATTATCAACAGAATATACAACAAGCACATGTTCCACAATACCAACAACAGATGCATCCACCAGCTGCAAATGTGACACACCCACCAAACATAGAACAAATACGTAATTTCCATGAAATGCTTCTTCAACAGAACGCTAATAAAAACGGTAATAATTTATCTTTTCAAAATACAGAGAAACAAACCAGTCAAGATAATGATATTCCATACTAGATTTAAGTATTTGAATTTCTGTATAAATAAGAATTTAATAAATAATATAAACAGTTTTTTAAGAACTAATTATTTTATAGATATGTATAAAGCATTTCTTTTATTCATTCTTCTAAGTAATAAAGTTACTGTAATTTAATATTCGAAGTATTAAGTTAATATGCAATATTGATCTATTTTATTGGAGAAAGAATGCAGGACTATGCTAACTCTTACTTAATTTTAAAATAAGATATATTATTATTGACTATAAATATGAGACAAGATTGAAGGAAATAGATGGTAATCGATATTTATGTACAATAATGAAACTAACAGTGAGAAATTAGAAACTCAATTTAGTGATATATTTGAATTAATATAAAATATTTTCATAACGACTAGATCATTATAATAGATACTGCTTGAATATATGTAAATTTTGTAGTGGTAAATGTGCGTTCAAATATATTCGTATTTTCTAGAAAGTTTCCTTGAAGAAGTGCCTAAACTTTCGTTGAAAGTAGTGCTCATTTTTAGTCAATACAATTATTAGTATAGATGATACAAATAGGATCCTTCAGCCTATTTATATAATTTGTAAGAGCAAATTAATACGAGTAAAAAGTATAAAATATAATTCTTTAAACTTTATTAGAGGAAATTTGTAAATTTATGCCTTCTCTTTCCTTTCTTGATTCAAATATATAATTTTAAGTTTCGGGTCATTACCTTATGCTCAATCATTAGTTAATTAAGGTATAGTTAGTAATGTTGTGTATATTGGGCGAATGTATATGAATAAGATGGATAATATATGGTGAGTAATTAATAGGTATTTTCAATTGAAATACTGTTAAAGCTGTTATAATAAAAGGCAACTAAAAAAGAAGAAAATATAAATTATATGTTCTAGAGTTGAACTAATATATTAAAACAAAATAAGGAATGTAAAGGAATAACTTTTATGATTAATTCATAGATATTATATATGACTACATTTTGTATTTATTTTAGAACTTTACATAAGAAAAAGGGAAGATTTTTATTTGATAATATATCTACTCTTATTTTTATTTACTAAACATAACTACTAATAGCAATAACCTTTTAAGTACACCTTTTTATGAGATCGGTGTTAACAGTTTTATTTACGATATTACCAATTGGTTTATTTTCAAATATCATTTTTAAAGGATTAAGATATTCTAGAAATACAAAATTAAGTCAATAAGAGTTTATTCAAATTCAAACTTTCACAATATAGTATGGTGTATTAATTCATATAGTGGAAAGTTATAAATATTATAAATTACAATAATTGATCAGAAGATCAATATATATGAATGAGGAATACCTAATAAAAAACATCGATTTGAGTAATAATTATTGTAATATGGAAATTACAGATTGAACTCCTTGTTGTGTAATTAATATAATCTACCCCTTGAATATAAAAATATTAGGTAGTACAACAAACTAAAATTCAATATATAAAAGACAAATGTTTGACAATAATAAATATTTTATCTACATTTTTTTTTGGGTGTTTTATTATTTTAATAAGTTCTAATATCTTCTATTTAGTTGTTTGAAGAATATTTTCGCAAATAAATACATAATGGACATGTAAGGGTTATAGCATGTATATACTAAAAGATTAATATTAATTGTGTACATAAAAGCTTACAAATTATATGATGGTTGATTCTAAACTAATAAATAGATTATGCTAGTTTTTCTTGATAGTCTTGTTATTCCTTCTCTAATAGAACTTATTAGATAAAATAAGAATATTAATGTTGATAATTACCTCTGACATCATCTCTCAGTAATCAGAGGCTTCTTCAGCAAGCTTTCTAGTTAGTTTCCACCAATGTTAATCCAACGATCGTTTGTTCAAATACACTTATAGTTTAGGCTCAGAATTTTTGGTATTTCAAGTTCTTTGTTTTGACGTTATGTCACTTATAGACTATGTTTTTAAAGGTTTCTAATTAAGGCTTCTTACAATAGATTATTAAATATATATTTCAAATAATATTAATATAAATATAAGAATGTCATTTAATAGTAATGATAAAGGTATATATTTTCGTCAATCTGAATTATCCGTGTACGTTTGTTTAACACTTTCAACACAAATAGAGTTGGTATTATTGTTATATTGAGATAGATGGTTTCAAAAATGTAAAAAGGCCTTAATTGTAAAATTTTGGAAAACATACTCTGCGGGTAATAGCTAATATTAAGGCAATGGAATCTATACAGATTAAACCCTGAGTTTAAACTCTGAGTATATTCAATTAATTGTAGGCTTAACATTGGTGACAAATAACTAGCATTTTTAAAAGATATCTGATTTTTGTAAGAGAATATCAGAAGTGATGGTAAATATTAATAGTATTATCAATTATATTAGATTTCACTTAAGAATTATTAATATAACTCCTCTGGATGAATAATATTAGTATACATGTTCTTAGCGTCGGTGATCATACTATATGTTATTATTGTGTATTATTATTATGTTGATATGTAGTGTAATTTTCCCTCGATCTTTTGATTCGGAATTAATAATTATATAAATACAAAAGAAACATATGATAAAGTGTATATAACTTATTCATCCAGATTGGAAAATTAATAAGTAAAGTCGTCTACTTATATATATTTACCTTTTGGCAATTTTTCATAATATATTAATTTATTTTGATTCTGTTTGATTTTATCTGCATAATGTTGAATGTGCAAAACAAACATTTTTCCTCTTTGATATATTTACATGTTACTCAAACCGGTAATATATCATTCCAGTAATAACAAGAATAAGAATAATTGTAAATATATTGCTTGAGATGATCTTTTAGAAGAAATACATTTCTAAAAAGGTTTTTTATTTATTTCCAAAAGATTGATTCTAATTGTTTTTTGGAAAGTCACAAGAATGAAACAAAACATAGACAAATCTTTATATTTCAGAAGTTAAAATAACATCTTTACATTACCAATAATACTACTCGATTCCATTAATGTATAAACATAGTAAAGTTATTAACCAAAACCATACACAAGAATACTTTTCTTTGAAAATATACAATAAAAATATGACAACTTGCTAAAAAAGTTGAGAATTAGCGCCTGAAAAATAATGCCGGAGGTAATTATCAATATCAATATTCTTATTCTATCTAGTATGTTCTACTAGAGAAAGAATAACGAGGCTATCAAGAATAACCAGGACAATCTATTTATTAGTGTTGGGATTTGGAGCCCTCAACGTTCATGGTAATGGCAGACATCATTAAGTTATAGATGCTTATTATATTGTGTACTAAATACATGTATATACTTATTATATAATGTATACAGTATAAATTCTTGTATTTAATTAGTTTAGAATCAATCATTATCATTGAAAATTACAGCTTGTTGTAATTGGATATAGAGTATACAATCTCAATGTTATATTTATATATATATAGTGTACAAAATTATGGTTATGTTCTTCGGATTCCTTATTTATGTATAATATAAAGGTGATAATTTAGAAAAGACAAACAAGGGAAGAAACATGATATGAAAAAAGTGTTGATTTTACATATTTTCCTATCTAACATATCTCTTTTACTAGCAGCAATAATTTATCAATTTGTTTTGTTTGCATTTACTGATAGGGAAACAATAAATTCTCTGCATTTCAATAAAAATTTATATTTACTAAAATTCAGTCGGTTTATTCATATAATCTAGAACATTCGATTTCAGCAAACGTTATTTCTCATCAGTAATTTATAATCAAAAAATTTTTTTAATAGAAGAATAATAAAATATGGTATTCCTGGCACCAAGCATAATAGTAAACATTATTAAGTTGTAGATACTCACTTTCTTTTATAGCTTCAACCTGAATAGAATTATTATATTCTATTTAGCGCAATTTTTTTAAAATTTTTCGCCTCCTCGAATATGTGTGTCGAAATATGATTAAAGATACTGGTAATAATCCAAATTCAACGTACTAAATTACTGGAAAATTATAATAGCATATAAAAAAGAGGACTCCCAATGAAATGTGTTCCATGGTATATTAGCTGCTTGTATATTAATTATGTAGAACAAAAGTGTTGGAAAATAGTAGTAGTAAATTCTCATTCTCCAATATTTACTCTCACAAACAATAAATAAGCAATAATTAATTTTTGATATAACTTCTTTATATTTATTGTTACTGTTAAGAATGAGCACCTGTAGTCATTGGATATATAGTAAACATTCTCAATATTATATTAAACAGATTTAGTATACAAAATTATAATAAAGTTCTTCACTTTCTTTCTCTATATACAACATAGAAGTAATAATACACAAAGATTGTAAATAAGATAAAAATAATGTATGATGAAATCCTTGGCTTTATATATGTTAACATTAAGTCATTTTCCTCTACGAACAGTAAGATATTTAATAAACAAACTCAACAACTTTTGGTGACCTCTCAACAATTATTACTCAACAATTTATCGTTTAGTGTCTGCTAAAATCTTATTGTTCTATCTATTTCATTATAGAACATTCTATTTCAACAGTTAACCTTATTAGTTTAATAACATGATTTCAAGCCCAAATAATAATACCATATTCTTAACCTTTTGATAGGTTACATTTATAAATTTTAACTGTAGCAAAAAACTGCTGTATTATATAAGTAATCCCTAGTTTATTAATTGTTCGAAAAACACAGATAATATCAATCGGATATTCAATAATAACTGAGCCAGTAATCATTACAATCGGTAAGGCAATTTCTAGGCAGTCTTTTATATTAGCAGTTGTATCAAGCTTATGTACTATTTCGTTGTTCGTTATTGTCCTTTTATATGTTTTGTGAAACTCAATCAGCTATTCAACTAAATAAATTACTGGATTTATAATCAATATCTTCATTATTAGCTATAATAATATAATTGAATCTCATAAAACATTTAGGACAATAGATTATGGTGGTACAGTAGCAAGTGTACATGAACACAGTATATATGAACATAATATGCTATGAGTGCGCAATAACAGAGTTATGTGAACACGTTGTACGTAAACACAATAGATAATTCTAGATTTGACTGAAATCTTGTATAATCTCGATGGTCTTAACTAACTTATTATACAGGGACCACCAGTGTTGTATGATAGAGGAGTCATCACCAACAAGATTACCTAATATTTTGAATGAATTTAGAACTATTTATCGTTTTTGTTGGAATTTGGAGCCTTCAGCGTCCATGGTAATGGCAGACATTATTAAGTTACAGATGCTTATTTTATTTTTGTATTAAATACATGTATATACTTATTATATAGTGTATACAGTATAAATTCTTTTATTTACTTTGATTCTTCTTTTAAGTTTTTCATTTCTCTTCAAATCTCTGAAAAACATATTTGGTGAAAAATAAAATGTCTTCCTGATATTATGGTACATCCGTACACCACCTAATATACAGAAAAACTAATTAAAAATAATTCTTATGGAAATGACAGTAATAAACTCTCATTTTCCAACAGTTTTAATAAGCCATGTGCTACAACATTAGGCGCTGCATGATAAAAAGATTAGTTCCAGTAAGATTACATAAGATTCTGACGAATCTAGAATTTACCTATTGTTTTAATAAGTCACACATGTATTACTAATGACCATAATAATTGTGTCGTTTATCAGTAGTGCACACAATTACCATAACTAGCAAATTGGGGTGCAGTTCTAATCCATTAGTGCACCTAAATTAATGTAATAAATTTTAGGGTGAATCAGTCAAGTCATTAACGTACTAATCTGAATAATCGATCGAGCTCCAGAAAACATATAAAAGGACAACGTTTTCTGGAGATAAAAGATCATCTTCCATAACCGTTTCTTGTAAATAATTTATATATTATATATGAACAAAAAGAGAACAACAAGCAAGTAACAAGTTAAGTAACTTTGAATAAATATATTAGCTCAATATAAGCCGCTCAATATATAAGACCGTTTTAGTAATTATATTATCGCCTATAATTGATTACTGTCTCGATTACTTGAATGACTATTAATATTATTTGCGCTTCCCTGGAATACACAAAGAATTTGACCATACCATACTGCGACACGAGCTATCAGATTGTTGCGGATTTAGCTCAGTTGGGAGAGCGCCAGACTGAAGATTAGAAACTTTGGTCACCGTTATCTGGAGGTCCTGTGTTCGATCCACAGAATTCGCATTTTTTTGCACCATAAAAAACTATGACATATAATAACGCTGAGGTTATGTGTTTCTGATAACAGTTATTCTTGTTGAAATCTCAATAATATTTCACTTGGATAGATATAAGATATAGACTCTTTCTATATCTCTAGGTGTAATATTCCTATATATCTATATATCTATATTCCTAATCTAAGATATCCTAATAGCATACACTTATATGCTATATATCTAAACTTATGTAATCCTTGGTTCCTTGTTCCTTGTTTTCTTCTTGGTTGTTCTCTTGTACTCATGTTGGTTACTCCTGCTTTTATCTATGTTTGTAAAATTTTGCAAAAAGGAAAGTTTAGAAAAATATCGTCAACCCTCATTTTTCTAAACAACCCCTAAACAGTAATATCAGGGATATTACATGACATATGAAATTTTGCTGTCACTGTAAACAATCATGTGGACTGTAATAGACGAAAACCCTATTGCAAGGAAACACACTCTTCTAGACACTAAAATAGATAGATATAGCTTGATTTGTTGTCTGTATATGATATATAAACGATACTCTACAAAAAGAGTAAACTAATATACACAGATAAACATATTTATACAAGCAAGAAAAACAAGAAAAACAAGAACACTGTCGTCGACCAAGGAGTCCACAAGATCGTTTATAGTGACATCCGGATTTCATATGTCACAATTTGTGATATTTCTAACTATCATAATGGCCTTTTAATAGTAACATTCTGAGAATAGCCAATGGAAAATAATAATATTAATAACCTTCTTAAATAATTATATGATATAGACGCACTCCATATTTCTTTGTACAATATTGAATATAGTTAGTTAATTAGTCTAGACTAGTTAATATAACTATTCAATCTAAGTATCATATATGCCATTCTGCTAAATTTCTTAGTTATTCATTTGTTTGTTAGTCCTGTTCTGTATACTTATGTCCTTACTTTTACAGATTTCCACTTGAATTTCAAAAGTTCTTTCCATAAAAAATTTAAGAAGGAAGACTTATGCAACGTGCTAAGAATAGCCATATCCAAGTCTGACATTTTGGATTTATAACATTTCCACCTTAAACAAGATACTACAAAGATTCTAATGATTGTGCTAATAACTATTCTATTATTATAAACGTACGAGTACCACTAGAAAGATTATAGTATCATTATTCTTTTTTGGTTAGAAAAAAATCTAAGATTATCAAGTAAAACACTTGTTAATATAAAAAAATTCTAAAAACAAATAATAGATAGATTTAATAATTGAAAGATAGTACACCAGTAAGTCATACTCTACTTATCCTATAGACACTTAAAGTAAAATATGGAATTTCCAGAAATCATTTGCTGAACTCAACGTTTGTATATAACAAAAAACACGTAAATCTATTGATAACTATCCATTGATATTAGAATATTTGAAATCACTAGCATTGGCTTTACTCAAAATCCTTACCCTTACGTAACATACATCATATATCTACAAAATTTTACAAACAGTTCTTAAATTGTCTTCTCGCTTATTGAGATGCTCAAATCCTATGTAAAAAATATCGCAAACTCAAAATATCATAGGGATGTTTTTCCTCTTATATATGGTCTTCTTATCATTGCAATTTCATGACTCCAATTGAAATTTTTATATACCATTACTTGCAAACGTTCAAAATGATCTTTTTTTTTCAAAACTAAAAAAAGTAAAAAAAAAAATATTATGTTATAAAACGATGAAATGAGATGAAATGAGATGAAATATGGATTGCGGAGTATTATAACTTAAGGTATAATAGTTTTAATATCTTATTAATACTGATAAATTACTTACCTTATTTTTAAACAACTACTGTCACACATAATAGCCTAACAACAAAGTTCAACATATATAAAAATGGCTAAGAAGGCAATTGATTCTCGTATTCCTTCTTTGATTAGAAATGGTGTTCAAACCAAACAAAGATCACTGTTTATCATAGTTGGTGATAAAGCACGTAATCAACTACCAAACTTACATTATTTAATGATGAGTGCGGACTTAAAAATGAATAAGTCTGTTCTTTGGGCATATAAGAAAAAACTTTTAGGTTTCACATCCCACAGAAAAAAAAGAGAAAAGAAAATCAAGAATGAAATCAGAAGAGGTACCAGAGAAGCAAATGAACGTGATCCATTTGAAAGTTTTATTTCAAACCAAAATATTAGATACGTTTATTATAAAGAAACTGAGAAGATTCTTGGCAATACATATGGTATGTGTATTTTACAAGATTTTGAAGCTTTGACTCCAAACTTATTGGCAAGAACAATTGAAACAGTTGAAGGTGGTGGTATTATTGTTATCCTTTTAAAAACAATGTCATCCTTAAAACAACTATATACCATGTCAATGGATATTCATTCTCGTTATCGTACAGAAGCTCATGATGATGTTGTTGCTAGATTTAATGAAAGATTTATTTTATCTTTGGGTGGGAACAGTAATTGTTTGGTTGTTGACGATGAATTAAACGTATTACCTATTTCTGGTGCAAGAAATGTCAAAGCTTTACCTCCAAATGATTCTGATAAATTAACTCCAAAGCAACAAGAATTAAAAGATTTGAAAGAATCTTTAGAGGATGTTCAACCAGCAGGTTCACTAGTTGCATTATCGAAAACTGTAAATCAAGCTCATGCGATTTTAACATTTATTGATGCTATCTCTGAAAAAACATTAAATTCCACTGTAGCCCTCACTGCAGGTAGAGGTAGGGGTAAATCTGCAGCTTTAGGTATTTCTATAGCGGCTGCTGTGGCCCATGGATATTCTAATATTTTTGTCACATCACCATCACCAGAAAACTTAAAAACCTTATTTCAATTTATTTTTAAAGGTTTTGATGCTCTTGGATACCAAGAACATATCGATTATGATATCATACAATCTACTAATCCTGATTTCAATGGTGCTATTGTCAGAGTAGATATTAAACGTGGTCATAGACAAACAATTCAATATATCATTCCGCAAGATAATCATGTTCTTGGTCAAGCTGAATTAGTTGTTATTGATGAAGCAGCTGCTATTCCATTACCTATTGTTAAGGGCTTGTTAGGTCCATATTTAGTCTTTATGGCTTCTACTATTAATGGTTATGAAGGTACAGGCAGATCCTTGTCCCTGAAACTAATTAAGCAGTTACGTAACCAATCCAAGGGTACTGGTCGTGAAGATTCCCAAACGATTATTACCTCAAGAGACAAAAAACCAAACACAATTTCTTACTCTACTATAGGAACTCGTCAATTACGTGAAATATCCCTAGAAGAACCAATCAGATATGCAGATGGAGATCCTATCGAAAAATGGTTAAATAAACTATTATGTCTAGATGTAACTTTAATAAAAAACCCAAGATTTGCAGCCAAGGGTACTCCACATCCCTTTCAATGTAACTTATTTATTGTTAATAGAGATACTTTATTCTCTTACCATCCGGTATCCGAAAATTTCCTAGAAAAGATGATGGCTCTTTATGTCGCGTCCCACTATAAGAATTCCCCTAACGATCTTCAATTAATGAGTGATGCACCTGCTCACAAATTGTTTGTACTACTACCACCAATTGATCCAAAAGATGGTGGTAAAATTCCTGACCCATTATGTGTGATACAGGTTGCTCTTGAAGGTCAAATTTCTAAGGAGAGTGTAAGAAATTCTTTGTCCAGAGGTCAAAGAGCTGGTGGTGACCTGATTCCATGGTTGGTCTCCCAGCAATTCCAAGATGAAGAATTTGCAGGTTTGAGTGGTGCTCGTATTGTAAGAATTGCCACCAATCCTGAATATGCATCCATGGGGTACGGCTCTCGTGCTATTGAGTTATTAAGAGATTATTTTGAAGGTAAATTTACCGATATGTCGGAAGATATCGAACCAAAGGATTATTCCATCAAGAGAATCGATGATCATGAATTAGAAAAGGACAGTTTGTTAAAAGATAATATTAAATTAAGAGATGCCAAGACTTTACCACCATTATTATTAAAATTATCCGAACAACCACCAGAATTCTTACATTATCTAGGTGTCTCTTATGGTTTGACCCAACAACTACATAAATTTTGGAAGAATAATAAATTTGTCCCTGTTTATTTGCGTCAAACTGCCAATGACTTGACTGGTGAACATACATGTGTAATGTTAAATGTGTTAGAAGGTAGACAACCTGACTGGTTAATTGCATTTGCAAGAGATTTTCATAAAAGATTCTTATCATTATTATCATATGATTTCAAAACATTCACAACTGTACAAGCTTTAAGCGTTATTGAAAGTGCCAAGAAGGCTGATGAATTATCAAATGATAATGGTAATAGTATCGCCAAATTGACAAAGACCCAATTAGATGACCTATTTTCACCATTTGATTTAAAGAGATTAGACAGTTACGCCAACAATCTTCTAGATTATCATGTTATTGTTGATATGATTCCAATGTTAGCTTTACTTTACTTTGGTGGGAAAATGAGTAGTACAGTCCATTTATCCAGTGTTCAAAGTGCTATACTATTAGCTATAGGTTTACAGCGCAAGAGCATAGATGATATTACTAAAGAATTGAATTTACCTTCAAATCAAACAATCGCTATGTTTGCTAAAATAATTAGAAAAATGTCTGTTTATTTCAGAGAAGTTATCAGTGAAGCTATTGAAGAAACGCTACCAACAGAGATGTTAGTAGATGAAACAATCGCAGAAATGAATGGTGAAGAGATTAGGAGTTATAATGCTGCTGATGCATTAGATAAGATGGAGGAAGACTTAGAAGAAGCTGGTAATGAAGCTATGAAAGCCATGCGGGAAAGACAAAGAGAAATGATTAATTCCTTAAACTTAGACAAATATCAAATTGATGATAACAGCGAGGAATGGAACGAATCTAAAAAAAGTCTAGAAAAGGCAGCAAAAAGAAATAGTGGTGTAGTAAGTGTAAAAACCGGTAAGAAAAGAAGCACAGAGAAGGCAGAAGACATTTACAATAGCGAAATGAAGCTGCTAAAAAAGTCAAAGAAATCTAAAAAATCTTCTCGCTGATAAATTAATTTATTAATAATTCTTAATATAACATTATACATATACATACATACATTTAAATATATATTGACCTTTGTACACTAATAACAGAAGAGAACAAATGCTTTTTAAAGAATAAGTACCACTTCTAATACCTTTCTTCTATTAATGTTACCGATAAAGAAATGTTAGGGTTATATCGTGTAAAGTTAGGGTTTATAAATTAGTATTTTTTCTTGATTTTGGTGCACACCGTATAAAACGATTTAAGATCAACAAATATCTCTCTGCTTACTTTTTTTTTATGGGACTTTTTGGGATAGAAACGAACAAACTAAAAAAAAAAGAAGAGACAAAAACTTTAGGACTGCTGATTTAAGTTAAAAGACAGATAACATGACATCTTGTCAAATCTCTTAAAAAGAGTCTTATAATGTAATTCTTAGCCAAAAACTAGGAAAAATATTAAAGGATTCTCATAATTCCAATAAAACAAAAAGTTAACTATAACAGAACAAGGTACAATGGTTGAATTAACTGAAATCAACGAGGAAGAAATTCCACAAACTCAAGGGCCACAAGTGGTTTCGACTGAACCATTAGATGCTTCAGAAAAGGATATTTTTCCTGTTACTAAAAACAATAATTTGGATGAGGATGAAGACGAGGAAGATGATAGTGAATTTGATGACGATTTTGATGAAAATGAAACTTTATTAGAAAGAATCGTTGCTTTAAAAGAAATCATTCCACCGAAACAAAGACAATATGTTGTTGATTCTTACCACTCCACTTTTTCTTTCATCAGAACTGTCTTCTCTAAAGGTGGAAGTTTAACCTGGGCTTTGACTACGTCTGCCCTATTATTAGGTGTTCCTCTATCGTTATCTATACTGAGTGAACAACAATTGATTGAAATGGAGAAGACTTTTGACTTACAAAAGGGTGCTAATGATCTACTAGGTCAAAATGAACAAAATAGTACTTCCACTACAAAAGCTTGAATTTAAAGACTTTATCATACTTCTCCCCTCCTTTTTTTCTCTTTTCCCCTTCCTCACCTTTGATTCATATTTATTTATGTATGTATTGTTCCTCTCCACTTATTCGTTACTAGGAAACTTCTCCACTTCATTCTTCACCTAACACTAATAATACTATTTCAATCACATACAAATTCTTGTATATAGAGATATGTGATATTTGAAATGCTTCCATGTATATATGTAGATGTTCACATACATACATATACATATATAAATAAATGAACACAAATGATATAATAATAAAATATATAATTAATAAATATTTAATCACATGACAAAGAGCGGTTAAATTTTCTTTGGATGTTTAATGGATAGAGCGTAAACGTCCAAGTAATTTGTGAAATCATAAATAATTTCATTGATGAACATGAAGTGGATACCAGAAGCTAAACCTAAACCCAACCAAGTCAAACCCAAGATAATATCTTCCATTGGAACAATGTTTAAGAAATGTCTACAGACCAAAAATATTATGATTTGGAAGGTTGGAATAAACATTGGAATGTTTTTGTCAGGGAATGGTTGCAAAGTCAAATTGTTAACAATCATACGGCCCACTACGAAAGCCATAATCAATCCAATGCTAATGATAAATTGTAAATTAATAAATTTAGGTTCAATGATCACGATAATAAAAATAGATAAAAAGAAAACAAAAAATGGCAACAACCCATTAATAGCATCTAAGATATCTAATTGAATGGATTCCTTTGATTTATTGTTTTTATTTCCATTTTCCTCATAGTAACCCTTTACATTTTGTAATGCTGTGACAATATTAAAACAAACACCTAACCCAGAAAAAGTTAACATAACATGAATCGTTTCAATTGTGCAAAGACCATCAACAGTAAATAATGGTTTATGCCAGACAGATTGTGTACCCCAGACACCAGTTATGAAATAACAAATGACAAGGATAATTATACCTTCCACTGGTCCTGAAAATTTACTCAAAAACAATTTCTTTGTGTGAAATTCTTCCCATGTACTTATATAAAAGTTACAAAGACATAAAAATTGGGCAAATATTAACGAATAAGAAAATCCCATGCCAGTAATAGACCAAAATGGGAGCAAAGACAACGTTGTATTTAAAGAATCAATACAATGATCGAATAATTCACCTAATGGGCCAGATTGACCTGTGCGACGTGCGTGCATTCCATCACATGCATCGAAAGTTTGATATAAAAACAAGCCAATACCATAAGAAAAATAGGTCCAGTTTGGTGACTCCTTCGTAAGTGTTGGGTCGTAATATAATGTGATAATAACATTAATAATAATAAAAAATAGCCCAGATAATGTGATTAAATTTGGTGCCATCCACAATGGGAAGATAGTAGAAAACTTTCTCCAATATGGTCTTAGAATATAATTTGAAAGTAAAGATCTGTCTTCGCTTTGATATTTATAAAATTTAAGGTTATCCAAACTCTTCTCAGGGACAAAATAACCCATCTTTGCAGAAACTCTGTTTTAAACTGCAATCTTATAGCCTTTTTATCTTTTTCCTTTTTTTCAAACAGAGTTGAATGAAGAGACTGGCTATTTAATGTCAAATCTCCATAGCTGTTACCTCCTTTTTGTAAACTTTGTATCTCTCTACTTATGTTTCTATATATCACACTAGCTACTTATTTGATGGAGATCAAATTCCCTAAAACCTTCAAGCGCACAATACGAAAAAAATTTTCATTCTACCCATTTTGTCTTTTTTTTTTTGTTCAAAGAAAAGAATCTTCGAGGAAGAAAAGACAGACACCAAAAACAGCTTTAGCTCGAGAAATCTTGACCAGATCTCAGATCTTTCTCCATTAGAAAGAGTCTGAAGTTTTTGCTACTATCCATTGTAGAATACTATCGTATACTTCATTATGTATGGGTAATAGCATAATAACGTTGAATAAGCACAAGGGTTGATAGATACAAATATAATAACATCTCTTTCTCATTACATGACAGTGGAGTCCACCTTTTCATATACTCAATGTACGTAAATGACCATCTCTAGATTGAATTTTTAAAATCTAGGATATTCGATAGTAAAAAAAAAGTAAAGTAAAGATATATCAAAACTTCGCATGATATTTATATATATTATATGTATCTTCATTTATAACTTATCCTAAACAAAAATACCAACAATCATTGTGTTTATTCAGATTGGTTAACCTGCTTCTTGTTTTTTTTTTTGTTGCCTGTTGAACATGTAGTATATTCTACTTTTACCAGCACTCTTATCTCATTTTCTAAATAGTATATTCATGACTACATTTTCCATTAAAATAGAGGTACTGAACAGGAAAAATAAAAACTTTTATGTAAGAGAAGATAAGAGAGTTTCAACAACAAAATCTATAATTTACTTCTCCAAACATTGACTAATATACAATCTCCCTCATCTATACATAATTAGTGACATTGAAACAATTGAACGTAATATAGGAAGAGTACATGACCCGAAACAAGAAAGTAGTCTTAGTTGGATTAAGTGGTTGTTCATCCAGTGGGAAAACAACAATTGCTAAATTAACATCAAATTTAATTGACAGGAGCATATTAATTCATGAAGACGATTTTTTTAAACATGATGATCAAATTCCAATTAACCCAAAATATAACATTGCTAACTGGGATTCTCCGGAGGCGTTAGATTTATCGTTATTTAGTAAAGAATTAGACCACATTCGTAAAACCGGCCAAACTAAAACAGAATTAATACACAATAATAATGTCGATGATTTAGATAAATTTCAAATTAATCCATCAATATTGGATCAAATTCGACTAAAATATTCTAACATAGATTCAAACTTGAGAATTGTTATTGCTGATGGATTTATGTTATTTAATGATGATGATATTAGGTCCAAGTTTGACATTAAACTATTAATACGTGCCCCATATGAACAATTAAAAAAAAGAAGAGCAGCTAGAAATGGATATCAAACTTTAGATTCATTTTGGGTAGATCCACCGTATTATTTTGATGAATTTGTATATAAATCCTACTCTGACACACATGGACCACTATTTATTAATAATGACGTTGAGGGACAACTAGACCCTATAAGATCCTCTGATATAAAGGATTTCATGAACAGTGATGATGTATCAATAGATAATACGCTAGAATGGGTTTGTAATCAAATTGTGGCCTCATGTCAACAATTATCACAAGAATAATTATAATATCACAATAAAAATCAATTATTTGATTTGATTACAGCTTTTTATTTTCTTAATTTTATATAGATAATTGACCATTCATTTTCACTTTCTTTCCTTCTTTTCATCCTCTGTGTCACTTTTAATTTGTTAATTGGTTGTAACATGTCACAAAAAAAAAACAAAAGAATTATACAAATCCAAATTAATTCTGTAACCAATTAATAAATTATAAAATAATATTTTCTACTACCAGCAATTTAATATAAAAGGGCAAAACCAACAAAACGTTATTCATTTGTATTAACTAATATATTACCGCCAATTTCTATATCAATGACAAGTTATTGCCATAATAATATGGGACTCTCTTGCGTGTTAAAAAAACTTTATCGATTACCGATGAATGTCAGTGAAAATAATTTAGGTTTACCGCTAGATATATCACATATTGAATCAGACTTGATTGTCTGCTCCTGTCCTGTGGTATCAACACACCGGTTATTATTTAGAAATAAATTAGACGATTTAATAACGTATCTAAATATCAGTTATGGATTGGGTAATTGGAAATTATACAATTTGAAAATAGAAGTTACTGATGCAGATTACACAGATAAAGACTTATTAAAAACTTTACAATTTCCTTCTGGTATTTTAGTAACCAAAAATGCATTTTGTAAAAGATTCTTAACCATGAAATATTCTCCCAAATATAAAATAATTGGACCATTAGAACCACAACAGGTATTTAATGATTCAAGTCAATTGAAAACCATATTGTTGCGAAAGGGTTGGTTAGACCATTATCCACCCCCATTCAAACTGTTACAAGATGTTATTGATGATATGCATCAATTTTTGGAGTCCAGTGATAATCATAAATGTATTGTCCATTGTAAAATGGGGAAAGGTAGATCTGGTACTATCTGCGTTGCATATTTAATGAAATATAGAAAAATGAATTTAGCTAATGCAATGGAAAGATTCACTGAAAATAGGTTTAAAAATCAGATTCTCACATCCGGTGTCACTATTAAATCCCAGATAAGATATTTGAATTATCATCAAAACTATTTATCATTTAATAATAATAACCAAAAGCTACTAATGAATGTGTTAAAGAATGATTATACCTTTATTATATCATCCATTTTAGTGAAAAATCCAAGTAGGATGTTTACTTCAAAAATTTTTACATGCTGGCTCAATTTCAAGAAATATAATCCAAGAAGAGATGGGGTAATTACATTGGAAAAATTAGATTTGACTAAACATGTCTGTAATTTCATAGCAACCCCACATATTGAAAACAATTCTAATAATTGTGATCTTGACGATAAAGTTATATCTAACTATGAAGGCAAACTAAAATTCCCATTGTATTTAAATGCAAATGATATTATGTTAGAATTTGAGATTACAATCAATCAAAAACCAATGTTATTAGATTCCTCATCGTTTTATACTGATAAAGATAATAGAAATATTGCATCTAGTAGTTTTAACGCTTTTAGTAAAACAACAAAACGGTTCAGAACAATGTATATATGGGTTAATGTATTATTTGAATTTTTGAATTCTACAGGATCTACTGATGAAACATTTAGAATTCCCAGTAAATTTGATGAAGATTTAAAAATTGCATTCAATTGGGATGAAATTGACACAATTGCAGGCTCTAAAAGAATTGGATTACATCTCTTTGAATCAATAGAATTTAATTTTGAAATGGGTAACAATTAGAGATACTAATGAATAAATCACTTGTGTTGTTAAAGAAAAAATGAGGAAAGATCTAGGAAAGTACTCTGAAGTTAATTTGTAAATTTATATTCATATATACATTTATATATGTTTACATTTATATTTACACTATATTTATCTTACATTATTTTAACCACCTTTTCTATCGGTATCACCATCTTTTGAGATAGGTGTAGAATCTCTGCTAGTCTTGATATTATCCCAACCTCTTTCGATGATTTTTTCAATTAGATTTATAGATTGTGTTTCATGCAATGTTATAATATTATCAATTTTATAAGGAGGAACAACTTTAATATCATCTAAAATGACGATATCTTTATCATCCCATCTAGTATCCGGGATAGTCTTATAAATCATGTCAAAAATAGTTTGACCTTCTGGGGTAACACCTTTCCCCTTTAAAAGACTATTTTTATTGGATCTTTCAATCTCTTGGTTCAAAAATGTTTCAATTCTATCCAAATTTACCATATATGGTTTAATTATTTGTTTTTTAAAGGAATTAGTACTGGGCTTATCACCAATAACTTGTAAACTTTTAATGAAGGAACATTTTATTATTCTAAAATCATAGAAACTCTGATTCTTTCTACTTGTCTGTAAAGTAATAGTGTTATTGACAGAGTTAAAAGAATAAATTTTACCTTCAGTAATCACATCAAGTAAATTGATGACTTTCACTTTAAAACCAATCACATGTTCTAAACTGATACTCATTTTAATAACTATCACAAATTCTCAGAGATTGTAGCAAAGATATAGTCTCTAATATTTTAGTAATGATGCGACAAAGACGAAAATATACTGAGAGACAGCTAATATAAAAGAAATGATATATAAAAATAAGACTTATCCTTTAAAATCCTCAAACTTCCCTTCAATGTGATCTAACAAATATAAGTCTTGTGACTCTGTGCCACTTGCTTGATAATATACCAATATACTTGCACTGTGCAATCAATTTGCAAAGCAATAGAAGGGCAGACAGGAAATAATACAAAGAACAAACAATGATAAGACTTTCTTCTCTTATTCCATTTGCAATCCAACCAACACGTATACTCTTCTTCTCCCTCCTGTTCTTCCTTCTGCTATCAATTTTGTCTCTTCCCTCCCCAGAAGGAAATTTAACGATTTTTTTTCCTGCCCAAACTTAACATAAATAAACAAGACAAAGGTGGAAAATACCAACAATTTAACATGAGGAGACACATGTTGTACTTGATAGGCAATCGTTCTTTTGAAAGATTGATCTTTATATAGATGGACAGCTTGAATTATCTAACTAGATCAATTGCTTGATTTACCATCAAATAACCTTCAATAGTCTGAAAGGATGAAAGAAAAACAGCCAATTTTTCGATCTGCATCTTTGAATGATTTGAAGAATGAGAATAATGTAAAGAAATCATATCTAAACTTTAGAGATGATATGAAGACTAATAGTTATGTCCAAAGAGACAATACTTATATTAGTAATTTTAATAACATCAATAACAACAGTAATGCCAGTAATATATTACGGCATGAGTTATTAAATGATTTAGATAATCTCTTACGGAATAAATTAAATTTGACCAATGATAACAAATCTACTATTTCTCCTCCTACCTCCTGTCTATCTTTTTCTTCTTCTAATAATAAATCTAGTCCCGTATTAAATCAACACTTTAATCCTATCAGATACATCAATAGTGGTAAATCAATTGCAAGTAATAGCGATCCAAGCTCTCCAACCAATAGCACGTTTCCCAATAATTTTGTACTAGATAACAATAATTCAATTGATACAAATAATGTAGGTGAAAATTCAAATGGCAATGAGGATTCAGAAGAAAATGATAATAATGCTGTCACAGAACAAGAGGATGAAGAATTTGCAAATGTAGATGAAATTGATGGTTTTATAACATCTGTGAATCAATTATCACCAAAAATTGATTTAAGAACACAAAATGATACCAACATTAACAACACTATTAATAAAAACCATAACAACAAAAGCGATAGTAACGGTAACAATGATAATTGCTTGCCTCCCACTAATGATACTGATGTAATTGATTACAATATGCCTGTAGGAGAAGAGTTTCAAAAAATTTTGGATAAAAGAGTATCTGAAATATGTGAAAACAACAGAACACATAAAAATATACCAGGACAGAGAATTGACTGGGTTTTAAAAGATTTTTATGATTTGAAAAGAGAGCTATCAGAATGGTTTACTAAAATTGATTATGTCTATCTAGATCAACTAAAATCAACATTCAATCAAAAAATCAAGAATCCTGAAACATTTGTTCAAGATTTTCAGTATAAGAAATCTATTATTGACAGGATCTTTCATAATTTTGATTTAATGATTGACTCTAATATTCAAATCATTGCTTATATTGCCTTAGGGACATATGAATATACAGAAAATTTGAATATCAATTTAGATATGATAAAAGAAAACAATCTTATTTTAATCGACTATCTCCCAATTATTATAGATCATTTCAAAGAAAAAGCATTATCATGTCAACACGATACTAAGAATTTGAAAAAAAAAACAGTGCTTCTCTTTTACTTATCCACTGTTTTGTTCTATATTGTCACTGTATGTATAGATCAGCGTGATGAATCTAAAGGATGTGTACAAAAAGCTATTAGTTTCATACATGCAAAAAAACTCATGCCATTTCTGACCAAATATGTTGAACATTGGAGATGGAATAGTAGACTATCCATGAGAATTAGAAATATTATCTCACTTCTCTTCAAAACGATAATCTTACAATTTGGTAATGAGAATGTTTATACAGATACAAAGAAAAAAATATACAGGTACCATGGTTTAGAGTTTAAATCAACCTCCAATAATAATACAAATAACGATGCTAGTAGTTTGAAGCAATCAAAAAAATTAAGTATATCACCTTTACACTATAGAGCATTTAGGGAAGACATTACTTCAAGATTCCCTAATTACGAATTACCAAAGTCTGAATTATCTGAAACAACAGTAGATGATTCTAATTCGCTATCACAATTCCTAGAGATACCAAGGTCAAAATCTAGAAGTGTTCTCAATTCATCTTTAGCTGTTCCTGAAAAACACTTGGCTACTCCATTTCCTTCGCCTCCATCATCTCCAACCTTTTCACAATTTAATGATAATGGAATAAAACCAAGAAAATCATTTCAAGCTAATATGGCTTACCCACAACTCTATCCTATAAACAATGGCATTGATGATAACTATCTATCTAGAATTATTTCACCTTTGGAGAATTTAGATAATAATGATAAATCAGTACCAGACTTTGACTATAAAAAAGATGTTCCCTTTAGTATAGAGGAAGCAGCTCATATATTAAATGATAATTTAAAAATAAAATTAAGTACTAAACAACTTTGGCATGAACGTAACCTCTTTATGTCTACCGAACGTGGTTGGCAAAAAGATAAGGAAGCAGCAAATATCAATGATTCTATGACAAATTCTATTAGTGATCACAAAGATGATCCGTTTAACTATCAATCTTTCAATAAAGGAAATGAACCCAATGAGTTACAAATCATGAACCGAATAGACACATATTATATGGATTGCTTAGCTAGTTTTAATTCCCTCATTTTTGTATTATTACAGACTATTGAATCCAATATTTCTAACAGCGAATATAGATATAAAAATGATCCGTCTAACTATAACACGTCCCATATTCAACCACAGTTGGAGATCATTAGAAGTAAGGAAATGCTTATGAGATCATGTTCTGGTATTTTGGTTTTATTATTAAAATGGTTTAAGTTGAATCATATTTTAAAATTTGAGCATTTTGCATCATTAATCTACGACTTTAAATATATAACTGTTTTTTCATCACTCTTGGGCAGCTATACGGATATATATCATGATAAGATTTTTAACAGACTAATAGAGCCAGATCATAGCATATGGGAAATATGTTCTCAATCAAACCCATTATATTCTACATCATTACAAGCCAATCCGGTGGAAAAGGACAAATACAATATAGCAATTCTATCTTCCTTTACAAATCTTTTCAAAATTCTACGGTACATTACTAGGGACAAAACACATAGACTGAAAAGTCTACCATTATCCATAGGTTTTCTTTTCAAGAAATATTACAAAGTATTTTGTCTAGAAACATATCATCCAATGTTGAAAATAGTTAAAGAACTCACACCATTCAAAAATAAACGTTGGAAATCCGAACATATGGACCTGATATCTGGAGTCTACCTTTATGAAAGATTAGAATTAATTGACAATTGGGTTACTGGAAAAGATATAGCTGGTGAATTGAATGATGCTGGTGGGCAAGAAATTGCACTAAGAGCCTTACTGCAATTTTATAACTTTAATCATTACAAACAGTCAATGGAAGATTTGGGATACATTGAAATGTCAGAATCAAATGCTAATTTTAGTTCTAACACGCAAGATCCTTACTCTTCCATGTAATTAATTATTGCTACTTCTATCTATTTATAAATATATGTGTTTAAGTGTTGAATATATTCTGTAATCTTGTTTTTCCTATCTTTCTCTAACCCCAAATATAAAGTAACTTACGCTATATAGCTTTTCTAAAAGGTATTTTCTTAAAATATATTCATCACGGATCATCTTACAAGTATTCTATTACGCAGTATTGTTATCATTACTGTTCTCCTACCATGCTATCTTTATTTGAAAAGGCACTACAGTTAGTAAATAGTTATTTTTCTGTTTTGTGACACGTTAATTTATTTTGTTTTTCAATGAAATTTCTTCATTTAAAGTAGTGAAAAAAAAAATTACAAAAATGTAAACAAACAATTTGAAGATCTTTAAAATTGATAACAAAGACGTAACCACTAGAAGAATATTGCTAGGCAAATATTTTGCATCATACCAGTCAATTACCAAAAGTAAACGATAAAAATAAATAAAGAACATATTCTGAATGGATATCCAGGATAGATTATTTTTGGTGTTAGAGGCCCTAGCTCCTCACGGATTTCCTGATTCATTAATACGATCATTTGTTCAACAATTTTCACGCTTATTAGCTAATCCAAACAGGTCACCAGCAGAATTAGAACGACTGATTTTTGAATTTAGAAACAAAACCAGATTGTTTCCTGCGTTTGAAAGACTATGGTCTAAATTAGATGATTTTGTACGTCCTATTTTCACGATGTCAGATAAAAGTAGCATTATGACATTCATAAATAACTTTTATCTCAAACTCCAAGAGCAAGAGCAGCTACAATCTTCCATTGGAAATACATATGATTCTGGATTAGAACTGAATAAACTAAATTTAAATAACCATGATCAATATATTCAGCCATTGCATTCAAACTATCATTTACCCAGTTTATATGCTGAATCCTTTGAAACGGTGGATAAGATTTCTGATAAAAGGTCTTTATATTCCTCACATTATGGCCAAGGACCTCTTATAAATACAAACTCGTCATCTATGAGCAAAATAGTAGAACCATTTTATATCAATACAATACCAGAAGACGATATTCTTAAATCTGTGTTTTATACATTGTTAGGTGCCTCTTCAAGTATGTTCCCAATTGAATCCAATAAAATACAAATACCAAATAACATTCCAAATAGTACAAGTGGCATATTACATTTAATCTTTGAAGCTGGATTATTATATATAAAATTAATTTCGAAGGTAGAGCAGAATAGACACATACATGTTTCTCCAATGAAAAAAGCTCTATTGACTAAACTAAACGACCATTTGCACAGCTATACTAAATATGTTAATACGTTAAGTCATATGCCTGAGATTAAAACTTTAAAAGGGCTCTACAACAAATTGTTTACACCCATTCTTCAATTAAGAGTGTATGAAAAGATCCTATCCAATTTTGAATCCGTTAGAGGTGATGAGTATTTGACGAAATTCCATTCCCTTAATTCACATGGTAATATGCTCATTCGAACTATTACTAAAGAACTTTATAATTCCTTAATCATATTTTATTATGACTATATGCTAAAATGGCTGACTCTAAGCAAATTAGAATCTACTTTTGAGGAATTTTTCATTGAATATAATTCTAGTCAACTTTATATCCCTTATAAATTAAATTATAAAAAGATCCCGGATTTTATTCCCGAAAATATAGCAAAGAAAATTTTTATTATAGGTAAAACGTGTATTTATTTGACTAAATACTGTAATGAACTACAATGGGCAAATAACTTTTCACAGAAATTTATTCAATGTTTCCATAAATTAAATCCTATTTCAGGCTTTTCATTATTTTTTGAGACTGTGCAAAAACAATATACCGAGATTGTGAATTATACATGGGATGTCTTATTGAATAAACAGTATTTCAGAGAGACCATCCATATGTTACGAGATGTTTTATTAATGGGTAAAGATGACTTAATTAGTTCAATAATTCACAATGCTAAAGATATACTAAATGAAAACTCATCCTCACTAAATTCATATATTTACACTAGAATACTGTCAGATGCAATACAACAATCTTCATTGAAAAATTACTGTAATCGTCATGATAACAATGCATTAATAAATAGGTTGGATTCCAGAGTACTAGATTTAGGACAACAGTTGAGTGGATGGGACGTATTTACTTTAGAATACGATATTCCACCTGTTTTGTCCATAATATTAAACGTAAATAGACAAGACGGTAGAAAAGAATATCTTCGAATATTTAATTTTTTGTGGAAATTTAAAAGAATTGATTATTTATATAACAAAGAGATGATTAGAACCAAAGAAATAATTCACTCTTTTAAAACTTTGAGGATACACAATAGTATGGTAAGGGACATTATAAACAAATTATCAAAACTGTCTATTCTTCGGTCACAATTACACCAATTCAATAGTAAAGTAGAGTCATTTTATTTTCAACACATTATTGCATCTAAATTTAACCAACTAGAACATGATTTACAACTAGATAACCTGTCTGCTGACAATACAAAGAATGAATTAGTTACATTACCAAATGGGCTTGTAGTGTTTAACGACTTATTAAAACCTTCTATTAATATTTTGGATTTCACATGTAATAATAATACTAATAATGATAATAATAATGATAATGCAAATATTACTGATAAGCAATATCATCCAAATCTAAACATTGAACAAATATACACTATACATAATAAATTTTTAAATGATATTTTATCACATCCTTTACTGTCATCAAGTATAAAAGCTTCATATTCCGATAAACCATATCCAACTACATTAATAGAAATTTTCTCCACAATGAGAGATTTCATTTCGAATTTTACCAAATTACATGATATAGCACATCAATTATTTATTCAAATATCATTAGAGTCGAATTATAATGAATTGTCAAACAGTCTCGAACAATTCAACGAAACCTCATTCTATATGGTTCATAATTATAGACACTTTAAATATCAACAAAATGTATTCATCAGGGATTTAAGACACGATAAAAATGACTTAATAGTTAAATTAGGGAAGTTGTTGAAATGAAGTAATAAAAACCAAAAAAATGAGATTGCATTTTTATACTTTATATAGAAACCTATGTAATATTACAAATAATAGAGAAGAGTCTTCAGAAATGAAATAAACGAAAGTTACTAATTGCCGATAAGAGATATATAAACTGATATCTATATTATATCTTTATGTCAGTAATAATCAATCACAGAAATTAAGAGAAATATTTGTTACAGACCATTAAAAACAATATGTGTATATATACATATGAATAAATACGTTGTAATTATTGTTCTCTTTTTCTTATTTTCCCTTTATTTCTTAAATGACAGTAATATTTACTCTTTTGTGTTATCCATAACCACAAGAATACTATTAAGAATTTACTATAACAGCCCTAGCTCGATGTCAAAAAGATAAAAAAACAAAGCTAATAATGATCTACTACATCTTCCATCTCGAGTAATACTAAGATTCGTAAATTCCTAACACTCAACTGAGTGTAAAACAAACCTCAATGCTCAGCAGTACAAATACTTCAGAGTAGAAGCTCCATTAACTATAATATAATTTTGTTTCTAACCCGCTAATTGCCAAACGTTGCTTAGTAAGCAGACCTCCCACTACCCACGGTTTAATTCTCTTTTCTTTTTCTTCGTTTTTCTTCTGTGTTCTTTTTCTTTGTTCTCGAAATCTCAAATTCGGATCCAAAACTTTTAAAGCCGCACATGAGAGAGGAAATGTGACGCAGAAAGACGGCATATATTCAGACACGCAAAAGTATAGAAGAGAATACCACAGAACAAAGATTAAGATGCCCCAACACTTAGAGAACTAAGAGTAAGTGACAGAGAGTCAAGAAGGGCATTAAAAAGAAAAGAAAAGAAAAAAAAAAATAATTCGAATGCATATTTAGAGGATAAGAAGGCTTACTAAGAACTATCTAGTTTTCATTTCATTGTTTCTTTTTCCTTCTTTCTTTTCCCCTTTCCCTTTTCTCCTTAAAATATCAATTGATTCAAAAAAAAAGGAGTATATAAAACAAGAAAATATGGATAAAAGACCTTGAACCATTGAACTTCAATATTAAATTTCAATTAACAAATCAGTCACATTGATCAAATCAACAGAATATTTCTATTATTGGAAATATCTTAGAAAAGAAAAAACAAACAAACTATTACCACTTTTATTGCTATTACTAGTATAACTAAAATTAACAATTATATATATTATATGAACCATGTCCTTACCAATTACTATGAAAGCCGTTGTTATTGAAGGTGACAAACCTGTTGTCAAGGATAATGTCCCTTTGCCAGAATTGGAAAATGGTTTCATGTTAGTCAAACCAAAAGCTGTTGCCGGCAATCCAACAGATTGGAAACATATATCCTATAAAATAGGTCCCCAAGGTTCAATTTTAGGTTGTGATGTGGCTGGTGAGATTGTCAAATTAGGCCCTGGTGTAGATTCAAACGTATTCCATGTTGGTGATTATGTATATGGGTTTGTGCATGGTGCTTCTGTAAGATTTCCAACAAATGGTGCATTCGCTCAATATGTGGCTTTAGATTCTGGTATTGCCTACAAGGCTCCCAAAACTATGACATTGAGCGGTCAGGAAAGAATCCCTGAAGGCCCAGTCACAACTTTCGAGGCTGCAGCTTCTTTACCTGTCTCCATTACCACTGCTGGTGTAGCACTACACCGTGAATTTGGATTAAAACTAGATTACACTGGTGCAAAACCACAAAGAGATTTTCCGGTCTTGTTCTGGGGTGGTGCCACTGGGGTTGGTCAACATCTAATTCAAATTGCAAAACAAATTAACGGTTATTCGAAGATTATCGTAGTGGCCTCTAAAAAACACGAACAAATATTAAAGGAATATGGTGCTGATGAATTATTTGACTACCATGATGAAAACGTAATTGAACAAATTAAGAGCAAATATCCAAATATTCAACATCTAGTCGACTGTGTGTCCAACACCACCACTATTCAACAAACTTATAAATGTGCATCCGAAGATCATGATGCAACTATTTTACAACTAGTCACGCTTTCTATAAATGATATTAAGCCAGAAGACAGAAGAAACAATAAAAAGATCATTGGTACTTTACTATATAAAGCTGGGGGTCACGATGTCCCATTTGGAAGCTTCACTTTACCAGCCGACCCTGAATATAGAAAGGATACCCATGAAGTCATAAAATTCTTGAATCCAAAGTTAGACAAAGGTGATATTCATCATATCCCAATTAAGGTGTACTCAAATGGATTATGTGATATCCCACAAATCATGGATGATATTAAGAATAATAGAAACTCTGGTGAAAAATTAGTTGCTGTTTTTAAATAGACACTTCCTCAAATAGATAAAAAAAAATAAAACTTACTAATTATTTATAACCGCATGCTTTCATCTCTTTCGCTACGTCTCTCTCTCTGTATATGCGTACATAAATACATACATACATACATACACATATATATATAAGTGTGTATATGAAAGTTAGATACTTGCTTTATCTTCTCAATAAAATATGTTGCCTACTTTATAACTCGGACCCAAGAAAAAAAAAGAGTTGTGATATCTTGTTTAATTTTTCTTTTTGTCTGTAATCTTTTCTTTTTTTTCTCTCTTCTTTTCCCATTCTCTCAGAAAACAATTAAAAAAATTTTTTTTAATTGTTTTCCTTTTCTTTTTCTATCGAACATCTTCTCGATCAAAACTTTTATAGAGGAAAAGAAGAGCAAAAAAAAATAGAAATAAAAAAACTAAACAAATAATGCACTTTGGAGTATCTTTTGAGAAATATAAAGCAGGAAAAAAAAATAGTTGATTTCACCTTATTCTTTGTTTTTTTTTTTTTTATTCTTTCCTTTGATTACATCTACTTTTGACTATCCTTGGAACCCTCCATACGTTCTCTTCCACTTGCCGATTTGTTCTGTTTGATCTTAATGTTGCTTCTTTGCCTTTATCTTGCTCAATGTTTTCCTTTCTTTCTGTATTTTTTTCTTGTCTGGTTTCATAGCTATGTACAAAGAATAAATAAATAAACACATTTAAAATTATTTATAAAAATCAAAAAAACAAACAAACAAACAAATAAATAAAAATGTCTGAAATTATTGAAGGTAACGTTAAAATTGACAGATTATCCCCAGGTGATGGTGTCACTTTCCCTAAAGTCGGTGATTTAGTTACCATCCACTACACTGGTACTTTAGAAAACGGTTCCAAATTCGACTCTTCCTTGGATAGAGGTTCTCCATTCCAATGTAACATTGGTGTTGGTCAAGTTATTCGTGGTTGGGATGTTGCTATTCCAAAATTATCTGTCGGTGAAAAGGCTAGAATTACTATTCCAGGTGCTTACGCCTATGGTGAACGTGGTTTCCCAGGTTTAATCCCACCAATGGCTACCTTGGTTTTTGATGTCGAATTATTAAAAGTTAACTAATTTTTTTATAAGCATTATATAATAGATAGATGCTATTTTTTATTTTATTTTTATTTCAAAAAAAAAAACTACTTTTTTACATGTAAAATGCTTTTCTTCTTTCTTTCTTTCTTTTTACTTTATTTAATATTACACACATATTCCAACGTCTATTTTATATATCTATCTATTTTTTCTTTCTTAATCTAGTTGAAAATCTAGTTGGTTCTAATGTCCTATTTGAATTCTTCCTTTTACCTCTTTTTGATGATATACTTGAAGACACTATTTCCTCTCCATTCGGCTGATTTTCACTGTCCTCAGTATTTACTACTTTAGCATATGATGAATGTCTTGTTCTTTTAGCAAGCGGCTCATTATCAATCATATCTTGTTCTGTATCTAACTTATGCTTTAAATTTGTTTTTTCATCTTCTACATTCTTCTTCTCCTCTGTTGACTGGTCATCGAACACTTTAACGGGCTCTACACTTGATTCACTATTTGTTTCGTCCGAATGGACCTTTCTTCTTAATCTTGATGATATCCTATGTGCACGTGGATATACTCGTTTCCTTCTGTTTTTTTGTGGAATATCTTGCTCCTGATTTTCATATTCATTTGATTCTTCACTCTTTTTCTTTTCTTCGTTATCATCTATCTCACCTCTTTTTTCATCTTTTATTCTTTCTTCTCCTTCTTTTAATGATAGTTCCTTATTTTCCAAATTTTTGGCAACTACCTCTATATTGTCTTCTGTTGTTTTATTGTTCTTCTTCTCATCTTGATTTTTATACAATAAATTATCATGATTTTCTAATGGTGTTTTACTTTCCTTTTGTAACTCTTGCATTTCAATAGTTTTTTTAACTTCTTTATCCAATACCATCTTTTCTCCTTCTTCTCTCTCGATTTCTAATTGCTTCTTTTGTATCTGTTGCACTGGCTCTGTCCTCTCTTTCTCTTGCAATTCTTTTTCTAAATCATCTTGTGTCGTTGTTTCTTCACTTACTCCCCCCTGGAAATCCTTCTGTTTTATTGCATGACTCATATCTTTACTGGATTCTTTTTGTATACTCTCTTTTGGTTCTTTGTTTTCTTCTTTTCGCAATTTTTGCCCTTCTCGTTTTGATCCTTCTATTGGTTGCTTCATTTCTTTTTCTTTTTCTTTTTCTTTATTTAAAATAGTCTGTTCATTTACCTGAATATTTTCAGATTCATTACTTGTCTTATCCAATACTAAATTCCCCTGTTTCTCTATATTCTCAATTTCATAATTCAACTCGGTTTTAGTCTCTGTTTGACTTTCAATTTTATTATCATTTTCAAGATTTTCTACTATAACACCTTGATCGTGTATCTTGAAGCTAGAATCTTTATGTTTTTCAATTGTATCAGTATCCTTAACATTTTCCACTGTTTTTTTTTTAGTATTTGCTTGAGTAATAATGCTTTCATAATTTCCATTTTCCATTTTCTCTTCTTTAATCTCTTCAATCTTTTCAACATCCTTTTGTGTTGACTCTGTATGATTTGTTTGTATGTTATTATTATTCTCATTTTGTTCCCTATCTTTCGAGATATCTTCATTATTTTTATATGATCCGTATGAGCTATTAAATTTTTCGGCGATTTTCTCTTTGTCTTCTATTTCTTCCTTTATATTATTATCTATATTTCCACTTGCTAATACTTTTTCTTGTTCCGTTACGTTTTGATTTTGAGATTGAATATTATTAGCTTTCATAAATTTTTTATTATCTTCTATTGTTATTTCACCAACGTTTTTAGTAAAATTAACCCTAGACCGACCATCTTTATTAATATCCTTTTCTTTATTTGCAACAGAGTTTTTCTTTTTAATAGCTTTAGATAATATTAAATCACCATATTCATCCCATGGTAATGAAAAATCTTTAGTTTCTGTCATTAACCTGTACCTATTTTGAAACAACCTAGTATTGTTAAACTGTGAATTATTTTCAATCAACTTCAATTCATCAATAAACAACTTTTCATGAGCTGCATGCTTCTCATTATTCTCAGTGTCATCATGATTAATCATGAATTCATTTTCTATTCTATTTGCCTCATCTAAATTATAATATTGTTTTAGTTTCAACCAAATATCTTTAGATGTAAACAATTTCGGTGGTCTGTGATAACTTTCCTTTTGTAAAGTAATAACTGGATACTTATCTGGATTGTTCATTCTTTCCAAAATACAAAACATATGAAAATGCCTGTGTATACCTACCGGTTTAAATTCCGATACCCAGCGAAATAGCCTAATTTCATCTACTATATTCCAATCAACTGCCATAACTTTCTCATTCAATTGTCTGTTGTGTCTATTACTGAATTAGTATTAATTAAAGACTATGTATGTATCCACGAAAATAATTATTCTTATTACAGGAGGACAGAGTCTCATTATCAGCATCAACTATTTCTGACATTCTCTATTCATTATCTTTGTCTTGTTTTATTGATCTTTATCCTATATATTGTTTAAGGGCTCATCATTTCTAGGAATAACACTAGGGTTGATGGAAAACAAAAAAGTTAGGGTTATAAATCAAACTAACATCCATACACCTATAAAAATCATATTACACGAACATCCTTACATCCCAACAAGCTTTTTTTTTGTTTTCTCCAGAAATTGAAAAGAAGGAAAACTGTGAACAGAAGATAAAGAAAAAAAAAAAAAAGAAACCGAAAAAGAAAAGAATAAGGACAAAAATTCATTGGAACGTTCAGTTGAAATGCTGATCCGAGCTGTAACGTCCCTTTTCAGTTCAAGCTCTCTCTTACTAATCACTTTGTGTCACCACTATAGACTCATATCAATTCACATACATATACAAATACCTATGTATATTTAAATTGCTACAGTATTGTTACACTACACAACATATTTCTTTTCGTTTTCTTAATAAATCTCATAATACAATAAAAAAAGTGACTATATAATAGCTAAGACAATTGGATAAAGATGCCCAAGAAAGCAGTTTTACTAAAATCTTTAACCAGAGGACGTATAAGAGCATCTTTCAACAAATACAATTTATTCAATCTTTATAAAAAGGGTAAGATCGACTTTAGAACAAAGACGTTATACCAACAAAAATTTTATGCTAAACAAGAGACAAGAGCCTATCATGGTGAACACCTTACCGAAGGTAGATTCAACACTTTATTTTCTTCCAAATTGAATTCTGTGGCTCAATTAGATGCCTCGTTGCGTAAAAGTGGGGGCAACACAAATAATAAACTGAAGGAGACCCCTTATATTCTGCAAACTTATGCCACTTTAGAGAAAAGATTAGAGTTTGCTTTATTTAGGGCCATGTTTGCATCTTCTATTAGACAGGCCAGACAATTCATATTACACGGAAATGTTTTTGTTAATGGTATTAAGATGCGTCATCCCGGTTACCCCTTGAAACCTGGTGATATTTTTCATGTTAAACAGGACAAAGTTCTAGAAGCATTAGGTGCTAAAAAACCAAGTTTAGAAGAGTCTTTGAAAATTGATAAGATTCAAATTGAAGAATGGAATCAATATGTTAAAGATGCAAAGGAAAATCCTAAAAAGGCATGGGACGAAAAAATTGCAAAATTTAAAAATAAAAATGCTTCCTATGAAGAGAAAAAAGAATTTAGTGAATTTATTCAGCAATATCGTAATAACATCGAGAAAGATGAGCGTAGAGAATTAGAATCTTCCACAAATAAAAGTCTTTTAAATAAAATATTAGAATTACATTATGATAAATTGAAATGCAATCAACCTGAATCAAATAATAGTAAAAAAGAACAAAATAATACTCCATTAACCTTAAAAGATATTCAACAACTTGTAAATAAAGATAATACTGAAAAATTGGCACATGATTTAATGAAATGTTATCAAGATTTAATCAAATCTGGACTAATTGGCTGGGATAAGCTCTCGTCCTTAATTAAAGATAAAAAAGATGAAGATTATGAAAATATATTAAAAAAGTATGGCGAAAAACTATCCTCCTTACCAAAAGATTTCACAGACACTCTATCAGTTAATGAAAAGGGTCTGATTAGATCAGCAAATAAGCTTTTAGCAGAAGTGGCAAATAAATATTCTTTACAATTAAGCACATATTATAGACAATTACTCAATGACGTTAATTCAGAAAATATTCCTTATGATCCAAATTGGGTTGATCAGTTAGATTATCATCCAGCAGTAGATTTTGACAAATTGAAAGAAAATGAAAGAAAAGAAATGAAAGCCATCCAATTACCATGGCAAAAGGGTTACACTTACGGGCGTAAAGATATTTCAAAACCATATTTTACTCCATGGAAACCAAGACAATTTTTAGCCCCATTTGCAATCTTACCAAACCATTTAGAAATCTCATTTAAAACGTGTTCTGCCATCTATCTAAGAGATCCAATTGCCCGTCCAGGTCAATCCGAAGTTATTTCACCTTTTGCTTTGAATGTTCATGAAAGAGCATACATGTACTATGTGAGAAAGGGTAGGTAAATGAACAAATATTCTTCTTTCTTCTCTTTTTCTATGCACACACACATATACATATATATTTATACATATGTATATTGGTCATTCAAAAAAAAAAAAAAGAAATATTGTAAATAGTTTTTTCCCATACTTATTACACTAAACCTGAACCAAAGGAAAGGAAATTAGACCGTAATTGAGAAAATCAAGAGAGACAAAGTGTCTTATTCATAAACATAATTATATATATAAATGTCTGCATATGTATGTGTATATAGATAATTAAAGTATAAAGAAATTTAATAAAAGGGTTCAACCCATATGTTCAAATACAGAAGAAGTCAACTTACCATTCGAAAATGTATGTTTTAATTGTTCTGGGATTGGAAACTCCACGAAATCATCATCTTCACCAACTGGTAAATTAACATTTATAGTGGTCGAACAAGAAGTGAAGATTTCTGTATTTAATGATTCCTTTGAAAGATAAATACTACCATTATCAGACTTGTCAATAGATATCTGGGGCAAAAAATTCTCCACTTGAACGCCAAATTTGTTGGATTTAACAATATCTAAACCAGATATACATGATTCCAATAAAAGTGAACACTTCTCTGTTTCACTTAAAGATATAGCATTAACTTTCCCCTTGATTTGAATAAATACATTGGAACATTTACCAATAAAAACTGATTCATCCTTATTAGCCTCGACAAGGATTGGTCCACCCTCATTAGGTTGAGAATCATAGTTTTCAATGAACCACTTATTGCCTATTAACTCCTTTCTTGGTGGCTTCTTTGTTTTTAAAGTGGAAGGTTTTTTTGGTTTTGGTGGTGGCACGCCAGATTTAGTGGTAGTCGAGGAAGAACCTGGCACTGTAGAACCAGCACGTAATTCTGGGTTTTTATGGGTTTGTTGTGATTTATCTACTTTTTTCAAACCTTTAGTAATATCCTCACCTTGATTTAATTCTGCAAAGACTGCGTCCATGCCACCAGAGGAAGCACTTTCAGAATCGTTAGTTTTAACCTCAAAGACAGATGCTGGTGGGGCTGGAGGGGGTGGTGGAGCTGATGCAGCAGCAGCGGGGGCATCGGTAACGACAGCAACTGGTACATTAGAGGAAGATATGCTTTGCATTTGGGCTACTGCCTCTTTAAAATCTATAGCCGATGGCGTATTATTCCATTTTAATCCTGTAGTGTGATATTCTTTAACATATACTTTCAAATTATCAAATAACTTCAAAAAAGTGGTGACCCATTCAGCGGAGTTTGGATCATTCGCCTTAAATTCTTTCAAAACTTTATTTGTCCAAAATTGAGCAGCATCCTTTATATCTGATATAAAGGAAAGTGGTGTTGGTATAGCAAACCATGATAAAACTAAAGCACCTTCTACAACAGCGTTCAAATAGGAGAAGACAAGACTTTGACGGTTCTTATCCTTTAATTCAGTAATAGATGTAATATTTTCATTAATCTGTTTAACTATGTTCATAAACTCAGGAGAAGAATAATCTGGTTGTTGAGCTTTAACAGCTAAATTAATTAAATCCAATTGGACTAAAAACGACTTCTTAAACAATTTAATAGATTCTAATAGTAATGGATCAATCTTTTCAGATATGTTTAATAATTTATCAATATTCTCACTGAGAAAAGCTTCAAATTCCAAAACAGATTTTGGGGTTTCTTCATCAATTTCTTTAATTGTAGGTTCAAGCACATTAGCGTCTCTATCTTCTTGTTTCTTTGTTTCTTTACTAACTCCCACACAACTGGAATTTGAATCGCTAACAGGTGTTGAATCATCACTTGTAGTGTTTTTAGCTGCATGAGTTCTTTCTTCTATTTTAGATTGGATATAACCTTCTTGGTAAAGGGTCACATCTTCTAAACGAGCAGTAGCATCTTCTAATCTTTTTAAAAGTTTAACTAAATTGAAACCTTGGATAGCAAATTTTCCTTGATCAGGCATTATTTAAGTGTGAATGAGATGATCGATCACTATAATAATTTCCGGTTATATTTTTCCTTTTATCTTTTGGTACAAATTATAGGTTTGAAAAGTAAAACGGCACGCAAGAATCAACCAAAATAATGTAATTTGTGAAATGTTCGATTGAATAACCATAGTAATAAAATGACTCGTTTTTAAAAGAAAAAAAAAAGAGAAAGAAGAAGTTGAAAAGAAGGACGTTTATATGTTCTTTATCAATTTCTATTTAATCAAAAGCCTTAAAGGCTATTAAGGTAGGAAAAAAAAAACAAAGCATAACAACTAAGCCAAAAAAAAAATACGATCTAAAGAAGGTATGGATGTTTGGTGCCAGCCACGTGACTTCCCAACATTCTTCGGGTAACTTCGATTCAAACTGCCAATCAAAGTTTTTTTTGTAATGTCAAGAGGATTTTATAGATTCAACTAGTAATTATTGATTTGGTTCTAATACTGTGTGGGATCGTAATAAGTAATAACCTTTTCTAACGCAAATAAAGAAAGAGAGAATAATAAATGAAAAGATAAAAATTTGACATGAACTACTATTGTAGAAAGAGCTGGTGAAAAAAAAAAGATAAGCGATTCAATAAACAATCTGCTCCTTAAAAACTTACATCATATTATCACTTGTGTTATTAATAATCATATGCACCAGTTAGGTCTCCTTTTCTGCTTCTTTTTCTTTTTTCCTAATTTTTTTTATATTTTCATACAGTCTTTCTCTAACTAATATATTCTGAAAAGTTGAGAATTGCAAAATGAACAAACAGATAAATAAATATACATACGAAACTGATACACTATGAAACTGACGACAAAACCTATGTACTGAAAATATATTCCAAAGTTTTATACTTCCTTTTCCTTTTTTTTTTCCAGGACTTACCACCCAGAATGCCCCATTTTATTTAGTAATTCCCATTTCATTTGTTTTTTTGTGAAACTAAAATTACTAGCATTTCTATTCAAAGGCTGTTGATTTTTAGCCAATGTAGTGTATTCTAATAAAGAAGAGTGACTTAGGATGGAGTAATAAGTGTCCCTTTTTACATTGGACAACCATTCTTCCTCTGTTGTATCTTGATTCCCTACCCCCACATGTTTTTGTTTCAAATTTGTATATACGTGACGTTGACTTTGTTTATCTGACTAGGGAAAAATAACAAGCGTTCCTGATTTATTAATTTAAAAAATAGTTAGTATCAATAACAAATGAGCACATAAAAAAAAATATGTACGATACAGAGTCGTAAAGAGTAACATTATAGAGAACATACCATGCTGACACTTTGCTTATTTACAGATTTGTCTTGTAGTCCCACTTTTTTTCGCCTAATAAGTTTTCGTAGTCCAAATACCAAGAGCTCTTTTTTTAAAGATTCAATTAAATGATATCATTACAACTATCTTATTTTTTAGATTGAAACTCGCAAGTCGCTAACAAAAAAAAAACACAGAGAGGAAGAAGGAGACTAAATCACGTGCCCAATTTGTTTAGGGTTTAGAGCTTTTTTCCTAGACACAAACCCTAACTAGGGTATCGCCGCTTTTTTCTTCACCTTTCTTTTTAACATTTTAAGATCTACACAAAGGAAAAGAAATTATGATTGCATTTAGAAGTGGTATAGAAATCTCTTACCTCTAATTGTGCAAAGAAGTAATAACGCTAATTCAGTCACTGAAAAGAACTTCCAAAGAAAGGAAAATATTTCATTTGTTTTTTTTTTTTTTTCTCTTCTTCTTCCTCATTTTTAGCTATTATTTATCATCAACAAAAACAAACCAACAAGCAAACAAGCAAACATTTACTAGAACAAACCGTGATGGATGCTACAATCTCCTTTATGGAGAGAATCAACAAATTGGCCATTAGAAGGAAAAACGATACATTTCAGTTTAATATTTTCCAGACTTGTACAATATTCAATGAAGACTCCATCAAAAACTGGCCTTTGAAAACAGAAAGCCTTTTCAACGACTTAAAACAATTACATGATCCAAATCAAATCGAAAAGTGGTTTAGAACTTTATTTATAGAAATTTTTCGTATTATTACACATGAAAATTGGAAAGACTTATCTATCAATATAATTGACATATCTGAATTATTGAATAAATTATTTACAGTTTGTGATGAAAAATTACTTAAAATAATCGGGAAATCCTATGTTGCAATCTCTAGTGTGCTACCACAATTCAACGATAGTAACAATACCAATTATTTGATTTATGAAACTAATTTAATTAAATTAACTGAACTACTTAAACCAATCCACATGGAAATTTTTAAGTTCAGTTGGTTATCGGCAAAATTAAGTGAGAGGAAACAAACAATTCTACTAAGACATCTTTTGAAAAAATCTAAGTACGAATTACATAAATTTAATCTGTTACATGAAAATGCTACAGGATTTTCTCAATTATCTTTACTTTTTATCAATTATTATGAGGATTCAAGTATCATCGATAATCCAAATCGTATCGATTATTTTGTCAATGAAATGTACTACATTATAGGAAAATATTCCTTAGACTCCATGAGATCTCTAGATATTTTTCTTATAATATCGTCTGAATATATCTTAACATCATACATGAAATGCATTAATTTTTTGAAGCGTACTGACTTTATATATAAAGATAATGATAGCAACAGAAATAACTTGATCCTATCTAATGTTATTCTTTTCAATTTACAACAAAATAATGACATTTCAACAAATTATCAAAACTTGGTCTCTATTTTAATCAAATTCAAATTGCTGGATCCAAATCAAATATGGGAAAACTTGTCACCAGATGATGCTACTTTAGACGATTGGTTAAATAAATTAGAAGATATTCTTGAAAAGGAGTCAATGAAGGGAGTTGATAATCCATTAGCCATGGCTGCTGCACTAACCAGTGGCGATGACGAGGATAATGAGACTTTTGATGATAAGTCAATAAATGATAAAAAGGATTCCAACAATAAAGACCCCGAGGATGAAAGTGAAATGAATGAAACTATTACAAAAAATAAAGATTCACAGTTGGAAGAAATAGAGGAATGGAAAATGAGTAAAAAAATCCACTTTTTGAAAAATTTACTTATACATGGTTGTTTTAATGAGGCCATTTCAATAATTGTACAACATCCCAAATTAATTTACTTAGATCCCAAGATTACAAAACTTTTATCCCGTTGCATTGAGTATTCCATTTATCCATTATATAAGAAAACACCATACTGTTTTAATAAAAACCAGGATGCTCTACAACAATGTTCGTTGATTACAACATTAGATAATGACTTAATCAATAGAAAACCTAGATTATTCAGCTCTACAAAAACTTTAGATATCGATGACAACATAGAATTAAATGTTCAGTACATATTTTATTTTTCAGAATGGGTTAAAGATTTACCTGCAATTGATTCTATTGATCAACTTTTCAAATCCTCTCATGAAATTCTATCTGTGATAGGTCCATATTTGGCACATTGTCCAACATTAATTACAAAGCTTGTTAGAATTGCCATAAATGATATTGGAAAAGAAGCTGATAATTCTGTCTCTTATGAGATTGTGGGTAATACTATTACTGTTGAAAAATGGGTTGACTATTCTAGAAAATTCATCTTCCCTTGCGTATCACTCTTTGACAAAGATACATGTGTTGCTACAGAAGTTTATAATTTGATGAAATTATTCCCTTTTGAAAAAAGATATTTTATGTATAATGAAATGTTAACGAAATTATCTCAAGATTCTTTGCCTATCAAATTAGGCTTTAATAAAGCAGAGAAAGAAGTAAAGTCTCTTTTAAAAGCATTGAGTATTGATACTATAACTAGGGAATCCAGAAATTTGTCAAATCTGATATCTTCGAATCCTTTAGCCACCTTAGTTCCTGTTGTAAAACAAATTGAAAATTATGATAAAGTGTCAGAATTAGTTATATTTACAGCTAGATTTTTCAATGAATTTTCTTTTGATGTTTTACAATATGTCCTTTTACTTAGATTGACATTCCAAAGATCTCCTATACAGTCTAATGGTGTTACCCAAGCTTTTTGGGTCCAAAGGTTGGCCGTCTTTATTGCAAATTTGGCTAAACATTGTACAGAGATGGATCTTTCGAATATTATTGTTTACATTATCAAATCACTACATAACAAAGATGATAAAACTAATATTATTGCTGTAACTATCTTGAAAGAATTAATCAGCACGGTTAGCGGTATAAGGGATCAGAATGAAGTTCCATTCAGAAATTTACTTATGTTGAATTCTGGTGCACCTTTAAGACAAGAGGCAAGAAAATTAATTTATGACTCAAGAGATTCTAACATTGATGTAGCACAGAACTTAATTTCATTATTTATTAAACAAAACTCTATCTCTGAATTGATATTGCTAATCTATAATTTGAATTTACAAGCTAATCAAAGTGAAGCACATTATAAGATTTTATCATCTCGGTGTGATGAAATGACTAATTTGTTGTGGTCCTTTATTGAGCTAGTCAAATTTTGTTGTAAGGATGATAGTTTTGTTGCTAATGTTCTATCTTTTCAAGAGTTAACAAATAAATTCCATTTAGCTACCCCATGGGTGTTTAACATATGGAGAGATTATTTTGATCAAAAAGCGAATGCTGAAGACGACAATGATAAAACATTAACTAGTGGAGACAGAGATAAATCAGATATCAATTTTGATATTGTGATAGAGAAAGCAGCTTTTCACGATATTGAATTTACACATTTATCTAGAGATCTTTTCATAACATTTTGGAAGTTATCATTGTATGATATCTACCTTGATAAATCACTTTATGATGAATTAAAGAATAAACTAGAAGATTTGGAACGTAAAGAAGCAAATTCTAGAAAGAAGCTTTTAATTAATAATAAAATTAAAAAAATATTGATTGCATTTATTTCACATCAACGGGTCTTCAAACAAACTTCAGGGTTATTGAAAGAAAAAGTCAATGATTGGTTCGAAACCTTCACTACTGAAAAAATCCAATCATTGTTACAATATGCTATTATTCCGAGAGTTTTATTTTCTCCATCTGATGCTATATATTCTGCAATTTTTGTTTTACAAGTTTTTGAGATTAAGGACAAAATTATGATATTTAATGAACTTATTCAATCTCATATATTGGAAGCGTTATTATTTAGTTGCACACATGCAGAAGCTGGTAATCTTGGAATGTTTTTCTTTACTATCCTTGATTCTATCGAAAAGGAAAGAAAAGATAATTCTCATGGTATTGCTTCTTATAATCGTCAAATATATGAATTACAAACTAGTATAGTTAAACAAATTGTTAATTGTTTAAGTTCAAAAAATTATATGTCAATCAGAAATGGGATTGAGTTTATGAAACATTTGTCCTTAATATTCCCTGTAATTGATAATCATCTAACTTTGTTAATTATTCTTTTAGAAGAAAATCTATTATCTGAAAAAAGAGAAGATATTAAATTACCTACAAATGCATTGCTTGGACATTTAAAAGCAAGATTGAAAAACTCTGCTGTTAAGCTGGAAGATTTCTGTGAGATGACAGAAGATGAAGTAAAAGAAAAGGAAGAGTACGAATCTGAATTAAATGAAATAGCACAGTATGAGATTGCACTTGCTAATGAACAAAAGGAAATTGAAATAAGAAAGAAGTTAGAAATGAACAAATTGCAAAGACAAAAGGAACAAGAAGAGGAAGAAAAAAAGGAAAAGGATAAAATGCTTTTAGATGAAAAATTAAGTCGTTTGCCTAAAGCACCAAGTGGTACTAAACTACCTCTGCAGAAGGAAGACACTGGACCAAAGAAATTAGAATGGAAAATGCATAAAGTGGAAAGTTGTATGGAAGATGTTATTGAATCGCTTAAGATAAACGATGTAGAAAGTGCATCTTTATTTATTCCCGATAAAAAAGTGCAAAAAGAATTAAAAATATTATCCAAGGATCAAAATAAATCATTGAAAGAATTCAGAGAAAGTGTTCACAAAATTTTGAAAGATTGGTTTACCTCGATAGTTTATTATCCAAATAACCCAGATTTTATCAAACAATTAAATTCATTAAAAAATGCTATTACTTATATCTCAAATCAAAAACTTTCTCTTATGGAAGACATGTATGATGATAATATACCAGTATCCCAAAGACCAAGTCGTTACAATAACACCACTACTGTAACTAAATCTAAGAAAATTATTGCTCTTCCATCTCAGCCTGCTTCTTCCTTATCTTCTGGATCAAAAGTTGTCGATACTTCGAGAGCATCATTAGAACAATCAAGATATTCTGGTGATAAAACTGCTAATAAGGTTGAAACGAGTCCAGCACGAAACCTCCCAACAAAACCAACAGAAAAAAGATATAGAAATGGTAATGATTCCAGAGGATTTGATAATATGAGCGATGATAATTCTAAAACTGGACCTCCACATGATTTAAGAAATACTGAAAGATGGATGCCACCAAAGGGACCTAATAGATCAAGATTCGATAACTCTAGTAGAAATGATAGACATGTATCCATTAAAGAGGATAAGTTTATGAAAAAGGACACTAGATTCAGTTTCAAAAGATCTTTACCACCGAAAGATTTCAATAACGTACCAAGTAACAAAAGATTAAACACTGTGGGACCTCATTCATTTGCATCTATTCAACCATCATCAGTAAGAAGGATGAATACTAATAACAATAATAGTAATACTAATAATAACAATAACAGCAGTAACCGATCTGATGATACTCATAATAAGCCGTTAATTAATAGAAATGACAATAAGACTACATTCCCACAAGGACCTAAGAATGCTGGTTCTCGTTATCAAAGATAAGTAACTCTATACATAAACTGTATGTAATATTAACAACAATTGCAATAGCAGTCACATGAGTTTTAAAATCAACTCTATATAGAGGGAATAAATGTTAAATCAAACTTTTCTACCAAAACAGCTAAGACAGCATTCCTGTAGTTTTTGCCTTTTCGAGCGAAATCGACTCTTTAACTCTTTTGTGCAGTAACATTTTTTTGTCCTTTGAAAAATTATCCAACTTAAATAATTAAAGGATCAAAGAAAAAAGAGAAATGTCTAAAAAATTTAAAGAAGCTACAAACTCTATATCTTGATTACTCTTTTAATAAAAAACCATCACGAAGACAGCACCTGTGTATGATATTTCTTTGATAAAGCCAGTGGCTACAAAACTACATTTTAATGAGTGAGGAAATTTGGAGCGGAAATGAAGGTTATCTTTATGTTTATGTAAGTAAAGCAAGAGATTTACCCAACCTGATCAAATTAGACAAGCAAAATGTCATGTTAAGGTTAAGAATAGCCCATATGACAAGAGAGAGTGATGTGAAATTTAGAGCTGGTCAGAATCCAATCTTTGATTATTTGGAGAAATTTGAAATAACACCAAGTGTTAAACCGGTCATGTATGTAGAAGTGTATTGTGATAGAAAAAAGAAGTCTCCACTACCTATTGGACGTTGTGAAGTGGATTTAATGAATGGGATCCGTGCTGATCCAAAAAATGGGTATTGTACATGGTATGAATTAAGAAGAAATGGCGATGAATTTGCTGGTACAATATTTATTGAATTGACGTTTAAACCAAATTTGAAAAGAAACCATTTGAAAAAAATCGATAAAGAAACAATGAGATTAGATGCGTCTGTAGCAGCCAGACCGATTCCATTATTACCCACTGAAACCAAGAATATATCCAGTACAAGTGTCACGCATACTAATGAAAAGGGCATAGACGAATCTAATTTTTCACAATCAAATACCCCACAATATATGCATGCATCTGAAATGAGACAAGTGACACCATCGATACGAAATCTGCATTATGGTGTTGACAATTTTAATGGATTTAATATGAGTCATGACAATGTTAATAGTAAAGATAACAGTTTTTCACCTAGAAGGAACTTATCACCTTGTGAATATAATCGATATACAAACCAACATAATTTTGAAACCAACCAATTTGGTGTACCAAATTTTGCATCATCTGTTGATACAAGTAATACAATGTTAAGCCAAGACACCTCTAATACGACAGTAACGTCAACTTCAGCAGAGACTAGATTCCATTTTGCAAACTTAAAAAAATTGAAAGAACGTATCAATATTTTTAAAAATCCTAATATATCATTAGAGAAGAATTCACGACCTGATGAAATGATCGGATCAATACATACATATAATGTTAACAACAACAACAATAACAATAATAATAATAAAGGTGTTGATATAGAAGCTTTAGAAAAGGCTATTGGTGTGACATCAGTACAGGATGATGATGATGAAGATCAAGGAGAGAAAAATTATAATGAATATGATAGAAATATAATTGTTAATGGACATGACTCTTATAGACGACCCACTCCACCCATAGATCCTGATTACAATAAACAAAGTGTTACAGTAGATGGGTCGCGAAGAAATAGTAGTAGAAAGAGTTCATCAAGAGGAAACGAAGGTCCACGCTTACCCTATTTACCAGAAGATGCCTCGTTATATTTATCGTCATCATTATCACCAAGATTGAAAATGCAGTTACCACCACTGCCTAATGAAAAAATAATATCGAAAGTAAATCCCTCACAAACACCACAATTACCTAATTTACCTACTCAATCTTCAACTTATAGAAGCAGAACAAGTTCATTTTCACCAATCAGAAGACCATCTCCGCCAGCACACTATTAGGTTTATATATACATACATATACATATAGAGAAAGAGAGAGAAGGAAATACAACGATGGGAGATGGATTATTAACTTATAGAGATATTATTACATAACTAGATACGTGACAAAAAACATACATTAAAAAAACAAAAAATAAAAAAAAAACAGTTATCCAAAGAATGTAATAATGTAATATGAATAATATGTACCCTTCCTTACGAGTCTTGTAAGATATCTATATAAGTATGTGTGTCTGTATCTATGTCTCTGAATGTCTATCAGGGCTTGAATAAATATATAGGTAATATTTTGTATCGAAAGAAAGAGAGATACAGGGGGGGAGAGGGGGAAAGGGGGAAAGGAATACGTTAATATTTAAAATATAGGTTCGTTGTCATCATCACCAATGTCACCATATCCATCATCATCATCACCATCGTCGAAATATTTCTCAGCATTATAATCATCGTCATCATCTTCATCTTCTTCAAAATCATCATCTTCATCAATTTCATCCATAACAGATTTTCTTTGATTTTCTTTATTTTCATCATTATCATCATCATTCTCATTAACGTCACCACCAATCGCAACATCATTGCCTACTTCCTCGGCCAATTCTTTCAGTTTCTCTAACATAGATAACCCAAGTTTGTCTTGTCCACTTCCATCAGTATCAGCGTTTATATTATCACTATCAGCACTACCGTCAGCATTGTTGCCGTTACCACTTAAGATTCCATTACTTCCAGCACTGTTGTTTTTAAATCTTTTCAAATTTAACAATTTTTTCTTGTTGAAACCCATAACGTTATACAACTCTTCAGGAAATAAATCTTTAGCGAAGGGATGGTCTGTCAGGGACTTGACACCATTGAATGTTTTTTTATGTTTTAGATATCTATCACCGTATCTTTCAATATCGTCTGAGTTATCCACTTCGATAAAACTTGAACATTTTATCTTTTTATCGTCTTTGCCAATATCATCTAGGTTAAACACAGAATCACTAAGGTCATTTAAGTGGGTGATACAGTATGAGGCAACCAGTCTTTCTCTATATGATATGGTTGGATTATTTACTGGTAGAGCTAACTTAGGGACTTCGGAGTTATGTAATTGAGATTGAGATAAGATATCTTGATATGCTATACCTACAGGAATATTGAAGCTGTTGTTACCACTATTCCCATTTCTGAACCCACCACGAAAACTCATTATTAATGTATAATATATATATATATTTGATGCACTATAGTTAATGTATGCTAAGTATGAGACAATAGCAATTATAAAGGATGCCTATTGAAGTGAAGATGGTCAATTAGATAATAAACACAACAATACAGCAGTGTAACAACATCACATAGCACCATTATAAATTAGGGTGAGACAAGATGGGATAAGATGAGATGAGATGAGATGAAATGAGATCAACCTTTGATATTGCTAATTTTTTACTACATCACAGATAGAATGAAAAAAAAAAATTTTTTTGTACTCATCTCTACCCCCTTGGTGTGATGTAAGGATGTTGAAATATTATTTAACAATTACTAGTAGTAAATTAAAATGGCATGTATGTATTTATACATATATATATATATTAATATTAACATTAATATTTGAATTTATATGTTAATATATAGATAAATGTATATAAAAGGGTCTATCAGTCATCTAAATTACTTACACCTACCGTTACATGGCGCAGATAAAAAGGAGGAAAGAACAAAAAAAAAAGCCAAACAAACAAACAAGCAAAGATGAGTGTGCGTGCTTTTAATACCTTTCCTAATCTTCTAACAAATCAGCAATATCTTCATCACTATCATCATTATATGCTGTAGAGTACTGTTGTTGCTGTTGTTGCCTTTTCTTTAAATTATCAATAGCTTGTCCCAACATTTCTTGTTGTTTCTTGACTCTGTATCTTGTTTTATTACCCCATCCGAATGCAGTTGGTTCTTTATCATGTTTTCCATCATTGTATAACTCATCTGTACCTTCCATCAACTGATTTTTCTTTCTCTTTTGGTCTGCTTTAATCTGATTAGCTAATTGTCCTTTAGCCAATTCTCTTTGAGCAAGACGTCTAAGCAATATATACCCACCAATGATGATAACCAATCTAAAAAACTGTTTATGATCAATTGATTGAATTCTTGCAATAGCTCTGTGTTTAATATTTTCTAATAAATCCATTCTAATATGTATGAGTATTATATGGGTATGTATATGTATAAATGCGTGTGTACGTGTGTATGGGAGAAAGGAACTTAATAGAGTCGTATATTATATGTTACAGTTGCAACTCTTGTCAGCTCCCGCAAAACGGTAATGAATAACATGTACATAAGCATATACAAACATAAATACAACTATGCATACAAATACGTAAACATATACGTAGATTATATTTTATGTTTTGTTATGTAGTTTTAACAAAAAAAAAAAAAAAAAAAGAAAGAAAGAAAGTTTCCTCTCCGAGAAATTGCCACAGCACGTGATTTGTGGATGTATGGATACTACTGATTTGGCATAATCTCAACACAATATAACATAGGATAATACAACACAATATAATACAATCCTGTATATACAACTATAAATGTATATGTTCACCTAAACTTAGAATATAGCACTAGCAATATCAACAATATTAGCACTGCTATAATGGAATAACTAATGATTTTATTAGCAACAAGTCTCCTGCTCATCACTCTTAAAGTTCTCACCGATTTATCCAGATATGTATCTGCTTGAGACAGATGATTCCGTGAGTGTTCTAGAGTCTCCCTTTGGGCACGCAAATCGTTCATGATCTGGGATCCTATCTGTTCTGTATCGTACGCTACCCTTTGTGCGTCCATTAATCTTTTGTTTGTTTTGTTGAGAATATGGTGGCTATCTAACAACTGCTGTCTCTGTTCTTCGTCCATATAGGATATGCCGTTATCTACTTCAGGAGTGGCACCCTGTGTACTAAACAGAACATTTCTATTTTCGTCCTCAATCAATTTGTTCAGTGGATCCACTATATCCTTCTGTAGATCATTCTTCAAATTCCTTAAATATGACCTCCATTTGGATTTCTCCTCGGTGCTAGACCCAGTGTTATTGACTTCTATGTTCATTTGTTCAAGGATCTCCAATAGATCATCTTTGTTGATCTCTAAATTTCTGATTGTTGTGGTCTTACTTGATGATCCATTTGATATTTCCAATTTTGTTGATTCATATAACGTCTTGAATTCCACATCGTATGATTCTAACAAATTTGACATAATTTAGTGTGTATTGAAGAGGGGGGGTAGAGGTTACTTTTCTAGTACTATAAATATATATCAACCTTTTAAACAACAATATGCACATATATACTTACACTTATACTTATGGTTATACTTATATCTATCTCACACAACTGCCTTCCCTTTAGTTTTCCTTTGTTAGTTGTGGGTTCTCCAACTTTTTGCCCTTTGTTTCGTTTCTTTTTGTTCCCATATCATTTTTTTTTTATATTTTTTTTTGCTGTGCTTTACTTTTGCTTTTTGTTAAGTGGGAAAAGAAAGAGTGGCAGGTGGTAGGTCACCATGTGAGAGAAACTGTAAGAGGAAGAGGATGAAGTCATGATTGTTGGATGCACAGACAGACGTCTTTCATTCTCGAGTGTCACATGCGATGGCAAGGAAGTAGTGGTTGATCCGTTGTTGTTTCTTGCAGGTTTCTGAAACAAAGATGTAACACAATCTATACACATATCACATATTCTATATATATATATTTTTTGTGTATATGTATGTGTATATTACAATAGAATATGTCCAGTAAAGTAAACTGCATATATATCTATACACATATCGATCTATATATATATATATATATATATATATATATTAGTATTTATATTTATATTTATCCATGTGTATGTATATGTATGTGTATGATGCATTCAAGGATTCCAAATGTGGGGAATAAAAGACTAAAATATAGTACAGCTACAAATGATACATCTAATATAAATAACCGTCGTACTAGTCCCATCAATAACGATAGAACCACAATATCGGATAATAATTGTTCTGCTATGTTAACAGATGTCACAAATAAAAAAAAATATTCGTATCCTACTTCATATCATCGACGTTTTACTAGTAACAATAATAATGCTTCAAGCACCGCCACTATTTCTACTTCTACTTCCACTACAAATACAAATATAAATACAAATACAAATACAAATACAAATACAGTGTATACATCCCTATCTTCCAAGAGACCTTCGTATAAGAATAAGTTAACGTTTGGTGACGCGACTTCAATCGAATTGGTTAAAAATAGACAGAGAAAAATCCTGAATGACATCAATAGACTGAACTATGCAATCTCAGAAATCAATAAAACTATATCTCAACTGCAAAACATCGAGCTGATCCAACTATCAAAAGACACAACAGAAATGAACGATGAAATTCACTCAATCTCAAGAGACATCAACTTATGCGATGACGAGATACAATCCATTGACGATGAAATAATCAAATTGGAACAGAAGGACAAGATGTTCATCACAAATGAGACGTTACGACATAAGATCGAGTGCCAGGACCTATTTAACGTGTTGGATTTAAGGCTCATTGATAAGAAAACCTCTTTAAAGACCGAAATGGAGCAGATCCTGGACGATTTTAAACCTTCTACTGATCTAGTAAATGATATTAAGCGCTATAATGAACAAATAAATCTGTATAGATGTGAGTTAAATAAATTGAAAGTAGAGAATGGAAACAAATTACGTTCAAAGGAAAAGGATGAATTAGTACCGAATTTAGAAAAGTTCAAGTCTGAAAGGGACACTAAGCTTAATAATCTTTTGACACAGAATGTTAAATTAAAGTCAACTTTAGATGAGATAGCTTTGGAGAGAGAAAAATTTCAAAAGGATATAGACGATCTTAATTTGGAGATCGCGGGTCATAAAGATCGAATTGATACATTGGAGAAAGAGATATCCCAATTGACTATTAACACAACACCACCATTAATAATCCGATCACAAGAGCTTAAAAATCAGTTGGATAATTCCAATTCAGAGATAGATGAAATACAGATAAAATATAGAATAATAAAGGATCAATACACTTTACAACTGAACAAATTAACACACGAGAAAAAAAGGAATAAAGCCCTAAGTGATGCAATCTCTAAGACCTAAAAAATAGAAATAAAAATAAAAAATAAAAAAGTGATCCTTCCCCTTTCCTTGATTCGTAAAGTTATAAACCCTAACACCAAATGTTTTGCCTATTGCGTCGTGTTCTTAATGTTTTCAATTCGTTCTTCATTTTCGCGGTGTTTTTTTTTTTTTGTTTTTCGTGACGGAGTTTTTTTTTCTTTTGTTTACTCTTTTTATTTTTTTTTTCTTTCGGTTATTACCATCGTTTTAACAATTTGAACATAATGTAAAGGAACAAGAAGAGGAGGTGAATTGGTTAAAGTGGCATAGAGAAACGTGGTGATGACCCATTAGTGGGGTCGTTGGTGTCGTTAGATGCAGATTACAGGCGAGAAAATTTGGTAATAAGCTGAAACAGCCTTTTAAATTAAATAATAATAATAATAATAATAATAATAATAATAAAGAAAAATTGTTTTTGGTTCTTTTTCTTCCTTTTTTTTTTGTTTATCTTTTTGGTGACACATATTATTCCTGACTGATTAGCAACAGTTAAAAATACATCCATAAATATATATAAATATATATATATATTTATATTTATATTTATTTATTTATTTGTTTGTTTGTTTGTTTGTTTGTTTGTTTACTGTATATGGCTTAAGACCTATTTTAAAATTGGCATATATTCTTATTTATGCACTGAAGGTAGATTGTGTAACATCAAAGTTTTATAAATAATAGTTAACAATATTGAGTGCTGAATAAGAGGCGGAAAATATAATTGTATATATCTATCTATCTATCCATACTTGTGTGTGTGTACGTGTGAATAATGCCGGGATTGATTGTCACAGCAAGACAGACATATTATCCTATTGAGTTATCAAATTCTGAACTATTATCACATTTCAATACCATCAAAGAATATAATGAGGATATCACCATTGATTGTATGAGACAGTTTAAAAAGTTCCGTCCTGATGTTAAATTAATAGATCAACAACCAGAAATGGTACCGCAATTGACAAGGCAGTCAATGATTAGTTTTTTATATAAAATATCCATTCTATCAAAAGTGACAAATGGTATCTTTTACCATGCAACTAGACTATATGACAGGTATTGCTCCAAGAGAATTATACTGAGAGATCAAGCAAAATTGGTTCTTGCTTCTTGTCTTTGGTTGGCTGCTAAGACATATGGTGGTTGTAATCATATCATCAATAATTATGTCATCCCAACTGGTGGTAGATTCTATGGTCCAAATCCAAGAGCAAGGATACCAAGGTTGTCTGAATTAGTACACTACTGTAACAATGAAAACAATATTAATGATACTCACAATAGCAACCTTGGTAAGAACAATCATTTTGATGAGTCTATGTTTTGTCAAATGGAATTACATATTTTGGAAACTTTGAATTGGAATGTTTATGAACCAATGATCAATGATCTTATTTTAAATGTAGACGAAAATTGCTTAATTCAATATGAATTATACCAATCTCAATTACAAAATAGAAATCGTTGTACAAATAACCCCAATACGAATATTACTGCTGCTACAGGTAGTAATACTGCCATCACCACTAATCAAAAAAATGAGGAGAATAAGAGGCACTCACATGATTCTACGGATACTGATGCTACAGTGGATGATATCGACGATTTACTTAATGAAGATAAAGAATTAATACTGAAAATTGAATTAATTAATCTGAAAAGATTCTTGATTGATTTATCTTGTTGGCAATATGATTTATTGAAATATGATATAGAGGACATTGTATCAGTGATATTTAAGCTAATTAATACGTTCGGTGGTCATGATGTTTCTCCTTTATTATCATTAACAACAGCAACAAAAGCAACAACAGATATAACATTATCACCATTCATGGGTATGTCATCTCCTTCTAATTCTAAATCAACTATTCATGATAATATTCAAACAATTTTTATAAATTCATTGATAAACGTTCCCCAAACTTTATTATTAGTTTACAAAGACAAACATGGTATTATACCATTTATATTCAAGGTGAAAGAATATTACACTAACTTACAAATGATGAACATTATGGATGTGACAAGAAACAGATTCCCATCAACACAATATTTCGATTCATATAACAGTAATAATAATCATTTCACAGATACATCATCCATTGAGTCGTCACCTTCGTTATCTGTTAGAACTCCATCCAAACAACAATTTAATATTTCAACTGGCAGTACCAATAGTATTACTGTTTCAGCTAGTAATAATTACGTTAATACTACGAATATTAACAATGCCATAACCAATACAGTCTCTTCTATTACTTCAAATATACATAATAGTGGCAATAAGACTGAAAGTAGTATTTTCAGTAATCATCATTATCCATATGTAAATGGATCAACATCGTTTACTACCAACACGGCATCACCTATTACACCACAATTATTCACATTTCCAGTCAATAAAAATGACACAAATGACAAAGAAAACGACGTTGTATTAACCAACAAAATTGTATCATTGTCTCATGCAAATTCATCTAGTTCCAAATTCCATCACAACAACTATGACATTTTTAAGAAAGAGTCTACAATTTTGGGAGCTACTACGACCTCCCAACAGAACTCTTTAAACAATCATATCCAATAAGATATTCATCAATGAATTTTACTGACAGAAAAAGATACATACATATGTATATGTATAACTATATACTACATAGATACCCTAATTGAAAGTTTTACATAGATCCTATAATGACATTGATGTTGTATGGGGTATCTTTTATAGGTTAGTCAATTGGTTGTTCACTAATGGTGAAATATATAGCTGTGTGCCTACAAGATATAACGAAATCATGTTAAAGATTATCTCAAAGGGCTTGGCACTTTCCAAAATTTCCTCTTTGGGGAAATCTCAAGGAAATATTCTAAAAAAAAAAAAAGAAAAGAAAAAAAGCAATAAAAGCTGAAACAGTTTCTTATTATTTTATTTTATTTTTTTTTAAATTTAGATTTTTTGATTTTGTTTCTTTAATTTCTTTAAAGAATAAAAGCAGCTCTGCGTAACTTAATTCAACATGATATTGTTACACAGACATGTTTGTACTGTTTAGGAGTCTTTATTACTGCGACTACTAAGTGATCTTTAGTTGATTGATAAAGTGTAAAATAAGGAGGGGGAAGAAAAGAAGAATATAGAATATATTATGTTTCCAATACTTACGTTAATAAGGTTGTTATTATTGACTTTAAATAGTCTGCAACATGTTTTAGCTATTGATGATGGTTCATATAATACACAAATTAAGGACTCTCATGATAGTTCTATCAATATCAGCAGTACTGGTACTAGCACCAGTAACATTGAAATTAGAAAAGGAGATGACAACAACAGATATAATGATAATAATAATAATAATAATAATAATGACGATGATGATAATGCTCTTGTTAAGAGAGAAAATACAGATTCGAATTTGACAATCGTTGGTACATGGTCATCTAAATCAAATCAAGTGTTTACTGGTCCAGGATTCTACGACCCTGTAGATGAACTATTAATTGAACCTTCTTTGCCTGGTATTTCCTATTCTTTTACTGAGAATGGCTGGTTTGAAGAAGCTTCATATCAGGTATCTGGAAATCCAAGGAATCCAGCATGTCCTTCTGCTGCAATGACATTCCAGCATGGAACATACAAGATTTATGATAATGGAACTTTAATATTGACACCGATCTCTGTAGATGGAAGACAACTGGTAAGTGACCCATGCAAGGATAATGGTACCTCCTCATACAACAGATACTTTCAGGAAGAGACTTTTAAATCGTATGAAGTTATGTTGGATGATTATTATGGTATTTATAAACTCATATTATATCAATTCAATGGAGCTCCATTGCAACCTTTGTATTTGGCATACAGACCACCATTGATGTTACCCACAGAAACATTAAATCCAACTGCTACTACCACAAGTGGTACAGGGTCAACATCTACTGATTCAAAGGTAAAAAGAGATTCCTTAAGTAATTTAGTTAAAAGATCATTAGAGAATAAGTATAAAACAAATGCTATAAAACAACCATCTAAGTCATTTTTCATGTCAAATATCTTTTGGTACATATCAGCTTCGGTTATTGGATTGGGTTCATTACTGTTCTTTATATATTAAAGTATGTAAATATATATCTATAGATATATATTATTGTTAAATTTCAACTTCATCAACCTCTAATCCACAGTTAATGCAACGTCGTTTCATTATTGTATTGTCCTCCTCATCTTTGTATGTTTCAACGGCTTCACCAAACTTATGTTCATGAATCAAGTTCCCATATTTTTTATCTCTCAATTTCTTGGTAAATTCTTGTGCTCTCGTCTTTAATCTCATTGTTTGGATCTCTTTTTGATACAATTGCTCCTTTCTTTTAATTTTAAGGGTTTCACGCCTTTCCCATTCTTTATCTAAACCTTCTTCACCACCCCACTTTTTAAATGCAAACGCTTCAATCTCACATCTGACAAACAATTGCATTCTAGCAAAAGTTCCAGAATGAGGGTTAGGTTTTTCTAATCTGTGAAACAAACTCTTGTCGTTTAATTCATCCTCAGTTAAAAAATAATCTTCTTTACATTCAGTCTTTGTCAAGAGAGAATATTTCTCAGGATGTGATTTTGAACATTGTTTGCAGACATTCAACTTAAAAACATCATCCAAGATCGGATCCATTTCAATATTAATCCTACATTCTCTACATTTAATGGCTTGAGATATATGTTCAGGTGGTGGTTTGTTTTCATAAAGGTTTCTTCTTTGTCTCTGTTCCTCTTTCCAATCCTCTAAAGTCTTGATATGCGAATGAGCAGTCCTTTCACCCTCGTAATAAGAATAGTCATCAGTATTGCTATTTATGTGATAACTGTATATACCTTTGTCATTTGGGTTGATATAACCACCGTTTAAATTCTGCATAGTGGAAAAATCGAAATCAATATAATCTTTGGTTCTCACAGTTGGGCGTATTTTAGGTTTATTTGTGATATGAACATCATTTTTGTTGGCATGAGAAGTATTATCAGTAGTCCTTTCACCATTATTACTTTTATTATTATTATTATTATTATTATTATTTGATGATAATGATATTGTGGTTAGAGAATCATGGTTGACTTGTTTTTTAGTGATTCTGTTAGAATTAGGACTAGAGTTAGAACTTGGATTAGATTGTGGTTGGATGGGTAAATTCCTACTTTCTATAGTTTTGACTTGTAGATTATTTAACAGACCTCTCTGTTTCAATCTTTCTAGTGCTCTTTTTCTATTTGCTTCAATCTTTGCTCTTTGTGCTTCATTCATAACAAGAAGTGCTAATTACAGAAATATCTATATTTTCACACATCCACACTCCCGTAAGCCTACATACATATATATATAAGCTAAAAATAGTATCTGGATTGTAGCTGTATAATCATAGATATAGTTTTCAACAGTTTCTTTATTATGTAATATTGAGTCAAAAGATCAAAAAGATTCAAGATGGATGCCAGAAAAGTATTAGTAATTATGATGAGTAAAACAGTGCATAATTCAACGTTACTCAAACATCCGTACCTCTCCTTTTATACTTCCAAAATTCTCAATTCTTTTTGGTGTTTTTTTTTCTTTCTTTCTTCTTTTCTCTCTGATGATCGTTTGAGATTATTATTATAATAAAATACAAAAGGAGAGCTTACTGGATTTCCCCATATGGCAAAAAATTTTTGTCACAGATCACGAGGTGTATTTGTCCTTTTGTCCATTCATCCTGCCTCTTTCCCCTTTTCTGTTCAATTTGGAATAAGGGCACGTGTTCCAGATTTATTCGAGTTTTTACGCTTGTTTGAAAATGTTTCGTCAGAAAACCCAGGTTAAGGAGAAAAAAAAAAAAAAAAAAGACGGAAATATTGACTTGCATAAAATAGAATATTTATTCGATAGATAAATACAAAATGTAGTGTTATATCACATCTAAACTAAGCTTAATATTTTTTGTTGGTAAATTAATTAAATTAAATAATAGTTTTCTAAAAGAAAAGCATATCCCAAGTGGCATGTATTAGTTAGTTATAATATTATTTATTACTTATGTATATATATTTATATTCCTGTCAATTAGAAAAAATAGGTTTTTCAACCCTAATAGGAATGTTTTCGTATTTTACAATTTGTGAGTATCTTTGAGTAAGAACCCCAGTTTTACATTTTGAATTTTTCGTTTCGTCTTCAACTGAAAAAAAAAAAAAAGAAAAGAAAAGCTTTCTATATAGGGGAATTTGGCAAAGTATATAGAAAATGTATCATTATGCTATTTTTTCTAGAGATCTATCTTTAGGGTCATGTTAAATTGAACAGTTTTGTAGAGCAATATTTAACAGTATATGACTTTAATACTTTCTTGAAAAAGACAATAATACATTAATATATAATGAAAGAAAAATAGAAAAAAGAGGCTGGAGGCGGAGAAAGAAATAAATATTTCTCTTATTACAAAATTTAATTTTTAACAAAATTAAATAATGGATTAAGTAGGATTAGTAGTTCTGTGTTGGGTATGTTATTGCTCTTACACTTTTCATAGTCTTTCGCAAATATTTACTTAGGGTAAAAATATTAAACTTAAAAATGAAACATTAAAAAAATAGGAAGAAATAGGGTCAAATGTGAAAAAAAAAAAAAGGAAAAAGATTTATATTAATATATATGTTCCAAAAAGGAAATCTAGGTTCAATTTTTTTTTCCTGGAAAAGATCCTAATCTCGACTTCTCTGTACACTTTTACCAAATTGGTCTCGTTTAGAGAAAGAAGGAAAAGAAGCAATCAAAATAATAGACTAGAATAGAATAAACAAGTAAACAAGTAAACGGAATTTTTGTGAAACGACTTCGAAACCTCTTGTCCGTTAAATGAGAGACATAGGAAATGAAATTTCAAGGATCTCTCGGTGATATCTCTCAGACTCAAAGTTAAGTAAGGTAAGGTCGACTTAGAAATTGTAATACTTACATGTTAATCTACAATCACACAGAAGATTTGCTGATGGTTAATACTATTTGTGATATCAATACTATTATTCATTAGGTTGCTAGAGCAAAAGAGCTGCGATATCTTTCTGTTCTTTCTAATAAAATCTACTGGATTGACTTATTTTCGTTTTTTTTATTTATTTCCTTGCTAATGTCGTTAAAATACTTGCCTTTCTCTTTTATTTTTATTTTTTTTCTATCTATTCTCCTTTTTTCTCTTTCCCTTATATGAACGTATGATCCATATATATGTATATATATGTGTGTGTGTGTATGTACGTGTTTGTTTGTATTCTTCTGTCAACTTTATCGTATTGCAGCTTGTCTCCTCCTGTTATGCCTTGTCTAGTACACACTTTCTACATACCCTGAACCAAATAACAAATAGCTCACATCTATACACATACATAAATATATATTTTTTTTATTTATATTTATATCACCATCATCCTTACCATTACCCTTAAAGATGAAGTTACTATCCTTACTTTGGATTTCTGTCGTTTTATTTAGTGTTAAATATGTCATGGATTGGGCCTTCTATGTCTGGTTACCAACCAATTATATATTTGATCCACAGACTTTAAATGAAATAGTTAACGGTGTATTAATGAAATATAATAATGTTGAAACTATGGGGAATTCCACAGTCACCAATGAAATTAACGTTGAAAATTTGCTAAGAGATGTAAGAGATGCATTAGCTAGCCACTACGGTGAAGAATACATCAATCCATATGTCGAGGAGGACTGGGTCTTCAACAATGCAGGTGGTGCTATGGGACAAATGTTGATTCTTCATGCTTCTATATCAGAATATGTTATCCTTTTTGGTACAGCAGTAGGTACAGAAGGTCACACTGGTGTTCATTATGCGGACGATTACTTTACTATTATACATGGAATTCAAACTGCTGCATACCCATTCGCTACAAAACCCGAAGTTTATAAGCCTGGGATGACACATCATTTAAAGAGTGGATACGCAAAGCAATACAGTATGCCAAGTGGATCCTTTGCTTTGGAATTGGCTCAAGGTTGGATTCCATGTATGTTACCATTTGGTTTCTTGGACACATTTTCTTCTACTTTAGATTTGTACACACTTTACCGTACAGTTTACTTGACTGCAAAGGATATGGGTAAGAATTTATTGGTTAATAGAAAGTTTTAAGCATTGTACTTATCTTTTTACACCCTCTTCTTTCTCCTCACACACATATATATAGATACAGATATAGATATGTAGTGCACTAAAGATCAAAGTATTTTTCTTTAATTATTTGTTTATAATTAACTCATTATGCTCTAGATGATTCACTTTATTCCATTAGCTGTAGTAATCATGATTACTAAGCGTATACTGCTTTGTATCTCATTCTGTACGGCTTCTCCTTTTTTTGTTCACGTGGTTTTTACGGGGAAAAAACCAAAATAAAAAAAAAATAAAGAAAACTTTTCCTGGCTTATTTTTTTATTTTATTTTTTTTTTCTGATTTTTGTTTGTCACGTGCTCTTCAATTCTATTTCAGTTTGGAGGGAAACAAAAATGGCGAGAGTCGCAGTGTCGCAGAAGAAACAACAGTGGATGGTTGGTGCTTGGTGCTTACATAGCACAGAGTAGGTCTATGTATGTGTTCATCTGTTCGGTTTGCGTAATTATTGTCACTCTCGTCGTTAGTATTACTGATTTTGAAAAAATGGGTATTCCTTTATTTTAAAAACTTACCTTTTTTTTTTCATCCTTTTCTTGTTTCACCACTTTTGTTTTGTAGTCTTGTTAAAGCACACATATAAACACCACTCTATCCCTAAGGAAGCAGGACAAATCAATCTCAATCCTAAATTCCACATTTGGCAAACATGTCTGACCCTACTCGAGTCGCATCTATTGATATCAATAAATTACCAACTAATCCAGATGTTTCTCCAATGACTAAAGAACAAACTGAAAACAGTTTTTGGTCCTCAAATCCAATTTCAAGTTTCATTATTGACACCTACAGACAATTGAATGACCATAGAAAATCCCTTGGTTTGGTTAATCCTGGTACTGTCGAAAATTTAAATAAAGAAGTCTCTCGTGACGTTTTCTTACAACAATATTTCTTCACAGGGTTAAGAGCTGATTTAAATAAGGCTTTCTCCCTAAACCCTGCATTTCAAACCTCTCATACTTTCTCAATTGGTTCTCAATCTTTACCAAGTTATGCCTTTTCTGCTTTGTTTGCTAATGATAATCTTTTTGCTCAGGGTAACATAGATAATGACTACTCTTTATCTGGTAGATTAAATTATGGTTGGAATAAGAATAACATTTCAAAGATGAATCTACAAATCGCTAATGGTCAACCTTCAATGTGTCAATTGGAACAAGATTATCAAGGCTCAGATTATTCTTTGAATTTTAAAACTTTAAACCCATCCTTTAACATCAACAACAAGAATGGTAACATCGAATTCTCCGGTGTCGCCGTGGCATCCCTATTACAAAGTGTCACGCGCAATTTTTCCCTTGGTTTGGAAGTTCTTTACTCAAAGGTTCAACCTTCTTCACCACCTGACGCAGGTGTTTCATATTTGACTCGTTATGTCTCCTCTAAGCAAGATTGGATCTTCTCTGGTCAATTACAAGCTAATGGCTCCTTGATTGCCTCCTTTTGGAAAAAAGTCAGTCCTAACGTAGAAGCTGCTATTGAAACAACATTACAAGCCTCTATGTTACCCATCAATGATCCAATGACTGGTACTCCGATTGGTATCCAACCAACTGTCGAAGGTTTCACCACTATTGGTGCAAAATATGAATACAGACAATCTATTTACCGTGGTACTATAGATTCTAATGGTAAAGTAGCTTGTTTCTTAGAAAGAAAAGTTTTACCAACATTATCTATTCTCTTCTGTGGTGAAATTGATCATTTGAAGAACGAAAATAAAGTGGGTTGTGGTTTGCAATTCGAAACTGCTGGTAACCAAGAATTGTTAATGATGCAACAAGGTTTGGATGCTGATGGTAACCCATTACAAGCCCCAGTTCAATAATAACAATAATAATAATATACACTAACACATATATGTGTATACGTATATGTGTGTATATGGTAATAGTTGATTTCTCAACTATAACAAGTTTAGAAAAATAAAGTTCTTAACTTTTCTGAACTAACAATTCTTATCTTTATTTTTCTAAATTGTTTTACGTTTGTGCATTTATTACTGTTGTTTCTTTTTCTGTTTTGTTTTGTTTGGTCACATTAGTTATAACAAAGTATTATGATTATTGTCTTAAAATTATCATTCCCTTTCATTCATGTTAATATATACACTAAATTCGTATATATAAATATTTATGTTATCTGTATATAATAACTGTGTATGTCAATAAATATCTTATATGATTTAATCATAATTTAAGATCATGCAAGGATATTAATGTTTCATAATCGGAAAGGATGGAGATTGATCGTCGACTTAAATTTTTTTGATCCAAAAATGTAATGCTGGAGTAGTTATCAAAATTCTTATCATTAATACTGTTATTATTAGAAGATGATGGAATATATAGACTAATTCTTCTTCTTGATGTTGAATTATTTTTTCGTTTAGGAATATGCAAACAATCATTGTTAGTACTACTTGTTGTTGTAGCAGCAGATATAAGTTCATTGTAACTAGTATCTGGATTATGATCCCACGGAGGTATTACATTATTCATCGCCCTTCTAAATGCATCATTTATTGAAGTATTTATTTCAATATTAATTGTCTCATCACTACACCATATTTTTTCTTCTTCTTCTATTTTATTTATATTACCATTAGATATATTATTATCTGTCTCAGTTTCTAATAAGTAATTTAATTCATCTAGGTTTTCTTCATCTTCTTTTTCATCTGTTTCCTCACTGTTGTGTTGCGCTGATTGTCCCTTAATGACTTGATTATTAGTTTCATATATTTCAACGGATGACAAATCTAAGGATTTCACACATGAATATTGGCATATCCCAGTAATCACAGTTTCTAAATCTTTAATTATTTCATTGTTAATTTTGATTTCATCATATTCAATAAATTTAATCTTCCATACTCGATCAGGATTAGAAAATGAAATAAAAAGATAAAATTCGTTAGGATCTATAATACGTCGTATCCTCAACTTAGGTAACATTGGATGGATCCATTCTCCGTGTCTTCCAACACTGAGAAAAAAAGATCTTGAACTAATTGTTCTAATTTCATATATTTCAATTGATCCTCTTGCCAATAATTTAGATTTATTTTGCTTATTTGAAAATCTAGGCGGTATCCTACTCTCTGAGGAATTTGCCTCTACTTCTACATGTGGATATTTAAACAAAGAGATTCTTTGTGAGGATGATCGATTTATTAACTTATTTTCCACTGAATTTCTATGAGATTTGTTAGTTAAGGTTGTTGTAATGTTACTAGTATCAGTAACATCATTTATATTATTTATATTATTAATATTATTACTATTATTAAACTTTAATTTACCTTTCAGGACACTGTGTATTGATTTTTTTTTCATTTGATATGCAATTAAGAATTATATATATTACCTTTTACTATTTTAAGGATTGAATAATCCTACAGTATATTGTTTGAAAACTCTTTGGATTAAAAGATTAATTTTGTTTAAATATGACCATATATTGGTATGTACAATAAAATATTTTTATGTATGCTTATGTGATTTGAACTCTCTTATACTGACTGTGAAACATTTAATTTTCGTTTGCTCTACTATATCCTCTTCTTCTTTAAGTTGCTTTATTTTTCATATTTTTTTTATTTATAAGATTCCACTCTTTGAGTAAGTTTTAAAATATAATAACGTTAGTGAATATTCTAATATATAGATATAACTATTGTGAACTATAGAATAAGCGAATTTCCCATTTAATCAATTGATATAAAATGCATTTATACATTAATATATTTATATAGAATTGAAGTAATCGAAACAATACAAGATCACATAACATCTAAGTAGAATTTATACAAATCTTTTTTTTTTAAAAATTCTTATTTCATTCTCTATATCATATACATAAAATTAAATAAAAGATAAAACGTAAACATAAAAACTTATAATAAAAATACTTATTATTACTGCTTTTATAAGAAAGAGAACGAGAATCAACTAAAACATTAATTGGAAGACATTATATATAACCGTAGTTAGAAGAAATTCAAAGCTGACTAATTAACATAATCTCAATTGATTCTCAATTCTTTCTTATTATTTGTGAAAAATAAAAAAAATCAATAAATTAAAATAAAATATCAATAAAACATTAAGCATATTACTTTAGTTATATTTTCCTTTATCATCTCTATATCTTCGGTTTAATCCACTCTCTTTCTGCCAACTAAATGGTCAGCAATAGCTCTGGTATCTTGCCAGTGAATAACCTTTGGCATTCTTTTGGAAACAGCAGTTTCGAAGTCGTAAAGTTGTCTAATACCAGTGAAAACAATGTGAGAGCCCTTGATACCTAAGACAGCAGCAGTATTCTCCACTTGCTTATCTTCATTATTATAAAAGTCATTAGCAGCACGAGAGGTAGCCATAATATCTTGAGATTTTTCGATAAAATCGACAGCTCTAATGGCCAGTCTGGTAGCTCTAGTTCTATCAATTGGGGATGGTAAACCACCTTGTTGGACATGACCTGGGTAGGCTGGTTTACAGTCGAATTTACCGTTAGCTTCATCAGTGATGATATTGGCTAAATCTTCAGCTGCTAAAGCCTTGGAGGCGTTAGTAGTCTTTAAGATCAATTTACCAAAACCGTTTCTACCTTCAGATCTTTCAAAGGCTTCAGCTAAACTGTTGATATCTTGTTGTAATTGATCCAAAGAAATACCTTCTTCTGGAACATAGGAAGCTTGAGCACCAACACATAATGCAGCACAAGTAGCTAAGTAACCAGAGTTACCACCCTGGACATCAACAACGAAGGCTCTACCTCTAGTAGAGGAAGCAGATTGTTTAACAATATCACAATATTGCATTAAGGCATTTAAGGCAGTATCGGCACCTAAGGAGTATTCTGTACCTGGAACGTTGTTAGATAATGTAGCTGGGATCAATACCATTGGAATTCTGAAAGCTGGGTATGAGTCTCTAGCCTTTTGTAATTGGTTTAAGGATTCAAAAGCTTCGAAACCACCGACAATTACAAGACCATCGAATTGGTACTTTTGGAAGTAATAAGCAATCATGCCGATATCAGCTTCCTCTGGGGTAACTCTGTTAGTACCAATTTCAGAACCACCACGAGATTGCCAGCCAATCATATCTTTCCAGTTCAAAGATCTAATAGATTCATGTCTGGTTAAACCGGACCAACCGTTGTAGATGGCATATGGTTTGTGGCCTTGAGACATACAGTATGTGGCCATAGAATATACTGCAGAGTTAATACCACCAGCTGGAGCACCGACGTTAACAATAGCAATCTTTAACCTCTTTTCAGCTGGTAATCTTGCTTCAACATGGTCTGCTGTGTTAATAGCCATATAGTTATTCAAGTGTTCTACAAATTCAGTGTCACGTAAAGACATAGCCTTTTTGAAATCTTTAGCTTTAATTGCATCAGCAACAGATTTTGTTAATTTAACGGACTCCACTAATGGTTTTCTGGTAATCTTGTTTTCATTGATAGCAATTAATGGAGATGGAGTTTCTGGAGTGGATTCCAAAACAGCATTAACAGCTTCAACACCTTGTAAAGTAGCTAACATTCTATCATAGGCAACAGCAGTACCACCTCTTTGAACGTGACCTAAAGTGGTGATTCTTGTGTCTAAACCTAATCTATCAACAAGGACTTTGTGGACTTGTTTTGGAGTAATTGGGTTCAAATCAGCATCAATGGCACCTTCAGCAACAATAACGATGGTAGTTCTCTTACCCTTGGATCTGTGTTTGGATACAATTTCACACATTTGGTCTTCCCATTCACCGTTAGAAGCTGGCTTTTCTGGAATAAATATGTAATCAGCAGAAGTAGCGATACCAGCTAACAAAGCTAACCAACCACAGTTTCTACCCATAACTTCAACAACGAAAGCTCTAGAATGAGAGTTGGCAGTAGCTTCAACGTAATCGATGGCTTGACAGATACGGTCCAAAGCAGAGTAGGCACCGATGGTGGCATCAGTCGTAGACATATCGTTATCAATAGAACCAACAGTACCACAGATGTTCAAGTGTTGATAACGTGTGTATTGTTTTTGAGAGATTCTGTTGGTGTCTAATAATTCCTTGATTAAAGATGGCCATTCAGATCTGAACAAGTCAGCACCGGTTAAAGAACCATCACCACCACAGACAATTAAAGCATCAACACCAGCTTCGATTAAGTGTTGAGCACCAAGCAATCTACCTTCACGTTGTCTGAATTCTAAACAACGAGCAGTACCAATGTTGGTACCACCTTCGGTGGACCAACCACGGACATCTTCCCAGCCGACTTCTTTAATGTATTCTGGACCACCACGAACTAAACCTTCGTAACCTTCCATGACAACGAATGCACGACAGCCTTTGAATAAAGTAGAACGGACAATTGCACGGACGTTGGAGTTCATACCTGGGGCATCACCACCAGAGGTCATGACAGCAATAGCCTTCTTTTCACCATCAACGTTGGTAGAAGCGGAAGAGGATTGTTTTGGCAAAGATGGGTAAGCATCTGTTGTGTTCATACGGTATGACAAATCAGTTAAAGAATGAACACGGGTTGGTAAACCGGATGGAGATCTGGTAGTGGTAGTAGAAGAGCTTAAGATGCTGACACAGCTGTCGTTACCATTGTTGTTGATTGGCTTAGTGGAAACAGCATTTTTAGTAGAAGTAACACCAACGATGTTACCAACTGGATCAATAGTGTAGATTTCCATTGGAGATAGAGGAGAGGGGTAAACTTGAGATGGGAATTGTAAAGTTTGTAAAGCACTTTGTAAAGAGACGATGTCAATGGTGTTGAAAACTAAAGATTGAGAAACATGGCTCCTCCAGTCTTGGGTTTTAGAGATAGATTCCAAGAACTTAATCTTTTCATTAGCTTGTTTATCTTTTTTGGAGTCTTCTAATAAAACAATGTTCAAAGAGACTAGACCATTAGATAAAATAACAAAAGTATCATTCTTTGATGAACATTCCAATTCTAGAAACTTGGCATAGAATTCAACAGCCTTTTGGAAAGAATCTTTAGAATAAGCGTTAATGGTGACGGATGATGTCCCATTAACGATTGGTTCTGTAACAGACATCCTTAATGTGATATGAGGCTTTTAATAATAACAATTAAATAAAATCTCAAAAAAAAAAAAAAGAAAAAAAAAATAGATAGACAGATATTTATGTATCTTCTTTTCTTTCCAGATCTTAATTATTATTTTTTTTTTTTTTTGATTGATTGATTGATTAATTTATATCAAAAGAGAATTGGAAAGGGAAAGATAACTTCTACAAGTTTAAGTAATAAGAGTACGTAAAAAACGAATATAACAGCATGTAAAGAGTTTTGAAAAGGTAGATAAGAAAAGAGTAACCTGGAAGAAAGTTTATAAAACAGTAATTGCCCAAGAGGATTACACCAAAAAGTGTTGTATATAAAAGAAAAGATCGAGATAAACAGGCAATTGCACACTAGAAGAAAAAAAAAAACAGAAAAAAAAAGCGAGAAAGGTCAAAGGAAAACAACGTATTGAGAAAAAAAAAATCTAGAAAAGAAGTAGACGAAGGAAACCTCTCAATCGGAAAGGAAAGAAAATGAGAGGAAAGAAGAGTTGCTTGACGAGGTTAAAAAGTGGTTCTTTGAGAACGCAGTGATTGAAATCATCATGAAAATGTGTATATATAAATGGATGAGAGATGAAAAAAAAGTAAAGAAAGCTTTCAGTAAGTAGAGGAGGAGAAATGACAAGTGATAGCTTATGGTAAATAATGCACAAAAAAAGAAACACTGTTATGGTGACAATGTGTGATGGACGTTGGATCGCTATCGGTGACTAACTACCACAAACAAAAAAGTAAAAATAAAAGTTTTCAATCACTCACTTTGTAAGATCGAGAGGAATAAACAAAAGAACAAAAGAAAAGGAATGTATTTTTCTTTTCTTTTTTTTTTGTTTGTTGTTTGAGCGAAATTATTCTCGAAGATAAAGAGTATCACCCAAAGTGAAAATACTATTGTCAAGAATCATTTGTTTGAGGAAAGAAAAAGGAATAACACCTTTTGTAAATAAATACATAATAATCCGAAGTGAAGAAACCGGTTCGTAAAGATCTCAATACGTTCAACATGATATTCTTGGAAGAGAAAAAAAAAGAGTATATATTTAAAAAAGTAAAAAATGCTATCTGGATAATCGGAGCTTTGGGGTGTTTGGATGTTTAACAACATATTTGAGCTTCCTGTTTCTTCTCGATTTTTTTTCCCTCTTTTTCCTGATGCAGAAAAATTCTATAAATCACATATTCTGGTTACCCGCAAAGATTGATCGAATGAGGGTAACTACGGCAATTATTTTTCTTCTATTACGTCTTTTCAGTGAATCAAATGAAGCTGTAACGGAAAGAAGGAAGTAGTTTGTGGAATTGTAGTAAGATTGGAAGAAATGTTGTCTTTTTTTTCTAATTTTTGTTTTGTAATTTGATTTCTTGCCCTATAATCCTCATAAATATTAATCCCATCATATTTAGCTTCTTATACACAGATGTCTGCAATTTTTATTTTTTTTTTTATTTTTTATCTTTTATCTTTTCGTATGTAACCAGCCCTATCAAATTTTTCTTTTTTTTTTCTTATTGGAATCACTGATTAAAATATAGCTAATAATTTTGAAAAGGTGTGAAAACACAATGGGAATCCGCAGCTGTAAATAGCACTGTTTCTTCCACCCTAGTGTATATTTGCACTCTTTCTTGATGCAAAATAAAATGTCCCCTACATTTTGCTTTCAAGCCCTAGGATCTTTTAGGATTTTTTATTAGGGCAAAAAAATTGTATCTCCTTTTGTATTTATTTTTTTTATAGTTTCTTTTTTTTTTGGTTTTTGTCAAAAGATCGGAGAACTCAACTTAGGGTTTATATATATGATAGATTTTCTGTGTACAAGAATCTAGTGACATTTAACCCTTAGAAGACAATCACAAATAACCTTATTTCTTTTAGTTTACTTTTTTTATATAATATCGTTGAACATGCCTAGGTTTGAAAGATCAATTTTTACACAGCATTAAACAAGTAATATCGATATTCTTTTATTATTATTATTATTATTATTATTATTATTATTAAAAGATAAAACCTAGTATAGAGTTTCTACATATCGTTCGCTTTCATCCAATTTACGCAGATTTTTACATAAAACCTGGACTATGAGTAAATCACGCTAAGAGAGCTTGATAGTGTAACTCGACTTTAGGTAATTTTTTTATTTATTTTTTTTGCAATAAATCTATGAGAAATTCATTTGGAATATCTGCTTACAACTCTCATTTTTATGTATGCTGCTTGAAGGCTAGCAATATGGAACATTCAACAAGTCAACGAAAAGAAAAAAAACATTTTTTTAAGGACTTGTACATATTCATAAATGGATAGCTATCAGTCGATTTCTCATTATGCATCTTTGTGTACTTAGTATCGTTTATACAACAATGTATAGATTAAGACTTGTTTCGTTCAAAGGAAAAAGTTTTGGAATTCAGTTAAAAGAAAAGTTTAGACACATGTTCGTTTACTGTAGGGTTGTGATCGATTTTCATAAATTTTTCTTTAGGGATGTTTTTTTCTTACATGACATCTTTCTTTATTCATACGAAAAATGTTAAGGGGGGGGTTGCCGTCAACAGTGGTGTAATTTCCCAAACCGTAGGTGTTGAGCACAAAATATCAGCAGAGCAAAGTGCAGATGTTTTGCTTTTTGTTTTTCTTTTTTTTTTTTAGTGATTTCTCCCTTTTGTATGGAGGAAATCAATCCAAATTAAATGCGGGGGATGGGGAAGGGGGAAGAAAGAACTCATTAAGGGGTAATGCGATGAGGGAGGGGTGAAGAGAGATTGAGCTTGATAGGTGAGTGAGTGTGGTTAGATTATGGATAAAGACATCTCTTGCTTTACAGGATGTTATTCTATACGCCACTGCATGCAACTCTATCTATCGAAAACAATATTAGTAATGCATATAGAGATAAGCAGAAAAAGAGAGGAGCAAAGAAAAAATTAACGATTATATATATATACGGAAGGGGAAAGATTTCTGTTAAGACGCTAAATTACATAAATATGTATATATGTATACTCCGTGTTGCTGTTTCTATTTTATAGTCTTGGTTTGTTCATATTTTTGTTTAGTATTACTTGTAAGATATACTCTTCCTTCTTTCTCCTTTTTTTCTCTTTTTTTAGAGAGCTACTTGCTAATTAAATACACAACAACCACTACACATATATTAGATCTAATGAAATAATAAGACAGAATCTTGAAATTCCATCCTTTATAATTACTATTATTCTATTTCTTTTCTTTTTTGTATGTATTTAATATTCTTTTATATATTCATATTCATATACAATAAGCATCCAGATGAGCAATAATTCCAATCACGCTTTATATTCAAATTATCCCGTTGATGCACATATTACAATACATTATCAAAATATTGAGAACAATAATACAAGTATTAATGATACTACAGACGAAGATGATAAAAATAATGAATCAGAGCCTTCAATATCGTCTTTGACATCTTCACCTTCTACTCCAACAATGCATCCCATGTCTGTATCTCCATCTTTGCATATTATTGAAACAGTACTAAACATCTCGAATCAAAATACCAACAACAGTAATCATAATTATAATCATAATCATAACCATGATTATATTCCAAAAACAAAAATATATCCAAATTTAACAGATTTGGGACAATGTCGGAATATGGCAGACACGATACAGTTTAAATCTAATTTTACTGATGCTACTGCTGGTATTGATACCCATAACCTTATGGCCACACCGTTGGTTAGAAGATTTACTGAGCCAATATATATGGATAGAAATATGATTGATAGTCTTACAGAATCGGATATTAATAGTACTAATGATCAGAGTTATCATCCAGATATTCCATGTACAAGGCATCATCATAGGAGAAATACAATAGCTATAAAATTTAACAAACCATTATATAAGCAATGTTTGACAAATAAATAATAAAAATAAAAATAAGTAGAAATTCATAATATATGAATACGTATACATATATAGAGAGAAATATAATTATATACAATATTCTTAACCGTTTAATGATTTTAAAATCTTTTCTTTATCCTTTTCTGATAACATTTTGATTACTTCAACTAATGAGTCCATTGTAATATCATGATTTTGTCTCATTGAACGTGCTATTGTTTGTGCTATATGATCCATCTTTAATGACTTGATGTTTTCATCTAATTTATTATAATTGGCCTCGATCCAATTTGACACCTCACGATCATTTTCGACATTCACTTGTGGATCATACCATGATCTTAGTCTTGAAATCTTATCTAGGCGTGGTATCTTACTGTTATTTTCACCATAAATTTCATTCATCCTCTTAATTAGATATTCTTCGTTCAATTTACGTCTAATTCTCCAGAAGAAGTAACGACGTGCTTCCCTCCATTGTAATTCACTCTTAATAGTACCTTTGGCTTTCATTCTAGTAGATCTATCATGCAAATCCGCAAATTGGACACTGATTTGATTGTAGATTGGTAATAGTAGTTTTTCACGTTTACCTAATTCATAGGATATCTCTTGATGTTTAGTTTCATCTAATGTCTTGTCACTTAATTGTTCACGTAAACTCTTACATTTAGGATCAAGGCGTGCCATTGTGGCTAACAATTTTTCACGTCTATATTTAATACCAACCATACCTTCAGGTTCCAAGACACCTGCACGGGACTCGATATCTGCATACATTTCCATTTGATCAGAGTTAATAGTTGGATCAACAACAACCCAAGAACCACCTCTTAATTCCCCAGTAGGTGGGATATAAACTATGATTGGTTGTTTATAATCTACAAGGGCGTCAACAATAAAAGAACCATATTTCAATACTTCATTGTACATATCTCTTTGACCACCAGAGAAACCCCTCCAATTTGCTAAAATCATTAATGGTAATTCTTCACCATGGTTGAAATCATTAATTGCTTGGGCTGTCTTGAAAGCACTATTTGGATACCAAACTTGACCCGCTTCCTGAACCATAGTCTCTGTGGAATCCGGGTTTGCAGGATCTGCCGGAATGACGTTCTCAATTGTACGGGTATCTACAGCAATAACACCCATTGGAATACCACCAAGTCTAGCTCTACCTACTACAACACCTTTAGCCCAACCAGATAATGTTTCAAAGAAGGAATCTCTGTCAAACAAACCTGTTTCAAATTGGCCTGTTTCATCATTGAAACGACCCTCAATCATCCATCTTACATCATAAGGTTGTTTTCTTTCTGGAACATATTCAACATCACGATCCCAAGAATCTTCTGTTTCTAAGATTGGTACAGGCATGCCACGTTTAGCAGGTATGTATGATAACCATTGTAAGATCTTTTCAACACCTGCAAGATCATCTGAAGCAGTTAAATGAGAGACACCATTATTATACATGATTTGCGTACCACCTAATTGTAAGTTGGAAGTGTAGACCTCACGACCTAGAACTTTATTAATAGCGGGGGCACCGGTTAAAATAATTGGTTGACCTTCAATTTGAATAGCTCTTTGACCCAATCTTACCAAGTATGCACCAATACCAACAGATCTACAAGTAACCAGAGTAATGGTAAAAATGTCTTTGTAAGCCCTTGAAGTGGCACCAGCAATTAAACCTGAACCTCTTAGACATTCAACACCCAAACCATCATCAGCACCAATAATTGCAGTAATACGATGTCTGGTTTCACCAAATTCGACTATTCTTTCAGTGACAACAGAAGCTTCCTTTCCGTATTTCTTCAACATGTTTATTCCATCATCATCCAAGTATAAGTATTCAAAACCTTTTGTTGGATCATCGTCATCATTCCAAGCAACCTTGAATAATGGAATCAATTCTTCAGCAATACCAATTCTAGCACCAGAGTTAGCGGCTAGGTAAATACGAGGAATACCACGCTTTTGACAATACTGTGTCACTTTGGCGAAAAATTTGTCTTCAGCTGGACCAAATGAACCAATCTTAAATGTAATATCATTGGCTACAACTACAAATTGACGACCACGTGGATATTCTGGAGTTTTCATTGTAATCTTGAATGCTACCATACCAATAGAGTTGGCACCAGGTTCTCTTTCTACTTCAGTCAATTCACCGTTCTCATCTTCAATTAATTCATGGGAGACAAATAAATCATCCCTGTTGTATAAAGAATGCTTTTTATTCTTAGCATTAGCATCATTATGTTTTACAGGGGACTTTTCCCACATGGTTATAGCAGCTTGGTGGAACAATTCAGGGAAGTCATATACATATGTAGTACCCATTAAATGAGCTTTATAACGTTTTGGTTGTAACCATTCCTTGACAGCATATGGTGTAGCAATTGGTCTTAAATGCATGGAACCAGGTTTACCAAGAGATTTGAAGATCCACTCACCTTGGGCATTCTTCACTTCAGTATATAATTCAGACTTAACAACATAACCAGACACATTATTGATTAGAGCACGTAAGGGAACAGGAGCGCCAGTTTCTGGATCTTGGATGATAATACGAATTTCAGCAGATGAAACACGTAATCTTAACAGTCTTTTACCAAATCTTTCTAAAAATCCACCAAAAGCAGCCTCGACATCTTCAGGTGAGACATTAAAAATTGATGAAAAGTTAATGAAGATGTGATTCAAATCAGAGTTGGAGGTATCAATTAATTCTAGGTTATCTAAGATATCACTCATTAGTCTATTAGCTTCGGACGTCAAGTATTCTTGGATAGTGATGTCGTCACGAATGCGGCCTGTTCTAATTATACCTCTGGTGAAGAATCTCTTATCTAATGGAGATGTTTTACTGACACCTTCATAAACATGAATATTTCTGTTTTCTGTAAATATTGGTTTTATATTAAAGTTTGACATTCTTCCTAATTCCAACTGGAAGGCACATGCTGGTTCAATGTGACGAATAGTCTTGTTTTCTTCATAGTTAGGGCCAGTAAATGTGTAATATTTAGGGTAGGAACCATCCTTTACACTAAACATGAACGTAATACGACGGATACCAGATTTTACCAAATCTTGCTTATTAACATGTAAAATCTCATCCAATCTTTTCAAAATATCTTTTTCTGAATCAAAACCTTCAGTTGAAGCAACATATACATTAGCAACATTACTTAGAGTGGAAGAAACACCTGATCTGTCTGGAGCTGGACCACTTGGAAGAGTGTGTCCAGGTAGAACTTCTAAACTTTGTGACAAATTGCTATCTACATCATCTAAATGTTCAGCAGCTAGAAGGATACCAGTTCTTAATGGAGCTTTGTCACTGTCAGTAACGAATGAAAGATCGGAAACAGACATAGCCCTATTCATACCCATTTTATTTTTCATTTGTGGAATTGAGGAGAAAGCGGCCGATGGTAATTGGAATTTCCATTCAATTAATGGGTTGGATAGACTTGATCCAATTTTGTGTTCGTGGCACTTAACGTCACCAACAGAGTAGGCCCTGTAAGCACGTCTAACATATACTTGAGCTGCAGCTGCAGCAACTGCAGGGTCTGAATGGATCAAGAAATTCATTAACACATCAAAAACAACATAATTGGAATCGATTAAATCATTCAAAATTTGCATGTCTGGTTCAGAGCGTCTTGGATGAGAATCACCGTATGTTGTTTTGACTACAGATGATTTTAAGATATGTTCAACTTGTTCAGTTCTTTCTTTGACAGATGGTAAAGCACCTTGGATCAAAATTTCTCTAGCCTGTAAAGCAACTTTGGCAGTAGCTTTAGTTTGTAATTCTACTACGTGTTGTAATGGAGTAGAAAAGATAGCAGCCACCTCAGATAACATCTTACATAGAGGTTGATAGTGTCTTAAAATAGCGAGAATCAAATTATTCTTAGCAGAAACTTTGGCATGGGATAAAACAATCAAAACAACCTTTTCCAAATCGTCACTGTTTTCATCACGTAATCTTAAGATGACATTTTCTTCACGCACGTTTGGAGAGTTGAACAGCTTCTCAACATTGTAATATTCTTCTAAGAAGTTCACAAAAACAGAATGTTCGTGAGCTTCTAATCCATTCATATAACGGTTAGTGATATCTAGCAATGGAGCCACGGTAGTTGAAAGTAAGTCATCTGAACCTGGTTGTTTGATGGCATTGTCAAGCATCTTAGCTAACTGTCTAGCAGGGAATACAGCACCACGTTTACGTGAACGAGAAACCAATTGTTCTAATTGGTCATCTAATTCAACAGGTAATCTGGAGTGCAAAGCAGATATGTGTAATTTCCATTCAGAATATGGTAAATCAGGATTTCTTAAAACTTCAATCAATTGTTGTAAGGAAGCATTCATGATGACTTGATTGTCATAACCTTTTAATATATTTTCTAGAGTTGACATTAAATAATGGAATTTATGAGCTGGTTTGGTACCTTCTACTATTGGAGAGCCGAAGTCTGGTAACATACCTTCAAATGGTAGAGCATGTTTAACCTTTGATGGGTCATCTAATGTCAAGATGGCAATGATATCACCTGCAACAATTGTTGAGCCTGGCTGTTTCAATAATTGCACTACACCACTCTCTTGGGCAACCAATGGCATTTGCATTTTCATAACTTCTATCTCAGCATATGGTTGACCTGCACTGATGTGGTCACCATTTTCAACAAGGAATTTAACCAATTTACCTGGGGATGGGGTACGTAGTTGAGTAGGGTCATTTTCAACACTTAACAAAGTGGTCATAGAATCGACTGATAATCTAGTGGCTTGAGCCTCTTCCTTCCAGTAAATTGTATGTGATTTGCCACCTATTGACATTAACAAACCGCCATCAGACAATTGTCTAGCACTGACTTCACATTTAGAACCATTAATGAAAAGTGTATAACAATCGTCAGCTGACTTGGCAATTGTAAACTTGTATCTTTTACCTTCATGAATAAAATCTACAGGGAACATGGTTTGCAATTGAGACTTTGGTGGTACTTGACCTTTTTTTAAAGATTCTATATATTCCTTGCGGGCATTACTTGAAGCAATAAAGGCTTTAGTGGCAGCACCACATATAACTGCTAGAGTGGGATCAGGTTTCTTTGCAGTCATTTTATGGGAAATTAAATCATCCAACCATCCGGTTGTAATTGTATTTTCTTCAAAATCTTCTGTCTCTAATAGTTTAATTAAATACTCAACTGTGGTTCTAAAATCACCTCTAATGGATAACTCTTTTAATGCGACAACCATATGTTTTCTAGAAGCTTGTCTATTTTCACCAAATGCAAAGATATGTCCAAACTGTGAATCAGAAAATGAATGTATACCACCATTATTTCCTACAGAGAAATAACCCCAGACATTTGACGAGGAACGGAAATTCAATTCATGTAAGCTCCCACTAGATGGTTTGAATCCTTCATTTGGGTCTTCAGATGTAATACGACATGCAGTACAATGACCCTTTGGTACAGGCTTTCTTTGTGTTTTCAATGAATCTTTGGATTTAAATTCAAAATCAATCTCTGTAGCTTCATGTGGAGACATCCCATAGAAAACTCTAATATCACTAATTCTATGCATTGGGATACCCATAGCGATTTGTAATTGTGTAGCAGGTAAATTGACACCAGTAACCATTTCTGTTGTTGGATGTTCAACTTGTAATCTTGGATTTAGTTCCAAGAAATAGAATTTATCATCTTCGTGGGAATATAAATATTCTACAGTACCGGCAGATACATAGCCGACTAATTTACCTAATCTGACGGCAGCCTTCTCCATTTCTGTAAAAGTTTCTTGACTAGCTATAGTTACAGGAGCTTCTTCGATAATCTTTTGATGACGTCTCTGCACAGAACAATCACGACCAAACAAAGAGATATTATTGCCATACTGATCTGCCAATAATTGCACTTCTAAATGACGGGCTTTACCAGCCAATTTCATAACAAAGATTGGGGAACCTGGGATTTCGTTAGCTGCTTGATGATATAAGGAAACAAAATCTTCTTCACATTCGACTTGTCTGATACCTTTACCACCACCACCTTCGGAGGCTTTGATCATAACCGGAAATCCAATTTTCCTAGCCTTTGCGAGACCATCTTCTGGTGAATCACAACAACCTTTTTTGTATATTTCATCATTTACAGATACAAGGCCAGATTTTTTGTCAATTTGAACAGTGTCAATACCAGTACCCGACCATGGGATGCAGGGCACCTTAGCATGCTGTGCCACAATTGTAGACGAAATCTTATCACCCAAGGATCTCATTGCACTACCTGGAGGACCAATGAACAAAATACGTCTTTTTGAAGCAGCTAGTTTTTCTGGCAAAGTAGGATTCTCGGAAGCATGACCCCACCCAGCCCAAACAGCATCGACATCAGTTCTTTCAGCAATATCTACAATTAAATCTACATTAGCGTAATTATTGTTATTTGTACCCCCAGGGACCTCGATGTATTGATCAGCCATACGAATATATTCAGCGTTAGCATCAAGATCTTCAGGTGTTGCCATGGCAACAAATTGTATTATTCTTTCGTCACCAAATGTCTCATAGGCCCATTTTCTTACGGATCTAATTTCTTTTACTGCGGCAATACCATTATTAGCAATTAAAATTTTTGATATAACTGTGTGACCACCATGCGATTTAACAAAATTTTTTAAGGGAGATTCCTCGACTTTATCTATGGTATTAAGACCAATGAAATGTGGAGGTAAATTTCTATGTTTATCAGAGTAATCAGTGATTTCGTATTGTTTAGAGGGTGTCATGACACCATCATCTAATAAGTTATCTTGTGACATGTTTGTTGAATAAAATAGTCTATTTCTATCTCTATTTCTATTAAACTTTAAAAAATTATCAAAATTATCTATAATATTAAGATTTGTATTCCTATAATGATTATGATAAGTAGACAAAGTCAATAAATGCCTTCTTTGTTGTGGGTGAGAGCAATAGTAAAATTGTAATTTATAGTTATATTTATATTTATATTTAAATAGAAAAACAAATGGATTGTAATATTGAATAAAACGATTCTGTATTGAATACTTCCCCACTTTGTCAATTGATAATGAAATTTTGGAACAAATTCTTGAAGTTTATATTGTCGATTTACTTTAAAAGAAAAAAAATTAAAAAAAAATAAAAGGGAATAAAGACAAACAAAAACGAATAGTTATGTTTACGAAGGTGTTGAAGTATATATAAATAATATAATTGTCTTCACTGTTGCATAAATGGAGTTAATGAGTGTAAAATGAATTGTAAAGTCGGTTAAAGATAAAAAGAACAACAACGACAACGACAGAAAGAGAAAAGAGGGAATTAAAAAAAAAAAAAAAGCCAGAAGGACTAGATAGATAATTTAGATGTATAACAGACTGGAATGTGAATGTGAATTAATTGAGGATATTCTAGCGATATTGAAGATATACAATTACCAATAGCTCAATTTTAATGGTGTAGAAAGAAAGAAGGGAACACAAATAGCAAATAAGCAAAAAGGATATTGAACGGACCACAACAAACTTTGCAACAATTTGAGTATTATTTAGTTAATGTCTTCCTTTTTTGTTTTGTTCCTCTATAACTTCTAAAATGTTAGTGGTGAAAAAAACCAAAAAAAAAAAAACCAGAAAAGGAAAAATAGAGGAAAATGTACAAGACAAAGAATCAGAAGTGGGAATAAAAAAAATTTACAAAGAGCTAAGTAAAATTGGAAAAAATGGTAGCCATCTGAAAAAAAAAATTTAAGGACAAATATTTGCAGATTAGAGAAAGCACGCATGTTTAACACCGAGACTCAAAAGATCGGGTATAAGACGATTTTTTGTGTTTTTCTCACGATCATCATTATTTGGAGTAAGGGTTTGTGCAAGATTCCTTAGAACCATCCAATTTACACAGATTTTTATATAAAACCTAGACTATGAGTAAATCACGCTAAAAGAGCTCGATAATATAACTCGACTCTAGGTGATTTTCTTATTTATTCTTTTTGCAATGAATCTATGAGAAATTCATTTGGAATATCTGCTTACAACTCTCATTTTTATATATGTTGCTTGAAGTCTAGCAATATTGAATATTGAACAAGCCAACGAAAATAAAAGAAAATATTTTTTTAGGGATTTGTATATTCAAATTATTGTTATTAGGGTCCAAGTAGAAAAAAGTCATATATACGTTTTTCTGTAGTAGGGCTGCAATAGATTTTTAGAAAACATTTCATCTGAAAAACATTAATGGAACGCTACTAAGTTGTAGAACTAAGTCTAAGTCACAGGAAGAATGTCTAAAAGTCGAACTGAAAAGTAGGTCAAAAAGGGTATATAAAAGAATAAAGCAAAGGAATTATGCACTTTTCTCTTTCTCTATCTATAAGTTGCAACTACATCCAACACAACTGAAGTAAATTATAGGAACCGATGCTTAGTAGTGGAACATGACGATGTGTATAAGGGAAGTAACAGTCTAGCTCTTTCCTTTACTATGTTCTTTTATTTCTGTGGTTATCTGGCTGTCTGTTTGTCTGTCTGTAAACTGTATTACTGGAATTTACCTACTGTGCAAGCTAAGAAGTCTTTGTTCAATAACAATGATATACCACAACGATGTAATGATGTGATGATGAGACGAAAACAATAATAAATTCAAGTAACTTTTGTTTTTTGTTTGGCCTTTTGTTTTTTCTTTTGTTCATGGTCTTATATTATTTTTTTATTTTATCACATGGATGAAATTAAAAAAAAAAAAAAAAAGGAGGATAGGCAGATTTTATAAATTTTCACATGCTCGAGCCGGACAGCAAAAAAACGAAATAAAAATAAAAAAAAAAGTTAATTTTTGTCACTATTTTTTTTGTTCCACCTTTCTTTGCCTATTTGCTTCTCTTTTTTTTTTTTTTTCGAAATAAATCAACAGTGTTGAAATACGATTAGAGCTATTTTTGATAATCTAAATTCACCGTACCAAGTGATTAAAAATTATGAAAATTTATATTAAAGAAGATTCGAAGATAAAATGAGTATACTGTATAATATCGTATCTTGTATATTAGTTATGTAGAAAGAAAAAGACCAAGCAATACAATAACAATTTATAGTACCACTAATTTCCTACTATAAATAACAATAAAACTCATAATACCACCAATATCCTATTGTAAGTTACATTATCTTATTATATTAATCTAAAATGAATTCTACTAGAATTTTTGATTCTGAAGCCTTGCGTCAACAAACAGGATGAATGATTACGTAGGTAAAAACTTTATGGTGAGTCTGTGGGTGTTACTCATTATACTTGTGTTTTAAATCTTTAAGTCTAAATATAATTAGTATAATGTTTATAAGAAAAAGTTATCTTTGTCGTTAATGATAACAGACTTTTTTAACTCACTAGTATTGGATGGTCGTTGTATTTATCTGATGATTCTACACTTTATTTGTATATTTATTTATTAAGATGTTCCTTGCTTTCTTGAAGAAAATTTATATGATAATGGAGCAATAGAAGATCTTGCATCTAAAGATAAAACAGGACCGGTTTGGCCGAATTCTTGTTTATTATATATAAAAGTTTCAGTAGGTGATTCTAACTGCTGTATTTATGTTCAAAGGGCAAGCTGCATTGGATCTAAAACAAAGTGTCTGTATTGAAATTTCAATATTGAGTTGGGAATGTTACTTTAATGTGTATATTTCGTTATACGTACTTCTAATGTATTTGCATTATTCTGTTCACTTATTCTTATTATTCTTATCATTAAAAATGCATACCACTGTAAGAATCAGTATATTATATTGAAGCATATCTATTAGGATTTGGATAAATTTTTGTTGGTTTTTCTTTAATATTTCTAAAATATTCTATTTTGCCAAGTATCATATTTTAATATAGGATTAACTAGTAGAAAATAATAAAATAATGATATTAATAGTTATAACGTAGCAATATTAATAGAGTTTTTTTTTGTTTTGTTGTTATTTTATATTTTTAAATGACATTTCGTTTTTTTCTTAGGCTTGCTATGTAACGCCTTTCAATTAATTAAATATCTTCTGGTTGAAAGAAAATAAGATGATAAATAAACAAAACAAAAAATAACCAAAAGAATTAGACAAATCAGTGTACATTATTGAAGTTTCTGTTTTTATCCTTTAGAATCACATTTTTGCAAGACTTGCAAACAATTATAAGATATAATATCATATAAATATTATTTTATATACTTTTTCTTTTCTTTTCTTTTCCACTACGGAATCAAAAAAAAATTATTTTCCTCACTATTAGGTAAACATAAATCATTATCTAAATAAACGATTCTGGTTTTACCATCCTTATCCTTGACTTTAATGGCCTCTTTCTTCTTATTTTTCTTTCCTGCTTCATATTCATTCAATTCTTTTATCAATATATCTTCATCAATGTTTGAAAATGTTAAATCTTCAAATACATCATCTTCCTTTTCAATTCCATTATGAATTACATTGTTAGGTGTATTAGGTTTAAACATTAACGATCTCCAATTAAACACATCCTTTATCGATCTTTTTATCAATTCCTCTTTTACTTTATCTTCCGGTATACCTTCTTCTAATAATAATGCTACTATTCCGCACACACTCGGTGATGCCATTGAAGTTCCTGAATATGCTACATATCTTGAAATATTTATGTCCTGTGGATCCATTTCCTTGGTTCCATTTTTAATAACTCTATTAATAGTTAGACCTGTCTTACTAACTAATGAAGCTATAGATACACCAGGTGCAAATATATCAACACATGGTCCCCAATTACTAAATTTGGCAATCGTATCAAATCGATCATCAAATGCACCCACTGTAATAGCACTCTCTGATGAAGCAGGGCTTACCCAACATGCATTCATATTATAGTTTCCTGCTGCCACCACTATAATCAATCCCTTTTTTGTTGCCTCCTCAATAGCTTTATTCATTATATGAGTCTTTAATGATCCAAGACTTAAATTGGCTACACACTTCTTTTCTTTATGTTCATTACAATCGTTGACTGCCCATTCTAATGCTGTTATCACAGATATTAAACTACCTTGACCTTTTCCATTTAAACATTTAACATCAACCAAAGTAATATTCTTGGCTACACCAAACGTGTGAGACCCTACTATTCCTGCTACATGAGTGCCATGACCATTAAAATCTCCTGGGCCCTCTCCTGTACAATCAAACCCCAATTCTATTCTGTTATCAAATTCCGAGTTTGTAGTATCTATTCCTGTATCTAATATATATCCACGCACATTGCTACCTTGATTCCCCAAATAATAATAATAATTAAACATAGTCTTATATTTTGTAACATTATCAAAATCAAAAGGTAACTGTGTCCTACTAGAAATTCTGGCTAAATGACGTGGTGCACCTTGTTGCATCACCATCATTCCAAACGAAGATGAACCTTGTTCATGATCATCTAAATCTTCTAAGTTCTTCTCATCTTGATCTATTGGAAAGAGTGCATTGATCTTAAGATTCGGAATAACTTCCGAAATATGTGGATTTTTTCGAATTCTTCTCACTAATTCTTTAGTTAAATTAGAATGGAAACCGTATAATGATCCAATCCGAAATGTTTTTTTAATCCTTTGAGAAAAATATTCATGTAGTTGATTGCCTTCTTTAATTAATGAATTCAAAAATTGTGGGACTGTATCCTTTTCTTTAAATGTTATTAGATACTCAGTAGCGTATATAGGGGAAAGGATGATAAAAAATAAGAAAATTATTTTGATATTATTCATTGAATTCTTATTCTTTTTTTTTTTTATTTGATTCATTCTGCTCTAAAAATGAAAACTAGAAGCAACTTACTAATATATGTTTTACATATATATATAACGGTATTCCCACATATATATTGTTTTTCCAAACCTCTTAAAAAACAAATAAATAATTTAATTATTTTCCGACACTTGTAATTTCCCTCCTTTGCTTATATTCTTTTTTGGTTACTTTTGTGACATTTTATTTGATTAATAGAAAAAACAGCGTTCTTCTTCTTTGTTACACAAAAAAATTGGTTTGTATACGATATAATTATATATCATTTTCGAGTCCATATATAAAAAGATACATACATACCTATACATATATATATAATTATAACTAAATAAAAATAAGCAAGACACGAAACCAGTCTCGAAATAAAATAAAATAAAAACATAGTAATATATGTTTTTCATGAATATTTAAGGTCATCTACTACACATGTTTATATATATGTATATATATAGTTATAAATATTTACAGTTTTATCCATGCAATAAATATTAAGGAAAAGAAAATAAAACAAGAAAACAAAAATCAGAATAATATTATTAACAATGAATCACCTTCTTTTCCTTAATTTAGCTTCTAAGTTACTGACGTCCAATCTAGTATCTCTAATATAATAATGTTTATTTCTTCTTCTCTTGCCATCATTCTTCTTCAAGATATCGATTCTTTCTACTAATGGAGAAAAGATAGGAACACGTATTTCAACCATAGTCTTTGCAATTTGATTTCTTAAAAGTATGGAAGCATCTTGGACCAGATGTTTTCTATCTATAGACAAAACGTACCCAATAAATGGATCATAAGAACACTTGGATTGATTATAAATAACACGGACCACATCACCACTTTCAATGGCCTGTGGAGTGTGTTTTTTAATCAAGGCTCTTCGCCAACCTTGTGGATCCAACTGAGCATCTAATTCCTCTTTACTAATCTTTTGTAGTAATATGCCTGGTTTGACTGATTTGTTCTCTATTGGTGGATAAATTGGGATAACATTTCTTGATTTACTAGGGATCTGATAGAATCTTTTATACATTAAAGAAATTCCAGAAACTCTTGGTAGTAACTTGTTAGACATCATTATATTTACCTTTCCTTTATCTTATCTTGTGTCTTATTATATGTATATATATATATATCTGTTTGTATGAATACAAAAAAATTCTTTTTTTTTTTGAAGGTGATATTGAAAGAAACACTATGAGAGGTATATGGTCATTCAACGATACATCATCTTATTATAATAAGGGATCAAAAAAGCATTCCACAAGCATATTTTCACGATATCTTCTGTATATATCTATCAAATATAAGAAAAAAAGCTCTTCACTTTTCATTTTTCAATTTTTCTTGTTCTTTCTTCTCCCAATATTACTCGTCAAAAAAAGAAAAAACACAAAAAACCAAAACCTGGGACAAAAAAAACTATGAAAAAATGTGTGCAAGCCCTGACATTGGAAAAGTATAAAACGTAAAGCAAGAACACAAACCCTTATCTAAGTTTAACAGGCAGATAGGCCTCACACAAGTAAATGTGGGGGGAAAAGGAAAAAGGAAAGGAAAAAGGAAAGGAAAAAGAAAAGAAAACAGAAAAAGAAAAAGGGTTTCCACACAACTTCAAATGCACCAAGGAAAATTCAGTTTCAGCACCATATAAATTTCATGCGCTCAATCCGCACACCACATACAAAAAAGTCTCAGTTGTCTTTGTTCTGTTCCTCCCCCCTTTTTTTCGCTCTCTCTGATAAACATCCACACACCGCGCCTAATTATTTTTTGATTGACTCCCTCGGACATTTTGCTATTGTCTTGGTATATGAGGGATGTTTTAATCATACGGTTTTTTTTTGTTATTATTTTTCACCTAATTACTGTCAAATACTTAATATATATATATATATATATATGAGAAGGCAACTCAAAAGAAAATAATATCAGTATATCACAAAAATCAATATATCACCTTAATATGTTCAACATTTTATTAATTTAAATATCCATAGATATAGATAGAGAAAAGCAAAAAAAAAAGGGAAAGAAAATGTTTTTTACCGGAATTCCAGAATCTATGGAAGCTGTCATCATTAAAGACAATAAGCCAGTAATAGACAAAAGTGTAAGAGTGCCCCTCTTGGATGATGGTTTTATCCTAATTAAAGTCCTTTCAGTAGCTGCAAATCCAATGGAATGGAAACATATTGAATATCATATGGGTCCTGATGGTTCTGTCCTGGGATCTGATGTTGCTGGTATAGTCGTTGCCATTGGATCGGGTATCCCATCAGATGAATTTAAAATAGGCGACTGTGTGTGTTCGTTTGTTCATGGGTCTTCTGTCCGTATGCCAGGGAACGGTGCATTTGCAGAATACTGTGCAATTGACGCAAATATCGCATTCAAACTGCCTCAAGATTTTTTAACCAAAAATGTACCTTCCTTCCCATCAAATGAGAAATATATTCGTATCCCTGAGGGCCCTGTAAACTCAATTGAATCGGCAGCTACTATGCCAGTGGCATTAATTACCGCAGGCGCAATTCTGATCCATGAGTTACGATTAAAATTAATCTGGGAACCAAAACAGCCACAAATCGACTCGCCCATACTGATTTGGGGTGGTGCAACAAGTGTAGGACAAATCTTAATTCAAATGATTAAAAAATTAAATGCATTTTCCAAGATCATCGTGGTTGCATCGAAGAAACACAATCAAACCCTATCTAAATTTGGTGCCGATTCTATATACGACTATCACGATGCCGACATCTTGACAAAGATTAGATCTAACCACAAAGATATTAGGTATATAATTGATGTTGTGTCAAATGAAGATACAATTAACCAGGTGTACAAGTGTGCACCGGCGGATTCTCCAACTACTATTATCCAGTTAGAATATCTAAACATCGAACAGATAGACCCACAGGTGAGGAGAGATGACGTCAAAATTATTGGAACTTTGATATATTTAATTTCCGGATACGATGTAAGATTAGGTGAATACTATTTCCCTGCAAATCCTCAATTTAGAAAAGATTTAATTAGATATATAAAATTTATCAACCCCAAATTGATAGATGGTCAGATCCATCATATCCCGATGAAATTATATAATCATGGTTTGAATGATATACCATTATTTACAAATATGATTAAAAATGGAGAAACTTATGGTTACAAACTGGTCACATCTTTACAAAATGACCCAGATGATAAAAAAGAGATGAGTGCAGACTAATAGAGGACTTAAGTAGGGATACCATTTATATATTACTTATGTATTCAGTTGTTTATATATATAGTTGTTCATTTATTTCATATTCCTTCTCTTGTTTCTCACTTTGTTTTAATTATCCATCATATACAATATGCAACTGTTGTATGACACTTCTAAGCATAATATTTCAGGTACCTATACAATAATACCTTTCAAAATCTAGACCAATAATGCAATATCAGACAAATGAAAAAAATGTAAGATATACAAATCGAATGATTTTTTTTCCCTTTTATATTTAATATAACTTTGACATTCAATTTGATCCAACTTAAAATCTTGGCCTTCTTTTTCTACCTGTAAATTTAGAATCATGAGCCACTTTTCTCCCACGTCTTTTCATCAATTCCTTTTTCCTTAAAATATAATTCTTCTTTGATTCTATTTCTTTGCCCTTTCTTAATTTTTTACGCTGTAGATTCTTACTATCTTCCTGTGCATCCATTGTGACACCATGTAAATTGACTTGTTCCTCTGAAGCTCTTGGTGCACCAGATGTTAAAACAAGGTAATATTTCTTGTTCTTTTTAGATTCCGGATCATCAATAACTAAACCACCGCTAAACCCAGAAACTTTAGCAGCTTGCAGAATTTGATCCACTTGTTCATCGTTCTTTGGATAAAATTGTGCCACAAATTTACCACCTTTCTTCAACGCAGCAAATAAAGAATTGAAAAACCGTAACAGTCTTCTCTTTGGATCATTATATGAAGTATCTGCGTTACAAAGCCATTGAATAGCACTAATACTAATTGCTGCATCAAATGTACCTGCACGGAACGGTATCCCTACACCCATGTCTTGTAACATTAAGTCACCCTCTAATTCCCTTGTTATACCAGTAGCCAACATACTTGGTGAAATATCCATACCACACCAGATATGGCCTTCTTCGGTTAATATTTCCCCAGATAAACCGGACCCACAACCAATATCTAAAACAAAACTATTCTCTGGAATATTTAATAGTTCTAATGCACGAAGAGTCATTTTGGCTTGAATATGTTGCACTCTTGTGGACGATGTATATTTTTGAGACTCTTTATCATTATAAAAGATTTCTGGTGGAGCTAATTCTTCGGGACGGGACATTTTTTTTTAGTATTTGATTGTGTATTTTATGTTATGAAAGTGTATATAAGAGCAGAAGGAACAAGAAAAAAAAGTCAGCATCACTCTCCGTCTATTCAAAAATGGCCCTTATTCTATAATTTATTGATAATAATATTGCTTGTAAATAACTCGATGAGCTTCTAAAACAATTTCCGATGATCTAGCTGCAAAAATTTCTAAATCTTTTTCATTCTTTCATTTCATAATCAGTCAAATGGGAAAAAAATTTTTTTTGTTTTCCCTCTAATATCTTTTTTATTCACCTTTAACAGTGTAATTATTTTTTTTATTTTGACCTATGGGGAGGAGGGGAAATCAAAGAAAACCTTGGAATGTTATTAACAAACCCTAATTGACTTAATTGAAAAAGTGAAAAATCACCTATGGATCCTTATCAACAACCCTAAGTTAAGATTTCTTTTTATTTTTTGCGAGATTATCGTTTAATTCTATTATTATCAACCGTCACAGAATAGTACTATCACGTGTTCTTTTTTCTTTTCTTTTCTTTTTTTTTTTTTGATTTTTTCCATTCTTTGAGGGAATTTATTATGTATATATGCAAAATTATATTGACTAATAGCTTGCTCGAGAGAAGGATAAGATGTGTGTTATGTGTGTTATGTGTATATAAGTGAGTACCTGTGTGTGTCATCTCCTTTAACTTGAACTGTAGTAAATGTCCAGGAAATATCACACCCATAGAGTGATTAGTTCAGCAAAGAGAATTAAAAAACAAAAAAAAAATACCATAGAATGTTTTTAAGTTTTCTCAAGTCGAACAAAAATGACAGTTGAAGAAAACAATTTATTGCAAGATGAACAATTTCTCAAAATACAAAAATTGAATTCTATAGACGGTACTGGAAGACGCAGATCACTAGTCTATGACAAACCTGTCCCTGGATTAGATATTAATCATGACAGATCAAGTGAATTGGTAAAAGATCCTCTTGGAGTTGACTCTTTAGCTAATGACGGAAATAGTGCCATTAAACCAGTTGTCACATCAATCGATGATGTGGAGGGTAGAGATTCTATCTTAAAAAATTATTTAGCTAGACTACATCAAATGGAGAAAAGAAGATACCGTAAAGGGCAAGAGTCTGTTATTTCTTTCTTCTCTGATGTGGACTTTGATACAAGACCATCAATGTTGGATGCTACCATAGCTGAACCAATAATCACGTCCTTTGATGGCCCTGTCTTAGAAAAGCAAATCAAAGCAGTTGAAAAGTCAAAGAGATTTAGCAAGCAGTCATTGTCATCAACAAGTTTAAATGATTCTACAACTAGCCCTACTCCTACTCTTACTAATGATGACGAAAAGAGCCTTGATAAAAAATCAGTTGACTCGGACTCAAATTCATCCAATAGACATGAGAAGAACCGTGTAGTTATGATTACATATGAATCGGACTTTACAGGAATGTATATTATGATGTGGATGCTTTTTGGATGGATTGCAATCAGAGGTCTTGTTGATTATTCCGTCTCGCATAATGGTGACTTATTGAATATGCCAATACTCAAAGCCATGACTGAAAGATGGGGACAGATTTTCTTATTTGACGTGATTATGTGGTTAACCAGTTTTGTTACCGTTTTTATCCAATATTTAGTCAAATGGAAAGTTATTGAGTGGGATGTTACCGGAAGATATCTTTCAGTTTTTCTTGAGTTAGCTCATGCTACATTCTTCAATTACATATCCTCAATGTACTTAAATTTCAATTGGATCACAAGAGTCTTCATTTTTTTACATTCAATGGTAATTTTAATGAAATTCCATTCATTTGCCTTTTTTAATGGTTATCTATGGAACATCAAGAAAGAATTAGATTATTCTAAGGCTGCACTTGCTAAATATAAGGATGTTGCATCACAGGATATCATTGAGACTTTAAAAAGATCACAAGAATTCTGTGAATTTGAACTATCATCCCAAAATTCAACAATTAAGTTCCCAGATAACATTTCGTTTAAAAGTTACTTCATGTTTACACTTTTCCCTACATTGATATATCAATTTGAATATCCAAGGACGGAAAGAATCAGATGGTGGTACGTCGTGGAAAAACTTTGTGCAATTTTTGGTATAATCTTCTTAATGATCATGAATGCGCAATTGTTTGTATACCCTGCCTGTGATAACGTTAGAAAATTACGTGGGCAATCTTCGTTAGATTTGAAAACACGTACGAAGGAATGGTTCTATCTGTTGGCAGAAATTATTCCACCAATCACTATTGAATATTTATTAGTTTTTTATTTAATTTGGGATGCAATCTTAAATTGTGTGGCTGAATTAACAAGGTTTGCCGACAGGTATTTTTATGGGGACTGGTGGAATTGCGTTGTTTGGTCTGAATTTGCACGTATTTGGAATGTTCCTGTACATAAATTTTTATTGAGACATATATACCATAGTTCTATGAATCACTGGAAATTAAGCACTGTTCAGGCCACAATGTTCACATTTTTTTTAAGTGCAATCTTACATGAACTGTGTATGATAATTATTTATAGAAAAGTTAGACCATACCTATTCTTATTTCAATTATCACAATTGCCAATGACTTTCATAACAGTGCATACGAGATTGAAGGAGTGGCCCACTCTTTGCAACATACTATTTATATTTGGTGTTTGTACTGGACCCTCTGTGATTACGTGCCTATATATGATCTATTAATTTGAAATAATAGATTGTTATTGCTGATACATAAATTCATGCATAATTATTACGGACTGCGTATTGCTAAATTTCGTTTTATTTAAATTTAGTATTATGTCTTTAATCTTTTTTCCCTACTTATGATTTTGTGTATTGAATAAACATTATGATCTATATATATAGATATATAGATATATAGATATATAGATACCTTCAAATACATGATATACTATGATAATTTTTGATTTGAAAGGCTGTTCAGTTCTTTTGCACATAATAAACCAGTATAAGGAGGAAACATGAGAAAAAAAAAAAAGAAAAAAGAAAAAAAATGCTGAAAAATTTCAGCTCATCGAAAGGAGAAACTGACTAAAACAAAAGAAGAATCAGAAGAAGTTTTGATCCAGCCTCCAGTGCTTCATAAATACAAATATATTCTATTTTCCTTTTATTGGATACAGGTATGTGTTTTAAAATAAGATCAAAAAAAATAATAAATAGCACATTAACAGATATTATATACATTGCTATTACCTGCAGACACATACATACACAAATATACATAATTTGAAGAGAAATGAACATTTGGATAGCTGCAAGTGATGGTAGGACAGATCTAGTTGAAAAATTTCTAACAGCTGGTACTGGATTAACAGCAAACTCGAAGGACCCAAACGGCTACACACCAATACATGCAGCAGCAGCATATGGTCACGTTGATCTATTAAGGAAGCTATGTAAAGAATACCATGGTGATATTAATATTAAGGACTCCGATGGTGATACTCCCCTACATCACTGTGAAGATATGAACACAGCACAAGTGATTATTGAGGAACTGAATGGTGATCATAAAATAGTAAATAATGAGGGGAAAACTGCATTACAGGTATTTGAAGAAGATGGAGAGTTTCCAGAATTGATTGATTATATGCGAGTCAAATGTGGTATACCTGTACAATTAGATAGTTTCGGTATAAGAAAGGAGGATTTACAACAATTCAAAGAAAATCTTCGTTTTACCTTGGAGAATGATCCAGTAGACGAATCCAACCCGGAATCCATAGAAAGAAGAAAAAGATTAGAAGAGATTCTTCAGTCTGAGAACTGTGAACAAGAATTGGAGAATTACGTCAGAGATATGATCAGAGAATCACGTATCTTAGATCAAGATGGAAACGAGTTCCAAGAGTCAGACCAACCATCAAACAAGCGTAGAAAATAAATAGATCATAACCATGCGTACGTACAAACTTAGATTCACATAGATTATATCATCATCATCAAATTATATATATATCCATTCACAGATCCATATATGTATAATAGAATAGTTCAAAATACAATCAAATCATCAATATAGCAGTATTCAACTGCCAACAATACTTGCTACTCGAAGCTCCAAAGGAGGGTAACCTCTTCATTCAGATGGAAAAGAAAAAAAAACTGTTTTTATTTATTCGTTTTCTTTGTTTTCTTTGTTTTTTTTTTTTTTTTTATTTTTCTTTTTTTGGCCGAACAAAAACGATTGAAGGAAAGTTTCAACCTGCTAGATGTTAATTATTGCATACTACTAACTTGACGTTTGAAATCACTTAATTGTGTTATGCTATGAGTTATATTTCATAGTTAACATCTAATATCCTCATTTTCACTTTATACTCTTACATCAATTCTTATTTTGTTTAGACTGTGTCAAAAAATAAAAAAAAGAAAGAAAGAAATTGACAAACCTAAACAAGAAAAGTAGGATATCACAATTTGGTATAATATATATGTATATACATAGCCTACAATGTTTGAAGTTATATTAACTCCGTTGACGAGGTTCGTCGAATATGTTAATGGTCTAAATGAAGTATATAATCAATTGACCTTTGAAGAACAAAAGGCAATGACAATCTTTGAAAGAATACAATACTACAATTGGACTTTTGAGATGTATTGTATCTTGCTCATGCTATTTTTTTACATCACATATAGAATTGGTGTGTCTATCAATGTCTCCAAAGCTGACAAATTGTTTGCTTCTTTACACACGTACCTAAGAAATGAATTGAAATTTGCTCGTGTTGGATTAACAAGTATGAAAGGTGGAAATGTCAATAGATTATACATAGACCAACATTTGCATACTTGGCTAACCTCATTTGCTACTGGTCGTTCATCAATTGACTCAATCAATATCAAAGCACATTTAAAGCCACGTCATAACATCATCAACTTGATTATTGAGTATATTCTAGGTTATTTCTTCTTAACGTACCAATCTCCTGATCTAGTCGAGTATTTGGAGATTGAAATCAAACCAAATGGTGTCTATGTCAACAATGAGACCTGTAACATCAATTCAAATTCTAAAGAAATCTTACAAAACTTCAAGTTTGTCACATCTATTGTGAACAAATCAATCATGGATAAGATCCGTCTAGACAGATACTTCTTGTCGTTGACTCATGTGACAGACAGTGACTCCATTCCTAAAGAATATGTTTATATGTCTGAGATCAACCAGATCAACGACTTTATCAAATCTTACACAAAAGGATCTTTTAATGAAGAAGTGTTGGCTAAGGCAAAGGATTTTTTGCAATTTATCAGTTTTACAGATCTACCTGATTTCAGACCCAAGAATAAGGAAGAATGGATTCAATCTCTACAATCACGTTGTGTTATTCGTACTGACATACCAAGGAACAAAGCTGAATTGAACACGTTAAATAAGTTGGTTGGTTCAATGGTTGAAGTGTATGATAATTATACCCGTGATCTAGTCCAGAAGTCGGATAAAACCGTGATTACCGCAGATATTTTAAAGAAAATCAATATGTTGCGTCAAAATGAGATTAATAGAATCGACAAGATCGCTAAACAAATTGAATTAGAGAATGCAATGGAGGAAAAGAAAGAATTAATGAAGGAAAAAAGACGTGAGATGAAAAAGACTGGCGAATTACAAAACAACGAACAAAAAATGAGAGAAAAGAGAGAAAGACGTTTGAGAAACAGACAGAGACAGAGAATAACTCAATGAAAAGTTAACATGATCTTTTTTTTTGTGACTCCTTTAAAAAAATTGGACACACAACATATTTATGTATAGTATGAATCAGAAAAAGGGAATGTAAGTACTGAGTAAATGATTTATGTAATAAATTTTAACATACATAAACATACACATACACATACACATATATATACATGTATGTATGTATGTAAATGTTTAAGTACAGAGAATGAATAGAACCTCCAATATCTCTCTTTCTATATGTTTATATAAGTTTGGTATCTTTTATAAATACAATTTTGTATGGCCTTGACATAAATTTTGGTGCTGAGCCCTCCAACGCTGGGAAGAAAGAAAAAAAAAACGAAAAAAAGAAAAAAAAGAAAACAAGAAAATTTTTGTGGACGCTCACAAAGAACAAGCCAAAGGAAATGTTGAAGAAGTTGAAGAACAGCAGAAGATTGCACTAGGAAAGGTAAAGATTTAGGACCATTATTACACACACACAAGTATATGTATAGTTACTAGAATCCAAATATATTTTTGTTGTGGTTGTTCAACACTTTGAATACATACATACATACATATATATATATAAAGAGAGAGGATAAGAATAAAAATGTCTACTACAAATAACGTAAATACAAAAATTTCAAATTCTGAGTCAACTATAAGGCACATGGAGACAAAACAGAACCAAACTCAAATTCCAATCCGCAGTCAACAACAAACAAATCCAACTTCCACTTTGCAGCCAAGTGACACTTATATTCCAGATTATTTAAGCAATTTAGTACCAGAACTAAACTCTTATGAAGATTTGATTGATATTGAAAAAAAATTGGATACATATTTATCCAGAAAACAAATAGATATTAATCAAATTGTGGAACAATGGAACAGCTCAAGGAATGCTAATGGTATATTTTCTCAGTATAATAAAGATGATATCCAATATTTACGTATCTTTATTTCTAACACCGCAGAGAATCAAGTCTGGCAACTGGAGCAACAACAACATACTAATGAAGAAAATAATGAAATATCTAAACAAGATGTTGAATCAATAACAAATGGAAATTCAGATCCTTATTGGATAATGAGAATTGAAGGTAGATTAATTGACGATTTACCTGCTGATGATCCAGAGAGATCCAAATTTAGTTCTTTCATTAAAGATATTGCTGTAGACTTTAAAAGACTGCCAAAGAATCAACATAATAATAATAGCGCTACTGCAACTACTTCTACTAATAATAACGAAACTTCAAATAATCAAAATCCTGCGGTATTTAATAATCATAACAACAACAACAATAATAATAACGATAATTTTGAATCTACTAATTTGAATTTGACATTACCTCAAAATACAGCTGGAAGTGATAATGCTAGTACTATCACTGTCAACAACAACCTTAGTAATGATACTGATAATAAAATTGTGGATGTAGTTGAATGGCACGCAGATGATGAAAATCAAGTAGAATTTGATGGTTTAGATATTAAAAGGTATGGCTCAGAAAACTTACAATGCACCGTCACTATTCAACCAAAAGGGTGCACAGGAAACTACCTAGAATACTCTCCTGAATTGTCAATGATCATTGGAAAGTCTCGTGGATCTATACAGGAAGCAGTCTATTCATTATACAAATATTTATTGATTAATAATCTCTTGATTAGTAGTGCAAATCTTTCAAAGGATAACAATATGAGTAAAAATAGAATTAATCACAACTCCAATAGTAGTTACAGTAACAATAAAATACCAAAAGATGATGGTATGGGGAAAACTGTTGATGAAACCACTCTGGTGCAGATAGATAAATTCTTATCTGTGTTATTAGGGGATGAAAATAAAGATAATGATGGTGACATTAATATGGATGTTGATACGGATCAATCAAACAACAATGACGATAACGGTTTGCAAGAGAATGAAATAAGGAGAATCATGAAGTTATCTGAATTTTTATCGTTAGTCAATGCACATGTTCAGCCATTTAAACCTATTGTGATTGACTATACAGTAAGAGTAGATAAAGCATCAACCTATGGTGAATTAGTCTTTGATATCGAAGTACCTAAATTATCGACATTATCAGACAAAAATAGAATAGATGAAATAGGTCGGGATGGACTATCGTTAATATCAGAGTTGGAAAAATATACTGAAGAAAATAAAGATAAACTGGAATCACACGAAAGAGAGATTAGTCTATTAAAACTTCAATTAAATGAAACTGCCCATAAGTACCAATTCTTCCACAAATTGGGTCAAGATCCTGTACCTGCCTTACAAGATTATATCCAATCACAAGCAAATGCATTAAAGATTCTCTCTGGTGATGAAGGGTTCAATGAGGATACCGTAAGAAGAGCACAATTCTATAAAGACAATGAAGAAATGTTGTTTGAAAATATCGGTGTTATGTTAGCTAACGGTAGAATATAAATACTAATGCAGGGGTAGCAAAGGCATAGGAAAATATACCATGATAGAGGTATGTATAGGCACATTCGTATATATACATATATTACTTATCGAAATAGATAAATTGTCTTTCTCAGTTATAATTTGTGTCGCCATACAATTTGTGACGCCAGGCCCTTTCCGCCAAGAATGACTCTTAGTTTCCTTTTTGGGAAGTTACTGGCATTGGCCGTTTCAGGAATGGGAAAAAATTTTTTTCTTTTTTGCACGACTCATTTTCTTTTTAGATAACCTTCTATATAATTTCACTTGAAAGCTGATGAGGATGCTTATTAAATAAAGAGATCACTATCTATCAAAACATATGGATAATAATAATCGACTACGACATTTTATCTTCAGCTCAGTGAAGTTAGCCAATTTACGTTCTCAGAGTGTAAAGTTGTTTAAATATCGACCTGAATTTGGTTAAAAAATAGTCTTCTGCAATATGACCGTCACCAACTCTCAACAATATAGATCCACCAGATCTTCTGACAAGGAAACTAAATCTTTTGAAGCCGCTGTTATTCAAGGTTTAGCAACTGACGGTGGTCTTTTCATTCCACCAACTATTCCACAAGTTTCTCAAGAAACTCTTTTTAACCAATGGTCCAAATTATCTTTCCAAGATTTAGCTTTTGAAATTATGAGACTTTATATTTCTGAAGATGAAATTCCTAATGAAGACTTAAAGAGTTTAATCAACAAATCTTATTCCACCTTCCGTTCTAGCGATATCACACCCCTAGTTAAGAACGTTACTGGTGTTGACAAAGAAAACTTGCATATCTTAGAATTATTCCATGGTCCAACTTATGCTTTTAAGGATGTCGCATTACAATTTGTTGGCAACTTATTTGAATACTTCTTAGAAAGAACTAACAAAGGTTTACCAGAAGATCAAAAGAAAAAGATTACCGTTGTTGGTGCAACCTCAGGTGACACCGGTTCTGCTGCCATCTATGGGTTAAGAGGTAAGAAGGATGTTTCTGTCTTTATCTTATATCCAACTGGTAGAATTTCTCCAATTCAAGAAGAACAAATGACTACGGTTGCTGACAAGAACGTTCAAACTTTATCTGTTAAAGGGACTTTTGATAATTGTCAAGATATTGTGAAAGCTATTTTCGCTGATAAAGAATTCAATTCTAGACATAATGTCGGTGCTGTTAACTCTATCAACTGGGCAAGAATATTGGCTCAAATGACCTATTATTTTTACTCATACTTTAAAGCTACTAACGGTGTTCCAGGTAAAGTCAAATTTATTGTTCCATCAGGTAATTTTGGTGATATCCTTGCCGGTTATTTTGCTAAGAAGATGGGTCTTCCAATTGAAAAATTGGTTATTGCTACTAATGAAAACGATATCTTAGACAGATTCTTGAAGACTGGTGTTTATGAAAGATCCGATAAAGTTGCTGCTACTTTATCTCCAGCCATGGATATCTTGATTTCTTCTAATTTCGAAAGACTATTATGGTATTTGGCTAGAGAAGTTTTAGCCAATGGTGATGACTTAAAAACTGGTGAAATCGTAAACAACTGGTTTCACCAGTTAAAGACTGAAGGTAAATTCGAAGTTGATAGAAACTTAATCAATGCTGCATTAAAGGATTTTGGCTCTGAACGTGTTTCTAACGAAGAAACCATCGCCACTATTAAGAAAATGTATGAAATTTCTGAAAATCCAAAACATTACATCTTAGACCCACATACAGCTGTCGGTGTTTGTGTTACTGAAAGATTGATTTCTCAAGACAAGGATTCATCTATAAATTATATCTCTTTATCTACTGCCCATCCTGCTAAATTTGCTGATGCGGTAAATAACGCATTATCTGATTTTGACAACTATTCTTTTGAAAGACACGTCTTACCAGAAGAACTAAAGAAACTATCCACTTTACCAAAAAAATTAAAGTTCATTGAAAGAGCTGATGTCGAATTAGTCAAAGCTGCAATTGATGAAGAAATTATCAAAATGGATTTATAAGTATATTAAGTAATAGCTTATTTGTATAATCTCCTTATTTCTCTCTCCTGTTTTGTTTATCTTATTTTGTATGATCGTGATTTCCCTTTTACGACTTTATGTTAATTTTTATTTACATAGATATATATTGATAGTAAACTAATATATGATTAAGTATAATTTTATGAGTGGCACATTGAAAGATGACGAAATCTTTAAACTACCTTTGCTGATTAATTAATCATCTGATCGTAACTTGGCAGATATTTTAATATTTAGGTAAAGAAAATGTATACATTGTTAAAGATTGAAAAAGAAAGAAAACTAATTTAAAAAATTTAAAAAAAGCTATGTATACTATAAAGAGAGTACCAAGCAATCACAAAACAAGACACAATAAACCAATTATTCTTCTTTCTTTTCTTTTGACGTTAATTTAATTTCACCTTCTTTACTAACCTTAACTTCATACCCTGCTTCTTCTAAATCTTTATCCTTTACTGCACCCTTTGCTTCTAATTGTGCCACAATTCTCTGATTATCAGGGTTACCTTCCAGCAAAAATCTTATACATACAATACTTTTTTCTTTAATAAATGGATCGTTATCATCTATGACACAATTAGATAACACAATCTCTAATCCATGTAACTCTCGAATTTTATCTTGATTATTTTTATTCTTATAGGATAAATTTGCCAATAGTTCAATGATAAAAGACTTTATTTCTGGGAAATTGGTTGATTTGATTGTACTAGTTTGATAATCAATTCTTTTTAACAATTTTTTGTTCTCTAATATCTCATTACCTACTGAATCAGTAGTCTTGACTTTTGTAATCTTTTCTGATATATCTTTTGTGAAATTAACACGAATTAAGTTATCTTGTAACAGTTTTAATAAAGGAACTAATTTGCTTAAAAATCCATAAGAATTTAAAAATTCCAACACATGCTGAAATTTAGATAAAGAAACTAATATATCCAAAATACTGTATAACTGTTGATATATCGGCCCTGCTTTAGCTTCATCCTCTTCATCTCTATCAAAATATGTAGTAACATCGTTAGCCAATTTTTCAAAAATATTATAACACCACATCATTATTGTTGTTAGTTGAAATTTGTCCCATCTATCACTGCTAGTGATAACTAATTGCATTACATGTAGAATGTCTATCGTCTTTGGAATATCATTATCCTTTAATTTTTCGAAATACCCACAGAAGGACTCATTACATGCCAAAATACTAAATAACCGTACCAAAGCCATATCAATAGCAGTCAATTCCTTTTCACCAACTTCAATCGATGAACCCACATTCTTTTCCTTTGAAATATTCTTCAAGTAATGAGAAAGAGTAGAATGATTTTTAATCATCTCTAAGATAAAAAAATTGTATAATATCTTTGTGCATTGTTCTTGTCTAAAGAAATAGTATAAAAAATCTTCATTAGTGATCAAATTAACAAAATATAATAAATAGGGGAATAATAGATCATGCTTTTTTTCCGGATGTTCTAATGGATATTGTAAGAATATCATCAAAGACTTCAAAATTGATCTGTCAAATACTACAGACTTTTTTGTCACATTGTGAAGAAAACTAGATATAGCAATAAATGTAGAAGTCTCTATATCATCATATTTTAATTTAAGAGACACAATTTTCACAAATAACTCAACTACTGAATTCTGTAGAGATAACTCTCGTGGAATATCTTGGTTATTGGCTGAAAGATTCCTCATTAAAATAATTAATCCTCGTATGGTTCTTGTGTACCAATAAAGATGTTCTTCATTACAAAGTTCAATTATTTTCTCTAATGTACAATTTTCTAGACTGGTCTTTAACTGTTTCCAAATCGAGTAAGAATTAGCCAAAATGTTTCTATACTCTTCGTCTTGTGCAGTTCGAATTACAATTGGATTTAACTCTTGCAAAACTTCTTGATACAACTTTTCATTGTAAGGACAAGATACCAAAATCTTCTCCACTTTATCAATCACCTTATTTTCTTCGCTTAGCATTATATGTTATTTTATATACGCTCTTTAAATCTTATAATATAAATATTTTTTTTAGTATTGGAATCTGCTTAGTGTTACTAAAGTTCTTCCTCTCTTAAAAAACCAAATTACGACAAATATACAAAATTTTATGCTTCTAATCAATCAAAACTAAATGCGATGAGCTTAATCTTTACTATTCTATTCTTTTCCTTTTGTACGTTATAATGCCTAATATTTCAATTATATTTTTCAACCCTTTCTTTGTTTTTTATTTTAAAGAAAACCGAAAAAAAAGAACCAGATCTTAAAGACCTAACTTCCATTAGTAAGATTTCTTCTAACCCTACAAAAGCATAGCATATAATTACGTAATCAGCAATTATTAATATATACTTAATACGTACATCTTTATCATTTATATATATATATATACATATATTCCAGTATTACGAGGAAATGATGATAGATATGAAGCTAACGATTTTTCATTTCAATGTCTCTATAATAATTCGTCTTCTGAACTGTTATCATTATTATCCATGTTTAATGGTAATTTACTCACTTTTTCACTGAATCCAACCCAGCCTTCATCCTCCTCATCCTTATCTGACATAATATCTTCATCCTGTAAGTCTAAATCATTATCAAATGCTTTCTTTTGTGCCTCTAAATTATCTTCTTTATCTTCATCACCAAATACAACGCCATCTGTAGATGTCAAAAATTGGTAACTATACTTATTTTCTGTACTAGCAGAAACTACCTCTTTAGCAATTCTACCAATAAATCTTTGTACAGATCTCATAGACGCTGCAAAAAAATGTTTATTGTTTTGAATATATGCACCATGAGCTAATAAAAGTTGTTTGATCCAGAATAAGTTAAATTCAATATGTTGTGATTCCATAGCAAAAGAACCAATAAACTTAAGGATTCTAGGAAGATAAACAACAGGAATATTAGCAGCAACTAACGGAATCTCAGATAGTGGTATTTCTTCATATACTCTATTAATTAGATACTCTTCGTTTAACCGAAATGACATTACAAAAGCGTTTAAGTACTCCTTGTCTTTCAGACACTCTAATGTGCTCTCTGGAGTCACATCAACATCTAAATCAAATGGATCAAACAGTTCCACTTGATCTGCAGAATAAATTAACAAACCTTCTGTAGAAGCAGCGGCAAAAGCAGATGCTGTTGGTGAAAATTGAACTGAAGTGACTCGAATCTCTGGACGAACCCTTCTTGTAGAAAGATCAGCACCTCTTCTGGATCCTGGCAAAGTGTTATCTATACGATCCTCTAAATCAGAATTATCACCTGTTTCATCTATTAGATCTAAAGAGCCTGCCTCAGTCATTCTACTACTATTTAAAAATTCTTGAGTCCCATTAATTGTCATATTTTTGGAAACAATAAATCTTTTTAATAACACCTCATTTGGTACATCATATAAACATATAGAATTATTATTACCACCGGCTACGATAGCTAACCCATCAAAACTATAATTAATAGTTGTGAAAAATTTAGCTCTTTCTGAATTTTTAGCTGTAAACCTATCTTCTAAATGCCTTCCTGAAATTATATCTCTTTTACAATCAATATTACCAACTTGTTGCCCACTTTCAACATCAAATATTGTTATTTGACCTTTTAATGTGGAAACTGCAAGCTGTTTCCCATCAGGCCTAATAGTTAAAGATAGGACGTCTGATGCTACTTCAATTGGTTCTACTTGTTGACTTCTGCCAAAGATGGACCATATTCTAATTGTTTTATCCCATGATGCAGATGCTAAAACACTATTTTCTTGGCTAAACACTAAACATGATACAGGCCCCTCATGACCAGATAATGTATCTAATAATTGACCAGTTTGAACAGACCATACATGAATATCAAAGTTGTCCATTGAACCAGCACATACCACTTCACCAGATGGATCAACGGCTAATGAAGTGAATTGAATTCTATCTATGCCAGTGAAAACTCTGAAATTTCTATATCTAATAAGATCCCATGCTCTAACTGTACCATCCAAAGAAGCAGAAAAAAGAACTTGTCCCTTTTTAGCAAATTGTACTTGTGTAACAGAAGATGTATGTTCATCAAATGTAGCTAAACAGAATCCTGATACAATATCCCATACTTTGATTTTACCGTCATCAGAGGCAGTCACTACTCGAGATCCATCTGGTGAATAGGTTAGACAATTGGTAGCATCAAAATGACCTTGTTGTTTCAAAATATAAGATTCTGATTGCCATTCATATACTAATAGTTGACCCAACATACTAGACCCAAAGGCTAACCATTCACCAGTATTATTAATAACAACAGTGTTGATGGGATTTTGACCCATTGATAGTTGTTGAATTAATGTGAAATGAGGTAATTCATATAAACGAAATTCACCGTTACTGAAACCAACAACCAGAATATTAAATTGCGGATGAAATGTGACACATTTCACTTTAGCTTGATTTGCGAAAAAGAAATGTTTTTGAGAAATTCTCCAGCTATACTTAGATATATCAACTTCTTCATCGTTGGCCTCTGCTAACTTAATGTCTTCTTGTCTTGGAGTAAATTCCCATATGAACAGGGCCCCATCTTTACTAACTGTATAAATCTTTTCCTGATCTGAACTGAAAAATGCACCCATGACATAATCCCTATGACCTGCAAAAGTCGTAGAGGCTAAATCTTTCTCCGAAGAATCTATTGACCATATCCTAGAAGTCAAATCCTTAGACGAGGTTAAAATAAATCTAGAATCTGATGACCAAGTGATTCCAGTGATATCTTGAAAATGGCCGGCATGAACTCTATGACGAACAAATGGAGCAAATTGTCTATCTTGTGTAACTTCTGGTGTCTTCCAAATTTGTAAAAATCTACCGGCAGCTAAGGCAAATAATTTTCCATCGGGACTAAATTTCACTTGATAACACTTATCTTTAAAATTGAAATGATGTAAAACATTTTTGGATTTGAAATTAACTAAAATGGCCCTACCATCATCATCTACAGACAAAAGTAAAGTTCCTTGTCTATTTAAATCAAAACATGCAATATTTTTCCTGTGTTCATACTCAAATGTGAAAGATTTGTTGTTTATTAAATCAAAAACAGAAATTCTATTACCTACAGGCGATAATAGTTGTTTTCCATCACTTGAAAATATAATGTTACCCTTTCTATAAACGGTACCCAGTAAATTAGAGAATTTAAAATCAGACCTCATCTTACTGATCTTTTTCCTTTTTTAATAATAAAACTGTAGCTGTGTAACAAAAGGAAAGTTTGTGACCTTCCCTTATTGAAGTCAGAGAAATAAAATGTTACATACAAAAGCTAGCTTGTCCCAATCTCTTTTTTGCAATTGTAGTTGAAAGTAATCTTTTAGTATATTATATAGTGAAACTCTTGAGCTCATCGCAAAAAAAAAAACTATCTTTATTAAATTTTCCAACGATAAAAAATCTCTTTATAGGAAATTTTTGTTTTTTTATCTCGAAAAAAAAAAAAACTCAAGTCGCTTCCCACGGAAAAAAAATTATTAACCCTAAGTTGCCGTCCAAAAACTTTTTTGAAAGTTTTTCACTTTTTATCATTATATTTAATTAGGGTTTGGGAAAAAACCAAGGGAAAAAATAAATAATCGATTGGCAAATCGTTCAGCATCTATAAAAGGATAATACAGTTACAATATAAGATAATGTCTATCCATATACACCATAATATACGTATCATGTACATAAAGTTGGGTGCAAGCTACGTGAATTTAATTGCGATCTTATTTTTTTGTTTCAAACCCAGCTCTTATTACTGCTTCTCTTGCAGTGGAATTAATGTGTTTAAATCTATCAGGTCCAATGTGTGTACCACCAAACCAACGGGCAACAATCACCATACAATTCCAAACATCCATAATAGTTATCAAATGTAACATTCGTGAGCCGGCTGCGGTCTCCCCATCATCATCACAATCTTGGTATGCCACGTTTGAATTAGGATCCGCACTTTTAATCCTCCAGGCACTCATTATATGAGCTGCTTTCCTCATTTTATTGTCTGTCCTAATCATATCCAATTTTTTAAACGCTTCTTCCTCTGAGTTCACATGCGTAGCAAAGGCCATAAATGTAGAACCTCTGTCTGTAATTGGATCAGATGCAATCCATCCCTCAAATGGATCAGAGGGGACTCTTTCATTTATATCTATAGAATCAGACTCGATTGCCTCATTGTCTTGTCCGTCTTCTGCATACAGAATTCCATCCAACTCGGTCAAAAAGTCAAAAATACAAACTAATTTTTTATGGAACACAGAATCCATTACTTCTTGAAACAGATTACGTAAATATTTAACATCATATAATGAGGCCTCTCTATTGTAATCTTTATCCAGATTGACATCTAAAATATTTGGAGAGGAAACAGAAGGGTAATTTGGTGGTAGGGATATTTGCAAATGAATATGTTCATGCTGTGGTACTTTCAAACGAATTATAGTTGAATTAGAAGTCTTTTCTATTATATTTTCAGGGTAGATTGCCTCAATGGCCTCAATTTCTTCTAATTGTTGTTCTTTATCTGTTTCCATCTTTATTCCAAAGAAAAAAAAAGAAAATAAAATGCCCTTTTCCTTGCTTCTGTTTAACTACTACACCTTATCCTACAATATACAGTGTAGAAGAGGTGACTAGACCTTATATATTCTCCATCAGTAATATATCTTCGTCTTTCTCTTTTGTCAGTTAGTTGTTTTCTGATTTGTTTCTCTTGATAGTAATTCTTATTTCCTTCTAGAATCTTTTGAACAGCCGATGGTTTAGAGATGAGATGAAAAATTAAGAATAACTCAAACTTCGATCCGAAAGATAGGAAAGGAAAGAAGGAGTGAAAATTCTTTATAAACACACACATCCACACGTCCATATACTTTCTTCCTGCCCCCTCCTCTCTCTTTTTGTGTATACATATATAAACAAGTATTAGAAGTATTCACAAATCAGATACTTTAACTAAGAATGGCAACAAACACCTTTGAAGTTTATAAAGAGAAAGGTAATCGTTTTTTCAAAGAAGGCCAGTATGAGAATGCTATTGAATCATATGACAAATGCATTGAGCTGGAATCTTGGAACCCAATAGGCTACAGTAACAAAGCCATGGCTTTAATCAAGATGGGATCATATGAAAAAGCTGTGCAAGTATGTTCTGCGGGGAAACAGAAATTAAATCCATTGGATACAAAACATATTGCATTAAAGAAAAAAATGGATTACAGATTGGAAATGGCAAATAGATTATTAAAGGAAAATCAAAAGAACTTTACTACTAACCCGTTAAATAATAAAGTCGAAAATCACAATGTGAACAACACAGTGGATCCTTACAAAAACATATCGAAAAAGGCTAAATATATCAATCTAGATATTGTACCTGTTGATTCATTACCACCTGAATTTGTAAGTCTATAGAGAAAAATTAATGGCTTAAGAAGGACACTTTTCTTTGTTACTGTCTCAGTGGCTAATTTGTTTTTGTTAACGTAATGATCAAACTTTTATTAGACTTGCGCCTACTTAAGAAACAACCTCAACAAAACCATCCATGAACCGGAGGAATAGAAGAAATACAACATTGATAAATGCTTTTTTAGACTAAGAATATAGAATGTAATCAAGAATTTACAAAACCATCATAAAATCATGTAAAAAGAAACCATATGTATTAAGTGAAACAAACAAGCAAACAAACATAGAAATAGAAAGCGTGGAAATCTGTAACATTAGTATTCTTATGCATTTGTTATTCGAAAATGAAAAATCCTTACACTTTTAATTTTTTTTTTATTATATCCAAGATATTTACCAATCGCTTAAGCATTGTGTTCTTTCACACACTGATCATTCATAATAGAAATAATACATTACTCTCTTCCTTCATTCTCTATATACATCTTCTCTATAGAAGTTTTATTGACGTTTCTATAAATCAGAAGAATACCGCTACCATTTTTCTTTTCTCTTTACCTTCTAAATTTTTTTTTCAGTTTCTCTGGAATTGATGTTACACCAGAAGTGGATGAGTAACAAGAGTAGCAGGAACTACATAATTGTCTTGCCATGATACTAAGTAAACTTCAAAGGAGGTTAATCAGCTTGGCTAATATTCCAGATACCTCCAAATGTCTCTTCATTCCATTGACATATCTATCTATATATCTATTTTTCTTTATAAAGACTAAACTAAAAGCAATTGCAAATCTTTGTTTTTCTACTTAATTGGTTGACCTCATACACCCATAACCATAATATGTTGGTTCCTCCGGCTGGTTTTGGAATTGCTGAAGAAGGTATTTATCGATGTTCTAAGGTAGAGACATTAAATTTGTCCTTTTTAGAAACATTAAATTTAAAGACTATATTATTTATTGGTGGTCAGGAACCATCTAAATTTTTTAAAGATTTTTTCAATAGGTCCTCCATTAATTGGTCTGTATTAAGAACTGAAGATCTTTCGTCTGCTTCTACTATATCTACCTTGGATAATCATAGACGTATAAAGTCTCATCTGACTTCACCTAATGGAAACAATACAGAAATACAGTCAAGCCCCCCAACCAAGACTTTTGTATCTCAAAATAATGTAACCTTTAATGCCATTAAAAACAATAATATACCAATAGAAAATAGTTGTATAACTAAGGATACTGATAATACTAATCATCATTATAATGAAAATCCAGATATATCCATGGACACTTCAATTAACATACCCCTAACAGAAAATAACGATTTAAGTATTAACACCCAACCACCCTTCATACTAAATGATTCTTCTGATTTAATGTTAATTAAATCAACATGTCTGAAGAAGACATTCCAAAAACTACTAAATTCGAAATGTTATAATTTATTGTTAGTCGACAAAACCTCATTGATAGTAGGAATCCTAAGAAAAATCCAAAAATGGAATATATCTTCGATATTAAACGAATATAGGCTTTATTCAGGGAAACATAGTTCGTATTTTGCTGAGACCTTTTTGGAACTAGTTGACATTAGAATTGAACAGGACCATGAAACACTAGATGCAGAAGAAACAATAGTCAAAAATTTTGACATATCACCCAATAAATCGAATATTATTCCATTTGAACCAAAAAAACCATCTAATTGTATTATAGTATCGGAAGAAGATCTTTGCGATCCTCCAGAAGTACCGAAAAGATTAATTAATATGATTTTAGAGGCAGAACAAAATGAACAACTGGAAATTCTGAGAAAGTCTGTTGGTATATTTTCCAAAAAACTAGATAGACATAATTCAGATTTAGGAATATTTGGTCATAAGTATAGGCTTGCATTTAATAAGAAAGACAACGGAAATTATGAATATTATAAATCTTATAAGTCAAGACATCAAAAGTCAAAAAAATACAGAAACCAAAGGGATCAAACTACAAACAACAATAATAATATTCGAAAGAAAGAAGAAGAAATAGAAGAAGAAGAAGAGGAAGAAGATATAGTAACGTTGAATATACCGAAGGAGTCCCTACTTCCTTCATGGTTTACATATCAAAGGGATTTATGGGAACAGGAGAATGTCCCAGAAGTACATCACTTTTACAAAGAGTATATATTTGTTTAATTCTTATGTTCAAATATTCTTACTCTATCTAGATTATCTTAAAAGTATGACATAAAGACTAAAAAATAATAAATAGAAAAAAAGACATATTATATATTTTTTGTGAGCACAGTAGGTTACCGCTTATTAAATGAAGTCCATAGGCATATAACCTACCTTTCCTATATTTCTATCTTTTCTTTTATTATCTATTTATAGTATTTCTCTAAGTGGTGAAATGTCATCTATGATTTTTCTACTTGATTGTGGCCCTTTAATAAAACTACTATCGTACTGTTCATAATCATCATTTTCAAAACTTAAAAATGTATTATCACCTAATGTTCTAGATTGGAAAGTAATTTTCACTAAGAATATAATTGCAAAAACCGCAGATATACCTGCAACGATCAAAAACATGATACTTAACGAAAGATTCCTTGTACCAGTGACTCCTAGTGTGGTTAACACGATTGATTTAGTACCACCAAAAATTGTAGTTGGATAATTCAACCCTATTTCCATTACATATTGCCCTTTCGGTAAAGGAACGGTTTCATTTTTTAAAGCTAATTTATAAAATTTAGGTAATGCTGCTGTTCTCATCCAAACTTGGAATTCCTCCCATTCATGAATATTTGGAATATTGTCATCAGTATAACCATTAGGAAACCTTTTTATCCAATTTGGAGGAGGTACAATATCTGATGCATTGTATTTCGTTTTTTTAAATTGTTTACGATCAATAGCCCATGCTATTTTCTTGTTTGTCAACTGATAGTCTTGTGTATTTTTATCATACCCTTTAAAGACCTGCCCAAACGTATCATTAAACATAGAGTTTGCGATTAGACCACAAGGGTAGATTGCTTTTCCATTAATACTTCTTAAAGGTTCACAACTTGTATCCAAATCTTCATATTTTACGGCTTTACCATTGATTTGTTTTCTATCAAAGGATTGAACATATTTTCTATGATTTTGGTAGAAATTTGTCAATTTATAATAAACATAGACAGGTTTCTTGATTGTGTTCGGTACCTCAAATTGTAACTGACATACATCGTTATCATTTGTATCATCATACGACAATTTCCACATCGGCTTTGTATTCATTTTCTCTTTGAAATGATAATTCACATATTTAGAGGGTATTTTTACATAATCTTCACTATTTGCTAACTGATAACACTTACTATAATCTATAGTTAAATCTTGCACATGGTTACTACTCACCATTAAACCAATACCAATAGGAGTGAAGATACAAGCAATCAGTATCAGAAATGGAAGCACATTCTGAGGAATTAGAATAGGTTGCCATGATTTCAATCTCTGCTGTCGAAATGCTGTATTAGGTGGCTTTTTTGAAACAGGTTCCACATTTGTTTTATTATCTTGGCTTTTCCAAACGAAGGATAACATTTTGACTCTAGTAATAAAAAAAATTATTGACAATCAAATAACACAAGGCAAAAAGAGAGATGTAATATCGGTCTGATTTCATCAATTATATAGAATAATCTTTATGCCCACAAATTGTCAACTGGCTTCCCTGGTCTTATGTATTCTTCCAATGTTCTATAAATAGTTATTATTTAACCCACCTTTGTTCCTTTAAAGCCCTCTTTTGCTTTTATCTCTTTTCTTTAGTCTTCGCATTTCACGCAAGAAGAAAAACCAGTTATCAGGGTTCTGGAAAATGTAACAGAACATTACTGAACACAGAATAAATAAAAGAGATTATAGAATTTTCCAACCATTCTACACACACACAAAATAAAAATATTTGTCTGCCCTTTGTTACATTTATATACATGTACATATATACATATACATATCTATTTATATAAACATGCCATCTCTTCTTACTTTGGTTCATTTACCTATCTATTTGGATGCTGCGGATACAACCTCAGTATTCTTTGGATCATCAACTAACTCGACTTCCGGTTTACTGATTGTATATTTTAATAGAACTTGGAAAATTTTTTCAATCTCTGGGATGGCTTGAATAAATGGTAATTCTAACAATTTATTGCCTTGCTGTCTAATCAACTGACAAAACATTACAGTAATACCCCATGGATGTGGCTTGTTAACAATAATTCTCTCCAAAATACACCTCAACATGATTTCTTGTATTTCCAATAAACTTTCACCAAATGCTTTTGAATTAAACATGTTCAATAACATATAAATGAACCAATGTGTGTGAATGTTTGGATATCTTAACTGTTCTAACATTACTTGCAACACTTGATATCTTAATTCAGTTGTCCCGTCGTTCAACATGTTAAATAACAAAGCATAGTATGACGACTCTGGATTGAAAATTGCACTTGAAGAAGTTCTTTCATTTTCTAATCCTGCTTCAATACCCACGTATAAGACAAGAGCCCTAATCGCTTTCTTATCAACACTTAAAAAGTCATACCCAACGCCATTTTGAACATCATATTCCGTTCTATACATAGCATTCATAATTGTTCTCAACAAAGAGTTTGATGGGATACGCAAATAATTGTCAACAGGCTTCTTGATTGATAATATATCATTGATTGGGTTGTAATATACTTCTGGTCTGTCACTACACATATCCAATTCTTCTAATTTCAACTCTGAATCATAGGGATTTGGAACCATCGTCTTTAATGGAATAGCAGATAGAATCACATTTCTCAATTGAAAATATGTACATGGAATATTATTCATTAATTCATAGTGATTCTCAATTAAGAAATTTGGAAAATCATTTGATATACCTAAAATTATACGTAATGTCCCCTTGTAAACAACAGATATAGCGTCTGAAACTGAATTCTTCTTTGTATATTTATCCAAAAACTTAAATAAATCAATAATCAATAACATGAATTTTTCCCAGCCAACTTTATCTGGAAGACTTAAGATCATGGGCAAAAACATTCTATGTGAGATCAATGACACCCAAGCAAATGTAAAACCAAAAAATGCAAATGGTTGCATGGAATGTAAGAAGGAGGCAAAACAGTTGTAAAAATCATTATCAAATTTACGCAACTCTCTTCTTATCTTTACATCAGTAATTTTAGCAAAATTATGACCACGAATCTTAGACCATTCGTAGAACAAATTGGATATTAATCTAAAGTATGGTCTTTCATTAAAGTCGCTATCCTTTCTTTCATGATCCTTAGAGAATACTAATAGAATAATGGAACCAATGGTATTCAAATATTCTTTTCTACTATATCCTGAAAAGTCTTGAATAATTAGTAATTTAATGATCAACTTACTTAATGCATCAATAGCCGTAAACACATCACTAGTAGGATCACTCTCCTTGAATGAATAGACAGATAATTCCAAGGCAGCTTTTATGAATTTAATCAAACCATCAGTATCCGATAGAATTCCTTTGTCCACCATTTGACGTAAAAATACCATTACAATTTTATCGTCATAATCAACCCTTTGTGACAATTTGACCCAATCAGTAAACACAAGGAAGTATTTTTCAGTGGCAGAGATCTCTGTATTATCCTGTACTGGTAATACTTTCTCCTTTTCAAATGTCTTTAAGAATTTTTTAACCTTATGGTCATCAGATAAACCTAGATACTCTAATGTTCTCACAAAATCCATTTTCATTAATAATGGATTATCAGATAAGACCACATCTTTTAATAAACTAATAGCAAAATCTACAGACTTATCCATTTTCTTTTCCATGGCAGTAACTAAAACAGTATCTAGTTCTGCAGGATCGATTAACTTAACCTCTAATAAAGCTCTAATAACTGGAACATCAAATTTTCTAGTATCTAGAGCATATATCAGCCACCAAACAACATCCTTTCTTGCTACGAGAGACAAAGAACATAACTTTTCGAGTAATAAAGATAACACCTCCCTGCATAATGAACTTTCACTTGTAGCAAATAAGCTATTCACAACTGCTTGTGCAACTTTCAAAGCCAACTGATCTTTCTGTGGACTTCTGGCAATAAAAGTCAAAATTTGAAAAATTATATTCTTGATTTGATTTTGCTCACCAAGATCAATCAATTTAGACTTGTCGGCATTTTCCTTAATTTGCGCCACCAAAACATCCATAAGATGTACCAAAACTCTATGATTTTGTTCAAGTTCGTTTTGAATTACTGGTTGAACTTGGGGATTCTGAACAGTTGGTTGCTGCTGCTGTTGAACTGATTGTTGCGACACCATATTTGGTACATCATGTTGTAATTGGTTAGTGGAAGGTTGTTGATCTTGTGGCAACATAGTTTGTTGCATTTTTTGTTTGAATAATGCAATATTTTGTGTAGACATACCATTACTATCAATAGTTGGAATCATGTTACCAAATTCTTCATATATTCTAAATTGTTGTTGTGTGACACCAGCATTTCTCAAACCAAGAGGTTCTGGTAAGGACAACGAATAAAAGTTACCATTAGGATCCAAGAAAGGTTGATCAGCTCTTCTCTCTTGATGATAACGACGAATAGCAATGGCTTGCAATAATGATTCATTGATCTCTTGTGAGGCTCTTTCTCTAGCAGCCTCTTCAATTAGATTAAGTGCTAAACTAATATTATCATTAATTGCCAAATCTAATTCCTCCAATGGCGACCCTGGCAACGTAACCAAATTTGGTATAAGAGATTGAGTTGTCGTGCGAATAGCATCTTTCAATGGTTCCGTAGAAGTAGCTCTTGCTAAGCTTACTGCAAGCTGTCTTACCATTGTAAGAGCTGCAACTGTCAATTTCATTTCGTCCACTTCAGTAGCAAAATCTTTAACAACAATTTTGCTAGTAGTGACGACAGCAATATTGGAGGACTTTTCAACAACTGGTACCAATATTTCACGAACAGATCTAGCCAGAGCTATTTGAAAAATACGTTTCAATTCTGGATGAGTAACAAAAATGGAAGACCCAGATAAATTACTAAATGGTGCCTCATTAGAGTAGGTGATATTTTCTGACAAAAAACCCGGTTGCTGATCACTAACCATTGGCATTATCTGTTGCTGTCTTTGTTGATGTATTAAGATTTGTTGCTGATATTGTTGCATTAATAAACCCTGTTTTTGACGCTCAATCTGTTGTTGTTCAATAGTCATTGCATTTAGACTACCAGATAAGGTTTCAACGATATCTGGAACCTCAATAAAATTAGTTGGCTCAATATCCTTCATAGATAACTTGAAGGTCTTAAATAGAACTTCTACTTCAAATGTTAAGCTTAATTTCCAATTAGCCTTTTTGTTCAATTCCAATAATAATTTCAAGATCCCTAAAGTCCATGGGTTTGGTAATTTGAAAACTTTGGATGTTGTAGCACTCTCTAAGATTTTTGTCACAAATGGTACCACAATATCAAGCCTATTTTCTTTGTAAGCCTGCAATAATAATTCCCTAAAAGCAACATTCTTATATCTAATAGGCTTATTACATCCTAAAGTAATAATACCCAACCACTGTGACAAATTTTTTAAAATTTTTTTATCTAGTTTTTGAATGTCTTTAGCTCCAATAAATACGTATAACTGTCTCAGAGTGGTAATTAAAATACATTCATGGAAAGCTGCTGATCCAATAGCAGTAACAATTTTAACATATAATTCATGATAGTTTGGTTCAGTCTTAGCTCTTTGATTTACTAAATAATTTGCAAACCATGCATAGTAATTTGATTGTAATGATTCTTTCAAGTCAGTTATCTTGTCGTTAAAATTGTCCATGGTCAAATTGTTCACAATAAATAGCACCTTTTCAGTAATTGCTTTTGGCGGAGTTTCTTGTGGAACTGGAGCATTCCATTCACCAACAAAGAAATATTCTTGTGGAATTAATTCAACTGGTGCGATAGTTTTTCCTTGTTTACTCGAGTTAACTTTTTCACTAACCTGTGCAGCATCATAAATAAATTGATAAACTTGGGTCTGTGTTTGCAAACCAGGGACCTCCTTTAAAATATCCTTACAGTATTGTGGGAAGTCAGTTAATCTCATTCTAAAGGCATAAATAGCTTGAATAGCAAATTTAAACATCTTGGATTCAGGACCTTCTTTAGCAAAGACTAATATTTTATGTAATGCTACATCTAAAATAAACCCACTAAAAATATTAAATAGAACCATGGAACCAAATAAAACAGATGTTGTAGCGAGGGCTTCCAAAGGATAATCTTTAAAGAAAACACATTCTGCTAAAATAGCATGGGTAATACAAGCAAATACATCTTTATCTTTTTTTACATTACTCTCCTTTAATCTCCTTAAAACATCAACAACATCTTTAATAGATATTTCTCCACTGTACATCTTTTGCAAATAACTTTGCATCTCTTCCTCTATCTCTGGGCCAAAGGGGACAAATTGTTCACTATTCTTGAAATCTTCATTGCCAAATTCAATGTAAATAATCTTGGGGAAGGCTATGATGATATTATATTGTAAATTCTCATACCTTTCTAATTGATCATTTGATAGTGGCATATCCATCAATAAAGTGATTAAAAATTTCAACGAACCGAGATCAAAATTATTAGCTACATTGAAATTTGAATTTGAACCCTCATTAACTTGACTTTCCAATTTATGAAGAATAACTGAAACATTGTTAACATTCAAATTCGTTTTCATGAAAGATTCAAATCCTTTCCAACCAGAATAGATCAATAGTGGCAAATATTTGAAAATAACATTAAATGGGACATGAGTGACAAAATAATCTAATCTATCTAGTTTTGTTATAATGCTGAAATAGTGATTCATTTGAATATCCTTATTCAATAACAATTTGGTACCAATATCGATCAATAATTTGTCTCTATTTGGTAAAAATGAAACCATATCACTTAATGGATATTCATCATCATTGAAATGCTTTTGATAGATTTGGACAAATAGTGTGACAATGATTTCATCAATAATATTTCTATTTTCCACTAGAAATCCGAAATGTTTCAAATTTTGAGTCATTGCTAGATATAAATACTCTGGAACAAAACTAAAATCTTGAAAGAAATATTCTTGGAACATAGGTAACATTGAATTCTCTTTCAATTCATCTCTTAATAAGAAAATTTCTAAATCCAATACAGATATTGACATTAAATATAACAAAGAACCTTGTGTATTTTTCAAGGTTTTCGAGACTTTCTTAATATTTGGAACATTTAAAAGATCAAAATAACCAGAATCTGTATCATGCTCATCCACTTTCCATTGATGTAACAAACAGGATAACAGCAATTTAAAAGATATATTCCAATCACAACTGAAAAATTGATCAATCAGGTCACCTGTTCTTAATATAGAAAATAAAGAGTTCAAGGATGCTAGCGTAGCCTTTATTGGTATATTCATGAAATATTTAGTAGAAATTAAATTAAACACTCGATTCCAATTAATTGAACCTTCACTGGATATTTTATGTAAACTATTAGATATTTTAACACCAACCTTAATTGAATCTGGGATATTTTGAGAAGTGAACCAACTTATCAATTGTGGATTATTGTTCTCATCCTTTTGTAAATTCTGAGAGCCGGGGGATAAAATTTCTGATAATAACAATGCTACCATATCATTCAGGCTCTCTCCAGATAAAGAGGCTAACACATCTGTCAAATTCGATTCGATATTATCCAAATTTGATTGCTTAATTAGATGAGACAAAAGGGTTGAATTATTCATGGTATTCGTGTTTAGCTTCGTCTGTAAGATGGAATGTTTTTGCAAAGGATCAATAATTAAAGGATCAATGTTATGATTAGACAGTAGTTCACAATAATCTTCAAATAATAATTTGGTTTGTTTAATGAAATGATTATCCTTAAAGATGTTTTTAATCAAAAGAACGATAAAATCTTGACTCTTATAGGGTAATTCCTGTATTAAATGAAGTAATAGCCTATGATATAGATTTAAGTCTGGAGATAATTTATTATGATTAGATTTAATGCCACTGGAACAAAGTAAAATAAGTCTTTCCCAATATTTAATAACCAAATATTCTGAACTCGAATCTAAAAGATGATTAATTCTCTCTTCTACGGTATCAAAATCTACCTCAGTTAGGGTTGTAAGTTGAAGACTGATGTATGATATAATTATATTAGTAGTTTCTTCCCTCTTTTCTAATGAATATAAATCTTGGGAATCAGAATCCATACAATATTTTAAATAATAACCAATCAATCAGGAGAAGAAAATATATATATATATATATATAAACAAATAATTAGTAGCGTTTATGAATTTGTGAATAATAATAGAATGGGTAGAAAATGAAATACTATTTATAAGATATATTGTATTGGTACGCTACTTAAAAAGCCACTTCCGCTAAAAAAAAAAAAGAAAAAAGAAAGAAAATAGTGTAACAAATAATTGTGAATATTTAACAAACACTTCTGGCAGACACTAATGTACTAGTGGATATAAGTTAAGATATTCATTACTAACAGTCAATAAAAAAAAATAAAAAGAATACCACCATACTACATATTATGTTACAATGTGTATCAATAAAAGTTTCACCTTAGCTTTGTTTGGTAGCAATTTTATTTCATCCATAAACAACCTTTTTCAAAACAAAAAAAAATTTAGAAAAAAAAAAAACAAACTGTGAAATATTTCGTAGATAGTGATGCATCTAAAAAATTATTATTACTTTTCCTGTTTTTTTTGCCTGTTATTTCCTTTTTCGGAAATCAAAAGCAATATTTTGTCTCCTAAAAAAATCAATATTTTTCGAAAAATCTATAAAGCCCTATGTAAAAAATAGGAAATAAATATTTTTGTGTAAGTATACCCTAACAATATTTGAACATTTTATTTTAAATTCCAGCAAAAATAGAAGAAGAAACGATAAAATGACGAAGACTTTGATCTCTAGAAATAGTATAGATACTTTGTTTGCCAGTCGAAACACTCATCTACTAGATTTTGCACTCATTAGAGACATGCTTTTTAATATGAATCCACATGAAGTTACTTTTTTATTTCAATACCTTATCAACATAATCATAGTTGTATTCATCGATCTAGTTTCTGTTGTGTTATGGCCAAACAATTGACGATTAGCAGGTTTTTTAAACCTGTCGAAACAAATAAAAATAAAGATAAAACTAAAACTGATACAATAACCCAAAAGAAATCAAACAGGTCAATAGACAGTTCTTTGCTGATTGGAACTACACCAGAGACAAGCATTATTTTGACCGATGAAGAAGAAGAAGAGGATGCTCATGACGTATTAAATATAACCATGAAAGGTTCTAAGAAAGAACAAAAAATCGATATTTCACATACTCAGACTAATATTGTAAGACAGCCAACATTGAAAAGACCAAACTTTTCATTACCAGCCCGTGATGAAACTTTAAAATTAGATGAAACGGTACCTGTGATCAAAAAACCAAAAATAGATTCATCTAAATCGTCTACCTCTTCCAAAAATAAGCATACCTTGACATTAACCCCATTAGATGAACAAGTTCTTAAACTTAAAATGGATAATATGGATAAAATATTGGTTATCAGAGTAGGCTATAAATATAAATGTTTTGCTCAAGATGCCATTACTGTATCGAAAATTTTACAAATTAAACTAATAGAGGGTAAGTTAACATTTGACGGTTCAAATCCAAACGATAAAAACTTTAAACAATTTGCATACTGTTCATTTCCCGATGTTAGATTAAATATTAACTTAGAAAGATTAATTCATCACGATTTGAAAATTGGCGTTGTTGAACAATCTAACAATAACGATAATTCAAATGTCTTTGATAGAAAGGTGACCAACGTTATTTCCAAAGCTACTTATGGAGTGAATATAGCCAAATCGATTAAATATAAAGATACAAATTTACTCGGTGACAATAGAAGTATATGGGTGTTGAGACTTGATAAGTCAAATGTTGATCGACTTGAAATTATGTACACCCTTCTCTCAGTGAATTTAAATAGTGGAGAAATCGTCTTTGACCAGTTTTTTGAAAAATTAAGCTCTTTTGACAATCTTTTAACAAAAATCAAATATTTGGAACCTATCGAAGTTCTGATTATTGATAACAATACTGAAGAAAATGATGACTATATAGCAATTTTGCTTAAATTTCTAAAGGATCACAACTGTCAAAAACATGATTTACCAACTATTCCTACTGATGATACTGCCATTTCTAATGATGAAATTTACAATAATTTATTTTTCACAAACATCAATCAATTGGAAAATATTCCAAAAAATATTGACGAATTGATTAAAATTATGTATTTCCATTTAAAACAATATAACACCGAAAATGTACTTACCATATATTCCAATTATAAACCGTTCGATTCTAAAATTTGCATGTTACTAGATGGAAACACTATTGATTCATTAGACATTTTTTCAAATGAGGGGAAGAATGGGTCTTTGCTATGGATATTGGACCATACAAGAACGCCATTTGGATTTCGTATGTTAAGGGAATGGCTGAAGAGACCATTATTAAACAAGGTAGAAATTGAAAATAGACTAGATGCTATTGAATGTATTTCCAAAGAAGTATCACATGTGTTCTTTGATTCTTTAAATCAAATGCTCAAAAGTATGCCTGACTTGCTACATATTTTAAACAGAATTACTTATGGGCGTAGTTCGCGAAAAGAAGTTTACTTTTTCTTGAAGCAGTTATCTTCATTGAGCAATCATGTTAAATTGCATCATCAATATATTGACAATTCAATAATATCCAAAGAGGGACAAATACATAAACAATCAATTCTATTGTATGAAATATTTAATGAAATAAATGAATTATTTTATTCTCATAAACCTGAAATCTTACTTTCAATGATTAATGCAAGTGCAGTTTTAGATAAAGATAGTGAGAAAGCAGTTGTTGGTTTTTTCAATTTGAACAATTATGATAGGTCAGATGGCTTAATCAATATACAGAGAGATATTGACGAAGTTCGGGAAGAATTAAATAATGAACTGAAACATATTAAGCAAATTCTCAAGAGACCTCATTTAATGTTCAAGGATGAAGTAGATTATTTGGTAGAAGTAAGGAATACACAAATCAAAGGTGTTCCTGACGATTGGATCAAGATTAATTGTACTAAAATGGTAAGTCGATTCTTAACTCCAGAATGTAGTAAATTAGTTGGTAAATTAAAACATCACAAAGAATTATTGGTTATTGAAGCCGAGGCTGAATATCAACATTTTTTATCTTTAATTAAAGAAGAATATGTACCATTTAAAAGAGTGATTCAAAAATTGGCAGAATATGATTGTATATTATCACTAGCAGCTACATCATGCAATACCAATTATATTAGACCTCAATTTGATGAGACACAGGGACAATTTATTGATATCAAGAATGGTAGAAATGCTGTCATTGAATCTTTGGATGTCAATTACGTACCTAACGATGTTAAGATGTATAATAATAAAGGTAGAATCAATATTATTACTGGTCCTAATATGGGTGGGAAATCTTCTTATATACGTCAAGTCGCATTACTCATAATAATGGCGCAAATAGGAAGTTTTGTTCCTGCAGACTCAATGAAATCTAGTCTTTTTGATAACATACTTGTTAGAATTGGTGCTTATGATGACCTAATTCGGGGCCAATCTACTTTTAAAGTAGAAATGCTTGAAATTTTACATATCATCAAAAATGCAACAGCTAAATCTCTATTAATTTTGGATGAGGTTGGCAGGGGGACTGGTACAATCGATGGAAAAGCCATTTCATATTCTTTATTAAAATATTTTATAGAATTAGAAAAATGTCCTTTAGTACTATTTACTACCCATTTTACAATGCTAGGAGAACAACTAAACTCAAGAAATTGTGACTTACTGCAAGAATATTTTATGGATTATATTGAAATCCAAGATGAAGGAGAAGATTGGCAAAGTGTGATTTTTCTATATAAACTAAAACCAGGTATAAGTAAGGATTCTTTTGGATTAAATATAGCAAAATTAGCCAAAATTGATAAGAATATTATTAACCATGCTCATAAAATAGCCACTAAAATTAAACATGAAGAAGAGATAACTAGTTCTAATATATCAGCCAAGATTAAATCTATACTATTGGAAGAGGCAACTTCTAAAAATAAAATTAATATGTTTTTTGAATTAGTATCATCATTTCCACAGACAGAAACATGATAACATATGGGTAAATTATTTATTGAAATATTATTAAATATAGTCATTACTGCATTACAAATCATAGATATTAGTATATATGTATATAGTTATTTATGTTTGTATCAACAAAAATAACACCATCGTGTTAAGGAAAACCAAAATTGTGAATTTTAAAAATAATAAACAGTCGATTTACTGTATAACTACTACCTTCTAAAAAAATTCCTATTACTGTTAGACCTAGATCTATTAGTATTAACAGCATATGATATCTTACCATATGAAGTATTATCTCCAAATAATATGGGTTCATTTTCCTTTTCCGGTGTCATTAAACTCATAGAATTAAAATCATGGAAAGGATCATCGTCCGCCACATCATCATCATATTCAATTTCTTCTGTGAAAATATCCTTTTCATCCATATATGATTCAGAATTTCTTTCAGTTCCTCTAGAGGATTTATTGTTATTATTGGACAAACTACTAAATTCGTAACCACTTTCATTTAAAATTGGAATTAATGGAGGTTCTTGATTTCTCAAAAAAGACCATTTTACTTTCTTGAAAAAAGGATGTTTTTTAAGATCTGCAGCTCCAGATTTTGATCCTAGTCTCTTAGCCTCATTTTTGACTAATAATTTTTTAATCAAATCTTTACATGTTCTAGATACATCATTATTATTTGGAAATGCAATATCTTTTGTCAAAATGTTAGCAAACGTCTGTTTTGCATCTTCTCCCTTGAAAGGTGTAAATCCATACAACATCTCATAAGATAAAATACCAAGTGTCCACCAATCAACAGCACCAGTATGCCCTTTACCTCTAATCACCTCTGGTGCAATATATTCTTCAGTTCCAACAAAGGAATTAGTTCTGAATCCATCAATCTTTGTATCAACTAAAGAGTCTTGTGTCTTAATAATTTGCGGTGTCTTGGAATTTGGTGCTTGAATTGACAAGTCAAAATCAGAAAGCATAATATGTCCTGATTGGTGTAATAAAATATTTTCAGGCTTTAAATCACGATAAATAAATCCAAGTAAATGTAAATATTCTAAGGCTGCAATAACCTCCGTAATGTAAAATCTAGCATCATTTTCACATATTGTTTTGGTTTTTCTTGTCTGCAAAGCTCTAAAAAATTCACCACCCATACAATATTCCATACACAAGTATAGATAATCTTCAGTTTGAAAAGAATGATATAGTGTCACAATGAAAGGGTGGTTACTAGTTGCTAAAATTTCTTGTTCTGCAAGAATCCTTTTAATTTTCTTACGTCTAATCATATCACTCTTTGAAAATATTTTCATCGCATATAATCTGTCAGTCTTTCTTTCTCTAACCAAATACACTGTTCCAACATCACCTTTTCCAAGAACTTTAATTTTTTCAAAAGACTGAGGTGTAACAACAGCATTTTTAAATTTATTACCAAAAGATTTAGTTCTTAAACGATAAGAACGTTTGGGTTCGTCCAATTCTGATAGAAGATGCCTAACATTCCCCAAATCTTCCTTTCCACCATGATAATAAGTGTTGTCTAATTTAGTCTCGGAATTGGAGATTGGTAACGGCTTTTTAGTTGGTGAATTATTCATTTCTTCCACAGCGGTATCTAACAATTTCATTCGTGAAGAAACAATTGAAGATGCTTTTTTAAAAGGTGATGTAGCTATAACACCTGAATTCATTTTATCATCAAATGTATCAATTGCTTCATTTTCTGTAATGTTATCTAAAGATATATTACTTAATGACCGAGGATGCAAAGATAAGTTACCAAAGTTTGCCAAATGTTGATTGCTTATAGTGTTTTTTGGAATAAAACCAGTTGCTGCAATCATGTTATTTGATGTAGCTGATGTTAGAGAATGGGAAGGGAAATATGATATTGCTTTACTATTTGTTAAATTTGTGATTTCATGTGATGGCGATAAAGGCTGTATATTTTGATTTCTAAAAGGATTGCCATTACTAAATGACATATTTGATGAACCAACTGAACTGTCCCCTGTGGGAGTAGATAATATACTAGGTGAATTAATGTTAGAGTTATAATTACCATGACTAAAAAGAAGTGGTGCAGATGGTGTTCTCCTTCTACTAAAATAATCTTCTTGTTCTTCTTTTTGCTCTAACACTTGTGCTTTCCCTATTGGACTAACAGTATCACCCATTTCATTGTCAATACCCATTATCCTACCTATATTAGAAGGTTCTTGGACCAATTCTATAGGTTCTCCAATATCCTCTTCACTTGTTTGACTCGAACGTAGTTGTGCTACATCATGATTAATTTGACGAGAGGGACTTACAATTGGTAAGCTTGATGATTCTTTATTAAAGTAATTGAACGAAGGTAAACGACCTTTCAATCTGCTGGATATGGATAGACCAGTTCTCGACTGTTCTGCATCCAAATTGTCGTTCTTAATGGTTTTTCCATTTTCATCTAAGTTACTTTTATTGGTTGTTGTCATAGTGGGTGATGCAGATGTGCTATTACTACTAAAAATATTTTTAAATCTATGAAATCTAGTTATATTCTCAACGTTGTTGGACTCACATATATCCTGATTCATAACATGATTCTCAATTGTTTTTGGTGTTGGATGTTTTGGATCAATACGATTATTTGAATCCTCACTGTTTGCATGTTTCTTACCGATGGAATTAAAATTATTTCGTATAGCTTGAGATTCATGAATAGAAAAAGATAAAGAAGAAGAAGAAGAAGAAGGCGATGATGATGATGAAGATAAGGAGGATGGCGTGAGATTAGAGGCAGCAGTAGAATTGGAAATTGGTGGGTTATTTTTTTTAAATGAACGACCAAATAGTTTAGGAAATGACATACTTCTTGCCTTTAAACCCAATGGAACAGATTCCTTGGCATTCACTTCTTTAGATCCATTCATGATAATTCTAAAAGAGAATACTTATTTATTGAAAATTTTGTGAGTAGAAGATCTGTACAAAGCTCAGCTTTCCTTTGTCTTTATGGAATGATTATACTTTCAGGTAAAATGTTGTGTAGAAGAGAATATGTCAATAACACAAACATACACATCCAAATTATTCAAATACTGCTAGTTCGTTTGTCTCTCTTTATTTGCTGCTTGATATGTTATGTATTCATGTACTGTTCCGTTTGATCCATTCTGTTTTCTGTTTATAGTTTCTGCCTTACACTGAGAAATATTTAATTAACGATTTGAAAATTTCAAATAGGAAGGAGCCATTTCGTTTATTGTCAAAACAAAATGTACAAAAGATAGACATACACAGAAAAACATAGAAAACTGGTCAGTAACTATCAAATACCACGCTTTGTTTCATCCAATATTGTGCTGCAGGATCAACCATTATTCTTGTTCATTACTATAGGTGTGTATTTATAAGGACATAGAAAAAAAAAAAAAAAAAAAACAGATGCTTTATTTGACCATCAAAGGTGACTTATCCTCAAACATTGAAAAAGTGACTCCTCACGACCTAGAGACGGAACCTGCAGAATTTACATTTGATGTTGTTTGTACAAGTTGTAGAGAAGCTCATGACTCTCCTATTATGATCAATTCTTTCGAAAGGCATGAAATGCCTGGAAGTCGAGGTGAAGCTTCGTTCCTTATGAAATGTAAGTTTTGTGGCAAAGATTGTTCTATAAATTTGGAACACTTTGAAGATTCTTTGTATAATGAACCAAACATTAACAAAGACAAGAGAAAGAAACATGGATTAAATAAATTAAATGATAACGTTGCTGTTATTCTACAACTAGATTGTAGAGGTTGTGATGTCACTAAATTTTACTTTAATAGTAATTTGATCTTTGATGTTCAGTTAACCTCTGGTAAAATAATGGAATGTCAATTTGACCAAGGTGAAAATGAATGGTATGATTATGATGAAGATTCAGGTGAAGAAGTTTCAATCACATCTTTTGAATACGAATTTGTTAAAGGTAAATAATTTAAATAAAATTGTAGATAAACGTATATGATATATATACTCTTTTTGTTTATATATTTATTTAATAGGTCACCCAGTTATTGCTGTTAGGTTTATTCACTGCCTATTTCATGATGAGTTCTAGTAATCAAGAGTATCTCTATTTCTCAAGTATAGAATAGAAAGTCGAAATGATCATGCCAATAATGCGCTGAATTGCATCACATAATTAATAATAATAATAAACATATTATACTGTCACCAAATATATGAATTCTTTTCGCAGATCCTATATATGTAGTAATCAAAGGCGTTAGGTTATATGAAATGGTATGTGGTGAAGAGGAAATGCTGCTTGTAACTAGATTGCTTGTAACTCTATGACAAACGTTAGTATCACTGCATGGCTTCATAACAGAGTCTGAAAGTGATGAAGCAATAGTCTCTATGGAATATGTGTTTTTTATGAATGTTGAACTTAAAACTTCAGTATTATAACTGTTTGATGTAATAGTACTAGTAGTTTCATGGCTTGAAATTATAGTTGTTATTACAGTGTTGCTATCTATTGAAGTTTCTGAATTCGCTGATTTGATTGGTATCAAACGAACTGAATTGAAACTAGTAGAGCACCTAGTACAAATGAAACTACCAGAAGTAGATTCTGGAACAGTTGTACATTGCAATCCTGTATATATCTCTGAACTTCGTTTATCTTCTTGATTTGTTTCAGTATCACTAGTAATAATCTTCGATAAAGATGATTCTACAAACTTTGAACCATTAGCAGTAGGTGATACTATAATTTTCTCAGAAGTCGTTGATAGAATGATTGAATTAGTATTTGAAGTGGAAACACCGTTAAGAAAACTAGAGATAACTTCTGTATTAGTATGCAAATCATTGATAACAGTGGATGTGGTATATTTATTAGAGACTGAGACTGGAGAGGAAACCGTTTTCACAAAACCGCTCGTACTAGTAGCTAATTCACATCGACTGTCTTTACAAGTGACTAATAATGGGCACCAAGTAGTATACTGAGTTACTATTCCATGGAATGTTGCAGTAACTGTAATTATGGAAGAGATGATTTTACTTGATATTATTGAACTACCTTGTGAGACCATGGTAGTATGGATAGGTAAAGATGCGGAAGAAGTAATTGAGCATTTACTGTCAGTACATGATTCGATAGTAATAAATGTGACTGAAGTGGAAGTAACTTTATTTATTTCTGTTAACATGGAGAGTGTAATAGACTTAGGGCTACTTGTGGGGGAAAACGATCTTACAGATAGAATGCAGACATCATCCTTACATGAGTTAACTGGTACAATAGTATTAACAGTATATTTAGAGGGCAATGTAATTGATTCTTTTCTTCTATTAGTAACAGACATTGCACACATACCACTCAAACATGAGCTCCTTTTAATTTTTAAAGGACTTGATAATTTAAAAGAAGAAACTTGTATATCAGAACTCTTAACAGTGCATATCTCATTAGAACATCTAGAAATGAGAGTAGTGGAAGTGATCGAAGGAGTGGAAGTTGTAAAAGTTCTAGTTATACTACATTCTCCATATGGACATGATTCTATCAAAATTATTGTAGTATGTTGTTTATCTATGGTTATGGTAGAAGACCTTACTCTAATTTCAGGAATATCAACTATGGATGCCATTTTCCTAGTAGAAGTAACTGTAATGGTAGAGGGGTATGTATTTTGTGTAGGTAATACTAAGTTAGTAGAATGAGAAGAAGAGACTCTGCATTGATCTTTAGAGCATGACTCAATAGAAATGATTTTTGTCGATATGACAGGATACCAAGTTGTAACAACAGTAACCGAACCTTTTTCAGTAGTAGTGAAAGTAGAATGTAAGTATGTAGTTACAATTCTAGTATTAAAAGTGAAGGATTTTCCTTTGTCAGAACATGAGAAAGATGAAGATGCTGATGATGCAAAAGACAATTCTGCAGAAACAGATGCTGTATTTGTTTTTGACCTGGTGTGTTGAGAAAATGATGATCCAATTATAAAGGTAGTTTTAACACCAGGTGATAACTTAACTGAGGTTTCTGGATAAGTTGTTGTTGTAATAATATTTGATAAGGGTGATGAAATAGTATTTTTAAAGTTTTGAATATTTTCATGAGGAGCTCCTATTAATGGACACCAAGTAGTATACAGAGTAACAATTCCGTTTGAAATTGTGGATATAGTTGATATTGAATAGTTAGTAGAAATAGATATTCTTCGTGAATATGATAATAGCGAAGAAGTTAATGGTAGTCTGGATTGAGTTGATGTTATATTGCCATTTGAGGAAGTTGTAATTACAAAAGAAGTATATGAGGAAGTAAGACTTGTAAAAATAGAAGAGGAAATTGATACCCTTGATGGAACTGAACTCTTATGAGATATTAACTTGGATGTAGTTGTGATATTATCACTCATAGAAAGCTTAGATATAGTTGCGCTGGTAGTTAGCTTTGTCTGCAAAAATAAAGATGAACTATAATTGATAGTTCTTGAAAATATGCTACTATTATTACTAGCATGAACATTTACCATTTCAGAGTAAGGCAAAGTGATAGTTGATGGAGTGATACTAAAGGAACTATCAGAATCTTGGCTAAAAATAGAGGAGCTGGGATATCTATCAGAGTTAAAATCAAAAGAGATTGTGGATGAAGCTATAGCGACATCAACAGACTTAGAATGTGCTTTAGAACTAGTACTTTTAATATATGATGAAATTATATCATTTGAAGATTTTAAGTAGCCAGAATATGAAAAATCCTTAGTTTGAGAGACAGAGAAAGAAAGCATAGTCAATGGACACCATGTAGTATATTGAGTAATTACTCCTCCAACTGTAACAGTTGTAGTTGAAAGACTAGCGGTATAAGTGACAACAGTTTCAATATCTTCAGATGTTAAAGTAGAAGTTAAAACAATTAAATTATTACCATTATTAGTGTTAGATGACAATGTAGTCTGGTTCCAATAAATTGCTTGTGATTTGGCAGGTACTGCTACAAATGATAATACTATTAGCGCATATATTAAAGTATTAATGGAGAAATTATTTGCTCTCATCATATACATGTAGTTGATTGATTGGTTATCTTATTTGATAGATCTGAATTTTGTTTATTAACATCTTTAAAATGATCATATTGGAAGATATAGATGTCTAAACCATATCATCCATTTTATATATTAGAGTAGTAGGGAGGTCTACTGACTGATTACATTACAGATAAACTCTATATACACTTCTCTTCTTTTTCTATATAACGGTTATATCTTTGTGTCTTATTATTGTAATCCATGTAACCTTTTTAAAACAAATTTGTTACAAAGCACATACATCTCCAACACATAAACAAAAAAATATGAAAGAAACAAAGAAAGAACACTTCTCAAACAAATATAAAATAAGAATTCATCACAATCATGAAACATTGACATTGACGAAACTATGAAATCGTTTAAACTTGGCAAGACACAAAACTAATTCAAAAATATATAGAATAATTTAGATATCATACATTCAATACAAATATATACTAAATATACACTTTACATAATTATTCCAATGTATTCATAAATATCTTATTCTTATAGAAATCGTTAGTATATTAAGTGTAAAAGTAAGTCACAAATATAATATCATATGATTATTAGTGATTTAATGGCCCTGTAAGGAAACATAGTTACTTGGAAATAAACCTTTTTCTCCTGTTTTTTCTAATTCGCCTAACCACCAGTCATCATCTACAAAGTCGATGTTGATGATCTTGTCACCTTCTTCAAACGTTAATTCGTTATCCTCGCCTGCTTCATAGTCATATTCTGCAATTGCCCATGGCGTTGATTCTTCTTTTTGTTCTTGTTCTGGTTCTGGTGCTACATTTCTTCTTGGTGGAGGTGGTGGAACATATATGTCTTCTTTATCTTTTTCTACAGGTTCAGGTGCAATATTTCTTGAAGGTAATGGTGGAGCAATATCCTCATTCGATTCTGGAACAGCATTTCTTGGTGGCAAACTTGGTACTTGTTCTGGTTCTTCTTCTTCTTGCTCTTGTTCTGACTGTTGGTTTTTTTCTTTTTCTACGTCTTGACTGTTAGAGACATTTCTTGGTGGTAAAGGAACTGATTGTCTCTTTGGAAGAGTTTCTTCTTCATCAGACCAGTCATCATTATCTTCTTCTTCTTCATTTTTCAATTTTATATCATTTGCAATTTCTTTATCATGCATACCAGGTAATGGAGTACCAATAGTTTTTAACTCAGATTTTTCTTTGGATGGAATATTTGATGTGTCTTGAGCTTCAGCGACGGGAGGAACAAATTTTTGTGGCTGAATAATTTTTGGTTCAGAATTGTTAGATTCAGTATTAAATTGTTCGAACTTGGATCTTAAATCTTTAATATCATCATGTTTCTCAAAAGCAACTTCCGAACCAGGGGAAGAGGTAGAGGTAGATTCATTTGTAGTGGACCCTGTTTCCTTTTCCTTTCTCTCGACCCATAATTGAGCAGGAGACTTTTCATTTTGAAAACCTTTAATAATTTTATCATCATGTTGTTGCTTAAAAACTGGGTTCTTTAAAAAGGAATCGATTTCATAATCTCTTTGTAATTTTGATTGTGCCTTCAAATTAGCAATATCTTCGCTTGGATTAATCTTAGAATCATTGTCAGCACCCTTCATAACAACATTTTTCACAATACGTGGATCTTGTTTGTTCTTTTCCTCTGTAATAACATCTTGTAAATTGACTCTGCCTATGGGTTTATAATTGGATGGGTTTGGCTTTAGCGGATTTTTGTCTAAATCACGCTCCTCAATTTCTGGTTCATCCCAATCATCATTGTCATCTTTAACAGGAGTATGTTTAGTGATGTTGGCAGTTGGAGTAACTCCAGAAGAAGAAATGGGGTTAAGTTTTGTTTCTTCCTCCTTTTTAATGTTAGAGGCAATGTTATTTCCCAAATTGTTTGAATCAGAGAATTTCTTCTTTACAACAGATGGAGCGTTTGTTGAAGATGACACTTTTGTTTTAAATTCAGATTGAATGGAATATCTAGCACCAGCAGCATTAGACATCTTGGCCAACAATTCTTGTTCATTTAGATCATCATCACTACGAGCTGTGACTTGAACATGGTATCCCTTTAGGACATTATCTGCCACAACAGCAAAGTTAGAGGCAAAAGAGGCCCTACTTTTCATTGAGGCACTATCTGGACACCAACCGATAAGAATCAATTTGTACACATCAGATCCTGGAGGAGAAACACGAGCTAGACCGTATTGGACTTTGGTGTCATCAAAGGACTGCAAGAAATCACTGAAGTTATTACCAGTGGCTTCAGGACCATATTCTTTTGATTCATTGGGCCCAATAATTAACCAGGTGGTAGTTTCATCTGTACCTTTGACAATTTTCAGATATTCAGCCTCAATTTCCCTTGAACGAGAGGTATAATTGATTGGTTCTAAAGCCATATTTTTTTTATATTTATGTATAATTGAAGGATGGTAGCAGCAGTAATCAATGACTATTCGTCTTAGAATACTAAACAAATACAACAACAATTGTAGTTCAATAGAACTGAAATTCACTTTTTTTTTTCTACCTCTTTAAAGAGATTGAATTGTTGTGGTTGTTAATTGTTATGACTGTTTTCTAATAAATCGCCAACTTGTCATTAGCTCCTCCCTTTTTGATCACTTTAGGCAAGGCTTTGTTATTTTGTTTTTTTTTGTTTTCCTTTGAAAACGCTTCAAAAGGAAGAAAGAGGGGGGATAAAGAACGAAGAGAAAATTAGAATATCGGTCAGGTTTTACCTTATCGTTTACCACAGCCCTATACTAGTACAACAATACTTAAAGGAAATGGTACTATTTTACAACATCAGCCCTAATTATTGTTGGGAACAAATAATTGTAGAAAAAAGATGATTAAACAACCCATACATCCCATACTTTCCATCAAGATCTTCCATGTGAATTTTTAATCTTTATATTCTTTTTTTTTTTTTTTTTTTTTTTTGGAAACTTAAAATCATGTTGTACGGCTCATCGCAACAGATTTTTTTTTTTTTTTAAACTACCATATTAGACAAAACTGGATAAATAAATAAAGAAAGCTTTTCTTACTTGTTATTGAAGTCCTTGCAAATGCAGATGTGGTTGGCAATCTATTTTTTTCAAATTGAATAGTAAGTCTTTTTTGTTGTTTCACTTAATTTTTGTAATTTTGTCTTAAATAGAACAACAATAAAAAAAACATTACAAAAATTTACTGTGTTAGGTACAATTTAAACCATATTGCTATCAATCCCCAAATAAATATTTTGAGAATTTTAATTTGTTTTGTTTTTTATTTTTATAATCTAATTTAATAACCAGCAAAAAATGGTTACTTTCAATTGCGAAGTTTGTAACGATACAGTTCCAAAAAAGAATACGGAAAAGCATTATTACCGTTGTCCTAATGCTTATTATACTTGTATAGATTGTTCAAAGACATTTGATGACGGGTACAGTTACAAGCAACATACTTCTTGTATAACTGAAGATGAAAAATATCAAAAGTCGCTGTATAGAGGCAAAAAGGGAGCAAATAAATCAAAAACAACAAACAATAACAATAACAACAACAGCAGCAATAATAATATTGCTAATAGTACTAATAATAATAAGAACAACAAAAACAACAAAAATAATCAACAAAAAAAGCAAGGAAAAAAGCAAGATTCTAAAATTAAGGAAAAAGTTGATACAAAGAAAAAAGTTGAAAAGGAAAAGAAAGTGTCAAAGCCAATTATTTTTAAAGATGGTGAATCATTATATAATTGTTTAAAGAATATTAAAGATAAAGATCAAAAGAAGAAATTATTAAAATCTGTAATATTAAAGCAAGATCCTGAAAAAAGGAATTCATTTATCATTTCTGTATAAGAAAAAAAAGGTATGAACATAAATATCAATGTATAGATGTATATTAACCTAATAGAAGTATGAATATTTCCTATTCTCTCCCGATTTAGCCTTAAATAACAATGAAAGTAGCTATATATATTTACTTGTTTGTCCGCTTATTCAGACACTTGGACATCTTTGAATAAAATTGATTCAATGCATCCAATGGGAAACTTAAAGTTTCAAACATATAACTTGGTAGTTTCTCCTGTAACAGTTTTAATTCATCTAAGGACAGTTCTTTTAACAACGGTACATAAATAATTTCAGTAGTATTCTTATTCTTATCTATATCGCTCAATTCTTCCTTTTGTTCACCAATATTATCATTCTTTACCTCACCTTTAACAAATCCTAACTTATAATCTATTGATATGGTATTATTACCTTGGGATATATTAAACCATAATCCCTGATCGTCCTCATATGGTGACCCTGTCTGTACCCTAACTTGCACCATATGCGAAAAAAAATCTTTAATGACTTCTAAATCTTCATCTCCCTGTGAGCATTTTGTTGATAAATCTTGATTTGTTTTCTTCAAAGAAGCTACTTCTTTTCGAAGTTGTTCTATCTCCTGATTTTTGTTCTTTAATTCTGATTCTAATTTGGCATTGAGATTTACTGTCTTAGTTACTAATAGATCTGCATTGTCTAATCTTTCCTGAATAGATTTCTTGTATTCAATGATGGATTCCATGTATTTTATTTTATGTCACTCTACTTTATTTATATACTTGAAATAATTGTGTCCCTCAATGTCTGCTGCAATGTCTTACAATAGCAACACACCTCATATGCTAACTGGAGTAAATATATACTAGCCGATCTGTATATACAACTAAATCAGATTGACCACTACCACTATCTCCACAAAGAGTCTGCTGCAGTTGGTGCCTCTATCCTTCACATCACATAACTAGATTGAGGTGCTCAAGAGGTTGGAGAAAAAGAAAAAGAAAAAAACATAGATGTTTTTCTCTCCGTTGCCCCGCCGCGTGGGTTCCTCGAGAATGGGTGTACGGATGCAGAGGCTGGAGAGATCTGTGTTAGATCTTTGATTTTTCAAGTTGGGTTCACATCTTCAATAAAGAACAAGATAGAGATAGTGAGAGAAATAGGCACAGAGAAGCCTTCAATTGATGTATTTCAATCTTAACCTTTGTTTCTTGCATTCCCTACCCCCCTTCCTTTTTCTTTACGTTTTTTGTTCAATTGATATAGCTTTCCTACAGAATGTTATTAATTTCATGAAATATCAGAGGACCTACTGAGGTAAATTGTGGTTACAAATTTTATTTTTTTAGTATCCAAAGTTATTGTAAAAGGGTAGATAAATAAAGATATAGAGATAGATACATATATACATATATAACAGGAGAAGTTACTCTTTTTTTTTTTTTGTTTTTTTTCTTTTTGCCTATTTTGTTTACGTCATTATGTCACAGAGTAAAATAGATGATTTGCTGGAGAGTATAAGACATGAATTTGTCAAAGTGTCACAGGACGCAAATTCATATCGATTACAGAACCAAAAGGATTTTAATTTTAAAGTTGGCCAACAATTGGCAGAAATGCAACAAATCAGAAGTACTGTCTATGAACTAGAATTGGCTCATAAAAAAATGAAGGACAGTTATGAGGAAGAATTAAGTCGTATGAAGTTGGGATTGGAAGAGAAGGATCGTCAAATTCAATCTTTACTTATTCAACAACAACAATGGCAACAAAAATTCCAAATACAAAATATTTCTCAAAATGCTTCTCAAACATTTGATGGTCCAATAGTAGCCTTACAACAACCAGATAATAGACTTTCAGTTGCTAGTATTACTAGTGATATTCATATGGTTGTCAATTCGACAGCTGACAATGCGACAAAAGCTCAAACATCTATACCTATAACTACTACTAACGTTAATGCTTCTGTTGCCATGCCAACTAATACAGTGTTACATCCAGCAAACACACCAATTACGCATGTAGGGGTGAACTCATTGATTTCCCAGGATAATGATGACAGTAGTTGTGGTAACAACTGGCAAAGACCACAGTCCACTATAAAATCTGATGATATTAAACATAATCAAAATACAAATTCAAATGCAAGTAATGATAGTTCTACCTCTATTTCACCTTCTATAAATGTATCTCAAGGGTTAGATACTTCAGCAATAGAGACAAAAGAAGTAATTGCAAATTTTAACGTATCAACCAATACAGATTATAATAATAATACAGAGGCTAGCAATGCCTTAGTTACTGTTTCAAGCCAAATAGAAACCCAAAATTCCGATAAGAACGACAATAAACATAATAATAAAAATACCAATCGTATTTTAATTTCTAATGAACGATCAAATAACTCTAAACCTATTCCAAACTTTTTATTAGATTTAAATCCAGTAAATACTTTAGAACAGTGGAAAAAGGTGACACCAGAATACTATATTTTGTATAATCCATCATTACCACGTAGTATTGACGTTGATCTATATATGTCATTTGAACATTCTTCTGTAGTATGTTGTGTCAAATTCTCTAATGATGGGAAATTTTTGGCTACTGGTTGTAACAGAACAGTACAGGTTTATAATTTAATCACTGGTGAATTAGCATGTTCATTATCTGATGATAAGACTTTAAATACGCATTTGAATCAATCTACAATCATATTATTTAATGAAACTATTAACGACAGTGTAAAGGATAATAATAGTAGTGATTTATATATTAGATCAGTGTGTTTTTCCCCGGATGGTAAAATGTTAGCTACAGGTGCAGAAGATAAATTGATAAGAATTTGGGATTTAGCAGAGAAAAAAATTTGTATGATATTAAAAGGTCATGAACAAGATATTTATTCTCTTGATTATTTCCCATCCGGTGATAAATTAGTATCAGGATCAGGTGATAATACGGTGAAAATCTGGGATTTGACAACTGGACAATGTTCCTTGACTTTATCTGTTGAGGATGGTATCACTACCGTAGCAGCATTACCTAATACAGGTAAATATATTGCTGCAGGTTCCTTAGACAGATCTGTTTGTGTTTGGGATTCAGAGACGGGCTATCTTGTAGAAAGATTAGATTCAAAGAACGAAATGAATAATGGACATAGAGATTCTGTATACAGTGTTGTCTTTACAAAAGATGGGAAGAGAATTGTGTCTGGTTCATTAGATAAAACAGTAAAACTTTGGAGCTTGGCACATTTAGATAACAACAATGTCATAAATGGGACAAGTCACTGTGAAGTAACGTATGTAGGTCATAAGGATTTTGTGTTGTCGGTGACCACATCAGAGAATGATGAATATATTTTATCTGGATCCAAGGATCGTGGTGTTATCTTTTGGAATTCTGAAACAGGAGAGCCGCTGTTGATGTTGCAAGGTCATAAGAACTCAGTCATATCTGTTACTATGGCCAACAATCACCCAATAGGAGGTGATTATTTCTTATTTGCTACAGGTAGTGGTGACTGCAAAGCTAGAGTATGGAAGTATCAAAAGATCTTAAAATAAACTATTGAACATATCCAACCTGATAAGAATAAAAAAGAAGAATAAAGAAGAAAAAGATAAAGGGGAGATGGAAAAGTTTCTTGAGGTAAAGGAAACAATGTTTTTTTTTGTTCTTTTGAATTTTTGTGTTTTATAAATATTGCATTAGTATCATTAAATATTATTAGTGTGCATTGCTTTGATTTATGTAAATTTGGAAGATATCAAGCACTGCCATTTTTCCATAGATACAGATCAGTATTTTAACAGCAATACCTATATATACATGAATAATTTTAAAACCTTACTTACTTATCGAATATCGATTTTATTATAAATATTTTAAAAAGAGAATATTAAATATGTATGTATGTAGATATGTAAATATAATATTTCATTTCATTTCATTTCCTTTTCCTTTAAAACTGCAATATTTGTATGTAAACTGTGTGGATTAGCACCAACGATTTTATCAAGTATCTTCCCATCTTTAGTAAAAACAAAAGTGGGCATAGCGACAACCTCACATAATTTAGCAATCTCTGGTGATTCATCAACATCAATCTTATAGAATTTAATATCTGGATTTTCTTCCACAGCTTGAGAGATATGTGGGATCATAGCTTTACACGGACCACACCAAGTGGCATAGAAATCAAAGACAGATAATTGGTTTGAATTCATTATCTTGGTAAACTCTTCAGTGTTTTTCAACTTTGTAACTGATGCATAATGAGATTGTAACCTTCTAACACTACTACCACCAGTTAAAAAAAGCTTAGTGCGAGTGGTAGATTTAGCAAACGAGTTTCTTAAGAGAGTTCTTGATAACATAGATTAAAGGTAATATAATTTGGTTATATATATATATATATATATATATATATATGTGTGTGTGTGTGTGTGTGTGTGTGTGTATTGTTTATTTATCTTATATATTTATCGGAATGTATAAAGCGTTTATTAATATGCTAGTTTTATTTAATGAGGTTTCTACTCTGCTCTCTTTTTTATGTATAATATATGTTCTTGGGTTTATTGCAGTTTATTTTTTTTTTCCTCTCGCCAGTTTTCTACCAGAATAATATTCTTAGACTGTTAAAAGGAAAACTACTCAAAAAAAGAAAAACGTAAGAATATACATTCATACATCCATCTATCGTGTATGATTCGTTATAGAAGAACTTTCTACTATTGAAAAGGACAACAGTTGTTTATATACAATTCCTACACATTCTTGCTAATATCAATTAGTTGACTCAATTAGAAGCAAGAGAGGAACATATACTTACACAAGTGTGTCTGTATTTGTATGATTACTTTTCTTTTTGTTTTTCTTTTTTTTTTTTCTATCAATTATAGCAGCCCATCATTTTGTAATGATATCAAATCATCGTCCTCAATAATATAATTACTAATATTGTGTAACCCATACTTACTCCAATCAATACTTGGAGCTAATTGGTTTAATAAAGGTTGTTTCTTTTGCGCATTATCAAGAGAAAATATCTCACGTAATAGAGTAGAGCTATTAACCAATAAATCAGTAAATTCTTCATAATTTTTCACCGCATCCAACCTTTCATAAAGAATTTGTAATTTTTTAGTAAATGTGTCTTGTCTATCAATAAGCTTATTCAGATGTCCTTCCTGTTGTTTGAGAATTTTATAATCTACGTTCTTAATCAAGTCTTGTTCCTGGAACTCTTTGACAGTGTTTATTGTGTCTGTAGAGGTCAACATCTCACCTGATTTTTTAAAAAGTTATAGTTCAGAAAAAACTCAGTGACAAATATAGGAGAGTGCAAGCGTAGTATAGAGGTATATTTTCAGTCAAAACCAGACTCTCTGGGAAGGATGGCTTGACTATATATGTGTGAATATGTGTTATGGATATATATAGAAGTATGTCTTATTAACTTCCAGGTAGAAATTAGAAAAAGTGGTGGCATCCCAATAAAAAAAATTCAACGACAAAAAGTAAAAAATTAGGAAAAAAATGCATGCATGTATAATACCGACGTAAAAGAAATATTGGGCAGCAATAATTATTCTGCGCTTTTCCCAAGGATAATAGTTTGTTGAAGTTAGGGTTTGGTAGAAGATTTCTTAGAACCATCTGATTTGTATGAATTTCATAAAAAATCTAGATTGAATAAACTTCAATAATAACAATACTTTAGGTGCTCTTCTTTTTTGTTTACGAGCACTTTTCTTATGTGAGAGATATTAAGTTAATACCATTAATGGTGGAATAAATATGTAACACAAAACCAAAAAGGAACTTCAACATTGAATTTAAAATCACAGAGAAAAAGAAAAAAAAATTATATATTATATATACACTATATTCTAATTTGGATTCTTATTATCTAAACTGGCATCAAATAATGTCAAATTAAAACAAGAATTGTTCAATGAATAAGTTTCGCCAGGTGATTGATAATTGTTAATATTATTATACGGTTCATTTTGTAACTGACACACGTAAACATGTTTAGATTTGTCGTAGATATACCATTGATTGTTATTGTTATCATTCCAACCTTGTATTGAGGAAGCGTCAGATAGATCAATATATTTGATCCCTAAATCTAATATTTTTGTTTCATCATTCCTATTCTGTGTACTATTATTATATTTTGGTGTAAATGATGAGACTTGGAATGGTGGTAAGTCTAGTAATACTTGAGGAATTTCAAAACGAGTTGCTCCTAGGGAATAAGTTGAGTTCCTATTTAACTGTGTGTCTGAACTATTCTTCTTTAATTTAATGGATGTATAGGTTGGGCTATTATTAAACTGTATACTGCCTTTGTTATTATCACTATTAAAAGGTGATGGCGATCTGATAAATGGAGAAGATACAAATGATGAGCTCTTAATTAAACTCATACTATTTGTTTTATTCAGCTCATTATGTGTCTTAGTGTATGGATCAACAACCGTAGAAGAAACATATATACAATATGCTTTTAGTGATGAAAGAATATCATATATTATTAACTTTAACCTTAATGGTAAAGAGGTGGTTTCAAATAATTGGAAAACGTTCTCAATAAATTTAATTGTACTATCTTTCAGTCTTTTATCTTGTAAATCTTCTACAATGTATTGATAAATCGAAGTTTGATGGATTGTGAAAATTTTCATAATAACATTAATTACATTTTCAACTTTATTTAATTGTTGTGTTTCTAATACACAAAGTTTGGTAAAGGCTTGAGTTAGTACAGCGAACAATGGACGATATAACTCTAGCTGTGTTGATGTTATATGACTAATTTTTTTGAAAAGAGATGTTATTAACTGAATGATTATTAACAAGTATTTGGAAGGTGGTATATCTCCAGCAATGTTAATTTCTAAAAATTTCTTGAAAAAATGTTCTTCCATAATATTAACAATTAATTTCATGGTCTCAACTTCTTCAATAGTGTCAAATATATTGGAACAAAGTTCATTATAGTCAGTATACTCAAAGATACCGAATATCAATGCTTTGATATCCTTGTTGAAATTTGTATTAGATTCCTTCTTTAATTCTTCTATGTAATAATTTGTAAGTCCTTGAAATATCCATAAATTGGAAAAATCTAGTAAATTATAACCCTTGTAAGCATCTAGAATGTTTAGTTTATGTTGTTGTGATGTTCTATCACTAATATGGATACTTTCATTTTCTTCCAGGCCAATAACAGAATTTTCCTCTTCACTTTCGGTTTCACTAATATAATCCTCATTATAAAAAAATATATTTTCTCTTCCATATGATAATAAATCTTTGACAATTTTTTCTGATTTATATACTCCACTGCTTAAGAGTTTAGATAATATCCTTGATGATGTTACAAGCATTTTGGGATTAGAACCAAAATCAGAGATAAGTTGTATAAATAAGCAATAATATTTGGGTAAATTTTCTAAACATGACGTTAAAATTAACTCAAATTTAGTTTTCAAATATTCTTTCTTCTGAGTTTCAAAAAAAATGTAGCATTCAGGAGATTCATACTGCAAAGCATATAATTCTAATAACTTCTCTGCTCCTAATATTCTTCTAACTTGGTCTAGAGTTAATAATTTCTCACAAATTAAAGTGATGAGACCTTGATTATCAAAATATTTTCTCTTTAAAAAAATAGACATAAACTTATTATAATCTCTTGCATTAGCATTCATTAATAATAATAAATTTAATCTAGCTATTCTCCTTGATTCAGAATGCTTAATATTATTGTTACTATTTTCCAATGATGAATTTGTGGATACAAGTAGTTTGATATTTGTTTGAAACATCTTTGTATAATTTAAAATAACATTTTCAAAATTTGTCTCTTGGGAAAGATTTAATTTTGCATATAACAAGTTAACATAACTTTTGTTCTTTTCTAACTTTTCCAACTTCGTTTTCTCTTCTTCATAGACATTTTGTAATTCCGTTCTTAAATCATCATCAATTGCCAAGACCACAGTAAAATTTTGCATAAAAAATTTCCAAAATGGCATCAACGTAATTAAGTTATAACTTTCTGGATTCTTCTTCTTAAAGACATTACAATATAAATATATTAGGGTTTTTGTGAAAAGAATATGGTCATTAATAAACTGAGCAAAAATCATTTGATAATTTAACAAAATGTTGACTAATGTTTCAAGAGTCTCTACATCAACCAACAATTGATGGTATACGATGAATTCTATCCATTTATAGAAAAGTTGTGTAACTTTCAAGTCTAAACATAATATTTTGAAATTGTGTGTTAGCATATGCTTATCCACTGATTCAAAAACTTCCTTAGAACATAAATAATTTAAGTACCATTCACCAAGCATTATTTTCCCACTCATTGGAAGATCATTTAAACTTACTTTTGGATCTTTATCATGTTTTAATAGTATATCTATTTTAGCTTCCACAGATTTGACTAATTTATCAAAATTGTATTTTTCATAATAATAAGGTTCGTATTCCATCACATTTCTTAAGACCATATTGTATTGACTTTTCATTAATGGTGATATTTTTAAATTGATTAACAATGAAACATGAAAAAATTTATCGTTTGAGTCATGAAGATACATTATTCCAGAACTAATTAACTTTCTTATATAAGTAGGAACCTTAATCATGCCATAAGTGTTCAGTATGTTTAATAATTGGTAAAGTGCAAGTAAATTAATATTTTTTTTTATATTATATTTTGATAACTTTCCAATTTGAAAAATTAATGACCATATTACATCTTCAATTTCATATTCAGGAATCTTTTCAGTGAGTAAATTGATTTGTAACAACAATATTTTTGTTACTAATTGATTGGACTCGTAATGAGATTTTCTAGATGGATGGATTGACCATAGGATTAACTGTAATACTTGAGATACTTGTAGTGGGTTTTGTTCCACATATTGAGGCCAATCGAAATCTGCTTGAATACCATCTAATTGTTTCAAAAATTCAACATCAATATTTGGGATGTTAATGATCCTAATGTGAGGTTGAGATGTCAATGGTTTAAAAATATTTTTTAGGTCCAAATGAGGAAAGGAGTTAGATAGGCTGGATTTATTTATAAGCATTTCTATATGGTTATTATTACTCATTGTATTGTTAGAAGAAATATTTTTATTTTGGTCATTGGTTGTAGACAAGTAATTAAAATTTAACAGCGAATTATTCTTGAACATATCATTTCTGTAACTAATTAATTCTAATTTTTTTTGGATATCTAATTTTGTTTCCTGATTTTTAAGCTTATTAATAATTTCATACAGACAAGGTTTATACAATTCCCAACTTGAACTTTGGAAAAGGAAAATCTCTAAGCATTGATCTTGAAACAGTTTGCAAATCAGTTGACTTATTATTTTTAATAAAGAATTTTTGACCTTATTGTTTTTTTTAATATCATTTACTATATATTTTTCATCAGTGATCATAGACTTACTTCTTGAAATTGAGTAGTATTTGCCTAATAAACTATCAGCAATCTTTGAAACTAAAAATGAATTAGAGTTGTCATATATATTATCCGATATTTTATTTGAGTATTTGGTCATGTCATTCCAAAATAATAGTAGAATATGCAAAGTTAATGGTAAAAATTCAAAATTTTCAAGTTTAGCAATAAATTCAATAAGCCAATGAAAAAAAATCTGTCTATCCAGTAAATTTAAAGTATAACAATTACCTAATAATTTCAAAAAATAAAATATATCTAATTTCCATTTCTTTAATTTATTTGAGTCATTATAAACTTGTTTCATTTCAAAGATCAATCTTTCTAAGATAAACACAAATGCATCAGTCCATTCTTTGTATAAAATACAATGCTCTTTACAGTTTTCTACAACAGATTCATTGGAGAAAAGCGAAAGATTATTGTTATTATATTTCTGTTGTGAATTGGCGTGTTTAATTTTTAGATTTTGTGCTTCTATTGAATAGCAGCACTTGATTAGCCATATAGCTCTTCTTATCGGAATATTTTTAATATAGCATTGCTCTAATACCTGTTTTTTTTTAAGACCATGTGGTATAAACTCTGATGTCTTGGATAAAGATGCATATGGGGAGCTTAGATCCTGTAACCATTTTTCCTTTTTATTATCTGTTAAAGTTACACGGCTAGGTAGTTGAAAGTATGGGCCAGCTAATGGATTAATCAAAAATAGACCATTTTTGTTGGTGCTTTTATCAGGTAGAACATGATTACTACTTTGATAAGATTCTAGCTTAAGATTTAGAGTAGTGGCAGGTATTTTATTTATCTGTTGTTCTCTTATTTGTAAAATTTTTGAAAACTGTTTTGATAAATGATCTGATAATTTTGGTAAAGAAGTATGTAGGGAGGATCGTGCCGATATACTTTCAAAATTAACTTTTGAGGATACATAATAACCCTTTGAAACAAAATTTAGTAAAATTTCGTCTTCTTCTGAATCGTGTCGCCATGGCTTGAAATCCGGATATATATCAGTTGTAATTCTATCATCTTCGTTGAAAAGATCTGTATTCGAATCACGATGTGGTAAATATGGATGTAGTTCTTCTGGTGGAGTCAATAAATATTTTCTAGGAGACATGGTATTGAATATGTCTATTTTTGAAATTTTTATAGCAATTGATAACTAATGAATAAATGAAGTAGTGGAAGTGTAAATATGTGATTATGGTGACGCAATGGTATGTTATAAAATGCAATATTATGCAATATATCGTTTTTTCTCTTGTTTCAAAACTTTTGATGTTGATTTTCTGATAAGTATAATTGAAATAAAAGTTATTCCCTGGATATAATTGTTATGTTTCAAATAATAATAATTAGTCACTTTGATTAAAATATTATGGAGGAACTTTTATGTTTTTGTATAAAGTATCGAAAGAGTTTACAGTGGGTAAACGTTCGATGGCTAGTCGACCATTTAATCATTTGATCCTTTGCAACTTTTCAAATCATTCTTAACAAAAATGTTAAGGGCGATATCAAATTTGTTGAAAAGAGAAGTATGGAAGGAAAAAAAAAAAAGCAAGAGAGAATCAGACAAAACAGTATTAGAACAAGAAAAGCAATGGAATTAAGAGTAAAAAAGGCAATAAGTGTGAATATATATTTATGTAGGTGATATGGATATTATTAATATGAAATAACAAAAAATATATAGAAGAGCAATAATAAGAAAAAAAAAAAAAAAAAGAGAGAGAGGGGAGGGGGAGAGAGAAAAATAGAAAAGAATATATTAATTGTATGAGAAAGAACAAGGAAGAAGATTTATGTTAATGATATTTTAAGTAGTTTGGATTCTCTTGATGCCCCTGTTCTATCTATAGTTGGCCAATTGCCCCAATTTGGCAATCTAAGCACTAGACAAGTAGCGTTGTCCGCATCTTTATTAGCAATTGTGGTGATGAATTCAATTACTTCATTTGCCACGTACTGTGGTGTTGCTACTTTCATTCCTCTTAGATTAAAGGTTGTGGTAACTAAATCGACGCATTCTTGATCAGATAATAAATCTGTCACGCCATCAGTGACCATCATAATAAAACATTCGTCACCACCGAATTGCAATTTTGATTTCTCACTGTATGGTAAATTTTTTGTATTTCCAATGAGGTAAGAGTAGATATCTGGTTCTGCAGAGAGTCCTTCTCTTTTGACCATAATGTCGCCAAAAGATCTTGTATTTGCATAGTTATTTAGAAATCTTGTTTGACCAAATGCGTCCAAATCTGGTGGATCCAATAAACGGCCTAATCTTTGAGATTCTCTTTTATTGGAAGGGTGATGTGGTTGAGACAAATTATGTGCGATCCCATTCGAATCACAGATAATGATGCGGGAATCGCCAACTTGCGTGACTACTAATTTTAACAATCCTGGTGGATTTATGAAGAATGATTCATCGTTAATGAAGGATGGGGAGGAGGAAGAAGAAGAAGGAGAGATAGTTGATGAAGTGGAGTAAGGAGATATAAATATGGAAGATGCAGTGGATCCTCCATGCAAAGTGCAACATTGCTCTAGGTCGAACTTTAAAAAATTATAGAAAAATTTTAACCTTGTATATTCATTCAGTAAAGAATTTTTATCTATTAAATTACCAAATTTGTCAAACAACATTCTTGAACCCAACTGTTCCGAATCAAACAATACCTGTTCTTGTTTTGTGTTGCAATGCTGTATATATTTATTATAAAAATTTTCTCTATTCTGGTACAGTTTATTCCAATATGTCCCACCGATTTCCTTGGAGTAACGTTCCAATAATTGGAAGAAATCGTGCTTGCCCATTTTCGAATTATCTCCATGGTTGTTATCAAGCAACGTTAAATGTAATTTCTGCGAAAGTAATTTGGCACAGGCCTTACCATCGAATCCATGCCCATCAAACAAAGACATATTTAATACAGGGTGATTGGAAGTAGGACCATAAAAATGACGTAGAATGTTTATTGAATATGTATCATCGTTGTATAATCTGTTAACCCTGGAAGTGGCATGGCCGATCAACCCAGGAAATTTTAATAAAGATATTTTCAAACGAGAAGACAAGTCGGTCCCGTTGCGCGGACTCGTGTTTTTAACAGTATTGCTGACGATATTTTTACCAGGTATATTATTTTGATGAATTTTCTTGATATTTTTCAAAATTTTGGAGCTGAACGGTTTTATCTCTATGAAGGATTTACTTAGAGGCTGCATTGACTCATTCGAAAGTAATATTATAAGTTCATATTATCTCTAATATACAGGTTGCTTTAGAATGTATTGTATAACAGAACAGTCTATACAATCAAGTTTCTTTCTTTTCTTTTGTATATATTGTTGACAGTTGAAATATTCATTTATTCAAGAATGATGAGAACGTACACGTGAAGATCAAAGGACATTTACTCCTGGAAGGATTTGTGATATAGGCACTGCACCCATACATTTTTTTTTTATTCTTTTTGTGTTTTATTGTTTCGATCTCGCAGCAGTCACAGCCGTTCGAAGGGGAGGGAGGGGAGCGGAATTCCTTTTTCTCTTGTTTTTGTTTTTCTTTTTGTTTTTCCTCATCTCGAAGAAAAGAGAGAAAAAAAAAAATCAAACAGAACAAAACACGGAGAAGAGTTCAATTGGGAGAAGCTTGACAGTCTTCAAAACAACAGTGAATAACATTGAACCGTGATTCTGGGTTATATAATGGAAAATATAAGACATTATTATTATTATTATTATTATTATTATTATTATTATTAGTAACTGATTTGTATATAGTATGGATGTATATGCGCTGTTATATTTTTATAGAGGAAAGATACTCTTTATGTACACTGTATTGGTCTACTTTATGGGATTTGTTGTGAGCTTCCCAACGGGGTTCATCCTTGAATAACCTTCTTGCAATGATAAAGTTTTTGGTTGTCAAAGTGAATCTATGATAGACACCAGCAGGGACGATCAAAAGATCGCCTTTATTTACATAACATCGGATCCAATCATTTGTGTTGGCATTTCTGATATCGAAGAACCCGTCCCCGTCCACTATATACCTAATTTCCTCATCTTCATGTAGATGTTCTTCATAGAAAATTTTCAGTTTGGCCAGCATTGCATCATTGTTGCCTTTGAATGCATCTAGGGAAATATTGACTAGATCCTGGTTTTTATAGTCCCTTTCTTTGGCCAATTGGTCGACTTGTTCAGGTTCTGTTATGCAATAATAAAGAACACCGAGTTTTGTCAGTTCAGGCAAAGTGACTTTGATACCGCTGTCATGGTCTTCCCTAAAATCTATTTCATTTTTATTGTCATGGATATAAAATCTGGCCATATTTTTGTTTTCTTTTTGTAATATGAAAGATTATAATTGCTATGCTACTTTCGTTTTTTAAAAACTCAATTAATTTCGGAGTGTTATGTTTTGTCACTAGGCTGAATGGCTATCAGGAGAGAACAAGTAATTAAAAAAAAAAAAAAAAAAAAAAAAAAAAAGAATCAAACAAAGAGAAGAAAACAGAGAGATTTAATAGATTAGACTTGTACTAAATATATTCAAGATAGCATATACACAAATATATATTTTGTATATTTGTATATATATATATATATATATTAATAACCCAGTATCTAACTTTATCGATATGTAGTTTGTTCGGGGGCATGGGTGTATCGGATATACGTTCATAAAACATTATTTTCTTTTTGTTGTGTAATGATTTGTCTCTGGTTTTATCATTTTTTTTTTTTTTGTCTTTACAATCCAGAAAAAAAGTAGAAATGTGTGTATTTTTATCTGTATTTTTGGTGTCAGTAGTGTGTGAATTTGAGAAAACTGTGGGGTCCACAGTTTTTCCTTTTATCTCTGACATCACATCGAGTCATAGAAAGTCTATTTACCGTTAATAATTCAAGGAAACGGTTTGGTATGTTTGCAACAGATTTTATATATATGTGGGTTTCAGTAGGTTAAATAGCCAAACATAACCCTGTATAAAGAAAACCCAAAATATTTAAAAATGCACTCCCTCATCTTGCTTTTAAGATATTAACCATTTTTCTTTTTTTTTCATTTTCTTTTTTTTTTTAATTGAATTCTAGAATAAATAACAAAAGTTTCTAATTCGAAAAATATCTTTATTTTTATGTATAGATATAAAACAACACATTTAGTAAGAATATTATTAGTTACATATATATACAGTAAATCTACAACAGGTAGGAACATGACATGAAACACATTTACTATTGGTTATATGAATATATATATATATATATTCATATTTATCACCCTTCTTCCTTACGGAGGGGGTGAACAAAATCTATTAATTTGTAATTTTGTAGATTTATCAATCTAAGTACACTATATTTTGGTGTTGGCCTTTTAGTTGCTGGAATCTGACTACTCTGTCTGTTTAAGATAAGTGAAGTAAACTTGAATTATAATGATCATTGAATAAGAATAGGAATTGAGGGGGAGTGTACGGATGTTTTGTGCAACTGGCACGTGATCCGTTAAAGTTACCCTCATTTTTCTCTAAGGAAAAAAATTTTTTTTCCTCTCTTTTCTTTTTTTTTTTCTTTTTGTCGTTTCAATCAAACTTTTTCAGGTTGTGGAAAAAGGTCTATTTTTTTAATCTTTTATTTTTTTTGAAGAAATTGGAAGAGAAGACACGTTTTGGATAGTAGAATATACGTTGAGAAATCAAATTAGAAGTATTGAATTCGTTTCTTTAAAGAGTAACATTGTGCATAAACAGTCTGTGTTTTCGTCCCCTTTCCTTCCTCTTTATCTTTTTTCTTATATATATATCAAAAGACTGATTCTTTGTCAATTCTTTATATCTTTATAACTATTTACAAAAGTAAATAAGCCCATAGCTGAGATAACTAAGGAAACAAAGATATGTCATTCTTTGGGTTTGATACGACATTGCCTTCGCATAATAAGGCACAGCAGAATGCCCATTCGTCAGTGACAAGTAATGACAACAATAATGAGATTTTAGATTTTGATGACACTTATAAAGGTTATGGTGAATACGAAGAAGAAGAAGGCGATTATTTAAATGCAGAGACGTTCGGTGGTGACGTTGAGATCGGTACAGATTTTGATTTTGGTCATAGCAATCAAAGTGAACCAATTGTTAATACTAATAGAAAATCTTATGTGCAAGCAGCTACTTCTGGCTTTGGTAATGGTTCCAATAAACAGACCTTACCCAATACTGGCTCTATTGCTACAGTTAATTTAGACGTGTCCGTGGATTTAAAACCAATGGAATCTTTATGGGGCGGTAGTGATGCTTCATTTACTGGTGCTACTACTAATGCTGCCACTAATACTACTACTAATGCTGCCACTAATACTACTACTAATGCTCCCCATGTTTTGTCAATGGAAGAAATTGAAAGACAGCAACGCCAATTCCAACAGTTCAATAATGGACATCCTCCCCATCAAGGGCCACCATATATGCCCCCTCAGGGTTTCATGCCTCCGCCTCAACTTCCACCTCAACAGCAAAATCAAAATGCGGGTCAATTTAATCAACCTGCTTTTGTACCACAACTGTATCCAAACATGTATCACCCTAATCAATACTATCAACAACCTTTGGCTCAAAACCCACAATCGCATCAACAGCAGCAACACCATTTGAGTATGCCTCCCCCAATAAATGTCAATCCAATCTCTCTATCTTCACCCAATGAACAACAACAGCAGTCTGTAGTTTCTGCTTCCATTCCAACTAATGTTACTTCTTCTTCAACTCCTACCAATTCTGCTACTATATCCACATCCACCGCAATCCCTTTATCTTCTCCAATGTTGGAAACGGATTTACATAAAACACCACTAAGCCATACTGCTTCCCCAATGGTTTCTGATCATCCAGAGTTAAACATGTCTGTGAATGCTATTCCTACACCACCAATCCATGCCCCTGTCATGGTTTCTTCACATTCACCTGCTCCTACCCATCAGCAGCAACCACCACAACAACAACAACAGCAGCAGCAACAATCACAAGGCAGATCTTCTCAAAGAAGAGAACCACTGACCCCGGAAGAACAGAAAAGATTGCAAATTCGTCATGCTAAAGTTGAAAAGATCCTAAGACATGCTGGCCTAATGACTCCAAGAGACAAGGATTTCATCACTCGTTATCAATTGTCTCAAATTGTCTCTGATGATCCATACAATGAAGATTTTTATTTTCAAGTCTACAAGATTATCCAACGTGGTGGCGTTGTTGGAGAATCCAATAAGGGTTTAATTGCTAGAGCTTACTTAGAACATTCTGGTCATAGACTTGGTGGACGTTATAAAAGAGCAGATATTGCATTACAGAGAATGCAAAGTCAAGTGGAAAAAGCCGTCACTGTCGCTAAAGAGAGACCACAAAAGAAAAATGATGATAGTTTGAATTCAGGTAACGGATCTGGGCGTGACGGTGTTCTTGGTAAAGTGTCAACCTCCTTAAACAGTAAGGCTCCACGTAGACAATTGACTCTTCCATTAACTACCAGTAGAAGTGGGTCTAATTTAGCAGACGAAGACATTAACAGCCCAGGCCAATTACGTAGGAATAGTTCTATTGGTGGTGCACTACAAGAAGTCACTGAATCTTTAGATAACGTGGATTTGAATGCAAAGACACGTGCTAGAAGAAGATCATCTTATGCATTGTCTTCCATTGATCAAAATTTCGTATTGACTCGCTCAGGTGGAAGAAAATTTGTCTTATCATTAATTGAAAGTGTTTATAAAGAAGTTTTAGAATTAGAAGCTAATTTAAGAAGTGGTAAAGAGATCAGTAATAAAGAGTTGTGGTCAGCTTTACATGTCGATGATGAGTTTTATGAAGTTTCACCATTTATCTCCATGTTATCATTTGATAAAGGTGTTAAAATTATGCCAAGGATTTTTAATTTCTTAGATAAAGAACAAAAATTGAAGTTGTTACAGACTTTTTTCTCTGAACTATCACACTTAAATATAATCATTATTAGTTCTTATAGAACAAATCCAGAACCAAATGAATCCCAATTAAAGAAAATAGATCTATTCCAAACTGTCTTTTTAAAGATCATTGTTTCATTTTTATCTAACAGTTCTAATTTTATTGAAATTATGAGCTTGTTATTACACTTAATTAAAAACAATAATGTTGCATTTATATCTACATCAAAGATCGGTTTGAATTTAATAACTGTCTTGATTTCAAGGGCGGCTTTAATTAGACAAGACTCTAATAGGAGCAGTGTGTTGTCAACCCCAGAGATTTCTACATGGAATGAAATATATGATAAGTTATTTACTGCATTAGAAAGTAAAATTTCCAATATTTTCCCTCCTAAGGAATACATTGATAAAATTAATCAGTTATCATCACAATCTGCTAATGATAATAACAATACTAATCATACTAATATTAACAACAAAAATAATAATAGCCAGAGTTCACCAATGACACACTATTATGATCAAGCATACATATGGCAATTTCTTGCATCGTTGGCATTAAGTGGTAAGTTAAATCATCAAAGAATTATTATTGATGAGGTTAGAGATGAAATCTTTGGTACAATAAATCAAGCAGAATTATTGAAGGAACAATTACAACAAAAATTGGCAATGGATGGAAACCAAAACACTGCTGTATCCGACGAAATTATGTATAGACGTGAGAAATTGTACCAAGATTTGAACTTATTTTTGAATGTTATGGGGTTGGTTTCTCGTGATGGTGAAATTACTGAATTAAAATAGTGATGATAATAATGATAGATACTCAAAACTTCTCCATTTTTTTTTCAGTCTCAAAAATATGTATGTATTACAAAGGAATTGTATGCATATATGTGTATTTTTTTTGTTTTTGAGACAAGTTATTATTGGTTATTACTAAATCAGTTTATATAGTAATATACAAGTATATACCAAATTGGGTTAGAATAAAATAAATAAAAAAAATGTACATATATTATCTTTATATCTATTTAGTTCGATTATATTTGAGAGTCCTAGTTTACTTGGGTATTCTGGATCATATATTCGAAGATTTATAATACAAAATTATAGAAATTGGTGAACATATATATATGTATTTATGTATATATGATTTTGTAAAAATGAAAATAAAAATTAGAATAAAAAAAAGGGGAGAAGATGAGATAGAAATAAAACTGTGTTACTTAAGGGTGGTTTTGGTAAAAGAAAAAAATCCAGAGCACAACTAGAAACCGTTAACATAATGTCTGTTATTAAGAATAAGTTAGAATTGGTAGCAAGGGTTACATATGAAACATTGTTAAGATTAGGAGTTGTGGAAAAAAATAAAAATAATGATTTAGATGGTGCTAATGATCAGGCAAGTTCAGGTATTATAAAGATCAGAGCTAATTCTTTGTTTTCAACTATCAAGTATATAGAGATCATAACAACAGAAGTATCTGAAGATGCTACGTGTATGATAACTCTCTGTGATGATAAAGATAACACTTTAGCTAATCATGTCTTTAAATACGACGATGATGATGGTAATAAGGATGACGTTGATAATAATAGTTTGGAATTAAATAGTATTAAGTTCCCTTTAAATTGGACACTATTTCAAAATGAACATAAGAATCAAGTTGTCAGGCTATCTAATGTGATAATGGTTAGATTAAAACTTCAATCGATGGTTTTGTCCTTTGAAAAGTCTGGTATTTCAAATAAAAATGATTCAGAGCCTGTTAAGATAGACAAGATACCAGTTGAGAGTAATACCACTATACTATTTGGGAATGGCACCAGTTCAAAGCATTCAAATGTGGAACTACCTAAATTTGAAGATGAATATGAGATAAATGAACCATCGGCTACGTTTCATTCAGAAGAATTACAAGAGAGATATTTACCGGCAAGAGGGGGTTCTACGTATGGAAGTAACGATCTGTATCCAATGGGACAAAAGAACCCATTAGGATCGAATTTAGGTCCATTCGGCCCCCCATCAAATAACAGGAATGATGGTAGTAATGATAATAGAGGATCACCTGGACAAGGTGGGATGATTTTCGATCCGTTTGGGCAAAATCGAGATGAAGTGTTTAGAGACACACAAAACAGACGAGGACCTGGATGGGTTCCAGGATCCAAATACGATGATCCATTTGGTAATGCTGGCGGGTTTAATGGGATGGGAGGATCAGGATTTCCTGGCTCTGGTTCTGGTTCAGGATTTGGATTTTTGTGAAGATGTATAAAATAAGAGATGATATTTTTTTCTTTTATTTTTTCTTTTTTTTTTTTTTTAAGTTTAAGATATATATATATATAAATACATCTATGTATAGTGGATATGCTTTATTATTTTATATTAGCAAATATAATAATATTGGGTTTAAAATGCTACTTTGTTCAGTTTTTTTTTTTTTTTGGACAAAAACAAACTTGTTATCAGTATAAACACATACCGTATGGTAGCAGTGGTATGGATATATAATATTTAGTATGTATCTTCATCATATATTACTAGCTGAAGAAGAAGTAGCAGGTATTGTAGATACATAGACTACAAGAACTACTTCATTCTTCTTATATAAATATGCCTTTAGATCTGTTTTCAAAATATTGACTGCTACCGTTCCACCCTCTTCAATTGTTAATACACTAAACTCCTTAACATCTGATATTCGTTCTTTACCTATGCCACTATATGATATTATGTTATCATTGTTATCAAACATGATTGTGCCAACATTATCTCTGAGATTGCTCATATTGTTACTCCCTATCTGTAAATAGTTGAAAATATCTTGTAATTTGTAGTGATTGTCTTATTAATTAGGGAAAAAGGGTCTTTAATTTACCCGATGAACTGACGAAGGAAAAGAAGGTATAATATGTCTATGTATTTAGATACGGAATGTATATTGTCATGGATTGCACAAGAAAGGTGCTCCCACATTTGTTCTCTCCCTCGCTTTCTTATAGCCTGCAAAGTCAATAATTCTGTTCTGTTTTCTATTTTTATTTTCTTTCTTTCTTTCTTTCTTTCTTTCTTTCATTTTCTTCATTGCTTATTGTTGCTGTTATTTTTTTTTTTTTTTTTGATAGAGATGGCTGTCAAAGTTTGCAACTCCAAGGCCCAACACAAGGCAAAATATGCAGAGAGAAAGCAATTGAATACAAAAAGACAGAGTCATCTGTGTCTGTCTCCCTGTCTCTGTTTATTTGTCTGGAGGAATGACCAGAATTAAGATGTCTGTTGGATTGATCAGATATAATTAGAAGATAGTGTTGTTGTGGGTGTTTTTTTTTCTTCTTCCATTTCAATTCATAAATATTCACATATACATATATATCTATTTATATGTATTGTAAGGGACAAGATGGTACTGAACCTTATGGGATTGGAAGATTTTTTGGGTCTCATCTACGTGACAGCATGGTCGATATCGATCTACTCGCCTATCTGGGAAAATGTTAAATGTAAATCAACAAAGGGTATGTCAATGGATTTTTCTGTTTTGAACACTATGGGTTATTTTTATTTGTTGATTTCTATGATTTTGCAAATGTTTTACTGGATACCAGTAGAAAACACAAATAGCAACAGTCAATTTCCATTCAAAGCTAACATGGTTGATAATGATGTCAAAGTCAGCAATATGCTAGAATTGAATAATTTGGAATCTCCCAAAATCACTAGTTTTGATTTATTTTATTGTTTTCATGGAGAAGTAATGAATTTGGTTATTCTTTCTCAACTTTTCTGGGGCAAAAAATTGTGGAGGTTCCATGATGATAAGAAAAGACGTATGAAGCCATTGTATTTTAAGATTTTCCTCCTTTCGATATTTATTTTCGCGATATACACCTTCCAGTTTCTCCAATCTAGTTACTTCATTGAAGGTTGGAATAATAGAGCCACTTTACGATATTGCAATAAATTGTTTGTTTTGAAAATTTCAATGTCTTTAATCAAATACATCCCTCAAGTCAAGCACAATATGGAGAGGAAATCAGTAAAAGGATTTTCCATCACTGGTGTAATATTGGATATAATAGGTGGTGTTGCAGCATTATTGCAGCTGTTGTTACAATTGAGTCGTGAAAATGGTGGGAATTTCACTTTGATGCTGATCTTTTTAAATTTTGGTAAAATTGGACTGTCTCTTGTGGCAATAACATTTGGGTTCATATTTATAATCCAAGCAATAATCTATGGTAATACATGATTTTGAATCTTTAACCATCTTCATACCACATTTACACGTGCATGTGTGTATGTGTTTTATCTCATATATTCTGTTCATAATTAATCAAATGGATATGCAATGGATAAGAAAGTCTTTTTTTTCATTCTAAAAATTATCTCACACTCTCTCCTCACCTTATTTTATATACTTGAAAATCGTTGATTGATTTTAATACAGGATAGTTGCATATTAGTATTATGTATCTAGTTCAGATTGGCCTTTATGAATCAGTAGTGATACAATATATATAATATCAGATATTGTGTCACTTGTAAATATTTTTCACGTGCCTAGAGACAATGTGTTATAGGCGGAATTTGTTTTCTTGGTTGCGGAATTTTATGCGGATTTTATCTGCAAAACGTAATAATAAAAAAAAAATTTTTTTTTTCGTTTTTGCTCGATGCAAGAAAAATATAGAATAAGAAATGAAAAAGAAATGAGATGAGATGAGATGAGATGAGATGGCATGGGATGAAATGAGAGAGAATCATTGAAAAGTCGCATCATACATACCATGATAAAAAAAAAAAAGAAAAAGAAAAATAGCTTCGGATTAACAATATTGAATGCCGGCTTGCATTATATAGTTCCTGTACTTGTATATATTTATTTGTGTTTTAGGATATTAGAGAAGAAGAAGTAAGTATCACTTGGACTAAGAAGTTATAGAAAATAAAAAAAAATAAAGAAGGAAAGACAAAAAGAGTGCAACTATAACATAACATAATATAATATGTCTACTCTAATTCCACCTCCATCTAAGAAACAGAAAAAACAAGCTCAAGAGATCAGAGAAGTCCCGATTGTTCCTGACAACTTACCTAATGTGTCCATTAAATTACAGGCCTTAGATACTGGTGAAACAGTGGGTGGTGGGTTAAGAGTTCCTGCCGGTATAACTGATAAACAATTAGAAGAATTATTAAATCAATTGAACGGGACTTTAGAGGATCCAATTCCATACACTTTCAGTTGCAATATTCCAGGGAGGACAGTTAATGATCCACAGCAGACAATAGATATCACCGATAATTTATATAACTCAATCTTGAAACCAGGGTACCACACAACAGAAGATACAATCACTTTAATTTTTACTCCAAGGGCTGTCTTTAAAGTTAGGCCTGTCACTAGATCTTCGTCTGCTGTAGCTGGTCATGGCTCCACAATTCTATGTTCTGCTTTTGCCCCACATACAAGCTCAAGAATGGTTACTGGTGCTGGTGATAACACTGCAAGGATATGGGACTGTGATACTCAAACCACCATGGCTACTTTAACGGGACACCGTAATTGGGTTCTATGTGTTTCATGGTCTCCTGATGCAGAATTGATTGCAACTGGTTCCATGGATAACACAATTAGATTGTGGGAAGCTGATAAAGGTAAACCATTAAGTGGTGGTAATGGAGAATCATCCGTCCTGAGAGGACATTCAAAATGGATTACCTCATTATCATGGGAACCATTGCATTTAGTGAAACCAGGCGATAAACCTAGGTTAGCATCAGCATCAAAGGATGGTACCGTCAAAATTTGGGACACAGCAAGACGGGTATGTTTGTATACTTTAAGTGGACATACAAATTCTGTATCATGTGTCAAATGGGGTGGACAGGGTATGTTATACACTGGGTCTCATGATAAGACAGTAAGGGTGTGGGATATGAAAGCAGGTGGGAAATGTATTAATATCTTAAAAAACCATGCTCATTGGGTAAATCACTTATCGTTATCTACTGATTATGCATTGAGGGTGGGACCATTTGATCATACAGGCGTCAAACCATCTACAGCAGAGGAGGCAAGGGAGAAAGCGTTAAAAAATTACGAAATAGTCGTCAAAAAGAATGGAAAGGTAGAAGAATTGATGGTTACAGCAAGTGATGATTTCACAATGTTCTTATGGAACCCATTGAAGTCAAATAAACCAATATGTAGAATGACAGGTCATCAAAAATTGGTTAATCATGTAGCATTTAGTCCAGATGGAAGATATATTGTATCTGCTTCCTTTGATAATTCTATTAAACTATGGGATGGTAGAGATGGTAAGTTTATTTCTACTTTTAGAGGGCATGTGGCTAGTGTTTATCAAGTGGCATGGTCCTCAGATTGTAGGTTGTTGGTTTCCTGTTCTAAAGACACGACTTTGAAAGTATGGGATGTGAGGACAAGAAAACTGGCAGTAGATCTTCCAGGTCATAAAGATGAGGTATATACGGTAGATTGGAGTGTTGATGGTAAAAGGGTTTGCAGTGGTGGGAAGGATAAGATGATGAGATTATGGACTCATTGATAGAGTAATTTAGCATATATCTTCTTATTATGCTGGAAAACTTTTTATTATTTAAAAATACATAAATATATATATATATCTTTTTGGCAATAGATGGTTAATTCCTGTTTAATAAACATTTAAAACATATTCTAAGGTGTACATAGGCCTAATTATTTAAACAAGTAAAAGTAGTGGTCATAGTCTTAGATTAATCAGATTGGTATGATTCTATCATAATAGTTTACGTAATGTAGGACAGAGTTTTCTTTCTTTAACAGATTTTTCAAACAGAAAAGATATATTTTCTTGCTTAAACATTGTTTTCCTTTTTTTTTTTACTTTCGACTTTCTTTTTCTTGAAGAATAAGAGTAATTAAAAAGTTTAGATAAGGATACCCGTTGGTTAAACCAAATGAGATGGTATATTGTGTCTGTAGGGTTATTTACAGTGTTATCTCACAGGATAAATGCAGATTTTTCTGAAAAAGTTCATTTGAAGTAAATACAAATTGGTATTGTAGAGATAAGATTAAATTGAAAACACATATAAGTTGTTTAGAGCATATCAATTTCCTTAATAATTGTTATATTTCAATATCTATACAGATATTTATTAGTTTGTTTACTGATATTTTCCTTGAGCGATGATATTAATTACTAGACGTTTTGTTCAAACCAGAAATATATTGAAATTAACCAGTTTACGTTTCCATTCAACAAATGAAATGGTGGACTCTACCCTTGCAAAAAGTTTGTTCCCTAAATTAGAAGATGTTAAACAACAAGATATGACTCCATTAAATAATTCAGTGGTTAATAGAGGTAAATATTTTGTAGGTAGAAGTGAAACTGGTAATTTACCTGTATACACTGAATATTTAGGTGGTGGAAACAAAGTGGTTACGGAGATTAAGAAGATACGAGGTGATCCAGTTCAATTGAAAATAGATTTACAGGAAAGATTACCCTTTATTGATAAAAAAAATTGGAGAGTGGTGGCTGTTTCAAATAAAATTGTCGTTAAAGGTAATTATTGCTCTGAAATCAAAAAGGTTCTATCTACTACTTTCTAAGTTTAATGGAATATATATTTATATATATTGTTGTTTATAATTCATTGTATCTTGTATATAGAATATACCATTCAAAGAGGAATTAATAACAGGAAAACATAAAATAACATGGCTGGTAATACCAGAAATACTAAGCACCATATAGCTATCTTTTATTGTTCTGACTAAATTATATATTTTCCTCTGCAGTGACAAAACTCCAGCTGTAACAATCGACACAGGGTTCAGGTTCAACACATTTAGCTGGAGAATCGTATACAGATATGATATCATCTATAACGGAATGTATCCTGTGATGTAACATGTTAACATACCACCCTTTATCCTTAACAACGTCATATACACATACTTTCCCGGTATGGCAAGAGGTCTCCATTGCATAACCTGCAATTGAACATGAAGAACTTGCACCATTACAAGTACCCATAAATATAGGGTCGGCTGTATGCCCAAAATGCCATATTGCCTCTTGGTAATCTGGTAGACCAGGTGGGACAGGTAAATGTAGTCTTTCAGATGCTAATTTTTCGCCAGGACTCTCAAAAGTTACAACTGGCAAACCGAAGGTCCTTCCAACAAGGCTAGCTAAAGTGCCACCTAAAGAATGCCCGGTTAACCATATTGTAGAATTAGAATAATCTGATTCTACTTGTTGAAAGATATCTAATGCCGCTTTATAATATCGATCCTTTCTTCTTAACTCTCTCTCCAAGCAGTTCTCATCACATGTATTGGATTTCATGTAGCAGTTACAAGCAGTAGTCCACAGATAACTGACTCTAGCACAACAGCACGAAAATAAAAGGTTATCGTTTAACTTATCGCTTGCCGTTGTCTCATCTACACCAGATCCAGGCAATCCCTGTGCACTGGTTCCCTTTAAGGAGAGGACAACAATATCTTCCACGTCGTTATAAAAAACATGGCCACGGATTCCATTACCATCCCAACCTATACCCGGAGACTCAGAATGGTTCCAAGGCAAGGATATATTTCTCCAATCACCTGTATGAGGTATTTTAACGTAGGCATTTGACGACATTAAAGCGAGGGATATTATTGTACCTTTATCGGTTATGTTTGGTGCAACCATGTTTTCATCAAGATCCCATCTTAAAAGGGATTCCAGTATAGGTTCGGTATAGTCCTGGTCCATTTTCAAATTCGATAATATTTCATGTGGGTCCAATCTATGCAAAGTCACTATTTGTGTGTTTAATTTGAAATTAAAATTGAATGGATTATCTGTTTGATAGTTTGGGTTCCTAGTCCAATCGAGTTCATTTATATAAAATATATTCTTTGCATCTTCAATGATCTGGGGTGTTATGTCTAACTTTTGATAGGTATGATAGTTTGGACCTGTCCCATGCCTATGTATTTGAACTAGTTTAAATGTGCCAGTCTCTTTTATTGGTTCAAGTATCGGTATATTATCGAAATATAAGTTAGGAAAGATAATAGAATGTTTATGACAAAATATAATGATTATAAGGATCAAAGTGACGGTGGGAAGAGTGATAGAATAATTTGTTCTTCTAGTGGTAACTTTCATACGGTTGAGATTGTAGACAATATCCTTTTCTTTTTTATTGATTTTATTTTTTATTAACACTTTCTTTTAAAAATGTATATTTACTATTGAATGTTATTATAACTAAAGACTAAATATTTGTACTTCAATAACGTGTTGTAGCAGTGATATTTGATATTTTACAAAAGTAGCAGGTTCACATGTTATTCATCATATTGGAATAATTGGATCATCTCTCTGTAAAAGGCAAAAAACAAACAAACAAAGAAAACAAACAATCGGTGCAGTCAGTTGCTTTATATCTAGGAAGGTCTTATTCACCACTGTTAATACTATCACTATAACTACCACTACAATAATAACTACAACTACCGATACTATAATGGGTACTGCTATTTCCAGAGAACAAAGACCCTTTAGTCTTACCATCTCATTGTTTTTGTTCCCTGGGGAGGAGGATTTGTTGAAAGAAAAGGAAAAAACATCAAAAAAAAAAAAAAATTGAATTGTTGAGTTTTGCAAAAACTGCTGGACAGCGCGCGTTGTTTTTTGTTTTTTGATTTCTTCGTTTTTTTGTAATATGTAACATCCCTGCACCCCGTCAATCCGTGCACCATCAACATTCGCACCTGTTGTTTGTGTAAGCCCTGATTTTCTGCGTTAGGGTTTTCCCTTTTTTCTTTTTTGCTTCAAGTTGTTTCCTCATCTTCAAACAAAATTATTCTTTCGAGCAGAGGTGGATAAGTGAATAAGTAAAATTTACAGGAGCACATACAATCTATATGTTGAAATCTCTTTTATAGCAATAGCTTTGAAAATTAAAAGGAAGAAAACAAAAAAAAATTCTTACCTTATACTAGTAGTTTACAGTTAAGGTTTTTGTTGATTTGGTATCACATGTTAAGTGCTTTCTAAGACTTCTCCTTTCCTCTGCGTGTTAAGTATCTTATTATATTTTATTTTATTTTCATATATTACAAGATTATTCATATTATAGAGCTTAAAGAGTCTCCATCAGCATATCTATTCGTTTATTTGTACTGTTTAAAGTCATATTGACTAAACTCTCACTTATTTACTTACTCTGCCGGTAATTATGAAATATCAATTTTCTAGTTACGACATCGGATACCCTTTATATGGTGCCAAATTTTTAAATAATTCTATCCTGTTGGTAACTGGTGGTGGTGGACATAAGAATCCAGATGTTCCAAGCAAACTGACAGCTTTGCGGGTCGATTTCAATAAAAAAAGAGTCATCAAAAGGTTCAGAGAGATTACATTCGATTCTAAAGATGACCATCCAACAACACTAGATGCTGCCAAAGTTATCAACCAAGACCCACTACATAATATCATCTTGATTGGTTGTAATGAAGATGGCTCATCTTCGACAGCTACAACTAACTACCATTTGAGAAAATTTGCTTATGAGAATGATCACTTGAAATTTATGGCTAGTGCAGATTTTAATAGATCCAATGACCCGACTGCATATACTAAGTTTAGCTCTTTATCTTCTGATGGTACCGTAGGAGCTATTGCATCTTCTGAATTGCCTATTGTCATCAGGATTATAAATCCGATGACCATGGAGGAAAAATATGAAATAGAAACGGGTAGTGACGTTAAAGATTTACATTTCTCTCCAGATGGGAAAGTTATCTGCTATATAACTGAGACTACTTTAGAAGTCATTTCCATTGTCACCGGTAGATTTATTGTAAGGAAGACTGATTTCAATAAAAATATTTGTCTTTCAAAAGTTCGTTTCCTTTCAAATGATACAGTAGTTGTGGTTGGTTCTTTGAAGGAAAAATCTAAAAAAATTGTCATTTCAAAGATTAATATTAAAACTAAAAATACAGCCGTTCTACTATCAAAATCAATTAAGTCCAATTATACCAGTGTAACTGCAATGGATTCTTCAAGGGATGGACAATTGATCTGTTTGGCTACAAATGAAAGGACACTTTTAATTCTGAAAAGTAGAGATTTTACTGTTCTTAGAAGTTTTAAAAATGCTCATAAAGATGATATCACTGCAGTAGCCTTTTCACCAGATACACATCATCTTGCAAGTGTGTCATTGGCAAATACTATTTATTTGGTTAACTTGCCACAGGGATTGGCGGAATCTACATCATTTTTATCTAAACTTTTCAAACTATTATTAAATATTTTACTTACTGTTGGTATCATTGTGGTGGCATATGCAGTCTATTATTTCGAATTACATCATAAGACGTATCGTTACTTTAATGAGAAATATTTGGCTAAAAGAGATACTTCTGGATATTTCCAAATGCATGATGGATTTTTGACTACTTCGATGGATATTGTTGATGATATAGTTACAGTCCACACGCTGACTGGTAATATCAATACTGGATCTGGTTTTAACACTGATATGTGGTCAAGAAATATACCTTTATCTTCTATTTCCACTGATTATGAAAATAGCATGTTTGATAATGTTGAAGACACCTTTATTACAAAATCCTATGTTTTAACGGGGAAGAGACTTAGCCCATCGTGGAAGAGTGAATCATCTATATCTCTAAGTCCAAATAATATGGATGCAACTACCTCTTTATGCTTTACCAGCAGTAGTTTACCAGTTTCTGTTTCTAGCATCATTGAATTGATTGCTACAAAAAACTCAGTCTCAGCATCCTCGATAGAAGATTATCTATCCATCGGATCACATGCCATTAAAACTTATACTAGTGTGTCCGATTCTGTAGTTTCATCTCGTTCACAGTCTCTTCAAGAAGTGGAACTATTATCAACAATTGATTCAAAAAGCAAATCAAGTTCAACACATGTGTCCCAGGATTCAGGGAAAACAAAATCTGATATTCTTCCTTGTTCAGCTATATCTGAAGAAAAAATGCAACCTTCAGTTTTAAGTTCGAGCACAGATAATCAAGCGAGCGAAAACATTAGTAGTTTAATTAAACAAACTATTACTGTAGATGGTGTTGTATATGAGGTGGTTTCAATGAGTTCAATACCCACAACTTCTTCATTTGAAGTGACTGCAAAAGAAACCAACAACATTGTTTCGCTAGAAGTATTAATAACGAATGAGTTAGTTTTTGGGGACCATTCGAGCTCTTCAACTTCCACTAATATTGAATCGATTTCTACCACAATTGCAAGCAGTAGGCCGATTCCTGAAGATGAAAAATATAATTCGTCTAATTCAAAACCTATGTCTATTTTAATGACTAGTGATTCTAGGAACAATTTTACTTCTTCACTTCCTGTAACGCAATTAACCACGAGCAATGGTGTAACACTTTCAAATCCAGTTTCGTTATATGAAATGGAAAGTGAAACCATAGCTAACATTAACTCAGAAAAAGTATCTTTTTCTTCTGTTTCCATGGTGATCATGGCTAATGCTAATACATCGAGAAAACTATCTCTTTCTGAGAGAAAGAAGCATTTGTCAGTATCATCTTCAACTTCTGTATCTTTTGACACCACTATTACAGGTAAAGAATCGCAATCCATGGTGTCTCACTCAATTACCGATTTTCTTACAAGTGTAAGTAGAGAAGATGGAAATAGTGTTGTGTTGACGTCTGTTATTCCTAAAATTGAAAATTCCAGTTTAAGAAATATATTATTGGATCAAACTGAAAATTTAGCAAGCGAACAAAATGTTACCAGTAGTTTTCTAAACACACTCCCATCTAAAAGTGTAATTTCCAGTAAACTAGACAATAATACAGTAGTAGTTAATAAGACAGAATCATACACCTGTGGTGATGTATCGTTAGGTCACTTGGTAGATAATACATTATTAGTAACCTCTTCTATTTATAGAAATAGTTTGAATCAAGCTAGCAATTCAGCAGTTGAGTCAGGAAAATTATCAGGTGCTGATTTATTATCAACTGTTACTTTTACATCACAAGAGAATGTCACAATGTTAAGTGTACAAAATAATATTTCAACAGTTTTAGAATCAGGTTCTATAAAAAAAGACTTAAAAAATGTTACAATGAGAGTAAGTGAACTATCTTCCGACTCTATGCCGGAAAGCGTTCCAACAATTTCGCAGGTCCCTGGAAGTGATTCTTATTCTATGAATACTGCTGGTTTACATATGCTTTCCAACCTAACCTCTATTGCATCATCTGGGACAATTTCTGTTTTTAGTGATTCTTTGATAAAAACACAATCAAACGTTGTAGTTGGTAGCACAAAGGATATAGATCATAGTATTTTGTCAATAGAAATTGATAAAGAAGTTAATGTTGACTCTATCACATTTAATGATTCCGATAATATTGTTGTAAACCAAACTTTTGATCAGGAGTCGTTTTACCCTCGTCATGATGAGTTATAAGGGATTTCACTCTACTTCAATCTATTGGTTTTTTTATGATACATGAAAATCAAGGAAATAAATTGGTCTGAGAAGATCAGTTTATATATTATTTTATACATACCTTTATCTAAAAGTTATAAATTATTTATAAAATATATATTAAACAATGAAACGGTACATAATTGTCCATGTGTTATTAAAATTTATTGTTTAGTGTTTGCGACAGGTCTTTTGAAAAATCTTCATCAGTAGAAATATTATTATCAGTTTCAGTATGTGTTTTTAATTTTTCTATATCTGTTTTACTCTCGTCTATGTTATTGTTGGTATTATCATCCATATTATCGATATTGTTATTATTTAGTTCAGATTTGTTTGTATGTGTTGGAGGAGCTTCTTTTATAATCTCTGTATGGCTCTGTTCTTTCATTGGCGCATCATGAGGATTAAAGCTTAACTTTGTATTTGTGATAGATGGTTTTTTATAATTAAGTTTAGCCTCGTTAATCAACTTTCTAAACTCTTTTGAATACATTTGACTCCAGGCCTTTCTATCAAATTTGTCATTTTTGAAATTCGTTAATAATTTTTGGTATCCTCTATCACCTCTTTGAATTAAATTGCCAATAGTGTTCTTATTACTATTTCCTGATTTAGGAATATTGGATGCTTCCCAAGAGGCTAACTGTCGCCTTAGATCGGATTCATCTACTGGATTCAAAGAATCACAAAAATTACTATTCCATATCATTTCGTAATAATTATATCTCTCTATCAGTGTTTGTCTTGAACCAGATGAGGGTAAATTTAGAGCATTCAATTTCTGTCTCAATTGCTGCATTGATAAATTAGAATAATCTAGTTTTGGTAACCTTTCACTTTTATCTGTATTAGCAATTGAATTAACATATCTTGAGACGTAAGATATCTTTTCTTTCTCTTGCACTTTTTCTTTGTGCTGCGAGGTTGAAGTTAAATTAGAACTATAATTAATATTTTTGGTGGGGAGATAGAAAGGAGAAGATGATTTGTCTCTTTTGGAAGCTGATGAAGAGAGTTCAGATGTTGAATCAGACATTTTTTTCGAGAACGGTAATATATTTGATTTCGTTTTGGAAATCGTGATTTTATTGTTTGTTTTGGGTAATCTTCCTAACGATTGCAGACTTAAACATTCATCAAGATGAGACCGTTCAAGGGTGCGTATTGGGAAAAATTCTTGACAAATTGGACATTGAGCCATTTGTTGATGTGAAAAGGATGAAGATGATGAGTTCCTGAATTCTTGTTTTCTATTGAACATACCCTCCACGGTAGATTTTGATTTTTTTTTATTTATTAAATTGTTTTGTTTAATTATTTTATTAGGTTTGGGAACTGTTGTCATCTTACTCTTGGAAGCTTCTGACGAATTTCCTATAATCTGTATATCATCATTATTTGTTAATGATTGTTCTTTAATCTCAACGTCTGGTTCTGAATCAATTTCAATTAAAGAAGATTCTTGGATCACTTCTGGTTCCAGTTGATTTAATTTATCTACTTGTAGATGCTTTAGTAAAGAAGGTCGAAAATTCGTATAGCATTCAACTAACTCATTTACCAAAAACTCACTTCTAAGCATAGAGTCTCTTAATTCAGATAAACATAAGGGACATTTGGCAGAATTGTTAATATATTTCCTTATGCACAAAGAACAAAAAGTGTGTCCACAAGGTGTTAAGACCGGAACTTTCAGAAAGTCTTTACAAATATGGCAACGTAACAGGGTATCCCACTGTTCTAAAGCAGGAATTTTTGTTTTTGCAAAATCGGTTGGATCCGTTATGAGATGATCCATTTTTATGAATTATTATTTGATTAAGATCTGAAAAACTTTGTGTTTTTATGTTAATTTCTACATATACTTGTCCTCTTTTTTTGTAGCATCCATTTAACTAGGGGCTACACTTGAATTATATAATTTTGATAATGGATGGTAACTGAATACTTCAATCTTGTGTTGGTAATTGTAGTTTTAGGTAGTTTCTCATTTTGGTCTTAGATATTTTCAAAAAAAATTTTTTCATTATGTTTCCCTTTGTATTAGAAAGAGAGATCCAAATATATAAATATATGTATTATAACTATAATGAGGTGAAAGTAACCGTCTGAAGGACAAAGAATGGGTGAGTAATATAATATAATCAGTTGCCTTATTGATGTGTATAAAACGTATATATTATTATGAAAAAAGGATCTATTTAAATAAACAAAATCAATTATGGACCGATGACTAAGATAATGATAGAAATAAAATATATAAATGTGTAATGTAATGCAAGAATAACAGGAAATAGTATAGAAATAACAAAATATGAGTCTATGATTGTTATGATAATAATCAGAACTTTTTTTTTCACATTACTCCTCAAAACCTGTTTTGCGGAGATTTGGTTATTTGAGATTGCGACATGAATGGAAGATCCAGCTTTTCATTCTTTGAATTTGGATTAACTATATCATTGTTGCTGTTTTTGTATTTGGAAGGATCGAAATCCTTCAATGCTCTTTCCCAGACAGAATATACGTCTACACCAAATAATCCACCAGATGATAATTTTGTCTTTATTGTGGTAGTGGTGGTGGTAGTTGGTGTATAATTTCCAAAAAGATTAGGTGTGGATAAATTTCTTGGTGAAAAAGTTTTTATTATTGTTCCATTAGGTGTTGAAGATATTTTAGTAATTGGTGTTTTCCCCATGGCTTTTAGGATAGGGGAGGAATATATATCTTCAAATAAATGAGATGGAGTCTTCCAGTTTTTCATTAGTAGATCGGTAGCATTGTTTTTGCTAGTGTTGTTGTTGTTAAGAGTGATATTATCGTGGTTCTCATTATTTGTATTTTTATTTTGGTCATCCTTATTATTATTAGTTGCATTGGTGGTGGAGGTAGTAACATGATTAATCTTGTAATAGTCATTCAATTGTTCATATCTTGGTGTATTGAATATTTGTCTAGATACACTTTCAAAACTCTGTGATCTTCTTAACTCAGGTGTCTTAAACAATTCAAGTTGATGATTCGTGGACAATTGGCTTGAATTGGTTTTCACATTGAATGAGTTGTTACTTTCTTGTACGTTCTTGTTTAGGTTGTTATCATTCTCGTTTCTACTAGGAGATATATCGAAATTAGAATTAAATGAACAGAAATATTTTTTGAAATTATTATTTGGCGATATTTGGGTAGAAGAGGTAGAGTTAGAAGAAAAGGAGAGAGAGAAGGGATGGTTGTTGTTAAATGTGGCAGTGTTGTTCAGATTATTATTAAACATTAATTGATTTGGAGACTGGTCTTGAATTGGTGTAAAAGTTCCGTGAAATATGGCCGAGTTTTGTAAAATTGGGGTTCGCACTGTAGTGTTCTTGTAATTAGAAGATTGTAAACCTAAAGCAGTTTGCGATCTTTTAATTGTATTGAGATTTGAAGAGGTTCTATTCTTCTTGTTGGTCAATCTTTGGTTAGGTGATGATTCACTTTCAAATTTACCTATAAAATTATTACTATTATTATCGTTGTCATTATTACTATCATTGTTATTGTATTGGGGTGGACTAGAGATTTGAATTAATAGAGTCTGGTCATCATTATCAAAATTATACATTGCATCGTTACAATTATGATTATGGTTTTGATTATTTTCGATTGAAATCTTTGGTAAATTGATTGTCAGCGGATCTTTCAAAGAATTATTACTTACAGGTATTGGGTGATTTTCGATGAAAGTGGTTGAATCATTTAAATCCATTGGATCATTGGATATGGTTGTGGTCGTGGTAGTAGTAGTATCGCCAGTAGCGAAAATATAATGGTCTAAATCTTTCAATTCATCTCTAATTTCTTCGTATGAACGGGTCTCGTGTTTGAAAAATTTTTGTGCGGAGGTCTCTTTTACTTGCCAAAAATGGCCCTTCCCATCAGAAGATTTGACAGTCTTTATGAAACCATCATTTAGCGACAAGTTATGTCTAATTGAATTCTGCCAACTGGAATCCTTGAGTTGGAAGAAGGGGAAATGTGAAGAGATCCAATGGTAGATCTGCGACAGAGTCAATTTCCCGTCATCTGATTGTAGAATGGCTAAACAGATTAGGATAGCGTAGGAATAAGGTGGTTTTTCTTTGAATTGGCCGTTCTGTCTTCTTTTGATTAAAGATTTGATTATGTCATTTAAAGAAAGGGATCCATTTATCCTAGAGCAGCCATCGGATCTACTTCTTTTTGTCTTATTAGGAGGAGAAGAGGAAGAGAGAGAGGAGGAGGAGGAAGAGGGGGAAGAAGGTTGAGCATTTGTGCTGACAGTAGTAGTTGTTGTTGTTGTAGTTGAAGTTGTAGTAGGAGTAGTAGTAGGATGAGTATTAGTATGAGTATTGATACCACTTATTGTTATTGCTGGAGTACCGTTTAGATTAGTTCCAATATTATCTATTGGTGCAGTAGCTAAAACCATAATAACTCTACTATTTATTTTTTTTTATTTGATATTGTAAGTGATCAAAGATATAATAGAGAATGGATGGATTGGAAATGTAGATGTTATTAGAGAAATAGACAAGTTAGTAGATAGGCAGGTGGATAGTTAGGTAGATAGAAAGAAAGAGCTAATTTATTAGATAAAAGAATTCGACTTGGACAAGTTCTGAAATAGCACAAAAGGGGTTTATTTGCACTCAAAAAGCTACAGGTGAGAAACAATTAAGAATAGTGAATAGAACAATTTAAGAAATATAGGAAGGCAAGTAAGAACGTGTCACGAAAAAGAAAAAGAGTTAGAGAAAACTTACATAAGTTAAAATAGAAGAAGGATCTTTGTAATAATATATCACTGATTAAAACCATGATAAAAGCAATATATCGTCCGACTACAAAAGGCTGACTACTCACACATATAACACACATAAGTTCACTCACCTATCTATTTATCTCCTATTTATATATATATATATATATATATATATGTGTGTGTGTGTGTGTGTGTGTGTGTGGGCATAAATATATACAATAATTATGTCTATAATGTATAAAAAAGATATGTACGCATTCCAGAAGATGGTGCAAGTTACTGTCAAGAAAAAGGAAACGGGGAGATGTCGAACCCATCGATTTTCGTGTCGGCTATTTTTTGTTTCTTTTGTTTTTCTTGTTTTCTCTTGTTTTCTTTGGCGTCTGGTCCTGCAATCTATTGTTTCCTGTGAGAAAAAGAAAACAGTACCCCTATTATTCTTATTTCTTTGCCAGACAATAGAAATCTGCCACGAGACGCGTCGTCTGTTTCTTTACGCGTCGCGTGTCTGCGGAATATAGCGGTAATATGGCGGCAATAGTAAACCCGCTTTTCTTTTTTTGTTTGATCATTTTCGTTCGTTTTTGAGGTCTCAAAGCTAAAAAAAAAAAGAAAAAAGAAAAAGAAAAAAAAAAATAGAACATAATAAGGAATATGGTAGTATATTGCTATGTAACATCTGTTGCTACTATCTTAAGAAGATTGAAGTCCTGCACGCTTTATTCATAAGGGGCTCACCATGTTTCAAACAACATATATATATATATATATATATGTATATGTATATATATACATATATGTTGTTTCAATCTGTACTTGCACAACCACGACAACCGCAGTGAATACACTGTTTGAACTTAACTTCAGTTCCCTTTTTTTCTGCTTCCAACTCTAACTGGGTTCTTGGTACTCTGCAGATACATGTTTTCCCATGTGTGGTTTCATCACTCTGTATGCATAACAAACAACATAATTTTTCATACCCTTGTTTCTTCCATTTTGCAATCAAGTGCTTATCACAATACTTATGCTTAATCAAGTACAAGTATAATTCTCTAGAAATTAGTTTCCTCCTATAATACAATTTGTATACATACAATGACCTTTCATGGTTGATCTGAATGATTTTCCAAATGCTTTCTCTCGCTTTAACAGATAATTTAGAATTTGACTCTTTATATCTCTCAACTTCTTTCAATCTTCTCTCGAATTCATACAATATTGGTGATATTTTATTGAAACCCTTTGGTGCATTCTTAACACTCTTTATACTTGACATCTTGGCATATCTCTCCTTTCTCCTCTCTTCTCTCTTCTTAATCCCTTTCTCTTTATCTTTCCTTTAACCTTATCTTTCCTCTACACGTTATATGTCTATAATGGAAAAAAAGAAAGAAAAATTATTCACATGCAGTGAAATATTACCGAGAAGATTTTGAAATCATGAAAATATATTGGGGAAAAAATAAAATAAGATTAAATAAAATAAAATAAAATAAAATTTTTTATTATTTTTTTTTGTACTCTCAAAATCTTCAAGAATCTGATTTTTCATAAAATAATATTCTTATCACTTTTCCTTGCTGAATTTCTGTCAAAGGCAATTCAATTAATTATATAAGAACCACAATATTATATTGCCAAAATCAATATGCAATAAAATTTAGGTAATTTTATATTAATACCCTTGTTTCACAGGGTTCGTGCTTATGGAACTTTTGTTATGGTACGATGTTGTTGGTGATAGTATGATTTTGTCTCATTTTATTTGACTATTGCATTTTACATAACTATTAACACAAGAAATGATAATATACACTGTGGTTCATATTATATTTGTGTTATACTTAATGACAACAATGCTAAAAATATAGTTAAATAAGATGATTACTCTCGAAATATTCCTCGTTCATAAAAGGCTTTTCAAACAAGATTTAATGTGTGGTTATTACTTTCTGGAAAACCTTTAAAAAGAGTTTTTGGACACCTTAGTTACGATGGATATTTATGATTTTTTTACTAATTAGCAAAAACCATTTATAAAGATTTTCCTCCTGGGTGTGACAAATGTTGTCCTGATGTTACCATAGACGTTTTTGTAAACTATTTAGTCGACAACAACGTTTTTACTTTTCCTATTTATAAACGTATATATATATATGTGTGTGTGTGTGTCGGTATGTGTTCATCCATGCGTCTTAGTTAACTCCTTATATACAGTAAAGTTTATGTAGTACATACAGAGGGGAACAACAGAAAAACTATTCTACCCAATTTTATAATCCAGAAGAACCTATCTCTCGCAATATCTCTTTAACCATTGCATTGAGTTTTATCACTTTGTTTAAGTAGGAATATGATGCACCTTTAGAGACAACTGCTTTCGTTCCAGACGATATGTTGATAACAAATGTAAAAACCTTATGGCTATGTATCTCTCGTAACAATAATACTTCACATGGATAGATGTAAAATACAGACACTTTCTATATCTCTAGAGGTAATATTCCTATATATCTATATATCTATATTCCTAATCTAAGATATCCTAATAGCATACACTTATATACTATATATCTAAACTTATGTAATCCTTGGTTCCTTGTTCCTTGTTTTCTTCTTGGTTGTTCTCTTGTACTCATGTTGGTTACTCCTGCTTTTATCTATGTTTGTAAAATTTTGTAAAAAGGAAAGTTTAGAAAAATATCGTCAACCCTCATTTTTCTAAACAACCCCTAAACAGTAATATCAGGGATATTGCAATTAACAAAAATTGATTTCGCCCAGGATCGAACTGGGGACGTTCTGCGTGTTAAGCAGATGCCATAACCAACTAGACCACGAAACCAATTAACGTTGCTTTTTTGCTGTATTATGAAGTGGTGAAATTCTTTGTGTATTTCAGGGAAGCGCAAATAATATTAATAGTCATTTAAGTAATCGAGAGAGTAATCAATTATAGGCGATAATATAATTACTAAAACGGTCTTATATATTGAGCGGCTTTAACGAGCTAATATATTTATTCGAAGTTACTTGGCTTGTTACTTGCTTGTTGTTCTCTTTTTTGTTCATATATAATATATAAATTATTTACAAGAAACGGTTATGGAAGATGATCTTTTATCTTCAGAAAACGTTGTCCTTTTATATGTTTTCTGGAGCTCGATCGATTATTCAGATTAGTACATTAATGACTTGACTGATTCAAACCCTAAAATTTATTACATTAATTTAGGTGCACTAGTGGATTAGAACTGCACCCCAATTTTCTAATCATGGTAATTAGTAATACACGTGGGACTTATTAAAACAATAGGTAAATTTTAGATTTGCCAAAATCTTATGTTATCTAATCTTTTTATTATGCAGCATCTAATGTTGTAGCACGTGTATGGCTTATTAATACAATAATTAGTTCTAGATTCATTCAGGATCTTATGTAATCTTGATGGTTATGACTATTCTATTCCACAACAAGCGCTGTTGTAGATCAACCTTGATATTATGATTATATAGAAAAAAACGATTAGGGTTGAAAAATATTGTTAGGGTTTTGTGATGGTTGTCAAGAAAAAGTTCTAGTTTGGATTTATAGGACTTAGGGTTTATTGATAAATCCCATGTGACTGTTGAATACATGTAACTGTTGGAATTTGGAGCCTTCTGCGTCCATGGTAATGATAGACATCATTAAGTTATAGATACTTGTTTTGTTTTTGTATTAAATACCTGTACATATTTATTATATAGTGTATTCAGTATACATTCTTTTATTTACTTTAAGTTTTCTTTTAAAGTTTTTCATTTCTTTTCAAATCTTCGAAAGACATATTTGGTGACAATTAAAATGTTTTCCTGATATTATGTACATCCGTACACCACATAATATATAGAAAAACTAATTAAAAATAATTCTTATGAAAATGACAGTAATAAACTCTCATTTTCCAACAGATATTATACAATTAGATATATCATCTGCTTACTTGTATGCTCCATTGGAAGAAGAACTGTACATTCGTTCTCCACCCCATTTAGGATTACGAAATACAGTACATAGACTAAAGAAATCACTTTACGGTTTGAAACAGTCTGGTGCAAACTGGTATAAGAAGATAACCAATTTTATTATTAATAGTTGTCATATGAATTTTGTACCAGGATGGCCTTGTGTATTTTATAAAAAAATCAATGATTCAATCGTGATATTATGTCTTTTTGTCGATGATATGGTATTATTAACTAATAATCGTCAACTAATAAATGACCTTATTTCTCAACTCCAATCACAGTTCGAAACCAAAGTTGTCAATGACGGTGCTCAAAAGATTAATCAATATGATGTTCTCGGTCTGGAAATAGAATATATTAAAGGATTATCCATGAAAATGGGTATGGCTAAATCTTTAGAAGAAAAACTACCGAATCTACGTGTAGACCTTAACAAAAGTAGAAAAGTTCCAGGAACACCTAATGAAATTATAAGAGAAAGGGAATTTTATCCGACTGAGCAGGAGTACAAGAATAAGGTGAAATGGCTACAAAAAGCAATCGGTTTAGCTTCATATGTCGGTTACAAGTACAGATATGATATATTATATTATGTCAACACGCTAGCTAGACATACTCTATATCCATCAAAACAAGTCATGAGTCTAACCAAACAACTAATTCAGTTTATTTGGTCAACAAGGAACAAACGGCTCATATGGCACAAGACGTCCAACTCCAACATTAACTATTTAACTGCTGTAACTGATGCTGCTTTTGCAAATCAACACGATATGAAATCACAATTTGGAAATATGTATTATCTAAATGGAAATTTGATTGGTGCTAGGTCATCTAAGTCAACAATTACATGCACCTCTTCTACCGAAAGTGAAATTTATTCAATTTGTGAAGCAATTCCAAGATTAAGAAATTTAAATGTTCTAATTCAGGCTATATCAGACAAGGAGGTCAGGTGTTCAATATTAACTGACAGTCAAACTAGTCTCCATCAAATCAAAGTAAGAGACATATCAAAAATCAAGAATAAATTTTATGGTACTAAGGTTTTACGCATTGCTGAAGAAATTGAAAATGATAATATATCAGTGAATTATATTAACACAAGTCAAAACGTTGCTGATATTCTTACAAAACCTTTGAGTGTTAAAATTTTTGCCAAGTTAACTGAGAATTGGATCTACTAAAATTGAATTGATCTATGGGTGGTATGTTGAAATAGAATGTTTTATGATAAAATAGATAGAACAATAAGATTTTAGCAGACACTAAACGATAAATTGTTGAGTAATAATTGTTGAGAGGTCACCAAAAGTTGTTGAGTTTATTTATTAAATATCCTACTGTTCGTAGAGGAAAATGGCTGAATGTTAACATATATAAAGCCAAGGATTTCATCATACATTATTTTTATCTTATTTACAATCTTTCTATATTATTATTTCTATGTTGTATATAAAGAAAGAAAGTGAAGAACTTTATTATAATTTTGTATACTAAATCTGTTTAATATAATATTGAGAATGTTTACTATATATCCAATGAATAAAGGCGCTCATTCCCAACAATATAGTATATAAGTGTATGCTATTAGGATATCTTAGATTAGGAATATAGATATATAGATATATAGGAATATTACCTCTAGAGATATAGAAAGTGTCTGTATTTTACATCTATCCATGTGAAGTATTATTGTTACGAGAGATACATAGCCATAAGGTTTTTACATTTATTGCACAATAACTCTGAGCTTGAGCACAGATGTAACTTTAAAGATCCTTGAATTGCTTAGATAAACTTAACTAATATTATTTTATATACCTTTCAATATTATAACAAGGTTTATCGAATTTATTTAAAATTTCATATTGTTGTAGTATAGTGAATTTTGATATATTACAAAGTATAAGGCGAATATTTTGTAAAATAAAATATATCGATCATATAGTAGAGGAAGCTTTTTTAGTAGATGTATAGACTACTTGAACATAAAATGAAACGAAATGTGTAGGGGTCTGTCATTTATTTGATTGATTTTTTTTTTTTAAGTTATAATTCATAGTTATCAAGATATTTTCAACTACTGTAAATTCGTAAAAGAAAATATGATAAATAATTATTGCATATTTTTCAATAATAATGAATCCCATAATTTAGCAATTTTTGCTTAACTATTTATAATCTTTATACAGAAATTGTGTAATATCATTTTTCCCCCTATTTCATATATTTTTCTCTTGAGGGATTGAATTCATAGAAAGATGTTTTCTATCACCTCTTTAATAATTATAAGAGTATTTTATACATAAAATTTTCCCGTACAACTATAATTAATTGTCACTGAAAAAACAAAAAAAAAATATTAAGATTTCACAATCTTATGTTTTACTGTCTTTTCCAATTATTGTAAAAAAAATTTATTAGTTATGAATTGTTGAGAATTAGTGCCTTTGGTAATTGGAAAAATAGTATATATCCTTAATGTTATATTTGTATATATGTAGTGTACAAAATTATAATTAAGATCTTCGGTTTTTTTCATTTATATATGATATATATGTGATGATTTATAAAAGATGGACAAGGGAAAAAATATGATATGAGAAAAATGTTGGTTTTCTATATTTTTATATCTGGCACATCTCGTCTACGTATGGCATCAATTTACCAATATGTTGCAAGTAACCTAACTGGAAATCCAGTAGATACGCAATTCCAAGAGTAACACCTGAGTGTCTGGGTGGAGGATTGGTACAGCCATGTGCGCAGTGGCTCGTATAAGGTATTGAATCTGATTGGAGGATTTACAGGGAGTGAGAATGATATCAAATCTTGTCAATAGGACTTTGATTATTGAGAGATATGCCAGGGGTAATCATCTTATTTAAATACATCTTAGTAATGATATTAAGAGGCAACTCTTAATATCATACAACAAGAACAAGAAGAAGTAATACAACATCAGGGTTATTAATTAGTAATATATAGAGCTTACGTAAGAGTGTTTATACTTATATTAATTGATACAATTCATCTATTTACATACAACAACTCTTACATATGTGTTATTCACACTTTACTGATATTTAAACAATACATTCTCCACATTTTGTTATCAACTTATATTTGTCAAAATCTAATTGATCTCTCTATTTATTCTAGAACGTTCGATTTCAGCATGAATATTTAGTTATTTTACAATATGGACATCAAAAGATAAAGAATAATGACAAAAATCGAAAATATATACGTGTGTCGTTAATTTAAATTTCATTGAATATTATAGATTGGCAATATAAAATCATCACCTAACAGTATAAAAATTATGATATATGTATACATATATATATATTATATTTCACTAGCAATTTTTAACATTTCGTCACTTTCAATAATTTGAACTTTTTCACTTGAATCCTTTAAAGCTAAATGTACACCGACTTTAGAGACTTCTTCTGCCATAATTGGATATGCAAACATCCATTGACATTTGGATCTATAAAAAAATTTGCCTACAAATGTGGCCATGTCGTTACCAAATCCTTTGTGATGTTTGATTCTATCCCCAAGAAGAGCACCAGGCCTTAGTATAATAGTTTTATCGAAACCTAAAGCAATCATATCTCTTTCAATCTCACCCTTCATCCTTGGGTAGAAGAACCATGAATCTTTATTTGCACCATATGTGCTAACCAAGACCAGAGTTTTACAACCTTTTTTTTTCGCTTCTTTAGCTAGTTGAAGGTTCAAATCATGGTCAATCTTATATTGGAAATCGGTGCCACCTACAGACCTTGTAGTAGCTAATCCAGTTAATAGTATATCAATAGGTTCTTTGATGTCATCTTTAATAATGTTAGCCCATTTAGAGTTATCTTTCTTTTGGAAACTTACAACCTTGGAGTTTTCATCATAACTGGACTGTAATGGGGATCGTGTTATAGTAAAAGCTTTATTAATTTCCTTGGAAGCAATTGAATATTTTAACATAAAACTGCCACATAGACCAGTGGCACCTAAAATTAATGCATTCATATTTGGCTTTGTTTTTTTTTTTTTATTTCTTTCAGCTGTCTATTACAAGGTACAGGTTACAAGTAAAACGGACGACTAATACTGTTGTTATATATACATATATTTAAGTAGAAGACAAATAATTAGATAAATTGCACACTACCTGAGTTGAAAGCTTATCTTTGTTTGTGTGTTTTTGCTTCACTTCTTTAATATAAAATTGATTCATCTTTTTGCAAAAAAAAAAAAAAAGACAACACAGTTCCTTAACACAAAAAATGGAAAAATTAGCGAAAGAACAAAAAAAAACGGATTCTCTTGTTCCGTGGAACTGTGTATTCGGCCGAATTTTCTATTTTCTGTTAAAGAATCGGCCGATACTCCAAATAGTTTTCCGGCCGACATTTAGTTAAAACAAGCTATCTTTACACAGCCAATACTCTTTAGAAATTGTATGTATTTTATGAAAGAACTCTTTGCATGTTTATATAAAGAAGAGAAACCTTAGTGACTTTAGTGAAAACAAATCAAACTCTTGTCCCATCCTTCGTATATTTTATTATTATGAAATATAAAAAAAAAAATTAAAATAAAATAAAGATAAATAGACAAGGCTCGATAGTAGCTATTAATCACAATAACAAAACAATTAAAGAAATCAGTTGATCCATAGCTTATAATTTTTTTACCACTTTTCTATTTTTTATAATGGCTTCCACTTATCCTGAACAATTCCAAGGTATCGCTGTCGTTAATAAAAACCATTGGAAACATCCTAAGAAAATTAGTTTCAAACCAAAGAGTTTCTATCCAAACGATGTGGACATCAAGATTGAGTGTTGCGGTGTCTGTGGTTCAGATATCCATTGTGCTTCTTCCCATTGGGGGGACGTTTCAAAGAATCAAGTGGTAGGTCATGAAATTATCGGTCATATTGTGAAGGTTGGATCCAATTGTTCCTCTGGTTTGAAAGTTGGTGATCGTGTGGGTGTCGGCGCTCAATCTTTCTCATGTCTCGAATGTGACCGTTGTAAAGAGAATAATGAGCCTTACTGTCCAAAGAGTGTGTGGACTTACAGTACACCATATGAGGATGGTTATATCAGTCAAGGTGGTTATGCATCGCATATCCGTGTCCATGAACACTTTGTGGTGCCAATCCCAGATGAAATCCCAAGTCATATAGCTGCCCCATTGATGTGTGGTGGTATCACTGTCTTTTCACCATTGATTAGAAATGGTTGTAGTCCAGGTAAAAAAGTGGGTATTGTCGGGATCGGTGGTATTGGTCATATGGGTGTCATCTTGGCAAAGGCTCTTGGTGCTGAGGTCTACGCATTCTCTCGTAGAAGTAACAAGAAGGAAGACGCTTTGAAATTGGGTGCTGATCATTATATCGCTACCTTGGAAGATAAAGATTGGAGTACCAGATTATTTAATACCTTTGATCTTATTGTTGTCTGTGCTAGTTCCCTAAGTGATATCTATCTAGATGAGTACGTTAAAGTAATGAGAGTAGGAGGTAAGATCATCTCTATCTCTGCACCAAGTTATGACGAACAATTAGTATTAAAACCATTTGGTTTGGTTGGTATTACTATTGGTAATAGTGCTCTTGGTTCTATTAAAGAAATCAAAATCATGTTGGACTTAGTTGCTAAGAAAAACCTTAAGGTCTGGGTTGAAACCATCCCAATCAGCGAAGAAGGTGTCAATGAAGTCTTTGAAAGAATGGAAAAGGGTGACGTTAGGTACAGATTTACCCTTGTAGATTATGATAAACAATTCAAATAAACATTCTTGACATTATTGAATCATACATACATATATATATATATATATATGTAAAATACTTTATACGGATATTCTTAAGTAAAAAAAAATAAATTTATATATTTTTACCTTCATTTTCATTTACTCAGTCTTTAAATAAAATGAATGTTAACTGTTAGTAAATCAATCCAATCAGCAAGTTATGTTGTATCTTATGTCACACTAAAATGAGGAAGGATTGTTGAGTTTCAAGATTAACAAAAAATAAATTAAGATTCCTATTCTAGTAAATATATATATATATATATATTTGTTAGATATATTAATTGCTAACTCTGTGGTGGCTGTTCCACTATCTAGTAACATTCAGAGTGGGGATTTCTGTTATACAGGCATTTGCTTTGAATTAGTGTCATTTCCTTCTTTACATTTCTGATACTAGCACAAAATCATTTAGCACGAAACCGCCTCAAAAGTCTCTTTCTTTTTTCAATTTTTTTTTCCTAACATTCTTTTGACATTAAACCGCAAAGATCGCCCAGGGACTTTTTTTTTTTAATCCAAATTATCTTGAAGTTATAACGAAGGCTTGTGCGTAAATCAGTGATGAGTAAAGCTATTTGACTTATCCGTTGTGTATACATTATATTCACCATAAAGTATGTATTCTGCAAGAAATTAATAAAATAATTGTTTCAATATTCCTCCTTTTTTTGCTTCATTCTTTTTTTTTCTATTTTTTTCTACTTACTGCAATTATACCAAAAAAACAAAAAAAAAAAAGATAAATTGCTATTGTCCACTTATAAACTAACTAATCTTTCTGGGTATCAAGATTCATTTGCATCTGGTTGAAATTAATAACTTTTGTATTACGTATTATTATTCCAACAAACAAATATGAAATATACCTCTTCCAAACTGGAAATTATATCGATAATATTATCACTATGTCTAAAACCAATATATAGCTATAAACTTTTAAATTGTTATAGTTCCTTACCGTCCTCTTTCTACAAAGACAACACAAACGAATACCAATCCTCATCATTGTGTTATTCCACGTGTAGTGGGAAAGGTTATTCGTACTTTGCATTATTCGATCATAATACATGTTATTGTGGTAGTACAAGTCCTGGAGGTCTGCCAATTTCCACTTCGTGTAATACATATTGTTATGGGTATGATCGAGAAATGTGTGGAGGTACTTCAGCTTATTCAATCTATTCCGTAGATGATGCAGAATCAGTGTCTAATCAAGAATCCAGTGGTAGCCCATCAGCTTCTTCACGTACTAGTTCTACGGCTTCAATATCTGGAACTAAAAAAACTAGTGTAAGTGCTCTTGCCGTTGGTTCAAGTGATTCCCAAATTGTTATAGCGAACGAAAAGTCTACTTCTAATCAACAGCAAACCACTAGAAATTCAAAAACAGGCAGTGGTACAGAAGCGGCAGTTGCTACATCTGTGGTCTATTCCACCCAATTACAAACCCAAGGTGGTTCCACAATCTTTGTTACAAACACTATTACAAAGAGTACTGGGGTGCTACCTACTGGTAGCTCCGCATCAAATAATAATAAATCAAGTTCTAGCAATTCTAAGAAAAAGGTTAATGTCGGTGCTATTGTTGGGGGCATTGTGGGTGGTGTATGTGGTGCCCTTGTCTTGCTTTCTGCTCTTCTATTCGGATTAAGGTATTATAATAAGAAACGCGAAGAAGATAGAATGGAAAAAGAGTATCAAGAAGCTATTAAACCAGTTGAATACGTCCCTGTTGATATTTTATCTAGTTCTTCACATAGCTACAGTTTTGATGGTGGCAACATGAATGGAAAACTGAATGATTCCCTGGGTAATATTGGTTCTGATAACCTGAAAGGTAATAATACCAATAGTAATAATCTCACAGTGATGAGCAACACTAGTAATAAAAATAATAATAATAACGGTTTGTTGTCTAATCCGTTCGATGATTCTAGACGAATAAGTACAGGTTCGATTATTAGTTCTGACCCAGACCAAAATAAACCTACGAAATTGACTATTGTTAACCCTGATGAATGAATCATAAATGAAGATAAATAATAATATACATACATGTCTAGATATATATATATATAATCACTCTCTTCTTTGCAGCATTTGCAGACTGTGATGCCCCATTTATATTTTCGAAAATGAGTTAATTTAAAGATATAGATATATGCATATATACTAATAGATTCTAAGCATTTTGTTCATGATCTGAAGGTTGAGAGATTTATATAAAGAGTGTGCATTATATTTATTATGTTGATTTCTTTTTTTTTTTAAAGCAAAATAAAAGGTATAAACAGAAAAAGCAGAGGGAATTTTAAACCTGACGAAAATTTTTGATTTGTGAGCAAAAAAAAACATAAAAAGCAAAAGAAAATAAAATAAATACAGTATACAACAAAGAATCTCATCATCGAACAGTACGCCCAAGACAACTACTAGAAGGTGGTTACATCGATCAAAAAATACTGAACTAATATAAAACTATATGGTAAAGATTACAGTTGAATTTTTGGGTGGATTGGACGTTGTAGTAGGTAAAGTAAGAACCCATGATGTCACACTTACCAAAGAGGCTGCTAATGTGCATGATTTAGTAGATTACATTTGTCATGAGATGATTAAAAATCCAAATGATATTGAGGTTTTTATTGAAGATGGTACGATAAGACCCGGTATTATTACTTTGATTAATGATACTGATTGGGAATTAGAAGGTGAAATGGATTATGAATTAGAGGATGGAGATGTTATATCTTTCACTTCCACTTTGCATGGTGGTTAAAGGGTCAACAAAAATTTGTAACTGCCACACGATGCCTTGTCTAAGTAAAATAAGTATATATATCTAAAGAAATAGTATATTGTCGTATAAAACATTACTCAAAAATAGAGAGTATATACATACATACATATATATATATATATATATAGAGTAATTAAAAATTATAAACATATTTTAATCAACTTTTTTCGGCTAATAATTTCTTCAACCTCTCCACTTCCATTTCCAAAGATGCATTCTTGGCCAACAATTCTTCAACTTTAGCTTCCAATTGATTCATTCTTTGTAATTTTCTAGCACGAGAACGTCTAGCCGCTTCAGTGTTTCTTGCACGTTTCAATGCAACAGGATCATCTGAGGTTGGAATCACGGGCGTCAATGGGGTAGAACGAACCTTTCTGTTATATACCACGACACCTAGGTGGTCCACCTTGACCCCATCTGAGTTTGTATATGTGGTGGTTTTCTTCGTCTTTTTGGATTTAGATACTTTACCAGATGATGGGTTCTTCTTATTATGGGAAGTAGAAGCAACCACATCGGTAGTTGGGGCTATTTTAACATCTTCAAGGACAGGGGTAGGTAAAAATGATGCAATCTTGCTTGTAACAGGAGGGAAAGAATCACAGGACTCAACTTCAGTGGATTGAATAGCTTTATCGTTTAATGCGACATCTTCGTCGATGACAACAGGGATGTCATCATCAAACAATGAAGTCCATTCAGTTACTGGATTGGGTAGTCCATTACTATTGTTTTCCTGTTGTTGTTGCAGTGGGGTGTCATCGTACTCGAACATTGGAGTAGAATCAGCGCTTGATGTGAAGAAAGCATCAACTACTCCAGAATCTAACTCTGGAAGATCTAAAACCGTGTCTGGAGACAATAATGGGATATCATTTCCGAAACTTTCGGACTTGACAGTAGGTGGTTCTAGATCAGGTATTGGAATCATAGCTTCAGATTTAATATGATTATAATTACTTAAGACAGAATTCATAGTAGTAGTAGTGGTAGTATTATTATTATTCATATATTTAATACTTGGTCTAAAAGAACCATCAGTATTAAACAAACTTGACATTTCGGATTGAGACATTTTCTTGGTAGTATTAATAATTATTGTAGTAGTGACGATCTATAGATATATATATGTAAGTGTGTATTTTTTAATAAGTTGTAATAATTTGAGTAATTGTTTCGTTTTTTTGTTTGTTTTAACTTGTAATGACAAAATAATAGATAAGGAACATCTTTGTTGCAAAGAGCTATGTTATAGTAGCATATTTTCTGGGGTAGGATATTAATTTAATAACAAATAAATAAATAAAAAAGGGAAGAACCTAGTGAGGCTATATTATAAGGATTTTAATTTAACGCATTCTGAATAACTTTTTTTTTAATTTTAAGTAACAGATAAGCATAGACACAAATGTGAATTATATTTTGATTATGTTTTTCTTATATTTGAAGTGAGAATAAACAAAATAAAATAAAGAAAAGAATAATTTAAAGATTTAATATTTCTTTTTTTCTTTAATACATTATGAATTTGAATATTTTATTTCTTCTAACTTTAAAACTTTCTTTTTAATTATTAATTAACAACACAAAATAAGAGAAATTATTTAGTAAGCCATATTGTCTTTTTTTTAAGATATATAATTTCTATAACAGATACTAATAACTTAAATAATGATACTATACTAAATAAAATTCAGATACTTTGTTGATTGCGCAGTAGAATGTCTGTGGGTTGGTAAATACGCTAGTTCTTGTGGATTGGGAAATGTGCTTAGTTTGTTTTTTTTTGTTTTATTTTGTTTCTTGCTTAGTTTAAGGTTGTTGTTAAATTAAAATAGAAAATGTGCTCTGGTTTATTGAGGGGAAGTGTATATAATAAAAAGGTAGCAAGATGGCATTAAACAACAAGATTAAACAGAAAAGCACTACAGAGGCAGTTAAAGTTAAAGGGCTAACGTAACACACGTGTAAAAGGAAATTCTGCGCTTAAAAAGCCAGCAAACAGATGTGAATCGTTGAAACCTCGATGCTAATACGGGCAAAAGCAACACAACGGGAGATCCAACAGAGGGCAGATCACTTCAAGGAGGATGCTCCAAAAAGGAAGGAGAAGAAAAACGGGTGAGGGCAAGACGGTCGAGGAAACCAAAATAGACTTTTATACTTTTTCCTGCAAACGTGGATTTCTTTTTTATTTTTTTTCTTTTTCTTTTTTTTTTTTTGTTTTAGTTTGTCTCTCCAATTCGGTTGAATTGTTGAGTCTTCCCTTCTAGCTTTCCTTCTATTTTCTCTCTTTGTCTCAAAGGACGAAAAGCCAGCAGAAAGTTTGTGTCTGTCTTCACAGTTCATCCGTTCCCTCTTTGTGTGTTTTGTTTTGTTTTGTTTTATTTTCTCTGCCAAATAGGAAAAATATATATATATATATTGACTGTAGAAATCACGCTGTTGGGTGTACGGATCTCACTGACAGACACAGTCCGCCAAAACGTTTTGTTTTTTTCCTTCTTTCTTTTTTCTTTTTTCTTTTTTTTCTCTTCCTCCCTCTTTTTCTCTTGCTTTTCGTTCTCGAGATAAGTCCACCGGCGATGTATGTGACCGAAAGGAAAAAAAAAGTTATATCTCGACAAAAAAAATATAAAAAATAAAAAATAACAGAAGGAAAGGAATATAGAGTTTTTAACATGTCAGAAGAACAAGAAAACAGTAGAAAGACTTGTACAATTCTGTTCACATTACTTGATTAATTGTGTTAATAGATAAAAAGAAGAATATTAAGTGAATAAGCGAATATTGTGGGGGAAAAAAATAAAAAATTGAAAGATTCATTCTTATAAACTGTTGTTTCACATGCAATTAAATTATTTGAGTTCTTTGTTATTATTTTTATCTCTTTTGGGGATTAACCTTGTCAGAGGTCAAGGTCTGATTTTAGATGATTATGAAGAACAAGAAGAACCAGTCCCAACAGAAAAACCTTATACTTCAATTAATTTGGACATCGTTTATAACATCGAGGATAGAGAGGCTCCAGCAACTCCAACTGATCCAATCTCTTTTGATCAAAATGAAGTAGTCATGTTGAATTATACACTGGTCAACAATGAAGATTGTGATATCTCCATTGTCGGTGTCTCTGGTGAAATTCTAAGTTATCCTAGCGGTGAATCTGTCACAAAGATCAGTTTTGGTGAAATGGAGAACTTATACGCTAAACCTAATGAAACTTTACAATTTAGACAAAAAATCGTCATTAATCTAGAACCTGGTATGTACTATTTATTCCCAATGATTCATGTCACTAATGAAACTGCAGCAGCAATCGTCAAGGAAAACCCTGATTTGGCTGAAATAGAAGACATTGACGCTACTCCAAAAAATGTGGTTGTCAATTCAACCATTTTAAACATCGAAGAACCTTTGATGTCAATCTTCAATCCACAATTCTTATCTATTCAACTTATCATTTTGGTTATCGCTGGTGGATTGTCCTATTTCTATCTAAACAAAAATGGTAAATTGAACACCGAAAAAAATAATTTTAAGAACACTGGTAAAAGAGATCCAATGGAATGGTTGCCAGAACAATACAAGAAATAAACACTTGTCTTTCTTCCTTCTCCTTGTCCTTTACCTCCCCCCTTTTTTTATATTTTTTAGTTGCACGTATATATACGTATATATTCATGTGTAAATTGCCTGTAATATTTTATTCGTACATGGAGTTTATGTAAATATTTGCAAATATATCTAGTTTATTTCTTTTAACAGGAAAATTGTATTGAAACTAATCCATAATTTTTGTTACTCCCTATGTAAATGCAATATAATAATGCATAAAAGAAAAAGGCAAAAATCTATTTGAAAATAAAAAAAAAAAAAGATTATAAAAGAATAAGTGATATTAAAACAGTTATTATCTATAATGGTACATTTTTTTCATTAAAATTTAATATTTAAAACTACGAATAAGTAATAAAATAAAATATATAATAAAAGCATGATCTCTGTGGTAATGAGTGAACGAGTCAACGAAGTCGCTCATAATAATAAAGCAGCAGCGGCAAAGGCACCAGCACCTAAACCAGCAACAGCCTTAGCAGCACCATTGGCAGTTTGTTGAGAGACAACAGCGGTAGCTTGGATTTGACCATCACCGATTTGAGAAATAGCTTGAGTGGTGGCTTTGGCAGTAGTAGCAGTGGTCTTGTGAGCAGAAGAAGAAGTAGCAGCAGAAGTAGAGGTAGTCTTGGCTTCAGAAGAAGAAGAAGAGGAAGCAGCAGCAGAAGTAGATGTGGTCTTGGCTTCAGAAGAAGAGGAAGAAGTAGAGGTAGTGGCAGCGGTAGTAGAGGTGGTCTTAGCAGTAGAAGAAGTAGAGGTAGTGGTTGTTTCACCACCGATTGGGACACCAGCAGCATCTAACTTTGGAGCTAATCTGCTAGAATACCAAGATAATTTTGTAACGAAGGCGGAAACACCGGCCATGTTGACCTTGTCGTAGTCAGAGGTGTAAGAAGTGTCAGATGGGTTAAGGGCGACCTTTTCACCAATATCCATTAAACCAGCTGGTAAGTTGTTGAAAGTGATACCAGAAGATGGATCAGAGACTAAACCAATGTATTGGTTTAAGTTAGCACCAACATCAGCAAAGATGATGTCTAATTGTTTTTCTTGAGTTGGAGTAACAGCAGAAGCAGTGGCAGCGGCAGCAGCTAAAATTAAAGCGGTCTTGGAGTTCATTATTACTATTATTATTTTTGGTATAAGCGAGTGGAAGTGTGTTTTTGTTTTGGTCGGTACTGGTTCTGTAGTTAATAAACGCAAACTAATGATTTACTACAAAAGGAGAGAAAAGATGTAACTCCATGTGTAAGAACTCATATGTTGTGGTTTATATATAAAATATGTTACTGATGAAAAAAGAAAAGAAAACAACACGAAGATACAACCATTCTCTCGTTTGACTTATGGAACGTTCTTTTCTTTCATGTTCATTAATGGTAATGCTATTACCTCTACTACTAAAATTTGTTTGTTTGTTTATCAAACTCAAACGACATTGAATGTCAATACATTATTATTGTTGTTAGTATTGTTATAATTATTATACTATTATTAAACATGGATAATAATAACAAGTGTGTACATAAACCAAACAGCTTCTGGACCTGATAAAGATTATGTGGTGGCATAATCTTTTCAGTAATTGTGTATTATATTGTTGTCCAATGAGTATTACTATTGTCAAACAGGCGTTTTCAATAATAAACACAAGATGAGGAGAAAATAGAATTTAGAAAAAGAAAAGATTCTTTTATTGTTTTTCCTTCTAGTTTCTTCTTTCTTTTTTTTTTTGGATCTTTTATATTTTTTTCCAAAGAACAAGAACATAACCTAAATATTTTTGAGGGTAAAAATTTATATATAACGCAAAGACCTATAAAAAGTTGTAACTACATTGCTAACAAATTTTGGGGGATTTGAAGGACCGTAACAGTATTAAGATTTATTCAGTTATCAACATTTTCATTTACCTTTAATATTTATTTGTTCACACTTATATATATTATCAGTGAGAGTGGTAAGTCACCCTATATATACAATATTAGGATTACAGGTTGATTTTAAACACAAATTCTTTTTTTTATATGTAGAAAATTAAATTGAAAGAATATTTAAAAAACCCTAAACATATCTTTCCTAAATAAACGTTGTTTTTCGCAAAAGGAAAACAAAAAGCGCAGTAGTCCAAAATATTAAGAAAGAAAAAACCGAAAATCACAACAGATTTGTTTTCCTATTTGAACGGTTGCCTACAAGATCTTTTTTAAAAATTAACAATAGTATGTATTGTATAAAACGTTTAGTTTCGAGATATTGAAAAAAAAAAAAAGAAATTTAAAGACCCGTTTTAAACGAGTTAAAGTGAGAAAACAAAGCAGCACAAAAAAGACACTTAAGAAACAATGCATTTTTTGGTTTCCTTGATTGTTTTAAAAATATGAAGAAGCGGATCTGGAACTTACAAAAGTCGAAATGTGCAAGTGCTTGCTGTTAGAATCTCCCATCTTTTTTGTTGAATTACCTTGTTTTGCTATCGAACGAAGGGCTTGATAAAACATATTATGGTTGAATTAGGTTGTTAATCTTGATGATTATTTATAAAATATTGTACAAATCTATTATTATATAGGTTGTATACTTTTCTATTTGTTGTATTTGTCCATCTGATGTTTGGTTTATAAAGTATACTATCAAATTTACAAGAATTGTTAATTCTTTAATAGTACATAGCATCAAAAGTGGGTAATTGCACCACTAGCATCGGTGTTATCTCCTTACCATTTTTCATACAATAAGTCTTGTAGAAAAAAGAAAAAAAAAAGTACCCCTGAGGGAAAAAGATTTGAAAATTTTTTTGCAACCCTACTACAAATCAACGTATGTCTAGTAATTTTTTTTTGATTCACGTAATAAAGAATAAGACTAGACTTGAAGGAAAAAAACATACAGTTGCTAATTATCAACAGGTCTTCTTAATAATGTTCTAATAGTTTTATAGATTCATAGAGAAATGAATATACAAAAGAAGATAAATTATTATCATTTAATCTCTATACCATCTGTTCTGTCTGAATATCATTTATAAGATTTATGTAGATGACCGGTTTCACGGTATCTTTTACAAAACCCTAATTCTATATAACTATAACAGTCAAAGAAACTTATTTTTTTTTCAACCCGATTTTTTTGCGTCGGTGTTGAATATATGCTCCCATTTTTTTCTTTTTTTTTTCAACATATTGATACGAAAATTTGGTAAGAGAAATTTCTAGACGGCAGGTATGAGGTGGAAGGAAGAGCCAAAATTTTCTTTTTGGGTAATGTCAACAAAAAATATAAACAACACGAAGATTTGTTAAGGAACGAGATGCATATTATCTTAATTATTACATGCTTCAAAGACTTCCATTAAACCAGTTATTGTTAAGGAAAAAATGAATTTTCCTGGTAATGATACCTTTGAACGAAAAAGATAACTTTGTTGTTGTTGTTGTTATTTGGAAAAAAAAAAAACAATTTACTAACCATAAACTAAATGCGGAAATAAAGAGGAGGGAAGAAAAGAGAATAGTGAAATTACAACAGCAAGACATTTCTTAATTTGTTGGATTACTCGTATATAACTCTTGTTTTGGGAATTAGGAATTAATAATGTGAGATTTTTATTGTTCTAGTGCTAGCTTGTTAATTGTTTCATATTTCTGATTGAGGAAACTAATAAACAAAATGAAGGGAAGAAGAAAAAGTATTGGTTTTTTTTCTTTTCTCCTAATAATAATTTTTGAACGTAGAATTTATGGAAAATATCATAACGAATTTTCTCTTTTTTCTTTTTCGTTTTTTTAATTAATATTTTGATATCTTCGAACTGTCTTAATGTAACTGGCGAAATTTTTTGATTTGTTATTTTCTGTGGGGAGTTAATATATTATTACATATAATTTAAGGTATTGACAGTTTTGACACATTCTTCACAAAAAGTGCGATAGTACTAAAAAAAAGATTCATGTAATGTCTTGTCTTTTACATTTTCACACTGTAATGACGAATGTTTCAATAAATCTTTGTACCTAAAAAAAAACTTTTCAATGCTGTTCTTAATTTCAATTCCAGTTTAACAAAGGTAATAACTTTACTGAAACTGTATTTATTTACAATCATGAATCATGTTATTAGTGCTGATTCATTTCAGTGACCAAAAGTTTAAAAGAATTTATTCAGCACCAGACTAAAAAAAAATCTTTTCATTGTTTATAATGCAGTTAAAGACGATGGAAATTTTCATGGAACATATCAACCAGTACTCTACAAATTCTAGAAGAAAATTATGTCCAAATATTGTGGTTTCAATATTTTGCCAAGAAATATTTTTGCTATAATAGAGAAACACAAGGGTTAAAATTACAATCTTTTCAATTATGTTTATGATATTTGAAAAATCTAATAGAACTTACAGGTTACAGGACTATATTATGTATAATGATCCTATTTCCATGCTACTATCTAAAATATGTGATAAATATATGGGAATAATAAAGTTATATGAAGTTATTTCTGTTGTAGCACATCGAGATAAATGGTGATTTCTGGATTTAACAATTTTCATAAGTTAAAAATAAAGTCTTCTTACTTGAATTTAATAAATATCTTTGAGGAAAAAGAAAAAATTTTTTTTCTTCAAAATATTCGTATTGCAACAATCAAAAAATACAGTAAAAAAAATTTCTTAGTATTAAATAATAATTCAGAGTTTAGTTGTTTTAGTTTTTTAGAGGCTTTCTTTAACAGTGGGTCAGTATTTTTGTGTAGAGATGCTCTCTGTGTTAAGTAATCATTTGTAACTACTTATAAGTTTTTTCAATTTTGGATCTGAATAAAAAGTACATAGTTTATACTAGCATATCTGTGAAATTGAAAATATATTATTGAAACATGATTAGACGTAGTTTTAGCAATCCAAACCCGTCGTATTAAAGGACTGAATAGTTATATAACAAAAGTTAAAAAATGAAATGAAATAAATCTTTAGTACCACTAACATCCTACATTGAACAATCTAAAAACTTATAATATCATCAACATTCTACTAGAAGTATATATATCATGTTATTGAATTAATTTGATAATGAATTTTAATATAGCTTTTGATGCTAAAGCCTTTAATAATGAAAGCATTTATCTTGGTTTGTTTTTAATTTTTTTGATATTTTTTATTTTTTAAGATGTTATATATATCACCCAATGTATCTTCTTCTAAAAATATAGATGTTGGTATTGGGATAATTATTGTTGAACCTTTACGTAATTTGTTATATTTGTTCAAAAAAGGAAAGATGCATTACATTTCACATTTTTTATCTTTGATTGTTATTCAAAGTTAAATAGATGGGATATTGTTGTAATCATTCTCTAGGAATTATGTAATTGTAACTTTGAGTTTTTTATTCGACATTTCTTTTATATTGTTTATTTTTGGTTCTCAATTTTTCATTTTTGTATCCAAATGATATTCAAGAAAAATAAAAATCCCAACAAAATGTATATTTTTTTTATTAACTGGATGGAGACATAAAATAGTGTTAAAGTTCACCATGAAAATTCTATCAAATATTGATTTAAACAAATATTTAAACATATAAAACTTAGTAGACTTAATTTATAAATAAAAACAAAACAAAAAAAAATACTATAGTAGAAAACAACAACAACAACTAGTAAATATAAATTAGACCCTATAAAGTTACAAGTCATATACTTCTTATTTTGATTTAGGGTTATACTTATAATATTTTGTCGCATTTTAGCTAACATCTATTAAGTCCGCAAGAAAAATATGGTCAAAATTCTATAAAATAAAATAACGCTTAGAAACACACTTTATTTTTATTTCATTATTACGTCACCAATATTGTTTAAAGAAAATAAGATAGAGAGTAATTTTCATAGTTTTGCTAACATTAAATATTTTTAAAGTCGTTGTGCAGTAAAAGAACAACGATATGTGAACCTTTTCATCTAATTCTTTTAATTTGTTTTCTTGTCTTATGTTATGTCTAAAGATTTTTTAAAAAAAAAAAGTTGGCTCACAACTATTGAGGAAACCCAAACTCTTATAACCTTAGCAATTTAACAAACAACATATCTCTTTACAAAAATTGCTAATACTTAATTCCCACCCCCCAATGTCTCATGGAAACCTTTTCTTGTGACTAACTAATATAGTTTCCTCATACATACTGCATTTCCTAAATAGGTATCAAGTACTAAAAGGGTAACGATGTTTTATTTTATTTTTCTTTTTTTTTTTTTTTTTTTTTACACTTGAACAGAACGATAAATGAAGTTTGCAAAAAAAAAAAAAAGGAATTTTGGTAAGGAACTAGAAGCAAGTCATATAAGTGAAAAAAAAAGCCTGCCTGAAACTTTACTGCCTTTGCTACATATTCTATGTAAAACTAAAGCTTATAGTTGTCTTATATAATTCCCCCTTTCCAAAGTCTCCAAATACTAACTAAATTATTTCCCAATATGTACAATCCATATCAGGGTCAACCTGCAAATAGTGGATTCCTATCGGGCAGTAATTATTATCAACCCCAACAAGTACCACAGCCACAACCTCAAGCACAAGGACAAGCTCAAGGTCAACCTCAATTACAACAGAATGTTTATCAACAACCACAACAGATACAATCTTCTTACGGTACCATGCCACAACAAAATTATGCTGTAGGCATGAATCAACTCCAACCAACTTCTAATTTACAATCCAATCAATTAGGAGGATTTCAGAGTTACCAACCATTACAGACCCAGTCTCAAGTTAACCAACCTCAACTCACTCAACCATTACAGCAGCAAAGTACAGGGTATTACTCTAATATGGAAAATAACCAAACCTTAAGTGGATCTTCTCTACAACAACCACAGAAACAGTTTCAACCTCAAGGTACTGGTTACTATCCAACTAGGTCCGCTTCTCAGCCTTCATTGCAGCCTCAAATAACTAATCAACAATCAATGACCACCTCCTTACCACCACAAGTCACTGGACAATACCAGATTCCACAACAGCCTTTATTGCCTCAACAAACTGGATTCTATGTTCAACAATCTCAAGTTCCATTAGAACCTTTGAAACCAACTGCTACTGGATTTGTTAATTCTTTTGCCAACAATGGTTTAAACAATGATATAAAAATTCCTGCAATTAGACTGTCATTTATCACTGCTAATGATCAAGCTAAATTTGAGACTCTATTTAGATCTGCAGTTAAACCTGGGTCCAACACAATCACCGGTACTGATTGTAGAGCTATTTTATTAAAATCTGGGCTTCCACCATCTCAATTAGCTAAGATATGGGCACTTTGTGATACCAGCAAAGCTGGTGAACTGTTGTTTCCTGAATTCGCATTAGCTATGCATTTGATTAATAATGTCTTACAAGGTGATTCTATCCCTTATGAATTGGATACAAAAACAAAGAATGAAGTCAACAGTTTTATAGATGCAATCAATTTAAGCATTGCTTCGAGTAAAAACACTCCAAAAACCCCATTTGATGAAATGATTACAGCTGGTATGACCACTTTACAACCTCAACCTACCGGATTGATGCCATCAACAAGTTTTGGTATGCCAGCTCAAATTACAGGTGGTGTAATGATACCACAGACAAGTTTCGGTATACCAGCTCAAATCACTGGTGGTGCAACAGGATTAACTACTCAAATTACAGGTGGTGCTATGATGCCTCAAACAAGTTTTGGAATGCCACCACAATTAACTGGGGGCGTTTTACAATCTCAAATTACTGGTGGATTTCAACCTAATTTAAACCAACCACAAAATGGTAATATGATAATGCCACAAATTTCATTTAATCAACAGCCAGGATCTGTTCCATCACAACAGATATTACAACCTCAAGCTACTGGTTATTTACCACCTTCCAATTTTAATCCAACTATGCCATTAACAGCTCAAAAGACTGGGTTTGGAAATAATGAAATTTACTCCCAAACTAATTTTGCTAATAAAATGACATCAATTGATAATACAGATAACGATAGAATATCTCCTGAAGAAAAGTCTTTGTTTTATAGTATTTTTGAAACTTACGATTCCCAAGGTAAAGGCATTTTAGACTCTCCAACTGCTGTAGAAATTTTCAGAAAATCAGGTCTAAACAGAGCTGACTTAGAACATATTTGGAATTTATGTGATATTAATAATAGCGGACAATTAAACAAGCAAGAATTTGCCCTTGGTATGCATTTGGTTTATAGAAAATTAAATGGCAACCCATTACCAAATAGATTACCTCCAAGTTTAATCCCATCCAGTAACCTAATTTTGGATAATGTGAAAAATCAACTAAAAAATGAGGATAATACAATTAAGAATCAATCAAAAATTAATGCATTGAATTTTAAAAATAATGATGATGAAGATGCTTTACCTACATTCAGAAACCGTAGAAAGATATTTTCCACAAACACCACTATGGAAGAGAAGAAACAGCCTCAACCATCAGGTGAATCTAAAAATAATAATTCAGTTACTAGTGGTGCTGAATCTAAGTACCCACCAATTGACGACATTACAAATGAAAATACTCATAATCAAAAATCTCAACAACAATATACAAAGGCTGAAATCCAATCTTCTGAATCTAAACCTGTCCAAACAGTCACCAAAATCTCTTTAAAAGATGAAGTAAAATTAATTGAAAGATTACAAGATGAATTAAAGGCTATTCAAATTCCAACAATAAACCAATCTATTTCCTCTGACCTTCAAGTTAGATTAGAAAATGTTTTTGCTAAGATCCCCGATTTATTCACTCAAATTACTAATATGGAAAAAGAAATTACTGATGCCAAGATCAAATTATTCAAATCAAAGAATCCAAGTTCTATTATTGGTACCGGCGCCAATGGTGAGATCACTGAAAATGATAGAAGAAAAGCTAAGAGCAGGGAATTATTAAGATCCAGAATGGCAACATTAACTGGCAAGTCCACTGCAGGTACCGCCCAGGTTGAATCTAACAAATACACCGAGGAAATTGAAAAAATCCAAAATGAAGGCAAAGCAAACAAAGAGGTTATTGATGATGTCAAAACATCCATTTCTGATATCTCTGCTTCTCTTAAATCATATTTAATTGGGAAGTTATTAGATAATGATAATGGTAATTTTGAAAAATGGGAATTTGGTATTGGTTTGGAACCACCTATTCGAAATTTCATTCGTCAATTGAATATAAAAATATTACCCAATAAATCAAATACGAATAGTAAAGTAGAAGCAAGAAGTGATGACCGTACCTCTTTCTTAAAGGAACAAGCACAAAAGAGAATGAAAGAGAGATTAGCTAAGTTTGGATTAGATCGCCGTAACACTGATCGGGCTAATCGTTCAAGACATGGCACATTCTCTACTGAGAATGTAATTACTAAACCTGAATCTCCATTCATTCAGGAATCGTCTTCTACTAGTTTAAGTAGTAATATCTCAGTAAATCAAACTTCTGTTAATAAAGCGACAACTTCTTTACAAGATGAGTCCGATAGCGAAGACGAAGAAGAAAGAAGGTTAAAAGAAGAGTTAGAAAGATTAAAATTAAAGAAAAAAGCTGATAAACAGAAAAGATTAGTAGAATTACGTAGACAGTTGGCTGAAGCTCAAGAAGAAGATTCCGACGATAAAGAAGATTCGACAGTTCCTAGAGCAAATGCTCCAAAGTATGCTTCAAATATTACACAAGTATCAAATGCAATACCACCACAACAAACTTCTTGTATTCCATCGACTGCAAATCTATCAGCAACTCCAACCACCACTTTGAATACTTCACCATTGACTAATACTACAACTGTAAATTCTCAATCATCTTCTACACAAAATAAAAACCAATATTTTGAATCTACTGTTAATAATTCAACCACATCTTTTGATTCTAAAGCTGCTGAAACTCAAAGAAAAATTCAAAGAGGTCTTGTCTCTGGAGGTGGGGATGATAGTGATTGGTCTGATGATGACGATGATGCTCAAAATGGAGTCGAAAACAGTAATCCAACTACCATTCCTGGTAATTTTACCACACCAATGAATGTGCCCAAAGCCTCCACCACTGAACAAACTATGATAGTTAACAATTCCTCTACAAGTCTAACATCTCCACCGGGTCCGGTACCAATAGCTCCACCAGTACCAAGTGTTTCTGAAACAGCAAGCCCAGCAGTCCCAATTGCACCACCAGTACCAAGTGTCTCTGAAACAGCAAGCCCAGCAGTCCCAATTGCACCACCAGTACCAAGTGTCTCTGAAACAGCAAGCCCAGCAGTTCCAATTACACCACCCGTACCAAGTGTGCCAGAGAGTCATTCTGTCACTAGTATTTCTTCATCAACTAATACAATGCAAGTCCCGCCAATTTCATCAATGCCTGTAGTTACTGCTCCATCTAATTCATTACCTCCACCTCCAGCTTTGCCAACTGTTATGTCCAACATACCAGTTAATAACAATAATTTGAGTAGTTATGATAATGACAATATTGACAATAACGATGATGTTTTATCGATTCCGGAATCAGTGGATTCAGATTCAGACGCTTCTGCCTCTGTTCGTCCTGCACCACCAATGACGATTCCACCACCACCTCCATTACCAAATATGTAAGATTATTATGTATTCATACAAACCTTCTATGACTTGATCTGATATGGTATAATTTCATACTGTATCATATAGTATCTGTATATTTGTATCTTTAATAAATTTTATCGTTTTCACCGTGACAACTCTTCTTCTGTCTTTTAATAACCAATAAAAAGTCCGAAATTTGCAGGCACAAATCATGAAGATAACAATAAATGAACTAATAAAACAGAATATCCCCTCCCCCCTTCCTTCTCTCCTCTCAAGAATCGAAACATGATATCGAGCCAGTATAAAGAGTTCTGTTAAGGACTACCTTCTTCTTCTTCTGATACCATCCTCTTACCACTTTACTTCTTTCATCACGATCTGCAGGATCAACTAGATCAAGCAATAGGTTTTCGCGAAAGAAACCAAAAAAAAAATAATAGTATTAAAGATCTAGACAACTATTAACCTTTTACCTAGTTAACTATATATATATACCTGTTAAAATAATGTATATCAAAAGAAATGAAAAACAGCTTATTGAAGCACTTGAAAGTTTCAGTACATGTGATATCAGTGATGGATTATTAAATGTCTATAAGATTCGCAATGGTGGATATATTCCCAATGTGGAGCCTAGATCGTTGCCAAAGGATAATAAAGGGAAAAGTATCGTTGGCAGAGCATATACAGTAAAGTATGTATCTAAGTTTGATTCCAAATATATCGAGACTGCATCTACAAATTATGCAGATAAGATCAGTGAGGGTTCTATTCTTGTTAGCAGGTTCAGTGAAGATTTACAATTGGAAGTAGCACCATATGTGCGACCTATAATGGCAATCTTTGGTGGGTTAAATGCGACAAGGGCCCAATATTTGAAATGTCGTGGTGCTGTTATATTAGGTAGAGTTCGTGATGTTAGAGAATTACAAGAGATGAGTTTCCCAGTGTACAGCTATGGCGTTTCCTCATGTTCAAGTAATTCAAACCTAAAACCGATAAGTACAGAAAAAACCTTACATATACTTACATCTGATAGGAACAGAATAAGTGTGAATTCAGGTGATCTAATTATAATGGATGAGAATGGTGTTGTCTGTGTCCCATGCACCTCAGGGGTTGATTTTGACAATTTGATTGAATATATTGAGAAATCCATTAAAGTTGACAAATTGATATTAAAGGATATTAAAGAGGGGAAGTGTATCAAATCATCTAAATCAGAAAGAAGAAATGTATTAAAAGAAATGTTTAAATAATGATAATAGTAAAATAAAAAACAAACCATATATAAATAAATTTATAAATAAATAAACACACATATATACATATACATATACATATACATATATATAGTTAGTTATCTAATTAGTATTTAAGCGGAATAGTTTAGACGGAAGATATCATTGAAGACATAGTAGGAGTTACCATCTGGAATCAAATGGAAAACCTGAGAGAAACGTTGTGGATTTTGTTCTTCATCAATCAATAAATCACCAGTGATCATGACTAGAACATCACCGTTAGCAGAAGCTGGTTGAGCATCTAAAGTAGTGATTCTATGGGAGACTCTTTGGAAAGGTAAAGAGACCAATTTTTCGACAATAGCCTTGGCACCCTGTAATTGAGTGGTCTCGAAAGTTAACATAGATTCATCTCTGTACAAGTTACCTAATTGAGATCTGTCGGAATCGAATTGGTTGTAGTAAAAATCAGTGAATTGTTGAGCTAAGGCGTTAAAATCCATTCTTAATTTAATTTAATTTAATTTAATTTAATTTATTTTATTTTATCTCTTCCTCCAAAACCTCAAGTATTCGTACACCTGTGAGAATATATAACTAGGTAGAGACTCCAAAGGACAACACAAGACACACAGTCACACAAAGACACATGGTGAGACATCCTCCCTTCTAATATGTGCAGATTGTGCTTTAAATTGCCTTTAGCCAAATAGAACAATTTTTCTTTTTTTTTTTTTTTTTTTTTTTTACGCAGTTTCCTTCTTCTCGAGAATTTACTGACGTCGTTGTTTTCTTCTTCTTCCTGCATCCGGCCGTCGCAAGTGACAACAGAGAGAGGGGAGAAAAAAAAAAGAAACGTCTCAGAAATCTTAAACAAATATTATAGATTGTATAAATCAGAATCTTGTTTCTGTTGATACTACCCAACACATATATGATGCCCGTAATGGTTAGCATAATCTCTGTAGACCTCCTTTAAAAGCCCCCTCCATCCTCCATCCTCCATCCTCCATCTCTCCCCAACAACAACAATAACAACAAAATAAGGAAAATCGTACAGTAGTGTGTACTTCAAATTCAACTCACTGTCAACCCTTCATTCTCCTGTTTTCCACATTCGATTCTCACCCTCATTTCCTATATAAGAACCAACCATGAAGAGTGCTATTTCCCCGTTTAAAAGAAAAAGCCACAGTAGGGAATCATCTCAAGATACACATTACCATAGTACAAGACAGTCCCAACATTCGTCAACGTTACATAAGAGAACCATCTCTGGTTCGAGTGTATCCAATACGCATAAAAGAAACATTTCAAGATCTTCAAATTCTTCGCAGGGTTCCAATTTTTTGGCTGAACAGTATGACAGAGATAGAAGGGCCATTATTTTCTCCTGCTTCAACAAACTGGATCCAAAAACAAATAACCATGCTAACGTACACCAACCTAACAACTATATGACCCATGTCAGAATCATTGAGGACGCCAAATATCCAAGTTCGAGACCCGGTCCTGATTCTAAATTGGAATACAAGAAGAAAAGAATCTTGATTCTAAGCTCTTTGGCAGAGCCACCTTACACTGTCTTCTTACATAAGGCTCGTGAAAACCAGGATGGTTCTTTCCAAATTGGCAGAACTTGGAATTTCCATGATTTAACAAGGATCGAAAGAGATACCGAGATACCTGAGGGTTTTCTTTTAACAATAAGTAAAAGATATTATTGGCAGACTAATTCATCAAAAGAAAGAACTGTTTTTATTAAAAGCTTGGTCAAGATCTTTTCACAGACTTTCGATGGCCATGTCCCAGAATTGATCAATTGGGATCTAAGTATGTTCTATTTAGACGAAAAAAGCTACCAAAGAGCTGTCATACATCAAAACAAAAAAACTCAACCAACTCCAACTCCAAACCAATCTTCCTCACATCCTGAACCTCAACTTCGACCTCAAACTCAAAACCAACCACAAATTTTAACAAATTCAAACCATACTCCAAATGTTGAAAACACAAAGACACTAAATAAGAATGATACTCTACCTCCTACCGACTACAATCTAAGTGCAAATGTTCCAAATGAAGAAACAAATACGCCGAATTATAAATCTTTAAATAGAAGCCCATATACTAAACACTCTACTTTAAATGAAGTCAGTCGTAGTTTTAATAATTCATCTATAAATGCAAATTCATCAAACATTCAACCTAACAACAACAGCAATATTAATAATGACAATGATTTATATGAATTTAATCAATCAAACCAAGATCATCCATATCATGCCATGAAAAAATCCTACTCCCAAGAAAATCAAGGTTTTAATGAAACTATAGATGTGTACCAAACTCCAAGACAGGAGGATAATTATTTGCAAAATACTATCCCTTACAAAAATATTGACACTGAACCGTTACAGCTAGACAATAATACAGACCATTTTGATACAGTTATAACCACAACTACAAACAATAATGATAGGATTAAAGACTCAACAGTTCCAAATAGAATTAATGATCATCTAATGGAAGATCTAAATGCAATGTTAAACATTGATAATCATAATCCAGCTGACCTTAAAAAACCCATATCCGATGAAATGTCAAGATCAGGATTCACTAAAGATTCTAGTCAAGAAATTTATATAACCCCAGGTAACGATTTTTTAAATACTACCACCACTACTACTAATAATAATGATAATAATACTGATAATGATAATGACGAACTCGATTTCAATGAAGCACCAAGATCTGTCCTTAATAATGATAATAAAAAAACTCAATTGTTATTTTCAGATGCTAATCCAAATGAGCCATATGCAACCCCAATATCTGACCCTAGTGACACAGAATCAGTTAACCAAAGACGATTTAGAATCACTAATGATGACAGTATAATTAATGATGATGATAAAGATTTGACAAATGAAAATATTAACAATGACCTTTCATTTGAAACAGGTGATGAAATTAGATATAGCCAAACATTTGAACAACCAGTTCTCTCTCCCCACCAATATCATGAAGTCACCACTATTCAGGAAGAAGATCATCAATCTTTATCTGAAGTGGCAGATGAATCCCTAGAATCCGAGGCACCCACTGTTAGGAAACAAAGATTACAAAAAGTCGATATTACAGATGAAATACTATTAGAAGCCTTGACTGACGTGAATTGGACTGTTAATGATGATGCAGATCAATTACTTGCAAGATTGAATGCTAAGCTTGTCGAGACTGAACACATTTTCAATAAGGATCTTCTAAAATTACAACAAATGGACCAATTTTTGGAATCATATGAAATAAATATTGAACAAGAGTGTGCTAAAATGAACCCACCTCTCTCCATGTTTTTAATGGATTTAAATAACTTAGCACAAGACATAGACTTTGTAGAAAGGCAAGATAATGGATTACAAGTCGAAAGCGCTAATAAAAAACTTTTATGGTCTACTTTGTCCGATTTATTAAATACAGTATCTCTAGATGAAACCACTCTAAAAGAACTCTTAAAGTGTCCAATTCGTGAAAGAAACCTTCCATGGATGGAGACTCAGTTGAGTTCATTATCAAAGGCTCTGAAAGCAATCAATGGTAGGAACAAAGATGATGATAACGAAGATGAAAACGATTTAAGAAATATGGAAGCCATGAAGAAAAGACACATATATTATGAAAAGGTCACTGAATTATTTTTAGCAAGGTTAGTAGACGAAATGGGCACCTTATTTTCTAGCATCAACAGTGATAGTACCAATGAACAATTAGTAAGTACATTACAAAGACTGTTAGTGTATGCACCATTAATATGCTTCTGTAAAGAAATATCCTCTGAGTCGTATCATACTATAGTAAAGACATGGAACCAAAATATCCAATTAATATATAATAAATTATGGTCTAGAACATTTAAACAAGTGTCAAATAAGTCGCAAAATAATTTGGTTTCGGAGAAGTCCGTTACACAACAGAGGAATCTTGAAATTTTATTATCACAATGGCAACATTTTAAAAAGACAAGAGAATTTTCTGTTGATGATCCTGTATATTCCCCTTTTTTATCAAATTTGATAGAAGTCTTGAATTTTATTCAAGAACAATGCATCATTTATCAAAATTTTGTCATTTCATTTTTCCATATTAAATCACATTTGTCATTTTCTGAATATGTTGCTGAATATAGTGACCCTAGCATGAGAGTTGTTTCTTTAGACAAAATCAATCACATGGATTCTGATAGACAGTCTGCTTCAACAACCATGAACATGGTTTCTAAGGTATTTCAACCAATTATTTCTGAATTTAGTTCACTACTAAATGACCTAGTTAAAGTTAGTAGTGGTATTCAGCCTTGTATTATGCTTCTTTTAGAGGAAAGAATAAAAACATTGGAATCATCAAATCAGGAATTCTTATATACAGCATTTAAAAAATTATTTGTCCAAAGTCAAAATTTATGGATAGACAATATAAATTCGCAATTGTTGACATTTGAAAGAATTGTTCCTGCTGATTTCCATAAAGAACTATTATCACCAGTGTTCAATTTCCCAATATTAGTCAACAGTATTAATGATTCTTTATTATGGATAATTTCCAAAACTTCAAATATGAAATACATTGAATCCGAAACATATAGAATACTGACTAACTCTTATGTTGATATATTATCTACGATAGTCAAATTATTAGGCGAAAAACCAATGTCTGAAAAGCATTCCTCTGTGCGTAAACATTTGTTAGATGATTCAACATTGGTAGAAACACTTACATTGCTAACAAATTATAATTGGCTTATTGAATTACTAACTATGTTAAATGCCAAATTAAATGGCACGTTTGATGACCAATTACAACAATGTAAAGAAAAATTCGACACAGAAAGAAATATTTATGCATATCATCTTTTACAAAACTCTATGCCTAAGTTAAAAGGCTTTATTGATGGTGCTACTCGTATAGATGAAAATAATACCACTTCTTCCGTAAGCCTATCACAATGGGGTGCTTATAGCAGACAAAATTTGGAAATTATTCTAAATTCTTATACCTCAGATGACATCCATAAATTAGTCAAAACGCTTTATAATCATATGATGGAAGATATTACTATACAGCAACCTGAAGCAATTCATATATCATTAAAAGACAAAGTGTGGTCCACTTTACAAGGCCAGACCGTATCATTGTGTTTGAAATTGTACACTTTGGTTGATAAACATTACCGTGGTCTTCAAATTAGATTTAACAAGAATAATATTATTAGCTCTTTTGAACAGTATAAGGAGTAATATGTATATCAATCTAATTATTTAATACTACATAGAACTGTATATAAAAATTTCAACTAAAATAAAAATATATCTTAGCTTTACTATTTTCTCCTCTTTTTTCAAAACATTTAAACATTCAAGGCTTGAGACATCTATATCGTAGTACCACTAACATATTCAAATCATGCTAGTTGATTGCAAACTACATAGTTTTCTTCTGTACTCTCTTTACTTGACACCTCTAATATCAATCTCCTAACAGTTTCTAAAACCTCTATTTCCTAATGGAAATTGTAACTAATGAAATTTTTGCAAAAGAAAAAAAAATAATAAAAGGAAGAAAGATACAGAAAAGTTGCACATTCCAAAGAACTAAGCACAGTAGGTATACATTTTCAAGACATAATGTAAGCCTTTTTAACTAAGATTTACGAAGATCCTCAAAGAACAAAGTAGAAGAACATAAAATATGTTTAAAAAGTATGTGCAACTAATTTTTGGAAATGTCTTTCCACCATTTTTAAAGTAAATATTATTACTGACAAAAATAATATTACTATGATATGATTACTTTTGTAGTCTTATCCCTTCTTCCACTACCCCTGATTTTTGATGTTACAGATTTTCTAAAGAAGATATCCATTCCCGTTCTAACGTTAAATCTTCAATTCAAAGAACTTTAAAATCTAAATTAGTATCCCAATATCCTGCCCTTGAGCTTGTTATTGATGAATTAATTCCAAAAAAGAGTCATATAGAATTGATTAAATGTGAAGATAAAATTCAGTTATACAGTGTGGATGGAGAGGTTTTGTTTTTCCAAAAATTTGACGAATTAATACCAAGTTTAAGACTTGTTCATAAATTTCCTGAAGCTTATCCAACTGTTCAAGTTGATAGAGGTGCCATTAAGTTTGTTTTATCCGGTGCAAACATCATGTGTCCTGGGCTAACATCAGCTGGTGCTAAACTACCAGACAGTCCAGGTTTAGAAAAAGATACTATTGTGGTTATTAACGCTGAGAACAAAGAAAATGCTCTAGCTATTGGCAAATTATTAATGAGTACTGAAGATATTAAAAAAATTAACAAAGGTCATGGGGTTGAAATGATTCATCATTTGGGTGATCCACTTTGGACATTTAGTATTGAATGAATTAAGACATTATTATATAACGTCACACTCCTCTTTTCTAACATCAATAATACATAATACTCTTTATCCTACAGGAATATTGATATTCAATTGGCAGTTATATATATATATATATTATTCGTAATATACATCACTACCAGAAGTTAGATAGTTGTCCTTTATTTTGAGAAACTCTTTCTCCAAATATTGTTTTCTATTATCAGAATTATCCATAATGAACAATTTCAAAGAAAGAATGTTTTTGAAAGTTAATGAGGCAACTTTCCCCTTAAGGGTTCTTAAAGTCCATGTATCTAATACATGCAATTTAAATTCTTCTAGCCCCTGTATATTTTTAATATTTATTTGAATTAAAGAATTTGATAGGAATGTTTCATCGTCGTTATCATCATCAAGACAACTGACAGACAATTTAGTTTGTTTAGAAAAGTGAGATTGTAACCATTGCCACCTTTCCAACTTGTGATCCATTGAGTACTTTTTTTCTTTGGAGTGTAATACAAAATACGATTCTGCCAACTCTCTAATTGTCTTAGAAACAAAAAAACCATCTATATATTGAATACGTTGTAATCTAGCAATAATCTGATAAAACATGGGATCCAAATCCTGTCGTGTAGAAACAACCTTTTCCATAACACCAACTATAGGATTATTATTTAATTTAATTGACTTCAGGAATGGGAACACCACATTTATTTTATCTAATGTAGACCAAGCTTTCAATTTGTTATTAGTAATATCGAGAGACTGTATTTTATTTAATGTACCAGTATTGTTTGGAATATCCTGTTCGATCATATTCTCCGAAACATCTAAATCCTGTATATTTGAATTAAAAATGCTTAGTGGAATTGTTTGGAGATCATTTTTATTCAATATTAATGATTTCAAAGTTATTGGAATAGTAATATTGGAAAAATCACCTTCATTCAATCCATTCAAGCTAAGATCTAGAAATTCTAAATTAGGGAATAATTTAAAAATAATGCTTAATAAATTCTTCTTAACATGACATGAAGTTAAATATAATCTTTTCACATGTTTTATAGGCTTAATTATTGGAATTTCTTGTTCTAATAAAAATCTATTTCCTGATAAGTTTAACTCTTGCAAATTTGGACATGATTCTAGAAAAGTACTTAATTCAGTTGCCAAATTTGTAAAACAGTTATAACCTAGATCTAAGCTTTTCACATTTAAACACTTTTTAGTGTTTATGCTATCATTAACACCTAACCGACTGATTGCCCTCCTATTTAAAGAAATCACTTCTAACTTTGCAAAATCTCTGTTTTTATTATTCAAATTGCCAAAACCAACACATTCCACATGCTTATTATTAAATGCTATATCATGAATATCCGAGTCAGATACATTAGGAGTGCCATATACTTCATCTAATGCATTCCAAATATTTTTATTTTGAACCAACTTGCTAATTAGTGTAGATTCCTTCATAAAGGAACCAGCTCCATCCACAGACGTATGGAAGAGTTGTGTGCCTTTGTAGATCCCTGAATGTTTTCCTCTAGTAGAATCATCCCATTCGACACCAAAAGTTGTAATACCTGGCCATTGATCAATAGACCCTATATATCTTATTGTACATAAATCCTTTTCAAGCAAAATTCGATCACCAACTTTTAGCTTTTGCATTTAGAGTGGTTCAAAAAATTGCTAACCTCAATCCAATTCCCAAAGCAATTATTTGTTCTTGATTAAGACGAAATTACAATTGACAGGTGGAACTGACACATCTTAATCGTAAAAGTTGATCAAAAGGTTTCCATTTCCTTATTTTTTTTTTTTAGTCTTTATATTCAACTTCATATTTATCAAAAAAATCGTGTAAAAAAGAAAAGAATAAAGATAAGAAGTTTGGGATTATCAGATTTAACAAACATATATACGAAAGAACAATTTTAAGGAAACTTTTACATGGCCTACACATATAATTTTGGCTAATATAATTTATTATCAATATGAGTTAAAAGAAAAATAGAATTCGAAAAATCTCAAATTCATTTTTTGTAAGAATTGACTTCTTCGCTAGAGTCTTGCTAAAATAAGAGTAACAATACAGTATATAATACTACTGTCTCTATTCACTACAATAAATTTAATTTACTCCTGAAACAGTTACGAGGTCAGAAAAAAAAAAACTGCAAGAATGCTCATAAACATGATTCTAAAAGCTACAGGATAACATAATGCATTAGTTAGAGTCCATTCAAGTAGAAAGTGTAAAATATTGAACGGTCTGCCTTTCAACTTAATTTGAAAAGCCTATAAAATGGCAGACTCTTTGAGGCTTTTTTAAAATATATGATGCTCGCGAGAACAGTCGTAAATTCTACCCAAACATATCCACTAAACTACTTCAAAACTAAGAAAAGATATTGAATGTTTATGGTTTGGCATTTCTGCGAAAAAGTGGAGGACAGACTTTATTAAAGAATAAAAAAAAATATGATTATTCTCTACCTACTTTATCTGTACCTGAGGACGATACAACCACTACAGTAATTTACTATTCTTTCCATAAATGATGAATCATTTAGTAGTAATAATATTAAAGATAATTATTCCATTAATAATATTAATGGCAAAAGAAAAAAAGTGAATGATGATGATATATTGATAGTAAATACTCTTTCCAAAATTCTTAATAGTGTAAAAAGTTATATGTGATGGGAAAGAAAATAATAAGATACATCAGTTTTAGTGAATAGTAATACAATTCAAAATGACACTACTCCGTTAGATACAATTTAACCATATCATTAAGCATGTAATTAAGGACTACTTTAAATGAATCTGAATGAAATTAGATACACTCTATTCAAATTTATATATGATATTATTACAGTGAAAATATTGTTTCTTTATTTTTATTTTTTCTAGATATCTAAGTAGTATTAACAATCCGACAAGGTAAAATATGGTATAAAAATAAATATTATACAAAGAGATATATATATGTATAAGGGTGGATACATATACTGTTGAATTAACCAAATGATAAGAATGTGTTTTCTATCCAATCAAAACTTTTTTATGTGTTTTATTTTTATCTTTTTTCTTGCTATGTCTGTAACTAATTTGCTGAAATAACCAAGCCTATTCTTCCATCCTATCTTCTTTACTAGATTCACTTATAACCTTGTCTAAGTTACCGAATAGGTCGTCTAAATCAAACTCCTTAGACCACTCAGAGACAATTGTAGTTTGCTCTACCTTAGCTGGGGCAACAGTGGCACCAGTAGAGATTGTAGAACCACTACCACTACCACTATTATTATCAATATTGGGTTCTGTTGTATTCTTAGAAGCCTTTGGTAAAACCCAACCCAAGAATTTACCATCTCTCCAGTCACTTAAAACAGATAAACCGGCACTAGCAAGGTTGGGTATACCACCTTTTCCTAATCTCCCTCTCTTACGTGCAACGTGGATCAAGAAATGTTTGGTGAAAGTGTCTGCATCTGGTGCTGGAATTGGAGGTATCTCATAGAAATTTTTAAAACTTTGGGTCATTTCTTCAGATTTTGATAAACGTTTCACCAGCATTAAAACCGACGGATATGGATCAATGATATATTTTGGTGGTAAGGCATTTAATAATGCCAATTCAGCTTCATGTTCAACTTTACTCTTTTTACCATGTTCACTTGGGAAACATATACCTGGAGAATCAAGAATCTTTAATTTATTGTCAATCTTAACCTCTCTTAATGATGTAGTAACACCAGCTTGATTACCAACAGGACATACTTTAGATTGACCACCGCGACGGGAAGTTAGTGCATTAATCACAGATGATTTACCGACATTAGGGTACCCAATAACACCAACCACAATGGATCTCTTCAAATTACTATTATTGGCATATGTCTTCAACGCTTCTAAAAGAGCATTAGCTGTTACGGCTTGTGTTAATTTTTTATTAAAAGATGTCGAATTTGTGGCACCTGGTGCAGCCTTCAATGGAATAGTTGGGAAACTTGATTTCAAAACATTTAGCCATTGTTCTAAAACATATGGTGGTACCAAATCAATCTTGTTTAGGATAAGAATTAAACGTTTCCCTTGACTTTGCAGAATTGCTTCTTCCACTTTTCTTGATCTAGTACCTTCTGGGTCTCTTGCGTCCAAAACATATAGAACAACATCAGAGGCATCTACTACAGTCTTAAAAATCTTATCGTATGCCTTTCTTGATTTTTCTAGTTCTGATTCACCTTCCATACCTTCACCATCATAGAAGTTGATATTATAGTCAATGACATCTAAATCATCTTGTAGTTGACCTGTTTCTGCTACATTTTCCCCATTATATTCTCTTGCAGCTTGTTGAGCCAATTCCACTAAAGCCGCCAATCCATTTCCATCATCTTCATAATCATCTTCCATGCCATCATTAATATTGATATCTTGGCCTTGTTCCAAAGCTCTCTGTCTGGCTTCTAATTTTTTTTGTTTATTCAACTCTTTTTCTTCTAATTCTTTTTGTTTTCTAGCTTCAATTTCTTCTAAAATTTTTGTCTTATAAGGAAAAGAGGCAGGAATACCTGGATCCTTCTTGTGCCTAGACTTCCAAGTGATATCACGCTTAGCAAGTTTTTTTTCCTTTCTTCTATGAGCAGCAGCTTTTTTCTTAATACCTTCTCTCATACGAGTAGAAGTTCTCTTTGATGTACGCTTTCTAACTCTCACCATCTTTTACTAGTTTCAAATTTTTCCTTGTATTCAACACTTTCTATTATATGAATACCCCTTCTCTAGATATATAAAATCTGTAAACGATCACAAATACTCCTCTTTTACAATTTGAGAGTCACAATGATTCTCTGAATACATGCTTTTACCTGATTCATTGAATAAATTCTTTATGATATTCATCTCATCGCAACAAAATTTTTTTTCCTTTGAACTAAAAGTGAAAAAAAAGAGGGAACTAAAAAACTTTAAGAAAAAAAAAAACAACACTAGAATGAAACACCCATACACTTAAACCAAGACATATCCCAATCTTCTGCCAATTGCACCACTATCACCAGTTAGTACTTCTAACTCTCTATCTATATATTCCTCCATCAAAAAACCGCTTACATTTATGGCTAGTAAGAGTGAATCATTACTCGATCTTGGTGCAATTCGATTAAATTCATATCTATAAATGAAATATTGTCATTACCGTGTACATTGTAAATAGAACCTATAACGATGATAACGAATGAGAACCTACTCATCATTAACCTATATATAATGCTATCAGTTACAAAAATCTTGATAAATTGGGGTCATAGATCATGAGCTGACCCCGAATTCTCATCTAATGCCGACATTTGAATGCTTGTTAAAGATGTTATATTAGCTCTTGATATGGACCTCATGAATGGGGATCGTTCTTTCCTCTCATCTAGATTTCCATTAATAGGACGATTCATTGTCAAGTTACCAGTACTCTGACTTCTTAAAACCGATCCTCTATCGACAGTATCATTCATACTCATATCCATATTACCTTTACCATTGTTATTATTCAGTGCCTTTTTTAACAATACCTTAGAAATCAAATGTTTATTATTATATGTCCCTTCTTCTAATTTGGATAGATTATCATAGACTGTCCTTGTACTCCTAAATGATTTAATCCTTCTTGTAATGAAATTTACAATCTTGTGCACTTTGGAAAAAATGTTTCCTCCTTTAAGATGAAACATATTATGAAGTAAGGTATAGTATAATATTATTACAATGATACTTATTATAATCAATATCATAATCGATCTATAATAATGGAAATCTAGGCGTCTATCTACAGAGCTGAGTAAAGTGCCTGAAATAAATGTCTTACCAAGGTTCTCTGCTTCTAATTTACTTGGATAAATCCCAACTTTATCAATAAGATTACCCCTCATAATACTACCGGATACAAATAACAGTATTCTTCCGAGAGTCCAGGATATTTCTGTCCCATTCATATCACTTAGACTTTGAAAAATTGGATCAGTGTTATCAGGAGTTTCATTCGAATTTGTTAATAGATTTGAATTGATCTCTTTATTCCTTGGCATCTCAAAACCTTCATGCAAAACATTTAAAATCCATGTACTCTTAAAGCATGATGCTGCAAGGTATTCTTCTGGAATATCATTATACTCACCATTTAAATTATTTTTCTGCAAAATTTCCCAGTTAGTATTACAAAACTTCTTCACACCTTTATTAAATTTATTAAAATCGTATGGACCACCTAATTTAAAAATATCATTTGGTATATACCAGTACTCCGATATACCAACAAATCTATCCTTATTAAAGTCAATTCTAGGTACATGAACTCCATTGAAAAGGCATGGCTCATCATAGCATGGCATATTTTTCAACAATAATGGATATATGGATTTACTACATTGTTCGAAATCACCTTTTCCTATAGCAATAAATTCAACATCTTTGAATTCAAATTTGTGTTGATAACCTTGCGGAATACATGGATCATACACTCTTCGTGTGCTAAAGTCATCATCATCGTATTGATTTATATTCTCTGGTAGACTGTTCACTAATTGTGCAAAATATCTTTGTCTTGCCTGGTTAGCACCAAACCCTAACCAAGTACTAACAAAAACATTCCACTCTTGGATATTACCATTAATACTCTTCAAATTAATTTTAGCAATATCTCCTTTATGTCTTTTTATCTCCTCCTTGTCACTCGGCTCAAATGCAATCTGCGCTGAAGCACCACCCATATCCATAAAACCATAGGTAAAATGATTTGAATCATTTGGATCATAATTGTCGAAATAACCACCGAGATAGTTTAAACTCAACCAACCATAGATTCCCTCAGTTTGACCATCAATAACTTGGATCTGTGAATCACAATCTGTCAATAAAAAATCAGTTGATTTTTTAATACCTTCACAAACATTTTCTAATATCTTCCTTTGCTTCTCAGGTTTTAGAAGTCTCATACCAGCTGTGGCCTGAATGAAGATTGGTGTATCTTTAATCTTATCACTCGGAATAATAGTTGCTGCAAAATCTAATAATGGCTTAATATGCTTAGTAAAACTTTTTTTTGGATGATCTTCAAAACTTGATAAACCTGGCGTCACTTTATAGATCCAATCCTTCGACTGATAAATTTGAGGCACTGAGTGTGCCTTTACATCAGTAACTGATATAGTGTTTGGATCCTGCCATTTATATATATGTATTCTTGATCCGGATGAACCGGCATCCACCACTATACCATATCTATCAAAATCTTCAATAAGCATAATTAACAGAAGAGTTCCTTGTAGAAATGTGTATAAAACAACAATCTATTTTTCTTTTTCTTTTTCCTCTGTCTCACTGTGTGAGTTAAATTGTAGATAATGAAAAACAAGAACAAATCAACATATTTAATTTAGAACCACTCTTAAACACAGCTTTATCTAGTGATTCAGCACTATACTGCACATAAAAAGCTGTTTGTAAATTAATTCTTTTTGACAGGTTCGACTCGAAAAAAGGGTTTTGGAGTTGCAAGTTTTTCCTCAATAATCGAAATAGCAAAAAAAATACAGAGAAAATTAGGAATACGGTAATACCCCTAGAAAGAATTTATTTTGTAAGTTCTATTTTCTGATACATAATTGTGTACCCTAATAAATAATTTTTTAAAATTTGTTAAAAAAAAGAAAAGCAGAAAAAATAAAAATTTACTAAAGAAAAATTTGGAACACTTTTAATGCAAAAAATCATTCGAGATGTATAAAGAACCAATAGCCATAAACATCTGGTTGTTTGTCTTCATTGAACATTGTGCTTCTTTGTTAGAATAAACTCATTGTACTAATAAATCACATACATAAAGAAAGGAATATCATAAAAAAGATTTTATACAAATAGACTATCAAGCATTCCTACTCTATTACTATTTAAAACTCGATAATAGTTCAGACAATTATATGTGCTATATTTAATATGAATAACCTCACTTTATTGAAAATATTCTTTTAAGGTGAAAGTGATCATAGTAGCAGACAAGTAATCAAGTACAATTCATGGTATTTTTATAAATAAGAGACTAACAATTATAGAATATTTTCTTTATAAACAAGGAACGTCTAAACATATCATTATAATTCTCACACCTGAAAATGTTGATCTTTCCACCTATAGATATATTATATCTTATTGTTTTGACATTATGATTTGGTAGAACTTTGATAATTCTATATATTTACTAGATACATGCTATATGATGCTTATTGGAATTCCACTGCTTTCCTTCATTGTTTGTTGTATTCAGAAGTCAATATAGAGTTGCTAGCATTGAATTGTAATAAGATTAAAGTAATACAATTTATATTATATAGTATTGCTGAAATAGAACGTTTTAAAATAAAATCTCATTGAGTTACCTGCTTCATTTTAGAATAAATCAGACCAAAATATAGAATAAGTATCCATTTCTTATTGATGAAAGAAAACAGAACAAATCGATAAAATATTACCACCTATAAAGGGAAAATGAAGATTATATTCCAATTAGGGCTCCTTACATACACTAAAAAGTGTATATTAATACTACATATACACTCACAAATCATAAAGTTATAAACTCTAATAAATCAGTTATGTAATTCTTATTCTTGTTAGTGACATTAATCTATCTATTAGATTGAATCTGATAAAAATCTGATAAGAATGATTTTGTTGATAATTACTTCTGTCATACATTCTCAATAATTAAAGATTTCTTGAATATATCTCTTAGTAATTTGGTACAAGAATTAATTCGACAAGTTTTCAAATACACCCAAGGCCCAAGATTAAAGTTTCGGCTGCTATGGGTCCACTATTACAATATTACCATTACCAGAAAACTACACGCCACATGATTTCCAAGTAGGATTTCTTATACTTTAAATTTTTTCAAATTTTACGCCTCATTTATGCAAAGGTGTATTTGTTTATTTGAGTTGATTAATTTAATTAACTTTTCTAAAAGAAAAAAAAATACCATAAGTAATGAAAAAAATCCTGTTATACAGCTCTGAATGATGTTTATTGAAATAAGTTGCCTTAAAACAAAACAACTGAACTAATCACATTTTGACAAGTACCATAAAAAAGAACATTTGTAATTTAGATATTACTAAATATTACTGAAACTATTCAGTAATTTTTTTGTCGCTCGTGAATAAAGATTGTTAAATATCTACATGTAGAAATCCATATACTTCCTCATGTTATTTTTATGTATTATTTACACTTTCCAATACAAATTTATTTCTATAGCCTGTATAAAAAAGAAAAAGAGAAATACTTGACTTTAATTTTGTAGACTACTAACTACGTAACAATTATAAAATAAAATTAGAAGTGTATTCAGCTCAACCAATTCATAAACTTACTAATATGCAATATAATATTATACTCCTTTAACTCTACCTTCTGTGAAAAAAAAAAGACATTAAAAAGTGTCAGAAACTAACCTTTTTCTTTTCTTTTTCTTTTTCTTATCTTTTTTATTTTAACTTAATTTGATTGATTTTAAATAAGAATACATAACTACATTATCTTATTTTTATCCTTTTTGGAACATAACTAGGACTTTCTAGTAATTATTTTTCATAATGAATAAAAAGTTTTGCGTAATTAATCTATAAACAATCAAATTTCATTCCAAAAAAAAAAATAGCAAATTCTCAGTAATTTTTCTTTACCTCTTTTTCTATTCCCCATCTTCTTCAGTACCAAAAAAAACTTTAACAAAAGATAAAATATTTCTAGTAGAACGTATTCTAAAAAAAATAATTTGATAAACACAACGTTAGTTACTTCTCAAAGCATAAAAAAAAATCAAAGCTATACAGAAACATAATTTACACAGAAAACTACAGAAGAAAATAGACAATAACAACACAATCTATGATAATATAATCACTATTTTGTTATTGATTTACAGATAATTCAAGCACCCAAATATTGAGTAAGGACATAACAAACCACCTTTGGATATCTTTCTTACAAGCAAATAGTAAGCTTACTAAACCTTTCTTAAGAAACTAAAAATTTTGGTAATGAACCCAGTAATCTATTGGAACTGACTAATGTTGACAAACCGTCAAATAATAGTTCTAAATTTGGTGCAGTTAGTGAAAATAATGCTACAATAAGACATTAAAGAAAATTAGTCAACTAAGTTCATTTTGATTTTCTGATATAAATACCGCAACATATTCATTAATGATTCCAAAAAAAAAATTAAAATCAAATTATAAATTGTCTAATGAACCTATTAAATTATGTTGATGGATTATCGATAACGAATAAGCTGTGGAAAAATGAAACAATGAACACAAACAATACAAATACTCCACTTTTTAGTTTATTGATTAACTGTACTGGTTGGGTTGAAAATCAGAAATAAATTGAGAGATTAGTGAAAAAAACACGCAATTCTGGGATTGCTTTTTTTTTTTCCTATTGTAGAACAACTATTATAGAAGTTATTGTACATATACTTATGTATTTGTTTTACCACAGTGGAAAAAATGTTTTTTTTTGCTTGGTTCAGGTAATTTTTAAAAAATTTTTGTGATTTTTAACCTCCATAAACCTATTTCCAAACATATTGTTTTTGTTGTACTTATTATATACCACCCTACTTGCAACAATAGTTTCGTAGTAAAAGAAATATTGCAATTTCATTGCACCCTAATCAAAAAAAACCATAGCTGCTGTCTTTTATGAATCTATGAGCAACTTTTATGGAGTGATCGAAATCTATAAATAAAAATAAAAATCTTACATTATAGTATCAGATACAAATGTAATTCATAGAAAATTCTAGATTCTCCTTAAGAACAAAGTGGAGATTATTTTGTTATTTCCGGAACAATAAAGGATTATGCAGGAAATAGCAATAAAAAAATTAAACATTGTCTATTCTTTGAAGAATATTTTTGCCACGATATAAAGAAAAAGAAACAAAAGAATTAAAATTGTCGACCATGAAAAAAATTTTTTCTTTTTTTTTTTCTTTCATTCCGTGAAAAATTTTCAATCGTAAAATTTATTGGATATCGCAAATTCCGTTTAAAAACAAAAGCGTCATAGCACGTGATTCTTCCTCTTTTTCCTGTTTTTTTCTCACTGGTTTTTTCTTGAGAAAAAAATTTTTTTCTTTTTTGGTGTATCTTCAACTTTTTTTGAGATCCCAATTTTTAGAATAGAAGTCTTATTCTTGTTAATTTATCACAATAACATATTTTGCACCTCATAATCTAATAACGTTTTTCAATGAAGATACAAACACGAAGACAAAAGAATAATCCTCTTTTCGTAATCAGCTACGATTAATATTTTTATTTTTATTTTAAATAGTGTGTTCCTTCTGTGTTTCTTATTCTTCATCGATATGGTAAAGAAAAATTCTACGACTTTATCAAACTATTGTTTTGTTTCATCCTCTGATTAGACTTTTCTTTTCTTGAAAAATTAAAAAAAATCTTTACAGGTGGAGAACTCAAGAAAAAAGCAAAGAATACAATAAAAAAGAATATACTAATTATTTATGCTTCCACTTTATTCCTTTCCTTAATACAATGCTGACTGATTTAACGTTCGGAAGAAAATAAAAAAAAAGTTAACAATAGAATTTGTCGGGTTTCGGTTCAAATAAGGTAGTGACGTAACAATAGCTATCAAAGACAATATATGCAAGTATTCTGGACTATTGTTCATTATTTCCACCCTAGAAGTCGGAATGCTGTAAAAAATTCCGCTCACTATTTTCTTAGTTTTGGTAAAAACGAGTATTACCCTTCTTCCAATGTACAAAAAGAAAAAAGAAATGGCTGCAAAGACCTATCAACTATGACATATCCAAAATATGAAATGCAAAATTTAATTAGAAGAAATATGCTAGCAATACTCATACAAACCCAATAAATTATAGCGAAATAAGAAATTATTCCAAATCCTTAAACACAAATTATGGAAAGTTGTTGAACTAACTGATTTTCAACAAGAAATGTGCTATGTTTACTTTGTGCTATTCAATAGAATATATATATATATATGTTACAAATTAACACTTGTATTTATTGAATAACATGAATATATTCCCAACTATAGTTTATAATTCTTATAAAGTTAACCGTATAAATAATTAAACTAAAACTCTTTTTTTCTCTCTCTTGTACATAGCATAGAAATAATTTTATATAGAAAGTATGCATAACGTGAAAAATACGACATTAAGAAATTCTTAGTTTTAATATACGTGAATATTTTCTTTTCTGTCTGGCATTTATTAAAATCCCATTGTTCTACTTATTTCATTCTAGAACAACTTATTTTAATAATTTCACTGCTTCAGAGAAAAAATCATTTCTTATGTATTTATGAAATAAATTAGCAGATAGACAACTAATTTGTAATAAACACTTAAACATTGAAATATCTAAGTATGCTTGTTTTTTATTTTGTTTCAATCATAATATATGGTAAGAAGAATCAACTTTCACATTTTGTAATACTTAGTACTAGAAAAAATGTCACACCGTTTTATTTCAGCGAAAAACAAAGGAAAAAACATATGATATTTCCGTGAACCCTACTTTGTTTTTGTTCCGTGGAATAAACGTTTACCAAATTTTTTACTTGAAAAACTCGACAGCTCTATAAAAAAGAAAAACAATAGGATATGCAGATCTTTTTATACCACCAAAAGACCATTCTGAAATGGTCAAAATGTATTATGCATAATATATACCAGCATATACATATTCAAAAAAGAATCTAGATCTTGCTGGTTACTCTGGTTTGATTATTTGTCATACATACTTATAAAACAAAAATATATAAACATATATATATATCTGCATTTGAACAGTTTGTAAATTGATCTTTATTTTTGTTCTTTTGAGTTTTACTTTCTCCTATTTTTTTTTTTCGTGATTCTTGTTCTTGTGCGTTTTCCACAGAAAAATCTTCGAAAAAAAACCAACAAAAAATATTAATTGGATAAGATAAACAAAAAAAAAATAAAGTGAGATAAAACAAAAATTAACTACTACTCATTTTTGTTATACTTAGAATGCAGATATTAATTTTGTGGTCACTATTAGGACTACTTGTGACCAAAGTAAGTGTTGCTACTACAACTATTTCAACACCAACAACCTTGTCCGGTGATCAAACGTTTTCTGATGATATCGTAATTGAATCAGGGGCTACTCTCGCATTAGTATCTGGTTCATCATATTCCTTCAATGGTAATATTGATGTTAAAGGTTCTTTAGACATCATCGGTGATTCAACAAACGGGTTAACTAGTCTACAATTTGGTTCTACTACAACAATTACAAACAGTGGTAACATCAACATTGAGAATATTAAATCTGCAGGTTCTGCTAGTGATTTTGTTATTGCACCTGCAAGTATTGATAACTCTGGTACATTTACTGTTTCACAATTAAATGCTGCCGCTACTGTACCAGGTACCAATTTTACTTTAGCTCCAACTGGCTCCTTCATTAATACAGGTACAATTGACTATGATACGGCTGGTAAAGGAGGCACTACAAATGGATTCCTTTACCTTGGTACTATAACTAATAATGGTATCATTAATTCTGGTGGATTTTCAGCACTAACATCTGATGGACTTTATAGCACTCATAGTAGATACAAAATGAGAGGTATTATCTTCAATAATCCTATTGAAGGTAAAGGTGTAGTTACTGGTAATGCTGGAGCTACAATTCTTCTTAACACAGATATTCTAGGAGGACAAACTTTTAGTATCAACAAGGCTATGTATTTAATTAATCCAAAAATTGTACCAAGTTCACTTAAAATTGTAAATTTTGTCTATTCTGCAATAGTATTCTTAGGTATAGATTTTCAACAATGGATTAATGAAAATTTTGGTGCAGTGAAAGGCACCATGCAAATTAATTATGGGGTAGATGGCCACCAGTACTGGTTTAATTCAAGTTGTCCATATGGCTATGTAACAAACCAAATATCTTTTAGTGTTGTGCCATCTGATCCTAAATATCAACTTGATGGTACCTTCGTATTAATTACTCAACAATTGAGCGGTGACCAATGTACATGGTTATCTGAACCAGTTATTAAGACAACAACAGTTACCACTGTAGATTCTATTACTAAAGCTACCACTATTTCAACTTTAACAATATCTACGACTAACCAGTATTTCTATACTGTGCCTGAATTCATTTATGAAGTTGCTGTACCTGCATTATCTACTACCTACACTACTCTTACTACATCGATTGCCACCCCTACTACATCAATATATACCACAACTGTTACCGACACAGAAGGATCTGTCACCGAAGAAGTTGTAGTTGTTGTCCAAACACCACCATTATCTACATCCTACACAACTATAACATATCCTGTTACTGCCCCAACCTCATCCACATTCACGGCAACTGTTACCGATACAGCTGGATCTAAAACTGAAAAAGTTGTTGTTATTGTTCTCACCCCACCTCCATCCACTTCCTACACCACTATTACTAGTCGATTCGCATTTCCAAAAACATCTACCTATACCACCACACTTGTTGACAACAATGGTTCTTCATCCCCAGAAGTTGTTGTGGTTGTTGTCACCCCGCCTCCACTCACTATCCACACCTCTACTACTTCGGACATCGAGGAACCAACTAGTACTACCTACACTACCACAGTTCTTGATATCCAAGGCTCTCCATCTCCAGAAGTTGTTGTGGTTTATATCAACCCATCTCGATCTACTTCTTACACCATTTCTACTGCAGATGTTACAGAACCAACCACATCTACTTACACCACCACAATCACTGATAGCAACGGATCTTTAACTAGTGAGGTTGTTATTCTTGTGATTACACCAACGCCATCTACTACTTACACTACTACTACCGCAGATATTGCAGAACTAACAACCACCACGTACACTACAACATATATTGATGGTGACGCTTCTTCAACTGCTGAGATTGTTGTTGTAGTGATCACTCCATTGTCACCCACCATCTACACAACTACTACTGCAGATGTCACAAAACTAACTACAACTACATACACCACTAAGGTTACTGATAGCAACGGGTCTTCATTTTCAGAGGTTGTTGTTGTAGTTGTCACTCCATCCCCATCTACTTCCTACACTACTATTACTGCAGATATTTCTACCTCAACCACAACTACTTACACAACCACTGTTACTGACAGCAATGGCTCTTTATCCCCAGAGGTTGTTATTGTAGTGATTACACCGTCTCCATCTACCTCCTACACTACCACCACTGCGGATGTTTCTGCTCCAATCACAACTACTTACACTACTACCATCACAGAAAGCAATGGCTCTTCATCCCCAGAGGTTGTTGTTGTTGTGGTTACTCCAGCTCCATCTACTATTTACACTACAACTACAGGTCCAGTTTCTGCCCCAACCACAACTACTTACACAACCACTGTTACTGACAGCAATGGCTCTTTATCCCCAGAGGTTGTTGTTGTTGTGGTTACTCCAGCTCCATCTACTATCTACACTACTACCACAGGTCCAGTTTCTGCCCCAACCACAACTACTTACACTACTACAGTTGTTGATAGCAATGGGTCTTTATCCCCAGAGGTTGTTGTTGTAGTGATTACACCATTTCCAGCTACCTCCTACACTACTACTACTGCGGATATTTCTGCCCCAACTACAACTACTTACACCACTACTAGCACAGACAGTAACGGCTCTTTATCCCCAGAGGTTGTTATTATAGTGATTACACCGTCTCCATCTACCTCCTACACTACCACCACTGCGGATGTTTCTGCTCCAACTACAACCACCTACACAACCACTGTCACTGACAGCAATGGCTCTTCATCCCCAGAGGTTGTTGTTGTTGTAATCACCCCATCTCCAAGTGGCCCAACTATCTACACTACAACTACAGGTCCAGTTTCTGCCCCAACCACAACTACTTACACAACCACTGTTACTAACAGCAATGGCTCTTCATCCCCAGAGGTTGTTGTTGTTGTAATCACCCCATCTCCAAGTGGCCCAACTATCTACACCACTACAACTACAGGTCCAGTTTCTGCCCCAACCACAACTACTTACACAACCACTGTTACTAACAGCAATGGCTCTTCATCCCCAGAGGTTGTTGTTGTTGTAATCACCCCATCTCCAAGTGGCCCAACTATCTACACCACTACTACTGCGGATGTTTCTGCTCCAACTACAACCACCTACACAACCACTGTCACTGACAGCAATGGCTCTTCATCCCCAGAGGTTGTTGTTGTTGTAATCACCCCATCTCCAAGTGGCCCAACTATCTACACCACTACTACTGCGGATGTTTCTGCTCCAACTACAACCACCTACACAACCACTGTCACTGATAGCAATGGCTCTTCCTCTCCAGAGGTTGTTGTTGTTGTAATCACCCCATCTCCAAGTGGCCCAACTATCTACACCACTACAACTACAGGTCCAGTTTCTGCCCCAACTACAACCACCTACACAACCACTGTCACTGATAGCAATGGCTCTTCCTCTCCAGAGGTTGTTGTTGTTGTAATCACCCCATCTCCAAGTGGCCCAACTATCTACACTACAACTACAGGTCCAGTTTCTGCCCCAACCACAACTACTTACACAACCACTGTTACTAACAGCAATGGCTCTTCATCCCCAGAGGTTGTTGTTGTCGTAGTCACCCCATCTCCAAGTGGCCCAACTATCTACACCACTACTACTGCGGATGTTTCTGCTCCAACTACAACCACCTACACAACCACTGTCACTGATAGCAATGGCTCTTCCTCTCCAGAGGTTGTTGTTGTTGTAATCACCCCATCTCCAAGTGGCCCAACTATCTACACCACTACTACTGCGGATGTTTTTGCTCCAACTACAACCACCTACACAACCACTGTCACTGATAGCAATGGCTCTTCCTCTCCAGAGGTTGTTGTTGTTGTAATCACCCCATCTCCAAGTGGCCCAACTATCTACACTACAACTACAGGTCCAGTTTCTGCCCCAACCACAACTACTTACACAACCACTGTTACTAACAGCAATGGCTCTTCATCCCCAGAGGTTGTTGTTGTCGTAGTCACCCCATCTCCAAGTGGCCCAACTATCTACACCACTACTACTGGTGATGTCTCTGCCTTGACCACAACTACTTACACAACCACTGTTACTGACAGCAATGGCTCTTCATCCCCAGAGGTTGTTGTTGTTGTAATCACCCCATCTCCAAGTGGCCCAACTATCTACACCACTACTACTGCGGATGTTTCTGCTCCAACTACAACCACCTACACAACCACTGTCACTGATAGCAATGGCTCTTCCTCTCCAGAGGTTGTTGTTGTTGTAATCACCCCATCTCCAAGTGGCCCAACTATCTACACCACTACAACTACAGGTCCAGTTTCTGCCCCAACCACAACTACTTACACAACCACTGTTACTAACAGCAATGGCTCTTCATCCCCAGAGGTTGTTGTTGTTGTAATCACCCCATCTCCAAGTGGCCCAACTATCTACACCACTACTACTGCGGATGTTTCTGCTCCAACTACAACCACCTACACAACCACTGTCACTGATAGCAATGGCTCTTCCTCTCCAGAGGTTGTTGTTGTTGTAATCACCCCATCTCCAAGTGGCCCAACTATCTACACTACAACTACAGGTCCAGTTTCTGCCCCAACCACAACTACTTACACAACCACTGTTACTAACAGCAATGGCTCTTCATCCCCAGAGGTTGTTGTTGTTGTAATCACCCCATCTCCAAGTGGCCCAACTATCTACACTACAACTACAGGTCCAGTTTCTGCCCCAACCACAACTACTTACACAACCACTGTTACTAACAGCAATGGCTCTTCATCCCCAGAGGTTGTTGTTGTTGTAATCACCCCATCTCCAAGTGGCCCAACTATCCACACCACTACTACTGGTGATGTCTCTGCCTTGACCACAACTACTTACACAACCACTGTTACTGACAGCAATGGCTCTTTATCCCCAGAGGTTGTTGTTGTTGTGGTTACTCCAGCTCCATCTACTATCTACACCACTACTACTGTGGATATTTCTTCTCCAATCACAACTACTTACACCACTACCATCACAGACAGTAACGGCTCTTCATCCGCTGAAGTTGTTGTAGTAGTGATCACCCCATCTCCATCTAATAGCTTTATAACATCATCAATTTCTGTACCATCTCCTCTCTACAGAAACTCCACAATTTCTGGTGAAAAAACTGAACCTATTTTGACTGACACTTTAGTTGTTTTAACTACGGTTATTAATGGAATTACTGTGACCACAACTTATTGTCCAGAATCATCTGCAACTTCTGAAACAGGTATGACTGCGATCATTGGACACAGTTCTATTGAATCTGTTTATACTGATTCAAGGAACCAACAAGAAGAGACTAACTCATTTACTACGGCTACAAATGTGACTCCGGCTGCTTCTATTACTTCTACCACCACTGGTCCAGCATTTACAAACAGTGAAAATCAACTGACATCTAAGAACTCCAGAGCATCGACGACGACTGTTATTGGATCCACAAGGGGTAAAGCAGACGTTACTTCAGAAACTGGTACTGCTGTCAGTACTGTCGAATCTAGAAGACCAGAAACATCACCAACCACAATGGTATCACAAGTTTCCCAATATATTCCTGAGCAATTATCCTCATCATCGACTGGTGTTACAGTACCTCATGAAGGTGTACCTTCTCTTGTGTCATATGAAGGTAAGGGTGGTACTATGTACGTGAAATGGAGTATTGCCCATTGCATTGGTTTATTATTATTCATAGTAATTTAAATTGATTAAAGACAAAAAATTTTAAAATAAAGAATTCTAAATAATTTAGTAATTAAATATTTCTATATAAGCATATATAATATTCTAATATTTTTCATACTATATTTTTATTATTTATTTAATTTCCAAATAGCTTGTACAGCACAAATAGATTTGCTCATTCCTAATAAACCATCAATATCTTTTAATTTTAAATAGTTTAGATTATTCAATACAATTATGCAATCTAATAGTTGCTATATAGACATTTTAATACATTTATATTTTTGCTACATGTTTTGGCAATTTTTAATAAAGAGATTGTGATTAGGAAATTTACTTCTGTATAAATCAATTGATAATAGTTTAAACGATATAAGATCCTTAAATCTTTTCTAATTAAGAAAAATTGTAATTGTGAAGATTTGATGCTAGTTTAATTCAAAGATCATAATAAAAGGTTTGACACATGTCTTAAAAACAGTTACAATCTTTCTTTACCTGCATTTACTGAAAAGTTAACTAGACAAATGTATTTATTCCCATATTCCTTAATTATTTTCTTTCTGTCCTCTGTATATACAAATACATCCATAGGGAACACATAATACATACATATATACATGGATGTACACTAATTAAATACCACTGTATCTTGCTAAGTCAAATAACTATATATATGTATATTTGTGTTAATATGGTCACTGTTATTAACTCGCTTAAACTTATGGTTATACTTCTATTTCTTTCTTTTTTGTAATATAATATTCAATTGCACGTAAGCTAACATATCCAATAACTATTGTACTCACATGAACAGTAGAGACATACTATAGAATTACTCTAACAATATTTGAAGAAATGGAGATTCCTTTTAGGTAGCAAAGGAAAAAAGGGAAAGAAAGAGAAATAACATGCTATTTCCCAAATGCAGAGAATTGCACACTGATGATATATTATACTTACTCTACATGTTAAGAATATTATACACAAAAATGTAGATACACAGAATTTCGTAATGTACCTTCTTTTGAAAACATATGATATCTCTTCTTGTCTTTTACTGGGTGTAGAACTTTCAAGATTTACAAGATACAGGAGAATGTCCCCTCTATATGTGAAAAATATTGTAATAATAATAATAATAATAATAATAATTATCCAAGGATTCCGATAATGTGAAAATTTTCTTTTTAAATAAGGAACATGTAAAACTATCATAACACAGTCGTATTTTTGCAAATGTTAATTCATAGATATATTACGTCTTGTTATTTTAATGTTATAATGCAATTAAACTCTTATTACTTTTTTTTGAATTTCAATATCTTCTCATGACTCTTGGTTACAATTAAAGATCCATACACAGTATTAAACATCCAGCTATAATAATGTCAGATTAACTCTTAAAAAGAGTAAATTTCCTGAATATTAAATTGATAAATTTTCATGTTAATATTCCACCACAGTATATTCTTAAATGTTGTTCAATGTTCAAAGATCGAGATAAAATCTCTTTTTATTACGTTATTTTTCAAACATTAAAATAAGATCATCTGAGTAAAAGATAGAACAAAATTGTTAAGCAGGGAAAGCAGTACAGTAAAATGAAATAAAAATATAATCAAAATATTATTCATTATATTAAATCAATGTGTCTTTTATCATCATTACCATAAGCATTGAAAATCAAACATAAATCAAATACATCCATAATAAGATTGGAATTAGTGAGGATAAATATCCTGTAAGATATGAGTAAAAAGATGATATAGTAAATTTGTTTATGGATATAGCATAATTGTATTTATGTTTATAACAGTTATCATTATCTGTTAATTTCAAAAGAGTATTGCATATGATCATAAATTATTATAACAGTATCATTCGATGGATAATGAAGTGATATAGAAGATATAATTATATTTTTCATATTGAAAATATTAGTAAGGGATGGTGTTCATGTGTTATTGGAGTATACTTTAATAGTTATATTCATAATAAAAGTGGTAGTGACACAAAAAATGGTCATAGTTTGTCAATAAATATCTTCCATAGTCACAGTCTATGCATGGAGTAAGTCATTATGAGGTTATTTCTGATAGTCAAATATAAATGATTATTAGGTATACAGTGGTGTAACTATGCCATGTTAAATAACTGTTTGATAATATTCAATATTATATCATATGAATATGTAAAGAAGGTAGATAATAACTGGCTATTTATAAGTGAAGTTGGTTACTTATATGCTTGGTTGTCGATGGGTGTGGCTATTATTGTAATTGATTTTTTTTTCGAACTATTTTTTCAGATTTTGAAAAAAGGAAGATTGACAATTGAAATTTGAATGAAATGAGCTTGGTGGATAGTGAAGAGATCATGATAGCTGATGCTAAGAATAATTAAGTGTGATGTGTTTGTGTAGTATCGTTCTTGTTTAAGACATAATATCAAGAGAAGTTATATATTAATGAGGAGTTCATAGTTTAAGAGTGATACCATACAATCTACCAGTTATTAATGTCTAAATGAAGTAAGCAGTTTAAGAATAAAAACATAATTGAAAGTAATAGTGGTTGATATGAACTTAGTCTACTATGTATAAATCCATAGTAAAGATACATGTTAATATCATGATAGCAGATACTGTGAATAACATTGAATGTTATAGGTTTAAAAGAGCAATAAAATTTCCTAGATGATATTACCATAATAAACCTAGAAATGTAAGTGTAAATATAAGATGCGACAGAGTGACCATTAATGGATCACACTAATCCAGTGTATTATGTTTATGTTGTTTACATTGTTTCTATATCTTACATATGAAAAGAAAATGGTCTAAATTTATTGATCTATTTATCATAAAACAAATGACTCTATCGTTGTTATTACATTCTTGGTTTTTAGTATGGCTAAGTGTGTATTTGACATAGGTTACAGTTTATCTATTACACATTCATATTAGAATATATGTATTTATAACTAAATAACAATGTGATTTTAAGAATTATAACTTGATTATTGCATTACTTTGCAACTCAGCTACTGTTAATAAGCTTAAGTGTTTGAGCTGTTGCAACGTATACAATTTTCATATTATTTCCTTACGTTTAATAGGTAGAGAGTACTTGATGATGTAATTTGTGATGGTATTATCAGTTAATAAAGAAAACGGTACAAGGTAAAATCCAAAGAAATAATGAATATATCTTATATTTCTAGTAATTTGTATAATTTATTAAGTTACACATTATATTCTCTTCTCTCTATCATACATTTAATATTTTGAAGTGCTATGTGCATTAATACATCTACTTCTACTGATATCCTAGTAATAGCTCTTATTAAATTACACTACCCACTACAACTATCACTTTGCACAATACTATCTTTTATTGTGTATTATGCCATACCATAGCAAACAATATAGAATAGCCACTTATTCATTCTTACATGACTTTCTTGATCTAGACCTACTAGTTAGTTAATATAACACTGCTTGTAGAACTGTAACTGCCAACATATGCTAAAATTGTCTTCTTATCTTTTCATTCTTTTTCTTTTCTGAAATCCAATTTTTCTTAAATTCCAAAAACATTTTTCAATCAAATAAAAACAACTCAAACAGATATCAATCACTGCACCACACAAACACTGATGTAAACAATACAAAGGAGACCTGCTTACAGACAAGAACACATCCTCAGTTGAGCTCTATGCATTTCACAAATTCACATTATATAACATTGAGATACTACCATTCAACATGATATAATTATGCCATAAATATATTTGATACAGCCAACCAAGATATCCTTAACTATAGAGAGTATATTCACGACAATCCACTTTGTACATGGGTTATTACTAAGGAAGATATTTATAAACAAAATACATCTATCTTTATGGTATGGTTGCTCTATTGCTATGAGTATTTACAAATACATAAACACAAACACTTACAGTATCTTCCACCTAAATGATATAATCTGATAGCACATATCAATTTCATATAGTGATCACTTCAATACTACTACCATGAAATCTATTCATATGGATGAACCTCACAGTATAATTATCAACACTATGCCAACTACCATCGTACTACTACCCAACTACATCACAAATATTACATCCAAATCACTCACAAAAATACACCCTACCAATAACTAAGATTATATTTCTTCCTGAAAATCAATTCATTATTGCCGAATGTCAATTAGTAAAATTCCATAACACTGTTGTCAATTCTCACAACACCAACATAATATCCAACAATCAACAGTATTAAATCAAATAATACACATGTATGAACTTGTAAATATATTGTAATTAAAAACAAAAATGGTTTAAGTGTGGGATACACAACAGAAAGTAGGTTTTTTGCTGATCTGTGGGAATTATTTTATTTGAGTTACCATATTTATATACAATTGAGAAAAGTGGAATAGTGTTCGTTTTGAGTATTACTATCAAATGATAAGTTGATTTTTCCTACTTTATACAGTGTTATCTAACTTATTCAAACAAAGAACCTTAGTTTAGCTTGAGTAATCAATTTACAAGATGTGATGAGATATTTAATACAATGAAACAGGAAGTTTTTTTCTATGAAACAGCAGCTTTCAACAAATGTCTAGTGTTTCTTTTGTTATGGCCATCTTTTGTGGATAAAAATTAATGTCATATAGTGTATTAATGCTATAAGCTATTTTTTATTGCTATGAGTTATATGCGGATCAGGTATAAAGTTTTTTATTGTGCTTTTATATGATGTCACTCTCTGGCTTTTGAACATATACTGAATGATATCCAGTACAGTTACGTGAATTATCCTCCAGTCATTTTTGGTTTAGTTCTCTAATGAATTGTACAGCATCAATACTCTCCTCGTTCAAATGTTTTTAGTTGTAATTACTACCTAGTCAACTAGTGATAATACAAAACCATCTGCTGTTAGAATATTGAAATTTACAATGATGATGTCATTAGATAAAGAAAAATAAATTTGGAGA